CTTCTTGCGGTTTGCAGTCATTCGCCCGTCGCCAATAACAGGCTAAACGGCAAATGCGACTCTTCGCTTCTGCTTCATCTTCCTCCTCCGGTCCATTCAGATCGCTTGCCTGCCAGCCAGAAAAAGTGCATCACACCTGGTGCCCCCCGTCATTGTCGTGGTCCAGGTCCAAGCTCCAAGCTCCGGACAGATCTTGTCCTCAACCCATGAACTCAGCCCAGGGCTCCATGGGCTCTAAGACGCAGGTGATCATTCCCTCAACCTTGTCATCTGTCCACCAAACCCACAAACCCACCCCCTTCCCAACAGCTGTCTGTCCACTCCCCGTCCACGATCCAGTGCGTTAGCCTAGTCCTGTTTCAACCCTGCCAGTCTTTGCAAAACGTCGGTCCACCTAGAAAATGCAATGCCGCGAACAGAACACGAGGAAAAACTTCCTCCCCGCCGATGCCGACACTGGCTACCCTCCATTCCCCAGAACATCTTAGTAACTTTTGCATGCCCCGGGCGTGCGTGCGTGCGTGGGCGCGCGATTCCAGAGCAATACATAAACACTCGTAGATCCCCTCTTCGTGGCCGCCCTTCCCTCCCTCTCTCTATCCCCCTTTGCCGGCTCTTTTTGGTGACCTCGTCCGTTCGCAAAGAGTATTCATTCGAGTAGCTCGCTCCTCACTGCGCCGTACTCACACCTGCCCCTACCAGTGCCAAGCTCTATCCACGATGGCCACCAACACAGAACACAACGCCGTCAACTCGGCAGTCAACGGTGACACCTCATCTCATGCCCAGGATTTCGAGAAGGCCACCCGAGGAATGAGCCACGAAGAGAAGACGGCGGCCCAAAATGCTGCTCGCTTCGGATATGGCCCTTTGGCTCACATGCGAACAAACATGGATGCCACATTGCCTGGTGAGTTTGACCCTTCCCGTGTCAGAACGCCGTGGACTGACCGATCCCAACAGCTTTCGGTGGTGAATTCCAACCCGGTCTCTACAGAGGCGTCGAGAAACGCAAGTTCGCCAACCCGGCTCCTCTGGGATTGTGCGCCTTCGCCTTGACTACCTTCGTCCTCAGCTTGATCAACTTGGGAACCCGAAATGTCAAAGTCCCCGCCATCGTCATTTCTCTCGCCTTTGGTTATGGTGGTCTCGTGCAGCTTCTGGCTGGCATGTGGTAAGTTTGGCTTGCTGCGAGATGGAGCCGTGGTGGATGGGCGCTGACAACCAATCCACAGGGAAATGGCCGTGGGCAACACTTTCGGTGCCACCGCTCTGTCCTCCTATGGCGGTTTCTGGATCTCCTTCGCCATCATTCTCACCCCTGGCGGCTTCGAGATCGAGGCGACCATCACCGAGCAGCAAAATTCCAAGGCCCTGCTTGACTGTCTAGGCTTTTACCTGATGGTAAAGTGACCCCCATTCGCGAGTGCATGTCCCAACGCAGTTCTAACTGGGGAATTTACAGGGCTGGTTCATCTTCACTTTCCTCCTCCTCATCTGCACCCTCAAGTCTACCGTGGCCTTCTTCCTCTTGTTCTTCACCTTAGACCTGGCCTTCCTGATGCTGGGCTGCTCCTACCTGGTCCTCGAGAACGGCGCTCCTCACACTGGCCTGACCCGTGCTGGAGGTGCTTTCGGTATCCTGGCCGCATTTTTGGCCTGGTACAATGCCCTCGCCGGTATCGCCGACACCTCGAACAGCTTCTTCATCGTCCCCGTCCTTCACTTCCCCTGGTCGGAGAAGGGCAGAGCCGCTCGCAGCGAGGACAAGGTCGACAGCTCCGTCTAAGCGAACCTCCACAATGGTTTCGTGTCCGGTCCGATATGCAGAGCGCACCCGACAACATATGTGGAAGGGGATGCGCCCAAGACCACTATGAAAGAAATGTTACTATCACAGACTATGAAAGCTGCCCGAGAGGCATGAATCATCCATCATACTGGGGGAGGTGTGGTGCTGTACGGAACTGGGGAATCGGCAAAGCAATACTACATCTCTTTGGATACCCCAATCTGCGTTGCTTGGTTCTTGGACAGTTCTGCTCCCAAAAACTTATCGATCGTTTTTTTAATACACAATAATGCTATTTCGTTGCCTTCAGCCATCGTCCTTTCTCTCTTTTGTCGTTTTGGACTTTGTTGACACCGCTTCCCGCAAGCCAGAACCTGTGGTCGGGACTCGGCAGGAGAGGCGCGTCACGAGCGATTCTTGCTCATGGCGAAGCTTCCCTAAACACCGATATCAAAAGGATATTCGACCGGCGCACGTCATGATGGAATGAATGTGTGAGATCGTCGTCGGCTTAGCGATGTTTGATTGTCGTCATGCCCAAGCCTTTCGCCGGTCGCCAATGGGCCCCAATCAGCTCCCTGCCAAGTGATTGGCGCGCTGGCATCGAAGATTAGCCCAGAAAAGGTCGGTTCTAGCGCCGGGAAGTTCTGGGACGGTGATCTCGACAAAGTCACCAAGAACCCAAGGCCTTGGGGGGAAGGTTTACAAAAGTCGTACCTGCCGGCCAACAGCCCATCGAACGCTCGGCTCGTGTCTCTACATCCGTGGTAGGAGTGCACAGGACTGTGTCTGGTGAAGCGATGTAGCCATGGGAGGCTGGGGAGGGGAGTGGGGCCCATGGCTTTCGTAATCCTTCGTTCACCTCTGGTGCCTCTGGTTGCTAAATCTGCTCTTTTTCCTGGGGCCGTCAGTTCTCTTTTGGGTGGGCGGCGGACACGGGTGCCTTTTCCAAACCATCATCATCCGCCCCCATGATTCTAGCGACCCTTTTTTGCAACGTCAAATGACCTCGCCTGCTTATCCAAACCCCCTTCTCGCCTGTGCGCAGTTTCCCCCTTCCAATTGAACCCATTTCGTCTCGGTTCGAGGTTATTTTATCACATACGCTAATTGATTGTTTGCCATCCCTACGCCGTTACGTCGTAGTGCGCATTTTCCATTCCATCATTCATTCGGTCAGCGAAAAGACTAAAAAAGGACCGCCGTTCCAAGAAACCCCCCAGAGACCCAAACCCCGAGCTCCAAACTCGAATCAACCTAGCCTTTCCCCCCCAAGCAGGCTCCACCCCACACACGGGCGCCTTTGCAGTTTATGGGGGATTTCCCATCGCCCATCGCCCCCCTCCCCATTTCTTCACCTACCATTATCCAAAGAAACCCCCGATGCATGCTCGATTAGCTTTTTCTACAGAAGAGGACAAGACCCATTTCGTCAAGTGGGCGCGCTATTTACCATGACCGCCACCATCACACTTCCTACCTTCCTGCATACCAGTGTGAACGGGGAATCACTACGTGCTGGGCCAACTTAAGTCTTCCTGATTGCCTCGCTCCCTCCCTCCCTTCCTTCCTTCTATAGAGCTATCTGCGTTAATACTCTGCACTAGCAAGAGTCAAAACAACAACAACTACAACAACAGAGATTTACAGCTAGTCGGTCGGTCGGTTAGTCGTACGGAGCTTGCAGTTTGTCGGACTCTGTGGCGTATGCTTATCGTTCTTGCTGCGTACAGATTAGGTAAGTACATACACACGATATTATTATTGTTACTGTTATCATTATTATTGCGTTCGTCATCTATATCCGCACCCGTACCGCGTCAGGTTCGAAGTACATACAGTAAGTACCGAGTACATATGTAAGTCGTCATCGTTACTTGCGTACCCCGCCACCGCCACCATCGCCCCCCTGCCCCCACCATGCCTAAGAGAGAGATATGTATACGAGCTAATTAGTTTACGGTAAGTACCGACCTGAGTACCGGGCACATACGTCATTCACGACATGTATGTACGTACCCTGCAGGCGTGATGCTATCGATTCTGTACCACGTACCACGTGCCAAGTACGGGTAACTAACTAACCGCCCACAACTGCGTGGGTGCATACATAGGTACAGAGGTAGGTTGCGAGGTTGGTACGGGGGAAATAAATGAGAAACCCACCGCACAGCCACAGGTTTGAAAATGACGTTGACGCACAGACAACGTGGTGGAGAGGCATCTTTTTCTTTCTCTGAGATAATTTCCTTTCCCCTTTTCCGCCTGGCACATGGGCAACTCTGATCCCCACCCATTCCCCCAGCAAGATATGTATGTATGTATGTATGTATGTATGTTAAGTGTACAAGTACAAGTACAAGTACGCTGCAAGAGCGTTGGAAGCAAGCAAGGATGGGCCCTTGTAGTCGCGGAATTGGGTATCCGTCATCCATCCGCTTGGGGAATGGAGAGACGCTCGCTCCCTCACTCACTCCCTCCTCAGCAGGTGATGCCTGTATCGACGGACGGGGGGCAGTATCGATGTTGGTGGTGGTGGTGGTGGTGGCGTGGGGATCCCTAGCTAAGTATTGTAGGGTACGCTTTACCCATGTACGAACGGGGTATGTAGTTGTCTTTTGTGCTCGTACGCGTGCGCGTGCCCCGTCAGGCCTCCTCAGGGGTCGTGTTTATGCAACGAAGGAAGAGCTAGAAACGACTACAACACACACACACCATCCTGATAGTATTTCAGGGTGATCCCAATCCCAAAAAAGGGCACCCAAGCCTTGACGATGCATATACAGCACGCTTCAGCCTTCCGCCTTCCGCCTCCAGCCCTTCCTTCCACCACTTGCGTATTCTCTCACCCCCTCTCCTCTCTAGCTTGTCAGAGCCTTAGAATAAGTATATCTCGGCTGCCCCGGACGTAAGAACCGTCCCAGAACCCATTGCTGACCATATGGTCCGGCTAATTGCCTGAATAATGTGCCATCTATCGAGCGGGGTAAGCTATCTACGGTATATATCGTCGAATAGTTGCTGACACGAGCCCATTTTTTACGACCTGCGCGTGGAAACCCGTGTCAGAACTTTGCGAAATACTGACCCCGGTACGACGCCTCCGCCGCCGCCTGATCCGGTGGGAGCAATGATCGTCTTGGAGGGCATAAACCGCATTCGGTTGCGCTAGACGGTGGTCCGACTCGCGGCCGACGAGATGCCCGCTTCAGAGGACGGCAAAAGCACTCACGTAGCTAACGCTACTGTCCCTGACAGTCTCGGCGTCACTGCTGCGTTCGTACCGCATGAACCTGAACCGTCTGTGGTCCCCCGGGTTACCACCTTTTTCCCGCTCCAGGCGCTCCACCTCTTCAAGGCCAGCCATGAAGACACCGATGGGATGTCGCCCACACACCGTGTTCCCGGTCTCCTTGAGCACTCGCAGGAACTCTGAATGTTGTCCCGTGGCGATGGCACACATACACGCTCTGTCAGCATGCGCGATGCTCTCGAATATTTGTGGCCCGCCTTTTGGAACCTGGGTCCTTGAGCCGAGATGTTGACCCTGCCCCAGCGTAGGTACTTTGTGGATGTCTTCATTGACCGACTCTTTCGCCGTGGCAGATTCTCCACGTACCCCATTGGGCAGCGTCAGGGGCGACAAGGCTGGGCTGGGTGCGTCAGGTAGGTAATAAGTGTAGCCAAATCGACTTCCCCAATGGCAGAAGTCCGACGAGATGACGAATGCATTCCGTTCATCCGCGATGTACGGAGCCAGCATTCTCCCCAGCGCAGCCTCCGTGGCGGGATTCGTTCCGCCAACCATGATGGGCACGAGGGGAGGGTATGATGACTCGGGCTGGTCAGGGTACAGCTTCTGGAGGAGTCGGTGTATGTATGGCAGTTGCATCTCGGCGCTGTGTTCTGCTTCGTCCACCGGCTGAGACATGGTGGTGAACTTGATCGTGCGGCCTTGGACGACCGTGGAGAGGGAGGAGAGTTCTTGGATGGTCTCATGATCGAGGGGGAGCGGCGTGGCAGAGAGGGGAGTTTCGTAGGCGTCCACAACGGGCAGCGCAGCCGTGCTCAGGTGGTGGTGATGAGAGGGGTGGAGGATGAAGATCCGTTTCGCCTTGGAGAGGTCGAGGCACTTGTAGGCCCATGCTGCACAAGGACCAGAGTAGGCATACCCTGCGTGAGGAGATATAACTACTCTCGCCCCCGGTACTGGCAAGCTGTCGACGCCTGGAAGGATGCCCGTCTGGGGCACTTGGGAGAGCCACTGGTCGAGTTGGGCTGCCAGTTGTCGGCCATTGCCAGAGTACCACGAGCCGGCATGAGAGGCTTCTCTCACGGCCATATTGCGAAGAGGAAACCCGTGCAGTACGGTAGAATAAATAGGTACAAATCCCTTTCGAACGTTTGTTGAGTCGGTCGACGATGAGATCTAACCTACAGTAGGATGAAGTCAAAAGTGGTTCAGCGGGGTGATCCGTCCCTCGTGTTATTGCGGGGGGGGCAATTCTCGCGCCTCTCCAGCCTCAGGAAACTCTTTTTCCCTTACACCTCGCCTCGCTCTTCGGAACGGTTCAATCGTACAGCATCACCACCCAATGTCCATTTCTTAGAGGTCGTATCGATTTGTTGTATCTTTGGAGACCACCGTTATACGCAGACCTGGTCAATGTTTCCCTCGCGTAGCTGAAGCTCCCAGCCCTCTCTCCCACGCGTGTCAGACGCGTAAAGTGTCCGGGTCTCACATTCCCACGCGTCATTCCTCATAAACCTCGCCCTTCGCCCACGACCACCGGCCATTTATCTCCCCATCGGACTTCGAGAAAGAGAGAAAGAGTCTTCGAGTAACCATGAGCGGGAAAAGAAAAGCCTCCGTCTTCGAGGAGGACATGTTCCACCTCCAACCGAACACAACCATCTCTACTACACCCTCCGTGACGTCGTCCCCTCTGTCCTCGACCAGCAGCACCATCTCCTCCCTCGGCGACACGCACCCATATGACTTCCTCCGCGTCAAAGCCGTGCCCTACCTGAACAGCCGCACGCGCAAGCGATATCGCGACGATCGGCCCGACGAAGAGATCATCCACGAAAACACCCTGAAGAAGCTGTACGACGCCCAACGCCTGCATCTCGACGAAGCGATGCCCATGTCGGACGTCATCTCCCTCGGCGAGGACGGCCTGCCCGTGGACGAAGCCGACACCGAAATGACCGACGATGTGCCTGACGCGGAGATTCCACAAACCGCTCAATTGAACCAGAGAACGATCGATGCGTTTTTCGGGTCCCGAGGGGGCGGTGCACAATCTCGAGCCAACGCCCTCGACGTGTCGCCCAACCCCTTTCTCTCGAAACCCGGGACTCTCCACAGACAGCGACAGCAGGTTCAGAGGACCTGTTACGACTACTGGAACAATCCGAATCTGCATTCCATTGGTGACTCCGCAGCCGCCGCGAGGTGATGAGTTGACGCTGATTTCAGTACACAAAGCCGACGACCTGCCTTGAATGCGAGCTGGACACTCGCAGGCGGTGGGAACGAAACATGGCAAGATCTATGGGCATACCAGGATGGGCCGTCTCGGTCGTATATCTGGATCAGTGTTCTGGCTACTGTGCATACAGATTTTGGCGCGGGAGACACTGGTCTTAAAAGGGCGAGGTGTGAAATGCCCTGGTTGTATGAATTCAGATCAAGAGAGTCAAAACAGAGGTCTGTTGCTAGGCTGGGCTTTGGCCTCCTGATAACAAGGCCATAGAGAGTTGGTGGCTGTAATCCAGCTTATGTGCTGCTCTGTCGTAGAGCAGACCTCAATCACTGTCGGCTCTCTCTCTCTGTCTGTCTCTGTGTGTGTGCGTGTGTGTGACGGTGCTACAACTGATATGAATTCAGTTCCAGCGGCATTTGCGCATTGGAGTCCAAGATCTTTCGTTCGTCAATAATTCATCGCAGTTTGACTATCCTCATGTACATAAAGAATCACCGAAACCGAGCGACAAAAAAATGCAGATGGATTAACCATAGGTACATAACGTCCATGTCAAGCCATGTGATGTGATATTGACTTTGGATGCCCACGTAATATCCCGTTGTCAAACGTGACAGCTCGATAACATCAGGGGAAAACAGTGAAACTGAACCGGTCACCACCATCACCGTATCGATGCCCATTCCACCACCAGTGTGGCCCGGAACCCAAGCCCGATGTCAAGGCAAGGCAGTAAAGAAGAGCAGTAGTATCCTTGATGCGTCGAACCATGTCCTTTGTGCGCCTATCCCTCAGTCCCTGTTCTCCTATGCAACCCCGACCCCTGGCAAAATTATGCATCGTATCGTCATGAGTCCTGATGACTGTGTCCGCTGAGGTCAATGTGTGTGCGTGTGCTTGCTAGTTCGTGGCTGTGAACCTCGCTTTGGTCGTCTTTTTTTTTCTTTTTTCCTTTCTTCTTTTTGAGTCGTCAGTAGTCATTCACTGGCCAATTCGTGAGTCGACTTTATCGACCTAATTCCGTCAACGGTTCGTTTATGGACAGAACCCCATCGCTTCTCCACAGAAATCTCCCTCAACCGGACACAGAAAAATGTATCGCCACGTGTTATGCCCCAAGAGTCAACATTTGCAGTCTCCCCAACCTCCTCAAATGCTCTCTCGCACCGTCAACGCCGGGGATCCAGCCCTTGAAATCCTGACCTGACTTCAACCCTCGTTTCTTCGCCTCACTGACCGTTTATCTCTTCAAGTTTCAAGGAGACTGCGGGTCGAACGATTCCCCGGTGACCACGTACAGAGTAGGGTTTCTAGCCGGCTCATCCTCTGCACTTCTACCGTCACCATATCGATTCACCCAGTATGTGTCGTCAATCACGGGGTGTAGTCGGTGGGGACGCGTCCGGGACACGGCCTCCAATTCTAGCTGAGTCTTATGGTACACTTCTCTCGCCTTCTCTCTCGCCAACCTGGTTGTCTCGCACCTCTGGACTAAAGGTGTGAGATCTGAGACCTCGCCCCGGACTTGAGCCTCAAGTAGTGCACGATTCGCACTGATATCGTCTTGGTTGGCTCGGGTGCATGCTGTGTAGGCTGCATGGCTGCGAAGTCGCACTTCGTCGGTTATGCGCATTTGCACTTCTTGGTATTGGAGAACTGCGCTTCTGGCCTCCGGACCCAAGGTATCGGGCAGCGCAAATGTGGATCGTCCGGACCTGAAGCCGGGATAATATGCCGGGTGTCCAAATCGTCGCATCCTGGCACGTTCCGGCTTTGCGCTGATGTTGAGCTCAATCTTGGCGTCCCCTTTCAATGACTCTGGCGCGTTGAACTCAACACCTTCATCCCACGTCTTGTCGTTGACTGGTGGAACCACATTGTTCAAGATGCGTCTCGCATCGATGCTTCTGCGACACTTCATGCATGCTTTGCTCTTGGAGTATGTCACAGAATTGACCCAGGCTGAGAGGCAGGTGGCGTGCATGGCGGTATCGCAACAGGTAATGACGGCCATGAAGTGATCCTGCTCGAATTCGAGCTGGCATGCTGGACATTCCCTCTTGTGGTCCTCCAACGCTTCAATACCCTCTGCGGTGGCGCGAGAGAGGACCAACATGATAGGTGGTTTCTGTGGGCTGGCGGCGGAGCTTGGCGGTTCCCAGTGGGAAGATAGAGGCTCACCTGCCGGTGACTGTTGGGGAGATCGCGTCCAGTCAACCGAATACCCAAAGTGAGACGCTGTCACACTCCTGGGAGGCTCTCCCGCCAGGTGTTGAGATTCTCGCAGTCGCTCGCTAGACTCCCGCAGCCGCTCACTCGACTCTCGCAACCGCTGTTCCGACACACGTATACGAGCACTCAATTCTCGCGATCGCTCGCCCAACTCTCTGGGGTCGTGGAAGATATTCCCTGTCGGTAGTCGAGCATTAGCAAAGCCTGACTCCTGTCGACCAGCGTTGGGATACAGATGGGCGCTCAGGTCAGCGGCTCGTGGAGGTTGGCCTGCAGGGAGATAGCTGAAGGGAGAGTCGATGCCACGCAGATCTTGAGCAAAGCCGGAGCGTGAATTCAGGTACTCGAGAGCTGCATCCTCGGCCATGAAGATGCCGCTGTTCATCAGAGGTGCTATCCCCGGGAGATTAGTCCCGATGAAATTTCCAGATGTGGGCACTGAGGTTGAGGCTGAGGATGGGGTTGAGGTAGGGGCTGAGGTCGGCGCAGGAGCGCTGGAAGGATGTGAAGGGTCGGCCATGTGTCTGTGAGTGGTGTTCTCGAAATCGACCCTGCGACGCTTGTACTGATGGTCATCAGAAGAGGAAGTTGCTCTGTCAGAACGAGGTTGAGATCCAGAAGGTCTGTAGTCGTTGTAGTGTGGAAGAGACGACATCTGAGGGTGATAGTAGTAGTCCATGCACGAGAGCTGAACCCGTTGAACGCAGTAGTCAGGTACTGTGTCCAGTCAAGTGGGCGTGAAGATCCAGACAAGGCTTCGGGGCCCAGTGGGCGGTACAAAATAGTCTCTGCCGCTAAGAGGGGCGGACACTGCTTCAAGTCTGGTTGACCACGGATTGTGCAGTGAAGATCAGTTCGAAGCGTGAGGCAGTACTGCTATGGAGACAGGGAAGAGTACCGCAGGTCCTGTGCAAAAAAGGCTGTGAAGCACGTCTTGAGGTCAACCGACCACAGGTAGCGAGGGTTTGAGCAGACTGGGAGGCTGGAGGAAGAAGAATGTAATGGTGAAATGGTGGGAGAAGTGTGGTGAAAGTAAGGTTGTAACGGAATCTCGATGGTCATGCGAGGGGGCGAGGACAGAATCCCCTTAGTGCCCTTGTTTTGGCCAGTAGCGAGAGACTCCCTGGCCTGCTGCACCTGACGTTGATTTCGGGAATCGGGGAGGGGCAGGAGGTATCCAGTATTGGCTGGAAACGGTGGCCGGAGGCTTGTGAGAGGAGTGAGAGGGTGGGAGAGTCGGGCGGAAAGCAAGGCAGGTTTCAGTTTTGGCCGAGGCGCCTATCCTGGGATTATTGTGGTCTGTGCTTGGAATTGCATCAGAGACAAGCCGACGTCGGAGGAGCAAACCAGATGCTGGTCAGAGTTGTAGTGGGAGGCGAGAGGTTTGAGGAAGAGTGAGTGGTAGCTGTGTTGTTGTACATCGAAGGCTGGGTTTCGACGAGGAGGGGTTGGAAGGAAGCGAGAGGAGGAAGAGGAAGATGACGGTTAGTTCCTACTTGAAGATTCCTGCTTGTCTCGGATTGTCAGCTTCACACCTGACAAGCATGAGTGCAGTGTCAACCTTGTCAGTGACTGTGTTTTCCAGCCGTGCTTCCGAGCAAGTCCAGCCCCTCAGTGACAAGACAAGGTAAGAAAAGAGGAAACGGGACGGCAGGAGGGAGCAGAAAGCGAAGCGAGTTCATTTATTCTATTCTGCATCCTGCAATTCTGCCCAATGCCAGGCATAAATGCCAAATCAGCCCCGGTGTCGCAGTGGCCGCCTATTGCCTTGCGACGCTTTGGTGCTCCCGATGAATCTGATGCTGATGCCGTACCAACTGCCTACGGTCCGCGACCAAGAACCCGTTCGTTGGGTAGGCAAGAGACCCGTGCCCTTGGAGAACGATCGGGAACATTTTCATTATCAAGCAGTATCCTCTTTGACAAAACGTGGACACCATAAGACCGCCGCTAGTCAATCCTACGAAGTCTGAGCGGGAAATCAGAGAGACTCCTGAGCAGCTGGAGGTCGCCTCGCTGACAGTAGCATGTCCACCTCGTTGGAAAGGTCAGTGAGGCACTGCTCAGAGGGACTCGATTCGAGTGCTATAGACGTGCTATAGACGTGTGAAACTCATCAGTCACTGGTACGGAGTTGGCACTCGGGCGTCTTGACCAGAAAGATAGAAGTCATTCTGAAATGCTTGTCTGTCTGACCAGTGTTGATTGTTGCAATAATGGCCATCAGTGTGATGGCAGTCCAAAAATAGCCCCGTCATTTGATTCCTCTTACCTATCAAGTGACGATGTGATGTACACGGCTCAACTACTCGGTGCAATCTCTCTTCCCCCCTAATAACTTGTCTGCACACTCGTCTCCGAACCCTTCCTTGAACAACATGGCCTTCTTCTGTCTCTTGTAACAGCGGACTCCCTGGCACCATGAAGTCGCTTTTCCATATCCCCGTCTTCGTAACGAATTCCTTGCGTCGGGACATAGAATGGGTTGGCTTGCCGCTGGATGCTGTACTTTCATAGCAGGATACGCCCTCTACAGGATTTTCCTTAAAGGGGGTGTGCAAGGAGTCTTAGCCTTGGCCGCAAACCCACACTGCGAATCTGTTCCGGCACCGTCGGTCAAACAGAGAGAAGAAACCCCTGCAGCATCGGACATCCCTGAGGACGAAAAGCCGGATCCTCAACGAACCCTCGAAATCTCGCCTCTTCGCTTGGAAATCTCTCACCCAAGAGACGATGAACCACCTGAGGAGATGGCGGACGAGACAACACCCAAGACCGAAACGATGCCTCCTCCACCGCCACTTTCCAAGCCCGCCAGGCCTTCAAGCCTGCCTCGTGTGAATCCTGCGAATACCGTCGACAAGTTACCTGCGCCACCTCGACCAGGCAATGGATTTATTCGCCCTCCTCCCTCTGCAGCCGCCTCCTTGCGTGTTCCTCCGATCAAGCCTCTCCCAAATGCGTCACTCGCACCAACTTCCTCCATCATGCCGCCTGGCAAGCAAGTTTCACGGAAAGTGATTCTTGAACCGGGCCACTCTCCCCTCGATTGGGCGGCGCTCACATCCAACCCCAACAGCCACCTCCGAGGCCAAGACGCGCCGGGAGAACATCTGATTCGAGTCACGTCAGCCCAACTCAAGCGGCAGAACGGAAGAAAAGGAAGAGATGCCTGGACGGTGTACCAAGGCAAGGTGTATAACATCACGCCATACGTCCCCTTCCATCCTGGCGGGGCGGGCGAGATCCTGAGGGGCGCGGGCAAGGATTCTGTCAAGTTGTTCATGGAGGTCCATCCCTGGGTGAATTGGGACGCCATGCTAAGCGAGTGTCTGGTTGGGATACTCGTCGGCGATGGCGAGGAATCGGGTGGCAATGGCGGGGGGCTGGACGATATGGATTGATTTGCCTGTTCCACGCATACGAGGCTTGCTGAACGGCGCCGGGCCTGTCCTACACGCATAGGCTGGACGATTACAAGAAGGTTATCCAGGGCACAATCCATGGCATAGACTGGTACGGCGAGGCGTCACATCTATACAAGACCGTGGTTTTGCGACTTTCCTATCAGACTGCACGGCGGCATGCTACATAGATATGGCCTGTTTTATGATACCCCCGCTCCGACCGACTATATCGAAGCAATGAATGATGTTTGATGTCCTAAGAGTAGCTTGTTCCCTTTTCTTGACTGGCGTCGCCTTCCCCACGTTCGCGAGTTATCCGTCACAGGAAAGAGACATTGAGCACATGAACCCTAACAGGCTCACCGAACAGCGCTTGTCATGCGTTTTCTCTGAGAGAAGAGCCATGGCAGAGAGGATATTGCCGAGAGAACCTGCAACGTTGGAAGACTCTTCGTTCCAGCGGTCAGATGTCTTCCTGATAGCAGACCTTCTGGAGGAGGTCTTCTCGTTGACTGAATCCTCCTCCACCTCTCAGTGATGCAGGCATCACAGTATTCCCGTCAATAGGGTCTCCACTCGATCACAACTCGTCCTTCTTGACGCCTTTGATCCCTATCAACTCGGTCTCAAAGACCAACACGCTGTTCCCGGGGATCGGCCCGACACTCCTCGCGCCGTAGCCCAGCTCAGGCGGAATCGTCAGCTTCCTCTTCTCGCCGATGCACATGTCCAGCAGGCCCTCGTCCCATCTGCAAGTGATCAGTCAGCCACAGACTGTTCCAGCCTTTTGAAACACAATATAACGAGCAAGCCAAGTCGAGAAGAAAAGATGAGGCAACACTCACCCCTTGATAACCCTCCCCGCACCCAGCTCGAAGTTCAACGGTGTCCCTCTTGAGTACGAAGAGTCGAACTCCTTGCCGGTGCTCTGCAGTGTGCCGCGGTAGTGGACGTCGATTTTGTCGCCCTTCTGGGTCTTTCGTGTGCATTCGATGTCGGGCGTCTGGTATTCGATCTCGAGACCGGTGGAGGAAACGAGGTGGGCCAGGGCCAAGGCGGCGGCGAGAAGAGAGGAGAGGAGTTTCATTGTTGGTTTATGCCTACGGGGAGAAGAGTAGGAGCTGGAGGGAGGTCTCGTAGGGGAGTTGTTGTGCGTTTGCTGCAAGGTACAAGCAGAGCCAAGTTGTTCAATTGGAGAATAACGAATGTAATTACATAGACAAGTTCACAAAGTTGGTTGGTGGCGGGGGAGCAGCGGAGAAAGGAAAGTCCGGTTTGAACTATTCTCCCACGCACAGAACACAGTGATCAATCACATCAACTCACTTGTAGACGGGGACATAGAACTTCTTGAATTCTCGTTACTCTTCTTCACCGCATGTCTGTTTGCTCCAAGAACAAGCACCTATCTTTGTATGTCAACAGAATGCAAACAAAGCGACAGTCTCGTGCTCAGAATATGCTCTCTTTCCAATACAGCATACCTATCCACTTTTGTGCTTTTGCCCGACACCAGTTCACTGCCTCTTCTCCTGGCCTTCATCTTCAAGCCACTAGGCGCAAAGCTGATGGATGCATAGGAAGTGATCCCTTCCATGTGCCAGCACGCATCAGGCGGCTGTGCGAATCATCGATTCTCTCAACGTCGACACTGCACCTCTCCTAGGTGACTACTAAACAGCATCGGAATAAAGTGATGTCTGGCCTCAGAAAGATGTCTTTGTGTACCTCGAGCTTGTTTGGTATCGAAGCTCGTCACCTGTTGAGATGCGCTGGACGTTGCTGTTGCTGCCCGCCCCGGCTACAAGTGTGACTCGCCATCTTGCCCCCAGCGATAGTGCCGAGTCGTTGCGCTGTTTGGCGGTTGCTGGAGTCAACAACTGCCGAATCAGAGACTGCCAAAGAAACCGAAGACGAACAGATCGCAAAAAGTCACGGGCGGATCGACAGCGCTGGAAATTACAGAAATTGACCCGTCAAAGAAGCTGGGGATTATCCTCGAGGTGGTATAGCCAAGCAGGAGTTGGCAGGCTTGGAGCTTCCCGCCGATAAAGCTACTGCTACACAAAACCGGAGATTCAAAGGCTCATTGTCCGGATCTGGAGGTGTTGACGCCTCTGGCGGTTCCTTGCGTGGTAACCTTGGGGGCAATCTTGTTGGGCGTGTTCTTCTTGTCCGATTCCCGACGTACATGCTGGTACCGTCGGTGCTTCTGGTCCAAGTGCCCATAATCGGACAAGTCGGCGTCGTTACCATCAGCTTGCTCGCCGTTGACCGGTTGGCGGTCACTGCAACCGCGCACTAAGATCCCATTAGAAGCTCCCTGCGTCTTGTCGCCGACGGCTCCATTCGTTGAACTACTGTTGCTAGAACAGCAACGCTTAGGACTGGGGAGCAAGGCTTCTTCGTCGTCCGAATCGATAACCATTGGTCTGTGGCGTGCTTTGCCATGAAAGATTCGGGTGCCATGCGAAGACTCTACAATCACCCTTTGTCCGTTGCTGTTGTCAGTGTCACTGTTCGTGGGCGTCGACGTCGACAAAGAGGTGCTAGCTTGGGAGATCGACTGGCTGCGACCGCCGGCTTCCACTGCATTGAAAGCGTTGCGCTTTCTCTTGCGTGGCCGTCTGATTGCTGCACGGGGCGCGTTCTTTCTCGCGGCCATGAGGGCTTGCTTTCGAGCTTGCCGATCAGCCTCCTCTAACCTCTTGCGAGCGAAGTACTTTTTGTTCTCCCACTCGACCTGCGCGATTCTCTCGTCCCGGGCCTTGTCTGAAGCCGTCTTCTGGCACTCTTCCTCAAATCTGTCCATCGCGGCGCGGCGGATCTTGTCCAAGGCCGAAGGCGTGCAGGGGTGATGTAGGGTGTCCACTTCGTCCAAAGGGCCGAAGAACTTGACACAACTCATGTCGACGAAGGGCGTAAAGCCTCGGGCCAAACCCTTGCCGTTGTTTGATGCCATGGCATAGGCCTTGGCGAACGCATCGGCCTTTGCGTGGGTGAATGGCCTGGCTGACAACGGAAACAGACTCGGATTCCGGGTTGAAAAGTGCATGTTCAGGTTAGCTAGTATGAGAGTATGTATATGGGTAGAAAAGTAGAGACAAGTAAGTAAAGGGGGGATGGCGACTGGAAACAAAGGGTGGATGATAGCTAAGTGTAGTGACAAGTCAATAGACGAATGAATTAGATGGCTAAGTCCAGAGTTGAACTCGAGATATGTAGTTGGAAGGAAGAAAGCTTTGAGGGGACAAAAGGAAGAAAGAGTTCGAGGGAAGATAAATAGGACAGGACAAAGGAAATGGGAAACGAAAGCTGTTTACATTCATGAACTATCACGGCATTGGACTCGAAGAAGCAGTGCTGTACTATTCGATTGTCACTTTCATTGAAGAACCTGTCGCGGAGACAAGGGTTGCGAGGTGGCAAGGCCAGGCCTTTGTGAAGACAATGAGAACACACATACACAATGGATCTCTTCTCACATGTTTATTCACTTCACTGACTGCATTTGTATAGAGCTTGGTTCACTTCTATCTAGTGTAGAGCCTTCCTTAAGATTCTCCAATCATGATGGCCCACGAGTCCCCCCTATCGCCGATATCTTTCCTCCATGTTCGAGGCTGTTGGGGTTGGGCTATAACCGTTTGAGGTCTACTCCCACCGCGTGCGAACGTTGCAGCGCAACGAACACCGATTTGTGATTGACAAGTAGGCAAACAATTTTGTCCCGGCGTTTCTGTGCTGGTTTGTCTGGTTTTATGGATGTCGTCCGGAATGTGGTGTCTGGTGTCCTTGATATTTGAGTGTTGCTGGTTGATGTGGTTGGGTGACAGTGAGGTTGAAGTTGAAGCTGGGTGGTAGAGATGTTGAGGTTGACGAACGGAAGCTGTTGGTAATGGCATTGTATTTGTGCTGATTGAGCTTCTGGCTCTTGCTTCCTGTTGTTGTGGAAGACTATCATGTGGCGGGTATTGGTGGGAGGCGGCGTTGGTGGTGGTTGTTGTTGCTGTTGCTGCTGATTCCCAATTCCTTCAATTCTCACTGTCAGACTCGAACAGTGCGTCGATCTCTTTTTGTCGCTGCTTCTCTGCCTTCGCTTGCTCGATTAACTCCAGCAGGGCCTTTGAGGCAGAGTTGTCGATTTCCCTTGGAGCGATGAGAAACTTGGGAACCGCCATGATCTTGGCGACGGTCCTTGGCCCGTGGCCACGAGCAGACGGGACAGTGTAGATGTCTTTGTGAGGCCGCATGTTTGCTGACGGCGTCACAAGGTCGAAGAGTTTCTCGTTGTCGTTGTTGAGAGCGTTGAGCTTGGGGGCCGCGATGGCGGCAAGTGGGCCTCGTTTTTGAGGCTTATGGAAGAGGGACGCCTTTTCATGTCGACCTGGCAGCTTGTGCTTGACGACTTTGTTGAGTTTTGGGGATGCCGCCTGCTTTGAGATGGCCTGCTTGGGTTTGTGTTGGCCAGGAGTCAGACTCAACGTGTGTTGCTTGACGGCGGAAGTCCAGTTGCCGCCTTTGATGAACAGCTGAGAGGTGTTGGTGGCCATGGTGATCGATGAGGATGTAGATGATGTTGACTGCTGTTGAAATAGCAGTAGGCGTCAAGACCAAGGTCTTGCTTCAGTTGTAGTTGATGTTGAGTGCGAATGGTGGTTGAATTTGTCAAGTTAAGTGGGCAGAGTATGCTGATGAGCTAGAACAGGAGCTGAAGGTGGAAAAGGGCCAGGTATTTGTACTCTTGACACAGAAGAACCAAAATTGAATGCCTCATAGTAAAGTTTGGTCCTCCAAAGGACAAACGGTTGGAACCAGATCCTAACATGCTCTTCATCCAATACAATCCTTCGTCTCCGTTTGAGAGCTCAATCATTCTGCTATCAGTCTCGATTTTTTCCGAAGAGAAAAAGACTGTTCAGGTGTTTGGCTGGTTCAATGTTACATATCCCCACCGAGAGACCGGATAAGAAGTATCTAAACAAGAAACCTACCTCACCTACCGTGACTCACTAGCCTCGCGACGAGCGACACGACGATTAGGTCTTTGGATTTGAGGAGAGAGAGAAGAGTCAAAGGGTCATTCGCTGACCATGGCTGTACCAGGGACGAGTCGATCAATCAGTAATTCCCATACAAGGTCCTGCGATGTCCTCGAGAATTGGATCAAAGGCAGCAAGCTTCATGGCAGATACCAGTATCCAAGAAAGATGCTCATACTGAAGTCGAGCGAGGCTCCTCGAACTGCAGTGTGGACACTGCTGATACTTGTTTCTGATTCGCTAGGTATTGAAGGAGCCTCACAAGGAACGGTGTATCCATGGTTGATGAGAGCCATATTCTGATTAGCCTTTCGACAGGATGTGAAATGTGCTGGAATTGGAATTGTACTGCCTAGAGGATAAATGCGATTTTTGTTTCTGGTTCTGACTCGATCCACTGGTTGCGAGCTCGAGCATCCAATAGTAAAAGGTCGGTGTAGTCTCACAAGGGCCTTCCGCGAGTGAATTGCATGGCTCAACCATGATGAATGTTGGGACTAACCTTTTCTAGCTATTTGCTGTTTGCCCGCGGAATCGCGGATGTTCAAGTGCGATAGAGTTCGGAGTCGTGTGGAAAGCGTTGTGACGGTCACCTGATCTCGCGATTGCCAAGGCTGTCGCGTTTTGGCGTCGACGCGTCTTTCTCTGTCCCAGCACAAGCTCAATGTCCACCACGACCTCCATGCGAGATGCAGCTCCTCGTAGGGCTCAATACTGCTCAGAGAGCTGCAGTGACTTCACCTGCATCAGTCCTCCAAGTGTTGGCTCCTCCGGGGTCCGGCAAAACAAAGACGTTGACCTGTCGAGTCGCCTACCTCATTGCCCATTATGGCCATAACCCGCAAAATGTCATCTGTTGCACCTTCACCATCAAAGCCGCCAGGGAAATGCGGGAAAGGCTGAGAAGCCTGGTTGGCTGTGAACTCGAATCGAAGCTGGTCCTTGGAACCATCCACTCCATCTGCCGACGATACCTGGTCGCATACGGCCATCTTGTTGGAATACCCAAGGGATTTGGGATTGCAGACACTTCAGACAGTAATAGCATAATCAAACGAATCATCAAGCGTCTCCGCCTCACGATAGAACCCAAAACTGCGAGAGCTAGGATTTCGAGCCACAAAGCCAAAGGAAAAACGCTGGAAGACTTACCCAAGAAACCGCCCAAAGAACTCAAGGACCAAGAGTTCATAACCATTTTCCACGAGTATGAGGCAGCATTGGCAACTTCAAGACTACTGGACTATGACGACCTACTCTTACGATGTGTTGATCTTCTGCGAGCCTACCCGGCTTGCGTGTCCAACATCGAGGCATTGTTAATCGATGAGTTTCAAGATACCAACATCGTCCAATTCGAATTGATGAAATTACTGGCGTCGGCAAACAGGAAAATTACTATTGTTGGCGATCCGGACCAGAGTATCTACGGATTTCGGTCTGCAGAGATCGAGAATCTACGACGAATGAAGGTTTTCTACCCTGAGACGGTGGTCATCAATCTCGAGGAAAACTATCGCTCTGCGTCGGCAGTGCTGAAGCTTGCCCAGAATGTTATCGAACAAGACACCGACCGCCCTCAGAAGAAGATGAAAGCAACCCATTGTCACGGAAGTCAACCGGTGCTTCGACGCCTGCCCAATCCAAATGAGGAAGCTTTGTGGATTGCTAGCGAGATCAAGAGGACGGTGACGATGACTGGAGGTCTGGTCCTGCATTCCGATGTTGCTATCCTCCTCCGGTCAGCTTACCTCTCGCTGCTTATTGAACGAGCGTTGGCAAACGCTGGTATCCCTTACCGCATGGTCGGTGGCCAACGTTTCTTCGACCGCGTAGAAATCCGGATCATCATCGACTACCTCCGCACAATTAGCCATCCTGACAATAACCAAGCTTTTGTTGCCATCATAAACACACCGCCACGCAAAATTGGGGACACTTCGGTCGCCGAAATGATCAAGCTCGGGGAAGAACACAAGCTCTCACTCTGGGCTGTGGTGCAGAAGGTTCTCACAGGAGATCTGAAGCCTGAAAAGAGGCTTTCAAGGCCTGCAGAACAGGAGCTCGGCCGTCTGGTGGGCCTGATTAGGTCTGGCAGACAAAAGATGAATTCCGTGAATCCTGCGGCTACGGTTCCCACCAAACTTATCGACTTCATTGTGGAATCTTTGGATTTCGAGAATTATCTGAAGAAGAAATACAAAGATGATCACGAGGATCGGCTCGAGAACGTCAAGGAACTTATCACGCATGCCTCAGAAGTTCTGCTGCAGAATGCCGCTGAAGAACCTCTGGCAACTATCGACGGTGTGGAACAGGAAATCTCCAATGGTGGCCAGGAAGTCCTTGCTCAATTTCTGGCGAACATCGTTCTCTCAACCGATGTTGAGAACACCGAAGAAGGGAAGGATAAACCTCGTGTCACCATTTCAACAATCCACTCAGCAAAAGGTCTTGAGTGGCCTGTCGTATTTATTCCAGCAGTTTATGAAGGCTCCATCCCTCACTCTCGGGCTGACAACACTGATGAAGAACGGCGATTGCTCTATGTTGCCATGACACGAGCTCAGGCCCTTCTAACGATGACTTTCCCTATGATGCAGTCCCGCGATCAGGCTGAGTCCGCTCTTTCTCAGTTCCTCCCGCTAAAGATCCACCATCATCTGGCCCAAGTTGGTCCCCTATTCCATGACCGCGCAATTGAGGATATCGCAAGCATTCTCCGACGGCCTATGCCTTCCCAAGAAGATCTCGCAAAGAACTTAGAGGGAATGAATGGCGAAGAAAGTACTGCCGATGACGTCTGGCCTTCTGATGGCAGCCGTCGACCTACACCAATGCCTCCTGGCGTCACGCAGGGCACGACAGAGTTCGGCAGGCCACTGGCAGAAGTTCTTGCTGCTCAAAAGCAACAACATCGGAGTTATTCGACCGCTGCAAGACCATATGCCACGTCTGGCTCCGCTGGCTCCGCTTTTGTCACTACTATGAACGACGTCAATGCCTTTTCTACGTCAGATATGTCGCTGGGTTTTACCACTGCTAGCCACCAGCTCAAAACCAGCGTCTCTAACCTCAGGAGATCTGCTTCTGATATTTTGCCACCTCAGAAGAAGCCTAAACTTTCGAAGTCGCTCTCAGGGCAGGGCACTATCGGAAGCTTCTTCTCGAAGCCAGCTTCCCAAGCACCTCAGCTGCTGGGGATTCCGATTCTCGAACCGTATGTTGCAGCGGTATCCAAACACAGATCTCCCGATCAAGACGGGGCGCTTCCACCTCAACGCCGCGAAAACGGAGATTTCGCCAAGCGCGGCATTCCCGAAGAGTTTTCTGGGCACGAATTGAACTTCCGCAACGGCATGGTTCATGGACGTCCTGTACCTCTGCAAGAAACGAGCATGAATTCTAAAAATCGGTATGCTGGCTTGTACAGTTCTTCGCCTCCGCCTTGTCCGCCACCAGCGAAGCAATCGCCAGGCCTCATCGATGCTGCTGGTGAGAAACAGATTTCAAGGGATGCAGGGGGTTCAAAGTCAATAACTTCAGGCGGTGCTTCAACCTCATTCACGAGTCACGCTGTCACCAAGCCTGCCACTACTTTGCACAAGACTAATATGTCCTCGATAGTCAATGGCAAGCCCTTTTCGTCAGGCTTTGCTTCAGGGGTTGTTAGGAAGACTCTTGGAGTCAGACGCAGTATGAATGGGTGGGAGAACAGGAAGAACCGATGACTTCATGTCTGCGATCCACTGAGGTGCTGGATTCTTGGGTTGTCTGATACATTTGATTACTTGTATGGCCTCTGACGACGCTACGAAGCTATGACTATGATTTGGTTGGGTCAATTACTTCAAGGAGTTCAGGACTTCGAATCACTTGGAGATGTTATTTGTTCTCTGGTTGGTTGAGCAGCCTGTTGGTGTCCGCTGAACCCCGATCCGTGTGCCATATGCCATCTTGGCCAAACATGGACAGCCACCGCGACATTGGAGGAGAATTGTAGTATCCTTCTGTCACAGCTATTGTGCATAGATGCAATGAATATGGAAAGATCTGTTCGAGTGCGATGCCTCTATGGCCAGTTTGCTTGAATTTCGGCCTGGAGGGCACCGTCGGTCCAAGCTCGACAAACACCTCCCTGAGCCCCTTTTAAACTACGATACGAAAAATTACTTGCCGACGGGCGTTAGGCGCGACCTGGCTTCCGTAAAAAGCAGACACCGCACGCACGCATCCTTGACGAGCGGCAGCGGCAGCGGCAGCAGAATCGAGACAAGTCAAATCGCTTTTCAAAGGGTCCGAAAGAGATAGAGAAGGGAAGCAGAACTCCGTCGAGTCTGCAATCCATATTCAAGGGGGAGGTAGCATCAAAATATTCATCACTCATCACAAACTGCCTGGATCTGAACTTTTGGCTTCTTCATCATCTTCTTCTTCTCTCTAGAAAGTCATATGTGAATTGAAAACGGAAAAAAAAAGGATGGTGGAAACAGCAAAACTAGCTAGCAAGCAAGCAACTGAGCAAAACACATGCATGCTTCCGCCGAGAAAGTTATATTCCAATCACATAGATGATAGAGTCAATCGAGAGAGTAAGGCGAGGAGGACGAAACGAAAGAGAGCCATGAGCTGGATAGACAGACACACATAGACCTTCCCCAACATATTCCTCCTCCTTTCCCCTTCTCAGCTGTCTCTGGAACAACAACTGGGCGGAGTCATGCGCGGTCCATCATTGCTTTCCTTTTTCCCTCCCAAGAAAGAAATTGTAACGTCGTCGTTTTTACATAACGAGCGCGCCGAGCGCGACCGCTCCGGCGGCAACCATGGCCCAGGCACTCAGGGTCGTGCGGCCCGCGGCGGCGCCCGTGTAGGGGGCCACCCAGGAGTTGGTGCCGTTGATGGGGATGCTGTAGGGAGCGACCGGTGCCGCGGGCGAGGTGCTTGCGGCGGCCACCCACGCCGACGACGATTGTACGGGCGCCACGGTCAGTGTCGTCGCGACGGTCACGCTCGGGCTCACCCACGCGCCGGTGGAGGCCGCCGCCACAGGAGACACGGGGTTGCCACCCCACGATCCTGCGGTCACCGTCGGCGCCAGGGACACAGGCTTGCTGCTCCAGGTGCCACCGGGTGTGGGAACCGTCGAGGTGCTAACAGCGGGAGCTGAGCATGGAACGCTGACCACGACGGGTGTGCTGAAGGGCCAGCCAGCCGACGGTGTGAAGGTCTTGGTCGTCATGCAGGCGGTGGGGACAGGCGTCTGGGTGCAGCCGCAGTGCGTGGTCGTGATGGTGGTGGTCTTGGTGGTGTATCCTGTCGAGCAAGGCTCCGTCCACGTTTCTGTGATTGCACGAACAAGGTCAGTAAACCCTTCATTTCTTGTTTTTGAATAGCTAAAAAAATGAAGGCAGGCAGCCAAGGCAGGGAGTTTGAGACTTACTGGTGATTGTCACGGTCACGACTGAGCTGCTATCACTCCAGTCGCCCCAAGCTGTGGCCGGATCGGTGGGCTTGGTTGTCGAAGTGGTCCAATCCAATCTTGCCACAGGAAGCTGGAGGAGCTAGACTTGCTGGAACTGCTGGTTGTGGGATCTGACCAGTCTTCCCAGGTGCTGGTGACGGGGTCGGTCGTCGTTGCCGTCCAGTCGTACCACGTGCTGGCGCTCGGGCTGGCGCTGGTGCTGGTGTTGAAGAAAGGTCCGATGGAGAGGGATCTCGACGTGGGAGATGTCGTTGGACGGCCAGATGTGCTGCTGGGGGTGGTGTGTGGTACATATGGAGTGGTGGTCGGAACGACAGGGCTGGTGGCAGTCGTGGTGGGACCGCTTGACTGGGTGTACGGGGGTCTCGTTGTAGTGACGAGGGTGGTGGTGGTCGAGCTTGACGTGGTGGTGGTGACTGGTTGGGTCTGATAGATTTGGACGTAGTTGACATCCCAGTACGCATCCTTGAATTGTGCTGGGTTGCTGCCCACCCAGACGGAGCACTGGCTTACACCGGTGCTGGCTGAGCACCCATTGCCCCAGGTAGCGTCACCGAAGTCGCCGCAGAAAGTGGTGTCAAAGATGATCCTGTTATCGGCAAAGTTGGCATCGACGTCGCAGCCTGGGCCGTCGAAGATGGAAGCTGGCAGTCCCCAGCCCGATGGATCCGGTTTTCCAGACGCAATATCCGAAGGGATGGAGCTTCGCGAGAAAAACCAGATCTTGATCGCGTCCGAGGTCCACTCCATCGCATAGACACCGCCCTTGTTGGAGTTGAAGCCCGATCCGTAGCTGGCAGAGCTGGTGTCAAAAGCGCCACAGCCTTGCGCATTGCCGCCAGTGCTCACGTCGTACTGGCAATTGACACCGTTCGTAGTACCAGTCATCTCCAAGGGGCTTTGGGAAATGACGCAGGTGCCGGCGACGTGGGTGGATGTGAGGTCGGTGCCTTGGTTGTTCGCACCCTCAATGATGTCGATTTCGCCGTCTTGACATCATTACCAAGTTAGCATTTCTGTCCTCGAAGGCATCCAAAGGTCCAAAGCATGCATGAGGGAGACTCACTGTACGGCCATGTGCCAGAACCCAGAGTCCAGAATGCCGGCCAGACACCGCAACCACTGCCATCATTTGTTGTAGGCATGTGTTTGATGTCGGCAATAAAGAGGCCGTGTGTCCATGACTTGGCACTTTCAATCCTGACGCTCGGCCGTCCAACACCGTTGATGTTCGAGTAGGGTGCGCTGCCGTTGTATGTGTGCTTGTGGTCGACTCTCATCTGGGCCGACCCGCCATCGAAAGTGATTAGGCCATCAGCCTTAGCAGTATCCTCATCGACGTAACTGTTCAATGTCAACATTCGACATCACGCAGTGCTCTTGATGAACGTACGTGACGAAGCCATGTGTAGGATCGGCATCCTTAGTCACCTTGTCAGCGAGAAGACCCACCGGCGAAGAGCCGCGATTTGACTTACAGCAAAGAAGTTGAATCCGTCGAAGAAATTATTGCCAGAGTATTCAGTGTCCAGAGCATAGTACGTGTTGGAAGTATCAGCAGAAACAGAAGAAGAAAGCAACAACAAAGCAGAAACGAGTGTGGTGCTCGACCTCAGAAAGAGTGATGAGGAAGGCATATTGTCAAATGAGTGGCACGCGAACGTGAGGGAAAGAATGAACTGGCGACGTAAAGCACACAACAAAGGAGAAGGGGGGAAAGGAAAGAAGGCAAGACAAGTTCCCTATAGATACTCGAGGCCAGACGCAGTGCCTCGCCGCCATGGCGGGTGTGTCTTGACTCCGTACTCCGTACTATGCGAGGTCCCACCGATAGTGCTTGGAATGCGCCATTACCACAAAGCGCCTCCTCAGAGGTGGCACGTTTTTTGTGCAAATTGACCCTAATCGAATCGGTTAGGGAGATGAGGTGCTCCAGGAGACAGCAAGCCTCGGGAAAACCGACGAATATGGCGTAGACCGTGGAGGCAGACCTATGGAGAAGAATCAGGCTCCCACGACCAAAATCGAGTCACAGCGCTTTCAGTCTGCTTGGTGCGTCGAAGTTTCTGCCCCATTAGAAATCAAAGAAGTGCGGAGTCCCAAGAGCCGTTAATATTAGTATCATTCGGGGATACCGAGTATAGGGAAGCAGCTCCGCAGGCAAACTACTTGCAGAACCGATCGCGAGTCGGATCGTCAATTGGCAGCAAGCGAGGTCCTCGACCGACTTGGTGAAATTTGCCCGGGTCAGTTTGATGAAAGGTAAAAAGGAATAGCTCAAACAGGACCGAAAAGGAGGCGCAAATAGCCTCATGGCAGTGGGGCTGATGTTGATGCTTGGCGCCAATCCAGCCAATCAAGATACTCCTTCAACTCCACCTGGCGTTGACAATGTCCCGAAACGGAAGCACAGATTCAGTTCCCCCTGAACCACGCAATTTGGTGGTCAATGTAACCATTGGTTCCTTATTGCCCGCGAGCCGTGGCTGAGCTGTGTACGAGGTAGAAGTCGACAGGGCCCTTCTTTTCTGGCCCCTCGTCTGCTTGTTAGTGTTCCAGACCACGATCAGAGACAGCACCACGTGCCAATCGAGTTCGACATGAATCACTGCTGTTCCTATCTAGGGAAGATCGGCCGCGCGGCTCCTCGACCGCGCTCGCGCCCGCCTCTCTCCCACCAGCAACAAAAGGTCCTGCAGGGGCCTGCAGATTCAAAGCAGGAAAGACTGGGCGATTTCCATTGTGCGATCACCCAGATCACCTACGAACGAAGATCCTAATTCCCATATACGGCTTCATCCTAGATGAGTGCGTCGAGGCCACTTTGAATCTGGGCTCTGATTGAGCACTCCATTACGCGTTCTTGAGAGATATTGTACACTGACCTACAAAGGCCCGCCAATCGAGCTCCACAGTCTCGGCGACGGGTAAACCTAGATCCAAGCTAATATCGTTTTCAGCTGCGGCTCAGTAAATCTCTGCCCCAAGGCTGTCCAGGAATCTCCGTGCGCCGCACCCCATTTGGTCGAGGCATTTGCGGAGACTGTGATCCGCTGTGCCCTGTCAAAGGTTCTGGCGAACAATTTGAGCAATGCATCTGAATTGGAAATTTGCGATTGTGTCGTTGTGTGGTCAGGTGCAAGAGACAGGCTGTATCCACATCATCCTTTGTAACAACGTGAAGCTATCACGCTGCAGTTCTGACCGCCGTAGGAAAAAGGTGATCGCCGTTTCAACACCGTTTACTCGTCGTCTGAGTCATAAAGGTCAACGTAGTCACATGATAGAGATCGTGGGCAAGACTGATCCTGATGTCGTCAAGCTGGACTGAGTTCACGTGCGTCATCTGATAATATTTCTTAGGATTGGTGAAGCTATCTGACCGAGTGTCGTAGGTACGAATTCCGTCTGCGAATTGACGCTGATTCCTCCATTGGCATTTTTGCGCACTTGCACGATGGAGTATCAAAAAATACCTTTGTACTCTGCAACATATACACCACAGGAGCTTGATCTCGAGTTCAGGCTCAGCCATGATGCGCATTTGATAACACTGTTTTTTTATGAGGACTTGAGTGTCCGCCCTGCAGGTCGAGATTTTACTATACTTGGGCATGAATGAGGCTGCCCCGATCATATATAGTTGCGACATACTGAGCTGATTACCATGTTAGGATTCCTCCCTAGCATTATAATTAAATCTATCCAGCGATGCCATGATCTAACCCAGTTCAGCGTGCCATCAACAGCGTTCGGGTAGACCGGCTCTTGTCAGGGGACCCCAGCCGTGGCCAAGAGTTCCATTTTGATTACAAGGATCAGTGGCCATCCATTATTGTGACTACCACCGCATTACGACCTGCTTTACCAGGTTGAGATCCACATCCAACCCGTCCCTGTGCCCCTCCCACAACGTTGGCATTTCGTCCGCTTTCGAACGGCCTGCGGCTCTGCAGGTACTAGGCAGGCGCTCCGATTTCGGGAACTACCTGGGCGTCTTGAAATATTTTTGTGTCTGCCTTCCTCTAAATACCGACTTTGGCTCCGCTGGAATTGATCTTCATAAGCCCAGAACAACACTCGTCCGCCGAGACATAAATATAGCCAGCGCGCGATGCATCCTGTCCGGACGAGTGCCTTGGGAGACGAGGCTGGAGGTTGTCGCAGACAGCTTGTAGGAGTTCTCCATTGATATGCTCTCGCAAAGCCCATTCCGCTTTCCTTCATCCTTCTGATCTCTCAGCGCATCGACAACCACTGGTGGCTGCGACACTTCCTCGACGGGGTGGAAGGGGTCGGGAGAGTATATAGTTCTGACCCAGAGGGCGTCCATCTTGCGAGCTCATAAACTATACTCATATTGTCATCTAGACATTCACAGATTCTTTTCATTTCCCACAAAAGGGTTCTCGGTCTGGTCGACCGGATGGTGATCAGAACTAACTGTGTTGTAAGCCCCCATGCCAGTATTCGAGTCTCGGTTGAGGGATATAGGATATGAAGTTCGTCCCATGCTTGACGTGCAAATTGTCTTTGGTGGATCCCCTGGCAGTTACATCGTGCGTTATCCTCAATTTCGACCAAGGAGGCCATCAATATGGCGCCTGAACCTGGATTGAAGACGTTTAGCGACGGATTGGATATGAGAGTTCCTTTAGCAGTAACTGTTGAAGGCAGTCTCTTGTTAGCAATGGTCGATGGACACAGCTACAAGCGGGGTTCAAGCCAAGCATCCTGGGATAATAAATATCGCTGCTGTAGGTAGTGACTGGGAAAGTAAAGTGACGGCTAGGGGCGACTTCGTGAGTCGAGATTGTAATATTTGGGCTTGAGTAGAAACGTATTGAACCGGGCGAGGCAATACGTGAGCCCGCCTACACAGAGGTCGAAACAAGATGTGTGTCAGCCATCAAGGGGCCGAATGGGGCGGCATATTTGTCTCTGATATGGCTAGACACTGGCAGAAAGATTAGAGAGTGGTATTGCATTGCACAAAATTCAACGGTGAGGGTCGTGCGGAGGTTTTCCATCACCGAGCTGTGCAGCTGGATATCGGTTACTTTGACAGCCCTGGGAACAACCTGGGCGAATTTCCGATACCAGTGAGACAAAGGTAAAGACACACAAGTGAAAAGCAAAGGTCATTGACAGTGCCAGAGATACCTGTGGTGTCATCAACTGAGTTGAGGTGATCGGTAGGTAGGTAATGCAGATACAAGGTTTGGCGGATCCTTGTAAGCGAATACGGACGGATGCATTTGATTCCGGGTGTACATACTCCTTTTTCGATACTTCCTGCCCATTTCTGGGTACCGTCTTACGGGCGCTGGAGAGAGATTCGGCACTATGTGGTCGGTAGTAGCCCATTCTTATTGACAGGGTACAGGTCGGCAAATACAATTCTTGCGGGGGAGATCAGCTTACTGGGTTTGGAAGTTGCCGACTTCGCGACTCCAACGGATACATGGATCTCCATCAATGTCCCTCACCACAATGACAGAGCTGCTCACCGATCAATTTGCAATTTCAGCATAGCTGACGGCCTATCAGGTTAGTGACAGCCGGCGAACACGCGAGGAAGAGGTATTTATATCTCGACCTCCTCCTTGAAGGCAGGTTCAAAGACCAAACAACCAGCATGTCGTTGCTCCGAGTTGGTATTGTTGGTGCCGGGATAGGTGGTCTGGCAGCCGCCATCGCCATCGCTCGCAGCGGGTGTAGCGTCACCATCCTCGAGCAGAGTGTGGATATAGGAGAGATTGGAGCCGGGATCCAGCTCCATCCCAATGTCTCTCGTCAAATGGTCCGCTGGGGTGTTGACAAGATCATTGAGAACGACCTCATCGAGCCAGAAGAACTCAACACCTGGGACTGTGGGAGCGAACTACGCCTGATCGGACGCACTGATCCCAAACAGGTCGCTAAACAAGCAGGCTTTCGGTGGTGGGTTATACGCCGCGACCACCTCTATACGGGACTCGCCCAGTCGGCATCCGAGCACGGTGTCAAGCTGATCATCAATGCGAGAGTCGAACAGATTGATGATGCCTCGTCCCCAGTAAAGGTTGTCACATCCTCTGGCCAGACATACGAGTTTGATCTCTTGGTCGGCGCAGACGGGCTCAAGTCTACCGTCAGGCAATATCTGTATCCAGGTGTTATGCCGTATGCACCGAACAAGCTGTGTGCGTATCGAGGCGTTCTACCATTCTCCTTGATATACAAAGAGATTCCCGAGGCCAGCCTGTTTCTCGGCAACAAATTGGACACCTGGGTCGGAGCGAAAGGGTGCGAAGCCTGTCTTCTTCGAGCTGCGTGGTTGATGAAATGGCTAACGGCAAGGATAGCTATGTTCTGACCTACCCTACGTGCGGAGGGAAAGAGCTGAACGTTGTGACGGCGGCCGAGTCAAAGGACTACGTGACCAAAATGGAAGACATCGACGTCGAAGAGTTCTACGGGTCAGTATAGTAGAAAAAGCCACAGCCAACCATCACTCACCGTGTCCATGATAGGTTCTATGCCGACTTTCATCCATTCATCCAGAAACTGCTACGCCTTGTCAAGTACACCAAGCGCTGGCCTTTGCTGCAAACACCCCGAATGCCGTCGTGGTCCAATAAGGCCAAGAACATCGTCATGATAGGCGATGCAGTCCACGCCATGCAGAACCATATGGCCCAAGGCGCAGGGACAGCAATTGAAGACGGAGCATTCCTGGGCCAAGTCATCAGCGAAGTGGTCCGGGGTGTGATCAGTGTCTCCGAAGCTGTAGCTCTCTTCGAACAGAGGCGGATGCCCAAAGCATGGATCAAACAACAACTCAGCTTCCACTCCGGACTGATGTATACCCTGACGCAGCCAGAAGACCGTGAAAAGCGTGCCCGGGCGGGCAGATTCGAAGTTGCCCGTTGGGAGCACAACCCAGCTCGACAGGAGCTGAGCCACGTGGAGTATCGAAACTGGCCGGTGGCCCGTTGCATCGAGACGGTCAAATCCATCTGGTATTATGACCCTGAAGGAGATGCAGATAACGCAGTGCTGGAGTATCTGATGAGCAGGGGCAACGTGGACGAGTTCACTCAGACGAGCGAAAATCTGAGCCGCAAATGGAGGTCGGTAGTATTTGGAAATGGAGTCGATGGCAGCTGGGTCGAGCCCCAAGTCGACTACCAACACATGAAGAACTCTCTCTACCGGGGCAACGGGGTGAAGGACGGGATCCAGGAGTACGGTTTGCGTGAGCAGGACTATGATCGGTTTGGGAAGGGCCTGTAGCTGGAGGTGGTTATGAATCGTGGCTCTACAGTTCCTGCGCAGTGGTCGCAATACTTCGTAGTAGCTGGACGGCTACTAAAGTGTTAGTGCGACGGTCTAAAGAGACGCTACGAAGCTTAGCTACTGCTAGTGACTTCAAAACGTCATTGATGCTCACCACCTAAAGGCGTCCCTTAAAGCGGCCCCTAAAGGCGGGGTTGATGATACCCAAATGAGCCGGGTTCCCCCGCTTCTGCCTGCGCCCTCGTCCGCCCTGTAACCTCGCACACCTAATCCCAGTGTCCGGCTGACAAGTGAGCTTAACTGTTTGCTCCCTGCAAGGCAGCTTGTAAGCTCCTCGTTCTCCTCCTACTGATTGGCACAGCTAGCAACCCAGCAGCCTGACCGCATCTCTTAAACCTGACAAGGTTGAGCCCAAGAAGCAGCAGCCTTTAGCGGGCTCGCGGGGTTGCTATTCGAGGCTGTGTTTCACTCTCAGGTCTGTTTTCCTGTTGTTCCAACTTACTGACTGGCGGAAACTCTCCAAACCAGAAAGGGCTCACCAGGCTGTCCTATTGTCCTGGCAGGCACACAATACCTAGGGACTTTTGGTCCTCGTCCCAAAACCGTTGTCCGCCCCGTTCCGCTGAAGCAGTGAGAACTGCAGCCGGTGAGCCAATCTCGAGAGAGAGTGTCATCCGCCACGTTTTCAATGCCAGGCATACCAGCGTCCTCCCAATAGCTCGTGTCTGCCTTTTTTTTCCCTTCTCCGTTTGACTGCACACAATGGTGTTGGACCGCCCACGGCTCAGGCAGATGCGTTCATGCTTAGGTCTGCCCAGCCTCATCCCGCAGCTTCTGTGAACAGAAAAAGAACCGAACAGCAGCACTCGTCCACCCGTCACAAGGCTTTGCCCTTCATCCAACCGGTTACATCACGTTTTAACTTCTGCTTGACAAATTGCAAAGCGACACCTCTTCCTCTATCGCCAATTTCCTGCCAATGTGAGGTTGCGCAGCGACACAATGCCTCGATCACGCAAATCTGAACAAGTCCCCAATTTCTGGGACAGTTTTCCCGCCGACCGATTGCTCTTATTCCGAGTTCCTCCAAAGGTATCCTTCGCTAAAGACTCTTTTTTTCTTCTATTTCGGAAGTCGTAGCCGCAAGAACTGACCACATGAATCTGTAGCTCGACTTGAGGCATGGACTAGGAAATAGCGAGCAAAATGATAGTGTCGAGGATGGGAAGTACCCCAACGACACGGTCACGAGCGTCTCCTCTGCTGGTTCTTCTCGAAGACCACGGGCGAACATTACCAGTCTCCCACCCGAAATCATTCTCGATATTGTCAGCCATCTCCATCCCGTCGACCGCGTCTGTTTTGGCCTGTCCTGCAAATACCTACTCTCCTCCACCCTACCTACCCTACAAATCAGGCAATCAGACTGGCTGCGCTACCACGACCGGCGGTACAGCTTTATTCTCCCCCAGATGCCTACCCTCTTCGTCCGTCTCGCACACGGTTGGGTCCCCAAGGACAGGTTCCGCTACTGCTACCGCTGCTCCAAGATCCTTCCGCGCTCGCACGAATACTTTTGGGAGAGACTGCGCAGGACAAAAAGCCCAAGGTTCCGCGACGGACTGGGCATAGACGAGAAACAATGGAAGTCCTTAGGCAAGAGGGCGAAATACACATATCTGGTCGAGCACTGGTGCCACTCCCCGGAGGAGGATAGTAGCGGTTTCTTCTGTGGCCACTGCTACTATCGGGAAAGGGACCGCATCAATTGGCCGGTGTATTGTCCCCTGTGCCTGGAGATCGACTTGACATGGGCCCCACCGAGGAAGCCTTGGGTGAGAAAAGCCTTGTGTCGGGGTCTGAGGGCCTTAGGGACCCCGTTCGAACTGGCTGCCTACTGGATCCTCGTCTGTTGTCTTTACGCGGCTAGGTTTATCTACGATCAGGCAATGCGATGTTGGAGGGCACTGTCTTGAGTTGCGTTGCACTCATTAGTCCACGGTCTTCGATCTCCATGAGAGCGGGTCGCGGATGATCTGGTTAGCCATCAACAAGGGCTTGGAATGTGCAGATGTGGTGGCAGCCAGCACCGATGCTCTCTCTCGCAGAGGACCCTGTACACTATGATTGGCGCGGATGGTCATGAAGGGCGTTATGGCAGATTCGATTGGGTTTTTCGCAAGACGGCGCAGAACAGCGTTCGACACGGATGACTGGCGTGCGGCGGAGGAGTGCAGAACTGGCGCGAATAGGGCGGTTTCAATGCTGGCCAGACTCCTGGTGGAGAATGCTTTCACGCATCCAATTTCCTAGGTTTTGGAGGGTTATGCTAGATTCATTTGAAGCAAGCAAGCAGGCAGGCAGGCGTGGATTAACGACATGACACGTTCCGCAGATATCGAGATGAAGAATTTCGCTGGTCGAAAGGCCATATGGAACAAGTGCTTCAGAGATCTCGTCCGTTCAGTACAAGTCTGGGACCTTTCTGGACAACTAGGAAATGTAGATTAAATCACTACGAAGAAACGCACGGCATAGCAAGCAGGTACCGACACAGACCGAAACACAACACACAACTCATAGCGGCTCTCCGTCGCAGCTTGCTCTTGTTGATCTTATTGAAGGGTATCATCTTGTCCATCATTGTCCTCGTATTCGCCTCCACACTGTCGCCGTCGAGGGCATGAATAAACCCCACAGCTAAAAGGAAACGACGAAACGTTAAAAGAACAACGACAACATTCATTTCACCATTATCCCGTCCCTTCTCTCAGCTCAGAAGACATCACCTCGGCTTCTCAATCTGGTTGGGCTATGTCATTCATCGCATCTCATGAGGTGCGACGCTGTCTGGATCAGCGTGGTGATCGTGTCCCGCCGTCACCGCGTCATAGACTCGCGCGTGTCTTCCTTCAACCGGATCGATCGAGTCCCTGCTCAGGGTGTCCGAGGTATGTCCACTGGCCGCGTCGTGGATGTTGCTGCTGTTGGCAGCAGGTGGTCCCTCGGGCCGGCTCTCGATGGGCGCTAGCTTCTCACCGTGGTAGCCACTGTGCGAAGCAGCAGCCGCGGTGGCGTCTGGAGCGACGGCTGAGCTACGGCGTCGTGTTGCGGCGGCCGAGGCGCCTGTGGTAGCTCCCGAGATGGACTGGCGGTTGCGGTTGGCCATGATGTCGAACGGGTCAGAGGAGAGCTGGAACAGCGACTGCTTCCGCTCGCGGACTTCGTATTGTTCGGCTGGGGTCATATGGTTGTCGAGAGGGGCGACATTCGCAATCTCGGCGGCTGGTGGTGAAGGTGATTGTTAGCAGAAATTGATTAAGAGAGCAGGAATCTTCATACCTGAGACTCGTCGGCGGCCGTAGTAGGGGTCATCTTGGGGTGCGATTCCACCCTTCTTACCGGTGCTGAACCTCCTGACATCGACACCTGTGGCGCTGTACTTGCGTTCGCGGTTCCAGTATTCCTCTTCGGGGCTCAGGCCAGTGAAGCCTACGTTGGCGATTTCAGCCTCTGTTTATATTGTTAGCTCATGACTGAGGAATGTTGAGAAGAAGGTGTGGAGTGACGGACTGCTGACTGGCTTGCGTCCATAGTAAGGATCACTCAGAGGCTCAATCCCGCCTTTGAGGCTGTTGCTGAAGCGTCGCACATCTGCTCCACGTGCAGTGAACTTCTTTTCACGGTTGTAGTATTCTTCTTCTGGTGTCAACCCAGTCAGGCCAACATCCTTGATCAATTCGTCTGTCCAGGAGGCCACGGTTAGCATCGAACTAGGAGGTTGTAGACGCATTCGACAGCCTTACCAGGGACAGGCTTGCGGTTGTAGAAGGGGTCTGCTGCGCGGCCCATGGTTAATCAAGAAAAGACTGCTATTTGCGAGCACAGTGGAAAAATGTTGGGGGAGAAATGTGAAGGTAGAAATAGTGGATAGGCAGGACCAGGGGATCGATCGCGCAGGGCGTATTCTATACATATTATGCCCAGGACCGAGGGAAGCCAAATGAGGAGCTGGGAGAGGGGGAGCAGGCATCAGGACATGACAGAACACAAGAAACTCCGTAAGAGGCGCGTGGTACTGGCGCTCAAGCCCAAAAAGGACTCAAGTTTCGTATATCAGCGCATCATCGTGGTTGGTGGTGGGTGAGAGTTTGCTGGTGAGCTCGACGTCCTGGTGCCCCCATGCATGCTGATGTCGTTCCCGCCACTCTGGAGAGGCTCCCCGCCCTAAGCAAGGGTGCTATGCGAGGAGAACATGGGGAAGTCGCTAGCGACGGGCCTGTAAAGCTTCAGATAGGCTGGGAATTCGGCATGCCAGCAGCACAAAGTAATGCCACCATCCCATAACGGGGCTCGTCCATGGGTGCTATTGACGTAGCTGGGGAAATACTCCGTCAAGGCTCGACTCTTCTGCCCCATTGTGCTTTACCTTGTCAGGCACTAGCTGCTGAGATCTGAACTTCATCGCCCATGATGCTCGTGTGGTGGTGTGGTCCGTCCTCTTGAGTGTCCGCAATCGGGACGACGGCGCAGTATCTCTCGCTCGGGTCTTCGCATAGATTTTCTGGCTAATAGCTGCCTGCACTTGTCTCAGCATAATATCACCGCCGTATCCGGGTACAGTCGCGACGGGAGAAAAAGGGCCGATTGTGAAAAGGCGCCTGGATTTTTGCGAAGCGGGCGGCGAAGCGAGAGCCACCCACGTCAGCTGCTTCCGGCTGCTTGTTGTTGTCGACGAGAGGCTAGTGAGGCTAGGAAATGTGAGGCTGCCCTATCTTGTTTGACAAGTTGAGGTGTCTTGAATCTCGGGGGTGTTCCCTTGTTTCCCTTGTCGAGGGATGGGCTGCACCCAAAATACCCAGGTAGGTTACCTACCTATGCAACTGGCTGTCTTCGATCGGAGAGAGGCTGTCGTCTCGATGAGTATATCCATTGTAGACTGTCGACATCAATGCCGTTGCAGTTGCCAGACCGGTGATGGAAGATTGACCAACAGATATTCTTGGAGTGGTGAGTGGTAAGTGAACACCGTCTCTTTTCCTCCACCCTTGAGCCTCTTCCCTCGCGTCGTTTCCAACCTTCTACCTCTGTTAAATGATTGCGATCATGGTGCCCTGCAAATTCTCTGCCAGAGGCAAATGTACTCGCGGTTCAGAATGCTGTCTCGACCATCCCGAATCTCTATCTCCCCATCGTGAGCCTCACACTCGTGCCACTCTACGCGCCGACGCCCCAGATTTCATCGCGACTCCTCGACCAACATGCAAATTTTACAACCGTGGAACGTGTCGTAATGGCTCTGGCTGTCCCTACCTCCATTCTGCACCCTCGCACGATTCTCCGGTCCCGGGGGCTGCTGCTGACGGAGCTGCAAGCCATGGACTCGGTCCTGCAATCCGCGGAGACCGTTTTCATAACTTGGTACCGTGGCAGGCACAACGCCTACCTCCAGGAAACAACTTGCATTACGCAGGCCGCTTCCTCAAAAATGTTCGTGTCCGCTTTGTCGAAGGGACCCAGGTCATCGATGTCAAGTTTCCTCTAGACGACACTGAACGACATGGAGCCCCTCGTGCTACTAAGGTACAGGTCTCAACGGGCCTCTTTTCATAGTATAATCCTTCGAGCGTTGTGTGGCTCCACTACTGAAGCAGTCTTTGGGCCACGAATGCAAGCAAGCGGTTCGACAAAAAACTACACGGTCGTCGGCTTAAAATCAAGATTCAAGCTCCAGCCAGGCATCATGGGCGACCGAGATCGATATGGTCGGTTCAATTGAACAATGTCTCTACTGAAACCACGAAGAGAGATCTCCGAGAACATCTCAGAGGCGTTTTACCAGACGACATCGTGTTCGGAGCACCGACTTCGGAAAAAACTCAACAGGAAGCTGTGAACCGGGTCAAAGCGCACTTGACACAATCTGGACGCAAGCTGCGAGCGTTCAACCTCGAGCCGAATACGTCTGGCTCCCGCGTGAAGGCCTTTGCGTGTTTGATTCTCCAACCGATGCCCGAGCTCTAGTGTGCCTCGCACAAACCGACGTCTCAGACCTGGGGGTAATATTATGTGTTGCAACGTTGGCTGCAGTCACAGTCCCAGTCCTTCGGGAACTCCATGCTGTCCTCAAAGATAGATCGGAGGAGCTCCAATCCAACAACAATGACGATGTCAGGATTTCTGCGTACAACCACCGAGAGGTCAAGCTTGTCATGCTGCGAATATATGGATGGAGACCACAAGCTGTCGCGCATGTCAAAAAGAAACTAGGCGAAATGTTAACTGGCACGGTTGTGCTCGACGACTCTGGCTCGGCTTTGTGGCATGGCTTATTTGCCACAAACGAAGGCTTGTCGTCTCTCAAGGCTGTTTCTCAAAGCAATAAAGTCTTTGTTTATAAGGATCTGCGCAAACAGCAACTTCAGCTGTACGGCTTGGGCAGTTTATTCGAGGACACCCGCCGCGCTATCATCCAGCTCCTCAGTTCCCTCTCATCCATGTATCTCATTTCTCTTGGAGGGGAGCTCTTCGGGAGCGCAGTGTCCGGAGGCTTTTGTCGGTTGGTCAGGCAATTCGGCAGGAAGAGTGCAACATTGGACATCCTGCAGAAACCGCCGGCTATAGTGTTTCGGGCCAACTCCCTCATCCTCGAAAGCCCTTTGGAAGTGGAGTGCCAACAAGTCAACACGAGCGAGGAATGTCCATGTTGCTTTTCGACTGCCGACAATCCCATCAGGCTCGAATGTGGCCATACCTACTGCCGTTGTTGCTTTGAAGGTCTATGTGAAGAAGTCAAGCACAACAAGGTCCCGATCTTGTGTTTCGAGGATTGCAGCAAATGTGGTCAAATCGACTCTCTAACGGAGCTCAAGGGAGTTCTCAAACACGACAAATTCGAAGCGATCTTGGAGGCATCCTTCGACTCCTATATACGATCCCATCCAGAAATGATGCAATACTGTCCGACGCCAGATTGTCCGACCATCTATAAAGTCTCTGAAGCAGCTGACATGTTTACCTGTGTCAATTGCTTGACTTCCATCTGCTCCCACTGTTGAAGATTGAGTCACGACGGACTCAGTTGCCACCAAGCCCATGACGAGGACACGGCCTCGCGTGAAACCTAGAGGTACAAAAAGGAAAACAACATCAAAGACTGCCCGAAATGCGGCACGGCCATTTCCAAGGAAGGCCGCTGTAACCCATCATTTGTGGCGGATGTGATATCCACATGTGTTGGACGTGCCTGGAGTCCTTTGCGAAAGAGGACGACTGCTACCGCCATCTGCAGCAGGCCCATGGCACCATTGCGACGCGAATCCACACGAGGAGCAGATTGAGTACCAAATCAAGCAGAGGACAGTTCTACTGTAACCGAGTACAGCAGTACGAGACGGAGATGGGAAAACGAAGGCGATGTCCAAAGAGAATGGCATGTAGGGGGTGACATGTGGTATGTAAATAAGAGTCTACGAGACGCTTAGCATCGTTCTGTCTGGGCAGTGAGAAAAGCAAGAGCTCAGTCTAGCATCAGTCACATTAGTCGTCATCTCGCCTCCCTTGCTTGTGAGAAACAATCGAAAACGTTCATGGAACTGAACAGCCAATACAGCATTGAGTATGGGGGCAACTATGGGGGGTATCTTCTCCCTTTCCGCCTCTTGCATTCTTCAAGTAAAGATTCAAGGACGTCAGTCAATCTTTTCCTCCATAAGGTACAATAAGTACAACAATTCACCGGTGGGTTTTCCTTCGGTTGCCCTTTGAAGTAGTTCCTTTCGCCCTATTCCATATCCGTTTCAATCAATGCTCCATGAGCTCCAGCACTAAGCATATTGATAATCCAATCTCACAATATCGATCATTTTTTGGTTTCCCACCGCCCATCCCATCGACAGAACCGAAACGTTCTCCTTCCGAGACCTCCGCTCAAGAGAGGACCACAACACACATCGACATCTCTCTCCTCAGGCGGGTTTCACTTGTATTAAAGAGTGGTTTCAATGTTATTTTCTTTTCCCCCGTTTTTGCTAGGGAACACGATGCTGAGAAACGATGACAAGAACGCTTGCAATGCACAAAAACTAATCTCACAATTCTGACGGTAGTAGAAACACTTCTGTGTGTGCTAACAGAAATAGCATGACGCTGTCGAGGCGAAAAGCTACGAGGATCATTCTATCTTCTTGGGCGTGGCTGGCTCTTCAAATCGATCAACATTCAGTATGATTCGCCGCTCCATTGCTGAGTCGAGGTCGGGTAATGTGAGGTAAATTGCTGTCCCACAGTGGTGGGAGTCGGTGTTGGAGGTGCACATTGGTTGGGGGCGTTGAAGGTCTTTTGTGTCACACCAAACATCTCTCCCTCAGGGGTGATTGGAGGTGTGTACAGACCGTGTTGCACCAAAGAGGGGAACTGGGGCTTCTGAGGCGTGGCATAAGTTTGGAAGTATTCGGGGCCAGCGGGTTTGGTGATGGCTGAGGGCGGGCTGATATCATATGTCGGAGTCAATGGAGCCCTGGAGGCCGACATCGCAGCCTTCTGGGCCAGGAAATTGGTCAAGACTCGAGAAACACCAGAGTAGCGTACCGAGGCATATTTCCGTGCCAAAATGCCCGAAGGCTCGTGCACTTTCTGCAACAGTTCCATAACGGTGGTGCTGCAGAAGTGAGAGCCAAACTCATTCGCGCGAGCTTGAGGTCGACCGAGAATATGGCGGGCCAGAACAAGGGCCGAAAGGGCAAGGGTGTGTGACTGCCTGGACACGAAGTCTCGGTGATACAGGGCGATCTCCAGGATGTAAAGTGTCAAGCTTTCTGTTTCGGGGTCGTAGACATTGTCCTTGACAGCCAGCCGCATGAACGCGTCGACTGTGGGGTGCCCAATGGCCCAACCAAGAGTCGACAGAACGTGCCACTCCATCTGCAAAAACATGTCCTCATCATAAAGCGAACAGCACATAGATTTCAACTCTTTGATTGTGGGAACCTTCTCTTTCTTGTCTCCGTACTTGGCTGCGATGAGCAGTGCAGCGCAGCCAACGAGCTGATAGTGACGCTTGTAGACGACGCGTTTCGAGCAGTAACGGTCAAGAAGGTTGATTGTGAGGAAGAGGGTCTCGGGTAGGAGCTGAAATGCAGTGTGGGCTTCCACCAAGAAGTCGAGAAGGTAAGGTCTCATGTACCATTGAATCTCGGTTTGGATGTCGATTGCGTCAACGTCAGGCATGGTTTCAGCCTTCACGAAATTGTCAGTTCCAATCCGCGTGTCAACATCCAGTGTCACTTACATCCACCTTAAGCATATGCTCAAGCATGTCTTGCTGGTATTCGTCTGCGTCTCTTCTTGACATCTCGGAAGCCATCAGATGCTGACGATGTCTGGCAATTTCCTTCGTGTGGTCAGGGTTCTTGATGACTGGGCGGCGAGGCTCGTCGAAAACTTCAACGGCGGCACTCTCGTAGCCGCTGTCGTTGGACCCGAAGGATGAGATTCTGTTGTTGAAAGACATGGTTGCCGGATGGGGAAGACGTGAGATGAATAGTCAGCTGGAAGTGAGTGAGGAAGAGAGACTAGATATTGGGATTGCCGGAGGGGTGGAGATTAACGACGGGATAAAAGTGAGTGACAGTCGTGTAGTTGGCAAAAGCTTTGAAAGGAGTGAAATGATCGGACCGCAATCAAATGTTGCGCGAGGCTGGAGGTGGCCAGGAACCAAGGGAGTTAAAAAAGTGTCTCTTCTAGACTTGGGAAACTGGAGCGTGCGTCGTGTGGTTAGCTGGCTGATGATAGGCAGGTGAGGTGTTAGGACATACCGAAAAAGAGAAAGGGCACGGCAATTGAGAAATCCTTGTTACTAGGGATCAGCACGAATGCTCTTCATCTGGCCAAGGATTGGTATGCCAAGTAGATTGACTGCTCGTGCGTAGGTTCAGCGAAGGTCGAATGAACGACTCCGCCGGGGTGTGATTGGGGCCGTGGACTGGAATGCGGGCTAACGAGGCCACAAGAGACCAGATTTTGCACTGGGAAATCTAAAATGAAGTCAGTCGTGTCTGAATGAAGGGATGGGATGGACGAAGAGCTCTGACCTTGAAATCTGGAAAGCACGCTGGCTATTCTAGACTGCGGTGACCTTGCTTTGCCAGGGAGATGCAAATCTACTTAGGATATCCAGTCAGCGAACACTTCCCGAACTGCGTTGAAAATGTGGGGACACGGCAGCACAAGGGTTGACAAGGAGATGGTTCCAGCCGGAGGGACATGATTGTATGCGGGCCAGAGAATCGATCCAAGTCCAAAGTATTAGATGGTTATGGGCGACAGCGGTGTTGAATTCCTCTTCCCTGCGGTATCGTTTGGGCCTTCCGTCTCCCCTTCATGGCAAGAGGATCGTCGAGCATCACGAGCGTATTCCCCCTTTCTCAGCATCTGGGTCAGGCAAGCTGGATGAGGCAGCTGCATTCCATCCTGCACGGCATTACCCAGCACACTTTGAGATGGTTCAAGCCCTCCTCTTTTGTTCCACTTGCCTAGGAGTTTTCACCTAGCCCATCTTGGGCTCCTCTCCTTGATATCGGTTGGGGTGGGGTCCAATAAGGCATAGCTGAAAGGGATCAGGTAAGAGTCCACAGGGAACCAGAGGATACGGTGAAAGCAGGGTGGAATCGTCCGTGTGTCCAAGGACTAAGGTGGAAGCTGTCAAAGCTATGCGTCCAAACCAGATTCTGTTGGAGGTGTATCGTTTGACTTCTGGATAATGAGGCTGGACCTCTGGGCTTTGTATCCCACTAACTCCTCCACATGTCTGAGCCAGCAACGGCGACAAGCTCCTTACCTCTTGGTTGAGATCGATGATCTTTCTGTGCCCGAGGACCCCAGGCAGAACGCTATCCAGAACGTTCTGCGTAAACGAGTGCAGGTTGGTCGAGAGGAGTGCAGGGTGGGTGGTGCAGCTCGAACACGGCTCAGGAGGAACAGGTCAGGAGGAGAGTCGAGGACATGAGAGATACTCAGCCGAGTCGTGATGTATCCGAAGGTCCAACGACGGGAGGAGGAGAGGGAAGGAGAGGATAAAAGAGGACGAGGTCAAGGCCTCATGGGAATGAGGAATTTGAGAGAAAGGATGGGGTGGTGGTGGACGAGGAGAAAAAGGAACAGGAGGCCCGTCTGAAGTCTTTGAGATGAGGAAGAGCGAGTGGAGCAATCAAGGGTACGAGATGGTTGGCCCTGACAGCAGCGATTGGGCGCAGGTGCAGCCCCAGACACGACTTGCAGGGGTTGACAGCAGGACAGCCAGGGAATCAGGGACGGCGGCGAGGTGGGCAAAGTTGAGGTTGCAGCTTGTGCGGGTTGGCGGATTGCGCGACAGCCAGCCAGAGAAGCCAGAGCTCCAATTATGCGGGCTCTGCCTCTCCAGAAACGGCGACCATCCCCAGCCGCAAACCAGGGCGTACGGTACAAAGAGGTATGTTACTATCCTGATGGTCAAGCTGTATCATGGAAAATTGCAGACACGGGCCTCGGGCAGCCTGTGACCGTCATTGTGGCAGCCGTTTATTTGTCCATCCTCTATCAATGGCCAGTGGTCCCCCAGCGGTCCCTCCAGGTCTCCGGCATGGTTGTTTCGCGGCTAGCCTATCGAGAGGCCTGGTCGCCCAGAACACGGGGGAGTGATAGGCACTGGCTTCAACTAGACCGCCTGGAAACACCTTCTTTGGGCTATCTGGTAGGTATCCCAGTGCCTCGTATAGGTACCACACCACCTTTCATCGGAGGTTCGTGAGACTTACCACCAACCTGTCACTTTACCACATCCACTGTCCATCACTGACACAAACAAATTTCCTTTTACTTCCAAACATCATCTTCTGACGCAACTGCACAGAACTCTTCCTATGTGCGGAGCAGATCCCAACCCGATGTGCTTCTTGTACCGAGCTGAACACCCTCTACCCGTAGTGTTTTTGCGTTACCCGTACGAGTACGGGCATTCTGTAAGTAATACTCTTTCGCCGTGCTTGCATCCTTTACCCTTTTTTGTCCTGTGTATGTAAAACCATACAGCACATCGGCTCTGGTCGCGCGGCTGGCGGTTTGAGCAGAGCGCGTCAAGGCGCGTCCATTGGCCCATGTCGCCGTCAGGTCCTTGTTTTCGAACCTGGCTAATGCAAGCCTGACGGAGTCCACAATCTTGACTCTTGACCAGCTGCTCGGGCCAAACATGACCGGCCAGCTGCGAGCGAATTGTCACTGCAAGACCCAAGACAAGTGTACCCGGCACGCGGGAATTGCTACTGCTTGCGATCTTCGTGATTGACGTGAGATGTTTCTGCACGGCCTATCCGGAGTTCGTCCTCTTTCCTGTCATCGCTAGGAGAAGACTTCCGGCATGGTCATCACTCAAAAACAAAAAAACAAAAACAGACCTGGTTTCTTGCCGATATCAAACGACTTGAAGCAGGTATCGAGCACGACTTGATGCTGCACAACTTCTGGTGCCCGCCTCTTACTGCCTTGCATCACTTGATTCCAAAGTGACCCCGGAATTGTACGACTGTGGGAGGACAGGGGTACGGTCAATTAGGTTTCGATTTGTCCCTGCCGTGCCCTAAGATCCAGAGATCTACTCCGTCTTCGGTTTCCTATCTCGACCAGTTTCGGACCATCACGCAGCGTGAGTGGCCAACACCCCTCCCTCCAGCCACCCCAAATGGTTCCAAACCTTCCATGTGTGTCCAGGTGTAATAATGGAGTGCAGTCAGCTGTCCCGCGAAGTCATAATCTTAGAGGCGGGCTGCTCGTTTCTGGCAAACTCTCATCTCACTCAAGCGAGGCGATCTGATAAAGCTGTTCCCCTTTACCGGGCCCCTGTCATTCTGTATCTCTGTCCCCCTTGTTACAAGCAGATCGGCAGTGCAGAGACTCGCCGTGTACCCTTCGTTACAGAGTCGGATGCAAGTTTATTCGAGCGGTTACAGATCCGTGTAACTCAACACGCATGAACCTCCGGTGCCTCCTTGACCGTTTCTTCTTGGTGATACCACCCACTGCAACTGTACCTTTACCCACCCATTGACATCAGCAGCGAGCTAGAAAGCCCCCCATGGGTTTTAGACCGAAGCATCTCCTCAGCATCTTGCCTGCCTGACAACGGTCACGTCTTCATACCGAGGGACGAAGCTTAGTCTGAGACGATATGACGGGAACCAGACTCCACGTCCGGCACCTGTGTACCAAGTTTGAGAGAAGAAAAAAAAGGTTCGGAGGAACGCGTGTGCCGGAGATGACGCTGAGACAGCCGGGCGCTGGAAGTCCTCCAGATCGATCAGCACCTGCTGGTTGTCAATAGGCTGTTATTCGGAGTTGATATAATTTCTCTTCTATTGAAACTCGTCTTCAATCCCCGTGATTAAATATACTACCCCATTTTGATACTTCAATACTTGACGCACCACATTGTGCTGTTTGTCTGCGCTTAACGGCAACATGCAATTTGGCCCCCTCCCCCCCGTCCAGCCAAAAATCCTCCTTGATGCCCATTATTATTATTATTATTATTATTGTTATTGATGAAACTTGTTTCCCCCCACCGATGAGCGGAGTACCAACTCGACGCGCATGTTTCCTTTGACACGCGACTTTCTTCAAATTAGCAGCCATAGGGAAAAAAATTGTCTGAATTTTTTGCATACTATGACGTGCCCTTGGAGCGCCGAGGGGCCTTTAGCTCCCGAGGCTTCCATCATCTTCAGATCTGCTCGGCGTCCTTCGGACTTGGACGGCTCGAGATTAATCCATCACTCAATTCTCTGGAGATACCACGGTTGGCGACATCTGAGGGCTGCCTCGGATGCAGCATTATCCTCACTGTATCACTGTATCAGACAGCAGTCTGCTTGACTGACTTGAGTATAATGGACTCAGCAAAAGTCACTGCTCAGTGATCAAGCAGACGACGACGACGACTACAAACATACTGTCATGTTACATTTTGTGAGTAATTCTGTGCCGAATGGCAAAGGTTTCGAGCTTCGTTCCGTCTTGCCGATTCTCCTGGCAGGGGCTCAGGCCTGTTCACTGGTCTTTCATAAAGGCTGTGCCCTTTCCACGGAGCCAACGCCCTATGCTAGACCCAAGTCAGTCTCGAGTGAGCGTGAAATCGTTCAACAAACCACTCAGGACAGACAGAGTCGTCCTGACCTGACCGGTTCTTTGGCAGCCAAGCAAACACATTTGCCGTGAAGATCTCTCGACATGATGGGCATCGATGGTATCTGCATGCAACTTGAGTCAGCGAGCTACCCCGACTCCAGCCCTCGTATATCGATCGCCTAGACCGCCGTCGACCGTTGCGGCAAACGCTCGCCGTGGTGCTATTGGCGAGGACAGGTTCGTCTGCAGAATCACGCTCCGACAACTCGCCAGCTCCGAGCAGAGCTCTCCGGGACTGCTAGCTACAGGGTGTTCTTTTCGCATCTAAGCTTTTTTGTTTTGTTTTCGGTCTCCTTGTGTGATTGACACCTCGAGAACGACGTTACAAAGGCCCGCGCACCCCGACCACTCAGAAGCCACAATCGACCTTTGTTGCTGTGGCCCATTCCGTTTCTGATATCATTACCTAGTTTTATAGCCGGTGCTAGACAATCCTTCGAGGATTGTGAGTTGCGAAAGGCCTGCACCGGGGAGTTAGAGAAGGCCGCCGCAAGGCTGAACACAACTCGAGACCCAATGGAATCCCGATAACAGGCACTCTCCGTCGCCCTTCTCGAGCTGAGAGATGTCGGCATGCCACTTCGTCCCGCTGGCGCATTATGATGTTAGTCGTTTTGCTTTACACATACCCTCGTCATGTGCATGCATGGCACAGTGTTACTGATCGTGATACCCGTGCCAGTGGAGTCTACACCCGGCGCTCGAGGCGGTGGCCATTCCCTGGAATCCCACGGCATACTGTCTAATCGCGGGCTTCTGTGCGGTGTCGCTGTGGATGACGGTGGAACTGACGCTCCAGGTGCTGTTCACGTTCCGGCGCCACAAGGGCCTCTACTTCTGGTCGCTGCTCATCTGCACCTGGGGGGTGGCGCTGCACGTCCTGGGCCTCATCCTGAAGCTCTTCAACGAGAGCAACTGGATCGTGTCGAGCGTCATCTTCAAGATCGGCTGGGTCGGCAACGTCACGGGCTTCTCGCTCGTACTGTACTCGCGGCTGAACCTGGTCGTACACGACCGGCGCATCCGCCGCGCCGTGCTCACCATGATCATCACCGACGCGTTCCTGCTGCACACGCCCATCATCATCTTCGACTTCGGCATCTCCTCGCCGCACCCGCACATCTGGTACCTGCCGATGAAGGTCATGGAGCGCATCCAGGTGGTGTGGTTCAGTGTCCAGGAGACCGTCATCTCACTCATGTACATCTGGTGCACGCGCGACTTCCTCAAGGACGTCTACTCGCGCCAGACCCACCGGGTCATGCAGCTGCTCATCACCGCCCAGGTCATCGCCGTTGTCTTCGACGTCGTGCTTATCACCGTCGACTGCAACAACATGTTCACCCTCAAGGTTGTCATCCACCCCTTCTGCTACGCCGTCAAGCTGAAGCTCGAGTTCATCGTGCTGAACCAGCTGCTCGCCCTGATCAAGCACGGCATCGCACCCAGCAGCTTCCCGGCCCCGGACGAAGAGTCGCCCGACGCCAGTGGACCGACGCCCCCGCGGTCCGGCACGCGGGTGGGCGTCAAGCTGGACTCGTCTTTCGTGAGCACCGATATCACCGCCACCGACGTGCGGGACGCTGCAGCCATTGACATGTCGCGGAAAGAGTCGGTACTTCTGCCCTCGGGCGGACTTGGGCGAGACATGGAATACTACCGGCGAAGGCACAAGACCAGCACTACCGATAACGAGAATGGTGATTCTGGGGTTGCAGGAGGTCATTCCAATCACAGGAACGGATCGACCGCAGCCCAACCGCCCCCGAATCCTGACCCCGATGCAATCGAACCACTTCCACTCACTGGCACTCCATACATATCCCCTTCGCCGCCTCCGCCGCCGCCTGCTCCTCCTCCACCTCCTGACCTACCGACCGTGACTTCTTCACCACCAAGAGCGGCCCCAGAAGGAACATCAAGGCCGTCATTCGAACCGCAACCGCCCGCGCGATCCCTCTCGGACCCGACACCGCTGGGTACCGCGCAGAGGGAACAGGACTCCGAGGCGATTGTCGCCCAGATCGAGAGGCATTATCTGGGGAATTGGAATGGGTAAATTTTAATCAATTAATCAATCAATCAATTGACAACAATAACAGCAACATCAATCTCCCTAATTAACGGTATCCATGTGTCCACGAACAAGAACGAATTGTCACGCCCAGGAGTGGTTCTCGCCTTTTCTTCTCTCTCTCTCTCTCTCTCTCTCTCACACACACACACACACACACACACACACATATATTCATTATAAATACATATATATACATAGCGTGCATGAGCTTGGCTTTGTTTGCGGCTACAACTACACACTCTCTGTAACACCCACTCATCCTCTCACACTTCTACCCTCTTCCGTTGGATGTCGCTGGGTGGGGGAAAACGGGCACAACAAGGTCTCTTCCCCTTCCCCTTCCCCTCCCACCCCCTCGGCTCCGCGAAACGGGCGCTCTGATTGGTGGAAAGGACCGCACCCCAGGCTGCATTTTTGACCACAGCGCATGCTATGGTAACGAGTCCAGGCAGGAATTATCTCACGAGGAAAGATGCCTTTTGGTTTTTGATGTGGCGGTTGGTCGAGTGTCCTGCGCTCACCAGGAGTAATTCGTGGACCGCTAAGGAGCCCCGGGTCCACGCAGGCTCAACCAAACTACAGTGGGGACATGAACACAGGCATCCAAGAAGGTGGATGAAAGCTGCTGGTAGCTCGAAGGGCTGATGCTTTTGTGGGTTGATTGGAAGAGGAACGTAAACAACCGTAGAATTGAAAGTAACAACAACAATAATAATAGCGATCTATAATGCTGGGGGATATTCCCCGGGCAATAGATGGAATCACGGATATGATCGTGCTGCAAATCGCACGTCAAAATCCTTTGCAATAAACCGTCGTCCGGGCTCAGATGGGCGGCTGTTGCATACCAGGATGTAGGAGTTACTCATCCTCTTCTTCTCCCGCTGCTGCTGCTGGGTCTTGCCGTGGTATTGGCTTTGCCGGGACTCAGCCTGGTCGCTTCCTCTGTGGCCAGTGCGGCACCTCCTTTTTGTCCAACCCCCTGCAATCCACCTTTTCCCTTCTTATTCAACTCCTTGGCATGTCCTGCGGTCGTTGGGCTGTTCCAATAGTACACCACCTGCGCGGCCAGAACCGCATTCAACGCAAACCCGGCAATGAATCCGTACAGGATCAGCTTATCGTCCACTTCTTGAATCGTCGTGTAAATCCGACTGAGGCTGCCGAACAAGTAGTTGAAGACGGCGAACGCGGACAACTGACCTGTCCCACCCTGGCTGTAGATCGTGAGGATTTGTGGCAGCTTGCTGGCGATGCTCAAGGCACCGGCGCCCGCTTGCAAGCTCGTCATCTGCGCGTCCGAGACCAGGGTGTCCGAGATCATCAGCGCATACACGGCGCTGCCGAACGCCGCGAGGAAGGCGCCCGCCTGCGCGGTCTTCTTCGAATATACCAGGATCAACACACTGATCACCACATCTTGAATGGCGATGAGAGAGGTCTCGCCGTATGTGCTGAAGGGAAAGCCATTGCGCATGTTATAAGCCAGAGTGATAACGAAGCTGGCGGTTTCCAACAAGTAGCTCGTGAAAGACAGGCCCTCCGAGGACTGGGACTTGACCAACTTGATGATCTGGGGCACCTTCACCACGGATGCGGCCGTGATGATGACGATGCCCAGGGCTTTCGAGATGGCCAGGGAGACGCATTCGGGATGGGAGGCAAAGTCGAGGTCGAGGAGAAGGGCGCTGTGGCAGCGTTCGCCGAGGAGGTTGATGGCAAGGTCATTGAGGGGGCTCGGGAGGTTGTGAGTGATTGGAATCAGATACGGTTTTAATGGGTTCAGGACGAGATCCTGAACTTGGTCCATTGTGATTGATCGATGCGACTTGACAGAGCGAAGCGTTCAAAGCTCGAGAGACTGGGGATGGTCGCTGGGCTCAAGGCAGTAACAGTCTGTTTTGGTTATGATGCCAGGGTGGCCCGACATTCTTGGATGGGGATGCCACGTGACTATTTAGGGGCTTCAGCCTTACCAGCCTCGGCTATGGGCGAATATCTCTTGGCAAGGCTACACCACTGGAATTGCTTAAAAACTGTGACCTGAGCGAGTGAAGACTTGTGTTGCATTATCTATGTGGCAAATGCCTTACCAGCTGTTATACATGGTCATACTATCGATTCACAGACAGTGTACAGATGTTCAAAAATCCCGCTCTACGCTTTGCGTGATACTTTGGCAGACGATCCAGAAGCCGGCACCCTGTCGTCGGCGGCGACGAGATGATAGGTGGCCAGCTGATCGCGGGTTATCGGCGAAGGTGCACCGGCAAACTTATCTTCACCATCTGCGTACTTTGGAAACGCAATCACATCTCGTACACTCGCACTATTCGTCAAAATCACCATCAAACGGTCGAATCCCAGGGCAAATCCAGCGTGCGGCGGACAGCCAGAACGTAACGCCCTGAGCAGGTGTCCGAAATGCTTGACGCGCTCCGGATCCATCTTCAGGACCTCTCTGAAGATAAATTCTTGCATAAACTCGCGGTGTATACGACACGAGCCGCCGCCGACTTCAACCCCGTTAATGACGAGGTCATAGTGGTCTCCAATAATGGACAATGGATTCTTCTTGAACATGGACACCGACAAATCCTGACCTTGCTTGGGAGCCGTGAACGGATGATGCGTGGAGCAGATACCTGCAGATCCGCCCTGTCCTGGTTCAGACTCTTCTGTTGGCGAGAACAGAGGGAAATCTGTTATCCACAAGGCACAAAATCCGGACGGCGCGGGAATTAGACCCTCCGATATGGCGTATTGATAGATATCTCGACGTAGATCCCCTAGAACGGTAGACCCACCAGTAAATGGTTTATCGTCGCGGCTGTAGAGGATCAGGATGTCACCCGGTTCGGGCTCGAATTCTTCTTCCACCTTCGCTGCACCTTCGTGGCCAAAGCTCGCCAAGCCATGGAGCGGCTTTAGAGGATCGAAGACTGCCACGCCGGGGATTCGTGCGCTGTCATTCGTATATCTCGCTGTCGGCGATGCTTCCAAGAATGCTGTGACGAACTTCTGGCTGTCAGCCGGTCCACATCCTTGCATGTTGATTTTCACCATCTCCATGATAGGATCGTCAAGCGACGTGACCATGCCCTTCATATTGGACGGGAGCCATTGATCCACTCGGCGAATCGCTGACTCAAGCCGCGTGTCAGGCTTATCCGAACCAAATCGGGTCATTGCAGTGTCATATGTCATCTGTGGAAAAGCCAGGTTTTGATATTCCGGATCAGCCGATTTGGCCTCGAAAGACGTCGTTAGCGACGACGTTTGCAAAGGCGCAATGTCAGGCACATTAGGCCAGACCGCGTGGATGAGTAGGTCTTCTACGGCCGCCATAACATCAGCACTACTGGCAAATGCCATCTCGAGATCAAGCTACCACAAATTAGCATCGTCTGCTTGGACCGAGTTGGTCCCCGTTAATTACCTGGGTGAACTCGGGCTGCCTGTCGGCTCGGAGATCCTCGTCTCGAAAACATTTGGCGAATTGGAAGTATCTCCAAATTCCCGAAGCCATGAGGACCTGCTTATATTGTTGCGGGCTTTGAGGCAATGCATATGCCAGTCCCCTTTTCCTTGTGGGGACTATGAACTCTCGAGCACCTTCCGGGGTTGACTTGAACAACAAAGGCGTCTCAATCTCGTCGAAATCATTGCGCAGCATATGTTCTCGGATCTTGCCTGCTAGTCGTGAACGTAATCGGATGCGGCGACGAAGGTCCGAGTCGGTTCTGAACTGAAGATGTCGTGACTCTGGCGGAAACACTGTGTCGCACTTCGCAGTCAGGTCGGATGGAACTCCATTGAGAAATTTGTAGGAATCTGCTCTGATTTCGACGTGAGATATCAGGTCGATGTCCCCAACATACGGGTCCAGCGTTCGAATGGTATTAGTTGGCTTTCCACGCTGTGTCGTATCGTACTTTTCTGATGCAGCTTGTTGCTGGTCTTTTTTCGGCGGCGTCAATCGTCTCACGATCGTTCCGGAGATCCGAATGGGGGTATGAGGACGAGCAGCTCTGAAGATGCTCGGCTGCTCTTCAGAAGAATCTTTGTCGCTCGACTTTCTCTTGGCGCCCGGCTCCTCAGCATCTGTCTCATCTCTCAACGGTGGACTTGCGGCAACTTTCGCAGCAGAGACTGAATGGGGGAAAATGACTTGCACAGCAAGCTCTAAACGTGGATCGACGAGCTGAATGAAGTCGAAACCCCTGCCCGGTCTATGCGAAGTAATGTAGCCATACAGCTCCACTCGGCTCTGGCCATCATCAGGCGCAGTCGACAAGGAACTGATGTCGGTCTGGCGTAGTTTTTCCCAGGCAGTGCTCGCTGTTTTAGACGAAGAGATCCCTGATAGAGTTAGGCAGTGTCCGGTTCTTGGAGATGATGATACCTTACGAGAAAAATTGTATCGCCTGAGATCCCCGTTTCCGGTCTGCAGTCTGGTATCTTGTTGCCGTTCACTTCGGATGGGAGATGTGGAATATGAACATCTTGGAGGGAGACGAGCTCGGGTGGGTGAGGGCTGCGTGGAAGAGAAGCCTGTCCGCGAGACTCGTGTGCGAATATATCTGGAGATTTCGATATAGCTGCGTCGTAGGTGGGCTGCCCGCGAAAGAGATCGTTGAAGCTCCATCGGCTATTGCGACAGTTGTCGAAAATCCATTGACGCGAACGATTCCAGAAAATTGATCGGAGTTGGAGAAGCTGCGTCGGAGGTTTGCACGCGCCAACGTCCGATGGCCGCCTGCGCACAAAATTCTCCAGATCGCACTCTGCCTCTCCCTTCTTCTTTTTCTTCTTCATCCTTCCAAGTTTTGAACAAGTGAGTCAACCAGCTCTGCAATTTTGACAAGTGTCTGTGCTAACAGCTCTCCAGATGATGAAAGCCTAGCGTGTATTATACGATCTGTCTCTGCTGCGGACAGCAGCAAGCCCTCTCTTCGGAGCTCAAGTGGCATGCTGTTCGATGTGGTCAGAAGACAATGAGATCGGCGTTCGGCACACCCATCTTGTTACATTAAACGGACGCGATGAAGGCATCTCTGACTCTCATTCTTGGAAAGGACCTGGTTGGTTTTAATTTGATATTTGTGCCAACGGAAGATATGTTGCATTTTTGGAAGAGTTGTCTTGCCTTGCGCCACTACTTGATCAGCTATTTGACTTCGTCGACAGTGTCGGTACCGACTCGAAGCTGTCTTCCATGAATGATCTCCACGCCGCAAGTGCAGCTTTCACCTCTGCCGTCGATCCTCCGAAAGCAACCCTCACATACCCTCGAATGGCACGACTATCCCCGAAACACTTATCTGCGGGACAGAGGAGGACCCCACGCTTCTCGAGCAACCGGGAACAAAATTGCTCACCGTCGATGGGCTTCCCCATCTTGTGGAACTTGAGCATAGCTGTTGTTCCAGCTCGTGGTTTGACCCAAGAACATGACCAGCTATGCTCCTCAACAAACCCTTGCAGCAGGTTCAGGTTTGTTTGGCACAACTTGATGTTTCTGGCTAATAATGCGTGAATGCACCTGTCACTCACAGCCTCCGCAGCGACGACCTCGTCTAGTGTCGACGCAATTGTGGACTGGAGACGCCTAAATTTCCTGCAGGTATCGAGAATGGTCCTATCCTTGGTGGCAATCCATCCGGTTCTCGTCCCGGCCAAACCGTACGCTTTACTTACTGCACCTGTCACCACGACTTTCTTGTAGCCCAGGTTGATGGTGGAGGGTGGAAAATCATCATCTGAGGGCAGTATCGAGTGGAAAAGAGGCCTGTAGGTCTCGTCCGCCAGAATAGTTATTCCTTTTTCTTCTGCCACTTCGACGAGGGCTTCGAGAATGGGTCTGGACACTATGGCGCCCGTGGGGTCACAGGGGTTTTGGATCGCAATCAATTTCGTCTCGTCCCTGATCAATGTCTTGAGCTCCTCAATATCAAGCTCCCACTTTTTCACTGGGTCTGCGTTCCACCAAGTAACGTTCGCGCGCAGAGAGGCAGGTATTTTGTAGAGCAGCTCATCAACCGGGTGTTGGCAGATGACATGATCCCCAGGGCCTAACAGCGCCGAAAATACTGTATAATCTGCAGCGGCACTTCCATTGGTTATAATAATGTCATTTTCAGTCACTCCTCCAGAGCGGGCAGAGTACAGGGCGGCTAGATTGTTCCGCAGTTCAACATTCCCCAAGCCCGAATCATTCTCTTTGAGCTTTAGTTCGCTCAGTGACAAGGCCTTTTCAGATTGCTTTCTATCCTCTGAAATGTCAAGAAGCTCAGACAGGGAGATATTGGAGGCGGCCGAGGACAAAAGATCGTGTTTGGCTGCAGAGAGATGCTTTTCGTTCCACTATTCACATTGTTACCCAGAACGTCCACCGGTACAAGTCCAGTGACTACCTACCTGGATCACTTCAAGCGGTTCGATCGTAGCCATTTTGGATTTCTGGGGCGACTCGAATGATATGCTCAATCGAGAATGAATAGACTGCGACGTCGTACAGACAGGTCTCTATACAGAGTCACCTTCAGGACTGATTTGATTTTCTTTCAAACCACGGCGGTGCGGAGATGCAGCCAACTACCCCCCACTTTGGGCCACAGTGGTGGTGGTGAGGCTACAGATTCGCAGCGCCACATGCTCTGTGGCTAGGGTGATGTCCAGCTCGTATCTCGTAACGTGCTTGGGACCCCCCCGGACTGGAGGCTAATAGGCTACCACGACTAACTGCCGGGGCCTGTAACGATTGGTGGGTGCCAGCTGAGACGGCCCCTAGCTGGCTGCAGCTCGGCCCATTGGCCTGCGGCCGACGGCCGATCCTAGGTACGTGTTAGGTATCAGGTCTCCCGTCCCCGCCCCTACAGGAGGAACCTGCCACCGGTTGTGCATTGCGCTGTTGCAGCTTGTGTTGTATGCGACATTTGGACCTTTCCAGTTCAGATCCCATCTCCTCCCGCTGCAAATTGCGATGGTGTGATATCTTTCTACTTCTGTTCCTCATCTCTCGTCGCATTATCCTCCTATCGTTCTTCCACCCACAACCACGATCTACCTCCCTCCTCTCCGCCTTCCGCTCTCCTGACATATCTGTTGACTGGCAAGCTTCCGTCTGCAGGCGCCAGCCACACGATCTACCACCTCCGCATTTGCAAAGCAGACGATATCGCCCAGTCCATTCTCAATGAACCTCCATGGCGTCGCTACAGCCCTCTTACTTGTCGCACCGACATTACTCGCCACAGCCTATCCCAATGACACTTCGTCGGCGTTGATGCAAGATCCCTTCCTTGATTTGGTCGATGGGTGCCCACCATGTCCTAGATGCTTCGATTGCCACTACGACGAGTTCAAGTGCCTGCAGTTTGCGAGCTGCAGTAATGCTAATGGGAAATGTGTCTGTCCTCCTGGATTTGGAGGTGACGACTGCGCGGAGCCATTGTGTGGCTCCTTGTCTGATGGCAAGAATAGATCACCAAGAAGAGGCGATAAATGCGATTGCAAAGACGGCTGGGAGGGCATCAACTGCAACGTGTGCACGTCCAACGAAGCATGCAATGCACTGATGCCCCTGGGCCAGGGTGGTGTCTGTTATCAAAAGGGCGCTTTGGTCCACGAAAACTACCAGGTGTGCAATGTCACGAACAAGGCGATCCTGGACCAGATCGACCCTCGGATACCAGAGGTTACCTTTTCCTGCAACGCCGAAGAAGCTACCTGCAACTTCCAATTTTGGGTCGATCACAAAGAGTCGTTCTACTGTGCCCTCGACAATTGCACCTGGACATATCAGGATACGAACGTCCGCAATACCACGAAATATCAATGCGAAAACATCAAGTGCTCTTGCATACCGGACCGGTTCTTGTGCGGTGAAGATGGCTCTGTCAACATCGACGAGTTCCTGGAGCAAGAGATCAAAGGCCCAGCTTCGTTTTACTCACAGCACACCTATGGCGGTAGCTCTAAGGACGGCAGTAGGTTCGAGGAACCGGCGATGAACAACCTGATATCTATGATATTCGGCGACGAGTATATCTCGCTGCAATGTCGTGCAGGGGAATGTCTCTATGAGACGGATGTGCCGGGGTATACGAGACCAATTAAAGAGATCAATACACCTTTGATAGCTGGAATCATCGCTGGCTGTGCCCTGCTCATTGTTGCCATCACACTCATCTCGTGGTATCTTTCGAGAAGGGCGGCACTCAAGCGGTGGGGGGCAATTCGACTGGGTGAAGGGGGTGAAAATGACCCCTCGCTATCAATGATCAACCACACCCCGATGGCTTTGCAATTTGAGAACGTATCTTACGGTCTAAAGGGAAAAGAAATCCTCTCGGGCATCTCCGGCATTGCCCACCCGGGCCAGATCACGGCCATCATGGGTGCTTCGGGCGCAGGCAAGTCTACATTTCTCGATATTCTCGCTCGCAAGAACAAGCGTGGAACCGTTCTGGGCCATATGTATGTCAACGGCGAGAAGATTCTTGATGGGGAATACCGGAATGTGGTGGGCTACGTCGACCAGGAGGACACTCTTCTGCCAACTCTGACTGTTCATGAAACTATTCTCACCAGCGCACTCCTGAGACTGCCGGCCGATATGGGCGTTTCTGTCAAGGAGCAGCGAGTCATCGAAGTCATGCAGCAACTCGGAATCTACCACATCAAAGACCAAGTGATTGGCTCAGAGGAAGGAAACGGTCGAGGCATTTCCGGTGGTGAAAAGCGACGCGTTGGTATCGCTTGCGAGCTTGTGACTAGCCCAAGCATTCTCTTTCTCGACGAGCCAACTAGTGGGCTGGATGCGTTCAATGCTTTTAATGTAGTTGAATGTCTGGTCACACTGGCCAAGACATACAACCGGACTGTCATCTTCACCATTCACCAACCTCGCTCGAACATTGTCGCACTATTCGACCAGCTCATCCTTCTTGCCAAAGGGCAGACCGTCTATTCCGGCCCCTTTTCAAGTTGTCAATCATACTTTGATCACATTGGCTACTCCTGCCCGCCGGGTTTCAACATTGCAGACTATCTAGTGGATCTGACCATGCACGCCAGTCTTCCACGTTCGCCTATATTTGAGGATGTTCCGAAAGATTTGCTCGACCGAGACGGTCCCGGGACAGAGTCAAGCAGTACGCGCGCCGTCAAATCCATTGCAAGCGTTTCAAACGTGAGCGTAGAGAGCCCACGTGAGGCCCCGACGCGAGGAAAACCGAAAAGGAGAATTTCCCTTAAGCAAAAGCAGGACCGACAATTGTTCACTCGAAAGAAGACTACTGGGAGTGAGACTCCGCCAACACCAAAGACCGATGATGAGGACACCGTGATGGGAAGAGCAACTGGCAGCATGCGGAGCTGGTTACAAATGTCGAGGAGAGATGGCTCGAACCCCCCACCCCTTCTGGAAGATCCTGACGACATACCACCAGACGCGAACACTGATCTAGACATTTTGGTGACCAGTTTCAAGAACTCCGATGTGGCCCAGACGATTCACGATGAAATTACAGCCTCCATTCAAGCCGCATCTGCGGCAAACGGCCATGGCGGGGGAGAAGCTGTAACTGAAGCTGTTACAGGCTCGATTAAAGGTTTCCGGCGAGTCAGCCTTCCACGACAGTTTTTGATCTTGTCTAGGCGGACCTGGAGGAATCTGTATCGCAACCCGATTCTGATGTTGACTCATTATGCTGTTGCTATTTTGCTGGCAGTATTGTCAGGATGGCTCTTTTACGGGGTTACGGACGACATTGGCGGATTCCAAAATCGACTCGGGCTCTTCTTCTTCCTATTGGCACTGTTCGGCTTCAGCGCGTTGACCAGCTTGAACGTCTTCAGTGCAGAGCGGCTGATCTTTGTCCGAGAACGCGCCAACGGATATTACTCCCCCATTACTTACTATGCTGCGAAACTCCTGTTCGACATTGTGCCACTTCGACTTATCCCACCTATCATCATGGGCGTCATCATCTATCCAATGTCTGGGCTGCTCCCGAAATGGGGGGTTTTCTTTACCTTTATGCTAATATTGGTTCTGTTCAACTTGGCAGCAGCAGCCATCTGCTTGACGATTGGTATCGTGTTTAAAGATCCTGCCGTCGCCAATCTGATTGGTAGCTTGGTGATGTTGTTCAGCTTATTGTTTGCTGGCTTACTCCTCAATCTCAACCACGATACTATTCAAAAAGCAGCCCAATGGCTGCAAATGGTAAGCATCACCAATCCTGCCGGGTAGAACTTGGGCTAACCCTCAACACAGTTATCCATCTTCCATTACGGATATGAGGCTCTCATCGTGAACGAGGTGGCCAAGCTGCGCCTCAAAGATCACCGATATGGCCTTGATATCGAGGTGCCAGGAGCCAGCATTCTCAGCGCCTTCGGATTCGACAATCTGGCATTGTGGAACGATGTCATTGGCCTGGGTGTCTTTGCAGGAGCATTCATCATCATCGCATACGGTGCTATGCATTTCCTGCTTGTCGAAAAGAGATAACGGTAGTAATGAGGGGTCATCTAACGAGTTTCCCGTTGTGTGATGGTTACGCAATCATGCATCCCCCGGCGTCCCAGGTACATTATGTAGACAAATTTGGCGGAGTGAGGGTCACAGGGCTGTAAACAACGGATATACATATATACATTAATATGACATGGACATCACGATCTTTCGCGGCTGCGGGTTGCTTTTTCAGTGATGCTATTTCTCTGTGGTTACGAGGTCCGGCCAATCTCGGAACCGTACATCTCGAAAACAAGGGTATGAGACCGACCGGCAGCCGCCCGATCTCGGAGACGGTCATTATGCGGGGAGGCACGGGGTTGACCCAGTCCCGCCTGTCTAGTTGAGTTCGAACTCCTGACAAGCTTAAGAAACACTTCTCTTCACCGCACGACGTGAGTACTTGCTCGCGGTGAAGTTTAAAGCCCGAGTACGCGTCTCATCAGTCTCAAAGAGGACAATGACTGTACTATTTCGCCCGTGTTCTCGCTGCATTGCCCAAGCAGCGACCGGCTATGGTGCTCGACTCGGAACCACCTCGCGGAGCTTCTCTTCGTCATCCAAGAGATTGAGCTCACCACCAGCCGACCCAAAGGCGATCGCCGAAGCGTTTCTGTCCAAGTTCTCCAAGGGCCAAACATTTGTGCGAAGTCAGCTGCTGGACGCGAACCAGATCCGCCTCTTCTCACTCACTCTCAATCGACCACATCTATGGCCCACAAGCTCCGTATCGTCGGTTAAGACGCTCGAGGAGGCCGAGCCTGTCCAGGGAACTCCCATACCGCCAGCTTATCATCTATGCTACTTTACACCAGCTCAACTACCTGGAATATTGGGACTCGATGGCACGGATGCGAGTTTCAACCCGGACCCCCCCTTCACGCGACGCATGTGGGCGGGCGGATCATGTCATTGGCCCGGTGCCGACCCTAATTCACGCCACCAGGCACTCTTGGTGGTGGGTGACACCGTCACTGAGGTCACTAGGGTCTTGAGCTGCGAGCCCAAAGTCATTAGCAAGACGGGGGAGAGCATGCTCGTGGTGGGCGTGGAGAAGGAATTCCGCAATGGGAAAGATGAGCTGTGCGTCCTGGACCGGAGGAATTGGGTCTTTCGCATAGCTCTCGATCCCTCCAAAAGTGCTCCTCTAGTTCCTAAGCCGAAGGAATTGTCGCAGGCAGACCTTGACAAGAGCGTCGAGGGAAAACTATGGCGGGAATATAGCCGCGACGAAGCAATGCTGTTCCGATTCTCGGCATTGACATTCAACGCCCACAGGATTCACTACGATAAGCCCTGGGCAACAGAGGTGGAGGGCCACAGGAATGTGGTTGTCCACGGTCCGATGAATCTGATTGCCATGTTGGATCTTTGGCGAGATGAGGCCAGTGTCTTTCGAGGTGTGGGTGAAGGGTCAATGCAGGACGACCAGGTTGTATATTATCCGCAAAAGATCGATTACCGGGCGACGAGCCCTGTATACGCCAAGGAGCCCTACCGGGTATTGATGAACAAGGAAGCGGTGGAAAAGAAAGAGGCAGAGACAAGGGTGGTGAGTAACGACGGAACGGTGTGCATGAAGGGGACGGTGACGGATTGGTCTTTGAGCAAGTAGCGGCGCACCCCAAAAAAGCAAATTGAGCGGTCGATGTGGGAGAACTCTGGGCGAGCTCTTAAGAAGGTGGCTGTTGACTTGCGCTGCTCACCAACCAAATTAGGAGCGGAGTTGTCATGGGATGAGATAACGATGGGCCATCTACACTTGAGGATTCTGTTGGGGGAGGGTGGCTGAGATAGCTGTAAGGGCAGGGATCAAGGGATCGGTGCATCTACGGCGTCTTTGACCTGCCTATTCGGTGGGCTCTTTGTCAAGGCGTGCGTTGCTGAAGGGGAGGGTGGTGAAGATGGAGATGAGGAAAGGGTGTTGTAGGTGGAGATGTTGACGATCCAGTGAAGAAAGTGTGGAGAGAAACGAGTCTAAAGAGCCTAAAGAGCCTAATCCTGCCTACTGTACCTATACGAACTCCCCTCCGGGTGCCCCTAAGGGATACGGGGGTTACCCCGGGGACCTCCGTAGCAGTACAGGCTCGCTAGGGCTCCCTAGCCCATGCTGGGCGCCAATTATTGTCCCCACGGAAGTCACCATCCGCTGTCCTGTCGGCGCAGCTAGCGGTGATGTGGTAAAGCACCTCTGCCCCTCCGCACTTTCTTCGCTCCTCCTCTTCCTCGCCCAGTCCGCCCTCATCTCATCTGCGACACTCACCCACGCTCCCCTTGAGCTTCACTTACGTACATCATTCAGCGGACATCATCGTGCCCAGAGTAACCCGCATTTCAAGATGGCCTTCGCTCACCAAGCCGCCTCGACAGCCGTATAATCCCCCGGCACCCTGCTTGGTGTGCTTTGACCATTCTTCCAGAAACTCTCGCTATGACGATTACCTTCCCCCCAGTACCGGCATGATTCCACAGACGCCTTCGTCGACCGTTCCCCCAGATAGCTCTGCCCAGCAGCTGCTGCGTCTGGGGAAGCCCTTCGTCGAGTTTCCCCGGTTCAGTATCCTCGCTCTTCAGAAGGAGAAGGACCAGGACGGCAACCCTCTTCCTTTCTCCGAGTGGCTCACCAAACGTCTGCAGCTGGGACAGCCGTTTGTCATTGCTGACTTTGACAAACTCGACACCTGGCCAGCTTCAGGTCCTCACAATGGACACCAACCGGGTTTTGGTATCGAGCGCCTGATCGAACTGAGCACCAAGAAAAATATCCCCATCCGAAACTGTAGCACCGGCCGGGATCTGTCCTTCACCCTCAAGAAATTTGCCGACAGCGCGAGGCAATCCGTCGCCGGATTCCAGAACCTCTATGCCAGAGACCTGCAATGTCCGCAAGAGTGGCTAGAACAATGTCGCAGGATCTTGCCAACAGAGGTCCAATGGGGTGGGAGGCTGGATCTTTTCCAGTGGCTCCCACAATGCGCGAGGAGTGAAGTCATGATGGCCTACGTCGGCAGCGAAGGGAGCAGTTCAGGATTTCACCGATGCTTCTCGAGCACAGTCGCCTTGAACTTGCTCGTCGAGTCAGACGATCGTCCCGTGGTGTGTATTGGCACAGACTTCGACTCACAGAAGAAATATGACGCCTTTATGTGCGCCCGTGGCGCCTCACCTCATCTAGACTGGATGAACCTGGGATCGACGGAGCTCGTAAAAGCGGACTTTCCTCTATATGCCTACGATCAACGGGTTGGCGATCTGGTCGTCTTCCCTCCTGCCACAGCCCACCAGGTTTGGAATCCCGCCACGCTTTCGGCCAAGGTGGTCTGGAACATCCTTCATCCTCTGTCACTTGAGGTGGGATTTGATTACGTCCAAGCGCCCTTCAACCGCCTCTGTCATCCCGATGTCGCCCGCACTAGCCTCTCGTTGGCGTATGCTATGTTATCTCTGCTCCAGGAGGATCAGACGATGAGGAGCTCCCCAGTACCACTCCCTCCCGATCTGCCTCTCCTCTCACGCTTGTTTCGTCAACTAATCCATGACGAATCCATTGAATCGCCTCCTGTCACACCAGTGACTTTGGTGCCAATGCAGCAAGGGACCATTGCAACCTGCAACTTTTGCAGTACGGCCATTTGGAACCGCCACGTGCGATGCACTCAATGCGCGGATTTCGATCTCTGCCTGCTGTGTTATCTCAACGGCCGTTCTTGCGAACATTCCGAATCCTATGCATGGGCAGAGCTAGTGCCGGCGGAACAATGCACAAGGGTCCTCAACCGGGCTCGAGAGATTCTCGGATTCCAACCCGAGGAGCCACGGACGCTCGACAAGCGTAAGACCTTGGGGACGGCGGTAAATGATCTAATGCGCGCCAAAACATCAACGGCAAGCAGACTGTGCCACCTCTGCCGGATCGACCACCCAGAATGGAAAGGGCGGCGTTGCGATAAGTGCAACGCCTTCTTCTGTTATCGAGGCTTATTTCGACATTTTGACCAGTATCCCTCAGAAGTTTTACGGCACAAGGGACTGTGGACTTGTCCTAAGTGCACAGAAACGTGCAATTGTCGATGCTGCCATTTCGCTACAGCGTACGCCAAAAAAGAAAAGCCTGTCAGCAAAAGAAGAGTCAAAGCGTGCGACCCTCGTGGTAAGGCGATAGGCTTTGCCGACAACGTATATGATCAAAAGCGTGGAAATCGGCGAGATTCCAGCCACAATGGCTCTGGGGGTGGGCCTTTACCCGGTGTGGCACAAATTACGGGCAAGAAGCGGGCGATCTCTTCCTCGGCAGATCCTGGCCCTACGACCCCGCTAAGGAAGATGGAGTTGCCCACACCCGAACCTGATTTCTCAGGGACCAGGCTGGCGTTGTCAAGGGAAAGCTCTGAGTTCTTGATGGATGGCCCTTTTGGAAGCGTCAATGGGACGCTGCCGACGCTGTTGCCGAGCATGAAGACATACCCCGACGGCCCCGACTTCATGGTCAGTCCGACCGACGACAGGCATTCGCAAGTCAGCAGCTCGCCTGGGATTGTATCCCTGGCCTCGGCGGCAATCAGCTCGAGCCGCATAACGTCCAGCATTCAGAACAATACCCTCCCACCAATACTGGGACATCCTCCTGCGACCAATGGCTTGTACCTCTCGCAGCACCACACCAACGGCAGTTTCAGCACCCCGCCACCCTCCGTTTCGACGGCATCTCCTACAAAGCTTACTGCGTGCTCGAAAGAGATCAACGCCCCTACCGCCGCACTAGACGCGTCAATTGCTCAACTGCAAACGCAATTGGTCAAACTCAAAAGGTACGAGGAAGAGTTCATCGCCTTGAACCTGGACGACAGTCGCAAGATGCTGGCAAGGCAGGTGGCCGAACTGGAGAGCCAGATCAATGCAAAGAAGCGGGAGAAGAGTCTCATCCTTATTGAGAGGTTGAGGAAAGAAGGATTTGGTGGGTTGGCGGAGGTGGTGGGCAAAGAAGTTGGGTTGGGTTTTGATGCAACGGGGCCCCTATCATGACGGGCGTGATGTCAATTGTCTCGAAGGCAGGTCCGAATTGGTTGAACACTCTGCACGTTGGTCTTGTTCGACAATGTCACTGGAGTGGGCTGAGGTTGGCAGATCTCAAAGGGGAAATTGGTGCTTTCATATATTGACGCTAATCATTCTAGTTTCTAGCGTGCAGTCGAGCGGGATGACCAACTCTTTTATATACCCCGGGAATGGATTGTGTTGATAGGATTAACGGACATAGCAAATGATTTCGTGCAGTGCTTGGGTCGATGATGAAACAGCGATAAGTAACCGTCCGTCGAGGCTACGCAGCGGAAGCATGTAGGAAATCAATCAGTGTAGCTGCTCCGGTGCTCTTACAGAGCATCGCGTTTCCGCATCGATTTACTTATCAGTATAGAGGCACTGGCTGTTCTCTTTCGCCATGTTTATAGACACAGACAGGATCCCTGGCTGTTGGAAGAGATCACGGTCCCAACATCCTTGGTTGCTGCTGCTCACTCACTACTCAAGTTTCAAGATGAAATCGACGAGCTGATGAATGCCAGTGGAGGAAGAAGAGCGAGATGAAGCATTGCATTCTCGAAAAGAACGTGACAAAACTATACACGGTTTCTCAGCAGCCCAGTCACCTGGCTGGGGAAAACCACCCCGTTTCAACAACATATGTACGCACGACGGGGACTCTATTCGATAATCATGCAAATTCTCGCGAACCCTTTTCTCTTCTTCAGCGGTCTCTCGGCGTCGATGACCTCCTGCAAGCCCGTCTTCATGTCCACCTCGATCGGGTCCCACGCCCACTTGTCCCGCCAGAACACAATCCGATGCCCAACGTACATGACGAGGAAAATGGGGATTCCGATGTAAGCCGTCAAGAAAGACGAGGCCGACCATTTGCTGGGGAAGAAAACGGTAAAGCCGTTGATCAGGCAGAGGATAGTGAATGCGACCATCGCGATCCAGGCGCCGTAAGGTTGAAGCCAGTTGCGGTAGATAGGCTCGATCCCTTGAGCCTTGCAGGCCTTGCGGAAGCGCAGGTAGATAATCATACAGCAGACCCAGCTCGTCATGCCCCATGTGTTTGTTAGGTTAACAAACCAGTTGAACACAGTAGAGCCGGACGAAGCGACGTTGAGGTAGGCAAGACCACAAAACAGGGATGAACAGCCCACGGCCATATATGGCACGCCCCAACGGTTGCAGGTTTTGAAGATGCGTGGAGCAGAACCTTGGACTGCAAGGGAGTAGAGCGCGCGCGAAGAGATATAGAGGAAAGAGTTGCCGGACGACCAGGCCGAGATCAGAATCACGGCGTTGACAATGGACGGGAGGGTGTGAATTCCAGCATTGGCGACGGCGACGACAAAGGGCGAGGATTTGGCACCGGCTCCGCCGTTGGTCAAGCGCGGATCGTTGCTGGGGCAGGTCACGCCGATGGCCAAAACGCTGAGGACGTAGAAGATAACCAGACGGTAGAAGTAGCGCTTGGAGGCGAGGGGTAGGTTCCGTCGTGGTGATTCCATTTCTCCGCCGGTCACGACCAGGAGTTCCGGAGCAAAGGTAAAGGGGAAAACGGACAGAACGACAGTTTCCCAGAAGGAGACAAAACGACCCGTATTGCCTCCAACGATATAAGGATGTGCGGCGCCCGGATCGTTCCAGTACCTGAACCCCAGACGATCGTGACTAGGTCCACCACCCCAAAAGAGGATGAAGCTCAGGATGAGAAGACCAGTCATTAAAATGACCTTTGTTCCGGCGAACCAGAATTCCGTCTCGCCGTAAAATCTGACCGGGAGGAAGTTCAGCCCGATGATGACAACAAGCATAATGGTCATCCAGACGGCAATGTTGACGTTATTGGGCCAGTAGTTGATGACGAGACCGGCGGCCGTGATTTCGTACGGGACAAGAATACCTAGGGCGTACCAGTAAAGGTAACCCAAAGCAAAGCCCATAGAGCGAGAAACGTATCGGTATCCATAGTAAGACATGGTCCCGCCGTGGACGGGCAGGTAGGCGGCGACCTCGGTGATGGCCGTCACGACACAATATACCAAGAAGGTCATGATCACATAGGCTGCCAGGATGAAGGCCGGACCACCCAGGGCAAGCGTTTGACCAGAACCGACGAAGAGACTATAGGGAAAACCAGTCAGCCCGTGCCCTTTTTTTGTCCTTTGAGAAATGGTGTAAGTATTCCACATACCCTGTACCAATAGTTCCACCCAGAGCGATCATTTGAGCATGTCTGCTCTTCAGGCCACGGTGAGTGGTGGCATATCGTTCATCAAGCAGGTCTGCGGCAATGATTGACTCGACCACCGACGACTTCCGCCCACTGATGGAGACTTTGCGTCCTTTCTCGTCCACGACACTTCGGCTCTTGACGGGTTCAATGCCCTTTTCAGGGTCATACTCGGCATTGTCCGCCATGTCGCCGTCAGGGCCTCGCAGCCTCAGCTGTGCCTCCTAGTTGGCAAATGTCAAATGCTCAAGAAGGGCCCTGTTGTGAACAAGGCAATGGCCACTCGCTGTAGTGAACAGGCCAGAAGAGATGGGGAGGAGGAGAAGCGAGCAGGCGCATGGCCGGGGAAGAGGGTCTGAGGGCGACCTCTTTATAAGTCGACAGGATCATCTGAGGTGGTACTGGTGGTAGCATTATGGTAGCGTGCCAGGGATGAATGAGGTTTGGAGCTGACTAGGATCGAGGCCGAAATGCTTGCCTGTCAGTGGTTGTTGATAACGGAGAGTGGGAGTGCGTGAGTGGGAAGTCGAAGGCGAAGTGTAAGACTCGTTTCTGGCGTCTTGGCTGCGATTCTCCCGTTTCTCCCATTTCTCCCCCCCGGTCAGTTTTCTGCCTTGGCCACCCGCCGTCCACGCCCGTTCCCGCTGCATATCTCCTGCCCAGAGCTCCTCCATTGGGCAATTTGTGTTTCATTCCCAGAGGCAGGATATAATATCCTCTCCCGGACGCTGCAGGAGCATCGGTGCCCCGATGATAAGCTCAGGTGGAAGGGAGTCCCGACGGCCCAGCCTCAGCCTCAAGCCACTCCAGAGATCCGATCGAAGACCACTCATCAGTCGGTCCCTCCTGAGAAGCTTGTGCACGACCGTAATGTTGGACGGGGGCCATGGAGCCCGAGAATCCACCGTCCCAGGGCGTCGCATATTCTCTGGGAGTCTCGAAGCGAGATCCGAGTCGCCGACGAGAGTGCTGATGCTGCATTGGCACCGGATTATTTCCTCCCTCCCCCTGCAGACCCCGGAACGCGCCACGTGCCCAAGACCACCGTGCTGGTAGCAGATTTCCGCTGCAACGGGCTTTGCTGAGATAAATTTGGTCGGGCCACGATTGCGAGGTGCGTCGGCAGATGCGTCTGAGCAGCCTAGAGAGGCTGGTCTGATAGGCGAAGGAGCGGTCCTGGCATCCCTATCTCAGGCATAGTCCCGGTCGCCACAAAGAGGGAGTTGGCTCGTATCTCTGTCGCCCCACGGTCTTCAAAGTCAAATTTCATGCCCATTCTCAGAGGAGAAATTGTCAGCATTGGTCCGGGCTGGTGGGTGTTGAGATCAGCAGCCTTGCAGATCGTGCCACACCCCAACCCGCTGGGGGCAGATATGGACATGTGCGTCATTGTTCTCGGCCCTTCAAGAGATTCGAAGCATTCGAGATAACAGATTGTGGCTTGCATCGAGCGCTCAAATCCATCTTTCCAGACCCATCGCTGCTGGTCTTGGCTTCTCCACGCCAGGTCCGCACTGTCCATCGACCGGATGGGAGTACGTGGTGTCGAATATGTGACAAAGTATGAAGCTGCCATGCGAAAGAAAAATACGCAGCCTCAAGCTCTTCCTGGAGACCAATGAAAACCATTTTGCTGGCTCACGCGTTGGCAAGAAGCCTTTGCACCGGACATGCCCGCTAGCTCTGGACCTTGTTGGTGCATCAAACAGCTCATGCTTGCTCAAGTGTTCGTCTGCTGCTGGATAGATGAATGTAGTTTCATTGATTCTGGCTGCTAGGTCAAACGTGTTTCATTTTGAGAAGATCGGCAGAGACCACTCACGATGTTGACGGAAGGTGAGTGAATGAAAGTTAATCGATATCAGCCCAGAGTATTGAGGCTCAAGTGCAGGGCTCACTGTACTCGGACTCCCAATGGGAATCTGGGTGGTGCTTGCTATAATCCTATACGTTGCCTCCAGTTCATTTTCACAGACAGCAAAGCTGGGGAAAGTCCCTGGTCCATGGCTGTATGCAGCAACACGATTCAGGCTGGCTTTCGATGCCTGGCAGGCACAATCTATTCACACGGTGAACAAGCTCCACCGAAAGTACGGTCCTGTGGTACGGATCGGACCAAATGAAATCTCATTCAATAGTCTGTCTGCGCTTCGAACGATATATGGCGCTGGAAGTGGCTTTGAGCGGACTTCTTTCTACCATATGTTTGACGTTTATGGCCGACCAAACCTCTTCACTTTCGCCTCTGGGAAGCTCCATCGCGAGCGGAAGAAGTTGATTAGCCATATGTATGCTAACCAGAATGTTCTCGGCATGGACGCCGCCCAGCTGGTCAAGAGAAAAGTGATGGGGTTTCTGACACTTCTGGAACGTGAACCTGCTCTCGGGAAGGAGATCTTTACAAGCTTACATTATTTCTCCTTTGATGCGATATCCGAGTTCGTGTATGGCCCGAATTACGGAGGAACGGCGGCGCTGTCAGGATCCCAGCAGTCCCGGGAACTCATCCAAGACATCCTCAACCCAGCTCGTAGGAGATTGGCATGGTTCGCCATTTACTTTCCTACCTACACAAGGTGGATCACGACCCGCACAGGTCTCCTGGAGAGAGTGCTGACTTCCATGGGCCTGATGCCTATGCGGAAGCCTTTCACCTACTCTGGAATTCGTCAGCATGCATTGAAGGCATTCTACAGTTTCAAAAATGCCCCGGCTGCTGTGCAAGCCAAAGCCAGCGAAGCCACGGTCATTGGCCGCCTCTTCAAAATGCGCGAAGAAGCCGGTCTGTCTGACCTCGACATTGCATCCGAATGCGCCGACCACTTGCTGGCCGGCATTGACACGACTTCAGATTCCCTCATGTTCATGATCTGGGCCCTTTCGTTACCTCAACATAAGAAATACCAGGACAAACTCAGGGAGGAGCTGTCGCACATCTCCGTGGACAGCCAGGGGCTTCCAGAGCCGAAGGATCTGACCCAGCTTCCCTACCTGAACGCGGTCGTGCGAGAGTCTCTGCGCCTCTACGCACCTTTGCCTGCGTTTGAACCGCGATCTTCGCCAGTCGACACGGTAATCGACGGCTACGAGATCCCTGCAGGCACAATCGTGGGCATGTCACCGTACTGTCTGCATAGAGATGAAGGCGTCTACCCATCTCCATTGGCCTTCAGACCGGAAAGATGGCTCACAGATTCCGGCACTCTGATCCCTGAATCGGACCCCAGGAATCGAAATTTCTGGGCCTTCTCCAGTGGCGCACGTATGTGTATCGGAATGCATCTGGCCAACGCAGAAATGCTCACCCTCCTAGCGGCCTTGTATCGGAAGTACAAGACTTCTGCAGAAGACCCCGACACGTCGCCTGGTATCACCAGCCGGTTTGAAATTTTCTGCGACGAGACGATGCCCAAGATGGTGGAACATGAGTGTCTGATTGACTTTGTGGGGCTGGAGACCAAGTGATTGATCGAACACAGAAGGTGAGGGAGTCGAAAGTCTCATCGGTCGTGAAGACAGAGCATCGTCCACATGTGAGCGGACTCGGAGTACAAGAGTGATTACTCTAGCCAAAGCCATCAAGACCAATACGAAAGCGCTAAGACGCGTACCAGGCAGAACTCCAATGCGCATGCACGAAGCCGTGTTTATATGATGCCAGGGTCCGCCAACTCAAGTTTGTCCCTGAATTCATGTCACACAGGCGCGAAAATCCTGCCGAGAGAACGACGCTGGCATCCTGAGCTCGTACATGGCCGTTTGAGAGGGTCTGGCAGACGGGCTTCCCAAAGCTTTACCGCGAACACCGCAACTGTGATCGAGTGGTTCTGTCACTGTATCTTAAATACACTTTCCAAAAACATTCTACTTCCTTACATGAACACCTGTTTGCACATGACCGAAACCTCTTCACTCTCCGTCGGGGAATTGTTCTGTACACACTTGATTGCGACGATGTGCATTACCGAGATCTGGAGTTATCGAGAATGCGGATGTTTCTACAATCACAAGACCCTGTGCCGATCTTACCGCAGAGGGCAGACGCCGTGCTGTGCACCGAACATCCAACACCGTGTAGATACATGGCTCGATGAGACTGCAGGAGCTCCAGAAACCTGCCGCCCCCAACTTGCACCACGAGCGATTTGTCTCGAGCCGGGAGACTGCCCGAATCACCGGGTAGTCGAGAAGTCATTTCTCAATCAAATCTGCGAAGACTGTTTGCTAGCAGAGCTTGACGGTCTGCCATCTAGTCTCGGCAAAGATGCCAGTGCTCGGGATGTTCCAAACGCCGACTTGGACAACAGAGAAGGACTCATTTGGGATAGCGAGGTGAAGGTCGAGATCGAGGACTCAAATTCCGAACCCTCAGCAAGTCAAAGTGCGGCCGAGGCATCAGTGCATAGCCGAGAGGCAGTGGATGAGGACAGGATGATTCTAGAAAGCCACGTCGAGATCACAATCGAAGATGAGCATCACAACATCGTCACCAAAAGCCCGGCTTCTCCAGAGCAAATAGCACATCAACGAAGCGGTCGATCACAGCTGTCGTTGATACAGCCCTCTTCATCAAACAGCCTCCACGATAACCTTTGCATAACCAATTCCAGACCTTCCGGAAGCAAGAGGTATGGACGTGCCTTTCAGGGAGTCAATGTTGCAGGCTTCGACCATGCGTATCCTGACGATGGCATCAATCTTCAGTCGTTGCACCCCTCTCCCCAACCGCTATTTCGGGGAAGGTCTTTGATGTGCTCAAATCTACCTAGGACCCAGGTGCGCAAGGCAGACGCAGGTAGCACTCCAAAGCCATCCAAAGAAAGGACTGGTATCAAGGGCCTCGCCAAGTTCCAAAGTCTCAAGAATCTGTCGATGTCCTTCCGCGTCGCCCCGAGGTCGTTGATGGTCGACTCTGCCCAACGTGGTAACTCGGGAACAGGTCCAGCATGCCCATCAAGCTCTCTACAATCTGACTCAAAGGATTTGTTCCGATGGAAAGGTTCGCCTCCAATTGGAGGGACGAGTGAATCCGTGTTTGGTAGCTCTGAGCAACTTTCCGACAAGATCCACGACAGCATTCCGAACCCCGAAGCGCAGGATACACCGATCATCCCGCCTCGGAAATCGAGTCTGAAGAATTACCTCATGCAAGACTTCACACGGACAAGAGCGATGGTGCAGCCACGATCGGGCAGCCGCTTCAGAAGCCTAACCCCCAGCCCGACTTCTTGGTTGCGAAAACACGCTGAGCCAATCGAAGAGATAGATTCAAGTACTCAGGGATCGGTGACGCATTCTGAAACGACATTTGAGTCTGCTTCTGGAGCTAGCAGCCTGGAGACCACTGGAGCTGGGGGGATCAAGGCCGAGAAAGCCTTCCTGATACCTAGCATACCCAAATCGTCAACCATGAATACCATGCGAGCAATCATCGATGGCTACATTGATCAAGACGAGGCAGGACGTCAGCCGCCTCTATCACGCGAGGGGGCTGGTCCTCAAGGCTGGTGGACAGGTGGGACTGAGATGTAGGGGAGCCATATGCTTGAGGCTTTTCCACAACAGCAATCGCATCGCGGGGAACGTCCTGGGCGGGAGACACGGAGCACCGAGTCGGTCTAACGTCGTCCATCTCGTTAAGGTCGTCAGGGTCAACCTTCTCTCCACCTCAACCTGTCCCCAAGATCATCATCTCGGACAGACGACTTGCCACTGGTTTTGAATTAGTGCTGGAAAGAGCACGAGCAATGGAGGAATCTGGATTCAAAGCGAGGAAGGGTGCCTAGAATCATGGAGCAGAAAAGGGGGAGGCTAAGGTAGCAATGTGTCAGAATTGTCTGATTGAACCGTTCAGTGCTCTTTGCGTTCAGTCCTGTTCTCAACGATGATAGAAAATCCGCTGGGCATGCGGCATGCACTGCTTTACAAATTCGATCGTAGGCGTGATTGGACCGAAATGACTCACAGACAGCGCTGGCACGACCAAAGGTGATAAGAGATGAAACATATACGTGGTCAAATGAAATGGCGTGGTGGTGTGGCAGACAAGCCAGCGAGCCAGAAAGGGCCCCATCACGTGAGCCCATCCCACTGTGTACAGGAAACATTTGGAGTCTCGGTGGAGAGCGAGAATCGCAGGCCAAAATTATTGTTTCCTGCCCTTTGACCACCCGACTTCCTCTCAACATCCCTTCCGTCAACATCAATAAGCAACCGACTGCTGTCTGACCGTCGGGCCCCTTTTATCTCACCATTGCTGTTGTGCCAGAAACGACGCTTGACAATTCACTCGGGAGTCGGTCCACGGAAGATCATCCAACGCGCGCAGGCGGACATTCCAATCCTCGATCAACACAACCCTAGTGTCTCCTGCAGACAAATCTACTTCCCGTGCATGTCCTAGACCATATCTCCTAAGATGTCTGTTCTCCCTGCCGAGGTGCAGGGAGCCTTGACCCAACTCCTGCAAGCCCTCTCGTCTCCCGACAATACTCTCCGCAGTCAAGCGGAAGAACAACTGAACAATGACTGGACCCCCAACCGCCCCGAGGTGCTGTTGATGGGCTTGGCCGAACAACTCCAAGCCGCGCCAGACTCGTCGGTAAGCCACGATTCCCGACAGGAGGTCTCAGGGTCGGAGAGTTGCTAACGTATCTCTCGCCAGACACGCTCGTTCGCTGCTGTGCTATTTCGCAAACAAGCCTCAAAACAACGCAAAGTCCCTCCCAGCAATGACTCCAAGGAACTCTTTTGGTCCCTCAGCACCGAAGCCAAGTCGGCCATCCGATCAAAATTGCTGGAAGGTCTCGCCACAGAACAGATCAACCAAGTCAGGAATAAAATCGGAGATGCCATCGCCGAGATCGCGCGGCAATACGTGGATGCTGGTATGGCCCAATTGACTCTCACTTCTGCTTTGATACTCGGACTGACTTTCTGGAGGCACAAACGAGACCTGGGTGGATCTGCTGCATGTATTGTTCCAAGCGAGCCAGTCAACGGACGCCGGCATGCGTGAATGTTCGTTCCGAATATTCTCCACGACGCCGGGCATCATCGAGAGAGAACATGAAGGCGCCGTGCAAGAGGTGTTCCTCAAGGGTTTCAAGGACAGCAGTGTCGAGGTGAGATTGCGCCATGGGTTGAGCGTCCACGGCACACACATATTGACTTGGTCCAGGTCCGATTATCCGCCATTGAAGCATTTGCCTCATTCTTCCATTCGGTCACCAAAAAGACACAGCCGAAGTACTATCCTCTGGTGCCCGAGATCCTCAATGTTCTACCACCTCTCAAAGAAGCTGGAGACTCCGAAAATCTATCAAAGGCATTTGTCTCGCTTATTGATCTTGCCGAAATATGCCCGAAAATGTTCAAAGGTCTCTTCAACAATCTCGTCAAGTTTAGCATCTCAGTCATCCAGGAGAAAGAACTGGGGGATCAGACACGACAGAATGCGTTGGAGTTGATGGCCACCTTTGCCGAATGGGCGCCGGCCATGTGTAAGAAAGATCCCTCTTATGTAAACGACATGGTTACGCAGTGTCTGAGCTTGATGACGGACCTTGGGACCGACGACGACGACGCCTCGGAGTGGAACGCGACCGAGGACCTTGATAGTGATGAGAACGACTTGAATCATGTCGCGGGCGAACAGTGTATGGACCGCTTGGCGAACAAGCTGGGAGGACAAGTCATGCTTCCAGCAACGTTCACGTGGCTACCGAGAATGATGCATTCTGCCTCCTGGAGAGATCGGCACGCCGCTCTGATGGCCATCTCCGCCATTTCCGAGGGATGTCGAGACCTCATGATCGGCGAACTCGACAAGGTCCTCGAACTGGTTGTGCCGTCCTTGAGAGATCCTCACCCACGCGTCCGATTCGCCGGATGCAACGCCCTTGGCCAGATGAGCACCGATTTCGCGGGGCCCATGCAGGAGAAGTACCACCAAGTGGTGCTGACAAACATCATCCCCGTCCTCGAAGCACCCGAGCCGCGAGTACAAGCACATGCGGCAGCTGCACTGGTCAACTTCTGCGAAGAGGCGGAAAAGTCGATCTTGGAACCGTACCTGGATCAATTACTTGGACATCTCCTGCAGCTCCTTCAATCTCCCAAACGATACGTCCAGGAACAGGCACTGTCAACGATCGCCACCATCGCCGATTCGGCCGAGGGTGCCTTCATCCGCTACTATGACACGTTGATGCCTCTTCTCACCAACGTCCTGCAAGCCGAACAATCCAAAGAGTATCGATTACTTCGTGCCAAAGCCATGGAGTGCGCGACGCTGATCGCCTTGGCCGTGGGCAAGGAGAAAATGGGCCAAGATGGCATCAGACTCGTTCAAACTCTCGGCAACATCCAGCAAAACATCACGGATGATGATGACCCACAATCGCAGTATCTCCTGCATTGCTGGGGACGCATGTGCAGGGTCCTCGGCTCTGATTTCGTCCCATATCTTCCCGGTGTTATGCCGCCCTTGTTGGAGCTTGCGGCGGCCAAAGCAGATATTCAACTAATAGACAGCGAAGATGAAGTGCTGGAAGAGGAAGGTTGGGAGCTGGTGCCCTTGAAGGGGAAAGTGATTGGCATTAAGACTTCGACGCTCGAGGATAAGCATACGGCGATCGAACTCATTACGATCTATGCCCAAATCTTGGAAGCAGATTTCGAGCCTTTCGTGGCCGACATCACGGAGCGAATCGCTCTGCCTGGTCTGTCATTCTTCTTCCACGATCCCGTGCGGGTTGCTTCTGCCAAATTAATCCCCCAGTTACTCAACTCGATCAAGAAGCGATACGGTGACCAGTCGCCGCAACTCAACGAAATGTGGACGAAATGCTCCGAAAAAGAAATTGAAATCCTGAGTGCCGAACCTTCTATCGACACATTGGCCGAAATGTACCAATGCTTTTATGAGAGCGTCGAAGTGGTAGGCAAGGGGTGCCTGACACCACAACACATGGAACAATTTGTGCGGTCGGTCAAGTCGACGCTGGAAGAGTTCCAGAAGCGCGTCCAAGAGCGTGCTGAAGAGAAGGCCGAGACGGCCGCGGCCAACCAAGGCCCGGATGCCGATGAGGAAGATTCCTTGTCGGTACAATATGCCATCGAAGACGACCAGACCCTTCTCTCGGACATGAACAAAGCCTTTCACACGATATTCAAGAACATGGGCGTTGCGTTCCTCCCCGCGTGGCAGCAGCTCATGCCCTTTTATGATGCGTTCGTCAATAGTTCGGACCCCATGCAGCGACAGTGGGCGATCTGCGTCTTTGACGACGTCTTGGAATTCTGTGGGCCACAGTCCTGGCAGTATTCCGATCACCTTATGCAGCCGCTAATCAATGGCATGAGGGACGAAAATGCGAACAATCGACAAGCATCCGCGTATGGTGTGGGCATTGCAGGACAAAAGGGAGGAGAGCAGTGGAGTGACTTTGTCGCTGCGAGCATTGACATCCTTTTCCAGATCACGCGGGTCCCTAACGCCAGGAGCGACGACGATGTCTTTGCCACCGAGAACGCGTGTGCTGCGATCGCTAAGATTTTACACTACAACGCCAGCAAGGTGGTCAATCCCCAATCGGTCGTGGAGCAGTGGCTCGACACGTTGCCCGTGGTCAACGACGAAGAGGCTGCGCCGTATGCGTACAGTTTTGTTGCACAATTGATTGATCAGTAAGTTGAAGATTCCTCATCTGACCTCGACCGTGTCGCTGACATTCAATCCCCAGACAAAATCCGGCCGTGTTTGCCAAAGCGGCCCAAGTTTTCCATCACATCGCGCTTGCTCTGGAAGCGGAGATGATCCAAGGTGCCACCGCTAAGAAAATCGTTGAGAGCGCGAAGGTGCTAGTCGGCAAGACGGGGATCAATGCTGACCAGATCCTGCAAGGCCTCAGCGAGGACGGGCAGAGGACCGTGAGGAGTTATTTTGCATAATGAAAGGGGCCCCAAGTCGAAGCCTGAGAGGAGTGAATGAACGCGGGATTGGAAAGAGGGTGCGTGGCTGGTTTTGTTGTCGTGTTTCCGTGTCTGAATTTCGACTCGAGCAAGGAACCGGTGCTGCAACGAGGCCCCGGGAAGAGCAATATCACAAGCGACATAGACGAGATAAGCCGGAGGAAGCACTGGTATAAGATCGAACGAAGAATGCAAACGCAGATCTCTCTCTCTCTCTCTCTCTCTCTCTCTCTCCGTTTTTCCTTCATCTTTTAGGCGGAAGGTTGCGCGGAAGTGGATAGATATGATCTCTGCCTGCCCAGGTAATTTGGGGCCGTCGTTCGTTCGTTCTTTCTCACATATGTATCCCTCGTATGGCCTATCTATCTACCGATCATCCATCCGCCTGGCACCCTGTCATCCTATCCTCTTCGCCCCCTTGTCCATTTCCATTTCCCTTTCCATGATGTGGTTTAGGAGGGTGGATTTTCCGCGATTTATATGATTGACCTTTTCTCTTCTCCCTCATGGTTTCTTTTCTTCTCTTCGCTTCATCATCATAACTAACTAACTGTCTTCAGTACCGGCCGTCATGCCAAGGAAGGCGGTTTCTTGGTTGGTTCGTGTCTGATCGATCCATGTGTACCTCTCCCTGCCTCTCCCTGGGCCCCGGTCTCTTTTTTCTAAGACCGCATCCGATATATAATGGATGGATGGATGGATAGATGGAGACTCGGAGCTGTAAGAGACGAGCAAAAAAGACCTAGCCTACCTAAACTACCTCCAGGTACCTCGATAAATAAAACACATTAGTAGTTAGTTACATATACTTTACAAACATACATACATACATACATACATACATATCCGGAGAAGAAAGATCTTGGACACGGATACATACAGCCGGGACTCTCGAGGATAAAGTAGGATGGAACACATGATAGAATAGCCAGCCAGCCAACCAGCCAGCCAGCCAGGTAGGTAGGTAGGTGCACATTCAACAGGACCGCGATGAATAAATACAAATGTGCCTTGCACCTTGTACACACACTCACACGGGGCAGAGCGGCCTCGGATAATCCATTGGATAGACAGGTAAATAGGTAGGTAGGTAGGTATATACAAGAAACGCCATTCACCGCCGCGACCTCCATCGTCCTCTGTCGCGAGACTTAACTTTCCTATCTCGAAATTTTGTCCCCGTACTCGATATATTCAGATACCTCCCCCCAGTCGTTGTTAAAGAAAGCATTTCTTCACCCACTCATCCCATCCACTTCCAAAATTTTGGGTATAAAAAGGTGTCGCCTGCCGTCCAAACCAGGAGCATTGTCATCCACCCCATCCCAACACATTCTATACCAAGGTCACCCAATGCCCCATGCCGTCATGCACGGCACCCAACATCTCCCCTTTCTAGTTCGCTTCATGACCAGCTCGAACCGAGAGCCCGTCGTGCGAATCATAAGCTTTCAGGGCTCATCATGCTTGCGTCTCCGTCTCCAACCACCCCGTTCACTTTTTCAACACCATTCACTTGTGGCATCTCTCCATTGACGCTGTCCATCATGTCCAAGGCGTCCACAGAAGGAGGCAGGCCGGTGTCATCTTGAGTCTTGTCATTATCCGAAATCGTTTGGACCTCAGTCGTTGAAGGCTTTGCTTTCAGCATTGGTTTCTGTTTCTTCTCAGGACTTCCGTCCCCACCAGGACCTGGCGTTGACGGAGTAGCATTGCCCACGCCATTGACCATCGGACTGTCGTCGCCCAGCCCATTGGCAACAATCGACTTCCTCTTGCCTTTGTCCCCGGGCGTTGTGCTTCCCACCGCGGCCGCAGCAGCCTTGGCAGCGTTCGCGGCATTCTTGTTGGCGGCGGCCTTTTTCTGGGGACTGGCGTTACTCTTGAGTGTTCCCTCCCCGATCTTTCCAGACGCAGGAATTCTCGCCCTTCCGTGGCCGGGCCTTTGCTTCGGTGGCAGTTCCAGGTCTTCCGTGAGGGGACGCTCGCCGTTATCACGCAGGCGCTTCCGGAACCAATCCCTGATCAGACCAATCTGATCTTCCACATTTTCCATGCTGATCTTGGGCCAGCGGGTTGGTTCGATGAACATCTTCTCCGTCGAATCCGCCGAGTTATCTTGTTGATTGCTGAGGCCGAGGCGGTCTTGCAGGATGTGAAACGGCACGGTCAGACTGGCCATTCCAAACTCCTTATCGAGGCCTAGTTCACGGAAGCCAAAGAAATCTTCGTCAAGGTCGCCGGCGAAGTCTCCACCCACGTACTGCTCTCCACCGTCGGCAAACGATCCTTGTCCATGCGCAGTGTCGTCGGTCAAAGCTGGTCGAAGGAGATCGGCGAGATGTCCCTTCATCCGCTCATGCATCATGGTGAGTTTACTGGCGGTGCGATCGATATCTTCTCGTGCGTACACATCTAGGTCACCCAGTGACATACCACCCGTGTGAAGAGCATGCAAAATTGTCTCTTCCATGGTATACGGAGACTTGTACCGCACTTCCGATTGCTCACCCTGCGCAACGGGAACCGCGGACGGCACAGCAATCTTGTAGTCTTCTCGGTAGTTCACCAATGTCGAGCATAGCCGCTGGAAGAAATCAGCTGCTAGATCCGTCACCGCTTCTATCGCCAAAGGTTGAAACTCCTCAAACCCTGCGTGGAAGAAGATTTCCCCTATCGACCTTTGGAAAGCCGCCCTGCAGACCCACGGAGCCATGACGGGCCCGTCATCTGACATGACGTGGTTTGGAATGTCTGCCTCGACGAAGGGGTCTGGTTGGTACTTCTGGAACTGGTTTTGATAGGTCTGCGACTGAAGTTGCATCTGCTTGACGACGCTGATCTTCGAAACCACCTTCCGTGTGTCTTGCATTTGTCGCATGTTGGACTCGATCGTTTTGGAGAGCTTGCCACGCGGGGCGACAAACTGACCGGGAGGGTACAATCGGAGGAACTCCTCAGAATGTTCAATGACATGCCCTTCAGAATCTTGTTCCCATTTCAGTCGGGGGTCGATGTCGGGGATGGCAGCGAGCGCATCATAGTAGTCAGGTAACATATTCTCCTCCTCGACTTCCATTCCTTCAGCGAGAGTTTGACCATGGATTTCGACCCTGTTGTCCCGTTCAGATGTCTCTGCCCCGAGCTCTGCAACATCTTTGCCTGCGGCTTCTTGTTGCATACGTTGCCACCGGCGCATCCCGGCTTTACTGCGCAGCAACGCCGTCTCGTCGGCGTTCAATTTATCTCCACGGAAGAGCTTGTGTCGCGCGGCTGCGAGCATTGCGCGATCCTTTTTCGTCTTCTGTTTCCAGAGCTTATAGTCCTCGTCTTCATATTCAGGTATTGGCGCTTGGGAAGGCAGTGCGGGGAGATCCAGATCCATGGCTTCACTTCCGCCCCCAGCAACGCTGCCGGGGCCAGGAGCACCAATGGGGGTCAGAACTCCCGGCGGCGGCGTCGAGTGACCTTGACTCCCGTCCACCTCAGATTCTGCTCGAATGCCATTCTGGACGGAGCTCAGTGATTGCAACACAGGCTTGGTCTCCGGAATAGGGGTGGTTTCAGGCGGTGCTTTTCGGGCTGCTGCTCCTCCTTTCTTCGCGCTTTTCTTGGGAGCCTTACGGCCTCGGGATGACATGATGGGTTCGTCATCGCTCTCTTCAGCGCCGTCGTCGAGTTCACCTTGTTGCCGTCTTTCTTCAGCTTCGACCTCGGCACGATCTCTGATGACGATATCCGGGATTAGAGGCACAAGCTTGTCTGTCTCCTTCTGCATGAACAGGGCGTGTTTTCGGAACAGATGGTCAGGGTTGCTGTTGAACTTGAGGCAGTTCTTCCAAATCTGATTCAAATCATCCACAAATTCCTTCTTGGACTTGTAGGCAAATTGCTTGAGTTTCTTGGTCATGGTACCGAGATCCATGGGATGCTTGATGACGAGATAGTAGTCGGGAGCATCCTTCTTCTTGACGGGGTTGAGGAAGGGAGTCGAGTGCTCTGTGTGGGCCTTCAACTCGGTCAAGACTTTCTCCGCGGCCTCGTACAGTTCTTCCTGGCCAACCTTCTCCTCACTCGCCCATTTGCTTCGGTTCTTGCGCACCTCGCTCATCAGAGCACGAAGCTCCGACTCAGTTGCATGGACTAGGTTGCGATGTTCATCCAAGCGCGCAATAAGGTTCTTCAGCGTCAAACTGGACGCGCCGAGATTGGCCTTGCTCAAACTGCCTTGCTGCATTGTAGCATTCTGTCGGTTCGCATGACCTTCAGCTTCAGCTTCGGCCCGGCGCTCTGCCTCATCAAGGCGTTGCTGATCCAACATGGCGTCTCTGTCATTTTCCAGCGTGAAGAACATTGTCCGTGACAGGGTTTTGACGGTCTCAATTTCCTTGCGCTTGGCCTCTTCCAGCTTCTTACGGGCATCTTCGGCATCCTCCTTCTGTTTGTTCGGTCCCGCCTTGCTCGTAGTCTTTGCCGAGTCGGAGGGAAGACTCGGGGGTGGGGCGGGTCTCGGAGTCGGCGACGAGGTCGCGTCAGCGACAATATGCACCTTGTTTGGGCTTCCCTTGACGGGAGACGCGTTCGCCGCGGCGGCGTCCGCTGGCTCGTCGTCATCATCGTCGTCGTAGTCGTCGTAGTCGTCTTCTTCCAACTTGCGCTTTTTGGATATGGGAGCAGGGGGCGGAGCGGACGTCGCAGCGGCATCGGGGGCGGATTGTTGGGAGGGGGCGACAGCGAGAGTGCGCCTTTGAGGAGTCACAACTTGTCCGACATCATTGAACAGGGTTGCGAGTTTGCCCTCGGTATCTTGGAACAATTCGCGAAACCGGAGAACCTGGGGGTCTTCCTCGACGCTGGGCTCTGGCTCCGCAGCTTGGCCGGACTGGGAACCACTCCCCAGACTGCGCAATTTGAACGAACTCGGCGTGTGTGGTCTGGAGGGGGCGCGGAGCAGGCCATTCAAGGTATCTCTGTGTAGAGAATGCAGGAGAGGTTCATCGTCTGGTGGTTTCTGATTGTTTGGGGGCGGCCATGATAGGGACATGACCGTGCCAACCCCGACTGCGGCGAGGCGAGGGGCGTAACTCCTCCAGTTTGACAGGGAAGCCTCAGCGCCGACGAGGGAGTCGTGGGAAACGGCCAAAATTCGAGGAGACGGTCGAACGGAGTGCGTAGGGGATCCCGAACATGGATTGAGAAGAATATGCACCGAATTGGGGGTGGTGTTGATAAAAATCTCTGCCGACTGTTGATGCGATTACGCAGAGGCAGAGGCGGAGGCTTGAGGTTGAAAGAAACGTTACAAACTGCGGTTGGGATTGAGTGAGGCAAGCGGAGGCCTAGTGAGCCTAGGTGCCTTAGCCACGACCCTAAGCTACTCGGACTAGGGACCTTAGGTGATGAATCCAGCTTCTCCAACTCCCACTGCCCAGGCGACCTGCTCCTATATTTCTGATCGCCTCTAGGCCTCACTCAATTCCGTTCAGGCCATTGTCACCCTCTACGACTGACTTGTTTCTGTATCTGTGCTGTTTGTTACCGTTGGCCATGTCTGAGTCTGCCTAAGCTGGCACTCCGCCAGCCAAGTCCGACAACCCGTAGTGCCCGACATCGCATCCCTCGAGGACCACGTACCTGGATATCCCTCCATTGTCGTCGACACAACGACTTCGACAGTACCACTATTATACCGCAGCCACGATGCGAATCCGCTTTCCCTTTGCAAGTAGGTAGTCCCGACTTCGTCATACCTTCTCTGGATACTGACGAGTCCTCTGCAGTAACCTTCGTCATCCTCCTCGTCTTCTCCTCCAGTCTAGGCCTGCTCCCACATTCATCCCTCCCATCCACCCCAGCAGCAGCACAACCCTATATCCCTTCGCAGTCCGACAAGGCACTACACTTTATATGCTTTTTCCTCCTCACCGCGACGTTTTACTTCATCCTCGACACTTCTCGGCGACGTGTGATTCATCTAACCTTGATCGTATGCACATTGCTCCTGGGAGTGGGGAGTGAAATTGCGCAAGGACTCTTACCAAATGACCGTGAGTTTGACGCTTGGGATGTCCTGGCAAATGTCGTGGGAAGTCTTGCAGCATTGGGCTTGGCGAGCGCATATCATCGTCGGGCTGCCGAACGGAGAAGAAGAGCGAAATACTCTGCCCTGACGGGTGACGGCTTGGAAGGTGAAGACCTCGAGCTCGGCGAGGGTGCAAATGGAACGCTACACTCATCCGAGCTCGACGTCGACGGAGGCCAAGAGACGGGTGTCACGCCGGCTCGGACGGTGGAGGAAGAGCTGGACAACTGGGATGAAAACGCTCCAGATGATGCGTGGGATGAAGACGACGACACAACCGCCACCAGTGGACAACATACTAAAGTGACACCATCGACGAGCTCGGTTGGGAGCGAGGAACCGCCCAAGAAAGTTGCAGTCGACTAACACTTCAGGATGCCAGAGTGTCTGGTATACGCCGGGGGAGGCTGGGATGAAGCGAAATGGGCCACATGAACATGCAGCGCATTGAACCGAATCGGACCAAGATATCTATGGATTGTACGACTATTCGCTTCCCATGCTCTGTCTCCAGGGGTAGCAATGATTTAAGCCGGGTCAGATATAGTAATGAAGAGAATTGATCGAAAAGACTAAACCATTTCGTAGGGGCATGTCTTGCAATGGATCCGCTTCATGGCGATCGTTGCGCCGTTTTGCTTCCTTCCTGCTTCTTCTGTCTTGCGCTAAATGAATATCTGGGTCCTTGCAACAGCCCTCTTCCTTTACCATGTTCATTTCGCGTCAAGATCATAATGTCATGTAGACGTGAGCTCATTCTTATTCACGCTCCGCCTCGAGTTCTGCGGCTCGCAATCGACGGCCATATTCCACACCTAGGCCTCTGTGAACCTTCCTTTTCCTCCTCGTCTCCCCCTTTTTCTTGCTTGAACTCCACGTCTGCTCTGGCTTAGCGGAAACAGCTGAACCTCCCACAGCTGATCCGGAAGGGATTTCTCCTGACGCCGTGGCGGCCGACAGTAACTCCACCACCGGCATGACGACCGCCCCAGTTCCTGGCTGACAGTTAGCTAAAGTCTGTGTTGTGGTGAGGAGGCAATGGATTTGGGTGACATCCAGTCACTGCAGCCACTCATGTGTGAGAGAGGTTCGACTTACTTCGTGTAAAGGAACGGCATAGTTCTTGATTTTTTGCGGTTGGGATTTGAGGGTTGAAAAAGGCCGGGTCAATGGAGCGTTCGATACGAGACAGACACACGGAGAGGACTCAATGAAAGGTGGTAGCGGATGGTAAGACGAGAGATACGATGTAAGGGCTAGAAGTAATATTTATCTAGCTGTGTACAGAGGAAATCACCTGGTCATTATATGCCCAAGAGTACACCTGAAAACGCCTGCTAAGGTTGAAGAGTTCTTGGTATGACGCTCTGTGGCTGCTCCATATTCAAGCGACTGGCAAAGTGGTCGTCTTGCCAAGGACATCAAGGTTACCTACTGGCAAGCAAATCAGGCTTTTGACTTCCACTGTCTCAAAGTCGATCTGAGATAAGTTGTGCAAGCCACAAGATGCTCAGCATGAAGATCGAATGACGTATATCAACAACTCAGCCTTGGTCGTATACATGGCACGTGATACGTCAATAGGTGCCGCTTTAGCACCAGCCACGACAACCTCATCCCGACTTGCTCTGCTCAGTTTTCCACTCCAAGCAACCCAACTCACTCACCTTGGTGGGATCCCTTGAAGAATTCATTTCTTGAAGCGCTCGGTCAACATGGTGGGCCGAGAAATTGTACTCCGCATGGCCTCGAATAGCCAACTATCAGGCCCGAGACCCAACCACTCGAAACGCGCTTCTCCTAGAACGCGCTGAGGCTCTGCTACAGGATATCACACCACCCCGGCCTCCTGCGCAGCGACTATGGTCAAATTGTCTCTTTCACCCGTCTCCCCGCAGGTTTGCTCCATTGATTTCTCCATTGTTGCTCTCACCACCGTTGTGGCTCCTCAGTCCACTTCCCCCCTTCTTGATTCTGCGTTTCAGATGCATCACTAAACGTGTATCAGATCGACGTCGCTTGGCCAGAGACAAGACCTTCATATGTCGCTATTCCCCCCTTATCACACCACTGTTGCTCCTTCTTCAGAGGAAGAGCTAGCCAACAAATATTCTTATAGACCTACTACATTGTCTGCCAGTATGGAATCTGATCATCCCGCCGGCTCGGTCTTTCTCTCCTCGTTTTGTATTGTCTACTTTTCCTTTCCTTACGCAAAATCAAAGTCAAAGACGCGGCTGGTTCGGTTCTTGCCATTGCTTTTCGCCCTGCTAATTCTCCAAGTCCTCACGCTAATTCCGGCAAATCATCAAAACATCCGCTGGCTCGGTTTACAGTCATTCTGACCGAGCAGTCAACTTCTTAGGGGCACTACGCAGAAGAGTCCAAACCTCCCGCCATCTCACGGTCAAACTCATATACATTTACCGACGCTTAGGCTTGGCTTTGTCAACGGTGCCAACCATGTCGGAACGAACGAGGTCCACGCCCTTGATGAGGATGCTCCTCTCAGGAGAGGTCAGTGGAGAGGAGCCTAGAGATTTGTCTCCTAAAGAGAGGTTTAATAGATGGATGGTCAACGAAGGATCTCGACGTCTATTTGTCGGCATCTTTATCCTCGTGCACTGCATGTTGTACGGTTTCGGCTTTATGAACTACCAGCTGAAAGACAACCTGACCAAAGCCCGCGCCACCTACGGCTACGGCTATCCCATCGCTCGATCTGCTGCCCTCGTCTTGCATTTCGATGTCGCCTGTATTCTCCTGCCGGTTTGCCGAACCCTCATTTCGCTCGCTCGCCAAACACCTCTGAATGGAATCATACCTTTCGACAAAAACATTACCTTCCACAAACTCGTGGGCTATTCGATTGTGTTCTTCACGTGGGTTCACACTATTGCCCATCTCCACAACGTCGCACAACTCTCCGCGAAGAACAACGGAGGCTTCATCGGGTTCGTCAAGCTCAACTTCCTGACAGGCCCCGGCTGGACCGGCTATATTCTGACGATCTCAGTCATGGCCATGTTTTTCACCGCGCTTGAGAAGCCTCGCCGAGCCAACTACGAGCGCTTCTGGAATACCCATCATCTATTTGTCATCTTCTTCATCTTCTGGTCCATCCACGGAGCTTTCTGCATGATTCCCGCAGATAACAAGCCGTTCTGTTTCGGCAATGGCTCGTTCTACCTTTACTGGATGGTGGGTGGCTTCACTTACCTTGTGGAGCGTGTCCTGCGCGAGATCCGTGGCTACCAGAAAACCTATGTGACCAAGGTGATTGAGCATCCCTCGAACGTGGTTGAAATTCGGATCAAGAAAGAGCATACGAAAACGCGCCCCGGGCAGTATATCTTCCTGTGCTGTCCGGAGATTTCACTCTGGCAGTATCATCCATTTACCCTCACGTCTGCCCCTGAAGAAGACTATCTGTCTGTCCATATCCGCATGGTTGGCGACTTCACCAAAGCCCTCGGCAGAGTTCTCGGATGCGAAGGCTTGAAGATCCACGACGAGAAAAAGGCTCAATACTCCGAAGCTGTGTCCAAGGTTGACGAGAGCGGTACGCAGCTCACTAAACTTCTGCCACGGCTATACATCGATGGGCCCTTTGGTTCCGCCTCAGAAGATGTCTTCAAGTTCGAGACTGTGCTCCTGATCGGCGCGGGTATCGGTGTGACCCCGTTTGCCTCGATCCTAAAGTCTATCTGGTACCGCATGCGGGAATCCGGATCCTCTGCCCCGAGGACGCGACTGCGCAAGGTATATTTCTTCTGGGTGTGTCGAGATTTCGGTTCCCTGGAGTGGTTCAAATCCCTGCTCACGGCCATCGAGAGCGAGGACAAGTGCCACGCGATCGAAATCCACGCGGTATGTCTATTCCCATTCCCGGCTCTTCTCGTCAAGACTTCCCAGCTAACACGATCATTGACAAAACAGTACCTGACGGCCAAAATCACCGCTGCCCAGGCGTCCAACATCGTCCTGAACTCCGGGGACACCGACGCGATCACGGGCCTCCGCACACCCACCAACTACGGGCGTCCCAACTGGGACATGGTGTTTCGCGCCATCCGCAAGATCCACTGGCCCGGCGAGTGCGGCGTCTTCTTCTGCGGGCCCAAGGGCCTGGGGGCCGAGCTGCACGTCAAGTGTAACATGTACACCGAGGCCGGGGATCAGGGCTACAGCTTTGTCTGGGGTAAGGAGAATTTCTAAAGCAGTGGAGGGCCGAATCGAGGCGGTGAGGCGCCTGCATGCCTACGACGTCGCCCTCGTGGCGCGGCTGGGAGACCGTGACGACCCTCTCGCACGCTCTCAAAGATCCCGCAAATCACAATAGACCTTTCGTTTCTTGGGGACCACATGAGCGAGCGAGCTTTTCTATCCCACGGGGTGCTCCGCTCAATCCGTCGGCACAAAAGACGCACAAAAGACTGGCGTAGTTCAGGGGCACATGTAGTAGGTAGGCTCTTGATCGACGGCGGAGATATATGTAGGGAATTTGTAGTAACGAACGAAAATCCCATCGGGGATGCTCTGCTGACCTGCTCGCCCGCTTTGCTCGTGCTCCGCACTCTGAATTAAACTCCCCCCTTTCCCTGGACGCTCTTTGCGAAAACACCTTGAGCAAATGAAAACACTAAGAACCTTTCATTCTCCGACACGGTGGCACTGCGTAGCCGCGACAGGATGGATTAATTGTCCGTTCAATTACCAAACTTCTCCCGCCACTGACATAACACCAAACGATGCTCTCTGAGGCTGCAACGAGTTCCCAAGTCGATATGAGTCTCGGCCATTCAGGTGATGGGCCTTGGAACAGGCCCATGGTCCTGGAGAGACCTATTCAGTCACCGTCTCCATCGAGACGCGGCTGGTGCGCACTTCCGCTCTGGGTGAGGCAAGACGGGCAATCTCGGTTTTCCGGGTCCAGAGACCCGGAGACAGACCATTCCTCTTTCAGGGGCCAGGTGATCATGGTGAAAAACAACAAGATATCCGACGTTGCAGAGGGTATTTTATGAGTGTCCTGCAAATGTCGGAAAATGCGTCCGTGTGTAAAGCGTGACTTAGAACCCAATTTGCAAGAACCAATGGCACATTCATAGCGGCCATGGTCCTGTTGCAAATGCAGCTCCCTCTCAAGATCAAAAACTGTGGCAGAGCAATGGTTATAAGGACACATGAAACGCATGTGCTTTTCCCTAGCATGTTCTATCATCTTATCTTTGCGGGAAAACACCTCGGCGCAATCACTGTCAACACACGGATACCCAGCCACATTGTTGTGAGTAGAATCGAAGTGTCTCCTGAGGTCGCAGGTCTTTCCGAAGGGCTTCTTGTAAGTACAGCCTGGATGTGTGCAGACCAAAGGAACAACATGGATGTTCCTGACGTGGGTTCTCAGCGAGGAGCGAGAACGAAAGGTTGCCTTCGAGGGACAGTCCTGCCAGAAACATCTTTGCGGGCCGTTCCACATTCTGTCGATGTTTTCTGCAACTACTCGCATGCGTTCTGGTGGAGAAGCAGTATTCATTCCAGTTTGCTTGGCGATAACACGTGAAGATTGCAAAGGAATCCCGACAGGGACCTGACTGTTTACCTGATCGCCCTGTTAGCGTCTGCTAAAAAAAAAAAACTCACGTCGATTGGCTGGATTTGTGGGACATGCAAATTTGGCCCCAGTTGCGCTTCGTTGTTGGCCGTCGCCAGGCCGGTAGAACGAAGGCCGTCGGGGTCCAGAAGAGCATTCGGAGCTGCCTCCATCTCGCCCAAGTAGTAGTGACCAGCAGCATTGTCAAGCGTCTGTGACCCGGCTCGCAGGCTGCGAAAATCACCACCGTCCAAGACTGAAAGTGATTTCCAAGTCGCTGCAGGGCTCATCGGAGCACTGGCACTTGAAGCAAAGGGCTGCCGGGTCGCAAATATGTCAGAATTAAAGTCGCTGGTGATATCCTCAATCGTGTTGAATTGGTGATCCTGTTCCGCAAGATTTGGACTGTCGAAAGACTGTTCGCCTTGCTGCGAATCTGCCTGACCATTCTCCAGAGGAGTGTAGGAAAAATCGGCGGTGGCTGAAGTAATGGTAGGGCTGTCGAACAGGCACGATCCGGGAAGGGGGAACAGGTCGAGGTCGGGCAATTCATCTTGAAGCAACATCTGCTCGTAGGAGATGTCGTACCTCTGTTCAGAAGACATGGTGGTCAAGATCTCTGCAAGTTCGGCTTTTTCGTTTGAACGAAACAAGTAGCTGCGGACGATTGTGTAGGAGGAGGCTGGGTAGGGTGTGAAGAAGACATTGACAGGAGGATGGGATGTAGAAGGGAAAATAAGATTGAGGGCCAGTGGCTGAAGTGAGCGCCCTTCGTCTTGTCCCTCCCGGCCTCTTTGCGCCCTCGTGGCTTTCTCCCTCTTTGCAGAAGCTTGGCATTTGCCTGCGGTTTTGTACTCGGTACGAGGTATACATCTGCGAAACGCCCTGACTCATATAGACAACTCCCCATCTGCTCTCTTGACAAAATGGCATTCGAACCCCCAAACTTGACTCCCAACCAGAGAACCGCGAGGGCCTACACGACTGGTACAGCCTTTCTGATAGGTGTTTCCAAAGGCAGATTAATGACTGGGGTGCAAGACCATTCACCATCCCAGGGTAGACTCCAAAAGATGTTCGACTGTTCACCCAAAAGAAGAAATACATATAGACCCATAGGAAAAGGTCTTGACCCCATTGTCTACCTGGAACCAGCGAATGCCGAGTAGTATTGTCTAGTGTCAATTACCCAACGGCCATTCCTCTTCCGAGTACGAACGGACTACCTCATACATGTATACATCCTATTGACTCTGGGGTGTAAGACGAGGGAACAAGGTGTATAAGGAAGGATCTGCAGCTTGTCACATCCACCCGAAGTCGAAAGTCGAAAGAATGGATATACATATGTATCCGCCTGTGGGTCGTTCCGAACATAGTGCCAAAAAAAGGCTTGTCTTCACCCTGCAAGATCTCACTAAATCCGCCCGAGAGAAGGGGCTTCAGCTCGCCGAAACACTTGGCCCAACACACCAAGCTGCCACTCAACACAGACCCGGAAAAAGGCAGTCTGGAGGGCACACTTCGAGAAAGAGAACAAAATTCTTCGAGGAGGAGGAAAAGGAGCACCAGCCTCACCCGAATCCCAGCGCCTTGATTCAGTATAGCAATTCGGGCCCCTTTTTCGCATTCCTCTATCCAGATCAATCCCTTGAATCACGCCCTGATTGCGACTTGGCAAAGTGTCTTGGCCCAGACGGTGATTCCTTCAGAGATCCAGAAGTCTTCAACGTCTCTCACGGTATGGAACACCGAAGGGATCGACATAATTGAGTGCGCCGAACGCTTGCACTTTGTCCTGGCATGGACGTCGTTATTGCAATCGACGGCCATGTCATCATCGTAAATGAAGAAGCAGCTTATGGTGAAGGCCGTCGCGTACAAAGTTGCCGGCATAGCCAAGTTACGAAAGAATCTGCCCACCCTGACAAACCTGACTGCAATTCGAGCTGTGTGGCATCTTATGGGAGCCGAATTGTACAACGGGTACTTGACAGCGGCAGTGACGCATTTCCATGCTATGGTTAATCTTGTTGCGTCTGTTGGTGGCCTCGACAGCCTGCTGTGGGAATTGAAGAAACTGGTCATTGTCAGTGACACGATGATTGCATCCGCGAGAAAAACGAAACCCGCTTTTGAAAGTGGTAAGTTTGTTCCCCGTCTGGAAGTCTTGGGGGTTTGGCGTAGTGGCTAAGGTGGAACTAAGAATTCTCCTCTAACAGGATGACCGGGATCCTGGAGCAGTGACGACTATCCTATCTGAGCATTAGGTAGACCTCCTTGCTGTTGAGCGGAAAGGCCACAGCAGCCGCTTCGAAGTCACCGCCACGATAGATAGCCAGGGACTCCGCCGCTCCGCAGGGCAAGTACGCCAGTCGACTCCTTTACGTAGGCGTCGACCATCTCCCTTGGGACGAAGCAGCAACAAGCCTCGGTCACAGTCGCGCTTGATTTACTACTTAATTGAGAAAATCTGGCCATATCCCTTCTAGATTGCCCCCCCCCAAATCATCTGTTTGTTGTAGATCCGTGCCGTAATTATGTACCTAGGTAAGGAGGTAGTAGAGGGGGAGACATAGGTACCTGGACAATCTAACGAGTACAAATCCAGGGACCAGCATGTCCCATAACACAGTATCGTCTCCTCCGTCACGAGCGGAGGTTGTTCCGCCCCAGGCCTTCATTTTGCAAACACAGTTCGAATCAAGGTATTCGAGAGGAAGACGGGAGAAGCTCAGATCCATTGTTTCATTGATTTCTCTCCCTCGTGGCTGGACTTGCATGTCGCAGCCTCGTGTGCGGCCGTGAGGCCGTCCTCGACAACAACAACTAGTATACGCCCGACCTTCCACCTAGTCTGCCGCTCCTGTAAAGCGGCAGTCAGACTCCTTCTCCTCCAAGAGGGTGAGTGATACCAATCAGATAGCTCGTCAAGCATTAGTTCATTTCATACATATATACCCCACCCGATGCTGGAGGGTGCGCGAGAGGGAAATAAAGAAAAAACAACCAGGGCCAGATCTTCTTGCACAGGCGGAACCAGCACTCGATTCATTATCTGTCCGCTCGACTCAGACTTCTCAGCACACCCCCCAGATCTCTCGGGGGGCTCCCTGATCTCACGCCTAGGGCTTTTCGTTTCCCTTCTTTCTCCCGCTGCGTCAGCTTCTCGGCGCAGATGGCCAGTACTCTTCCTGCCACGCTGTCAGCCGCGGTCCGGTACTGCGCTATCCTGTGGATGCCGTCCGCGAACGTGTCGACGGTCGGGCCTATCGATTCCAAAACACCACCGAGGCGCTGTGATATCTGATCTGTGGTTGAGATGTCGGAAGCTAACGAGTCGAGTGCAGCGGCATCTGCTTCGGAGAGAAGGGATCTGTCCAATTGATGCGCTTTCGATGGACTTGTCGGCACGTCAAGATCACGCAAGCTGGGCACGTTGGGAGGCCGGAGCAACTTCTCCAATGCCTCTTTCTCGAGTCGCAAACTGCCATCACCGTCAGCCACCGTGTCTACAACACCCGCTAACGTCCAAGGCTCACCATTTGATTTGCTCCTCTAATTCGGCAATCTTTTCGATGTTCTGTGTGTTCTTTGGGTTGGGCCGTTCTGGAAGTGGCTCCTGTGGCACAGGAACTTCTTCGCGGCCAAACCAGTCCGATAGATCAGACCTGTTGGCCAACTCTTTCAACAGTTCCTCTTCAATTACTCGGGCTGTCGAAAAACGTTAGCAAGGGACCGAATCATGAAGCTTTGACGGTTGCAAACCTGCTTGTCTGGCGCTGGCCTCCCCAAAGCCCGCACCTGATGGTTTTTCATCGAGAGAACGCTCGGCACACCAGATGAGAAGCTGTTTCATCCGTCTGGGCTCCGGGAGACCCTCGCTTTCAATGTGCTTATAATAGTCCGACACGTCCAGTTCTGGATGGGGCAAGGCTTGAATGAGAATTAGCAAACTGTGACTGACCGTGGCGCCAGACTTCTCACCACTGGAATTCCCTGATTCAATGAGCGAGCTGGCCCTTCGCCCGCGCATGCCCAGACTACTCCTCCTTTCGCCCTTGCCGGCCTTGCTTTCACGCATGGCTTTGTTCCGTTTGATGACTGGCGTGTCCGCGAAAGGCAGCGCGATCTTGGTCGAAGCATGGTCTTGTTGATTTATAGAAGAGGCCTCCTCATTTGAATTATCTTTAGGCTTTGCGGGAGGTGGTTCGTCCACCTTCTTTTCCGGCGACGTTTTGCGGGGTGCTTCAGCAGGATGTTCTCGCCTCTTCGCCTCCTCTTTGCGCACACTTTTCTTGGCAGGGCTTGCAACTTGTTGTTCGTTATCTCTGGATAGACGTTTTGAGCGACGTCGGGGAGGCTCTTCCTTCGAAACGGGTGTGGGAAATGAGGTTCGATTCCTTCGCTGGGCAGGCTTCGGTCTCGTCTCTTCGTTCTTCGGAATTTCGGTCTTGACACTCGGGGGCTGAGATTTGGGCGCGTCAATTTTGGTTGATACGGCAGCTCTCTCCTTCTCTGCCGGTTTCGCTTGAGGAGGCTTCTTTTTGACGCGTTTAAATTGAAACCCATCGTCCTCCTCGTCGTAATCTAGCAATCAGTGTAAGTCTTTCTGCTCGCATTCCGCCTCTGGCCCTCCCGACAGAAACCTACCCATCTTCCTTTTCCTCTCATTGGAGGCTCTAGCTGCTTGCGCAGCTACAGGTTCTGAGGTGCTGACAATTGTCTTCCCATTTCGGTTGCCTTGTTCCTGAGTTGAATACACTGTCGCGTCATCTTTCTCTTGAATTCGCGCGCTCAACCGTCGGGTCGGCCTTTGGATCGATGACATTGGCAGTGGGTGTAGCGGATGACGCGCAATTAGCATTGTCATTGGAGCGTTGGTGTGTCGGATCCCGCGTTTGTTGGTGAAATCGGTCGCATGCGCAGGTGCGGAGTTGGGCCGGTGGTTTAAAAGTTGAGCAATTTCATCCTAACGATATCTCTGCTAAAGAGTGATCGGACTGCGGCGCTGCGAGGGGGGAGTGGGCGTGGCAACGGGCGTGGAAATGGGAGCGAAGGTGGTGTCCAGCACTGAGGCGGCTTGTATCGCGGGCTTGTTCAATTGTTTACAGTCTGAGCCGAGCCCGCCAATCAGAATCCAGATGCCGCTTTTACACAGCGACTTCTCCTGCGCTCACTTTCACCATCAGACTGCGTTCTCTTCCGTGCACATCGACAGCAAGTCAGGATTCGAGCAGGATGCTTTCTTTCTCGCATGCCATCTACTGCATCTACCGCTCACTACATACTGGCAGTGGCAGTCTCGACGACCACGGTCTGAAAGTTACTTCGTCTCCGAAGAGAAGATCCGCCATCTTTCGTTCAGCGTTCTCTGCACCTCCATAGACCTTGCCAGATACAACCTGGCTTTCTCCCTTGGGCCGAGGGTCTCGGAAAGACAGATTGGACCAAGATCCTGACCAGCAGAGACCACTGTCGAAGACACAAGCTGCACTTCCCGACTCCAGTCGTCCCGCGTTAATTGACCTTGCAAATGAAGTCGGAGAAGCTGTGCATGCAGACAGGCTTGTGCAACGGCTGAGGCCGCGTGAGGTCTCTGGCCACCAGCAGCGTCTCCAAGCAGCACTATCTTTCCATCGCTAAAGATGTTTTCCAGCGCCAGAGAATCTGTGATCACTTGAACGAATGGGTTCTTCGTCTTGGCCACCGCTTCCGCAAACTGTGGCGAGAGCTCATTCTGTGCTCTTGCCCTGATCTCCTCAGCTAACCGTGAGCACATTCCACCTTGTGGCAATGCGAAGCAGTGTCTGACGCCATTGATATCTGTCATCAGCTCTGCCAATTCTTCCTCGGTCTTCCTCAGGTACCACCCCCAGTTGAGGAGCTTGTGGGAGTCTGGAGGCCCGACTTTGCTTGCTGGGACGGTATAAGAGAGCACTTGGGAGTTGCTGTTGAAGCACAGCGTGCCAGATAAATCCAACACCTGCGTCGTGGCAACCGAAAGATGGTCAACGGGCACAAGGCCACGAAACAGCACGTACCCAGCGTAGGTTCGCTTCGTGTCTGGGAGCATAATAGCGCGGACGTTGGACGAGGCACCGTCTGCCCCGACGACGAGATCCGCTAGCAACGTCTCCTTCCCAGTGTCGTTTACGAATTGGACTTTCATCTTGCCGTCGTGCTTAATCACGTCCCAAACTTTGCAGGAATACTGATATGTAACCACCGCCCCCTCATCGGAACTCTTCTCTATGAATGCGAGCATCAATACACGGAAAAGCTGGCTCCACGTGGTCGCACAGTTGCCGACGACGTCTCTGTGGAAGGTTACTTCGCCTTCCTGGTTGAGAATCTTGATGGATTTGAGCGGAATTCCATAAGAACTCATAGCCGCATTTGCATGTCTCCAGAGAAATTCGGCAACCTCATCTCCAATGCGAATCCCAGCTCCTTGGTCTTGCAACTGACTTGAAGGCTGACGTTCTAAGATGGTGATGGAACCGATTTCAGGCAGTGTCTTGAGCGAGACACCGACGCAGAGGCCTGCAATGGATCCTCCTACCTACAGTTACGAAACTGGTCAGTCGGCGTCGGCCACTGCTAAGGGTGCGGAAGTGAAGGACCAGGCCGTGAGTTTTGGGGCACAAGAAATATGACTTACTATCACCACATCCAGGCGATGCTGCACATCCATTGTCATGGAGTAGATCGTTGTGGATTCCAAGAAGGATGTCTAGGAGCGTTTCTATCGCAAAGGAATATATACACCTTTCAGGGCGAAATGAGGGGAGATGACCTCGTCTTTAAAGCCCTGAGAGCATGAAAAGTTTTGCGAGCCTCCTTCGCTGATTGTCGATGATCTTGCTTTCAGCCCACAACTGGGAACAGAACAATATAGCATGGGCCGCTGAAATGGTGTCTCGTATTCGAATACGATGTACCGAGTAGAGGCTGCGCCTCGCCATTTAAGCGAAAATGCGATGAAGCATGGCAAGGGTGCAAGCGATCGCTCCAAGGTAGGTGGACGTGTCTATCGGTGTACACGCGGGCAGTTGAGATGGCCCCGTGCAACAGTCATGGGTGCGGTTTCATGCTCACATCATCCCAGCCTCAACTCGTGTTCTTTGACCCTAGATCACCGTGTTCTACTTCAGCTACTCAGACACAGGTCAGACAAAAATGCGGGCTTCCAATTTTAAGGCCCCCCAATACCCAGATACTACTCCGAATAGTTTGGGGGAGGAATATAGACTACTGATTGTCATATAGCGTCGTCCATTGTTTTAGCAGCTGGTCAATTGCATCAGGCTTCTCTTGTTCGGCCGATTTCTCATCTCGAACTGTGTCCTCGACAGCGGAATTTGCTGCTTCTTTCGAGGCCTCCTCTTTCTTTGCCACCATCGCCAATGCATCTGGCAAATCCTCTCTTTCTGGTTCCCCTTCTGCCGCTGCCTCCGGTATGGTAGGTCTTATCTCAGAGTCGTCGGTGCTCTCCAGGTTTATATCTGAACCTGCCTCCGGGCTCGTGACTGGCAAAGGACGTGTGGACCGGCCCTTGGTCGAGGGAGGCTTTAGGATGTCATCGAATGTCGGAGATCTCACGAATTTGGGGCTGCTCAACCCGAGTGGTTGGGACGCTCCAGCATCACCGAACTCGGCCTTGTCGTACTCGAGGACGGTGTCTGGATTTTCCGATTCCTCCTCCACACCAAAGAACAGACCAGAGTTCTTCACCGTCCTGGAAACTTCCCGTCAGCTCAAGTGGGGCGATGCGAAAATGGTCAGGACTCACTCTTGGATAGTACCCATCGCCGCCGCCGGCGAAGGAAGAGATTCCAAAACAGACGAATACCAAGGTTTTCTGCTCGACCATCTTTGCCCTCCCGCTGAAGAACCCAGAGTTTCAGTCTCATTCTCGAAAGCGGGGAGTGTTTCCGCACGATGTGATACCCTATTGAATCGCGAGGGGCTGAGTAGCACGGGATCTTTGACTCTGATCTCGTTCCTATGTCGAAACGGACGGCGTTGCTCGGAGGTCAAAAAGTCCTCAACGCCAATGCTCTCGATAGCTACCGCTGCAACACTGGCGTACATGTCCAAGTCGTCTGATCCGAGATTTGAAGGAGTGTCGTGTTCCGGCCAGCTATGGTTCTCGCCGACAATAGATAAGACTACCCAAGGAGTCAGAACTCGCGGAGTGTGGCGCGAGTCGTTGATTTCTTTTTCCAACTTGATATTGACGCGCACCCGCGAGCCGTGACTGGCCACATAATCTGGTCGTTCGAATTGGAGCAATGCGCTTTCGATGTGCTTGAGGCACTTTCTCATGGTCAATTCGAGGATTTCGGACTCTTGGGGAGGTAAAGCTTCTGAGCTTGACCCAGCGACCTTCTCATCTGAGGGTGTGTGCCTGGCCAACGCAAGAAACGGGCCCCCAGCGGAGGAAGGCATTTCTTGATCAGTTGCAGTCTGCACCCTCTCTGGGTCTGAATGTTCTGTTGGCGCTTGTCCTCGCACAACCGCGTCATCCTCCTCGGCCCCGATGGTCTTCAGGAGGTGTTGATAATTTTTGGTGGCTTCCTCGTTTGCTCGAAGCAGGTTTTCGAGCAGCATCCTCTGGTAGCCATCGTTATTGTTCTCGTCGACGTCTTTGCATGTGGCTTTTTTTCTAGAGACCAACCGTGTGAGACCCCCAGCTTTCCCATTTGTTTTTGAGGGTCATAGAGGGTAAAACCTACTCAGCCCGCAAGTCCCGGGCGTACGTCAAGACATTCAACATCAGCACAAGCGTGCTCTTGAGCCGTTCCAGATTCCCGCGCAGGATCTCCATCTTGGGCTGGAGGAAGGGCCACCGGAGCCTCTCCAGCGCCGACAAGGCCAGCTTGCCGCCCTTCTTGACCAGTCCCTTCTTTGAGGCAGCGCTCTCCACCGCCCTGGCGACCATGGCGTCGATCTCTCTGAACACGCCCTCGCGTTCTGTCACGACCTCCTGCGCCGTCTGCACTGCCGTGCCCGAATACAGCCGCGCCTGGTCATCCTGTTTGAGGTTCGCGCCCAGCTCCTCCAGCACCGCGGCCGTCAGCGAGACGTCGCGCGCGATGTTCTTGATCTCGGCGGGAGCGGCCGTCACCGTCTCGGAGAAGCTGTATAGCGTGATGGACAGCTTGACACCTGCGCCGGCGATGCCGATGATGGTGCCGATCAGGCCGAGTTCGGCCATGGCGTTAGGGTGGTTTTGCTTGCCTAATGCTCAAAAGCTCTCATAAACCCTCTCAACGGAGACGCGTGAAACTTATGACTTAGAACATTCCAACACCAGATTTCAATCGCATGGTCTCCATATATGAGAGGCGGTCGAGAAGCGGTAAGTCTCCTGATGGTCAACAGCACCACGTCGAGGCTGACTAAATTGTAACTATTTCCAGGTGCCTGATACTGACATACCTACGATGTGGAAGACTAATCGTTGGAGGTAAGGCGTACTGCAGGAAGCCATCCTAGAGGACGACAAGCGAGGGCACGAAACACCACGTGGAGCCATCTAACTGGCATCAGAGAATCACCAATCTGACCAGCCTTATTCCTGTCTCTCTTCAAGAATGAGCCTGCTTCCACCAGGCAAGACAGGCACTCTATTCTTCAGTTGAGTGAGTGATACACATGGGATTTCTGTCCTGTCTGGCATTGCTGGGCCTTCTTTCCCGGTCTCTTGTCAGTCAGGAGCAGAGACTGGGGTTTTCTAACCCGTATCCCAGAACTTATATGTCCAGCTATATATCTGCCCCTCCCAAGGACTCCTTCCTAGTCTTAGTGTTTTCAGTGACCGTGTTCTACCCGCATTTCCTCCCAGCGAAACTGTCCCATCGCCTGACACCGCCAAACTACCGCGTCTCTAATGTCTGGCGACCGTGTCCCGCCGTGGCCTGTACGCTGAGGTAACTGAAGTGTTCGGCATAGCACGTCTCGGCGGCAATGTGGCTATGGGGCGGTAGAAATGAATTCTCAGCAAAAATACAAAAGTCGTTCCACAAAATCATACACAGTGCCATAGATCTCATGCGACAGGAAACAACCGGATGGACGAAAGGCTAGATAGATCGGATCGGAACATACCACATGACTTTATCCCACGGGCCCTCGGCGCCCTGGATGCATTCCCGGTACTGGTCGCGCAGGTCCTTCTGGCAGTCGAGCTGGGGCACTCTGAGCACCGGCACGGCCACGACAACGGACAGGAAGATGGAGACGAGGGTGGAAAGGAGGATGAAGATGGGTATCGTCATCGTGTGTGGCGGTGGCGGCGGTGGACAAATTCTGGCGCGTATACAGGTAGAGTCAGAGGTAGAGGTAGATATCTCAGACAGCCAGAGGCTCTCGACTCGGAGTGCAGAGAATATGTATGTATGTATGGGATTTCGAGGGAAGAGGGGACCGGACGAGCTCGCCACGACACAAGGCAGGGATGGCGTCCAGGGAAGAGCAGACAAGAAGCCTCTCTCTCGCTCAATGAGAGACGAGACGAAATGATGCGAAGCGAAGCGACGGAGAGGAGAGAAAGCGGCAGGGCAGATCTATCTATCTAAAAGACGAGCCAGCCAGTATGTATATATACTGTCCCTCGTCCCTCGCTCGCGGTGTAGCTTTGTACCATCCCCGCGACTCTGGCAGTGACCCCCTCGCTCGCTCGGTCTGCCTGACTGTCTGTCGATCGCTCTACGCATGGTTAGAGCACAACGAAGCGGGATCGAGGCCCCCCCTCGGCCACGAGAGAGAACTGTGGCTGACTGAAAACTGTCTCCGTCTCCAAGTGACCAGAGAGAGACGCGGCGAGAGAGAGAGACAGAGAGAGATCCGGGGCTTGGGTTTTCAGCTGCCGCCACACTAGCCACATACATACACGCCCTTTCCTTTCTAGAACCTGGACCTGGACCTGGACCTGGACCTGAACTCGGGGGGGCGAGGGCTGGACCAAACACAAAAGCAAAAGAAACTCCTTCCCCATATGGAGCGAGCGGGCGAGCGAGCGGGATGGCTTTTTTGCTAGTACATAACCGACTGGTTCTAGCCCGCCTAGTACGAACGGAGTACTCTGTTTGCACCTACCGTAGTTATAATACAGTACCGGAAAGAAAAGAGGTGTGTGTCTAGCTAATACATTAGCTAGCTGGCTAGCTAGATTCTAGGCCCATGGAGGGTTGGAGATCCTTGATTAATTAAGCGCCTGCCTGGTTGGGTGGGATCAGCCAGCCACGTGCAGAGAGTATCAATGGAGATGGAGATGGCGATAAAGACGGGGAGATGGATCACAGATACTGCAAGGAGGTAGTGGTGGTGTTGCTGCTCGGGTGGAGGGGTTGAATAAAAGAAAGTGGTGCCGCTTTGTACCTTGTCATGTATACGGAGCAAGCAGGACTCTCTCTCTCCCCCTCTCTGGGCCCTGGATGATAGGTAACAAAAAAGTGCAAATGCTCTAGTCGGAATAAAAGGTATTTAATGATAGAAGAAGAGCCTACCTAGCAAGAACCAGAACCAATTGAGTAGTGAGAGCGAGTGCGAGGACTTGGAATGTTGCGAGAAGGGGCTGAGTATTTATGTATATTACTTGATTCCGGTCGTAGAGGGCATGTTCGTCACGCTGGACGGATGAGTACATATGAAGTACATATTGCCTCCCTTCACAGACCTGGCAGTCGACATAGTCACTGTATGTAATGTCCGGCTATTAGCCAGTAGGCTGGATGGCTCTCAACCTGACCAACCACATCATGTCCTCGGCGGACGGTCGGTCACCCACCACTTCTCACGCTCGACAATCCACCAAGATCTTGACGTGCTTGTCCTTCTCTTCAATCAGGGGCCGGAACCCGTCCTGCGCCACCCGGTCGATCTTGATCTTGCCCGTGATCATCTTCTCGGGCTCCAGGGAGTGGTCGTCCAGCGCCTTGATGACCCCGGCGAAGTCGGATTGGAGGTAGCCCAGGACTAGATAGAGCGCCGGGATGAACGGATCAGTGAGATGTCTCCAATGTAAGGTAGGTCGATCATCCTTTTATAGAATGTTGTGCCAGGAGAAACGAACAAGAGTGGTGATGTGACTTACTCGCAAAGTATTTCTTCTCTCCGAACACGAGGGTGTTTGGTTGGAACGGGACCTGTCACAATCAACCGTCAGTGCGATCAGGTTATCTCTTGCCTTTTGCTTGCTCGCCACCACCTTGGATCTGATACCCCTTCTCTCAGCCCTGGAAGAAGGTGACAACGTACCTCTTTCTCCCAAATCGCGAGGTTCACAATCGTCCCCCTTGCCCTCACCGCCAACGCCGCGTCCCTTAAACTGGCCGGGACTCCGGCCGCATCCAGTGCCACATGCGGTCCCTGGCCGCCCGTGATCTCTTTACTTCTCTTCACCACATCTTCCGTCCGCGGATCGATCAGATGGGTAGCGCCAAACGCCTTCGCGAAGTTCTGGCGCTCCTTGGCGACTTCGGCGACGATAATGGTCCCTGCGCCCCGGGCTTTGAGGCATTGGATGACACCGAGCCCAATAGGACCGGCGCCCATGACCAGGGCGCTGTCACCCTTCTTGAGCGGGTACTAGATGTCGCATCAGCATAGAAATCCCCGCACGACCCGGAGCCTCTTTCTGCCGCAGTTCAAAGTGTCTGCGACGAACCTACCTGGTCAACCGCATGCCACGCCACGGCCAACGGCTCCACCAGCGCGCCGACGTCCAAGCCCACATGGTCCGGCAGCTTGAACACAAACTGTGCGTCGACACAGACATAGTCACTCATGCCGCCGCCCCCGCCGCTCAAGCCCACAAAACCCGCCGAGTCGCAGCAGTTGATGTAGCCGTCCTCGCACGGGCCGCAGTGGAAACAGGCGAGGGTGGGTTGCACGGCGACCTTGTCCCCGACCTTGAGGGTTTGGCCCTGGAAATTCGGATGGGACGCAGCAAGACTGCCAATCTCGACGATCTCGCCCGAGAATTCGTGCCCGATGGCGACGGGCATCACCTCCTTGGTGATTGGATGAGGAGAGTTGGGTTGGGGAATGAATGTCGGCGACGAATACTCGTGTACTGGTGAGCAGGTTAGGTTCTTGTAGTCGAAGCTGTTTCAAGCACATGGATGTTCCCTTTCTTTGACAGAGCCAGGCCGCATCACGGGCTGGATGTCAGGGTACTTACAGTCCGTCCCACAGATCCCACAAAAGGCAGCTAATGAGGGCCACCTCAAGTGTCAGCTCGATCGTCCCAAGAACCCCCAGATGCAGGGACAAATCGCTCTGGCTACTCACGCTTGACCTTGATCTGGTTCTCTCCGCATTTGGGTTCGGGGATGCCGTCGTCGACGCGGAGGTCCTTGACACCGTGGTAGCGGAGGGCGCGCATTGTGCCGTATCTATTATCGTGTGGTCGCGATATAAGAAGACACTAGACGGTTAGTACAAATATATGTATTTATGTGAAGTTATATACTCCAGCTTCGTCGACTTTACGAGGCAGAGAGTTGAGAGTGTATGTAGCAGTGGTATCATCTCCGTCTGACCCAGCCCATCGGGCGAGAGCACGGTCACACGGTCAAACGGAGCAGCACCCGCAGCCTCGTGGATCCAGCGGGCTCGACCAGGAGATACGGATGGACGGTGTGAGGGGAAAATGCTGGGCAGCGGACACAGACGAGGCATGTTGGAAGCTTCAGCCACAGTGACAAGCACAAGCCACATGTTTACGTTGGTGGCTGTGAGAAGAAAGAATCCTCGAAAAGTGGGAATAATGGAGACAATGACAGATACGATGATCCTGCCAATGCAGATCCGGGGAAAATGAACAATGTCTTCATCCTCTTCTCATCGACATTAATTAAAAGCACTCTATCTGCTTTTGGATCTCTGTGCAATAGTACTATTCCCCGGGCTCCAGCCCACACACAAACGCGCTCGCTAAAGGATTGAAAGTTGAAAGTGCTGTTGGCAGCAAAGCCGACACGCTCAACAAAACATAAATCGTCATGTGCTCACTTCGGATATCGTCATTCCACTCCGTTGACCATTCTGACATGATTCAAAACCAAGTCATGTCCGCCCTCCGATCATCCATGAACCTGTAACGTGTCACCGATATTCTTCTCGTCTTAACCATGATTGCTTTTCCGGTTTTTCCAGTGCCCTCGAGACGCAAAACTCTGTCCAAGTATTAAAAGCATGGGGAGACGAATTGAAGGCACCTGAGATGCTCGCAGCTCGAAATTGCAAGGCGACGCCCGTCTGAGCCTAGATCAACAGCTTGAAAACGGCCATGAGGACAGCCGCAAAGGCACCGGTGGCCACCTGTTGAGAAACGACCATGGCAGCACCGCCGGTGGTCGAGGCACTGGAGCCGGTGGCAGAGGCCGAGCTCGAGCCTGAGCCTGACCCAGTGCTGGCCGCGGAAGCGGATTGCGACGACGCAGGCGCAGAAGAGGTGGACGAGGCAGACGAGGCAGAGGCAGCAGATGTCTGGGCAATGGCTTCGGCAGTCGCATTACGGGTGCCGCATTGCTCGTTCTGCGCGCATGTTGCCTGACCTTGGGCATCATTGGGGTGGTTGTCGATGCACTGGATGTAGGTTTCTTGACAGATGTAGAACGGGAGAGTCTCGATAAAGGCAGTGCAATCAGGCACGGTGCCGTTGGCGCAGACGCAAGTGTAGGTAAAGGCGGTCTGGAGAGAAAGAATTAGCCCTCTATCGCTAGAGGATGAGGCCGAATTCGCCATACCTGATCACACTGGTTTTGAGAAGCAGAACCACCGCAGATCTGCGGGCAGGTGTTCAGCTGAGCGTGACACCAGTTGACTGCGTGTCCCATTAGTCAGTGGTCTCGAGACAGAATGCGCAGGGGGCCTTTTCTCTCTTACATGCAGTCGTGGAATCAATGCCGGCAGGGTTAAAGGCAGCTGTAGCCACTGGAGGCATTACCTGCGACTCAGTGGTCGAGGCTGCAACCGAGGCTGCGCTGGAGGTGGCAATGGTCTGCGCGTGGGTGACAGCAGCCAAAGCAGCTGCAAGGAGGATCTGGTACTGCATGATGAAGGTGGTGGTAGAAGGAGTGCGGGTTTGGACTCTTCTGTCAATGCAGAGTGTCAATTGATGCTCAAAGTACTACGTTGGTAGAGGTGGACTTGATGGATGGATGAAGTAGAGTATGTGGGAAAAAAGAGGCAGACAGACACACACACACAGAGAGAGAGCTGTGAGAGAAGGGTTGAGAAGGTGTGGGCTTGTTACTGGGTAGTGAAGTGGGAGGTGGAGGGCAGGATTCACACACTGTGACAGAGAGCGGAAAGAGGGATCCGATATCGATGGGGTTCCTGGGGTAAGAGCTCACCTTTTATCACTTGGAGAGGTTGGTAACGGTGAGGTGGAATTTCTCCTAGATACTTTGCCGTTGCTATGGGACTGAAGGGAAAGACTGAGATAGAGGCTGGGAGAGGATGCGGTGGCTTTTTTATTCCATTGCGCGTTCGTTCATGGCCAGGACACTCCTGCGCATTTCCACCATTCACTTTTTGTTAGCCCCAAGAAGCGCCGGTATCATGTCCATGACGATGCCGCTATCTTGTCACCCACCTTGCTGGTTTGGGGACTAGCTGGCACCTAGAGACCCCCGACCGAGCACCAACGGGCACCTATTAACCCAAAGCGACTGGCCACCAGCCTGGGCCCTGGCACGCTTGGACCAGCCCATTCGTCACTCTGCTGCAATTCTAAAACACATTAAGGCCCGTACCAATCACCACGGCAGCGCATGGCCGGCGCCCCTCACCACCCAACTCCACTGCGGACAATCGTGCAGCAGGCTTGGGAACCCCTAGGTGGTGCCCAGGCCCAAACCGTTCTAGGCGTCGGACACCCCCAAAGAAAGATCCGCCCGCCAAAATCCCACCATTCAGCACTCAAGACGCAGTTACCCGTATCTCTCTCACAACGCAACCGAGCAAACCGAGGCATGAGCTCGGACCCCAATGATATGATGTCCCGTATCCATGGTCTTGGGGAAAGAGAAACGAAAAAGAAAAATACACAAAGTTATACGAATGCAACCACATCCTGCATTCTGCCGTCTTGCTTCACTCTGCCGTATCGCATCGGATAATGTGTGAGAGGTAACACGAACGTGGTGATCATGGCTCCCCAAACTGAACAGATGGACTTCATGTCCCAGTTCATCACCACCCACCGCGTCCCCGAAGATGCCCGGCGACACTTTGAATCTGTTGAATGGACGAACAAACACCTGACCAACCCCCTCTACCATGTCATTCCTACGTTTTCGCGGGTGCTCAAGGAGTCGGGCGAAGATTACTTCTTCTCTCGCACCGTCAGCTCGCCCTCCACGATCCCTCACCTCCTCACGCTCCAGTTGAAGGACTTCCCCAACCACTCGGAAATGCCCAAGGGACAATTAAAAATGAGAACAAACCACAACGAGGTGACCCAAGTACCTCAGAACCCCGACTGCATCATGCTCTTGCGGCTCGGTCGCCCCGGGCTCGATGGCCATCCCTCGGTTATCCATGGCGGCATGGCCTGCGCCATCCTGGACGAGATGATGGGACTCTGTGTGATGCTGCACCACCAGCACATCTCGGGTCCTCGCGATTCGCTTTTCACCGTTAGTCTCAACGTCACTTACCGCGCACCCGTACCGACACCGGGAGACGTGCTCGTGAGGTGTTGGCTGGTGGGAAGAGAAGGTCGCAAATGGCTCTCGCGGGGTCAAATAGTAGACAAGGACGGCAAGGTCATGACCGAGGCCGAAGGAATGTGGGTGCTCGCAAAGAGAGAAGAGAAGTTATGATATACCGCCGGTGCCCTTCGAGCGGGCCGCTACCAGCCTTTCTGGGATCGGTGACTACCAAACTCGACATGGCGAGAGAATACAACTGAGGCCAGCATGTCCCGCACTCCACTGTCGGCATTTGTTATCGCTGGCGAGATTGGGCAGGTCAGCCCGGGAAATTATGGAGAAGCAGTGCGGATCGACGCCACCAGATAAAGGCGCACACAAGCATTCGCAAGCCGTCGACTTTCAACCAGCAGTTTCCGGGAGATAAACATGGTTAGAGCAAGGTGGTTGCAATTCCTCGAAAGGGATGAATTGGACCGTACGTAAAGGATAGATTCACTCCTGGGTTGGTTTAGATTCTAACCCGGCGATAGACTTAAGCCAGATAAATCACATAGAAAAGATTCCAGCTGTTGACCACCAATAATAGTTCGCTGAGCTGTCTTGGGAGACCGTATTGTGTTTTGCTGCTCTAATCATGGTTTGTTTGTGTCCGACAAGAATGATCACAAAGTAAAACTCCATACCGACCTTGCACTGAGCCACAAGAAACCGATAACATTCCCCCTTTATTTCATGGTCGCAACACCAACCACTCCCAGACTAGTTGCTCAGAAAATACGTGGCTGCGACAGCCGGGCCCAGCTTCGCCTGCTGTTCGAACCGCGACAGATCCCACCTCATGCGCTCCTTGGCGCCAAAGCCACCCGCCTTGGTGAACTGGCCTGCGTCAAAGTCCGTCGGTTGGTCGTAGAGCAGGAAGATGTATCGATGCGGACCGCTAAACGGCGGAGGACCTGGACCAACCCAATGGACGACGGCGGGATCCGGCGAGGTCAGGTCGCCGCTGGGTCCCTCGACCGTGAGGCCGGTCTGCAGCCAGTGCAGCGCGGGACTCAACAGCGCGAACGAGGGGAACGGCGCATCGAGGTCGAGGTTGACGACGAGGAATTTCTGCCCCGAGGGTGCCTTCCAGCCCAGTGTGGGCAGCTCTCGTGCTTCTGCCAGAGACCGGATTCAGCAAAGGAGACCACAAGTGATGGTAAAAGGTGAGAAAACAGATTCCCAACCATCTCACCTGCTTTGGGAATTTTGTCGCCCGGTTTCACCTTGCGCGCACCGAAGGCAAGAGAAAGGATTTTCGGGTCGTCTTCTTTAATCAGTGTCTGTACCGTCTTAAAGATTGGATGGTCCGGCATGGCGGTGGAGGAGCATCAAGCTGTGATGCAGTGTCTCGAATATCCGCCCAGTTTCTTGCTTCTTCGAAAAAGCCGCGACGAGGAAGAGGATGGGCAAATGATCGAGATATCATCAATGGACCGGGGAGAATGATATCCGCACCGAACGAATGCCCACCTGGTGCTCCGGTGTTCCTGTGTTGATCTGTCCGAATGAGGCATGGGTGCCCTGTACCGGCCCGGTTTCTCGGGCCCCGTGCCCGACACCGCCCACATGGAAAGGATTCGAAGGTCGCTCAGGATACAGGGAACAAATGAGTCAAACCTTCATTACCCTCATCATACAATTATGCCCCGTATCTAGTCACATCGAGCGTAATTCCAACTAATTTCGACGCCTGGTTAAGGGATCACTGCTACTTATATATCCCCCCGTGCGCGCTGGATGGTCATGGTTTGCTTCGTTGTACGCACTCAGCCTCAGATGCAAGGATAAAGAAACAAGGGGAGGATTCTCAATACTCAGTTTACATTGCAGTCCACTTCGATTTGACCTCCACACGGCAAGTGCACAAGGCATCAACACTTGATCACTGCGGACTGGGACTTTAGGTAGCAGAGGTTTCTTGTCTGGCTCCGTCCACCATCCATGGCTACCAAGGAAGCGGTCACTCACTCCTCTGGGGAGAAAGAGGAGACGGGAACCGACACGCCTTCCAGCAGCGAAGATGCTCATGACACTATAAACACGCCTGATAAAGGGGTGTCTGACCCTTCTCCCCCATCGGAACCGAAGAAAAGCACCATCGAAGCACAAGACTCTCGCCTGACGACGAGCACCAGCAACCAGAGGCCGTACTCGGCCTTCTCCAACCGCGCCAAATGGTTCATCGTGACCATGACCGCCATGGCGTCCTTCTTCTCCCCCTTGTCCGGCCAGATCTACTATCCGGTCCTCCCCATCCTGACCAGGACGTACCACCTCTCATCGTCGCTGATCAACGTCTCCATCACCACGTACATGGTCTTCCAGGGCCTCGCGCCCAGCTTCATGGGCACCTTCTCCGACGCCAGCGGGCGACGGCTGGGCTACATCCTGGCCTTCACCATCTACACGGCCGCGAACATCGGGCTGGCGCTGCAGGATAGCTACGCCGCCTTGCTCGTCCTGCGGTGTCTGCAGAGCGCGGGGAGCAGCGGCACCGTCGCGTTCGGGTACGGCGTCATTGCCGACATCGTCACCACGGGCGAGCGTGGGAAGTTCTTTGGGCCCATGGCGGCCGGGGTCTTGACGGCACCCGCCCTCGGACCGACCATTGGGGGTCTTTTGACGCAGTTCTTGGGCTGGAGGGCCGTGTTCTGGTTCCTCACCATCATCAGTGGCGGCTACCTGGTGGTGTACATCATTCTGATGCCCGAGACGCATCGCAAGATCGTCGACGACGGGAGCATCGTGCCGTACCAGTGGTGGCGCCAGTCCGTCGTGCAGTACATCGCCGGCCGCCGGCGGCTGAAGCGAATGAGCGCCGACGAGAGGCACAACTACGAGCAGACGCGGCAGGCCCTTGCTGAGAAGCAGCGAGACGCGAGGATCCGGTTCCCCAACCCGCTCGGGTCCTTTGTCATCCTCACGAACCCCGACGCGTTCTGTCTCATCCTGTACACCGGCATCATGATGTTCAGCAACCTGGTTCTGATGACGAGTACCCCGACCGTGTTTCCCAGACTCTATGGACTCAACGAGCTGCAGGTGGGGTTGTGCTTCTTGTGAGTGACCATCCCTTTTCTTTTCTTTGGTTCCCTTTTGTCACCCATGCTATCTATCTATCTCCTATTATCAAGACGCTTGGAGCTGACCAAGACATCCACACGCACCCCAAAAAGACCACTCGGTATCGCTGCGAGCATCGGCTCCATCTGCAACGGCCGCCTGCTTGACTGGAACTACCAGCGGACTGCCCGCAGGCTGGGGGTGATGGTGGACCGCAAGCGGGGCGACGACCTGCGCGCATTCCCGATCGAGCGCGCACGCCTGCAGGCCGTGTTCTTCTTCCAGGCCGTGCAGGTCGCGGCGCTGGCGCCGTACGGGTGGGCGCTGCAGCGCCACGCCGCGCTGGCCGTGCCGCTGGTGCTGCAGTTCGTGCTGGGCTTCAGCCTCGTGGTCGCCTCCAACTCCATCAGCACCCTGCTCTCCGACATCTACCCGGGCAGCGTGTCCACGGCCTCGGCCGCCTCCAACCTGGTCCGCTGCCTCTTGGGCGCCGTTGGCGCCGCCGTCGTCGACGACATGCTCACCGGCCTGGGCCTGGGCTGGTGCTTCTTCCTTGTCGCCATGCTCATGGCCGCTGCCACGACGTTGCTCTGGGTCGAGGTCCGCTGGGGCATGGGCTGGCGGCAGAAGCGGTGGCGCAAGCTGGAGGAGAAGAAGAAGCAGGCCGAGCGGGAGAAGAGTGGGCAGGCTTGAGCATGGACTATTTTCCCGTGAGTACATTTTCCGTCGGGGACATAGGCTGGCTGTCTAGAGTAGAGCATTTATTGGAGATGGTTGTTAGCATGCATGCATGTCAAGGGGCTAGGCTGGGCTAGCTGGGTTATTTGCTTTTCCCTTCCCCTTCCCTTTCGCCCTTTCCCTTCGTTTCGACCATACATACATACATTCATTCATTCATTTGGGTGCTCTGCTCTGCACATTTAAACAAATACAAGGAAGAAATCATCCCATTTCCGAGCGGGAGGGGAGGGGGGAACACATAAACACATGAATAACAGGCCGGGCCAGGCGGGGCTGGGCTGGAAACCAGAGGTCTGTCGCGCACGCATGGGCAGTCCAAGCCCAAGTCCAAGTCCGAGCAAGCCCTTCGATGTCACTCTCTCCCTCCCTCCCTGCTCATGAGCATATATATATCTATATGTATATGTATTGTCACAAAAGCATCATCGCTTTCAGAGAGACATGCATACATATATCGATCGATACCGTTATGTATATAGCAAAGGGTAGGGGCTACTAGGCTAGCCATGAAAGCCAACCAACGATCTAGGGTGCGAACTGTACTTGAAACACTATACGGAACGGCATCACGAGCCAACATCGATTGTGGACATGTCGAAAAGAAGTTCATGTTCTCATATCTGCGCCATCGATCGAATCTACCGTGTCCAATCACGACGAGCCCGATATCCAAAGCCAGCGCCCCCTTCGGGCCGAGGACTAAAGACGCCCTGCCTGGGAGTAAGTAAAGCATATAATATGCCTACAAGCAACAGCAAACACCCACGCAAAGATAAAATCATTCTCCTTCATATCCCTCCCCAACCGTCGGGTCCCTGGTGACCCTAATCTCCTGCATGGCGGTATTCCCGTCCCTTTCATTCTCTAATACCAACCCCTTTTCGTTCGCCAGATGTAATAAGCAGATGAAACAGTACGATGTGCTGATATCCTTCATCTGGGGTTCCGGGTAGAAGGAGCGAAGGTCTTGGATAAGGTCGGTGAAGTTCAGCGTCCCTTCATCAGCGGTGTTTGGTCGACCCGGATCGGTAGGCTCGGCTTTGAGTGGAGCTTCATGCTGAGGCTGGTCGTCAATGTCCATCATATCGACATCGCCATCGCCATCGCCATCGCCGCCGTTGTCAATCTGTTGCTGCTCGGTCGCCGTTGCGGCGGAGGGTCGGTCAAACACATTGATCAACTTCAACCGGCCCTCCATGCCCTTCCACATATTCTCCTTTAACCTCCTCACGTCAACCTTCTTTGCCGTTCTTGCGTAATTGACGTACTCGGGTCGAATTCTTCTTCCAGCTTGTGTGACGAGTTGGCTTCCGAAACTGCCCGGAAGAAGCTCAGGTTGACTTTGTGGTGGTTGCGAGTTTTGCTGTGACTGCTCAGATCCAGCGAGATCATTGTCCGCTGCAGCCTCGCCGCCGAGAAGGTTGAGATGCTGACCTTGTGGCTCCGGTTGAGGGGACAACATCTCCCTCGCGTCCATAAAAGCCTGTCCGCCATCATCACCACCACCTCCAATACCAATCCCATCGTCGTCGTCATCTTCGTCAATGGGCAATGGGCCGTCAAAGGGAAGCAACTGATCATCATCCGCAAAGAAGTTCGCATCATAGTCCCCCTTTTTGTCCTCGTCATCCAGCTCATTACCAGCACCTTCACCAAAGGCGTTCGTGGTTCCGATACGGTTCCTCGCCCCGAAACCCTCGTCGATAATGCCCAAACCCACGCCCCCCTCTTTTCTCCTGATTCTTCCCACCCGACACTTGGGCTTAGTCCATAAGCGCATTAACTTCCTGGGGTCCACCACCTCGTCGTCTTTGTCGAGCAGATTCCGGCCCTTTGTCCGCCACTGTGATTTCGGTAGGGAGATCTGCGAATTCAGAACGGGGGGTTGTTCAAGTGACTCCTTCAAAGAGTCTGACATGGGGCCCAGAAAATCAATCTCATATGGCTCCTTTTCCTTCCTCTGTCTCGTGGGGGGAGCATTGGTGCCACTAACTTCTTGTTGTTGTGCTTTTTGGATTTTCTGCATCCGCCAGTTTTCCAGGGTGAGGAATGCTGTCTTGCCTTTGGCGCGTGAGTTGAATGCTTTGTCGAAATAAGCCATGATGGACTCGTGCTCTGCATCCTCTTGGTACTTTTGCTGCAGAGACAATGCGTATCCGTCACCCCCATTTTCCAACAGGTTGTCATCCACGTCATCGGCTCGCGCAACTCGGGCTTGAGCCTCAATCGCAGCATCTTTCGCCCAAGCTTCTCCTCCTTCGCCGAATCCCACGTTATCTGCAACGTCGAAACCGCCGAGCAATCCGTCGCCGTCGTCGTCGTCATCATCGAAACCCATGGCGTTGCTTCCATCGAGGAAGATTCCTGTCTGATCGGCCAGATTGAGGGAGAGATTTGTTGCAGGTGCCGGGGTCTGGGAGCGTTTCTGCTCTTTCCAGTCTTCGGGGACTTTAAGGAAGGGCAAGTTCAGGTCTCCAGATGGATCGCCCAACGTAAAGGATTTCATAGAAGGGCAGACATCCTGTGAGTCCAGTATGCTCATATCCGGAAAGAACTTGGCGGCCAGAGAAGCCAGGTCGATCTCTTCGTCTTGATCATCCGCAACACATTCCTCGTCCTGAGTGGAGGAATCGGGCTCCTGCTGTTCTTTCTCTGTCGAGCCCACCTCCTGTTCCTTTTCCTTGTCACCTGCCAAAGCAGCATCTCCCGCATCATCGCTGCTGTCAAACACGATGCGCCCGTCAGAGTCAATAGATAAATGATTCAGGAGCAAGCCTTTAGCACCTCCCTCATCAAAATCCGCAGATGCCTTCTTGAAAAGCGGATCGACCGCAAACTCGAGTTCCAGCTTTTTACCCTGGAAAGTCGCAAAGCCGGGTGCGAGCGTGGCTTCATGGCTTCGGGCGGGTTTCCTCTTGGATTTTTTCTTCCCGCCGCCTTCCCCGTCATCACCGTCTTCGTCGTCGTCGCCATCCTCGTTTTCATCATCCTCCTCGCCATCACCCTTACTTCTCTTCTTGCTCGCGTCAGAGCCACCGCCGTCAGCAAGACCACTCAACAAGCGGCCAGTCTCCGTGGCAACACTGTCGACTCTGCTCGTGTAGATCTTGACGCAACCATCGAGGGTGCAGCTCGCCTTCTGAAAATTGACCCCGTCTCCTTCTTTCAACAGGCTCATATCATGAAAGTAGTCGATCAGTGCAAAATTCCACGAGTTTGCAGCATTGATCTTATTGTCCGTTGCCATTTTCATCCACTCTTCGAAATTGGCGAGAATCGGGACGCGTTTCATGGGTGTGACGCCGTTGTCTTCGGTGACGCGCCCAATGCTGTTCCGCGAGTGTTCGCTGTTATGGCGCGATTGGTTATTCAACCCCCCTCTTCTTCGTGCCTGCGCTCCATGGTCTGAAATCCTGGGGGTCCGGGGGGAATCCGACATGGCGCTGTAATTCGACTCTCTTCGTCTCTGGTTGAGTTTGCGCATGGGACTTGCCGCTGCCCGGATCTCGTTCATGTGGATTTCTTGGAGAGCCTGTCGAGACTGTAGTCGAGCGACCTTTTCACCTTTGTCATCGTTGAGCGCTAATCTGTTGATACAACACGGCAGGTCAGCAATCGACGCGAATAAGAGTCTTCCCGGACCGCGAAAAAATACTGCCCGTCACTTCGTAGCGCTTCGAGTGAATCAATCATCAGGAGGGGTTCGTACTTCACTGGAGACGCCTTGCTGCTCTCACGCGCCATTCTCATAACAACGGTCTGGCGCATGGGGCGCCCACTGGACTCTCGTGCAACATTAGGCATCTTTTCCAACGTCTCGATGCTGCTGTTGATGAACTTGTCTGGTTTCGGGAGGCTTGATTTTTCCGACAGCCACCGCTAAACTGATGGCCGCCTCTTGTTAATCGAGTCAAGGATGTGTTGTTCGTCTCGCCATCGACTGACTTGTCGTCGTGGATTCTGTTGAAGCTTGTTGTGAGCGTTGAGCAGTTGGAGTCGTTTGTTGACATGCACCGAAAAGGTTTAGTGCAGCCACATCTGAGCTGTCACGTGATATAGTCCCAAATGGGCAACGCCCCGGCCTCCGCCTTTGACATTTACCTCATCCTGAAGTATTCTCAGTGGATAGTGCTACTGGAACAGTGGTTTGGATGGTTTACAACGACGGAAAATCTTCACATTATGTTCAATTTATGGTGTCTGATTGTCTCTCATCCGGTCTTCTCTAGCTCCTCTCTCATCGCTCGTCTCCTTCCAAACGCCGTTTAATCCAGTACTCTCCCTGCGACAGAGCTCGCACTCCTGTCCTTCGTCTCAGTCTTTCGCAGGCCTTTGCCTTTCTGGATCTCACCCAGTAAAGCACCTATATCACCAGTTCCAGAACGGGCTGGAGCGGGCATCGGTGGAGGCGGCGGCGGGCCCCCAGGAGCACCAGAGGTAGGGAAAGGGGGAGGTGGCGGTGGTGCGTTGAAAGCACCAGAGTCGGGCATTGGAGGAGGAGGCGGTGGTGCCGTTGGTGCGCCACTCCCGGGCATCGGAGGAGGAGGTGGTGGTGGCGGAGCGGAACCGGAGTCAAATGCACCTGGAATTGGTGGTGGTTCTTGGACAGGCGTCTGGGGCTTGCTATCCATGGCAGATAGTGGTCTGGGTGGTGCCATGGTGCCAAACAGAATGGAAGCCAAATGTTTAGCAGATCCTCCACCGGGGTGTTCGGCTTCGTCGTCACTATCTTCATCCTTCTCGGACCCGGCAGCAGACCATTCATCCTCTTCCGGACGCCGCCGTGATTGAGCACCGGTAAAGCTGGGGGTCAATGGCTTAGCGGCCTCCTGTTGAGCGATTCGGTGGAAGGGGTTAGTCGATGGCAGGCTTTCTGCAGGCGGCGCTGGCGGAGGAGGGGCTGTTGGAGGCGAGAATGTCTGAGTTTGCGGGATAGGCGGCGGGGAGAAAACTGGCCTTCCATTCTCTGACGGTTGCGTTTGGGACAATTTGCGGAAGTATGGGTTCCTCGATTCTTCAGCAGCTGGTGGGCTAGAAACCGGGGTGGCCTCATGACCACTGCTTGCATAAGGTTCCGGAGCAGTGCTCGGTGGTGGTGAGGCAATTGAGCCAGTCAGCATTTGGCTGGTTGCCGGAGTGCTCTCTTGAGGCGTAATCTGTTGTGGACCGTCGTCGTCGTCTGATGACGACTCGTCTCCAAGTTGCTCAAGTTGAAGCTGGAGTTGGCGTTCCCTCTCTCGAGCTGCCTCCAGCTCAGCTCTTTGTGCAGCAAGCTTGGCCTCCTTCTCCTTGGCCTCTTTCTCCGCTGCTTTCTTTCGGGCCTTTTCTTCTTGTTTCTTCACTTTACCTGCCTTGACTTGCTCTTCGAGCGCTCGCAAGCGGGCTTGAGCGGCCTCACGCTCCTTCTCAAGCTCCTCTTCTTGAGTCTTCGCCTGGGCCCTAGCCGGTGTCAGTAGACGTCACTCCAAAGGGATAATAGACACTCACTCTAAGCGTTCGCGCTGGCGCGCCTCTGTTTCCTGCTCTGCCCTGATCTGCGCAGCAGCTTCTTCTTCCGCCTTCGCCCGGGCTGCTGCTTCAGCGGCCTTCTTGGCTGAGAAATCTGTGCTGTCTTGTCTCTGCTTTCGAGTGGGCGGAGGAGGCGGCTTCTTCTCAGCCTTCGGACTTGGAGGCGTCACCCCCTCATTCGCAAGTCTTTGCTGTCGTTCTTGCTCACGTCTGGCATCCTCGGCTTCAGCTTTGCGAAGGCGTTCGGCTCTCTCTTGCTTCTCGCGTTCCTGGCGCTGCTGGGGAGTTTCACCAGACTCCCCAGCTGGCTTGATTCCGGCCGCAGCCATTCTCTCCTGTATACGTTTCAGAGCCTTCTCCTTGGCGGTCGCAATGCGATCCTGATGTGACTGGCCCGTTGTCACGGAAGAGGTCGAAGAGGCCGATGTTGGAGCTGGTCGCGAAGGCAAGTTGCCATTTGTCGGTGTCGGTTCCTCATGTGAAAAGTCGCGCGACGATTGTCTGGCTGGGCGTGATTGTCTGCGTACGTCAGTTTCATGTAATCGATAAACTGTTGGACGGATCTCACTCTTCTTTGCGAATCTTCGCGGTCCTACTGCTCCGTTGTAGGTCGTAGATGAGTTCTTTTATCTCATCTTCCACGCCGAGAGCTTCCTCCCACCTCCGCCGCTCGTGCTCCTGAGTCGGATTATCCCCTTGGTCTCGCAGCCCATCTTCGAGGCTCGAAACAAAGTCCTTTACGCTCTCTTCTACGTCTCGAGTCATAGCCTCGTGCCGTTCTTGTTCTGATTTGACCTTAGAACTCTCTTGCTCTAAGCGTCTCTGCGCCCCGGCTTCGTCATCAGCAGCAGGGGCAGGGCGTCCAGCAAGCTCAGCAGCTCGAGCTTGCATTCGGGCGCGCGCTCGCGCTTTAATACGGTCGGCTTCGGTGATCGTGCCGTTAGGTCCAGTTCCAACAATGTTTGAGGCACTGTTGGGATGAGCTTTGGCGTCCTTCAAGCGGAAGAGTTGCAGCTTGGCTTCGGCAATGCTCTTCTCAACTTTTCTTACGTCTGAGGCCAATACTGGGAGGCGATCTTGGTATCGTTGCAGCTCTCTTCTCATCGCTCTCCTCTCTGCGCCTGTGTCCCCGCTGGCCAATCCAGAGTTAGGATGCGTATCGATATCGTCTTGAATTCGTCGGATCTGCCTGAAAAGTTCTTCGGCCTCTCGTCGATCCCTCCGATCCAGGATATCCTCGTCGTCAGCTTGTCGTTCGTCCTGGAAGTCAGTGGCGTCGAGTAAGATCTTCTTCTCCCGTATCTTCTTCCTGATCTGATCGGGCGTGAGATCATCATAGACACTATCTCCCATGTCGGAAGATGGTGCGGGGGAAGGAGTTCTACCCCCGTGCCCAAGACGTCGTCTGGCACTCGAGCGATATCCCACGTCGTCGTCATTGTTGCGGAAGACAGTTGCATCCTTGCGGCCAAAATTCGGCGACGCAGAGCCACTGCGAAACGAATGATCCTTCAAGTAACTCACGCCGGTCTTCTGAGGCTGCAGGAATGCACCCGACGATTTTCTGGCCTCTGCGTCCTGGGACAGGAGAGATTTGACGGTATCAATAGAGCTATTGAAGTTCTTTGTTGATGGAGGAATGAGTTCTGGCGGAAGCCGGGCCGGGATGGGGTATCCGTTCAGCTTCCGATAGATGAGATGCATCGCGACAGCGAACTCGTCCATGTTCAGTCGACCCTTATTGTTAGGGTCAGATAGTGTCCAAATGGATTCCAAATCGGATCTCTCCAGCCCACTCTGGCCCATAATCTCAATTGCGGTCTCTCCAGCAATGAAACCCTTGCCTAGACCATCCCAGGCCTTGAACAGCTGATCATAAATCCTTTTCTCGTCCTTGGTGACCGCCCAAGGGATCTTCGCGGTCCCGGACAGCCCTTGCGTTGTGTAGCCGCCGGCTTCGCGACCAGATTGAGGCATCAGACGTTGTTGAAGAGCTTCAATATTGGGCAGACCGCCAGCAGGCGTGTTCACGAAACCCCATTGGCCAGGAAGCCCGGTCGGCTGGGCTTGCAGAGGGCCTGTCTGTTGCGGTGAAACATTCGAACCGAAACCACCCGTGGGCATAAGTGGCAGCGAAGGTCGAGCGCCGCCAAAACCACCAGGCTGGGCGGGATTTACAAAACCCGTGGCTTGAGTCTGCAGGCCCTGCGAGAGCCCCGGGAAGCCGGTAGGCTGCGACTGGAGGCCGGGCTGGAAGCCTGTAGCCTGATTGTAGAACCCCGTGGGCTGGGAAGTGAGCTGTGTCAAAAGCTGCTGGTTAGATGGCTGCTGCGGGGTGGGCTGCTGAGGAGCAGGGGGGGAAACAGCATTCTGCCTGAGCGGAGCATCAAAGTCCGGTACATGCGACCGCGTCGGCGGCAAAGGCTTCTCATCCGGAACTCCAAACGAAATGATATCGACCATGCTCGACACCTCGTTCTTGATCTTCTCGGGAAGCGCGCTCGGCAGATCCTTTCCGGTCAATCTCAGATTGCACAGATACATGGCCAGAGCAAACTCGGGGAAAAGGAGCTGGCCTGATTTTGTAGTGTCGGATAGGATCCATATCTGCGATAAGGCACTGCCAGGCAGTTTCGACCTCAAGAGCAGATCTCTGGCCTTCTCTCCGCTCAATGCCTGGCCGTCTCCCACGGCGGACTTGAACAACTGCTCAAATTTTGCCTGGTCGGTAGCAGTGATGAACGACAACCGAATGTTTGGGATTCTACTGGAACTCTTGCTCTGCCTCCTCCTGGCCGCAGGTGGTGCGCTGGTTGAGCCTTGAGTAAAAGAGGCCGCGATCTGAGACGACGTCTGCTGAGGACGGAGAGGAGCAGCGGCCGGCGGCTGTTGCGGAGGAGCTGGAGGAGGAGGAGCAGCTTGAAAGGAAGGCTGTTGCTGGAAAGCTGGGGCCTGCGGAGGAGGCTGCTGAAACTGGGGTTGTTGAGGTTGATTTTGAGGGGGATAGCCCGTAAACTGAGGTTGCTGCGCAGGAGCTGGAAACCCCTGCGGCTGCTGATAACCTGGAAAGCCGGTCTGTTGAGCTTGTAATTGACCGGGGAAGCCGGTGGGCTGCGGAGCAAAGGGCGATTGCTGTTGCGGAGGAGCTTGATTGAACGAGCTGAACGATTGCTGTGGTCCGAAGCCTCCAGGACCAGGGCGTGCTGAATTTGAGCCGCCCAAAAACGAATTGGAAGACGAATACATGCTTGCAACAAACGACGCGAAATGCAAAAAGCGGATGGGAGACAGCAGAGACGGGAAAATGGGGGACGGGAATTGAGTGAGATGAGCGACAGCCAGAGTTTCAGAAGCACTAACCGACCTCGCCGCCCTGCACTGACGCGGTCTTTGCCGCCGCTTGAAGCGATACGAATCAAGCTCCAGCATCGTGGCTGTGGCTGAGGCGTGCTGGGGCTGAGACTTGGCGTGGCGCTGCTTTAACCAGAGCTTGGTCGCTGCAAACTGCGACTGCGCCTTGAAGCATCTTTAAGAATCTAGCACACAAGCATACTTTATTCACGTCCAGATACGTGCAGCTTGGATTATCGAGCAAGTCTCCAGACGCATTTATCTGTCGGTGGTGTCCAGAATGTCCAGGGCGTCGACTTATGGTGTGAAAACCAGTATTATCACAGCACGTATTGCTGACGCGAACAGTCTCAGTGAACCAGTGTCATTGAGACAAACCTCTACAAGAGACTGCTGGCAGTTTTCAAACAGTTCACATCGTTCGCCTTTGCTTCCAAACAGCCACTCATCCTGGAATCCTCTCCGTCGAAGAAGCACATAGGAACCGGGGAAACCTGGGTCACCCCGGCGGAGTAAAACGAGGGATGAGGAGCCCCAAACTCAGATCCCCAGATTGTCCTACTATTATCATCCTTCCCCCTCCCCGGATGCGGCACCGGTAAGGATCCCGCCGATTTGTCTTACCGAAGGTTTAATGTATAGGGCTCAAAGAGAACGAGAAGGTAAGGTCTGACATAAACAATGTCGACCATTCTTGTGCAAGGAACAGTCCACATGGCAATCGTCTTGCATCTCGAACGTTAATCGCAACAGGTCAGGTCAGAGATCAAGAACGCTCCAATTCGGTTTGTTGGGATGTTCTGTGGTCTCTACAAGGTCCCAGTCACGAATCAGGAGCATGGGATTCGCCGAGGTTTTGCAAAGCATCAAAATGCAGCATCTCCCAAATTGTCTTTGATTTCTTTTACCTAAGCAATTTCAAAGCAAACAGACCAGGTTCCACCATCTTGGAGCTCTCGATTAATTGTGTGCTCTCCTCCATTCGATGATCAAGAATCCTGCTGTGAAGCGGCGTCGCTATCGCTGCGCCGAAGCATGCAGCACTTGCAAGCGTCGCAAAGAAAAGTGTTCGGGCAACAGACCCTGCGCACGATGCATTGAGCGCGGCGTTCATGAAACTTGTCAATCTCAGCCTCGCCAGTCGTCCAGTGGCTTCACAGAATCTTACCACGTAAATCACGAAGGATCCGTCGCCACCGAGTCGACCAGTCGAGACCCAAATGTGCAAGACAAATTGTCACAAGAGTCTCTATATCCTCTGAGCCTGGTGATGAGCAATGACTCTACGTCTCCTGTTCTCCAAACATCCCAGCTCATACAAGACACCAAAGGCAGATACATGTTTATAGGTGACTCAGCCGACTTATCGCTGCTTCAGAACATTTGCAGCCTGGTTGGGGCATCTATAGGTCCATGTGCTCTCGTGGAAGACCCTTTCCGATACCAGATGGTCGAGTCGGCGCCAGAAGGCCTCGCCACATGGCTCCGTGCGACAGACCACCAAGCGCCGGCCAAACCGAGTTTTGATGAGGCGGCTTATTTGATTCGGCGCTTTTTTATAGCCACAAATTGTGTGCTGGACCTCTTTGATGAGAGTGACCTCCTCGATAATCTTGCGAATTGGCTTGATAGCCAATCGGACCACACCTCTGTTCTGAGTGCAATATACTACCTCGTGTTCGCCATAGGGGCCCAGACATGTCCAGAGGACAAAGACGCACTGGCTAGCGTCTACTTCGACTATGGTCGGTATCTCACGGCATCATTTTTCATGGAAGATCCCAGTATTCCAACCGTGCAAGCGTATGCCATGATCACAATGTACCTTCTTGGGGCATCTCGAAGAAATGCTGCATTCATGTATCTGGGAACAGCCGTTCGCGCCGCCTATGCCCTTGGGCTACACCGGTCTGACATCGCTGGGCTTTTTACTCCGGCCGAGATCAAAACGCGGGAGAGGGTGTGGAAAGTCATGCGAATTCTGGATCTTTTCATGAGCGCCTCGTTAGGAAGGCCTCCATCGACAGAAGAGACACGTAACACAGAGCTGGACGAGAATTACTCACCATCAGTAGATTTATGCGCCATTTTCGAAAGGATCTTGACCGATATTTACGCGAAACGCATGATATCCACCGACACACTCCAGAAGATCAGTCAGCACCATCGTCGGTGGACAATGCGCTTCCACAGAGGATTGGATACCGACAGCATCAAGGATGAGGAATTCCTCGAGGGCCGACTCCCAAATATTGGCCTGATACACGTCCACGAGGCATATTACTGGACAATAATACTTCTCACACGGCCGTTCTTCGTGGAATATATCTCCAGTCGCATTGCCTTAAAGTCGCAGAATTGCAGTGATGGAGAAAGAAGTCCTGACCCTCTCAGGTCCTCTCACCGAATCCAGGTCCATGCCTGTGTTAACTCTGCGATAAGCACAGTCAACATGCTGAGAAAGTTGCTTGGGTTTGAAGGGATACCGAAGAGGCTCCCTTTTGTTGTCAATTCGATCTTTGTTTCAGGTCTCGTTCTGGGTTTGTCCTACTTTGGCGACTTGTACAAGATATATCCATTAGATGACAGTCTTGGAACCGCACTGAAACTACTTGCCCTCTTTCCGCATGATGCAGTCGCAAAAAGAAATCTGGCGATTCTGCAGTCGCTTCTGGATGCCTGCAGGATCTATGTCAGGAGGGCAGCAAAGGAGAATATGGCCATACACTCTCAACTGGTGACTGGCATGTTTGGACAGATCCACAGGGAGGATTACAAGGAAGATTCGAACACGACGAATACTCCAGAAGATCAATGTTCTGTCGACAACACCGAAGTCCTCCTCACCGCAACGAATGTACTCAACCGTACAGGACCACACGACGCTACAGACCAGGGACTGATCAATGTGTCCACTGGGCTCAACAACGAAAATGTCGGATTGAATACGCATCATCGAATGGAAACTAATAACCTCAATCTAGAGGCGAACGCTGATCATCCCGACTTCCAAGACGACAGTTCTCTATTGCCTGCGATGTCTCCGCGGACATTATGGTTCGGCTCTTACGAAGACAATGTTCCTCTGTTTTCGATGATCGACGCGCGAGATTTTCTGGGATAGCGCTGATTATTGGGCACGCTTTCACAGAATGTTCGTCTTTCGATGAACGAACGCTCGAGAAAAACCTGTTGGGATAGCGTCAGTGCTCCCTCGGCTGAGGACATATGATCTGACAGAATCCTCCTGGATAGTTCCTGGTTCATCCTGGTTTTTTCTTGCTAGCACGGCTAAAAGGATGCTGAAGTTATATTCGCGATCAAGCCCTGTGAAACACTAGGAAGGTTCCCGGATGAATCGCTATCTAGCCCAGGGACAACATCACACCACGGTGCTCGTGGCATTTCCGAACCGTCGACCTCCATCCGGCCCCAAAGATTCGCCCTGTACAGGCCAATAAGAGGAGATGCCGATAAACCACTATGCTTCCGATGGGGCTCCCCCAGATTTCCGACCCCATAACACGCTGCCGACTCCACCTCCCGACCGATGTCGACGTTGATCCTGAGGAGAGTAATACACTAGTCATCCACGATGTTCATGTTGTTCTAGTACGGTGGGACCCTCTGTAATGCGGAGAGAGATGGGGTGGCCGGCTCGACCTCGATGCAGACACCCAGCCTTGCAGGGATGTATCAAGCTGGGTCGAACCAACTAATCAAACTCACAGGCGACACCTGCATCGAGAATTCTTACTCATGTTGCATAACATGAGCGTTCTCTGGGGGGCCTGATCCATGGTGACAAACCTGTGCATGTCTGCTACAAGGGCTTCGGTAAACTGGCTTCATTCCTGGTGTGATGAGAACCAAACTACGGGGGCTCTATTAATCGCACATATCTCCCAGTGAGATGGCCCTTCGGAATGCCTTCGGGAGAAGTTTGTGTTTCGGAAATGTATCATATGTTAATGATAATTGTTATGGAGTTGATCATTTCGGCAGAACTGACTAAGGCGTTCAACTTTGATTCGACATGCTGCATGCTTCAATTCCGAGGGGCGTCAGTCTTTCAGGAGACCGAAAAAATAGTGAGATGCATTGGAATCAAGGATCTACGTTGCCTTGCTTGCTCAGGGCTTTCATTTCTCGCCGTCGGCAGTGGCATTCATTGGGCAGAGAGGTGGACTCATCCTCTCGTCTACTAAGACCATCTGGTATTTAAGCATGAAGCTCTCGACATTGAGATTCAACATGTGCTTCCAGAAGTCTGTGCTTGAATTGAGGGTACTTTCGAAGGCCTTCCGCTCAATCCTTGATCCAACACACCGCCCTCATCCCCAAGAGAGCCGAGATGGGCTCTTTACCGCCTCCAGTCGAGCTCGATGCACTCATTGTGGGAGCAGGCTTTGGTGGAGTCTACCAATTGAAAAGACTACGTGAGGAAGGATACAAGGTCAAGATCGTCGACAGCGCTTCAAACTGGGGCGGTGTCTGGTACTGGAACCGATACCCAGGCGCCCGCGTGGATTCCACGATTCCTCACTACGAGTTTTCAGACCCTTTACTTTGGAGAGATTGGAACTGGAAGCAGCGATTCCCCGGCAGCGCCGAACTTCGAGATTACTTCGCTTTTGTTGCAGAGCGATGGGATCTGAACAGAGATGCTATTTTCAATACCTTGGTGACCGCGGCCACCTGGGATGAGGAGAGTGCCAAATGGCACGTAACGACTCAGACTGGCCAGAGTTTTGTCGTCAGGTACCTTCTCTTGAACACTGGGTTCTCGGCAAAGAGACATATCCCAGACTGGCCGGGCATCGACAAGTTCCGGGGGACCTTTGTTCACCCTTCATACTGGCCCAAAGAAGAACCCGACCTCAAGGGCAAGAAAATCGCCGTCATCGGAACTGGATCGACTGGAGTTCAACTTTCTCAAGAGTTGAGTAAGGTGGCCAAAGACTTTGTGCTGTTCCAGCGAACCCCAAACCTGGCACTGCCGATGAAACAGGTCGAGTACAGCGGCGACGAACAGACGATCCCCCCTCAGAAGTATCGAGACGTCTTTGCCGGACGGTCGACAACCTTCAGCGGCTTTACCTTCGACTTCCTGCCACGGGGGACGTTCGACGACACACCCGAGCAAAGGAGACAAACGTACGAAGAACTTTGGGCCAAGGGGGACTTTAGCTTCTGGCTTGCGACCTACCACGACATGCTCTTCACCGAAGAGGCCAACAAAGAGGCGTACGACTTCTGGAAAGCCAAAGTGCGGGCGCGAATCCACAACCCAGACCTCCACGAGGCGCTGGCGCCCGAGATCCAGCCGCACGCGTTCGGGTGCAAGCGCATCTCGTTGGAGAACGGGTTCTACGAGATCTTCAACCAGCCCAACGCCACGCTGGTCGACGTGACGCGGACGCCGATTGTCGAGTTCACGGCGCGCGGCGTCCGCACCGCCGAGCGCGAGTTCGAGCTCGACTACATCGTCTGCGCGACGGGCTTCGACGCCATCACCGGCGGCCTGAAGCAGATCGACATCACCGGCGTGGCCGGCCAGACGCTCGCCCGCAAGTGGGACAAGGGCACCCGGACGTACCTGGGCCTCTGCGTCGCGGGCTTCCCCAACATGTTCTTCACCTACGGGCCCCAGGCGCCGACGGCGCTGTGCAACGGCCCGACCTGCGCCGAGCTGCAGGGCGAGTGGATCGTGCAGATGGTCAAGGACATGGACGCCGCCGGCCTCACCACCATCGAGGCCAACCGCGACGTCGAGGACCAGTGGGCCCAGGACATCTGGAAGCTCGCCAACGCGAGTCTGCTGCCCAAGACGAAATCGGTAAGTGGTTTGTTTGTCCACCGGCTCGCTCATCGCATTACACACAACCTCCTTTTTCTTCCCCCTCTCTCCCTTTCCTGTGTATGACATTGAGAATCAACCCCTTCCTCCCCTACTGATCTGATGAAACTAACTTGTCAGTGGTACATGGGTGACAATATCCCCGGGAAGCCCAGGGAGCCGCTCATCTACCTGGGCGGCGTGCCGAATTACTACAAGACTATCACGGAGTGTGCCCGGGAAGGCTACAAGGGGTTTACACGCGCATAGGACAGGTAGTGTGTGTGTGAGAGCTGAAAGAACTGCAGGCAGGCCAACTAGCCATACACTCTCTCGTATGGGGAGGGAGAGGGAATCTGTTTTATTGGCAAATTCATACCGAGTCAGCAAATTCACTATTTCGGTTCCTTGCCGTCATTTTTGCTACGTGATACGCGGCTACTGTGATGCAGTCTTGATAATTTTGCAAAGTCCATTCACCACCATTGAGATACCTCCCTCCCTCCCTTTTGCCGAACGCCCGAAGTCCAGCACTCCGAGTCCGCCGCGCTAATGGTACAGGGTATCGCTGCCAATCCGTCACAGTCTCGTACTATTTTCTGAATCTTCTACCCACCCATGCTACTGACTGACTGCCTCCCTCGAGTGGACAGACAGACAGACAGATAGCCCAGGCAGGGTATTTGTCCCATCCCTCACTGTCCATTCTGTGCGCCGCCGACCATCTTTCTCAGCTCGTACTCGCGCGTAAAGTTGGTCTTGAGGACGTCCAGGTCATGGACCAGGTCGCGGCAGCTGGCCAGGACGGCTTCCTTGGGGGTAATCTCGCCGTCGGTCTGGACGCGGAGTTCGAATTTGGCAAAGAGAGGATGCGGGACCTGTGAAGAAAGGGGGTTTTTGCGTGTCAGAATGAATGTGCTTGTGATTGCTGGCTAGCTCTTTTCTTTGTTTTCATGACGGACTCACTCGATAGGCAGCAAAGGTGACGTGGCTGTTCTTCAGAAGCTTGTCGCGGAGGAGGTTGGCGAGGGTGTGGTCTTCTTTGTTGAAGGTGAAGATGGTCGTGTTGGGTGTACCTGGATAGCTGGGGGTTAGTAGGGTCACAATCTGCACACACCGACGCGAGCACCCACGCGTGTCGATCTTCTCTTCAATCTTCTTCTCATCGTCTCCAAGCAGGAAGGCCTCAGTGCTAGAGAACATCAACCAGGGTGTGTCAGCGTACAACTCGAACACGAAAAGCAAGGAAACACGCTAGGCAGCACGGCAGCATGGCAGCATTTGTGCGATTTTAAAAGGGGGACGCCATCCAGGTATCGTCGGTCTCCGTAATTGCGCACCGTTCAGGTCTATTGATCTCCTCATGGTGCATTTGCCCCACACTGAAAAAGCTGTAGGGACGATTCGCTGGGTGGTTTCTCCAACCCGAGCCATCAATTGGATAGCCTCCCGGACCGGCGCCAGGGTATGGACTCTTATGTTTGGGTCGTGTCCTGACGGGCGAAGCCAGGGAAGCCGAGTCAGGCACCAAAGGCGGGCCAGGATCTTTCGTGTCGGTCTTTTCGACGACGTCCTTGGCAGTAGTTGGAGTCGTGGAGTCGTCTGTCATCCCCCCGCTACGAAAGCGTGTCAAACATAAGCCGAGAATACCTTGGTCGAGCCAGGTCCACCGTCCAGGTTCCAGATCATGATCCAGAGTCCAGAGGGCCCGAGGAGGCGCGACCGTTGGGGGGAGTGAAACTTACTCGTCCGGAATGTTGACACTGTTGATGTCAACTCCCGCATTGACGCCTCCCAAGTGTTTGTTCTTTGGATGATTGGGCCAGAGCTGGCTTTCAACCGGGATCCAAGAGCCGTCGCATGCCCGTCTCGGAGGGAGAGCACCTAGGGAGGGAGACTTGCTTCCGGTGGCCGCGGCCTGGATGGATGAGGTATCGGACATGAAGGATGATGACGGTTTCTCCAACAGGAGGAGCTTGTGGCACAGGTTGCGGAAAGGATCAAGAAGGTCCGAAGAAGGATAAATTGGTGGGGAGGCAGATGATGGTGAAGGGTGAGGTCTGAATTCAAGTCGGCAGAAAAGGGCGCCAAGACCAAGGTCCTTTGAGGCAGGCAGTTCTCCAGGAAACCATCACGGCACCCAACATGGCCTTTAAGGAAGAGTCGTCCAAACATATCTCCCGGTTGTTCGGGCTGAGTCAGGGGGTTCGAAAGGGTTGTAGGATGTTTGCCCTCTGGGTCGTTTCTTTGTGTACGCGATTTAACCCTTCTCTTGATCCCCTCCCTTTTCCCTCGGGTTTCCACATGGTGAAGATCCAACAAAGACAACGACACAGTGCTAGATCGAGAACATGAGGAAATCTGAGGACATACCGGTCGGGGGCGTTCATATTGTCAACCCAAATGAGAAAATATCCAAGACGGTTCAAAAGAGAGAAGGCAAAACAAAAGATTCCAAGTTAGATGGGCTGGGAAAACGGGAAAATCGTCAAGATCCAAAATATCCCCAGGTGGACGAGAAGCAAGAAACTGGATAGGGGGGTCGAAGATCACAAAGCGACAGCAACGAGAAGACGAAGAGATGGGATGAGGTCCTCGGCGTCACCCACTGGCCCTATTCAGGATTTGAAAAGTCGGACTCGATGAATGAGCGGACAAACAATACAAACAATGCAAAGTTGCCGAGCGCCACGTGACTATCAAACACCTCGACATCTTGTTCGATGCAGGGACAGACTTGCAACCAACGACATCTCCGCGGCACGAGGCACTGCTCCGGCCCCATGGAAGTTTCCATTTGCTGACAGCAAGCTGAGACCTCATTCGCAAGCTCTAGCAGTGCTGCCACGCCCTTTTGCTTTGCGAAAACGATGGACCAAAAAACTGCTCTCTAAGCTGTACACAGGAACTCGCAATTTGTCTGCGTGTTCGCCCTTCTTCTTTTCTTAAACAGCAAGTCTAAGTGACCCTCTCTCCCTCTGTGAAGTTGTGTAAGTTATTTTGGATCACCTTGTGCTCGACACTGTCGCGACCTGCATCTCACCAAGAGCTGGCTTCAGCATGACGGCCAACGCGCTTCACAATGACTATCCGTGGACGTCCCCGGACCTCCCCTTGGTGGTTGCCGCACCAATGATGAAGATTACCATGGGCCGTTTGGCAGTCTCGGTGTCTGCCAACGGCGGCATGGGTTTCCTCGCCGGTGGATTCGACCTCTCGTCCCTCCTACAGAACCTTTCTGAAGCAGCGGAATATGCCAAGTCCACCAACGTCCCCCTTCATAACGGTGTACTCCCCATCGGCGTGGGCGTCCAGAACTGGGGCGCCTCCCTCCCTCTCCTGATCCAGGCACTGGAGAAACACCCCGTCGCGGCGGTGTGGCTCTTTGCGCCCACACACCTCTGCGATCTCCTCGACTGGGCGAAAGCCATCCGCCAGCTCACCGACGAGCGCACCAAGATCTGGGTCCAGATCGGCACCGTGGCCGAGGCAATCGAAGTGGCCAAGACGACGAAGCCGGACGTCTTGATTGTGCAGGGCTCGGACTCGGGCGGCCACGGGCTTGCGCAGCGCGCGAGCTTGCTGACACTCGTACCGGAAGTGCGGGATACGTTGGCGGGGGAAGGGATCGACATTCCGGTCCTGGCGGCCGGTGGAATCATGGATGGGCGGGGAGCCGCGGCTGCGTTGGCACTGGGCGCGGACGGCGTGTGTTTGGGCACAAGGTTTCTCGCCTCCGAGGAAGCGGTCATCGCCAAGGGCTACCAAGATGAAGTCCTGCGAGTGACCGACGGCGGGACAAGCACGGTGTCGACTACCATTTACGACGTCGTCCGAGGCATCCACGGATGGCCGCAGACGTATACGGCCCGAGGGGTGGTGAATCGGACCTATCTGGATGCGGTGCATGGCGGCATGGGAGACGAGGAGAACGTGCAGCTCTACGGCGAAGCGGTGAAGATGGGCGATGCGGGCTGGGGTCCCGAAGGGCGGATGACCACCTACGCGGGCACGGGAATAGGGCTGGTGCGAGAAATCATGTCGGCGGGGCATATTGTGCGAAGCGTCCAGCAAGAGGCGGTACAAGTTCTGCAGCGGTCTGCCGCGAAGTACGGCAAGATGTGAAGATGGTTCTTGCTGGGTGTGTGTGTGTGTCTCGGTATACCGATGGATTGCGGACATTGTGAAACCATTTTTGGTCGTGACCGTTTGCATGCCTGTAATTTCGAGTCATCCACGTTCTGTCAAGTGTTGCATTGTATACAGAGTATTTATTGCCTTCGGTTGCAATTGACCGTCAAAAGACTCCTCTCAACTCAAGCAAAGAGAGCCTCAACGCAATGCATTTCGGGCCTTTGTTGTCGTTGCTCGCTTGCTTGATCACACCTCTCGAGGCGATGTTTCGAGAACGGTTTCGTTTCCTGCGGCATAAAGCACAGCGGCCGTTTCTCATGACGCCGTCGCAGCGACTGGTCCTTCTCCGCCCGGAATCAACTATCCATCAAGTGAGTCAGCAACCCCGGTCGACTTATAAAAGTGTGCAGCGCGAAGAAGTGTGTTCGGAGAAATGCTAACCAGCGGAGAGAAGAGATGGAAAGAGGCAGGAAACGCCATTCGTGGAACGACACGTGTAGTTGTTAGACGACGGATACACACTTACCATGCAGATATTGTTGCCGTTCAGTAGGATCTTGGGAAGACGCGTTTGAGCGCCGGTGTAGTCACTTGGTGGGCAACGTTAGTCTTCTTCCAAAGATGAATAGGCGGAGGACAAGCCAAGAGACTTACAACTCAATCACATCCTCCAGCACCATGTCTATAGACAAAGGCAGAAATTTGCATGGTTAGCCGACGTGACTCAGTTCTTCATGCCTCGACATATCCACCCTCATGCAAGGGATACATCCCAGAATAGACGACGGCTTGGTTGATACTTACTGACATAGTCATCGAACCCGATCAATGTACCGGCGAATTCTGTAAACCGGGGGAGGAGTTCGAGGTTAGCCAAGACATGGAAACCTGCCTCGAAACGCGGGCTCCTTGAGGAGACGATCGTGTTTGCAAAAACTGGGGTCCTCCCATACCTTTGTCGCCTTTCATGACGATCCAAATCCTCGAGCCGACACATTTATCGATCAGTTCTGCCCACACGAGCGGTTATTAGCAATTGACGTGACGATCCCGGTTCTCGCACACAGGAGCTGGGGGTAGGGGGGCGTGTGCTCGAGGTCTGGAATGATATATATATATACCTAGCGGTAGTAATTGCGACGCCATCGGCGCCGGTTTGGCGGTTAACATGACTAGCGCGGTGACGAAGAAGAGCGGGTGAGCCTTGTATCAAGGCACATTCATGGAGCGGTAGTCTGGGGAGCAGAATTCCGCGAAGATGATGAGGTCGGTAAGGCGAATACGACAAGAGAAGTTGATGTCAAGCCTGAACTGGAGAAGAGGCTTGTGCCAAGACCGGAACGGAAAAATATGAAGCCGTCATCCTGGATACCCAAGTGTCCTCAGAGCTTTGGGAGCTGGAGATATTGGTCTGGCAGTTTGGGGGAGATGTACATAACACTCTCAGACAGCCGCAGCAAGATCGAAGCCGAGTTGCTGGATGTCAGGCGGGATGAATATTGATACCAGCGCAACAGACTCGGAACATTATCTATTAGGTGCCTACTACGATGATATACTGTACGGGATCTCGGATTATCATCCCCAGAATGTCCAACGCCATGCTTTTGTCCCCTCCTTTCACTGGTGTTTCGGACCAATCCCAGTCAGCGGTCGTTCATCATAACAATATCATAACTCGTCATTCATATAGGTCGCGTTGTGTTTCCGTCTCGACCAGTCCCAAGGGTCTCCACCTGGTACACAGAGACCCAGCCGCCAGAAGTAGTCACGATGGGCGAAGAACAGCTGCCAAAATTTATAGCGCCGACTTATCTCCCACATTTCCTTGACCTCAGAGGCCAAGCTGTCGTCTTCCTGGGTAGCTGTTCCTACCTTCTCAGTCGAGATGCTGTCGGCAATACAAGCGGGATCCTCATCGCCCTTGCAATGCCGAATATCGGCACGACCAGGAGGCAGCGCGGGTTTGGAGATGTATATCTCGCCCGCGTGCATTCGGTAGCCCCATTCCTCCAGAGGCAAAAGCGGCACTGGGTCATCCACATGTGTCACTCTGCGGTACGTCCAGTCGTCCGGCCTGGTGGTGTTCAAGTTGAAACGTCGGTCGATGAACTGATTCAGAGCCAGGTTTCCGATCCGTGGCTCGCCAAAAGTTGTGACATGAGGCTCCCATCCTCTCGCTTGAAACTCCAGAGACGCCAACGCTGCAACGGCCCCTCCGAGTGAATGGCCCACCAGCACTAGTTCGTAGTCTGGGTGGTCCTTCAGGGCCATTTCCACGTGCGGGATGATGATGCAGCGTGTATTCCGCCAGGAGGTCATGAAGCCCGAATGAACAGTGCAGTTCGGACATTCTGCCTTGATCGAGCTCCTTTTCTCCGGCTGCTTCAGGAGTTGTGGAAGTAGTGGATCTTTTTCATTTTGCCGTTGCTCGGTAGTGCAGAATGAATCATTATCTCTCTCGCAAGGAAAAGGGGCATATTCCGCAGGGTTTGTCGACAGGTCGGCAATGGTGTTTGCGATAGAGTAGGTTCCTCGGAAGGCGACGATGACTCGTTTCGGGTAGGGAGGATGCGACAAGGCAATGTAGCCAGAGGAATCGGACAGAAGAGGACCGGTGTTCCAGGTGGTGACGAGTTCGAAGCCCTCAAAGTCGCTACATCGACTCAGGCATCTAAAGGGCTTCTGTATACCCGTCGTCCCGACGCAGTAGGATATGTCGACGATGCGAGCGAGTTCTTCTAGGGACTCAAAGGTTTGTTGGGAGATTTCTTTGTCGCTTGCCCGCAGATGCGCCGGAAACGCTCCAACAGCGGCTATCCATGAGCATATCCAGAAAACGGTCCACAAGCCGAGCATTGGAAAGTGCGATCACATAGATGAGGACAGCGAAGTGATCATGTCGTGCATAGGAAACGGGAGATTGCAGGACGAAGTCCTACACATCAATAAGCAATATCTCGGGAGAAAGAGAGTAGTGGCACGAGGGCCGGTTCGGCTGCGGCTTTTGGACTCGTCCTCTGTACTGCGCTCACATGACATTGACGTCACGCCCCCTTGTTCCTGACGGTTCCTGCCGCTATATCCGCCTCCATACAAAAGGTCTCCACCAGTGTGATGGCTTATGGGAGTGAAGGATGCTTAGGCACGATTCTCAATGTTTCATGACTATATGTAATTCGGATGCGAATATCAAAGGCCTGAGTCATCACGCCGAGTACTCCTGGCCTGTTACCCAGGTAGCTTTCTCAATGCGAAGCGCCCTCTGCACCCAGATGATCGTCAACCACGTCCAGAGCAGAGCCCACACCGACGGCACACCCCACCCAACACCATAAGCAACATCATTGCTAACAAGCCATATCACTGCAATCAAGCCGGCGCCAACGACTGTAGCAGAAATGGACCAGAACCAAAGCATGTGGAGGAGCAAGGCTCGAAACTGAGGAGAGGCATTGTACCGAGCCATGGCTGCCTTCCTATACTTCTTTCCGCCTTTTCCGTCGACCGCACACACATCTTCCATGAAGACGAATGTGAGGGGAGGACAGACCGTGTTTCTGACGTGGGAGCTGAGTCTGAAATGCATCAATCTCCAGCGACGCTCGGCGGCTATGCCGTTGAGGATGAAGATCAGCCCCAGATTGATCATGCCAACGGGCATTGGCAGAGCCAATGCTTTGACCGACGGATTGTGAGGAATGCTGAATATGATCAAAATAATTGTCATCACCGTGAATGGAGTCAACAGCACATATTGGGTCGCGTCAAACCCCCGGAAGAATTGACTGCCATACAAGGGTCTGTAGCCGTCGCCATATCGCATGATGCGCCACGAGCGCATGCCAAACTCGTAGCCGCTCACAAATCCGAAAAGGCTGGTAATGACAGCGAAAACGAGGCCTATCATCTGTCGTTAGCCTGTCGACGCCGCCGCGTCAACCCCTTCTCGAAGAACTCACCCGGCCTCAGAGTTGTACCATACGTCAACCCATAATACAACCCGATAGGAACGAAACAACACTCTGCAAGGGCCAGCAAGGTGAATATTGATATTGAGAATACGTGATCTCGGAGATCGAATGGAAGCGGAGGCGGCGCGTCCAAGCGTTTCCTCCTATCCCCATGTGAAATATGGTTGAAGCCCCCAAATTTCGCTTCTTTGAGGATCGCTATCGGTGGCGGACTCGGACTCGCAGCGCCGGAAGCCGGGCTGCTGGTGGCCGACGAAGTCGTCGTCGTAGCGCCATTCCCATTCTCTGTGATTCGAGTGGCCGATTTTGATGCATCCTTGTCAACGAAGGATGTTTTGTTGGCCTCCACCATTTGTTAGACGAGCTTGAGGAACATGGGCTGATGCCTGGAGGATGGATAGGAGTGTGTCTGTCGACGAGGATGATCGAGGGGGGCAGCTTCTGTTCATGATGATGTCGACAAAAAGCTGGCAATTGAGTTTCGCCATTGTTCTGGAAACTAGGATGAGCATCGCTTCTTGGAAGATGCAGATCGAGGATCGAGGCACCGTCCAGGTTTTGACGTCATCACAACCGGGAAGCCCTTGTTCTTCAGATGCACCAATCAACAGGCGCCATCAGTACGGCGCCAAGGAGGGCTGCCATTGGCTGGCTACCCACCCCGATTGTTACCACTTTCCCTGATGCTCTATTCCTGAGGACAGTGCCATGTAACCAACTCTTCCTGTTTGTCCAGTCCTTGAGCCCCATCATGTCCGATGTCACTTAAGCTTGAGCTGCATTGAGCCGAGACACGCTGTGCAGAATTGTTCGCTCGTTTATCATTTCGTCGGAGAAGAATGAGAAGATCTCAGTGTGCTCTGTGGGTCAGTATCAGACATTGAAATGAGACTAACGCCATGGTTGTGAGGGATTGAGCTGGGATTGAGCAGGAAGAGATGGCGTAGAAGCGATGAGTCGATGGAACATCCCAAGCACAGAAGTATCTCCCTGGCCAGGGAGAAGAGGAGGCACCCTTAGCTTCCCCAGCCTTGTGCCGATACAACTAACCAATCAGAGCACACCGACCAGGGTCCTGAACACCATCCAGAGCCTTTTGCTCGCCCTCGTTTTGTCCATACACAAGCCCGCCCTCAACCCAGCATAAGGTGCAATGTGTGGAGAGATGTGTGTAGCTGCTGTATTCCCTCGGTACGGATCTCGTTCACCGACCCACAGCTAAGCGGAGATCATACACCGAAGGAGAATGGTGAGTAGTAGCACAACACCTTCTCGTCTGATATTGTTTTCCATATATGTCGATCAAGCTCAGAAAGCTGTAAGTGTATATCTTTAACAAGACTTTCTTGTCGTGAGAAGGATTCATCGTTCCCAATTTTCTACCTGCAGTCTCACCCCTGCGTTTGAGCATGGTGCAACTCGGCACCAGTGGGCCCAGCCTGGCCAAACCTGGGCCAAAGAATGGACATCTTTCCGAGATTGATCCTAACTTTGCCCTTCTCCAAGCAGACGTTGACCGAAATTTCGCAGACCTGTGGTCGTTACCCCTGGAGGAATTCAAGGCGGCGTGGCTGAGTGCGCCGGTTCCCTTGCCCGACAATTGCCCCGAACCGGGCAAAGACTACGAGGTACTCGATCAAGAGGCCGCGGTGAGAGACGGTGCAAAAATAGAATTGAAGATCTACAAACCCTCGACAAGCTCTAGCACACCGTCGGTGCTGATTCTGAAGAGCCATGGAGGAGGTGAGTCAGAATCTCTAACGAAGTATACCAGGTAGCAATCTCAATCCTCGACTAATACTGCTACCAATCCAGGCTGGGTAGTTGGCAGCCATGAGGTCGAGGAGGTGGAAAATCGCTTCCTCGCCGCCAAAGCTGGTGCCGTTGTTGTCAGTGTCGATTATCGCATGGCACCGGAGTATAAGTTTCCATACGCCATCAATGACTGTTTCGACGTGCTCCAGTGGGTATGGAACATGCATGTCATGATGCGTGCAAGCGCTCTCAAATAGACTAACAAGACATTGCGACCTTTAGTGCAAATCCCATGCTACGGAGTTAGGTATAGACCCTGAGAAGATCATCGTTGCTGGGGGAAGCGCTGGAGGTAACATTGTGAGTACTATACCCAGTATCAGCCATCCTCATCGTGTTCAGGTTCCAATTGGCTAACCCGAGTACAAAGGCCGCCGTCCTGGCCCAGAAGGCTCGAGACGAGGGCGTTTCTGGAATCATCGGCCAAATCCTCAATATCCCTGTGACTTGTCACCCGAACCACTTCCCCTCAGACAAGTACGAGGGCGACAGCTACCGACAGAACAAAGACGCAAGCATTATCGACGCGCCCAAGATGATGTGGTTTTGGGAGCAGTATCTCCCCGACGCTCAGCCGGACCCCTACGCGAGCCCGTTGCTGGCGAAGGACCTCAAGAATCTCCCCCCGGCGTGTAAGCACTTGTCTTCTCCTCCGAGTGTGCGACTTTTGACACACGAGGTACTGATTTTCACGGCAGTAATACAGGTCGCTGGGATGGACCCGCTCCGCGACGAAGGCCTCGCCTACGCTGAAGCTCTCAAAGCTGCTGGGAATGCGGTCACGTTGAAAACCTACAAGGGCTTACCTCATGGATTCTACTTCTTTCCCCAGTTGAAACAGACGCAGGAGTATTGGGACAATTCCGTTCAGTTTGTGAAAGACCTGGCGGCGCGGGCATAGTTTTCCCTGGCCAGGAACCATGTAAAACCCAAGTTTATCAAAGTCCAGCGTTTCCCGGCTGAAACTATAGGGAACGTTATGTCCATGCTCGAGTGTATACGGCCAGCAGTGGTCTGCCCCACGCAACTTTCTCGGAGCATAGTTCTTGTAGGCCTATTTCCTGCGATAGAGTTCCTGAAGAAGCGAAAACGTTTTGAAGTTAGATCCAATGATCTTCTGTTTATATTGCTTCCGAAGGTGAGTGGAGACACAGTCTTATAGCTGAATCCCTCCGTCCTCACCAGGAGAACCATCATTATCACTTAGAGTCATCATCTTCGTCGTCAAAGCCCGCAAAATCATCGGATGGTTCTTCGCTGCTCGCATCATCATCATCTTCGTCGTCGTCACTGACGGATGAGTCCTGTTCTGCACCTGGCGCAAGGGAACTCTCGCTATCCGGAGCAAGTTGGTCGGCCTTCCTTTTGCCGGGCATCTCGCCTAATCGTCCTTCTCTACCTTCAATCACTTCTGTCGAAGGATCGTCATCTGTGCCGTCGACTCCCTCTTTCTTCGGCGGCGGCGTGAACCAGGGAATCTTCCCCCGTAGAAAATCATTCAGGACCATCTTGGCAACACCATCCACATCGGGCTCGCCACCTTTCAGTAGTCTCCCGCCTTTTCTTGCGAGAATACTGAGAAACTCAACCGGATCGTCGTTATAATCGGCAGCCTTGATATCGTAGGTCCGTTCGATATGGCGGGTCTTCGTTCGCCTCAGAACGGCCTCGACGTATTGTGCGGGATGTTCGACATTCTCCACACGCACCACCCCACGGAGCAGGATATCTTCTTCGGTATCGCCTTGACTGGGTGGAACAACCCCGGGACAGTCGATCAAATAGATTCTCTTCATTAATGTGATATATTGCCAAACTTTGGTCTCGCCAGGAATCGGAGCGACGGTACAAACCCGCTTCTTTCGTAGCGTATTGATGATCGAGGATTTGCCGGTGTTTGGATACCCGATGAACCCTACCGAGATCTGTTTCCGCGACGAATGCAGCGTAGAAAATTGTCGGAGGAGCGTGATCAGCGAACCTTTCCCAAAAGAGTTCGTCATCGACGCATGAAAAGCCAACGTAGGATATTCTTTTGAGAGTAATCTCGTCCATTGGGCCTAAAATATTGGTATTAGTATGGATGTGTGAGACATTACTAAGAGACGTGCCATAGACAAAAAAAGCAAACCTCAACTCAAACGAAACACGCCTTGCGCTCTGGTGACAGATTTGCTTCCAAGACGGATGCAGTTGTCGAGAACCATCCGTGAGGATGGCGAGCGCGGCTTGATGTACCAAAGCTGTAACAGGCCACTTTCACTGAAGAAAGATTGCGGTAACGCAGAAGGCAGCCTTGACTTAGCGATGGAGAGGGAGAATGTTTCTGTGCGTGAACTTCGCACCTGCGGTGGGGTTGAATAGAAGAACAAAAACTTACCGCTATGCTCGTCGGCACCAGATCGCACTTATTCAACACGAACACCAAGTGCTTGTGCGGTGCCTCCTCGCGGATGTATTTTTCCACGCTCCTACATCTTGTGCCCTCAGGGTCTCGAGCATCCAGAACATGAATAACCACGTCGGACGAGTCAATGACCTTGTATAGCTCGTTCCATATCCTTTTGCTTTGGCCCTTCGAGAAGATCGGCTCACGGGCACTCGTGAGTTCACCGTCTTCTTGTCCCTGCATTTGTTCTGCAGTTTGTCCACTGAGCAGTTTGTTCTCTTCCAGTCGGTCGAGGTAGTTATCGTGCATTTTCACCGACTCGTCGGCCAAATCCGCCACAGAGCTGGCGCTTAGCTTCACACGCTTCCGCTGGGACTTTGGACCGAATGTGTCGGCAAACGGAGCAGACTCCACTGCAATCTTCGCTTGATGTTGTTTGATTCCGTTCTTGGTGTTCTCGGCATCTCGAATCAAGCTCATGGGTAGTTTGTTCGTCTTCAGCAGGACCTGGTATGGATCGGCCGCTCGCTCCGCCACAGCTTGTCTGAAAGAGTCCAGTGCATTTTGAGATATGACTCTCGTATTCCCAAACCACTTCCGATTAGGCTCAACTCGGGCCTTGGGGATTTCGCGGGATTGGTAAGAGGCGGCTTTCGTGATCTTGCCTTCGGCATTTCGCTGTGCTTTGCCGTCCTTCAGCATGTTCAGGGTCTTCAGCTTTTTGGCATTGCTGGAAAGGGCCTGTTAGCATTGATTCTCCAGGGTTCGCCCACTGCATCTGCACACACCGATAGAAGTTCTCGCCCTTGACCTTGACATTTGCCATGCCATCTGTCGACTGCCCCTGCCGCTCACGGCGGGCGGCCTCTTTCTTTCGAGCACCCATCTTCGTCAAAAGTGACTTTGAAGGTGAGACAAAGGCAAAACGCAGAGAATGTCTAACAAGTGAGACCCATTTACAGCGTCGTTGGAGAAAAAGTTGAAATTTTCGGTTGAACTTCGGGGAAGCGACGACGGCGCTCGCGCCTTGGCAGGTCGGAAGTCATTGTGAGATTTCCCCGACCACAGCTTGATATTCCTCTATTCCATGAGGCTATCAACTCCTAACAGAAAAGATGCCTCCTTATAGCTTGTCTACCAGTCGTCTCCGGCCATCACTTACTTAATCAGTGCCGACGACGCACTCAGGAAAAATAGGCTGCCTGGCGGATGTTTGGATATTCTGCCATATCTCGTACTGAGGCAAGCTTCAGCATATTATCAGCTCATAGATAGTCGTGATATCGCCCTTCTATACGCATCCATCAAGAGCTACATTGTCGCTGGTAGCCTCTCCTAGAAAGGTCCACTGCGATCACCACAAGCCAAGCCCAAGGTCGCACTTCCGCTTCGAATGTAGCAAACCTTTTGCTTCGCACATGCAGCCGTAGAGCATTTCTCGGTCACTACGCTACTCTTGGTCTCAAGTAGATTATACAACTCCACCAAAGTCTGATTGGTCAACATGCTTTTTGTGACGCCGTCCCAAAAGGTCGCGTTCAAAGGAGCGCTCGTCGGCCAATGCCCAGAAGAGCTGTTATGAGCGGCTGCGACTGCATAGGTGGCCCTGGCGTCATATTCGAAACGCCACTCGGGTGTGGTCCAGCTATTCGCCTCGCTAACGTTGGCAAAGTAAGTTTGAATACCCGTGATGGAGAACGTCGACGCATCGACCTGATAGAGTTGATAACCAGCATTGTTTCCAGTCAGAGGCGTGATGGAAGGTCCGATGTAACCAACTGTCAACGGCTTAGAGTAGTCGACCATAGTGGTATTCCGATACGTCTTGCCGTCCATAGTATACGTGCTGTTTGGAAGGAAATCATAGAAGATTTGGATTTGGTCTTCGTGGGTATGGCCGAAGAAGACACCGGCAATCGTCGCAGGGGAAAAGCGCACGACAATGCTGTAGAAGAGTGCTGACGGATTGAGGACAGCGTTGCTCCCGTCGTATCCCGAAGGGACATGCCCAATGATCCACGCACGTTGGCCTCGGGCCTCGCACGCAGCAAGCTCAGATGCCAGCCATGCCAAGATGCCCGAGGTGTCGGGATTTGTCACATTCCAATAGTTGAAGATGTTGTCGACGTACCAGAAGTCGGTGTTGATCGAGATGATACGAAGACCTTGAGCAGTGGTGTGTGCGTATGCACCGTAGTGCGTGGAAGCGTAGTCTTGCTCAGTGCTGTTGATCCAGCCAGAGTTGCCCCAGAGGGAGGAAAGGAGCTCATAGTTCCACCCAAATGCATTAGCCGAAGCAGCAGTTGAGCCTCCCGGGTTGAGACTATTTTGCGCTGCCATGAACGTTAGTCATTATGTTAGATATATGAGGCAGTAGTTAACTGACTATTCCACGCTTCAGGAATGGAATCGTGATTTCCAAGCGTAGCATACACTGGAATGTCGCCCAGTTGAGCCTTGAAGGTTTGATAGGTGATTGTTTCTTCATACTCGGCATATTCGCGAGATATCTGCTGATCTCAGCTTTTCACTTTTGAACGTTGTTGATGGTTCTTACCTGGTCATCGTTATCGTGTGACAAAATGTCACCAGTAAAGATTGCGAATGAGACATTGCTCAAATCGAAGAATTGATGCATGCTCGTGAAAGAACTCAACGCTAGGTCAGGAGGGGAGTCACAGTAGAGATAGCCTTATGGTAGTCAGCGTTTAGACAGTGGCATTAACATTGGGGTCAATACCGAAGCGTGAGGCTGGGACACTGGCATTCGCGGAGGTCGTCGACAAATCATCGTTGGTGGCATACGGACGGCAGCAGAGATATTGAGAACAATTTGCCTCGCTCCCAATATCGTAGCGTGGATCCAGATGCCAGTCCGAAGTATGTAGGACATTGATGGATTTACCTACGTGTGGTTAAGATGAAGAATTACCCCGGTAGCGCGACTCTTACCTGATGATGCTGGCGCAGTGCTTGCATTGGCTGGCTTGGGGCTGAAGTACAGGCTCTCTTCAATGCCGATTGTCGGAGGTTCTGGACACACGTTCCAGTTGAAGTAGCAGTAGTATGTCATGTCACCAGTTGCAATGCTCATTTTGGAAAAGAGCTGAGCGTAGTAGGCTCCTGTAGCACCTCCTCCAGACGAGTATGGAATGGAAGTGTTTTGAACGCTACCGTACTCTGCCGCACAACTATCGGCGAAAACGGAGTTCTGCACTGTTGGGACGGCTTCGCATCTACAGAGTCTTAGCAGAGCCCAGGACAATGCACTCCTGTCACATACATTCTGATCAAGATATTGACGAAATTGTCGACTGGCAATGTGATTGCTGCTATATGCATCAACTCGGCACCCGCAACGCACTGAGAACAGTTGTTGGAAAATGTTGTGGTATTCGCAATGGCATACAACTCGGTAAAGAACATGTCCTCCAAGGCGGAGCTGCTATTGATGGGCGTGATTGGTGGTGGGACCGGCGAGACAAGGTCGTACGAGGGAACTGGCCCAGAGCCATTGTAATAGAGAAGAGGTCCATTTCCATTGGGAATCAGATTTGTGTCGGTCGTATTCAAGGCTTGGGCGGTCGAGTTAATCGCTCCATGAACGAGAGAAGTGGAGGCCAGCACGAGCAAGCCGCAGACACAGGTCAACATCATGATGGCTTTATCGAGCAGAGGGAAGTTGCCTTGAAGACTGGCCGGTATGAAGGTGTCCAGAAAACCTACATGGAGCTTGAAGCTTGGATTCTTACCTTTAAGCTGCCCGACGACGTTCTGGTAAGCTTGTGCGAAGACGTAATCTGCATTGACATATCTTGTATGAATGAAAGCACCAATAATGATGCCAAAGTGAGGCACGCGAGGGATCAACACAGTGGGTTACGATGATCGAGGTAGCAGAATGCTTAGCGAGCTTGCCTGGAGCTTGACTTGATTCTCTTTAGCCTGTGCTGTAAAAGGTCCGATGCGGTTGTCGGCAAACTGGACGAGGATCGAAGGGACAGTGCGACGTTGGACCAAAGGAACAAGGTACGGCGTGTCTCCGAGCTATCGAAGTCTAAAAGTCGGACAAATGAAATGAGCGATCTTACCACGTGATCCTGGGCGATCTCGTGATCATGTGATCTCGCTTAACTTTCCTTGAAAATGTCCAATTCGGCCTAAAGAACTCGAACCTGCATTCAATGCGTGCAAACACCAATCTTTGCGGCATCACCGGTCAGTGACTGCACGACTCTTGCCGTTGAAAGGGCCGTGCTAGTCAGACGAAAGCACAATGGATACACTCCCAAGCTCGGTCTGTCGAGCTTGTCGACTGCGACTACTCAAGCCTTCGTCCTCCCGAGTCTTCAGCACAACCTCTCCTCGCTCGTACATCCCCCCGGAGTCTCCTGCCTTTGTCGATGTTCCACAACCCCTTCAACCAGTCCGAGATTTCCATCCTCGCGCGAACGGCTTACTTCCTGTCCCTCGGGAGCTTTTCCCGGCCCGACGACCCGACAAACCTGGACAGCAATACCTCGACAATGTCACGCGGGATCCTCTGCCGAAAAACATCCCTCCTCCAGACCACCTGACCGAGACGGGGAAGTACAAACGACGTATGGCCGAGCTGAGAAAGACTCACCTACGTTCGGCGCTCAAAGAACTACACATGCGGAAGACGTCTATTGACGCTGCCATCGCTGCTCGCAGCGCTGCCAAACAGCGCGAACGTGCCCGACTCGTTTCACAGACCGAACGCGAAGATGTCCGTCTGACCAACGTCTCCGTCCCCAGCGCAATGCGTCCACAAAAGATTCATCAGTTATCGGTTGAAGAGGAGCTTGCTATTTTTAACACCCGAAGGCCGCACATGAAGCTCGCCTGGCTGCGAAACACGAAGATCGTCTCGACAAACTCCACACACTGTATATCAATTCGCGAACATTCATCACAGACCGCGAACAACTCAGTGCGGCGATCGAGAAGGCATTCACCACAACGGGAAGTATCTGGCGAAAAGATGGCAGGCCAGATACTGTGGAAGAGATGATCAAGCGCGGACGGGACAGGACGGCGGATCAGGGACGAGGTGGCATGATGCTATTCAGTGATGTCAATGAACGGGCATTGAAGGATCAGGAGAGGATGAAGAAAATTGCAGAGAAATTGAGCGGCGGCAAGCTGTGAGGGAGTTGATCGAGAGGTTGTAAACCCTTGGGAAAATTGGCATAGAAGTGGGAAGGTCAATAGAGACCATCCTGGGGAAGGATGTATATCACTATGTAAATCTGAAATGGGACAAGAATGTTGGCTCTGAGTTCCACGGGTGTATATGCGCTCCCTGCGTCCTAGATCTCACCGAGCAACTATTTGACCTTTTGCTCGATTGCTCGCTTCTCCATACAGCCTTTTCTTTAAGCACCAAAGAATATGGTCCCTCCAATACTTTTCCAGAAGCAGAACGGAGTATTCGACTTCTCGAATCCCGATTCCTGTCTCCTCGAGCTGGCATTGTCTCCCCTCTGTCCGTGCGTTTCCCAAGGCGAGAACACGCTTCGGATAGTCGAGCTCCCGTATGTAGAAGCAGCCATTTGTCCTTTTTGCCACCGTCGTGGTGCTGCGGGGACGTTTCCGTGCTCGTCGTTGAGTGATGCGTCAACATATGACACGTTGCACGCGTGCGTCGGGGACATTGCAGTGTCGTCCAAAAATGCCTCGAATTTTCGAGCCTAAAATGCTCCGGACAGGAGAGTCAACGGGCGAACGTATGGCAATACTAGCCCCGATACTTGCTGACGCAAATCGCTTCGCAGGGTTAGCAGTTCGGCTGGTGTTGCTGCACGAACGGTCAAGTCAATGCACGCACACCGAGGCCGACGCTACGAGTCTCAAACAACTCGATCAACCCGGCACCAAGGCACTCCTCGATAATCCAGTCAAAGTTGAGGCCGTAGAGGTCCTTCCACTTCTTGGTCTTAGAGGGCATCACTTCGGAGAATTCTCCCCTGACTTGTTTCGCAGTCGAGACTCTGCTTTCGGAGTCAACTGCACCATCCCAACGTTCACGGAGAAGATAGAGCGGAGCCTCTTTGTATTTTGACTTGGCCAAGAGTTGGAGAAGATGCATCCGCCCAGAATGCAAAAGTCTCAGATAGGGGCCGATATTTGGCACGGATAATGCCAACTCTCCTTCTTGAGAGCCTTGTGCGTGATGAAAAGAAGATTTCGATCGCCTCGCCGCACCAACGCCGCCAAGATTTTCAAAAGCTGCATCTCCACCAACGGCGCCGGATGAACCTGAGGCAGCACGGGAAACTTTAGGCACGGAGACGAGAGATGAGCCAGCCAACGAAGTGTTTCGAGAGCCTGCCAGTGACAAGGACACAAGAAAGCCAGTTCGGGTCAGCGCAGCCACATGAGACGCAGGGAGCTCTCGAGACGAGACAGACGCGGCTCGCGGATAACGACGAAGCACATCGCAGAAGTCTGCGCGGACATCCGATTCAACATCGCTTCGCTCCAGCAAGGCCTGGAGATCTTGCATGGTGATCAACACCTCGCTTAAGCCACTAACATCGTTTCCCCGACCAGTGACTTTGATCTTTCGAAGCTTACCGGCGGCTTGCAAGGCTGCAATCTCTCTCTCCGTTTTGGACGACGCCGCAACAAGAGCGTGCACATGAGCCAAAGACACTATGGCTGGCATGTTTCGCTGGAAGTTCAGCACCGCAGCGATACGGACACTGTTCATTCCCGCCCTTTCTGGAAGGGCCGCAAACATGGAGGCCCGAGCATACTGCACAGCAGTCAAGACATCTTTGGCTGACTCGATGGAGACAGTGGAAAGGACCTTGCCACTAGGAACCAGTCTATCCTCATCTCCCTCTTCTCCCTCGTCCAGATCGTTTTCGAGGGCATCAGAAAGCGACTTTGCTTTGCGTAAGGATGGTTTGGTGCGTGGAAGGTTCGCGAACGAGGCCGAGGATGAGTGAGAAGGAGCGGGTCTCTTGGCCGGTTTCTTCACCCGCGAGGAGTGGGCCGCTGTGACATACAACGGCATGACGACCAAAAGGAGAACAGGTGGAAGGGTGGTAAGGAGTGCAGCAGCGCCAAGGGCATTCCCACCAGGAAAAACAGGATATGCACATGCCGCCGATTCCTTCCCCGTCAGAAGTTGCAGAATTGGGGTTGTGCAAGGCAGCAGTGTTTGTGGTGTGAGGATTTTCAAACAGAGTTTCTGCAGCGCAGGCGGAGGAGGCGAGAGGGGGCAATAGAGGGGTGGTTGGAAGAAAGTTTGACGAGCTACGCAGTAGACTGTCTGAGTTGGGCGTTGCGGATGAGGTGCCGGGCCAGTCGAAGGGCGAGGAGGGTGTTACGCTTGGCTGCAATAGGTAATGGGACGCCCAGTTCCGGTGGTGGCACCAGTGCTTTGGGCAGCTTCGGCCTCTGGATGGGGGACATATGCCTCCGAAGTATAGGCGCCACAGGCTGTTCGCTGGGCCTCGCTGGCGTGCTGGGTTCCACCACGTGCGTCATGCCGCCCCCCCAATACTCGTTTCCCGCCCAAACAAGCTCGTGGGTGCTCGGAGTTGAGTTCCTGCTCTGACCATCAATGTATTTGCGCGTTTGTCCTTTCGCTTTGCCCGTAAAATATCCTTTTCTTCCTTCTCTACCCGCCTATCGCGATGATAATGCTGAGACTTGAGGGATCCAGTACTCTACGCATCTGCTCCCGACGAATGGGTCCTGTGACACTGCCGTGTCCGTAACCAAGTCATCCATTGACGCGGAGCATCTGTCGCCCTTGCCCTACCTCACCTTTTTTTTCTCGTTCCACTCACTCACTACATCGCAACCGCTTCTTCCTCCTCACTCCTTATATTCGTTCTCTTTCCCTCCCACTATTCATTCGCTCACTTTCTCTTTTTGTTGTCCCTGGGAGCCAGACCTGGCCGGAACTTGTACCTGTCCCTTCCATCACACGTCGTCCGACCACCCTCGACTTGGTCTCTCGTACCTTCTTGTCACTGTCCCGTTCTCGTCCCTCACTTGGCCAACAACGTCGGTCAGTCGTTCTTCTGCCACTGGGCTGGTCACAATAACCTTCTACCTCGTCAAACGCTCCGTCCATTACGCTTTCAGCTCTTAACGTCACAAGATACGAGTGGCAATGACTATCTTTGTTGCTACCCTCTTTCTGCCCTACACCATCAACTTTGATATTCCGGCGTCTGCTGCTCGGTCCGAGTCCCCAGAATTCCCGAGACCGCAGTTGACACTTGCTCAGAACTCTCCGGGCGAGACTGCGACCGTGAGCCTCTTCACACCCGGTGCAGGCAGCAGCTCCCATCTCTCCCAGCTCTCCCAGAGCCCTGGTCCCATCCCTCCGACTCCAGGCGCAACCACCGACCATGAAAAGATCTTCCGACCTCACACTGAACGGAAAATAAGCCTGACTCTTCCCAGCCTCAAGAAAGAAGTCTCAGTGCCTGTGCGCGCCATCTCTCGACATGATCTTCACTCCCCAGGTTGGGGCAAGACCTTCACCTGGAACCAACCTCCTTCACGCGCCAAGTCCCCTCCGCCAAGTTCAATTCTGAAGCACACCGTGGTCAGCGTTAAGGATGTCAAGGAGGCCAAAGAGAAGGCAACTGCGATCGCCCTCACCACCTCTCGCAAGTCTTCTCGTCGCCAGAGAACGAGGACTGTTAGTCACGAAAGGCACTTTTCACACGACAGTTACACGGTGGAAAAGGCCATCATCGGTAACGGAGGGCTCTACAATGCCATTGACGCTGCTGTAGACGCGGGCATCTGCGAGGAAAAGACTTGGGTTGGAACCCTTGGCTGCCCAGTTGACGCTTTGGACGAGCACTTAAAGGAGAATATTGCAGAGAAACTGGAAAACGACTATGATTGTTTGACGGTCTATGCCAGTGACAGCGATCTCAATGGTCATTACGAGCACTACTGCAAGACCATTCTTTGGCCGGTGGTTCACTATCAGATTCCCGACCATCCAAAGAGCAAGGCGTATGAGGATCACTCTTGGGTTTTCTATGTTAAGGTCAACGAAGCCTTTGCTGATCGCATCGCCAAGAACTGGAAGAAGGGAGATGTCATCTGGATCCATGATTACCACCTATTGCTCCTGCCAGGCCTCCTACGTCAGAAGCTTCCCGAGGCTCAGATCGGCTTCTTCCTGCATACGGCCTTCCCTTCGTCAGAAATCTTCCGGTGCCTCGCTGTGCGTACGGACCTCCTGCAAGGCATGCTGGGCGCCAACATGATTGGGTTTCAGAACGAAGAATATGGCCACCATTTCCTACAGACCTGCAGTCGGCTCCTCAACGTCGAAGCCACCAAGCACGGCGTCATCCTTGAAGACGGCCGATTTGTCCATGTCAATACATGCCCGATTGGTATTGATCCCAAAGCCATCGACCAGCAGCGACAGGTCAAAGAAGTTCAAGAATGGGTGCACACCATCACCGACAAATACCGAGGCAAGCGGATCATCGTGGCTAGGGACAAGCTAGACAGCATTCGCGGGGTCCGTCAAAAAATTCTGGCCTACGAACTGTTCCTGAACAAATATCCCGAATATCGAGAAAAAGTCGTGCTCATCCAAATCGCAACCTCTTCTGCAGAGGATCCCGAGTTGAGTGCTACCGTGGCCGACATAGTGACTCGGGTCAATTCCACCCATTCGACCTTGGCTCACCAACCGCTGGTATTCTTGAAGCAAGACATTGACTTTTCTCAATACATGGCTTTGCTCACAGTCGCCGAGTGCTTGATGATTACCAGCTTGCGAGAAGGCATGAACTTGACGAGTCATGAGTGGATCCTCTGCCAGGACGGCAAAATCTCCGAGAACAAGTACGGCCCTCTGATTCTTAGTGAGTTCACGGGGTCCGCTACGGTGTTTGGGCACGATGCTCTTTTGGTCAATCCCTGGCATTACAGCCATTGTGCCGAGGCCATCAAGAAAGCTCTGGACATGTCCCTCGAAGAGCGTGAGACTCGCTGGAAGGCTCTGTACGATATTGTCGTGCATCAGAACGCTGTCGGCTGGTTCGAGCGCTATATCAAGGGTCTAGAGCACGCCTGGAAAGAACATACGGTTCGTGACTCTACCGCCGTTCCGCGGCTGTCCTCGTCCGCGGTCAAGACCAAGTATCAGAGAGCTCAAAAGCGGTTGATTATCCTCGACTACGAGGGAACTTTGGCTTCATGGGGTTCGCCCACCGACATCATCTTGACCACCCCCAAGAGGTCGGTCGACGTGCTGAATGATCTGATCGAGGACAAGAAGAACATTGTGTACGTCATGAGCTCGAGAATGCCGGAGGAGATGGAGCGGCTGTTCAGTCCGGTCAGTGGCGTTGGGATGATTGCCGAAAACGGCGCCTTCGTTATGGAACCGGGCACCGATGAGTGGCAGGAGTTGACCAACCTCGAGCACGTCCACAACTGGAAGACGGGGGTGAAGAGTATTCTTCAATACTATGTCGAGAGAATTGAAGGCAGCCGGATCGAAGAGCGCCATGCCTCATTGATCTTCGACTACTCGGATGCCGAGGACAGGCAAGGGGCTTTCAAACAAGCGGGCGAGTGCGCTAATCACATCAACGACGCCTGCCGTGGACAGAATGTCAATGCGATCCCCATTGAGAACGGACTGAACATTTCGGAAATCGATGTCAACAAAGGAACCGCCGCTCAAATGATTGGCGAGAATCTGGAGAAGTTGGCGCAGGAGAAGGGTGTGCCGTTCCCCGACTTCCTTCTGGTCATTGGCGACTCGCGGGAGGATGAGTACGTCTTCAACTGGGCTCATCGGTTGGAGAGGGCCGAGAAGATTCGAGATGTTGTCACAGTGACGTTGGGCGCCAGAAGCACTGAAGCATCGGCCACGTTGACTCAAGGCGTCACCGGTAAGTACTGGCGTCTCCAGTGGTTCTTCCCTTGCCGCAGCTAACGTGATTCTCTAGGTGTCTTATCGATTCTGGAGAAACTCGCACGGAGTCTGGAGAAAGTGTGAAGTTTAGACTGGATGGTGTTCCACGGTTTATGAGATCCACACACAGCTGAGCATAGCACGAAGGAGTTTGCACGATGGTATTGACGAGCTTATGATGAGATGCATAGGGCGGGCTAGCCACCCGTTTTAGATACCCTGTATTAGAAGGTTCGGGCAATAGAGATCCATTCGCTGCAGAGTAGACGTTTCTTTCCGCTGAGGACTCTGTCGACACTGCTTTTGTGTATGTTTGTCAGCTATTCACCCCGGCTGCAATAGGCTGTTGCATAAGTCGATGAATTAGTAAATTCTAATATCATAAATTCCACCACGTTACTTATGTACGGCGCATTCATCAAACTTTGCGTGTTGTCTGTGAGTTTGTATCTGGATATGTACCTCGTAGGGCGCCTGTTGGTCCGACGTTCGGCCGAGATGTCGGGCTAGTGTTGGCTCATGCCGTCCAGCCTCGCTCCTCTACCACCACATCTCAATAGATGGGAGGCAATATTACCGCTTCGAAGCAAGATCAATACCCAATCCGACACCAATCTAGGTCAGATCAGATCCCCAATATCAAACTTGACAAATCGAAGGTAAGCAAACGCGGAGGGGGCTGTTTGTGGTGCGGTATTTATGATCACCGCGCCAAAACCCCGCAGGTGTAAACAGCCCAAAGGAGGATGCTGGAAACCCCATTCCGATTGTCCGTTGCTGGTGGAGGCTCTTCGTTTGCAGAGATGCAATTTGGTTCGTTGTTCAATCAACCGCGCTGATAGTTGTGGAACCCGTGTTCCAGAGAAACAGGGTTTCGTGGTAAAGGGCAATTACCCAGTCGCTTTGAACTGGTTTGTATAAAAGGCGGCTGGACCCTCTCTGAGGTGTGACGAGTCTGGTTTGTGTCGAATCAGTGTTAGCCAGTCAAGTCTGAAAGTCCGGCCCGCATCGACACTCGGACAGGCTCTGTGTGGACCAGAAAGATCGAAATCGATATGGCTCCCGTCCGGCTAGGTTTAATCGGGCTGTCCGCTGACGGGTATGTTGTCCCCAGCAGAGCCAGCGGTTCATCAAGGACCAGCACACTAACACCAGAGCCTTCATTCTTGTAGGCAATGGGCCTCCATATCCCATCTTCCGCACATCCAGCGGCGACCCGATCTGTTGCAGATCACGGCCCTGCAGAACAGCAGCAAGGCGGCGGCGGAGAGATCCGTGCAAAAGTACCAGCTAGGCGACCACGTCGCCTGCTACGACAACCCAGACTCCCTGGCCCGCGACCCGAACGTCGACATGGTGGCCGTGTCGGTCAAGGTGCCGGAGCACTATCGGCTCATCAAGCCGGCCCTGGACGCGAAGAAGGACATCTTCGTCGAATGGCCGCTGGCGGCGAACGTGAAGGAGGCCGAAGAGCTGACCGCGCTGGCGGCGACGCAGAAGGTCCGCACCGTGGTCGGGCTGCAGGCACGTCACAACCCCAGCATCCGCAAGGCGAGGGAGATGGTGGCCGGCGGCGAGCTGGGCGAGATCCTCGGCACCACCATGCTCGGCTCCGGCATGGTCCTGGGCGCCTCCGAGCGCCCCGTGTATGAATACCTGGCTTACCTCGAGAACGGCGCCAACATGATCACCATCCCCGCCGGACACGCCATGGACGCCCTCTGCTACGTGCTGGGTGAGATGACGGAGTTGCAGGCCCAGCTGGCGGTCCGACGACCGACCATGGACATCGTCGACGCTTCAGGGAAAGTCCTGCGCACCATCGACAAGACCTCGCACGACTGGATGTCGGTGACGGGGACGCTCGAACGCGGCGGGGGGGTGGTCACGATGGTGTACCAGGGGGGCAGCTCGGACACGGGCAAGAATTTCTACTGGGAGATCATCGGCACCAAGGGCAGCCTCGTGCTGGAGGGCTCCAACGGCCACGTGCAGATGTTCCACCCGACGCTCAAGTTCGTCCCGGCCGGGGGCGCACAGCTGAAGGAAGTCGAGGTGGAACCGGCCCGCGACTTTGCGTACAACGTGGGCAAACTGTGGGACTCGTTCCTGGGCGAGGCAGACGGCAGCGTCGTAACTTTCCAGGACGCTCTGCTCCGGCACAGGATGATCGAGGCCATCTACCGCAGCAACGAAAGGGGGACACGGGAGTCGTATCTCTGAGATGCAGCACATGATACGTGCGCCTCGACTAGACACCCGGCACAGCACGATGAGGAGGAGGAGGGGAGGAGAGTGGGAGGGTATGTACATTGATTGATCCAGGCAAGCCTTTTGGTTCCCTCCCTCCCTCTCTAGCGAATGAATCTGAACATATCGGTCTGTCACCTCATAGTCGTGGTGCACGATTCACATGTCATGCATGTATGTTCCATCATCCAGCTCCAGCCCCAGCTCTAGCTCGATCTCCCTCTCCCCCTTCCTCTGTTTGGACGAGCTGACTGAATCAATCCCCATTCAGCGGGTGGAATATTCCTATTCAGGAACTACCTCCATCTCCACCCGCTACGACTACCACTACTGCTGCTGCTACTGCGTATCACACCCACCGGTGACCTCGCGTCTGTCTCCTCACCGCGCTGACTCCCATAGTCAGGCACACGTTTGTGAGAGTCAGCCCCCACTTTCAGGCGGTGGGATCGTTTTGTCCAATGAAGCATTGAGCGCCACGTGGTTGGTCATCTTTCCATCATCAGCCCTACAAAGTGTGCGCCAGGTTTTCTCTATGGCTGCCGGTGCTGCTCTGCTGTTGCTGCTGCGCCCTCCCCCCCCTGTCAGCGCTTGTGCCATATTTGGGACTTGTTCTGTGTGGCCTGCTTGCCTCACTTCCTTACTCGGCACTTTCTCTTGTGTGCTTGCATGCCTTTCTCCGCAGTTACATGATAGTTGGACCTGACTACAGACAACTGACAATTGACAACCGACGCCGCACCACTCACTCACTACTGTCATACATGTCCGTCCGTCTTGGAGACGCTGCAAGGCCCGGCTCTTTCTCGTCTCTCGCCTGTGGTCAGCTTTGGCATCAAGGGTGGATGGGTGGGTGACGGAAAAGGCCTCAGGCCCAACACCTGCATGTCTTGTCGACCTGCTGATTGGTATGTCTTTCGATATCTGCCTGCCCCGTATCAATGGACGTACCCGTCGGATGTGCACTGACCGGAGGAAGCACTGCCACGGCGGGAAAATAATCTACTGACATGCTCGAGGACGCCCACGGTAAGAAAGAGAGGAGAATGAATTTTGTATAAGATGTCCAAATGTTTCCATTTGTTGTCATCCTTATCTCCTCACTCTACAAATTATCAAGTTGTTTCTCAGTACATAGAGAGCCACGGCCACTGGTATCCATCTTCAATTGTCACATCGAGACACAAATAGTATCTCTCGTAACAGTCAGTTATTCTACGGCTTGGACAATCCAGGACACGCCGCACGCAATGGCATCGGCCTTCTTCGCCCGCAAATCCGTTCTGTCCATGAACTCCACACCCAACACTACAGGCGCGAGCCTCTTCCAGCAGAGCACCACCACATCCACAACAAGATCGTCTTCATCATCGTCATCATCACCATCCTCACAGCAGAGAACTACCTGTTCCGACAACAATAACACATCAAAACACCAGCAGCCGACCAGCAGCTCCTCCTCCTCAAGCAGCAGCAGCAGAAATGCGGCGCCGGCCAGCGAGAGAAGTTCCGGCACAGACTCGCTCTCGAGCTCCGTGAGCAACAGCAGTTATGGATCGTTTATGCGGTCGATGTATACTAGGGGGTTTTAAGGGGAGGGCGGGGTGTAGCATAGAGCCGACTTCGTCAGGATGGGTGGTGCCTCTTTACCGTCTTCGAAGAGGCTTGCTGGGCTGGGCCCAGGCAGTGGCATCTTTCAATCGGCTGCCCCCTCCATATCTTTCTGTCTGTTGAGGGAGCGTCGTTGGAAGAGCGCCCGCTTAATGTCTTTACAGAATATAATATGTCTCTCTTCAAGCGCAAGCGTTGCCTTTTTTTTTCTGACATCTCCGTTTCAGTGTATAATGCGTTTCTCTGTCAGTCACTGGTGGATTCGACGATAACTCGAGACTGACTGACTGACTGACTGACTGCGAGGTTCTTTCTTGGCAACATGGACACGGGCAACGGTTTGAAATAGGTGTCTACCTTTGCGGCGGTGCCTGACCACACTGGAGCCATCTGAACGACGATCCAGGTCACAAATCTGGGCCGGTACGTGGCGAGTTTCCAGCCCTCCAACATCAAAGCAAGATGCGGTCCATCCGACCATGGCTTCGTGGGAGAGATGAATCTGTCTCCCCAACTTACGCCCTGTCTGTGTCGAAGCCACTTGGTGGATGCCCTCTGTCAGCGGGTTGGGGCGACCCTGTTGAGTGCCCGGACCGTGGAATGTGGAGAATGGGATGTATTCCAGGTCTCCAGGCCCTCCGTTGCCGGCGTGCCGGCTACGCGAGAAAAAAGCAGTCCTAATAACGGCCACGCACAGCAGGTCAGTTTCTCCAGCTCAGTTCACGGTGTCGCTCAGGGGGGGGCGCACTCACTTCGAACAGGCCGTGATCGGCCAAAAACATGTCGTCCCCGGGGATTTCAAAACTCATCGGACTGTCCTCGCTCGACGTCCAATCCCACTGATCCACAAGCCCTGATGTCGTCGTCGTCGTCGTCGTCTGCTGAGAGTCGACACTGCTGGCCGCAAAATTCTCGACTGCGTGGTGCACGGTTCCGATCTCCAGCCTGTCAATGGCCTCGAAATCCTCCTCCCGAGACCCGTGGATGCCGCCGCTCTCGGGTTGCAGGTGCTGTTGTCGACCCGGGCTTGGTGACTTCTTGCCATTATCGGCCATCGGACCGTCGTGGAGTTGTTGGACTTCCTCCAGTTTCGCACCGACGTTTACTCGAGCAGCTTGCAGCGAGGCTGAGCATTGCGGAAGCTGATCGAACGCCATCGTCGCCACCTTTCGGACTTGTCTGAGCGCGTCGCCGCTCGTGCAAGCCTCGTTGGAGCTCTTCTTCAAGAAATCCGACACCAGGCCCAAGGCTGTCGCCACGTGGTGCGGATAGGGGTCGACGCTGAGCAGGCACACCATGTCGTCGCGACGAGACGGGGCCGAAGAGGTCGAGCCAAATACAGTTTGAAGGGACACCTTGCATTGGATGCCCAGCAAGATGATGTTGATGGTCTCCTGCACGGCAGCCCATTGCGCGTTGTCCGGATTCGTCACCAAGTCTCTCCTGCCAAAAGTATCCAGGGTGTCGTACAGCATCAGGAGCCCCAAGTGATAGTGGAGAGCGAGAAGATCTTTGAGTCCGTCAGCCCATCAGACAGTCAGTCAGTCTGCATTCTAATGCATGAATTCTGGAGGATGAATGCGGAGTACCTACACCAATTGAGCTGGGCTTCGAAGCCGAGAAAGAGTAACGCCCGCTTACAGGCGGCGAGCAGCGGCGCATAAGTCACGTCGTATCTGAGCATGCACTGCAGAACGGCCGTCTGTGCCCGGACCACCACGTGCGGCTCGTGGCCGTAGTTCAACGCCTCTCGCAACGCGGCCACCGCTTTCCAAAACACGCCCTTGCACCCGCTCGCGGACTGGACGATCCAGATCGCGCGTTGGTTCGTCACCTCGAAGCCGTTGGCGCGCCAGTCCTCGGTCTTTTCGTGGAACTCTTGCGCCGTCTTCTTGAGGAGCTGCACCGTCTGTTCCTGTTCGAACCCGAGGAGACTCGCGTGGAGGATCGATGGGAGACCAGTTGTGAACGAGGCAGATGTGTCGAACACAAATCCTGCCCAGTACGCAATGGTCTCTCGCAGTTCGTAGCCCTCGTCAACCGTGTGGTGGGGTGATGTGTCGACTACCGCTGACAACGGTACCGAATCGGTCGCAATGGCCGCGGACGAGAAGCGGCTGACGTCCCTCCTGGCTCGCACAGTCTGTAGTTGTCGCATGGCGATGTCGACGCAGACCTCACCGATGGTCCCGTCGCCGAGCTCGTGGTCCTCCAGACCGGGAGGCAGGGGAGTCATGCCGAAGATATACAGGGCCAGGATCGACCTGTAGCAGCGCTTCTGCAGGATCAAGAGAACCTTGACCCGGGCATTGTGCCAGAGCTTTCGGGCCAGGTCGTTCAGCTTCTCGGTTGAGATACTCTTGCCCGCCACGAGCGGCAACCACCGGACGCTGAACGCGTGGACGGCCGCGTTGAGGGCCTGGTTGACCACCTTGCCTGCCTTGACGCAGACATTCCCCGAAGAAGCAGTCATCGATCGGGGTTTCGCGTGGCCGTCGTGGCGCCGGCACGGGCATTTCCACTCGTCCAGGCTCACGAAGAGTCGTGAGATGATCGTCCGAGATCCCTATGTATCGGCATCGTCCCGGACAAATGTTATTCTTCTGATCTGAAAAGAAAATTGACGGAAAGTCCGTCGTGGGGGTACATACATCTGGAAGTCCCGGGTACGGGCAGCAACCACCGCCGAGCCATACGCCGAGGGCGGTCTCGAAGATCGAGGAGAAGATATGCCACATGGACGAGTCGATGAGGTCCTCTCGTACATTGAACGCCCGGGCCACCCTTGACGACGCGGGGCTTAACGAGGAGGGTGTGTCTAGGTCGAGAGATCTATTCGATTTAGCAGATTGGCCCGAATCACAAAACGGTACGCTGTCCTCACCGGCGGCACTGTTGCATTGGCCCTTCACGACCATTGAACGCCGGATGCATCCGTCCTTCGTCCGTCTCGGCGCTGCCGGAAGAAAAGATCGATTCGGACGTACGACGACGGCGCGTAGTTGCTGTCTGAAGCCACTGGACACAACACACTCACTAAGCTGTCCGAAAGGCAACGCTGGGGAGGAAAGTCGTGCCCACTCACTCACTCACTCACCTTGAAAGTGCAGGGCCGATCTTTCCGGGCGCAGTTGGTGCATCGCCGGTCACGAAAGAGGCCGTCCAATCCCCCGCCGCCGTTGACAGGTTCTCGTCTGTGCACAGCGTCGCAGCGGATCCTCGACGAGCGGCAGCCATCGCAGCTGGAGTTCTGCTTCCTGGGCGGACGTTGCGACTCTTTGATCATACTGGACAACTTTGCTGCTGCTGCTGCTGCGGCTGCGGCTGCTCACTTCAAGTCACTGGGCGAGAGTTGGAGGGTGCATACAACCAGCTGAAGATGTACAACAGTACCACCGTCTCCGGGTCTGTGATTCTGTACCCTGTATGGACGGCCAGCGACAGTGACTTTGTCAGAAAAGGACGCTGTTGCGATGATGTTTGAGCCGGAACCGGGAGATTCAGCGCTGGAGAAACGGTAGCGAAGTCGCTCGCTCCCGCAGACAATAATGAGAGAACGACTCACGCCCCAATACCCTTGTCCGGCCCCTCCCCCTTTTCCAGGCAGCCTTCACACCTCGCCGACTACACCTTCCGGTCCGTGGCCCCACTTGATGAGTATATACTATAATCCTTCCTCGCGTTAGTCCGCTTTGGGCAATATCAGCTCGTCATTTCTCCACGAGGCTAGCAACCCCGGGGTACTCTGGGATGATACCCAGCTCTTCCTTTGGGAAATGCACCTTAGCCCGTTTCCCCCAGTTGTAACCTTTGGTCTATCACCTGAGGACTTTGCGGGGTAGCAGGAACACAAAAGAGGAGAAAAGGGCGGACGAAGCTCATTTTGTCTAGACCTCCGTTCCAGACACCATCTCGATGAGCATGTAGGTGATCGTTGATGGCCGGCAAATCCGAGAATTTACCCCTTATGGTGCTTGGAGAGGAGCTTCTAATGTTCTCGCACCATCTGCAGAGCAAAAGAATCGCTTCCGAAGAAGTCCTGGCTCCGCGGCAAATGTCCCACGAATGCTGTCGTATCGGGGCCAGGAACGGTCAACCGGTGGCCACACCCATCGACCTACCAAGCTACCTTCATAGCAAATATCTCCCTTGCATCCAGACAGAGCTTCCACACCATCAATGAACACCATCATCACCCGTCTCTAATCGAATCTAGGGTCTTTCCTTTTCTTTTGTTCCGTCCCAGGCTGCTATCCAACATGTCCCTCCCTCACCCGCGCCGCATCGTCACCGGCCACGACGACCAGGGCAAAGCCATCTTCCTCACCGACTCGCGTGTGCCGCTGGAGACCACCAAGCTGGGCGCCAGCCTCGGCGTGCTCTGGGAGACCAAGCAGTTCCCGGCCGACAACTCGGGCAGTCAGGATCCCATAGCCACGCGCACGACCGACCTCGCCAACAAGAACGGCGTGGTTCTCCGGGTGGTGGATATCGAGCCCGGCACGACGGAGGTGAGGGTATTCTCCAGATGCTTAGACGAATAAAGAAGAGAGAAGCCCAGGGAAGATAAATGGGGAAAAGATTTATTTGTTTCATGTCACTGACAAGCATTTCTACAGGCCAAGATGCTCTTCCACCGCACGGAATCGCTCGACTTTGGCATTTTGTTTGACGGCGAGGTCTCGTGGTGAGCTAACTAATTGCCTTCTTTCAAACCCTTGCCTCCATTTCACCACACGAAAGAGCCAGGTTTAACAAGAATGGAATGGATGCACAGCTACCTCGACGACGGGGCCAAGGTCGACATGAAGCCCGGCGACGTGTGTGTGCAGCGCGGCACGATCCACGGGTGGACCAACACGGGCACCAAGACGGCGAGAATGTACTTTTGCCTGATAGGTACGCAAAATCTCCTATCGTCACGGTCTTTTGTTTTGTTTGTTTGTTCTGTCCAGACTCTTGACGTACATTGGAAATAGCCGCCAAGCCAGTTACGGTGGGCGACAAGGAACTCGGGGCACACGGCTACCACAAGGAGGATGTCGCGTCAGGAGGGACCTGAAGGCAACGCAACGCAGAGTAGCATGAGCGTGAATAGAATATGATGGGGTGGGAATGGTGATACTTCCTCTCCGCCGTGCCCCGGCATGCTGGAAACCCGGTGGATGGAGACTGAAACGGGAAGAATAGACCCCGGTGGCACAGCTCAGCCCCGGTCCGGCATTTTCTCTGAGGCAAAAAGACCACCGTGAACACAATCTCAATGTTATTTGCCATGCCTTGCCTTCTGATAGCTTAAGAGGGCCTTTGGTCCTTCAGCGGTGATAATCCTGCTCCACTAAAGCTGTTATACAAGGCCCTGGACTCGGGGCAGGACAATTCCGCGGTATATTTTATCTGGTGGTCACTCTTGGCTCCAGGTGATTGATAGTTTCTGGGATATCTGACATTGTTGACTTGAGACAGTCTTTGCTGGAGAACGACTATTGAGAGGGGAGTATATGCATTGCTCCTCACATCCTGTTCGTTTGTGTCAAGAACATCTCTCCCCCTTCCAGCAATCCTACCTCTCGCTCAAAGCCTCACTTACCCCCTCCTCGCCACGTTGATGTACCCCGGCCTCAGCTTGGTGAACACCCCCTCTGCATCGTACTGCTTGCTCACCTTGACCAACTTCGCCAGGTTCTGCTCGCCGTACCCCGCAAACACGTCCTGGTCGCCCGCGGCGTAGTTGAGGTAGATGTACCGGTGGAACTTGTCCTGGGCCTTCGCCGTCCCGACCAGGCGTTGCGCGAATACCCGCGCGAGATTCTCGATCAAGTCGTCGTCCGACGGCTCCGTCCAGGACCAGAGCAGGGCGATGACTTTTTTCCATCACGAAAACCCGTCAGTCTCTGATTACGGATACATGGATGGCAGTACGAGTTTGGTCCTTTTCACTCACCGAATAGAGGGCCGTCTTGTCTGCTGATACCCAGTGTGTTCTCATTCTCATCCACCGGGATCATGCGCGGAAGTACCGGCTGGAACAGGATCGCCGGCACAAAATTCTTGACCGTGTCTTTGTGCGGGGTGATGACGTCCTTGTAAATCGCCATGGCGTCGCTGAGGACGGCAACATCGCTTTTGACCGCCAACGCCAGCGTCTTGGACCTTTAGGCGAGAAAGCAGTCAGCAGATGCAAGAATCTCACTCAACGCTCGCCATCCAGCATTCACGCCCGGAAGGAGGGACTACTGAACCTGAGTCCATGCGGATTATTCGCATTCAATTCCACTGACAGGTCCGCGATGGTGCGGATTTTGGTCGAGGACGCGATCGACGGCAACGCCTTGAACCCGTCGAATACGGGCGGATCGTCCTGGGGTTTCCCGTGCGACAGCACCGCCGTGGTGATGAACTTGCCCATGGGCGCAACGTAGGCCGTGATGATGAATGCCTCGGCGTAGACATCGGCGGACGACGAGTCCGGGTTCTGGTCCATGCAGAACTTCTCCAGCAGCCCGATGGCCGACGCCTCGCCGTCTTCGAGATATTGCTTGACACCGCCCCAGATCTGACTCTGCTGGAACGCCACGAACTCGAACGTCGTCACGATCCCGAAATTTGTACCCGCGCCGCGCATTGCCCAGAAGAGGTCTGGATGGCTTGCCCGGGTGACGGTTTCAATCTTCCCGTCTGCGAGGACGACCTGTAGTGGTTTGACTATCAGTGCCTGTACAGGGACCAGCATCGTGGGTATAATGGGGAAGATACTCACCTCGTAGCTTTTGACATTGTCGCATGCAAGACCGTACCGGCTGGCTGCAAAGGATATCCCCCCTGAGGGAACAGTTAGGACAGTCTCTCACAAGCTTTAGTCACCGTACCCACCTCCAAGAGTCAGCCCGCCCACACCGACCGTCGAGATACGCCCTCCCGGGACGCTGATGCCCAGGGGATCGAGCTTGCCGTAGACGTCGCCCCACTTGGCCCCGGCGCCGATGAACACGGACTTGCGGTCAGGGGCGACCTCGACCGAGTTGATGCGGCTCAGGTCAATCAGGATGCCGCCGTGGATGCTCGACGCGCCGGCATAGACTCCGTGGCCGCCTGCCTTCACGGCGAAAGGGATCTGGTGGTCCCGGGCAATCTGGAGGACGGTCGAGATGTCTTGGGCGTTCTCCGGGAGCACTTGAGCGGCGGGGACCAGAGCCGCCGACTGGGCAGTGAAGTATTTCAGCTCTCCTGCCTTGGGCTCGGAGACCTTGCTCTTGCCCAGTTTGTCGGAGAGGATGCTGTACTATTCGCAAAGTTAGTGGACTCGGCTGCTGCCCTCCTTATCTCAGAAGCTCTGTGAGTGACTTGCCACTTGTTTGCCTGCCATGGTGTGTTTCCGTCTTGAGTGGCGATGTAGAACGAAGCAGGGCAGGGATGTTCAATCACAGTAGTACTACCGCTTTATAATGCTGGGGTTGCACCTTTTCAGCCAGCATCCCCAAACCCCCCAGGCCATTTGTATACATATGTAGTCAGAACTACCGCGTCGGGGTCGTTGGGTACACACGCGGCAGGCAGCATCAGTTGATTTCCACCGTCCTCGGTTCCCGTCCGCTCTGCGCTTCTCGGATCCGGGAACCGACGTCGTTCGTTACAAACGACGACAAACCCCACGGGACCCCAGATCCCTTGCCACGGGTTCGCGAGCCATGTGCTGCTGGTTCCTGCGCCTGCTGGAGTAAAGGCGGAGTAAGGGGCTCTGTGGAGTGTGTCGTATTTGTGAGGGGTGCTTGCTCGCTGCCTTGACGGTATTTTGTATCGGGAGTTTCTGGGGGACAGCGATACCACGGTTCGGATGCGGACGAGGCGGCCAAAGCGGGATGTAGAGTAAACCCCGGGTCAATAAATGCATACATAAGGCACCGGTTTCCCCGTCTCGAAATAGTCTCCGTCGCCCTCATTCTCGCAAAGATTCCTCCTCTCTCTCTCTCTCTCTCTCTCTTCTTCACCTCAAAACACACAGCCTCAATCCTACACGCAACCATGGTTGTCAAGCTGCAGATCCTCATCCACAAGCAGGACCATATCAGCGAGGAAGAGTTCCACCGCTAGTAAGCCCGGTCCAAAGAGAAACAGTATGGCACCACAAAAGAAGTGCTAATCGTTCTCGCACAAGCTGGTCCGAGGAGCACCCCAAGATCTGGCTGAACACGGAGATCGTCAAGAAGAAGATCATCACGTACTCTCAGGTTGGTTTGAGGCCCCCAAGCACACATACATCACCTCGGGATGTGTGGACGGATGGGTGGTTGACGACGGGGAATAGTTTCATGTCGACAAGAAGTCCACGGCGGTCCTCTCCCAGTTCGGCGTCGACATCGGGTCGTGGGATGGCATCGTGACCATGGTGGCCGAAAACATGGACGACCTGCTGAGCGTAGGATTTACCCCCTGTTCCAAGGTCGGTCCGATGAAACACGTATTTTTACTAACGAGACATTCCCATCTCAAAGGTCTTCGGAGACGAAGAGTATCTCCGCGTGGTGGTCCCGGATGAGAAGAAGTTCCTCAAGCGCGAGACGGGCATTATGATGATTGGCGAGGACCGTCCCAAGAAGGTCGACGGGAAGGTCGTGGTGGATATTTCCAGGTAGAGAACCGCGGAGAAACAGAGAGGATCTAAGTCTCTGTCCATACACCGCCTGCTCACGTTCTGAGCCCAGTCAATAACAGCCTTTCTCGGCGACTCTTAATGTGTGTTCCTGCCCTGGTGTTTGAGGAACGGTACCCGTTGTTTACAGAGCGTTATGAAGTTCATACGGAGCACATACGGAGCATCGTTGAATGTATACCACGACCCTCACCTACCGTGCAACTTTATGCCCACCGTGATCAGTTTTCCATTTCCATGACAAACCGCATGCTGTGAGATTGCCTAACGTACTTGACAAGGCAGCAGGAAATGCCCACTGAAGCTGCGGTCTCCGGGATTGGTCGCCCCAGCGGGACCTGGATATAGTCGACTCTCCAGCCAACGTATCGGATTATTTCCTCGGGCCATTTATCGACCGGGGGAAATCAAGTAAATGGTTCCTTCTGAATACCATCATTGTCGGGCGATTTCTATACGGACGATTCTCGACGGGAGATCTTGATTGTTCCGCTGTACCGCTGTTGAAAATGGTAGAATGTTTCGCGGATCAAGATATTCCTGAGGACGGGACAGCCTAGATCTCTGGCTGGAGCAGGTATATAAGTATCCAGTGCAACAGGACAGCTCTTGGACTGTTTCTTCTGGTAGACAAGATCTCAAGGCTCAATTTCTACCATCAGATATATTAGAACCAGCAGGCAACCCCTTCATCACACAACCAGGTCCCAGATATCTTGTCTCAGCATGGCCTCCCCATCAACTCTGGAGTATACCCCCCTCTCTGAGCGGGCCGAGAGAGTGGCGACGCAGCTGTTCGTCCCCTCGGAACAGATCCAAGAGCGGGTGGCCGAGTTTGCGCACGTCCAGCCGCGCCCGGAGAACAAGGACGGCGACACCGAAGTGATCGAAGGCGAGACTTTCACGCACCACTTTATCCTTGGCCGCGGTGACGGCGAGGTGGTTCGATGGCACTATGTCGAAGCCGGACCCCAAGACGGCGAGGCGATTGTGTTCCTGCACGGCATCCCCGACTCGTGGTTCCAGTGGCATCTCCAGATGGTGGCCCTGGCCAAGACGTTCCGGTGCATCGCCGTCGACTTGAAGGGGTATGGACAGTCCGACAAAGGTGCAGGCGACTACCGTCACGAGGGTGTCGGCGAGCAGATCTTAGATATGCTGCAGCTGATCGGAGTCCAGCGATTCAACATTGTCTCGCACGACCGAGGCACGGTCCCGGCAGACTTCATCGCCGCCAACCACCCAGAAAACGTCCTCCGCTACGCCCGAGGCGAGCAGCACCTCTTCCACTATAACCCGAAACTCTCCCCTCAAGGGGATCTGTTCATGAACGCGCCATACAACGGGGTTCTGGACGACGCACGCCGCGTCGTCGTCTGGGCCCACTCGAGCCTCTGTGTGCGGCCCATCCCAAAGCACCAGGTGGAGCGGCTGATCCAAGAATTCTCCTACCCGGGAATCGCAAAGGCCGTCCCGCGGTACTTCAACTCGTCGACGTTTCGCGCCGAGTGGCTCCAGCGGCGCAACCGTCTCCTCGCCGCGTGGACGTGCGCGGTGTTGATCCTCCAGGGGTACGATAGCAAGACGCAGCCGCGAGAGTTCTACGAGGACATCTCGCAGAAACACATCCCGAACGCGAAGAGTGTGCGTGTGCAACTCATTCCTGGCGGCCACTTCTGGAGCCTCGAAAGCCCGGCCGAGACCACTGCCGCGTTGGCGGAGTTTTTCAGCAGCTGAGCTCCGATAAGAGCTAATCGCAAGATGAGTGAAGTGAGCGTCTTTCTGGGTAAGGAAGGGTAGGTGAGATGGGAGTGGGGGCTAGGAAGTGTGTGCAGGTCGCCGTGCATAAGTCGAGACATTCGTTATAAAAAAGGACTGGGATTTGACAGGGCACAAGTCTGACTTTCGTCGTTGGTGTTTCGCATGCACAGCAGTTTCAATAACAAGGAATTAGCCAGAAAATGGGCCAGAATATATATCGTCGAGATAATTCGAGAGTTCTCCGCCGATATCGTCGTAGGCGAAGTCGGCCTGACCATTCACATTTTCGATGCCGTTGTTTGTCACAGCACACGACACTCCGGGCGCGCTGAATTCAGACCATGAAGTCGGAATCGTGTCGAGCCGCAATGTCGACTCGTTGGTAAGAACAGTCGAATCGGCCAAGGTGTGGTTGTGGCCGTAAAACAATAGTTCTGGATCATTGAAGTTAGATCCCGTCGAAAATGAGTCAGGCTGCCACGGCAGGTTAATTTCAGCAGGAGGAGTATTAAGCACTCCTTGCGGTGCTTCATGCTGTTGCAGGTAGTGAGTCTCTACTACTAGGGAGTTGGTTTGACTTCCTTCCCTTGACAAGGCAGGAAGCTCGAGCGTTCCGCAGTTCAACCCCGGCACGACATCAAGATCTGACGAAGCAGTGTACCTGGATCTATTCTCTGAACCGTGAGGCTCGTTGACGTGCGACATAGGGGCACCGCCGGGGTTATTTCTCTGTTGCCCTGCCTCCGAACGGGAGGAATCCCTGACTTGATCAGCAGAGATACTCTCCCCTTCGGCCACACCACTCGACCGGGCGGTGAATTGCTTCAATCGCATAGCGAGCTGGTCGAGATTTTGCCTGAGCACGCTCGGCATCTCCCAGTATTGAATAAATCGGGTATTGATGACTTTCAAGATCTCGAATTGTGATCGAATCAATCTCCTCTCGCTTTCGTCGTCCGTCAATTCCTGTTGCAGCAGTTTCACCGTCGCAGCCAACCAGGATGCATGTGCAATACACGGATTTAGATACTGGTAGTGCAGCTCCGAGCAGTTGAGCATCACATTCAGCATGGCGTCTGAGGCGTGGAAGCACTGGTGGAGTTCTTGGCCAGACAACCCTGAGAGTGAGACAGGATTATCAGTAGATAAGCTGTCGCTCCCTTTTGTTGTCATCTTTCGGAGCCTTTGCACATATTTCTCGAAGACGAATGGCCTCAGCGCGAGAAGCTTGACCACTTCAGCCAGAATTGCGACATTGTAGATTGCAGTCTGCCAGTAGAGGTGTGATGTAGTCAAATTCGGGTCAGTCATCTGCGCTCCGAAGTCCAGTATCTGCCCATGGAACTTGAGATTGGGTGGCACGACGAGGAGATAAAGATGAATAGAGTTGAGCATCGCCATGCGATTGTTATGAGACCTCGTTGCGGTGTCACTTTCAACCTCAGAAGCAGTGACTTTCTTTCCAGGGGAATGATAGTTTCGCTTACCAGTAGGACGGGCCATCGAGTTCGCCTCCGCCAAGAAGGAAATGAGCACAAGGAACCATGCTCTTGCCGACTTCGTTCCCGTTTGCTGAAGAGATTTGGGTCGCTCAATAAAGTCATGATGGAGGAAACTGCTTTGCTGGTACTTGCCTTGAAACCATCGGTCGTCGTCTGCCGGGAGCAAGACTTTGTTTGGAGTCCAGTTGGTCACGTTCGGAACCTGCTTGATGACCGTAGCGAAGGTGTCGATCTCATAGAGCGCCCAAAATGCCCGTCGCCGCTCTTCGTCCTCGCACCATCGGTTGAGGTCGATAGGGCTGCTGTTGGGGACCACGTCTGAGTCCACAGAGTCTAGCCCGAGCTCAAAGGCGATCCGGATACAGAGCCCAAGAGACCTCCATGCCCGACCACGGACGCCCTTGACAATCATCCAATGGGTCACAAGAATCTTTGCTTGAAGGAGACACAGTGGAGGTTGATCGTCTCCGCATTCTTCCAAGACTTTGTCAATATAGTCGTTGGCTAGGTCACCAAAGTGAGATCTAGATAGAGCTTTGCTGTGCCCGTCGACGTCGCCTTTGCCGCCGAAAATAAATATGGCTGCAAGTAGCGCTTTCAATTGCAAAGGGGTTGCGATTTGGCTGAGCTTCGAGGCAAACGTGGACTCTCGGAAAAGGCCATATGAGGTGAAAGTACGAAAGAAATTGCCCACTCTAACGCGAGTCAAATCGAGCCACAACATAGCTTCGGTCTTTTCTCTTACGTTCGTTTCATGAACTCTAGTGTGACCCCAAGGTCACTGCAGGCAGACTTAAGAGTGTCTTCGGTCACTTTCACTAGTTGGTCGGCAACGGGTACTATTCCCTGAGACCTGGGAGATGACGCTTCATGCGAAGGACTGATCAGGTGATGAATACTGATCGAATGCTGCCGTACCGCCTCGTCCAAGAGATGGGATTCCGCAATGGAACTTGCGAGAGTAGTGACCCCATAGGGACGGTTCTTTGTAGCTTCGGTTGACGCAGTCCGTCGTTGTTTCACCTGGTTTCCGCCAATGCGGCCGCCACGCATTTGGTGACCAAGGTAGCGTCTTTTATGAATGCTCCCGGGCTTAGGTCCCGGTTTGAGCCCTTTGGACGGATAAGAACACTGCAGGCGATAGCACCGGCATCCCGAGCATATTGGCAGGTCTCTGCTGCACTTCACTTTGCGGTCGCGACAAGCGAAACACGCGAGTCTCGGTGGTTCGATATGTGCCATTTCCCCAAATCTTGAAGAGATAACGGAGAAGTATTAAAGTTTGAGACGGACAGAGTTACACGATGTTCTGCATGAGTATCAGGACCAACGGTCAGTCTCTCTAGACCGATGTCCTGTGGGAGTGGAGGAAAGGTACTCCCATGACATGGAAAGCAAGCCCCGGCTATGGCGTTGCGGGGTTGATGGAATGTGGGACTGGGAGCGAGGCTGAAAACTGAGCAGATGGTGAATGGATCGTCATCTTTTGCGGGACATCGAACCATACAGGCAGAAGCTATGCCTGGCGGGAAGATTACCGTTAGCCTCGGGGCAATTTCTATCAGGACCATCCCGATCAGATGTGTCCACACCCGGCGTGATATAATGGTAACAGCCTTGAGACACTTCTGGCCACTCTCTCCAGTAAGCGAGGAATGGAGGTCCTTACGCCTTTTGCGACTCGTCGGCGTCCACAAAATCATACTCTTTCCTGAAAATGAGGTCCTCGAGCCGTTCCGCCTGAGGAGGCGAGAAAAGCCGCTCAAGGAACAGCCGCACCTCTTGGGGTAGTGGCTGCCGGTCCAAAGGCATGATGTCCCGGATTTGAAGAAGGCCGTTCTGAATAAACACGGCAGCGACATCTGCCCACGCGTCATCTAATTTCACTAGTACCCCGGACCATAGCTTATTGCCGGCCTGGGACTCAGTCGGAGTGTCCAAGATCTGTGACGTGATGTACGTTTTGAGGATGTATGCGGCCTCCTTGGATGATTGTGCCAGGTGCTCAATGCTGGAGTTATTGCCAAGAGGCTGCTGATCTGCGAATGCCAGCAAAATGGCCAACATCTTAGATGATGGGATGGCGTCAGGCTGTTGTTGTACTCGTGGTAAGGGGTGCAAAGCCAGAAGAACGAGCTCGTCCAAGGTCTGGTGATATGCGCTAGACGACAAAGTTTCCCCCAATTGCGCATTTGTATAGCGTATCAAGTCATACTGAACGGCAACTTTTAGGAAAGACAGATTGTCTGCCGTCCATTCTTCGAAACACCGACCGGCTTTGCGATAGATGCACCCCGTTATAGCGTGCATCTTTCTGGCGCACCCGCGGAGCATCCTCCATGCCCAATTGCTGATCAGTTGTTGCCGAAAGTGAAAGATTAACGACAAAGGCAAAGAGCCCGATTCATGGTCGTTCTGCGATGCGTATTGGAGGAAAGTAATGGCGGTCTCAAGGGCGTGCACCACATGTGGGTCACCGCCGTCATCATCGTCGTCGTCACCATTACGGTCAAGGTGCTCAGACGGCATGATACGCCCGTCTCCTTTGGCTGAGAGCGCGAGGAATACTGTCAGCGACGCGTTACAGATGTACCGTGAGAAGTCGACTTCCTTGGCACCCATCTGTTGCATTCGCACATGTAGCTCCTGGCTTTCGCAAAAGAAGTCGTACACTGTTCTGAGAAAGTATAAGCACAGTGATCAGATACGATGGGGAGAATACTTTCCGGTGAAGGAACTCCACTTGCCAGTCCGTCCATCGTTCTCTCTCAATCTTTCCTCCAATCTGCAACAGACCTTTGCAAATTGCGTTGACACGGTCCTTCGTGGACGAGATCCTGTGCTCCATGGATCTTGTTGCAAAGTCCTCAGCTTCGAGGGTAAAGGCAAAGTCATCGTGCTCTTCCTGAGTGTAGGAAAGATATAAGGCTGTCGTGTGCACTCTAGGAAGGGTAGCTGCCAGTTGAAAGATCATGACGGCCTCTGCTCGGTCCACAGGGTTGATGGTCTCAATGATCTGCATGAAGAAATCGTCCAACTCTGCCGGGAGCCGATCTAGCCGCTTGAAAAGTTTGGGGATTGTCGCCCCTGCTTGAAGGCATTGCAGCAAGTCTCGCACCACCAAATGGACCCAGAGGAAGACACCTGATGCCTTGTCCACGATCTGGGCTTGCAGATTGATGCATTGTGTTTCTTTGAGCACTCGAAGCACTCGAAAGTTCCTGTCCCCCTCGAGATGATCTCGCACGTAGGTTGACACGTCGTCCCTCGTCAAGTCTTCCAGACGAAGACCTGGAAAGTCCCTGAAACCCTCCTGAAACACTGTCCACGGTCGGCTCGAGACGCAAATTTTCACATTATCATGTCGAGACGCAATGCCGACGAAAAGGTCAACCAGACCCTGGCGCTGCGCGTCGGTACCTTCGTATTCATCCAGTCCGTCAACGAGGATTGCAAAGCTGATTGAGCTGGAGCATGTCTCAAACAGGCGTGCAATTGCAGCCGTCAGCTCCTGCACCGACCAATCCTCGAGATTTGACTGGCCAAGGTAGTATGCGCGCCAGCGTTCCGGATGTGCAATTGGGAGGAGCGATGAGTCTTGCTTGAGAAACTGGTACAACAGAGTTCGCAGAATACCAACCACGGACTTCTGGAGCTTTGTCCCTGCTCTCCAGAAGAACGCACTGGCCACACGAAGAGATTTATTCCCAGCCCATTTCTCGAGCAAGGCCTTCAGTTTGGCATGATTGGACAAATAACGCATGAGGCATGATTTGCCAGATCCGGGCTTGCCATTGACGAAGAACAGACCATTCGAGGGCTGCTCATTCTTCAACCAGTCACTGAATGTCAAACGGTCAGAGTTGCAAACATAATCATCCTCGAAGATCCAGTCAAAGGTGGTTCTGTGTGCCTCGGAAATCATTGCCCTCCGATCCTCGTGCTGGACAAAATAAAGGCTTGCGAGCATCTTTGGAGCCGCTGTATCAGCCAAACACTCTTTTGCATCCCTCATGATGTTCTCCGATGCGGCTTCAATGGCTGCTTTGTATTGGGATTGCCATTCACGAATCGCTTGCTGGGTTGTCGAGCTCTCTTCACGAACGACAGACTTCAATTCATCGACTTCAGAGGTCAAGGTGTGGTAGCCATTTAGAACCGAGTCCAGAAACGACTTCTTCCCGGACTCGTTGACTTGAACAAACTCCTGAAGGTCGTGCGAACGCTGTATACTGCGGAAAATTGAGCCTTGGCTTTAAATTCAAACGTTGAAGTCACAAACCTCAAATATGCAACCAGGTTCAGGCTCAAATTCGATTTCACCCTTTCCAGATCTTCCAGGAGGGAATGGATGTCCCGCTCTTTGATCTCGGAGGATATAGCCAGTCGCAACGCTCCAAATCGCTTCTCACCTAGTTTTGCCATTTTTTGAAGCAATGCGGTAATCTTTGATGCCACTATTCGACAGTGTTGGTTGGCATCCAGAATACCTTGCTCCCATTCCGTCATCTGCTGGTTTTTGTTCTTCGGTGGACATCTCTCCAACCTCGAGGTCAGGTCAAGAAGATTTCGGTTTGATTCATTAAGTAGCGCCGTGCCAGGCAATGTCCCTTCAGATGTGATTTCCTTCAACTTTGACAACACCTTCCATCCAAAGTCGACGACTTGGATCACATTCCCCGCCACGCCCAACGCCGTAATCGGATCGAGCATTTCGTTTCGCTAGACTATAGGCGCTGGCCTAGCATAGCTCTCCAGCAGAGCAGATCTGGACGAAGGCGTCGTTGATGGGGAAGGAAGGACCAGGACATCGGCTGCCTGAATCCTGCTCCAAGGTGCACGAAGTAAGTGCGGCGATATCCAGAGCCGGAAGCGCTGGAAGAGCACGGTCAGGCCAACTGGTGCTCTGTCTTGCTGTCTGGACCACTCAATCGGCCTTCCACGCATTAATATGGGCATGAGGGAACGATGAGTCGTGATAAGGAACTCTCGAGGGGTCGCAGAAGTTCCAGCCTCACGGCGGTGTTGCATCTGCTAAGCCACTTTGGCATGTGCCTTGAGATAGGCGATAACCGAGACCCTGCGCAAGTCGGTTCGTCATTGGAGCTCGATGCCTTGGTCAATACAAGCGACTTGGCAGACACAGCCCAGTTTTAAGCCGCAGTAGGTTTAGACATGGTTCGTGGTGTGTGAAGGCGACGCCGCAGGTTGCCTGCTCCAGGTGAAATGTCCAGAGCCAGGTGTTCCCACAATGCCTGATTACCGTCCGACCCGAGCATTCAAAGCAACGTACCCAAGATTGGGAAACGTGAAATAGAGCACATTTTGCAGAACATTAAACGACCGGTCATTTGAACCTTACATAAAAAGAGTCCTGCGTGCTGAGGTCGGTCCAGCCCCAGCTCCGGCTCTTCGTCGAACTCTCAACTGACGTCTTCTTTTCCTTCTTGATTAAGCTGCCTAAAGTCGTGTAAGCCCTCCCATTTCTCTTGAATCGCTCTCCAGGTTTAACCTTGTGTGCCTTTGTGTAGATAAGAATTGGCCATAAGTGGGGTATGTGACCCGGCCTCTTGCCAAAAACGACGGATTGTATGGAGGGAGGCTCTGGCTGAGACGCGGGCTTCCCATCGATCAACACGCAGCCGGAGCTTGCAAGCTCGCTTTCCACATATTAGAGTTCACATCTGTCAGTGACTGTATTGCTGTGGTCGCCAAATCCGATTCTAGGTAATTTTGTATATCATTGAGATTGACAGAATGACACCCCGCTTTGACTGGGAAGCCAATGGCCTCAACAGAGCTCGGTTCGAGGCTTTAACGAAACTACTACGTTTGCGTGATCATGGCCAAATTGAACCTCCGTCCCGGTTCGATGAGCTGCAGCATGATGCAAGAGCCGACGGTGATGCTGTCTCTGACGACGTCGACTCTACCAAGGCATTTACGCTCGCGGATTTCAACCCCGATCACCTGCGGAGAGTCTTTCTTGATAGACTAGCAGAGCTGGTAGCTAACGAGAAGGGTGGTCGACATGTCGCCGCTACCATGATGGTCAATGGCCAAGACAAAGTTGATGTCTTCGTTGCTAGAAACAACAAGTTTCGTCCGAACGACGTGACATTTCTTGAGCAGACTGAAGCGCTGCTGCGTCTCATTGCACGTGGCGTGGGTTAGTTATATGCCTTTGATCGGACGTATCTTGAGACCTTCGAAGGATCTAGGCTGACCAAGACGCCGTACCTATGTGTCAAAGGCGGAGGTAGCCAGCATAGTTCTACGCTTTGGACAGTACTCCTTGAGCACTACGAGACGAGGATTGAAGGCTACATTGTTGACCTTAGACAACTTCTCAAACGGTGTTTCCCGACTGAAGTCCCAAACAACCAGCCTCAAGTCGTGGAGTCTCCCCTTGTTTCCCATCTACGCGGACTGCGAGACGACGCCTTTGCGCTGTATCCATCGACAGCAACCAGAAACGAGGTTTTGGTGCGTCGAGCTCACTTTATATACAAGAGCTTCCCAGTCGACGACTTTGCTGGACTTCATTTCTCTGCTTCGCCGGACTTTAGAAGCTGCCTAGGTTTCCTGGGAAGACTCCATACTTCGTTTAGTGTCCTTGTCAGAGCCGCGGAAAGACTGCCAAGCTTCGAGAACATCAACATCTCTATCGTCAGGCTTCCAGCCCACAGTAACGCGGTCGCCAAAAGGGGCGAAGTAGACGTTGGGGGTTGGACTCTCGCCCAAGTCTTCGATCATCTAGGACACACCCTAACCGACGACCGGGTGCACAGTCTGCTGGGCTCTCGAGGCAAAAAGGCTCGGTGGACCAGAAGCAAATTGCTGCAGGAATTCAACAAACTGAAGTCATCGACTTGGGAAGTACACGCCGAAATGCAACTGTTGCCGTCCTACATCCAGGCCATGGCGACGACTGACTCGGTCGTTCAGTATATCGGGTGCAGCAAGAAAAGCTGTTTCCTCTGCTGGCACTTTTTGGACCTATTCGCGGGCATCAAGACGAGAGGATGTCACGGAAAGCTGTACAATCTCTGGGGACTCCCGGATTTTGAGGGTGTAATCACTGAGCAGATGGAACGAGTCGTGGCATCAGTGCGAGATGTCGAAGGCTTGGTCGAGCGACAGATGTTAGATGGGCAGGACCGGATCTTGATGCAGGCGAAGGAGTCAACTGTTGGCGCATCGTCGATCAAGACGGCCATTCCGGGTTCTGGGCAGCCTTCGATGATCAAGAGGGTACTGGAGTACCTTGAGAGCCAGAGGGCTAGTCTCTTTTTTCCGAGAGAAATTGCAGAGTAGGTTCTCTTGCTGATTCACTCTCTAGTCGCCAGTGATACCCAAAGACTGACTTTGACAGAGAGCCGCAATACGAGGAGGCGGCCGGGAGCTCCGTGATCGATGAGCCCAACAACGATACAGTACCCACCGCTGGTCCTTGCAGAAACACTGACTGTGATAAAATCACCACCCGACGATGTTCTTACTGTGGCGGGCCCTGGTTCTGCAGCGTCAGGTGCGAGGAACTCGAAACCTACTCCCACAAGTTCTCCTGCAATCGCCGACCGATCACCACGGCAGATCTTCTCGAGAAAGACTGCTACCGAGACTTACTCCCAGAAGACCCCCAGGTCCGTGAAGACTATGGGTTCCAGCGCTGTAGAAACCGCAGCGAAGAGACAATGCTTTTTGGGCTCTATGTTGGGATTATCAAGTATCGCAACATCTCCAGCGAGGAGTTGCATCACTGGAGGATAGAGGGTATTCTCGTCGACAAGATCGTAGAGGTGTTCTCCAAGATACCCGAAGGCTTCCGTGGAAGTTACTACCCCTGGTTCCTCTGCAATAGGCACATCCTCGAAGGCGAACAGAATGTTATACGCGACGAGGACGACGTGGATAAGTACATCCAAGAGCGATACGCCGAGGCGAGAGCCTATCTCGACCCGACAGACGAGACCAAGGCGGTCGAGGATCTAACCCCCTTCGCGAAGCAATACTGCTTCTTTTTCTTCTCCATACTCCTCGACAGCAAGCACCCGGGCCCACAGATGGCGCTCCTAGATCTCTGGTACGATTTCGGCTTCGTCGTCTGCTCCGACGAGCACGAGGAAAACACACTCTCAAACTGCTACCAGTGGCTCCTGCTAGGCAATAAACCTGCGAGAGACCACTTCCGAAGTCTGCGGATGGAGCACCTCGCTCCCCTAGACTTCCCAAAGTGCAGCTTCACCGATTTTTGGAAAGCCTGGGAGGCAGGTTCGTTGATGGAGCTGTTTAGTCGGTACGGCACCTCTGGAGGCGCCGACAGTTACGGAACCAAGCTCGATTACCGGTTTCCTGCACTGCGAGAATTCCTGTCGTACCCCGGCAAGAGCCCTCGGCCATCAGTCTGGAGGCTGAAACACTTCCTTGCGATCGAGAATGCGTACGTTCTGACCGTTGCGCCAGAGATTGGAGCTGCGGCGATGGAGTATGGGTTCTACCCGCAGCTTGATACAAGGACTAGGCTGGATCTTCATGACTTCTACATCCGAGTCTTTCGGCGTGGGTTGCTGCCCAGAGAGATGGATGAGGCGAGGAGGAAGGGAAATATGCATGAGATGGCGGACCGGTGGAGTGGCGGCGATGTTAGCGAGAGGGTTAAGCAAGTGTTGAGGGAGTGCAGGATACTGAGATCGTGGACAACCTAGATGCCTAAAGCACCCTTTAGCTTATGGTGAGTGAAAGTTGTAATGTGTTCGCCAAGGGGAGGGCGAATTCTGGGATCAATGTATCCAGCTCGCCAGGTTATAGAATCAAATGGTGGCACCAAAATTCGTTTTAAATGACACCACCACCAAAGTAATGTAATGTAATGAATTTAATGGATAAGCTAAGATATAATAGGATAAGTGTGACCGTCAAGTGGATTCCTCCTGGACAGCCCGGAATAGTTTACCCCGGTTCTAGCAGGACACCGATCTCGGAATATGAACCCTTTCCCCACTCAGTCAACTTCATTCCTTTCTTTATTCTCCCCTCATCTAATCCTATAGCTGAGAGAAGGGGAAAATCCAACATCCAGAAAAAGCCATGCCTCCTACTGGTCTCGCCATCCTCCTCGGCGCCGGCCCCACCACCGGTGCGGGCATTGCCCGGGTGCTCGCGCGGGCCTCGCAAGGAAACCTCGCCGTCGCCCTTCTCTCACGCAGCGGCGACGTGCAGCTCGCAGAGCGGCTGTCGCGCGAATCCGACGGCGGGGTGCTCAAGGCGTTTAAAACCGACACGACGGAACAGAGCCTGAACCGCGTGTTTGATGAGGTCCAGCAATGGTCCGCATCGCTCGGCAATGACGTGAAATTGAAGTTGGCTATCTGGAGCATCAAGCACTCGCACAAGACGCCCTTCGAGGACGAATCCGCCCAGCGCTTCGGCGACAGTCTGCAGACCTACGTCACCGGCGCCATGGTATTTAGCCAGCTGTGTCTCAAGTGGATGCTGGCCCAATATCCGGCAGATGTGGAGCCGAGCTCAGAAGGAGGTGCGGAAGAGGAAATGGTCAAGAAGGGAACGTTGATCTTCACGGGCACGTTGGGTGCTTTGAGGACGAATCCTGGCTACGCCGCCTACGGAGCCGGCAGGGCCGGTGTGAGGATGCTGGCACAAAGTCTGGCAAGGGAATATTCGGCCAAGGGCGTCCACGTCGTTCACGCCATTGCAAACGGCGGCATCGTCGATGCCGATGTATCTGGAGGTACCGAAGCGGACGCGGATGCAAAGGCGAAACACGCCAAAGTCCTGCTGGGAGAAAGGATTCGCGCGGAAAGTGTTGGCAAACTGTACCTCGAGTGCATGCGCCAGGGCTGCGACCTGTGGGTCCACGAGTTGGACATGAGGCCTGCAAGGGAAAAGTTTTAAATCTGTTTCAATGATTGTGGGCGGCTTCATCTAGCTACTATAGGTGGACAAGAGCGTTGGCCGAGCACCTGCAGAACCCTGTGTTAATCAAAAAGGGAATACCCATCTCCGGAGCCTTCCCAGTTTCTCTGAGAAGACGACCGAGCAACTCTCCATGGTGTAATTGCCACGAACTTGGCCTTCCTGGTGTGCTCAGCTGGCCACATTCAGCCCCGCTATACACGACCATTCTGTTGAAAGGCCTCACAGCCTGCCGGGTGCCACAACAAGGCCGACATAGCCCGTCTTTATCACCTTAACATCCTCCAATGTCTTTGACAATGGTCCTCTGGTGATGAACGATGTTCAACTTGACATCAAGAAGAAAACCGGCCGAGCCAGCCGAGCCCGCCGAGCCCGGTATCCGCCTTGGCAAAAGGTATTTTTTCCGCTCCGCTCCGTAAGCGAATTCGACACCAGGTAAGACCGACATTCGTCGCCAACGATGTATTCCCGGTACATCTACACATGAACACTATGCAGGTAGCCTGGGTTTCCACGGTCGCCGGTATGGAGCGCCCTTCTCTCGATTGACCGTGGCAGGATGACGTCCTCTTTCATATCTATATCTATGTCTGGTTTCATCGGCACCTTTCCATCACGGAGCCATACTCACAAGGCGTGGAACCTGCACATCTCATCATCTATTTGTACAGTCCTATAACTTTGCGTCCTTCTTTTCCTTCGGTTTTCGGGTAATGTTGCGGCTGGCGTCCATGACCAGACTGGCATGGGTACTGCTCGCCACCAGCTCCCCACCTTCATCCCAAACCTCGATGTTCAAGTCAAACCGCCCATTTCTGATCGCTTTGGCCATGACTCGCACAAACAACCATTCGACACCCTCCTCTGGCAACAGCTTTTTCACATCCAAGTTCAAAGTGAGCGTCGGATACCAATACTTGGCGCGCGGTTCGTTTGATTTGAGGAAATTCTTGAGTTCGGCTTCGCTGTGTTGGCCGATTGCGGCCTCCTCCACGAAAGGATTGACGTAAGACTCGACAATTTGCGGAAACATGTCGACCACAAACCCTAGCGCATCGTTGGTCCAGCGACCCGTGATGTTCTCATCGGGATTCAGAGAGGGCGTCTTGGGTGCGAACCGAACCCACTGGTCTACTATGGCCCGAGGTCGACCGAACTCGCCGGGCGGAGGTCGGCGATCTGGGTGGACCAGGAAAATCTGAATGTTTTGCGCTGCACGGCGAAACGAAGGAAAAGGGTCGCGTGAGCGCCTGGTATAGTTTTCATCCTGGCCTCGTTCACCCAAAAGCGCAAGGTTCGCGGGTAAGGCGGGTGGCCAGCGCTGATACTGAGTGTCAAGACTCAGGCCTTCCTCAGTTGCGATGTTGCTCATGGTGATGTAGCCCTGCGCTTCATCCTGCCATTGGTCGTTATGTTCCTGTTTCTGCGCCAGGACAATGTGTAAGTTGCTGACACGTGCGCCCAGTTTCACGTCTTTCACAGTGAAGATGGCCGGACCCACGGAGGTACGCCGCAGGAATTGCAGGTGCAAATTGATCGGGTGCGGTTCGGAGCGAGTCTTGTGAGTGAGGGACATGTGGACGCGCGCAACCATGAGAAAGGCCGAAGTAACGTAGCCGCCATTAGGGACTGAAGAAGGTCATGAATAAGTGTGCAAAACGAGCAGATCATGTAACCTACCGGTCCCTATACACCATTCATTTTCCAATGTGAGGGCATATTGATGTGAGGAGAGTTGCTTGATGGGGAGGACATCAGCGAATGTCGGAGGCGCCATCGTTCTCGCTGGCCCGGAATGTTGAGAAGAGAAGGGCAGAGAAGCTAGCAGCTCGGCATCAATGGAGATTACATGGCGCAGAAGAATAGAACAACATGGTCAAGGGAAACATGAGAGAGGCTTCGGGACAACGCTGACAAGTAGCCTCGGTAAGGAGGCGCCGAGATGATGTTAGACCGCATTGGATTTGCGCCTTGCTGGTTGGTGGGAATCGTAGCAGAAGTGACGCCTAGAAGCCTAGATTGCGCTCAGCCCCGAGCACCCCCAGAGCACCCCTCTCACAAGTCTCTGTGGCTCGACATAGGCGGGTAATTGTTCCTCAGGCCGCTAATCTGTGGCGGTGCAACCACCCCTAGCCTGCACCATGACGAGGTCTCGGGGCGGCATCCCTCTTGGTTCTCAGTTGTGCTTGTTCGTCGCAAAAGTGGGATCTTGAGTGGAGTGACGAGATGGAATCTCTATCTCTTGGGTGATTGCTCTGTCCGTTTCCTTTCGGCCCTGGTATTGCCATCACCCTCACTTGGTACAAACATGTATCCTTCATAGCAATTACACATGCGTTATCCTCATCTTCTTCGTGGCTTGCTTCCGCGTCCAGCATGAGGCAAAGCAGCCACGACGCCCGCCATGACACCCTCCCACCGCCCCAGGAAAAAACTCCCTGTCCGCCGACGAGGCCGTGCCTTCTACCTGACTGCCCTCGCCATCACCCTCTTTGCTTGTTATAGCTTCCTACGAGACTTTCATTACGGCCACTCTTCTTATGGCGACAAACTCGATGTCCGCGCCCTGACATCACGCGACCTTGAGGTATCCCATTGACTGCGCCCTCCAGCTACCTCCTCAACTGACTGTTGATCGATTTAGTGTCGACTTGTCCACAATGCCAAAGACAAATGTACCTATGTTAAGGAAAACTGTCCCGACGAAGAAGCCGGCCTCCTCTCCTACCTACAGCTTTATTACTGCTCCCTTCCCGACGCCCAGCCGGTCGCATTTCTCCTCCTCGTCTTATGGCTCAGTCTCCTCTTCAGTACGATCGGCATTGCTGCCTCGGACTTCCTCTGCATCAACCTGAGTACCATTGCGAATATTCTGGGCATGAGCGAGAGTTTAACGGGCGTGACGTTTTTGGCCTTTGGAAATGGCAGCCCCGACGTCTTTTCCACCTTTGCGGCCATGCGCAGTAACAGTGGCAGCTTGGCCGTGGGGGAATTGGTGGGTGCAGCCAGCTTCATCACCTCTGTGGTCGCAGGGAGTATGGCCTTGGTGGCGCCTTTTCAAGTCGCTAAGAGGAGCTTCGTTCGGGACGTGGGCTTCTTTGCGGTGTCGGCGAGTTTCAGCCTGGTGTTCCTTGCGGATGGGAGCCTGCGGCTGTGGGAGTCAATCACCATGATTGCATATTACGTCTTCTACGTGGTTTTTGTGGTTGGCTGGCACTGGTGGCTCTCCCGACGACGGAGGAGGAGGCTGGCGGAGACTGCGGCGAGGTTACACCACCACATTCCGGAGTCACAGGAGCTGGAGGTGCCCGAGATCGAGGAGGACGAGGAAGCACGCCCTGCTACGGAACGGACTGGTCTGTTGCGCGAGCAGTCAAACGAAAGTATCCCGACCCTGCGGACCCCTGGAACTCCAGCTTGGAAGGTTGAAGACCTCGACGAAGACGACGAGACGCGAGACCGATACCTTGCGGAATTGCAGAGCCGGATGAGAGTCGGCCGACCGGCACGAGGCGAGAGGAGGAACACAATGACCCCGATCCGGCCGAGCTTGATAGGGGCGCTCGAGTTTAGATCTCTCATGACTTCACTGGAGAAGAAAGCCACCAATGCGCAACCTATTGGACTTCGCAGGTACTCTGACGACGCATCGGCAGTCCACTCTCCCATTCCCGTCAGCGCGCCGCCCCTTGCTTCTCAGCCGGAGCTGGTTAGCACACATTATACCGATCTGGAGCCTGAAGGTGTCCGACGTACACGCGCCGTATCTGCGAACGATGCCACCCATTTGCGCATCGATACGGATTTTCTCAGCGACAGACATTCTGATCGAAGTTCAGAGAATGTCCTCACCAGTGGCGACTCTACGCCAAATGCTCCTGCTGGAAAACACAGCAGGGCGAGCGCGCAAATTCTGAGAACACTCAACGAACCATCCTCCCAGACACTACAGTCACCTAAACTGGTCGCGTCCACGTCAGGCCACAAAATGCCAGAAACGGGGTCTCTCTCTTCGGAGCCTTCCAAGTCGCCCAATCTCTTAGCTCCGCCTGTGACGACCTTCCACCGCCCGGATTACCACGACGAGGACCATCACTCTGCCGGTCGAAGTCCGGTCATGTCGCCTCGCTCCGCCCCGACCTTGCAAGTACCAATTCTGCATACTCCACATCCCGACCATTCCAAGGGAGCGCTGCGCCAGGAAAATTTTCCGCCTTACGTGGATTCTCCCATGCTCCTCACTCCGCTTTCCTCCCGGCCCCCAAGCATTCACCTGCCCGCACCGAGCATGTCTCCCCAGTCAACCCACCATCTGGGCCTTCTACCGGACGAAGAGGAACCGCCGATGCGGAGGTTTTCATGGTGGCCATACCGATACCTTCCCGCTCCCCAAGTTATATGTGCCACGTTATTTCCCACCATTTACGAGTGGCGGGAGAAGTCATACACGGACAAGTTGTTGGGTGTGATCACTGCTCCCAGCGTCTTCCTCCTCGCTCTCACACTTCCGGTCGTCGAGCCTAAGGAGGAAAAGCCGGCGGATCAAGAGCCCGAGCTCCTGACGCCAGCCGAGGGCATCCGCCGCAGATCAATAGGCTACTTCGAAATCCCACAAGACAGGCCCGATGCCAACTCGCGGTCCGCATCATCTGACGGACCACCCCATCCGCACGGAACTGGAATCTCCAGACAAATGTCGGAGCATGCCAAAAGTCCTCGGCCAAATGTGGATGGGGTCGCGAGGTCCAAGGATTGGAACAGATGGTTGGTGTTCCTCCAAGTATTTACTGCTCCGTTCTTCGTGGTAACCATTGCCTGGGCCAACATGGACGAAGATCATACCACGAAGCTGTATATTCGGATGGTATTGGGATCATTGGTGTTCTCCCTCGTGTCGGTTCTTATCCTTCTCTCGCTGACCACACCTAATCGGGAGCCCAAATATCGGCCGCTACTCTGCTTCTTGGGGTTTGCTGTGGCCATAGGATGGATATCTACCATCGCCAACGAGGTGGTCGGCGTGCTGAAAGCTTTTGGGGTGATCCTGGGCATATCGGATGCGATTCTGGGCTTGACCATCTTTGCTGTTGGCAACTCGTGTGGTGACTTGGTCGCAGACATCACCGTGGCCAAACTGGGCTACCCCGTTATGGCACTGTCGGCTTGCTTTGGGGGGCCCATGCTGAACATCTTGCTCGGAATTGGCATTGGAGGGATGTACATGAGCATCAGCCACGCGACTCACCACCACGCCAAACACCCTCAGAAACCAATCAAGTACAAACCCTACGACATCGATGTGAGCACGACGCTGATGATATCGGGCATTACCTTGTTGGTGACCTTGGTGGGCCTGCTCATCGTGGTGCCGTTGAACGGATGGAGGATGGATCGCAGGATCGGGTTTGGATTGATCTTGCTGTGGTCGCTGTCGACCGTGGGCAATGTGATTGTAGAATTACTTGGATATGGGGGAGACACTGTGCTGTCCAACATGTGGAGATGACATGGCTATACCCAGAGATGTTGGATTCCGAGCGCCCGATCACAACAGCAACATAGGGGGGAGCTGCCGAAGTACATATACTATATTCTTTCTTCCGCTACCTGTTTTTGATTTGCAAGAATCATCTGCTAGCATCTCGAGAAGGGAGTTCCTAACACACGGAGCCGTTGCTCTTGATCCCCACTGAGGCCACGCAAGCACGAGCGGGCAAGTTCGTCGTTGTGTCGACAGGACACGGTCGTCTCGAGCATGGGAAACGTCGGAGCCGTCGTCTCCTGGATATCTATTTAGCTACGCACGTTAAAGCCACCGCATCCCGAATATCGCGATTGGATTTGATCCGTGTCCGATAGAGTGTGGGCAATAGCCGATTCTTGAACCTCTGGGCACTTTGATTGGCGACTCATTGGCGAACCTCGGCTTCTTGCCCACGAAAAAGATACGGCCAACACCGGCCAGCGACGGCGAGGCGAACATTGTCGAAGAACGGGAGCCCACCCCGGCCAAATGCCCAGATGACGATACGGCGGGCCGGACTCTAAGCAACCATCAATTGTCCTTTTTACCCCAGATTCGGTCAAGGCTCTCTGGCTCGCTCGCTCAGCTTTCGTGCCTCTCACGGTTATTATGGTTATATATACAGAGATACATAAATCACATTCCTCGTTATTGTGATATCTCTCGGGTGTTTTTATTTATCTATCTATCGACATCATCCCTACGAGACTTGCATCACAAATCGGCATCCGTCACCACTACCACCACCCGTCCACCCATCCCTCCCTCTCTCCCTCACTTTCTCTAACAAGGTAGCGACGAAAACAAAAACTCCCTCATCTTCATCTGACCCCCAAAACCCAATTCCAAAAACCAAGAAGGGAAAAAACATGCCGATCAAGTCGGACTTCCCGGATATCGACCTGCAGGTCACGGACATCTGGTCGTTCTTGTTTAACAGGAAAGATCGCGAGTTTCCTGATGATCATGGTAAGTTTTTTTTTGAGTTTTTGAATCCTTTGGTTTTATGATGTGTGTTTGTGTTACGCTGTGCTGTGGACGTTTCTGGTACCCTTGCTTGATTCGGGAATGGGCAGCTAGCTCATGCTCCCCTTTGTGCAATAAAAGCTGGAGGAGCAGGACGAGTCTAGTCTGGACAAAACAATGGGCTTGGAAAATATGTCTGGAGGGAATTCCAGCTCGTGCTCCGAAAAACAGCCTGATGGTCATGACTCTCGGATTCTGGAGACAGATAGAGAGAGAGACATTTCTTCTAATTGATGATCAACATCTACCCGCCAATCAACCAACATATGAGAAAACAAATGCCCTTACTGACGTGTATACAGTCATATTCCAGTCCGCCGACTCGCTCGCCCGACAATACACCTACGCCTCGCTGCGGCAGTCCAGCGTCGACTTCGGCAAGGGCCTCAAAGCCACCTTCGACTTCCGCAAATCTGACGTGCTCGGCCTCTTCGTGCCCAACGACATCGACGTGCCCCCCGTGGTCCTGGGCACCCTCTGGGCTGGCGGCGTCGTCTCGCCCGCCAACCCGGGCTACACCGTCGCCGAACTGGTCTACCAGCTGAAAGACTCGGGCGCCAAGGTGCTATGCACGCATCTGTCAGTCCTCGACACGGCGCGCAAGGCCGCCCGCGAAGCCGGCATCCCCGACTCCCACATCATCCTGCTCGGCGAGCAGCATGACTCCTCGCGCACGTTCAAGCATTGGACCCTCGTCCGCCATCTGAGCCCCTCGACCCGCTACCGGACGCCCAAGCTGGACCCTAAGTCCGACCTCGCGTTCCTGGTCTACTCGTCCGGCACGACCGGGAGGCCCAAGGGCGTCCGATTGACGCACTTCAACATGACGAGCAACGTGGAACAGATTCACCAGGCCGAGGGGTGGCTGACGTGGAACGGTACTAAGACCCCGCCCAACAGCGACATCCCGCTGCCGCCCAACGGCCGCGGCGACAAGATCCTGGCGTGCCTGCCCTTCTTCCACATCTACGGGCTCAACTGCCTGGTGCTCAGCCCCATCTTCAGCGGCGTGCACACGCTGGTCATGGCGCGGTTCGAGCTGGAGAAGTGGTGTGCCATCGTGCAGGACCACCGCGTCACCTTCAGCTACATCGTGCCGCCCATCGTGTTGCTGCTGTGCAAGAGTCCCGTGGTCGAGAAGTATGACCTGAGCTCGCTGCGCATGACCAACTCGGGAGCCGCACCGCTGACGCGCGAGCTGGTCGAGAGCCTGTATAAGCGCAAGGGCGTGCGCGTCAAGCAAGGGTACGGCCTCAGCGAGACCTCGCCCACCATCTTCATCCAGCGCTGGGAGGATTGGTGGTCGGCCGTCGGCACTACCGGCGTCATGGTCCCCAACCTCGAGGCCAAGTTCTGCGCCGTCCCGGGCTCCGGCGAGGAATCCGACGGTTCCAAGGAGCTGCCTCGCGGCAAGGTCGGCGAGCTGTACGTACGCGGACCCAATGTCTTTGGTGGATACCACAACAACCCCAATGCGACCGCCGAGTGTCTCGAGGACGGCTGGTTCCGGACCGGTGACGTGGGCTTCCTGGACGAGAAGGGCAATTTGACCATCACGGATCGTGTCAAGGAGTTGATCAAATACAAAGGTAAGTCTCACCAATTCCTTCTTTCGAGCCTCTCTTGGGATTGAAATCTTCTTCGACCGCAAAGAGGAAATGTAACTCAGCAACTGACTGTTCCGCTCCCATATAGGCTTCCAAGTCCCGCCCGCCGAACTCGAAGGCTACCTCGCCTCACATCCCCTGATCGACGACGTGGCCGTCGTCGGCGTCGAGTCACAGGAACTCGGCACCGAAGTGCCCCGGGCGTACATTGTGCCCAAGGACCGGGGCCTCGTCTCTTCCAGTGAACAAGAGCGACAGAAGCAGGCAGCTGAGATTGTGCAGTGGATGAACGCAAAAGTGGCCAACCACAAGAAATTGCGTGGAGGGGTCAAGTTTGTTGATGCCGTGCCCAAGAGCGTCAGCGGCAAGATCCTCCGGCGCGTCTTGAAGGACCAGGCCAAGAAGGAGTTCCGGGAGGAGGAGGAGAGGAAGCTGGGCAAGGCTCGGGCCAAGCTGTGATTGGTACCACGCCGAGAGAAAACGCATTGTATTCGAAGCCACCTGCCAAGAAGAGTGGTGGAATGCCAACTGGAGTTCATGTAACGATAAGTCTTTTGCGGAAAGGGACGGGTATTGAACAAATGTTGAGGCTGTTTTTGTGTTTTGGAGCACCCCACGACGAGGCTGCACTGCAGATTCCTAGAGGCACAAACGCTCGGTTGGCTGTTGCATTTCTGTTTCCCTTTTTTTTTGAGTCTAGCATATAACCAAAGTAAACTCTTGGAGTGGACTTGTTGTTTGATCCTCGACCCTGATTTCAATGTCTGTGACTGTCAGTAGAGTCAACACAATAGTTCCTACCTCACTTGTGAAGGGGATTGGTCCTTAGAGAGAGACAACTCCAAAAGTCCAACGCCAAAGGGAGAAAACGAATGCCGGTCCGGTCACAAAGGAAAACCGCGACGTCTTCGGGGATCCATCCTTACATTGTAGAGGGAGCTGTCATTGGTGGTCACTCTTCTCAAACGCTCCCTGCGTGCAGCAGGTAAGACGTACAGTCAAGAAGAGGATAATCCCCAATCTTGTTCCCTGGTAAGCCACAAACTTTCAAAGATGCTTTTGGGTCAAACTTGACGGGCCGAGAGCAGTGATCTGCACCAGCTGAGACTGAAACTCCACGTATGTTCTCCATTCTCGTCTCCCGTTGTGTCAAACGGAAACCGGTGGACAATCGGCAAATGCTTGGTCTCCTTATTTCCGGTTCTTGTTGTCGGATAGACCTTGAATGGAATAACGTCTTAATCTGTCAGCCAGTGTGTAGATCTTCAGTGGATTCACAGAATGAAGACGAGATTCTAAAGACAGGACGGCGCCTGATGGCGAGTATCGGCGGTTTAGGCCGAAGGCGCACAGTCCATCCAGCAGACGTTCCACCTGGGAAGAGCCTGTACCGAGTAGTTCGTGATAGATTGGCGATCGACCGTGCTCACTCTGACCGATCGAAGCGTTCGTCACGGGAGGAGGCCAATAAGCGTCAACCAGTGCACAGACAGCAATGCAAGGTGCATCGCTAAGCGTGCAGCTTCAATGTGCTAGACGCCCTCCTGTGATTTCACAATCCAACACACGCCGATCACGCCGACATCGTTTCTGGCAGTTGTGGAGGGAGCCCCTCCGGGGATTTGTTCTCTTGCATCCGCGCCCAAAGACGTCGCAGTGTGGGCAGGCAAACCCAACGGAAGATCAGAGGGACGGGAGATCCAAGCCCGATGGTGGAAATCGGTCTGTCGATCAAATGGAGGGACAGCAGGGATGATCGAAGGAGGGGGGATGCCGCTTCCCGCAAAGGTTCCTCGACTACGCATCCTCTGCTCGTACTTCGTGTAATGGCCCTTGCTTCGACGGGGACTTTTCCACCAGATGGGCGGTTCAGAGGTAGCTTCGTCGCTTCGAGAGCGGAGGAACACGATGATACAATAACGCACGCACAGTCAATGCAGTAGCACAAGTGGTGTGACGGTGAGGAGGGGAACTTGCAGGCACAAGTCGCAGGTAGCTGGAGGTCGGAGGCCTTGGTGGCTGATTCCGGCAGGTCTTAGGCCCTGATGGACCGCTTGGGCGTATGCCGTCGCCCCCCAGAGATTTCGATCCCCGTCGCTTGTTTGCGGCCTACCCAACCTTACGACAGCCCCTGGGTGGCTCCCAGGGTAGCCCACTAGCCCCTAAGGCACGCCAATGCAGGTCCTTAGTGGTTGAGACGCGGCTAGTTGCTTCTCACTGGGGCTGCTCCCGCAGCGAACTTGAAGCTCCCCAAGCCCCTCCTCCTCCACTAACTGAGCTGTCGCATTTTCCAAAGCCATTCCTCCTCGAGTCCCTTTGTCGCGGCTTCAAATGTTGCAGCTCCGTCCTGCCCGTGCTCTTCTATCCGCTTGCTTACCTTGACACGGATCGCCTCCGAGATGGGATATTAAACTGAACTCTTCTGACCTCAAAAAATCCTTTGCTCTCATCCCTCCAAAGCTCCAGCCAGCCTCCGTCGTTCGCGACCTTATCTTCCTCGTGTCGATCCCAACCAAACAGACTTCCTTGTCGCGGTTTTGGTCAACATGGCCTCGCGGACCATATCCACCGACAAGTCCCGCACTTACAGCACGTCGACATCGTTCAGCCTCACCGTTCTCATTTCGGGCTCAGGGACCAACCTCCAAGCTCTGATCGACGCCTGCGGTCAAGCTCCTCCTTCCAGAGACAAACCATCTCCGCGACGACTTCTGCCCAATGCTGAAATATCACATGTGATTTGTAACCGTCGGGAAGCGAAGGGCATCGCTCGCGCCCAAGACGCTCACATCCCCGTCACCTATCACAACCTGTTGTCGTACAAGAAGAAATTCCCCGACACCGAGGCCGGGGTCACCGCTGCCCGGAATCAGTACGACACCGATCTAGCCCAGAAGATCCTCACACACATCCCCTGCCCGGACCTCGTGGTCTGTGCCGGCTTCATGCACATCCTGTCCCCAACGTTCATCAACGCCCTGGCTGCTGCGAATGTGCCCATCATCAACCTCCATCCAGCGTTGCCGGGCCAGTTTGACGGGGCAAATGCCATAGGCCGTGCTTACGAGGCTTTTCAGAGGGGCGAAATTTCTAATACTGGAGTCATGGTTCACTATGTGACTGCCGAGGTGGACCGCGGTGCGCCCGTCCTTGTACGGGAGGTGGAGATCAAACCTGGGGAGTCGCAGAGTGATCTGGAGGAGAGGATACATCAGACGGAGTGGAAGCTTATTGTCGAGGCGACAGCCAAAGTCCTTGCGGATCTAGAAGCGAAACGGAGACAGGAGAGTTAACGATGTTCGCCTTGAATTGAGTGCTTTGAGGTGGAACGGTCGATAAATGTCACAGGGTTTACTGGGCCAACCACGGCGAGAGAGCTCTGGTGACTGAGGGTGGCAGGCAGGCAACAGTGTCAGTTCTTCGGGACAAGCAAGGTGTTCGGAAGGCTTCTTCTTTGGACAAACACGTCAACAAATTGGAGTTGATGTCAGGACTTGTGAGACGAGTGTCGACTTCCCGTCTTTGATACATCCAAACGGCCAACAACATTGGGGCCTTTTCCACGATCGAAAGATGGCCAAAATAAAAAAAAAGGGAAACAAAGACATTCGCATCCGAGAGCTCCGATCCCAGAAATGTATGTCATTTTGACGGAAGGCATGAAAAAGTTGGTATGAGATTTCCAGATGAGATGGTGAAAGGAACAGCTCTCTCTTTTTCTCTCTCTCAGATTGTTCTTCTCTTCGGGCGGAAAAAGCAATTGAGCACCGTACCATCAATCAGTATTTGAAATCCATTCATATTAGATTTGCACCTGCGCTTTTCCTTGCCTTGCCTTGGCTTTGTTTTCCGGGTCATGACCTCTCTATTCCCATCGCGATCCAACTCAACACCTCCTGGTTCAGAGTAGTAACAATTGTTCCATTATTCAGTCGTTGAGCCGCCTACCTTCAAGGCTACTTACCACCCACTTACTGTAGGTACGTCAATGTCCCTTCATACACGTACAGGAGGTATTTATTGCACTGTTACAGCAATACTTCTCAGTCATCGGATTATTAGACCTCGGACCATATGCTCCTGAGAAGCAAGCGGCCACGAGAACAACCTACAGCAACACATTCATATTTATGTATCATTGTCCGAGGTACATGTGTACATACGCCAGTGATTCTTAGCTATGCACGGCTCCAACCCGGTTTTCGACACGGCCACTGGTGATCGATCATATTATTATGATTACTATTCCCCGTGATGGAATGGAGTTGGCTCTTTCTTTCTTGGGTTTTACATGTATATATGTATATAAACACGGTGATGGAAGAAAAAGGATAGGGTATCGCATCGCATCACAAACAGAACAGGGAACAGAACGCAGGCAGCAACATCCACCACCCGACAAAGATTAATCCAGGAGGTGCTGTATATGTCCCAGTCCAGAGACAGGGCCTGCCACTTGCCCATTATTGCTTGTCTCCCTCCCTCCCTCCCTTCCTCCCATGCCACTCACGCCGAGCCATGAGATACCGTCATACAGGCCCCTAGACCCGGCCTTGTTCGCTAGCTCGCTCACTCAAATCCTGAAAAGGCAGTACATAAACAAAACAAAACGCAAACACTGGAAAACACTGATTTTGGCGCTCCGAAACCCAACAGCATCTTGACGGTGGCTGTGGTGGCACGCCACTGCTGGCTCTTACTTCTCTGTCCCAGCAGAGATGGGCTCGTTCGCAGGCGTATCCTTCTCTTTACCCTTTTCTGCACCAGCGAGGTTCCCGTTGACTTTCTCCTGCTTCTCATGATTACTGGGAATTCCTGGATCTTGTTCGTTATCGTCGTCGTCACCGTGGTGCTGGTCCCGACCTCCATCCATAAACTTGTGCATCTCCCTCTTATACATGCTCTCGTGGACTTGGCCATCGCCGCCCGCAGCGGCACGCTCGGCTAGCTCCTCCTCCTCGTCCGAGCTCAGGCTGCTCAAGCTCATATTTTGCAGGTACATGACCTGTTTCCCGCCGCGGGCTTGCTTCTTCTTTTCCCGCTGCTCGGATTTCAGTTTCTGCTGCAGCTCCGCATCGGCCTGGCAGTCGAGGGTCCGAACCTTGAGGCCCGGGAAGTTTTCGGAGAGGTAGCTGCGGAGCAGGGGGAGTTTGGCCGCATTGGGCCGGTACGTCCCGGAGTCGTTGTCAATGATGAGTTCATAGTGCCAGGGCTCTTTGCTCTCGGAGGTGGTCGCGCCGTTTGCCAGAGGCCCTGCGTCATTTCCGTGGCTGGAGTCACCGCCGGCGATGCTGCTTGTGCCGATGTTGTCTCGTTCCTCATCTGGTGGCGTTGAAGGAGGGTGCGTGTCCTCGTTGGGATCTACACTGTCATCGTTCTTGCGCGCTTTTCCATGTTTGATTCTGCGGATGAAGAACTCGCCACTGAAGGCGATGTAGATGCTCACGTCGCTGTGCATGGTGTGTTTGCTCAGCAAATCGATCCCGAATTCCTTGCCCGTCTCTGTGAAACGTAATTGCCCATCCAACGTCAAGACGTATGTGAAGATGCGACCCCCTTCGTCATAGTGTACCAGGTCGAGAAACAGTTTGGTCATCTCAGGGCAGGGCTCTCGAAAGCTACCATACTTGGTAGTCTTGTCGTAGTTGTAGACTCGAGCGTGTTGATGGTGCAACGCGCGATTGAGCAGGCGACCTCGGAGAGTATGGGCAGTAAACATGCCGGCGACAAAGGGTCTGAATTCGACATATCGGTGATAAAGATCTGCCGGGACAGGTCCACGCAGCTGCATCTGCACGGATTGGAAACTTGGATGACGGATTAGCTGGCGGGTGTTCACAAGAGGGTCAAGACGTAGACATACTTGTATTTCTGAACCTCCTTTCCGTCCTTGCCTTGTGCCGTGTCCTTCGTCCCTGCTATCCGCCCGATCAGAGGAGAGAAATGCTGACTCCATGGCAATGGACCGATTGTGTATATGCGACCACCGTCCTCTGCACTGGTCCTGCCGAGATTCTCCACGCTGACAATGAGGCTCCCGTTCATTTTGACTCTGCGCGACATCAAGGCGGCGCATCCGCGGAATGTGTATGCTCTTTTGCTACCCATGCGCTTCTTCAACTGAAACTTCTGGTGTGAGAACCCTTTCCAGTTTTCGTCCACGTGGTCAACATCAATGTGAACATTTCCCAGTCGGTCATCGTGATCTGACGGATCCTCATCATACAATCTGCACTTCAAATGGAACCCGCTCGCTGGCACATTGCCGACAATCCACTCGGTCTCCCATTCCGGGTCCGTGGTGCGATGGATCGTGGGCGTCCTCAGCTTGAGATCCGGGTCTTGCTTGTGCCTCTTGGGCAGCTCTGTACGGATCACCGCCAGCACATATGGATCCGACGAGAGAGTGCCAAAGTCGGAAAATGGTAGGTTCTCGGCCTTGTGGAATGTAATCTTCAGGGTATATCCTGGCGGTGCTTTGGGCAGAGGTGTGTCATCGAACCCGCCAGCTGGGCCTTTCTCCTTCTTTTCGGCACTGTCGGTTCCCTTGGTTCCTCGATATTTCTCCTCCAACTTCTCTGATTTATCGACCAGCTTGGGTCCTATTCGGTCCGCCTGGGCAATTACTCCATCCTTGCGCAGGGCGGGTGTATTGGGGTCGTTTTCGGCCATTGAATAATATGCAAAGGGATGTTACGGGCTTGGCTGCGCCAGCATATGTTGATTATTGTCTGTGACCAAAGCAAGCACTCGGGCGCATACCCGGGAGGGACGATGGTATAAGAAGATGTAACCAGGCCGTCCGGGAGAACCAAGGAGAGACAATGGGCGCAGGATGGGAGCCAGGAATTGTGGAGGATGTTCGTAGTCGACTCGGTGGAAACTTGGATCGAGCGAAGGAAGATTTGAGGACGTATGGATCTGGTCGTGAAGCCCCCGCCACCTGCTCATGTACTATTACTAGTTGTGCCCGTAGGATGAAGGCGCACGCTGACGCAGGTGTTCTCCAATGGACGTATTCGGGGCTGGTGGTGAATGGCACCATCTGGGGCCAAGCACAAAACATGGCCGCTGGGGGCCGCAAGCTTAGAAGCCTAGCCTACGAGCCAACAGCCCAGCCGGCAGCGGGCGATCAATTTCCCGTCTGGTGCTTGCCTGGTGCTTGTCTGGTGCTTGTCTGTTGCTTGTCTGCAGGGAAATGATCCGGTTTGCAAAGGGACGCGCAATCGCCTGCAGTTATTGACATCATCCCGTAGAACATCCAGTTTTCAACATCTCAGACTTGAGCGAATGAGGTTCATCTACGAGAAGCTTGAGTATCGAGTAGGTTTTTCATTTCGTTTACGACAACTACATGCAAGCACCAGGCCCGCCCGAAATCCTCCCGGGACCGGCGTCACCATTATTGTTCGAGTAAGCGGCCTAGAACAGAATCCAAGACAAAGGCTCCTTCGCTTCACGCAAATCCATTCCCCCGCGCCATGTGAAAGCCAAACACAAAGCGATTCATTACTTCCGTATTCTTATTCTTCGAGGAGCCTCAACAGCAAATCAGAGCCCGGCCCTGTCAGGCTGTCCCGCATCTCCCTCTCAGACACGGCGCTGACCACCTGTTTATCATCCGTCGCTCGTCCACTTCGAGACGGCGTGTTCGTGGGTGTCAGTATGCCCGACGTGCGTCCAGATGCCTCTTGCACTAACCCCAAGGTTTCGAGGCTGGCAACAACGTCTCGAAACTCGGTGTTTTTGAGGGGTTGCAACAGCCCGTCATCGCGTTTGCACAGCTGAGCATATTTTTCAAACAAATTCTTTATTGTAGGTAGCCTCGAGATTGATTTGGACGGCGTGGTGTACGGATCGCGGCGGTGTCGACGGGCTTCGGCAGCCACCAATGAGCACAGCACTGCTTTTTGCTGGAGATTCAAGCCGCCCAAGCGTGAAAGTGTACCATTGTTGAAGATAGTCGCAGCGATCTTGGCCACATGTGCAATAGACACTCGAGGCGCTGTCTCCCAGGTAAGATGATTGAGCACTGATCGATGGTCCATCTTGCCGGGCGATGGAACAGCCTGGCCGAGGGACACGTTCGAGATTTCCTGGAGTGGTTGCTTGGTGGGAGTGACACTTTGGTCTTGGCTCATCTTCAAGAGTGTTTCTTGCTCAACCTGGTCGAGAGCGCGACGAACCAGGCTGAAGGCTTTCCGTAGATCACCCGTCTGGGATATCTTTTTGCCTGCTAACTGAATCGCCGCTGGATGCATCAAAGGAACAAAGTCGGCGCCGGCCGTGGTCGTATCGGCCATGAGAGATCGTAGCTTGTCTGAGATGATGGTGGAGATCTGTTGGGCCGAATATGGAAGGAAAGGTAGCAGTTGGGGCTTGACATTCCTCGACTTCAGACGGGGCAGGAAGCGATCAGTCAGATCCAGAGCATTGGCGATTCCAATCAAGATGAGACTGGACGACGGATGCATGGCCCATTCAAAAATGCTGTACAACACCTCGCAGTCCCCTCCAAGGAGCGTGTCGATCTCATCAAGTAGAACGACACGCATTTCGGGATTGGCCCTTTTCGTCGTGAACAATTTCGCCAGGGCTGCTTTGGATGCTTTGGAGCTGCCCTTGCCAGGGCAAAAGGCTTCGCTCAGTTGGGCGAGGACTTCGGCGGAAGACTTTAAAGAGACGCAATTGATTATGGTGGTCGTGACAGGCCCCCCCTGAAATCCTTGCAAGATCTCCTGGACCAAGGCACTCTTGCCCGTGCCAGGTGGTCCACTGACATATGTGCAGCCTCCAACTCGAGTGTCGATGGCTTTGGAGATGAACTTGGTCAATTGGCGCCGTTCAGCCTCCCGGCCGACGATCTTCCCGTTGCCGGCCTGGACGAATAGCTGTCGAGCACGCGAGTATACGTTTTTTGACCTTGCTGGTGTGGACGAACGTGACGACTGAGGCGTAAGAAGTCTGCCTGCAAGTCGAACGCGGTGCTTCGGTGTGCTGGGTTCAGATAAAGCAAGGACATCCTTGAAGCGAATGGTGGTGGGAGTCGACACAATTGAGGGTGGCTGATTTTCGTCCGTTGGGAAGTTGGAATCTTCAATGGCTTTGGTTGTGCTCGTTTGGTTCTTTACGGGACTGTCTCGTACAGTATTGTTCTTTCGTCCGTTACGAACTCCAACAGGACGGGCATTCAGTTTCCCCAATTCATTGTTCTCAGCTGCATCTTGGTATATCTCAGGTGCAGAGCTTCGCGTCCGTCTCTTCGGGGTGGGAAGTGTTTCCGGGAGATCTATCCACGTATCTTGTTAGTTGCATGCACCAGAATCCAGAAACTGAATCATTGAGACGCACCTTGTTCATCCAGAGCTCGTCGAGAACGCTTTCCCAGCACTGTGGCAGCCATTTGAGGTGGTCGTCGCTGCTTTTGATGGGTTGGAGTTGGAGAAAGTTGAAGCTGTGGAAGGCGCGAGGGACACGACTCAAGAAGTGGCAGTCGCGAGTCATGCATCCCAGCCATATCCAGTCGCGCCTGCCAAGATTCGACGCGACCGCGTTTCGAGGGAAGGAGCGTCCCACCATTAGCCTCGGGGGGATTTGGCACCACCACCCACACGTGACCAGCGCCACAACCTGCATGTCACAAATCCATGATCCGCCGTACTCTTATTTTCAATGTCCGTGTCATTTGATCCCCCTAACGAGATCGTGACATTGCTTGGCATTTTTGTCTCCCGCCCGCCGTGCACATGGCTGTCAGGGGAGTCGCAGGTATCGGGCAGTGACGCCGGCCCTTTTCGTCATAACGCCGCCGCCTTGTGCGCTTTGCCTTGTCTTGCGCTTGCCTCATAACAAAACCCCCCATCACCACTAACTGCGGTGACTGCCAGTTTGTTCTTGACTCATGGCATCTCCTAATTCCTATGACTTATTCCTCCATTGTTTCCTGCAATGATCCCACCCCCGTTCCCTTCATGATTACCACTTCCCCCTGAAGGCTCTTGCAAGGGTCGTCTCAACTCCATCCCACCAACCCAAAATCATCAATCCATTTGCCTCTCCAGATTGTTTGTTCTTCATTATGGACGAAGCGATTGCCACCGTTGTCTCCGTCTGCGGGACAACTCCAGAATTAGCCTCGCAATATGTGCAGCTTGCGGACGGCGATCCTAATCAAGCAGTCCAGTTGTTCTTCGAAAACGGTGGCGCCGACCTGACAGGCAATTCCTCTCGTCCTCCTCCACCTCCACCATCTTCCTCTAACGCCCATAGACCTGGCGAACCGCTGAACCTCATCGATGACGATGCCGACGAGAATATCTCCGATGACAATGACCCGGAAATTACTGGTTTTCGCAAGATTCCACAGAGAGCCACGCCTTCCGGTCCTGCACGAGGCGCAGATTATGAGGATGACGAGGCTATGGCACGGCGATTGCAAAATGAGATGTACGGCGAAGGCGTCATGGACGAATCTGTGCGAGCTCCTATTGCCCGACAGGCGGAGGTTTTGGTAGGACCAGGGTCGGCCGCCCCGCCCATGGACCCTGCTGTATATTCCAATGCCGTGGAACAACGAATGCAAGCCCTTGAAAGAAGGAGACAGCTAGGTTAGTGTCCTCAGCGCCTTTGGCCGTCGCATGTGGCTAACATTGAGAATAGCACGGGCAGGGATCTTTAATCAACATCAACCGACTTCCATCTGGGAACAAGGATTGAACATCACCTCGAGCGGTCCGGATGCCCTTGCAGAGTCCACTGGGGGAGCATCAGAGGCTTCCGCGAGGTCAAATCGACTTGCGAGGCTTTTTCAACCCCCATGGGACCTAATGTACAAGGGAAATTGGGAGGGCGCAAGAGACGAGGGTAAAGAACACAAGAAGTGGCTTCTGGTAGACATCCAGGACCCTTCCATCTTTGACTGCCAGGCGTTGAATCGCGACATATGGAAGAACGAAGGCATCGTCGACACGGTCAAGGAGAACTTCATCTTTCTGCAATACAACAGGAACGACCCGAGAGCCTCACAGTATATCCAATATTATTTCCCCAACTATGAGGTGCAGAGCGAATATCCACATGTTGCCATTGTCGACCCACGAACAGGTGAACAAATAAAGCTTTGGTCGCGCAAAGTTCCGCCACCACCTGAATTTCTCATGCAACTGCACGAATTCTTAGACCGATACAGCCTCGAAAACAACGCTCGGAATCCGGTAGCCAAGCGCAAGTCTGAAGCCAAGAAAGAGAAACCCGTCGATCAGCTCACCGAGGAGGAGATGTTGGAACGGGCGCTGCAGGCCAGTCTGGCCACCCAGAGCCAGGAACACAAATCGGCACCGGCAGAAGATCCTGATGATCTCACACGGAGTGTTGGAGATATCCGCAGGGGAGACCTACCAGATAGTGCCAGTGCAATGGATGTCGACCAGAACGGCGCGGAAGAATCAGTGGAGTCGAGTGCTTTTGCCCAAATTGCGTCCGATCGCCCTCACACAGAGCCACCCCCCGGACCAGGAGTGACGCGAGTCCAAATCAGACACCCCGGCGGCCGCATTGTTCGACGGTTTGCAGAGCAAGATCCTGTGCAGCGGATTTATGAGTTTCTCAAAGCAGAACCACTTGAGGGCAAGCAGGGAACGGCATTCGACCTCGTGTCAATGGGCAAGAATCTTATGGATGCTCGAAATGAGTCGATCGAAAGTGCAGGTCTGAAAAATGGAACGGTTATGGTGGAGTTCCTGGAGTAACGTGGAGGCTCGTGGTTGCGGAAGTAGACAGGCATTGCAAGGCGTTAGGCACTTGCTGCTACTTGGTGATAGCACCAACCCTGACTCTGGCATGTGTCCCGGTCCATGGAGACGCATTGGAGCGAGTTGGTGGAGCTTGTACTCTAGGATTCGTAGGACGAAATGAGCAGGCGGGAGAGACCGCGAAATTGTTTCTAAGGGACTTGTTAAACCCATCTTCACTGGCTATCGTAATAGAATTCGGGGTTGACGAGTGTAACCAATGGGAGTCGAGATGGACTCACCGGAAATGGAAGGCCGTAAACAAGCTAATTGTCGAGGTGTTTCATATTCATCAACTGCACTACTCACTTCCTGCAAGTAACTGGGCACACTTTGCCAACGAACTGATATGAGCGACGATTTCACGAACCCTTATGACGAGGATCGCACTACCGCAACGGGGAGGAGGCGGATGCCAACAATAGCACCTGCCCAATGCGCACTGAGGAATTGACAGTGCATCTTCGCCCAAGACTCGAGACTGCATTGACATTCAGGGCGGGATCCCAGGTCTTTCGGGTTCGGCCTCAATCCTTGAATAGAAACTACTCTACGAGCAAACCACTGCCCTCAATTTCGTGCATTTCACTTTGACATCACTGCCCCGCGACCGTCATACAGTGCGCCAACGAGATCGACTCGAATCCACCCCACTTATCCTACCACCTCACAAAGCTTCGGCTAAGTCACAAGCAGAAGACAACATGGACCCGGAGGAACTTTATACCAAACAGAACTGTATCGGAGGGGGAAGCTTTGGAAAAGTGTACAAAGGAGTGGACAAACGCACAGGTCAGGCGGTGGCTATCAAGGTCATCGACGTGGAAAACGCCGAAGATGAAGTTGAAGACATCATACAAGAGATATCAATCCTTTCGGAACTGCAGTCTCCATACGTGACGAAATACCACGGCTCATATCTTAAAGGTTCCGACCTATGGATCATAATGGAGTTTTGCTCGGGCGGGAGTTGCTCAGACCTCATGAGGGCCGGCAAAATCCAGGAAGAATACATCTGCATCATCATTCGAGAACTGCTCATGGGCCTCGACTACTTACATTCCGACAAGAAGCTGCACCGAGACATCAAGGCCGCCAACGTGCTTCTGGGCCAAAATGGACAGGTCAAACTGGCTGATTTTGGTGTATCCGGACAACTCTCAGCCACCATGACCAAGAAGAATACCTTTGTGGGAACTCCCTTCTGGATGGCGCCCGAGGTTATCAAACAATCCGGCTATGATCACAAGGCGGACATCTGGTCTCTCGGCATTACAGCGATCGAACTGGCTCATGGAGAGCCGCCCTACGCTGACATTCATCCAATGAAAGTTCTTTTCCTGATACCGAAGAATCCTCCGCCCATTCTAGAGGGAGATTTCTCTAGAACATTCAAAGACTTTGTCGAACTCTGTCTCCGCCGAGACCCCAGGGAACGACCCTCTGCAAAAGAGCTGCTCAAGCACCCGTTCTTCAAGAAAGCCAAAAAGACGACCTACTTGACCGAACTCCTTGAGAGAAACGAAAGATACCTGGCGAGTCTTGACAATGGTACCTCTAATCATGAGGAAGAGGACGAAGAACCTGTGAGAGCTGCGACTCACCGACCTGAGGATGAGGATCTATGGGACTTCGGTACTGTGCGCCCCGTTGGAGGCCGCGGCCCTGGTCTTCGCCCGATGAACGACTCTGCTACTAACGCAAGGGCTTCTGCAGAGCCGACTGCCGCTGCAAAGGGCGTAACAGATTGGGACGACACAGTTAAAGTCCCATCATCGCCTCAGAAATCCCCTGTCAGAGGTGTATTCCCAACGCCTGCAAAGTTGCCACTACCCTCATCTCCTGCAAAAGCGACAGCCTCAGTTCCCATCGAAAATCGAGCTCCATCCGCGGCATCTGTACCCTCTGCTACGCCGAGGACGCCAGCTGTCCGACTGGCAACTAAGAACGCACCTTTGCCACTGCACAAAGATAGTCCTGGGTCAAATGAATACAACAAAGCATTCCAGGCTCAGCTGGCCAAGGACATGGGCTTCTTGAAGCTCGACACCGAGAACAGTCCAATGTCCCCACCATCTCAAGGACAGACTCCGCCAGGGAAGAAGCCTCATATGGTCATCCCGGAAATCCCGCCTTTCAAGGGAAAGCCAGGACGTGGGGAACCAGTCCAAAAGTCTCAACAATCTGCATTTTCCAGACCTGTCAGCCAACAACCTCTTCCAACCTCCTCAGCAATGGTCTTCACGCAACAGCCCGTGGGGCCTGCATCGATTGCTAACCAGCAGCCCCTGCCGCCACTCACAACCAAAACAAATGTATCCCAGACAACAACATCTGGCGCCAGCAACACATCTGCACAGACACCTCGGCCAGACCCAAACCAGGAGCTCACCGCTCTTAACTCGGTCCTGATACCGGCTCTTGAAGCAGCAATGCACCGCCGGACGTACATGTTAAAAGAGCTTGCCCGAGCAAGCAAGTTGGACTCCTCTGCGGCGACAGAATTGCACCAACAGAGAGTGCAAACACACGAAAGGGTGCGGAAACTTGCTGCTAAGGTGGCGGGCGTGTTTCACGAGATTCAAAAGTGCGATGAAGAATTTCCTGTCGGCATGGGAGGCGGAGTTACGGAGTTCCTGGAGGGCTTCCTGGAGGAAATACTGGTGCGGGTTGAGGCGGCAGATGAGCCGGAGCCCAGCCCTCCTAAAAGGGCATGAAAATGTGCAACATTATGAGATGAATTGTCATGGGTTGTTTGGTGTATGGTTACAGTGCGAGGCGTAATGCTCCTCATAGGTGCCTTGGCTGGAATGATAGCATTCTAGATGTAGTGCGTTCAGCAATTGATATTTCAAGCGTCTGCATGAGTCGTCGGACGTTCGTTAGGGAATAGTGCCTGAGTCATGCCCGTTGATGACGACGAGATCCAAATATGAAACCACAATCCGGCGTGTCAGCGCAGTGATGGCGTATGCACGTCGCCAGCTGTTTGGAACAATAATATGGAAACCATGAGTCTCTCCTTCACACAATTGCCAATTTCACCCAGGTCCTCATCCTATTTGAGACCCACAACTCAGGCCTGCTTCCAATTCCCAAGTCTATACACGACCGAGTAAATAGACTGCGCCTTGAAGACCGTGGCATCAGAATGTCTACCAACACAACCCAAAGCAACCTGATCCGACTTGCCCCCTTGCAACTGGGCGAGCTCCCAGAACATCCATCCCTTCCCTCCGGAGACAGCACCCGCCCGAGGCTTCTCCCCTTCCTGCTGACTCTCCTCGATGACGGTGCCGATTTCCTGTCGCCGGCCAGCTTCTCCGCGAACTTCAAACACCACTCTGTCAAGTCCGTACCCCCTAGCGAAGCCAAGGTCGAGGTGCTTACCTATTCGGTCGCGGCCAAAGAGTTGGAAGACATTGTTGACTGGAGCGGCTCCAAGAGTACAGCCCCCATCGCGAATCCGGACCAACCCGAGGCGGCGACAGGACATGGAGAAACCTACGCCAGGCCTGGGCGAAGCAAGCCGCCACTCAAGGTTCTAAGCGCAGGCGAACATTGGTGTGCTCGCAAGTCGATACATAAGGGCATTTCGTCGAAGGACGCCTCGTCTCCTGGCAACGCCAGTTGGAAGGAATTCATTTACGGCCTGCGCGACAATCATTCCAAACACGAAGAGGATTTCACACCCACTCTTTACGATGCGCACTGCGTATGTACGTGGGGGGAGGAGGTCAAAGATCTTGAATCTCAGGGGAAGATCGTGGGGAGATCGGGCCAGAAGTATTCGTGCGTGACATTGGCGATCTACGAAATGTGCCACGGTACGCCACCGCCGACCAGCCCCCGTTGCTTCCCAGTTCTGGTCGCTACAGCCAGTATCAGCGCTGATGAGTTCCTCGCCGTCACCGTCCCCGTCACCTTGGGCACGGGCGTGCATGACGCCATCTATTCCTCGGGTCGCAACACCCGTGACGGCAAGACCTCGCAGCAACGAAAGTCCGTCGTCCTGGGGGTCTACACCGCGATAGAAATCGTCCGGCGGAAGGATGGAGATCCCAACGTGGGTAAAAACTGGGACGAGGTGGAATGGATCATGGCAACGGCGAGCGATGCCAAGGGCAATCTGCCGATGTGGATGCAGAAGATGGGCGTCCCTGGTATGATTGCGAAAGATGTCAGTTATTTTCTGAAATGGATCAAAACAGTGCCAGACAACGAGGTGGAAAGCGTCAAGGTTGTCTGAGAGCATGGAGATTGCGGAGGTTACAGACATGCCGGCGAAAAGGGCCGGCCGACATCAAAAAAAAGGAGCAACTACGTCGTCCAGCCCGCACATGGCAACATCATTTCGACCTCTGAATACAAATCGACAAGGCAAGGAACGACATGCTAAAGCGAAGGGCGGAGACAGAGATGCGACGCATTTACCATCTCTCCCTGGCAACCCTGGTTACCGCACCGGAACGGGTCATGGTGGATGTTGTCCGTGCAGGCGGATACGGCTTAGACGAAATTCAATCATGGCGGCTCCGAAGCACGAATCTGAACGCGACGTGGACACGGGCATACACGAGAAGAGACAGGGTTACTGGTGCACGTGCCACTGGGCTGGTGACGCGACCTTTGGTCCGCCCGAAAAATCATGTGGAAACCCCGAGACAGGAAATTTGGAAACGTGTTAGAAGTCCTGGGGAACCGCAAGGGTGACTGTACCATGCATGACTGAGCAGGCCTGGGTTCGTTTTCGACGCATCCTGGTGATACAGCGTAACTGGCGGCCGCAATCAACCGGAGCAAGAACGAAACAGTGTCAGCACTTTATTCCCACACCCACAGACATTCATAGCCACTCACCGGTTGTTTCTTCCTTCCACCGATATCGAAGGATCGGTCAATGCGAGAAAGAGAATGGTGACACCGCTCTCCGGCCGTTGGGATTCTGTTCCAGTCTGTGCTGCCTACTCATTGATCGGATTTCCGAAAAAGATGCGAGATATTGCAAGAGGCTCCATGGCCCTGAAGCAGAGGAGGTGCGCGTGGACCTCATGTTCTCGTTGACATGCCCGCTGCTACTGAGTTATACCCACAATGGATTACCTTCGGGCACCGCTTCAAATGGCGAAGAAACCCAGTGTGAGCTCATGGCTTTGTCGATAAGTCTCGGCCACGCTGAAAACCAGAAGTACGACCTTGCCATGATTGGTCTAATGCACAGATGAGACGTGCAGGCTTTCGAATCGATTAGCCCTCTCATCTCACAGTATTGCTCTGCATCATCCTGCCGTCCACGGCGAAGTATACATCTGTATTGTTCTTCTTTGCCCACCGTCTTGTCAGCCTCGCTGCCAACGCCGCTCAAGTGGCTCTCGGTTTACTTGGCACTCGCCAAATCCATCCATCCCCATGCCTCAATAGCACGCTGCGATCTCAACAGACTGCGATTCCCAATCAGTGCCAATGCATGTGTTAGTGAAGCAGGTTAGACTCCTCCTCGGACTAGGATTCAACTTCCACTTGTTTCATGCAGACGAGCAGCACTCCAGACGAGCACTAGAAATATGATGGACGTAGCATCTAGCTTCAATCGAGATTCTAGCCTACACCTTGTTCTGAGAAAAGGCCTCCAGCCAAGCAACAATCCTGGACAATCACCTTCTTCCCGGGGATACAGGAAAGCTTTGTTCTGGGACGAGAACAGTCCATTCAGCCAGCCCTGTGATGCAGCTCAACGACGACCCCTCCTCGAGCGAGCAGTTGATGGTTTCGTATTTGCAGCAGCTGGCTGGCTCGAGTTTCTTTGTGTAAGAGCCAAGGCTGCCAGGGCGCTACCCACTGCATATCTGGTCAGCTCCTACCCGAGCCTTACACGAATTGTTTGCCAAAGCCTCACCCCTTTCCCAACATGAGCTCAGCTGAACCCGCCAGTTGCACATCTTTTCCGAGCCAAGGCTGCAGAGCACATGTGACCTTCCACTCCTCTCAAGCATGTTCGTATTCATTGAACCTTCCAGGGGCCATAGTCCCGACAGCAACAGACGGACTCTGGGGTTATTTTCTGAAGCCACACTGGGATTCATCGTCGCTATCCATCAGGCAGACCTTGCAAAATGCATGATTTGATTACCAGGGTCTTTGGTCAGTGTTCCAGCCGAAGACGTAACCGTCAATGGCAACTAAAGAATTCCGCAAGGCTGAGCTGCCGCCACACTATTGAGAGGTTACTGCTGGAGAGTCTGATCCTGTTCGGTCCTATGCAGCAAATTAGGCCAAAACTGTCCAAGGGTTTTCTCGGCACACGGATACGATCTATCGTGTTCCAGCGATGTTGGCCTACCATTGAGGCCCTTCTCGTGTTGACTGTCCTCTAGACCTTTCAGAAGAACAGGGTATTTCGAGACCTATTTCGAGCCGTGCTGCCCTCGTATGTTGTGTTGTACAAGTCAGCCGTAGCTGATCAAAACCGTGTCTGAACGCGAAGCAGGCCTTGCCTGTGAAAGATCTCGACCAAAATGAGGGTACTTAAGGCGCAGTCGGCCATCGAAAAAAAAATTCAACCATTTCCCAGACACAGTCGCTTTCTTTTCAGCTTGTCCATCGAGAGTCTACCTACTTGGTTAAAGTTCAAGCTTCTGATTCTGATCCTCATCCAATATGTCTGACGATATTGTCATCAATGGCCGGACTGTGGCCAGCTCTGATGTGCAGCCAGACGCCTCCAGCTCGAACTATATCTTGGTGCGCACCAAGCGCGATCCATTAAATAAGGCCCAAAAAACAGAACTGAAAGGCCTGGGCGTCGAAATCCAGGAGTTCGTCGGGAATGAAAATGACCAGCTATACCTCTGCGGATTCAAGCCCGAGGATCTGGACAAAGTCCGTAACTTGGACTATATCAGCTATGCCAATATCTACTCTCCCATATTTGTGGTCCCGGATGTCTTACAGTCTAGCACTGCCACTCCGGCGATGCGCACCAACGAGGAGAGTGACGGCGCCGTGGAAGTGAACGTTCTTTTGCACCACGATATCAAGGAGGCATCCCAAGACATTGTCAGCAAGATTGCACAGGCCGGCAACGTGCAGACGTCGGACATTACGGTTGAGCCAGGCTTCGTCCGAGTGAAAGTTGACCCCGAGAACTTGGATAAAATCGCCGCCGTCGACGAAGTGCGAGTCATCCACCCCGTCAACGAACGCCGGCTGTTCAACAACGTTGCCCGCACTATCTTGGGCTTGGGTGGGCCGGGCAGCAGCAGCAGCGGCAGCAATACAGTGTATACGGGGAGAGACCAGATTGTATGCGTGGCTGACACAGGTTTCGACAAAGGCAGCCTGACGGACGTGCACGATGCCTTTACCGGTCGGGTCAAGCAGCTGAACCCTTGGGGCCGAAAGAGGGCGAACCTTTGCGATGACCCTGATGGCCATGGCACCCACGTGTGCGGCTCCGTCCTCGGCAGCGGTCAACATAACTCTCAAGGTCTGATTCAGGGTGCCGCCCCGGATGCTACACTGATCATGCAGTCGACGTTCAGCAGGTTCGGTCAGAACCACCAATCTCAACTCGGCGGCATCCCAAACGACATCAGTCAACTGTTCAATGAAGGGTACCAAGCCGGTGCGAGAATTCACACCAACTCCTGGGGTACTCCGCTGTCACCATCCGGCGTTCAAAATCCTTACGATGCGGGCGCGGAGAGCATCGATCAGTTCGTGTTCGAACACCAGGACATGACGATCCTGTTCGCCGCAGGCAATGACGGACAAGACTCGGATCTCGACGGCAAGGTCAACGAGCGATCACTCGGTGCCGAGGCGTCGGCCAAAAACTGTATCACGGTCGGTGCCTCCGAAAACAAGCGCCCAACGCTTCAGTCGGGCATTGCAGGTCTTCCGTACACATATGGTGGCTTCTGGCCCCGGGACTTCCCCAAGAACCCGCTCAAGGATGACCACCAGGCCAACAACCCGGATGGTCTGGCGGCCTTCAGCAGCCGTGGGCCGACCGCGGAGAACAGGCTCAAACCGGACATTGTCGCCCCGGGCACCGCCATCCTCTCCACCCGCTCCCGGAATCAGAAATTCGACGACGAGGTCAAGGTCATGGGCGTCTCGGGCGACGACCGCTACATGTACCTGTCCGGCACGAGCATGGCCACGCCGCTGGTCGCGGGATGCTGTGCCGTCCTCCGCGAGGCTCTGCAGGCCCACGGCTACCAAGACGAGCAGAACGGCGTCAAGAACCCCACGGGCTCCCTGATCAAGGCCCTGCTCATCAACGGCGCCGTGCCCATCAAGGGACAGTACATGCCGCGCGAGGTCGGCGACGAACCCAACCCGCACTCGGGCTTTGGCCGTGTCGACGTGCCCACCTCGGTGGTGGACCCGGCCGACAAGACGTCGGGTTACGAGATCGGGGCCATCGACGAGGAGAACGAAGAGCCTTTCAAGTTCTCCATCGCGGTGCCGCCCCAGACAGCCGGCCAGACCCTGAAAGTCACCCTGGTGTACGCCGACGTCGCCGGCGCGGCCCTCGCCAACGACCTGAACCTCGTGGCGATCGCGGGCGGCAAGGAGCGCCACGGGAACCAGCGGGACCGAGAGTTCAATATTGGCGACACGACGACCTTTGACCGCCGCAATAACGTCGAGCAGATCATCTGGCCCCAGGTCTCGGCCGACCAGGTACACATTGTGGTCCAGCCGTTCCGATTGGTCAGTGAGCGCGTGCCATTTGCCGTGGTGTGGAGGTTCTATTGAGTTACTATGTACCTCGTAGGCTGGTAGGTATTCATGTAACCTGACTACTGACCTACCTCCCTTGTGTGAAGGTGTGTATGTATGTATCTATGTATGTAGGTAGGTAGCTAGGTAGGGCGGGTTTGACTTCAAGGCTGGTGTGGGAAGAAAGCCAGGGCGAGTCTCGCTCAAACCCAATCGTTATTAATACATAACTGACTGACTTACTTACCGGCCAAGTCTTGCACGTCTTCCTCCGTATCTCAACAGAAACATGTATGTATGTATGTATAACTAAGTATATATCTATCTCTATGTGATCTCTCTCTGGCATCACAATATCCGTTTCATTCGTTGCATGCTTGATCTAGTATCTCGTCCATCTCAGTCCGGGCATTTTGTCTGCTCGCCCAACCGCCCGCCCGCCCGTGTGTCTGTCTATCTATCTTATCTCCCAGCTCAGCTCCGATCGTCTCCTCCCCTCTCCTCTCCAAAACCACCTCATCCTGCAGCAGTGGTCGACATGACATATGTAACACAAAAACATAAGGCACATACCCCAAAAATACTTCCATGACCAAAAAAGGAGAGAGAAAAGAATTCTCGTCGCAGGCTTGAACACACAAAAATGGACCTTTCAACGTCACTTGGCCCCTAACTCCCTTGTACATTGATTGCCCCCCTTTCGAGCCCCCCAAGATAGACGGTGCACCTTCAACTCCGCTCCGTGGTGATGGAAAGACACTCAGAAAGAGAGAGAGAGAGAGAGAGAGAGACCAGACGCCCAGATCACACCACCACACCCTCCTCCCGGGGCTTGAACTGCACGACGGGCCCCTGGCGGTCGCCGATCAGCCAGTCTTTCAACTGGTACTCGTCGGGGCGTTCTCTCCCCTTCTCGCCGAGGTGCGGCCCGCCCGCGCCGGTCTGGTCGCCGGGCTTGAGGCGCACGTCGTACAGGAACATGGCGCGCGCGACGGCGGTGAGCAGCTCCATGTAGGCCATGTTCTTGCCGACGCAGCCGCGCGGGCCGGACGAGAAGGCGTGGAAGGCCGACTTGGCCACCTCGACCGACGTCGGCGTCACGGCGAAGCCGGCCACGCGCGACGACGCCTCGCCCGCCAGCCACCGCTCCGGCAGGTACGTGTACGACCGCGGGAAGTACCGCTCGTTGTGGTGGATGGCGTAGATGGGCACCCCCACGGTCGTGCCCGCGGGGATGTCGTGGCCGTCGATCCGCGCCCCGCCCGCCAGCACCAGCCGGTCGAGCAGCCCGGGCACGGGCGGCGTCATGCGCATGGCCTCGTCGATGCAGGCGCGCAGGTACGGCAGGCCGGTCAGCTTGGCCGAGTAGCGGATCTCCTCGACGTCGGTGAAGGCGGCGCGCACCTCGGCCTGCAGCCTGGCTAGGGCGCGCGGGTCGCGCACCAGGTAGAAGAACAGGCCCGACATCGCGGTCGAGCTGGTGTCGCTGCCCGCCCCGATCAGCAGCGCCGCCTCGCCCACCAGGTCCTTGGGCTGGAACCGGTCGCCCGTCGACGGGTCCTTGGCGTGCAGCAGGTAGTAGAAGAAGTCGCGCCGCTTGTCCTCCTCGGCCTTGTCCGCGTCCGCCTTCTCCACCGCGAACCGTTTCTCCACGTACACGGCCACGTCCTGCCGGAACCGCACCTTGTTGAGCAGGTTCTGGGATCCGATGAGACGCCCGATGCGGGTGAGAGGGGCGGGCTTCATGAAGGGGAAGAGCACTTCGCGGATCGGGATGAAAGAGACCTGTTGCGACGGAAGAGAGTGGAGATGTGTCAGTGTTCCCGCGGGGAGAAGGGTGATATAACGGTCGATGATGCACGGGAGTTACGTACCTGTTGCTGGAAACGAGCACTCGAGAGGAGAAGGTCCATAATATAGCACGCCCCGGTCTTCATGGCGTTGAAGCTCGCGCCGAAGCAGAGTTCGCCCAGCACATCGATGGTCAGCAGGGTCGACCACTGTCCCATGTCACGTTCCTTGCCCCATGTGGCGGCAGGCTTCTCTGGCTTCGCGTCGTCGTCGTTGTCGTCGCGGGCCTGGCCGAGGTAGGCGCACCAATCGCGAATGCGTTCGAGCATATACTTGTCGAGGCTGTTCATGGCCCGCTCTGAGAAGGCGTTGTTGAGCAGCTTCCTCCGGGCGGCGTGGAGCTGGCGGTCCGAGAGCACGTGCGTCGTGATGCCCGGGTTGATGGTCTCGCCCGTGTGCGTCCAGCCGGTCTTGATCATGTTGGCCTTGCGGTCCGTGTAGATGTCGTAGACGGCCTGGGCGGTGCGGAACGAGAGTTTGTCGGGCCCAAAGCGGACGATGTCGCCTGTGGTGGGGGTCGTCAGTTAGTCGAGCACAAGACAGACGATTGGGGCTGCATGTTGTCCTGTACCATATTGCTCATGCAGCAGCTGCAGGTCGATGTGTCTCCTTCCCGTCCATGCGGATTTTGCTTCGGGCCACTGTGTCAATTTCCATAGGAGAGGTCCTGGATACTTGGCCAGAGGATGGAAGTATAGTCGATAGATGGCCAGGCCAAAGAACTTTGTAGAGAGTCAGCAGACGTGATAGGCGGCGAAAGGGACACATGGATATCGAGACACTCACATAGACGATATTTGCTGCCGCGAGCACAGATAGCAGGTCTACCACAGAGAAGACAGCCATGGTTAGGATACCGATATCAAAGCCTTGTGTAGAAGATAGGGTGAGACTCGCAGCGGGTTGGGGGTCAGTTCAACACACCCTCACCGACGGGAGGACGCTCGTGGTGTTCTTATACCTCCATTACATCCGATCATGTATCCTCACGACCGGTACCCGAGCCACCCTTAAGCGGGAGTGGCCATGTTTTGCTGACTGTCAGATACCTGGGCTGAAGAACGAGTCAAGAAGCGGGCAAAAAGATACGGGTATGGAACCGCGATGCGACCCATACTTGAAAGCATGGTGGAGGTCTGGGAGCCCCAGGGACGAGGTACTCGTTCGTAGCTTGCTGGGCCAAGTGATCCAACCCTTGGAAACCAGAGCATACATAGGTCCAGTCCCCGGCCTTGTCGTGTGAGTATTCGTCATGCTAGTCGGGGGGGTTCACCGTATGAGAAGCTGGGATCTCCACTGATCATCAGTCCAGCTTGTCCTGGAAGGTACTTTGGGATACTTTGTGCGAGTTGCTCGTAGTGGCCCGACTGCTCTGCTGGGTCTTTCGATAACGTTCCATCGAGAGACCAGGGCACCTTCATACCCTATGCAACCCAACCGACACGTGTGGTGAGCAACACGACGTCCATCGCATCGGTCGGCTGCAGCGGCCGCTTTGGCCAACGTAACCTGTATCGGCAAGGGTTATAGTGGCCGTGGCTGGAATCCCTGCGCCACGAAACCGGCGCTGGAGTCGCTGACAGATTGTTTTGTGGGGGTGGTGAGGATCCCGGTAATTGGGACATCAGCACTTAGTTAGAAGCGACAGCAACCCGTTGCATTGCTCTCTGCTGGATGGGGACGTGGAGTCTCTCTCCTACCTCGTACTCGTTTTGGTGTCGACGCCAAAGGGGGGGAAAAGCGATGATTTGTCCTTTTGTCTAAGGGTTAGCCTGTTCGGGTGCCGAAGTATGCACGAGGGTTTCCGTCTTGTGTCATCATCCAACACCAGTCCGAGCCAGTCGTCCCAAACTGTCGGCGATAGAAAGGGAAGCTGTTAAGCTTCTTTTGAGAGGTGCTGTCTGTGTACTGGAGGTGAAGAGATCAATCGGCTGGATGCTATTATCATCAATACGCTTTCGGAGCCGATCCCTAGTCAGCCTCCAGGACATCATAGCCGAGACGATTCCATATCACACCCCGAAACTATCTCCTGTCAGCCGCACCTAACATCATGTAAGCAGCGGCTAAGTAGCGGATAACGAGGCCGAATTGAATGACCAGGAAGGTGTCGATAAGTGACGGAATGCCACTATGGAGTCAGACATTACAGAGAGTCAAAAGGTACCTCAAATGACTCCATTCTGGAGTCACTTTTGAGCCAGAGTAATACTTATGTCACAGATACGACGACATGTCTGCACTCTGGTGTTTCGCTTGCGGTGGTGGAAACAATGGTGAGAGATGGCCTGTAGGCAACCGTGGACATTCGCCGCTCAGGCATTCCATATCGCCCCCACCGTCCCATCGAGACAATATTCGGAGATGGCTATGGCAACCGGGGCTTGAGACTTCCAAGTCTTGGTATTAAACAGTTAAGGGTGACTAACTGCAAAAATGCGAGAAGCATCTTGGGTTGTGTATAAAAGCAGGGCGTGTGGACATCCAGCCTATTGAGGGCTACCCTTAGGAGACTCTAATAAGAAGAGGTCAGCAGAATTTGCTCTCCACCATTGGAGCTATTCGCCCTCGCTCGATGTGGCTTTGGTAAGGACACAATCGATGGGTAGTAGTCGAGGAGTGAGTTTGATGTGGCTGCAGCGACCCTCGCCGATTCCTCTGCTGCAATATACATAGATTTCTTCATCGTCGCCACTCCTCGTCCGTACGACCCTATCTCCAAGTCCTCCTTCTGCTATACGTGTCAAGGCTATTGCAAAGAATCTCTTGTGCTGAATGTATTGTGTATGAATGGGAGAGGCCACTTCTCTACTGTCAGATAGCTGCACCTCAGCCAAAGACGACAATGAATCTTCTCTGGTACGGACATAGCCATGTCAGGCCACTCGGCTTTCCCCTTTTGGTCATCCTCCAACACGTGCACCGGCCCAAGCAACAGGTCGGTGCTCTTGGCGATGAAGGGGAAAAAGCAGAAAGATTCTGGAAGGTGTATTAGGTAGCTCTCGGTAGGTAGCGAGTAGGTAGCGAGTAGGTACAGTAGGTGTTCGTTCGCCTCTCACCCTCCGTCCTTCTCCAACCAAACCCATCGGAAAAGCGAACAACGCCATTTACCCCAATTTCCCGCTTCTGTCCGACTCTCACCAGCAAGCACATGGATCTCATTCGCGAAAATCAATATGCCGAACCATGCCTGGATTGACTCGAAGAAACCACATGGGAATTCATTCGAACGCTCAGCGTGTCTGCATCTTGACGCCTTGACTAATTTGTCCTATACTACCACCCACCCATTTTCTCTGATCTCTACACAACACCATGGACTTGACCAAAATCTCCGGCCTGGGGTTCGTGGGATTAGGGGCCATGGGCCTTCCCATGGCCGGTCACCTTGCTGCAAAGCTGCCCGAGAACGTGCACATCTATGCCTACGACATCAACCAATCAAGTGTGGACCAGCTGCACCACGACTACCCGGACAGAGTGACCAAGTGTTCCGGCGCGAAGGAGGTCGCGGATAAATCAGTACTCGACCCCCGTTCTGGTTTGCATACACAGTACGGACAGTCTTGCTGACGTGGTGACCATCACCAGGATGTTATTATCACCATGCTTCCCGAGGGCAAACACGTCCGTTCTGTATACATGGGGGACGGGGGCGCCACCGACACCATCTGCTCGAGTGACGTTTCGGGGAAGCTGCTGATCGACTGTTCGACCATCGACACGGCCAGCAGCCTGGCGGTCAAGGACTACATCAACGAGAAGTTCCCCACCACGGCCTTCTACGACGCCCCCGTCAGCGGCGGCGTGGTGGGCGCCCAGAAGGGCACCATCGCCTTCTTCCTGGGCTGCGACGGCGCCGACCCGAATCTGCCGCAACTCACCCGGCTCCTGCAGCTGATGGGTAAGGATGTGATCCCCTGTGGGGGACCCTCTAAGGGCCTCGCGGCCAAGCTGTCCAACAACTACCTGTCGGGCATAATCGCCATCGCCGTCTCCGAGGCCATGGACATGGGCATGCGCTCGGGCCTCGACCCGCGCGTGCTGGCCAAGGTCTACGCCGCCGGCACCGCCCAGAACACCATCTGCGACCGCTTCTGCCCCGTGCCCGGCGTGTACGCGGAAGCACCCTCGTCCAAAGGCTACACCAACGGGTTTAAAGTGCAGCTGATGCGCAAGGACTTCTCCCTGGCGCTGGACATGGCCAAGCGGGTCGGGGCCGCGAATGTCTTGGGTGAGGCCGGCCTCGCCACGTACGACGGCGCCAGCAAAGACCCCCGGTGCAAGGACCTCGACTCGAGAGTCGTTTTCCGGTATCTGGGGGGCAACGAGGACTGGCAGAAGGACGCCGACGAGGCTACGGCCAGCAAGCTGACGTAATAAGAAAGTCGGTGGTAGACCGAGGGGGAGATATTATAGCGACACCAGATCTAGAATAGAGGCACCCACAAAAATTCTATGATGACAAAAAGCTATTATGATCTAGATGGTTGGCTATGAGCTTGTCCTTCTTGTTCTCCTTCTTTTTCTTCATCTCCCCCCGAATTGAACCGATTCCAATGACTTACTTTCCCATGCTGCTCCTTGTGACGGCCGGGGGAAGAAGGAATGTGACACTGTGGGAACCTCGGGGACAAATCTTAGGAGTTGGAGAAAGTTGGAGAAAAACAAACCATGACCATCGCTCACAACGCCGCCCGAGGGACACCCCTCCCCCCCCCCGATTACGGAGTGGTGTTTTTTCGAAGGAATCGGGTGGTCAGGAGAGGGTGGTTCGAGTGGAACTGGGTGGAGGGGTAAAAATAATAAAAGAAGCAATCAGACGGTCGATGGATGGAGAGAGGGAGAGGGGAGAGGAGGAAGAGAGAAAAAGAGATAGAGGGGTTTTCTTCTTTTCGCTTTTCGATTTCTCTGGTAAAGCTTTCATCCTGTAGTCAAAAGTGAGGTCAGTCCGTCAATCAGTTACTCAATCAGTCAATCAAGCAATCAGTCCACGTCGTATCTTCTCCAATTGAGAAACGGTACAAAAGAGTCGGAACAGAAAGAGACCAGACAGACAGACAGAAAGAGAGAACGAGCAGGAGAAAAAGAAGAAGAATCACCAGCAACAACAACAACAACAACACCATCACCACCACCACCACCTTGAAACCCCACCAGATCCTTCCTCACAACATCCTCAATCACCCAACATGTCCTCGTCCAACAACACGGCCCAACCCACCTCCAGCACGGACCCGGCCCTGCGCCCGTTCCACGAGCAGCTGTTCAACGCGGGCCTGAAGGTGCGCCGGGAGGTGGTCGGGGACGCGTACGTGGACCGGGCGCTGGCCAACGGGTCGAGCGAGTTCTCGCGCGTGGGACAGGAGCTGGTGACCGAGTTCTGCTGGGGGTACGCGTGGACGCGGCCGGGCCTGTCGCGGCGCGACCGCAGCCTGCTCAACATCGGCATGCTGATGGCGCTGAACCGCGCGCCCGAGCTGGCCGTGCACGTGCGCGGCGCCCGCAACAACGGCCTCAGCGAGGAGGAGATCCGCGAGGCCATCGTCCACGCCACCACCTACTGCGGCGTCCCCGCCGGCGTCGACGCCATGAAGACCGCCGAGCGCGTCCTCGACGACATGGCCGAGAAGGGCGAGATGCCCCGCCAGCTGGGCGGGAAGAGCAAGGATGCGTAGAACGGAACATCATCCCATTCCATCCCATCCCGTCTTGACGAGAGGAAGTGGAGAGAGGGGACCGCGTGGCGCATGGATAAGTGACGATTGAAAAAGAGGAAAAGAAAAGGAGGATCGTGGGATGAGACGGAGAACTGAAACCTGCAGGCAGACCGGCATCTGGTTGTGCAGATGTGGCTTTCTGAATGCTTGTTTTCGAGGACATCGTCTGGTAGAAAGGGGGGACGCACGGAGGGAGAACAGGAGACGACGAGGAAGGAGAAGAGAGTGTCCATCCCGTGCACACGACGCACCCGCATCACACAAGACAAATAGAAAAACACATTCCAGCTACTGTATATGTATCTTGGTGCTGAACTTCCATGTCTGATGATCCCATTTTGGTTGATAACCGTTCTTGTTGTTGTATGCCACATACCTGGCTGCTTTTTGTTTGCCCCCAGCCAAAACCCCTCGCTGTCGCTAAGATGCAGCAGAAAAAAGAAAAAAAAAGAAATACTCGAGTTTTCATGACAATCTCGTCTGCCACAGCTTCCCCCCCTCCCGGCGGCCCCCATTTGTCAACTCTGCCTCGAGCCGCTTGGTGTTACACCGCCTCGGCCGCCATGACGTCCCGGTGCTTGTTCTCCTCCGCCGCCTGCTGCGCCTCCATCGACTCGTTCGTGCTCTCGACCTGGGCCTGGGCACGCTCAAAGTCGAGCGACGGTGCCGCTGTCGTGGCCTTGGCTCTCAATGCACTGCGGATCTCCGCCACGGACCGGTGACTCCACATGTCGTAGGCGCTCAGGCTCAACGGAAACAGCACCTTGTTGCGGGCCGTGGCGATGAAGTCCTCCGTCGTCGGGGCGGGCATGCTCGTGATGATGTCGATGTCGGCCGCCAGTTCCCGGCAGTAGGCGTCGAGCGGCAGGTCGTTGACGTCCACCCCAAACGGATTCTCGATCTCGTACCCGATCGCCGCCAGCCCCAGGATGATGTACGCCGCCAGCACCACGCCGAAGATCGTCACCCACCCCAGCTTGCTGTAGATCTGGAACGGCAGCGTCAGGATGTACACCCAGGTGATCTGCGAGATGGAGATCGAGTAGGCGATCGGCACCGGCGTGTTCAGCACCCGTTCCGTGCCGGTCAGGATGTCGGCCATCTGCACGATGCTGTTCATGGCGTTGGTCTGGTGGACGGGGATCGTCAGCTGCCCGTTGGAACAGATCTGGTCCAGGTACGCCCCCAGGTAGTTGAGGATCTCCAGCGGGAGGTTGCCCAGGTTTTCACGTGACCGCTTGATCAGCTTGCGCGGGTTCGACTCGGCGAACGACACCCCCAGGTACTCGCCCGCCGCCTTCCACGACCCGACTTTTTTGGGTTGCAGTTTGCTCTGGTCGGCCTCGCCGGCGAGCGTGTGCAGGTTCCCGATCAGAGGCTGCAGGTCCGGATACTCGGTAGACGGCTCGAATCGGAGGCGGTGCTTCAACGCCACCGCGAAGGCATTGATGAGGTTCAGGGCCGTCAGTTTGGCGAGCAGCTCCGCCTTCCCCTGTGCTTCATCCGGGGTGTGCCGCTCTTTGGCGTGGATCCAGATGATTCTTGCCAGATTTCTCGACGTCACCACCAACTGTGCCCAATATCTCCGTCCCTCGCTGTATCGTTCATAGGCGGTGGTCGACCGGAACGACAGTGCCAAACTGACCACGAAGCCAGTGATGGTGAGGAGGACCGAGTCAAAGACCAGCTCGTATACGAATTTGTTGATGCAGGTGAACAACGTCGCCCAGCCTGCGACGAAGATCAGCGGAAGGATCATCTTGGGCAGCACGCTCCCGTGCAGACGGAGGAAGAACGGCCATTTGGAGTGGTGGTTCATGTCCCGAGGGCCGACAAACAGGTCTTCGAGTTCGATCCCGTTGTGGGTGGGGGCCCGGAGTGCGAGTGGTGTGAAGTCGGTGACTCGCCCAGGAGAGGCGAGCACATTCGTGTCGTGGGAGGAGGTCGAGGAGGCGAAGTCGGTGACCTCCAATTTGAGGTTCTTGGTTCCCTCCATATTGGCCATATTAAAGGTTTGAGCTGGGTATATAGTGTAGATGGAATTAGAGCCTCTGGGGCCTGGGCTCGATGGCACTGTGTTTGGTAAGCGGCAAAAGGGAGGTCAAGTGTGGTGATCAACACCCATAGAAAGATATACACCAACACAGAAGAGGAACAAAGCTGGCAGAACAACAAGTTAAATGCTATGCTCGAGAAAAGGAAGGGGGGACCTTTTGACGAGTGACCAAATCGCCAGAAGATCGAAGGGCGACGGTTGAGAGTGCGACACGAGGATCAAACCCCCCAGCTACACCAACCCTGGTGGCTTTGCAGATTTCTTATGTAACTTGGGCAATCCTTCCTGGTGCTTACCCTGTACCGTATATGGCTGAGAAATGAGTGCTCCATCGACCTAGCATGGCATAGTCGAATTCCCTGAGAAGACCATGAATACCCACTGGGGGCCGAGTAGGTAGCGCCGTCAAGCGTTTTGTCTTGGGTCGAGAACCGACAAAATCTGCTACACGCGGAGGCCAAGGTCTTGGAGAGAGTCTCAATGCTTGGAGCTGAAACCTGGCCACAGCGAATCCGATATGGGCGTGTCCATTGCCCTGAGTACTCCAGTCTGGATATTGAGAAAACCCGTTATGCATGACTGGACAACGGTCTGCAAGCTCCACCGGGCGAGGGCAATGCGGCCGCCTGAGACAAAGGAGTATCGAGTAGACAGGGGACAACCAGAAAAAAAAGGGACGAATGTGGCAAGGGATAACGCTCCGGAGTTGGTCAACGGTCAGGGGCCAGACTCAAGCTTTGTTGGCGGCGACTCGCCTCGTATCGTCGTTCCATCCACCCGGTTCCGGTTGGTTCGTCCCCTTGCCTGCTATTGGTACAGTCGATGCTTCGCTTCCCCGTAATAGGTCATTTATCGTGTGATCGGGAAGAGGAATGGGATTGTCGAGGCTCCATTCCGTGCATCCAGACCTCCCGAGTACTTACTTGTATGAAGGACTGGCACCCACTGGTAATTAAAACGGGAAAATGGCTTGCGTTGACAGCTGCGCCGCGACGGGAGCCCAATGTGTGTTGGTTAACACAGTCAGCAGTTCAGCTAAGAAACTGTATCCCTCAGCACGAGTAAACAGACAACCCTTGACTCTGGTTTCATGAGCTGGCCATTACCAGCTGCAAGCCTGACATCAGACATGGGAGGAGTGGCGGTAGAATAGTGGCGGTAGAATGCCAAAAGAAGAGTGGCGGACGGTGACCAGATATAGGACAGCTATGCCTGTTCTCCCTTGGGAAAAGCGTCTGAGGAAGAGGCATTGCAACCTTATATATACACCATATAATCCTTGTATAATTGATATAATCCAGCCACAACTCAGGTGCATGCCTGTTCACCAGTTGAGATGGCATTGACAGACTCGACCGGTACAGTGTGGTGGGCGACAGGGAAGTCGGGATTCGCACAGGTAATGTGTCTAAGACGCCTGCAGGCGTTACGGGGAAACTTAGGCGTGCTGCATAATTGGGATTCGGGCCCGTGACCTCCTGAACAGTCAAAGGTCCCAGGGGTAAAGGGGCAGCACGGGTGACGCCGCGGGTGGAAAATGTGACTTGCCCCTCGATCGGTTTAGTGGCCGTTGAACCTGCCCTTTTCGGCCTCTCCAACATGCTGTCAGTCGCATTGCCATCCTTCACATCTCACATCTCACACCATTCACTATTCACCATCCTCACCATCGTTGGGGTCACTTTCGTTTTATGAGGCGACTATCAACATTGTCACTCGCTCGGGGGTGACATATTCTTCCTGGGGACCTTATTGTTGGATATTGTTCAGGCTATGTCCTCACTCACCCTCTGCCTACCCGTCATTCGCTTTGACTCGCCCTTGTGACCACGCCATGCTCCTCGCAGCGCCCACGCGGCTCAACTTTATCGTCGTTGGACTCGTCATTACCACCTTCATCCTCTTCTATAGCTCCTTTCGATCTCCTCGCCACGAACAGGAAGATGGCTTTGATTTTGCAGCGGGAGACGCTATCCCCACCCTCCTCGAGGCCTCCCTAGCACAACCCCCTGCCAGGACCACCCATGTCGCCGAGGCCAGCCACCATGTCCAATCTGATGATTTTGTGTCTCGAGTGCAGAACGAGACGCTGGGTTTTCAAGAGGTATACATGATTTCGTTGCCCGGAAGGACGGACAAGCAAGATGCGTTTGCCATGCAGGCAGCCTTCTCCGAAATCAACTACAAACAGGTTGATGGGGTATATGGCCACGAGGTTCCCGTGAAGGCGCTACCTCATGTATGTTGAATGAACAAAAGCACTCTTGTGGATTATTGCTAAAAACTTGAGCAGACTATGGGCCAAAGCGCCACCGTCATCGGGTGTTGGCGTGCACATGTGAATGTCTTCCAGAGAATGGTGCACGAAAAGGTCTCGTCGGCGTTGATTTTCGAGGATGACGCCGATTGGGATGTCTCGCTGAAAGAGCAGCTGGTCCAGTTTGCCCGAGGCTCGAGATTTATAACCAATACGTCCGACGATGCGTTCTCCCATTCTCCATACGGGCATGATTGGGATATATTGTGGATCGGACACTGCGGCACCTGGGTTTTCCCCGCAGACAACCGTCGATTCTTCGTCATTCCAGATGACTTCACCGTCCAACCCCCCGAAGCCCGCGCCGACAATGTTGACCAGCCCGATATGAGTCGCTGGGAAAGCGGTCCGCACGGCAACAATCGCACGAGGATAGTTTTCCACTCGGAAGGAGGGGTCTGTACGGCCGCCTACGCCATTTCCCAGAAAGGCGCGCGGAAGGCTCTCTATTATCTTTCAATGGTACCATACAATAGCCCGGTTGACTGGGGTTTGGCCAATCTCTGCAAGAACAAAGAGTACGACTTCACCTGCATATCACCGTGGCCCCAACTCGTCGGGGTCTCTCGACCGACGGCGAACACTGCCAAATGGAGCGACATCGGCTACGGTCCAGACTCGGAGAGAGTGGTGGAGCAAGGCAGCTCACTGCACCTGGTCTATCCCACCCGGCAGAACATCCCCAACTTTCTCCACGGCAAGACGATCTTCCACAGTCAGTATCCCGACATCGCACCACCGATGAGTATCAAGGAGATCGGAAAGGCCGTCGGTCACATTGAAATCCTGGAACCTCAGCATGTACCCGAACAGGGATGAAATGTGGGAGTGATTGCGTTTGGTCCTTGATCACCGAGGGCAACTCCTTCGCCCCATAGTCTACAACATCCCGATCTCGAATGCGAGAAAACATCACCACGATGTCGAGTTGTGGACCTGTTGGTCATATGCCATGAGTGACATGTTGCACCACCTGTTTCAAACCGGTTCTCTGTTGAACTTGGTGGAGTCTGTGCGAGTTCCAGAAACACGGCAAGGTCCCCTGCCGGTCCGTCTCCCGACCGGCCCCAGCTCGAAGAGAGCCAACCACTGCGATGCCTGGTTAGTGATTGATTTACGCCATGGCCGAAGATCTTGCCAGTAGATTTGAGATTCTAGAGTCAGGGATTGAGTCAGGAGAAAAAGTCTGGATAGAGGATGGAAACTTCCATGTTGGCCTTGTATAGCCGAGCTATCGGATACCCCCTGTTGGAATAACAGACATGCTGTCACCCCCTCGCACGCGTAGAGACGCGCTCGAGAATCTAGATCTGTGACCCAGTGATCGATCGGTAAACACAAAACTAGGCAGGATGAGTGTCTAGTCCATTCTTTGATTGGGACTTGGCCTGAGGCCCGATTTGCGAGTCCGAAAAACCCCTCGACGCAGGGACCGACCAGGGATCAGGGATCAGGGATCAGAGAAGGGGGACTCTCTGTCTCTCACTCTCTCCCAGCTTTGTCAGTCCCCAACGAAGAACAGCAGCAGATACCTTAGATACCTTGGATACCCGCACAAGAAGACTCCGTGTCCTCCGTCAGAGCTGCAAAGTACGTGTACCATGACGCCCAGCGCAAGCCACCGCGCCCCAAAAGTATTTCGCGGGGGCCGAGACCGCCCACCAGATGCAGTAAAATACCATGGCTATCCCACCAGCCCACACTTGCCCCTGAACTTGTCCGACTCTGGCCAGATTAGACTCTGGACTGAGATGATGTGCCGGACTCTGGGTCTCCTCCTCCTCCTCCCTTGCTGAGCGCCGACAGTATTGGGAACATGTGTCATTTCTGGTGAGTCCGCAGTTTGCTGCTGCTATCCTGCACTTCGGCTGCGTTCTTTGTTTGCTGCAGGTCTGAGTGATGACTCCAACTGACCGTCGCTCATTTTATTAGTTGACCTATCTTCTTCCCTTTGCGAGAGTTGATTTCGAGAGTGAGAGACCTGTGTGGCAGGAATTCTCGCGCCTTTCGGCCCCTCCTCCCGTGCTTCCTTCTAGTCCATTGAGCCATGGATCTCGGCCCCTCGTCGCGCAATGGAACTCCTCTACAACAACTCTACGGATCGCGGCGGTCATTACGATGGATCGTGTTCCTCGTGCTCGCCGCCCTCGTCATCATTTACATGACCGGATCGACCTACGAGCCTTACAGTGTCGCGGCCGGCGTCGGCACCAGCAGCTCCAGCCGCCATTCTTCCACGTCTGGGTTCAGACATTCGCACAAGAAGCAGGCCAAAACCCTGAGTCCGGTGGATCTGTTGAAGAGACCGATCTCCCGCGACCTGCAGACCATCCCCAAGCTGATACACCAGAGCTGGTCGTCCACCGAGCTGCCGGGGAAGTTTGAGCGCTGGAGCTCGACGTGCCGGGAACAACACCCTGACTGGGAGTGGGTGCTGTGGACGGACGAGGACAATGAAGAGTTGGTCCGGACACATTTCCCGTGGCTGTTGAAGACATACTTGGGGTTGCCGAGTGTGATCTACCGCGCCGATTTGGTGCGAAACCTCTATATGTATATGTTCGGCGGGTGAGTATTGGGGCATGTCCCCTCCGCACGTCTGACTGAGCTGACCGCGGGCATGTAGAGTATATTCCGATCTGGACGTTGAATGCCTCCGGCCGGTCGACGAGCTATTCAATCAGTACAACGTGACGACCGCCCCCCACGGGAAACCCAAGCCCCAATCCGCACAGAACATGCTGAAGAGCGGCCGAAAAGCGTTCTTTGGCCGGATGGGCACCGACCACGGCTCGTCCAACTCGATCCCCAACGCCTGGATGGCGTCGACACCGGGCCACCCCTTTTTCCTGATCGTGCTCGAGTCGGTCATGAAGAGGATGACGGAAGAAGGCGACGACATCGAGAACGTCGAAGGCATCACGGGTCCCGGCAAGCTCTACGACATGATCAACGAATACCGTCAGGAGGACAGCAAGTGGGCGGGCGAGGCGCTCGACAAGCACGTCTCCAAGAACCCGACCGCCAAGCAATTCAACCCGCGCAAGGGACTGAAACATTCCATCGAGGTGCTGCCCTTCCAGTACATCTACCCGTACTCGTGGGAACGCGACGGTGAGGCGTACCGAGAAGTGTGCTGGGCCACCAAGGAGGCGTTCGACCCGGAGCGGTGCAAGCAACTGCTCGCGACCGACCACTGGCCCAGTTACTTCATCACCTACTGGAGCCACACGTGGACGAGTGGCGGTCATGACGACGGCAATGTACAGAAAGTTCAGATGGCCGATCAGTAAGAGGGAATGTGGGTGGGAAATGTCTGACGAAGAATTTATTTTGCAAGGATTTCTGGAGTACGAAGATAGACAGATAGAGGGAGAGAGATTCGGTGGAATTTCTTGGGGCCAATTTATTGTTTCTGGGTGGGTGGTGGGTTTGACGAGATCATCATCGATAGACGAGAGAGCTTTCCGGGGGCCAGGCAGGCTTTTGCCCGTGAATTTTTGTTCGGCGCGGCGTCTGGGAAGAGGGAAAGGCAAAGGGGAGGGAAGGAAAGGGATTATGATATTGGAAGGAGGGATATCTATCTATCTGTGTATATATACGAGGTATGTATGTACCAGTCATCTCGTGCCTGTGTTTCTCTCTATCTGTGTGTCTGTCTTTTCTTCTAAAGGAGCCAGAACTTATTATTATTCTTATTATTATTGCTAGCAGGTGACACAGTCCACGATTTTGATTTTGATGTTGGTTTTGGTCCTAGAGAAGGGGATCGGGGGATGTTGGATATGTAGATAGACAGATAGACAGAAGAAAAACGCATTAACGAAAGAGGGAAACGCATCTCTGTAAATAACTTATGGTGAAAGGTCTTGTGCAGTGTATGTACTCGGTATACCTATCGATCATGGAAGCTGGTGGGTTTTGTCGCCCATTTCCCTCTCTCTCTCCCTCTTATACCAATGTATTAATTAGTGTATTTATTATCTATCCGCTGGCATCTAAAGGCATCGTCGTCGCCCCCTCCTTTCCTTCCTGCCTTCAGTCAACCTCAATCCCCCCACCGTCGATATGTGGTGGCGGTGGTGGTGGGGGAATGGCTCTTTTGTCTTTTGATACAGTATTATCTATCTCACGCACCATTCAGACATTTCAAGTATGTATATCTAGATAGTTTAGTTAGTCATGGCCTGACCGGGCAGCGCAGCACAATGCAGCGAACTATTTACGGCGCAAGAGGACTCGCGTTCGTCCATACTGTACACGCATTTACTCGCTGACTGGCCGGCTGGATTACTGGCTCGGCGGAGTTGAGCACTCGATATTCATCTATCTATTTAGTACCTATCTTCCTCTTCTCCCCCTTCTCTCTATCTATCTACCTGTCGACTTGGCCGCAAGGTTTTATTATTTCAGGTAAGTAACGAGGACAGAAAAAGAAAAGAAAAGAAAGAAAGAGACGAAATCGACGAAAACATTGCTTGCTGTTCGAGATTGATTTTTATTGCCTGACAACTTGCTGCTTCCCCATCACTCAACAACCAAATCAATCCGGGGTTTATTTAAATCACGGCATACGAGCTCGACATACACATCATCAACCTGGTGACCCGAACAGCCACCCCTCTCCCCTCGCTGGCTCGCAGACTCGCAGACTCGCACACACAATGCCTGACCACGAAATCTCGCCGTCCGTGCGCATCAACTACACCATCCACCAGCCACAACCCACGACCACGACCTCAACCACAACCACCAACAAACCAAAACCGTGGGTCGTGCTGATCAACGGCCTCGCCGACCCGCAGACGACGTGGGCCGCGCAGGTCCCGGCCTTCACGGCCGCCGGGTACGCGGTGCTCACGTACGACAACCGGGGCGTGGGGCTGTCGTCGCGCCCCCGGTCCAACGACGAGGTCTACACGGCCGAAACCATGGCGGCGGATCTGCGCAGTCTGGTCACGGCGCTGAACCTGCACGCCACCCCCTATCACCTCATGGGCGTCAGTATGGGCGGGATGATTGCGCAGACGTACGCGCTGCGGTACGGGATGGCGAGCGACGGACGAAAGAGCGAAATCGCCAGCCTGACCCTCGCGTGCACGTACGCCGCGCTCGGGCCCTTTTGCGCGAGGATGTTCGCCCTGTGGCGCGACATGGCACTTCGCATGTCCATCGCCGACGTCATGCGCGACGTCGCCCTATGGGCCTTCACGCCGGGCTTCTTCGCCGACCCGGCCAAGCGCGAGGACGTTGCCGCGATGGAGGCCGAGATGGCGCGCATCGACACAGATATGGGCCTGAGTGCGTATCTGGCGCAGTTGAACGTCATTACCGGCTTCGACACCCGGGCGGAGGTGGGGCGATTGGAAGGGACGGCGGTCGTCGTGCTGGCGGGCGAGGGTGACATTCTGATCCCCGTGTCGCTGTCAAAAGAGCTGCACGCCCTCATCCCGGGAAGTCGGTGGCGGACCACCAAAGGAGGCCATGCCTGTATATGGGAGTTCCCGGACGAGTTTAACCAGGCGTGTCTGCAGGGGTGGAGGGACGTGGAGGAGGGACGCTGACGACGGACGAGTGGTGATGGATGCCTGATGCCCTCTCCGAAGTGAATGTGCAGGTGGGTGGATGTACTATGTTGTGTGGAGTGTCGAGTTGTGCTGCGTTACGTTGGGTTGGGTTGGGTTGGGTTGCATTCTGTCATGCTTGCTGTGACGAAAATAAATCACCATGGGACACGGATGAAATACTCCCAGCAACTACTCCTCTAATACCGCTGCTTTTTCATTGCTGCTACTACTTCCGCTACTGCCCACCACCACAACCACCACCACCTGCTCGCCTTACCCCACGAGCCGGAACCCGCGGTCCGTCTTCTGCCACTTGACGGGCATCTGCTCGGCGATCCTCAGCACCTCTCGCGGACTGTGGACGTCGGTGACGACGGCGCGGGCGTCGCTGGTCAGGGGGTGCGAGAAGGCGGCGAGGCTGGACGACTTCCACAGCAAGGTCTGGTCGTGGGCGGTGGCCGCGATGGTGCCGGCGAGCAGGACCAGCGCCAGGCCCAGCAGCGCCGCGGGCAGCGCGATCCAGCCCCAGCGCACCAGGACGTGCGGCTTGTCCTGGTACACGGCGCCCAGGGCGGCCGGGATGGCGTCCGTGGTGAACGAGTACGACCGCATCGTGTCGCTGACCGACTTGGCCAGGCTGGCCGACATCTGCGTGAACTGCCCGAGCGGGTTCTCCTCGGAGAACAGCGCCCACAGGAACAGCGCGATCGAGGACGTGGGTGTGTTCGTCGGCGGCGTCCCCGACATCAGCACCTGGCCCTGCCACTGCGTCGTGAAGAAGTCGCGGAGCAGCCCGATGTTGTTGCTTTGATAGACGTTGGCATAGTCGGCGCTGGAGTGGTTCGTCCACGACGCCGGCGGCTCGAGGGCGTACACGCCCGGCGAGGTGAAGTGACCGGTGGTGTACGTGTCGACGACCCGCTCGCTCAGCTTGCCGCGGGACACCGAGGCGTTGTACTTCTGCACGCAGTAGTAGACGCCGCACTCGAAGGCCTGCTTGGTGGCGATGCCCATGATGTCGCTGGCCGGGTTCGCGTCGCCCCAGCCCTCGACTCCGGGCCCCCACTGCGTCTGGATGATGGAGAGCACCGACAAGGCCGAGTCGGGGTTGAAGTGGATCGAGTTGGTCGTGGCGCCCGAGATGTCGATCGACGAGTAGTTGACCGCCGGCACGCCCGACACGTTCAGTCCGTTGGGCAGCGTGTAGTTGCAGTAGGGCAGGGTGACGTTGGCGACGACCGCATCGGTACCGTCGGCGTTTTGACCCGGCACCAGTGCCGTCCCGCAGGATTTGCGGAGCGAGGCCGTCACGTCGTGGCACGCGCTGCACACGGCCAGCGACGTGTACGTCTCAAGCCACGTGCAATTCCCCGTCGGGCAGGACACGTTCTTCATCTGTGACAGCTCCGAGTACTGGTAGATGCCCGAGTATATGGCTCCCACCATGTCGTTGGAGAGACTGGTGGCTAGACGTGACGTCTGTCAGTTGGGCTATGAAGGGCCGTGGGGATGACACAGTCCTTACTGAGAGAGTTGCTACCCCAGTCCAGGTTCGTCCGCTGGATGCGTGCAATGTCCACTTGCACTGGCTTCAGCGGGTAGACCACTAGCGCCTGGAATGAGAATCCCGTCCCCAGGGCGGCGATGACGATCACGGCTCCTAGACACGCGAGACGTCTTTTCGGGAATGTCAGCTGAAGGATTCGGTGTGTAGACGAGGTATCAAGTCAAGAGGAAGGGATTAGGTCTGTCCGATTGGCTCAACATACCGACACCTCAACGTCCACAAGAGAACCAGAGACCCCAAGGGCCCGCGGGCTGCAGACTCGAATTTCTGGAAATGGGCCAGCGGCCGCTTTTCCTTCTGGAACCAGATCCATTTCAGCTGGCTGATGCTGGCGGCGACGGGGATTAAGAGGCCCGAATTGAAAGCCGTCGCGAAGACCGAGATGATGGTGTTGATGGTTAGCCCGAACGTCTTGTGGTGTCGTTTGGGTCCCACGGTCAGCGTCCACGTTGGCGCCTCATGCCCGTTGTGTACGGCGAGCAGTGCGATCGTGCCCACCAGACAGCCCAGGGCCAGCGTCCAGCCGAAAAACTCGAACAGCCAGTACCGCTCGACGGCGTTGAGGATTCGAGTCTGAAGGTCGAGGGGTGCGGGTGATGTCGTCTCGACGCCCTCCTTCTCGGACGGCGGCAGGGGTGGGTGGTGGTCGTCTGGGACGTCGGTGATCTTGATGTGGCCTTGCCGTTTGGAGCCATCAAGGACCTCCATTGGAAATGTGGTCATGGTTGTTCTTGTTGTCCTCGTCGTCGTTATCTGTTGCTGCCTCTGCTTCAGCTTCTGCCACTGCTCTTACCACTCTCGTCACCCATGTAGCCAGAAACGCCGCTCTCCCACGCCATAGTATTATCGTTGAGTGGCCCCTTCCCTGAGCCTGAGGATCATCCCACTTGGCTCCTCCTTCTTTTTCACGTCTCCATCTGGCCGACACCTCGTATCTGCTTTCTCAACGGCATCGCCGTGGTGGCGTCACGTTTGGGTAGCTGGATGCGGGGGCCTCTAACGAAGCAATAGTTACCCGAGACCGACGGCGGCGTGCTAGTGGGATCGGGTAAGGAACCCTGCCCAGACTACCCAAAAGGGGCAGTGTGTGGCTTGAACGAGAAGACGAAAGTGGAAATTGCACGGCCAAGGGCGCGAACGTGGTCTGTGTGGTGTGTTTGTGGTCGGTGATGGTCTTTGCGGTCTGGACTTCGATGTGCGGAAAAGGGGTGGATCACGTGTGGGTCACGTGTGGAGCCGGGATCCTCTCCACTTGCCCAACTAGTCGCTATACTAGAAACATGGCTGAAGAAAAACTCCCATCGCCATGCTTGTTTTTTGGTCCCAGAGGTCTGGCTACGGCGCCAATAGTGGAGTTCCAGTCCTCGGCTGTCCCCCCTTGGGAGCAAACTTCGACACCGTCACCGTTCACACCAATTGGCTGCTGGTGGTAAGAGCTGCTATATTGGGCAAAAGAACAAGTGCCTCCTCGCTAACCACATGGTCATGGCTGGCCCAGGGCCTTTTGTGCCGCCCAGTACGAGACAACTGCCCACTCAAACCCCTGTCTCGCCACGTGTAGCCCGGCAAAACATGGAGGCTCGCCATCGTTTCTCGTCCCTGGTTTTCTCCCCCCTTCCCTTTTGATACCTCAAGCGAGGAGGAGCCCACTACATTTTCCCAGGCTCTTTTCAAGGTCTCAATGCGGGTCTGGCACCTTAGTCCAGGTCGATAGCTCCCGGTCTGGTGCTGTCTCTGTCTCTGTCCATTTTCCCTTGCGTGAATGTGGCTTGCTGTGCTCTGCTGCGGTGCTGTTCTCGGCGCATCTGAATTGAAACCTTGTCGCCGCATTGGGAACAAGTGGCTCGGATGGCGGCTCCGAACAGCTATGTACAGTGAAAGAAACCATGGCGTGGAGATTTGCCGGGAGGGAACGGTCGTCGCGTGCTGCGGGACGGCTAGAAAGGTAAGAAGGAAAGGAAAGGAAAGATCCTCTCCCTGAAGAGCGTGAGTTCCCGTTATAACCACGCGGCGACCTCGGATTCTGGCGAGGTGTTTCTGCTTCCTGTCCCAAACAGCAAACCACAGTACAGGTCAAGTTCACCGACTGACGAACCATGATGACCGGCAAAGACGCCATCGTGACGGTGCAAGATGCCATGTCCGACTACCAGGACAAGCAGTCGATGCGTTATGCCGACCAGAGCATCGAGATGACACGGCAGTCGACAAGTCCCATCAACGGAACTCCATACCCCCCTCGACGACAGCTCTCCGACACCGACCCCGAAGACGAAGGACTGACACAGCTCGGCCTGAAATGGAAGCGGATCAGGAGGAACGTCCTCCTGCGGTACATCATCTACATCGTTCCCGTAGCCATCCTCCTGGCCATCCCCATCGTTCTCTGCGCCACGGTATACAAGGACAAGAAGATCATATCCCCCATCAAAACAACGTCCACTACCCCCATCACCACCACCAACGTCACCCAGATCGACCCCGTCCACGGCAACAGCACCACCGACGTCACCAATCTGTATAACACCACCACGGCCACCGTGTACCAGACCACCACACACACGGACCACCGTGGCATTCGTCTGCTGGGTCTGTTCATCTGGATCGAGGTCGTCTGGGTCTTCCTGTGGATCGCCAAACTCCTTGCCCAAGCCGTCCCGATCGTGTTCCAAACCGTCGGAGGTGCCATTCACACGGGCATCCGCAAGTATTGGCTGGTGCTCAAGGCGGTGGAGATCCCGCTGTCGCTCTTCTTCTGGGCCATCCTGTCCATCTGCTCCTACTCGCTCATCTACATTTTCGACCAGGACTTCCACAAGGAACATGCCGGCAACATCAAGTGGCTCAGCACGCTGCACAACGTGCTCAAAGCCACCATCGGCGTCTCGGCGCTGTACCTGGTGGAGAAGATGCTCATCCAGATGGTCAGCGTCAACTACCACGGCAAGCAGTTCTACGACAACATCAAGGAGCTGAAGACGCTCAGCCGCGCCATCGAGACCATGTACGACGTGTCGCGGCAACGCTTCCACGACAACCACCCCTCGTTCATGGAGGAAGACCTCGACATCCACGACACCAAGGGATACCGCAAGGACCGGCAGGGTCGGCTGAGGAGCAAGGACCAGTCCACGGCCATCCTCCTGACCAATCTGGGAAATGCCGCCGCCAACGCCACCTCCGTGTTGGGATACCTGGTCAGCGACATCGCCGGCCGACAGGTCCTCATGCCTACGGCGTCGGGCCCCGTCGTCGAAGCGGCCCTCGAACGGCCCGTCAGCGCTGAAGCCCTGGCCCGGCGGATCTGGAACTCGTTCACCAATTTTGGCGAGACCAAGCTGGACCAGACCGCCATCACCGCCATGCTGGGTCCCGGCCGCGAGGCGCAGGCGGCCTACATCCACTCCAAGGTCGACGCGGACGAGAACGGCGACCTCACCATGGAGGAGATGATCGACCTGGTCAAGAAGGTTGCCTACGATCGCCAGACCATCTGGGAAGGCGCCAACGACGTCAAAGACGCCATCAAGGTCCTCGACCGCGTGCTCGCGGTCATCGTGCTGATCTTCGTCTTCCTCATCTACGCCGCCTTCTTCTCCAACTACCTCGCCAACCACTACACGCAGATCTGGACGACGTTCACCGGCTGTTCGTTCCTGTTCTCCAGCACCGCCGGTGAGCTGTTCGCCGCGTGTATCACGGTGTTCATCAAGCACCCCTACGACGTGGGCGACCGCATCAACGTCAACGACGTCGACATGGACGTGGTCAAGATTTCGCTCTTGTATTCCGTCTTCCGCGAGGTCCAGTCGAAACAGATGATTCAGATCCCCAACAGCGTCATCAACGGCGTGTGGATCAAGAACCTCACGCGGTCCAAGGAGCTGCGCGAGCAGCTGACGCTCAACGTGTCCGTGGGGACCTCGTTCGAGGACATCGAGACGCTGCGGCGCGAGATGCTCGCGTACGTGGCCGAGCACAAGCGCGACTTCATGCCCGCCGTCGACATCCAGCTCATGTCCATCGCCGACTTGTCCAAGCTGGAGCTGCGCGTCGAGTTCCAGCACAAGGGCAACTACGCCTCGGACTTTGTGCGCGCCCAGCACCGCAGCAAGTTCGTGTGCGCCCTGCTGTCGGCCGTGCGCAAGGTGCCCATCGACGGGCCGGGCGGCGGCGGGCCCGGCGCGGGGTCGATGGAGTCGCCCAACTACACCGTGACCATCACGGACGAGGTGGCCAAGGAGGCGAAAGCCAAGTTCGACGAGAACAAGGACAAGAAGAGGATGTTCCCCAAGAACGGGCCCGGCCCCAGCGCCGCCAGTGAGATCGGTCTGGCCGTCGGCGGTGGTCCCGCCGGCAGCACCGGGCTCGAAGTCCAGCGCGGCGCCGTCGCGCGGAGTCGGACAGGTGGCGGCCCTCGAGGGTCCGATGACTTTACCAACTTTAACTTACGTCTATGATGGGGATGGCCAGCCTAGTTTGGGGGGAATGAGGAGGGGTGTCTTTTCTTTGAGGAACGGGATCTGAATTCATTCACGAGGACATTTCATGAGGTCTGGTGATTCTGGTCTGGAGGGGAAACAGTACAACCCTGGCTCCCCTTCTGACGTCTCTGTTGTGGGAAAAAGGTGTAGGTATTGTGGCCTCCATGGGTTTATTGTTTTTGCATCTTCCTTCGGGTTTAGAGGAAGTTGTTTTATGGCTTTGTTGGCAAGCGACTGACCTGGTTGGTTGGTGTCCGAGGTTCTGTACCTTTAGCAATGGGGGTTTATGGGGTTTTAGACATACACTGTTCGGGGTTTCGGGTCTGACTGATCTAATGAAATCAATGGTCTCTGAGTACTAATTCTCAGAAGAGTCAATCTGTCACAAACAAACAAAAGAATTCATCCGCAATTACTTTTCCATTACTCCGTGTAAAAAAAGAGCAAGGTTTGTTTTCTCATGCGGCGAGGTTGGACTCGGTAGAATGTATGTATGTAATTACTCGGTATTGGTGGATATATTGTAATTACATATCTATTTACTCGGCACTGGTGGTACTGAACAAATTCTTATGTCATCTCATGAGCCGAGGCATTCACAGGAGAGAGAGACACACACATAGAGAGAGAGAGAGAGCAGAGACTCTGGGCAAAGTCGAGCACCGTCTGCCTCCAAATGCACCGTACTGTACCTTTACAGCAACAAGCACTCCAATTACTCTCGAATCGACTCGGTTCATTTACTTATTGCCCAGAGAGACGACTCCCTCCCCCGACCGTCGTCGTTAACCGAGCTTTTTTCAAAGAGGGTGGGAGTACCTGCCGAACGAACGAGTGGCTCGACAGATACCAACAAACACGACGAGACCGGGCCGGCCTCAACTGCTCTTCTGTTTTCAAGCATGCTCGGCCTCGATATTGCGGCGAAGCGGAAACGCAAGATCTCAGATTACCCGTACCGGCTGGAATACCGGACACGATGGTAAGGAAGCAAGCAAGCAAGCAAGCACGACACCAGTACACCACCACTACCACTGTCACCATGATACAGTACCTCCTCTCTTTTCGGTGTGCTCTGGATCTGGATACGATGTATTCTATCTTCCTGTACACACCTATGATCTAAAGAGTCCCCCTTCCCTCATACACATCCTCTCTCCTTTCATTTCTCTTCCTTTTCTTCTTCTGCCTCCCTGCTCCCTCTCCACCATGGTCTAACCACTGTCTGCAGGAGCGACAACGACGTCTTCGGGCACATGAACAACCCGTACTACGGCGTCCTGTGTGACAGCGTGGCGAACCAGTACCTGATCGAGCGGTGCGGGTACTCGATGCACCGGTCCCCGCAGGCCGCCATCATCGCCCACACCTACTTCGACTACTTCGGCAGCGTCGAGTACCCGGGCGTGCTGGACGTGGGGCTGCGCGTCGCCAAGCTGGGCAAGTCCAGCGTGCTGTACGAGGTCGGCGTCTTCAAACGCGGAGACCCGCAGGTCAAGGCGGTCGGCGGCAGCATGCACGTCTGGGTCAGTAATGATCAGGGTGTGCTGGGGAGGCCGGCCCCCGAGGGCATGCCGGCCCATGTGAGGCGTGCGTATGAGGCGTTGGTGGAGCCCGGGGGAAAGGTGGAGGGAGAGGTCGATGGGCAGAAGAAGGATGGAGGGAAGACCAAGGCAAAGCTGTGATGGCGTGAGACAGCGAGACTATTAGACTGGACGGAGTGTGTATCAATCGATCAATCAATTATTCGCGCAAGCAGGGCACGGTATCCTTGCTTCGCGCGTCGCGTGCAGGGCAAAAGTGGACATGGACGAAAGGAAGGGCTCATCCACACCCCTAAGTCCCTCCCTAAGTACCACAAAGCCTTTGCTGTCCCTCATGCAAAACAAAGACCTTCTTCACCGTCTCCCCCGAAATACCCAGCTCTGAGTAAGACTACTGCACCCACGCCAACGCGGCCATCAGCGCCCCAAACCCCGTGACCGCCCCGGTCGCCCGGTCTCCGTGCGCGACGTACCACGCGCTGCTGGCGGCGTACAGGGCGGCCGTGATGCCCGTGATGGCGCGGTCGATGGCGGTCCACGACGCCGGGTCGCGCTGCGAGAGCTGGTACGTGTACAGCGCGGCGATGCCGAAGAACACGCTGCCCTGGTACCAGCCCGCCTTGGCGTAGCAGCGCAGCAGCGCGGGCAGGGAGGTCCACGCCGGGAGGGAGAAGGTGTTGAGGCCGTGGACCTGCGGAGGTGTGGGTTAGGCAGTCGTTAAGACAATTAAGGTGATTGTAGAACAAGAAAAAGGGGTCAGAGAATGGGGGAATAAACGGGGGAGGGGGGATTGAATTGAGATAGGAAGGAAGGAAGAAGGGAGGAAACGGGTTGGACTGGATTGGGCTGGACAGGACTGGAGTGCTCTGGATTCGGTAATATGTGATATATGGGGAATGAGTGATCTAATGATTGATCGACTTGACTTACCGTGTGTCCGACAGACACGAGGCCGTGGGTGATGCTGGTGGCGAGCACGACTCGAGACATTGTTAATCTTTATATCTTTCCTTCGTATCCTTTCCTCGTTTAGTTTGGATGATAAGGGAGTGAGTGAGTGAATGAGTAAGTCCGGAATCTGGGCATAAATGTATGGAGTATAAGATATAACTTACAGTCTGAGTTCTGGATAGAAGTCGAAGTTAACGGCCAACGAACAACAAGTAAAACTTCTGACGACGACGACGACGACGACGACGACGACGACGACGACGATAGACAAGGTATGAGGATATGAGACAGAGGACGTCAGCTAAATCTGTGTATTTGCGCGATCCGTGCCGAAGCAACGTGTAACCCATATGTATTTGTTGCAATTCTCTCGCTTCGTCGGCGCCTCCCGGAACCGAGGCTGCACAGGCTTGCGTGCGTAGCTGAGGGACACACCCTCGCGGCACGACATTCAGCCCGAACGAGAGCCAACATCGATAAACGTCCAAGATCGAATGCGGTTCTGGGTATAGTACATTTTACCGTCGAAATAGAAAGCGGGCTACACCAGTCGGACAACAACAGATTGGTAGCCCAAGATTCCCGATTTAGGCCAAAGGCTGGTAACCCCCAATCATTCACACATGGCACATCAAAAAGCTTCTCGTCCTTTCATCTCCGCGACGAGGGCCCTGGAGTCTCGCTCAAAGCCCTCCCCTTCTTCTCAGCAACCAACTTCGCATACTGCCGTTCGAACGTCGTGAACGCCGTGCTGGTCCCACTCCAAAAGTTCCGCATCGATGCACGCTTCTTAACCCACACCGATGAGCTCCTCCTGGTACTGGCAGTCGCCGGTTTTGGTGGCTTGATGAATGGACCCGCCGACGGTTCGCGGGACTCTCGTGGTCTCGAGGTCCTTGTCGCTGGCTCTGGAGACTCCCTTGTTGGTGTCTTCCGTCGTGAAAGGCCTCTGTCCACGTCGGATGTCCCCAACTCGGGTGATCCAGTACGAGCAGTGTCTTCACGCCATCTTTCGATGCTGTCAATACGATCCTCAACAGCCTGTCCCCTGGTTTCGGCCAGCTGCTTAAACTGCAGCTGGTGTTCGGCAACTGTTTCTTGCCATGTCGTTGGTTTTGCTATCTTGGTGGATGCAACAGGCGCAGTGGCAGAGAAGTGCGCTCCCTGATTTGTTGGGTGGTCACCCAGAGTTGACCTTCTCACCGTCCCTCCTCGGCCCGGGGCGTTCTCGAGTGCCGAAGGTCTGATGATCCTCTCATGGTGGTTTGGGTCTTCAATGAAGGCGTGGAAGAATTCCACAAATCCCACAGACGCGGTGCCTACTGTCCTTGTATACGGTCGGTAGCTATGGAAGTGGTGAAAGACGGCATCGTCGAGATGGGATGGATGTATCGACTTGGGCCACGGCTCGCGGATCCAAATTTCCTTGACAAAGCAGTACGAGTTCAGGAAATCATCCGCGCTCCCTTCATAATCAGGGTACGCTGCCCGATACCGTGCGAAGAGATTATCAGCCTCATGTGACCCGTCCGCCATGACTTGGGCTTCCTCTGCATCAGCTCCACCATACACAGATGGGCGAGTGATCGATGTCGACGACTGCCTCGGCACATTAGTCGCAAAGCCTGGCTGTCGCTGGCGCCTGCCATGATTTGGGAGTGGTGCCAATGGGCCGCTACTGCTGTCGTTGTCCACCCTCGACGATGGGCAAGAATGATGTGCCGATGCGCTGGGGTTGCCAATCGAGCGCGGAATCTCCGGGTGATGTTGCCCCTTTTGGTCTTCATCACTGTGATCAGTTTCTGTTCGAGGTGGTGATTTGGCACTTGTAGGGTCCTCGAGCCCCCCAGTCTGTCGGAGTTGGTGCCCACGATATTCTTGCGCTTCATTGTCGATTTCTATGATTTGGGCATCGGTGCCCGTCCCTATTTGTTCTTGCCGCGGCCTTTTGAGAGGAATATTGCTCTTTCCCGGGCTAGTTGGCTTTCGTTTTGCCGAAACAGATATCAGCACACGAGTCTCAGATAGGGAGTGTACATGGACTTTGTCATTGGGTCCTGGAGCAGCCTTTTTGAACGATCCTAGATTGATTTCTTCCGCGATATTACTGTGTCGTCCTCCTGCACCTGCTTCTGCATCAACACGCCCTGTTCCTACCGTCTCAGATTGACGACGTCTAGAGTCAGGGCTACAACCCAACACATTTCGCTGGTCAGGGAGAGCCTGCACTTTGCTTGGTAATCCCCCACTAGTAGAGAGAGCATGGCCCAAGTCGGCACTGTGGACTGCAGTCGAGGTTTTGCCTGGATTAGCATCTTCGAGTTCCATTGCGTCAAGGATTTGTGGTTCACAACTTGTAGCAGTGAGGGACTCGGGAGTCGGATTCGAACTCTCATTTGCCGAAAACGCCTTCAAGCTTCGTTCTGTCACGGCAATGTCCCCCGAGCTTGGTTCAAAGTAGGTTCCGGGAACGAAAGTCGAAGTAAGATTTCCATCATCGTTCGCACTCTTTGTAATAGTCGGAGTGATTCGCGAAGCAAGAGTCTGGGGCAGTTTTGAGCCTTTGCCGCCATACGGGGTCCTCGACACTTGTATTTTCTTTGGGCCGGAGCCACCTGATACCTCTGCAACCCTCGAAGACGTGTCGTCTTGCGACGACTTCTTGTCATCCAGTTCAGCATGTGGCACATCCGTGGTCGAAGAAGCTGCATCCAAATGGCTGGGACTGTGATCACGGGATAATGACTGAACGTCAAACTTTCGTTCTTGGACGGTCGAGCTGCCGAGGGTAGTATCTCGACGACTTGACATTGTACTTCCTTCTTTTCCTCCACTATCACCAACGACAGAAGATCGTTTTCGTCGCGTCAGGGTTGGAGGAGGGCTGTTTGGGGGCAATCTATTCGCCCGCCGTTCTTGAGTTGGCGGGCTTTGAGACCAGTCCACAGATTCCTCGGAATCGCTTGTATCACCTTCGCTGGGGTGGGCTGATTTCAACTCTTGATCTTGTCCATGCTGAGCTGGACTTACAGCTTCTCTCGAAATCTTAGGTTCCACAACATTAGGAGACCATGCGGCATCGCTCGCTCGTTTATCCGCAGCATCAGAGAGTTCAACTAGCAGGTCTAGTGGTATCTCTCCCGGCCTCTGCGTCCGACCTACGAGTGATGGCTGCCAACTATCCCCCGAGTCCAAGAGGGACGCTAGTAGCTTTCCCTGTTTTTTGGGGATCTCTTGGAGGCGTCTGGGAAGATATCTGTGCTTCTCCCTTCGCCAAAGTTGGAAGTGGTTGGGGCGCTCTTCAGATGATTGATGGACACTGACTTGCTTTACCGGGCTCGCTTTTGGGGACACACTGGGTGGCTCCTCATGGCTGTGGTCCGCTGAGGGCTTCGGGGACTCTGGAATGTTAACACTCAATTCAGATATTTCCACAGGACTGCTTTTGTCATTGTCCGTTGTAGCAGCTGGGGGAGCCTGAAGCGGCGACAGGCTAGGAACTGCTGAAAGCGAGAGGCGACTGTGAGTGGTATGTCCTAACTGTTCGCCGGCTGTCGTGGTTGGAGGCAATGACGACTCATTATGTGACGTGATAACTTCCGCTGAGGACAGAAGGAGGCCCCCTTTTGTCGCAGGCTGTTGTGTCTGATTTGATGGTATACGAGCCGGAGAGCCATGACTCTCTTCTGTGTCTCGGGGACGACTGAGACCATCGGGAACTTGGGTAAGGAATGCCTGCTGAGAGATTTCCTCCTCATTATCCTCCCCAGGTTCACCGTCAGAGTTTACAGCCTCATCGAACGCTTGTGTGCTGAAATCAACCTGCGATCTGAAAGAGTCGGGGCTGCCTCGTGAAGCGGACGTCGAAGGAGCACGGTTGTGTCTTTTCACAGCCCAATACCGAAACATCCTTTCTCGTATATCTTGGTTTTCAGAGACAGCACAGCCAGAAAGATTTCGTTCCATCTGGTCCGTCTCATCCACAGTCTCGCAGGCTGTAACCTCGACCAGGGGTTTGGGAGGGTTGACATGGGGGGTGACTCGAAGGACGGGATCGACGAGATGTAAGAGTGTTCCATGCCGGGCACCAGAGGCTATTACCTTCTGTGCTGTGCCATTGGTGAAAATGGTTTCTATTTTGTGTATTCCATCAAAGATCTCCCCTGGCGCCTCTGCTAGACCAAGTTTCGGCAGCTGATTGAAAGGTCAGCCATGCAGGCGAAATAAAACATTGCGAACTGGTCTTCTACCTTCAGGAGATACACAGTCTTTTGACATGGTGCTGTATGACTTGCTTTCAAATTGTCGTCAATTTTCTGGAATTGATAGTCGGCGGAGCGGCATCCCTCGAGTTCACCAAACCACGCATCAAGACTGGACTTGATGAAATCGGCCAGCCATGGCTTTTGGGAATCCATGCGTCTTGGCAGAGTGATGCATTCGAATGCGCACGGTCGATGTGGATAGTGGCAGGCATCATTTGTTACACAGCAATCAATGCCAGCGTCGAGTGTTTAGTGCGCAGTGTCGATGCTCATTGCCGCCCACCAGGGAGGCGGACGCGTTCCGACGCGACACCCTTTTGCCAAGCCAGTGACGTTGGTGGTCGGATAATTCAAGCGCAGTCCTGCCTGTAAGAAGTGTGTACCCAACTTCCATCTCAGGTAGTGGCGCAGACGGCCTCCTGCGGTCCATACTGGTTCCATACTGGTTCTGTGGAGAAATGATCGCATTCAGATCTACGATACAAAGTCCCGAGGCTCCTCCTTGCGTTGCTGTCGCCGGTGGTAGACGTCTTCTCAACTCCTCGAGATGAGGCCACGAGCATGACGCTGCCTGAGCACCATCACGAGAATCGCCTGAATGCAGGCGGCAGGCCTCCAGATTGACGACGAAAGAGTAAAGAATAAAGGCTTACACCATGCCTCCCTCTTCCATTGCTTCCATGCCACCGGATAAGGACAAGGACGTCCAGAGAGACAGGGATAGCCCTTCCGCCTCCTCCATCTTCCTCCCCCTTGGGAGAAAGGCCCGTCGAGATTCCAGGTCATCCTTGTCCCACGATCTTGACCAAGATGCCCTCAATCACGCCCTCAACAGCATCCACACGGCGGCATCTCAGTCAAACCACTTGACAGTCTTCAACGACTATACCGACCCTCCGACCGCCTCTGAGACGGAGAACAAATCTTTAGCGAGTGAAATACAAGGGGGCATATCGGGTTTATACAACAAGTTGAGGGCGACTGTGGGCGTTTCCAAGGACGGTGAAGACCATCATCAAGAAACGCCCACGGCTCTCTCTTTGGTGGACGATCGTGCCAGCTCTAAACTCAGTTCTGGTCTCACATCCAAGGCTCAGTCACCACGCCTGACAGCCTCAGACGCCACCCTTCCAACCGATCCAGCTCCGTCAAAGGTGTCGTCGAAGGCTACCAGCATTACGAAACCCTCCATTCCCTCCACTCCGGCTCTCCGCTCACCCACCGGCCCTCCACCGCCTTCTTCACACCTTGCTGACCCTTCGGTCACCTCAGTCAATATCCATGCTGTTGGCTCCGCGAATCATTCAAGGGCAGGTTCTGCGTTCGAACTTGATTCGCCCCACGAGCGGAGTTTGGCAGCGTCCACAGACAGCGAAAGTCTCCGTAAAGCTCTCTCCAAGCAGGGAACCGAGACCTCCTTTTCTGAGAGGGGAAACAAGCTGCTAACGTCGCCTCTTCTAAGTGCCCGGGGTGTGCCCGCCTCCCACGATCGAGGGCTATCAACGGCCTCAAATCAAAGTCACTATAGTCTTGGTGATGGCGTGGCTAGCCCGCCCTTGCTGGCTTCGCCTCAAGCGGAGCGGTCGACCACCCGTGTGGTGGTTGCGAATAGACAAGACAATTCTTCGCACCAGAGGCATATCAATCCCTTAGACCTCTTGGCTGAGAATGCCGCCAACACGACGAATACCTCCTCTTCCTCTCAAGGCAAGCCCAGCGACCCTTCTGGCCTGAAATCACCCCTGCTGTCGACGTCGGAGCACAGACCCTCCGAGAAGCTTACCCCCAAGATTAGCCAGTCAAGATTGCCAGGTTTCTACGCCTCGCGGACAACTTCATCGGAATCATCAGTCTCGGCTGGCCTGTTACGTGCAAATCTTAACCATGCCGATGACGATAGGCGTAGTATCGTCATAAATCGCACCCCTCAAGCAAGACCGCTAAGCAAACTGCGCAGCAAGTTGCTGAGCAAGGAATTTTGGATGCGAGATGAGAATGCGAAAGATTGCTTCCATTGCGGCGAGCAGTTCACGACATTCCGGCGAAAGCACCACTGTCGCACGTGCGGCCAGATTTTTGACAGTAAATGCACGGTTCTCATCAGTGGAAGCCATTTTGGGTCCAACAGTGCCGTCCGAGTCTGCAAACCGTGCGAGTCGATAATCACTTCCCACGATGACGACTCTTCTGATTATTCGGCCGAAGATCTGGCTTTGACGGAGTCGACTGCTCGGCCACGGACCCCTGAACCCGCTCTTTTTACCCGCGGCCTCTCCCGATTCGAGGATGACAATACTTCGGTCACCTCGCAGTCCCTCGAACAAATGGCCAGGACGCCCACAATGAGCTTTCCAGTGCGACGAGCTTTCGACGGTGCCAACCGCAACTCCGCAGTGCTAGAATTCGATACAACCGACCGACCACTCCCTCGACCGAGCTCTTCCAGGTCGTTGAAAGCAACTCATTCGATTGGTCACGGCCACAAGAGGCACCACTCCAAGCACCAACACATTCGCAATTACAAGGCCTACCATGAGGACAGAGCACCTTTCCAACGTCGTGCTGCCGACGACGGACTCAAGGCTGGCAAATCTTCAGCTTTCCACCGGGATAGCATCATTGACCCTGACCTTGCACAATATCTTTCGGATGATCCTTCGAGCGAGGAAGACCAATCAATCAACGAAGCCCTGAACCAAGATAAATTGTCCCGTAGCGAACCTGACAGCGACAAGAGCGCGATAGGCGGTCTTTTGGCGGCCGTACGCAAGGGCCGTTCTCGCCTTGGGGATCGGAGCATCGCTGGATTTCTCAACCTGGGAAAAGAAGCGGACGAAGCTAGTGTCCTAAGTTCGCGCAACGTCGAGGCACTTAGAGGTTCTCGGAAGCGAAACCTTAGCGTTTCAAGCAGTATCCATCGCGGAACACCAAGAACAACCAGAGAGCGCCTGCAGCTCATCATCCCCGGAAATCAAGATGATCTGCAGGACAGTCTAGGAGACTCAGCGAGCATCTACCGTGGCCATTCGAGGATGATCCGAAGTGCGTCTATGCACGGGGTGGCTGCGCCAGCCATGGAACTTAATCGCGCCAGTATTCAACATGTGCATAAAATGCTTCAACAGCTCCTCAAAGATGCGGATATACCCAAGGTCCAAAGTTGGGAGGACGCTCTCATTCCGATCTTGCTCAAAGCGACCGACGACGTCGACCCAGATGTTCAGGGCGGAGATGACATAGACATTCGAAACTATGTAAAGCTCAAAAAGATTCCCGGCGGCAAACCGGGTGACACTGCATACATCTCTGGCTTGATCTTCACGAAAAACGTGGCCTTGAAGAGTATGGCTCGGTCCCACACCAATCCCAAGATCTTAATCATCACCTTCGCGCTCGAATATGCCAGACACGAGCAGCATTTTATGAGTTTGGATCCGGTAATCAGACAAGAAAAGGAGTATCTTGCCAATCTTGTTGGCCGCATCGCCGCGTTGAAGCCAGATGTCCTGTTGGCTCAGCGCAACATATCTGGGCTCGCTCTTGAACTCCTTGAAAAGGCAAACATCACGACTATTTTCAATGTAAAGTCGTCAGTTCTCGAAGCTGTATCACGCTGCACGGAGGCTCGCGTCGTCCATTCTATGGACAAACTGACCTCCTTGTCAGATCCGTTTGGTCGCTGCGACTCCTTTGAAGTGAAGACTTTCGTGGCCGATGGGCGAAGGAAAACCTACGTCTATCTCTCGGGTTGCCCCCCTCAGCTTGGGTGTACAATTGCACTCAGAGGCGCCGACCGACCGACCTTGTCCAAAATCAAACGTGTCACCGAATTTATGGTGTACGTGGTCTATAATTTGAAGCTGGAGACCTGTTTGATGAGAGATGAATTTGCCTTGATACCTAGCGCACCTACTGCTAACACCTCTGAAACAACGGTCAACGGCCAACCGAAAACTGCGGCAAATGAGAACGAAGGGACATCGCAAGATGCTAATGGGCACACGGAAAAAGGCGACAGCAATGCCGTCGAATCTGGCGACGTCTCGAACGCAGAAATCATTGCGTTGGAAAAGGAAGTCCGTTTTGCTCAGGCAGTCAGGACGGATAGTGCAGATTCGGCGCCCATACCAGATGACATTCCTGTCCCTACGTTTTATGAAGACCTGGTCCTTAAGCATGAAACCCGCATCCTTTCGGCCTCGCCATTCGTCAAATTCATGCAGCCATATCTTCTGATGCGTGCGAGAGAGTTGGAGAGACGCGTGGCGTTTCTCAGGCGCCTCCGAGATCAGGATCTTTCTGCTGAACAGACGATGGAAGATAAGGGCAAGACTTCCAAGTTCACCTTGATTCAGCCTGAGATGGTTCATAGACATCTCGCCGGGGCCAGCAAGAAGGTTCGGGAGATCATTCATGCGGTACACGACGCCGAGTACGACAAGGCAGTCTACAACTACGAGAGCCAAAAAAAGCAATGGGAAACCTATCTCTCAGGGAACCGCAATCTCTTTGACCCTTTTGCTCACCAGAACATTGTCGTTTTGTTCAGCCTAGTTTCCACAGAGACGTCTGTTCCTTGCTCCGGCCCGGATCTCCTTGCCTTTAGCTTCTACAACGAACACGAGACCGAAGCTGAGTTCGAGGCAGATTGTACTCTGGGGCAATACGTTGAGGATTTATGTTACCGGGCCAATGACATTTGCCCTTCCGACGCCTGCGAAAAGAAAATGCACGAACATCATCGACAGTACGTCCATGGCGAAGCGCAGATCACTGTCTTCGTACAACCCTATCCATCTAAGATGCGTGGCTTCCAGGATGTGATTTTAATGTGGAGCCAGTGCAAGGTCTGTGGTGTAGAGACCACTGTGACCCCAATGTCCACAAGCACTTGGAAATATTCATTTGGAAAGTATCTGGAACTCTCATTCTGGAGCGCAGATCTCCATGCTCGGGCTGGTATTTGCCCGCATGATCTGCATAGAGATCATTTCCGATACTTTGGATATAAGGATTTTGCCCTTCGAGTGCACTACGACCCGATCGACCTCCTCGAGATTATTGTGCCACGGATGAGGCTGACCTGGAAAATCGACAACGACCTGAGGTTTCGCAATGATTTCTATACACGCTTAGAACATCGCATCACGAAATTTATGGTATCTGTCAAGCTTCGTCTGAAGAACATCAATGCAGAGGCAGTCTTGCCTGAAATGGCTGACGCATGTCGGGCGGAGATCGAACGGTTGATGAAGAAAGCAAATGAAGAACACGCAAGCCTCATCAAACAACTTCAGGAACGATATACAAACACGAGGTATTGGGAGACAATCCCACTCAATGCTGTTTTGCGGGCTACGCAAGAGAAAGTGTCCGAATGGGACGATTCGTTTGCAGATTTCGAAAGAAATTACTTCCCCTCGGAGACGGATATTCACCGACTTGCAACCCTACAACTTAAGAAGATCTTTCTCGACCGCGATGTCTCGGTGGCGTCTTTAAAGTCCGATGACGAAGGGACGACGACCCCCCCAGCAGAGGAGGTCACTGACGAGAAGGGGGAGGTTGGAGAGACACCAACAGAGGGGCGGCGGCCCAGTAAGCTTTCGCCTGAGAAAACGCAGAGCTTTCTGCAAAGCGTCCTTGAGGAGCACGCTACGACCCCGGCGGAGGAGATCGGCATTTCAGCAGTGCCAGAGATCACCAAGTCCGATGTGCAGAGCCTGCCTTCCGTTTTGGACGGTCCTCGTAACGTTGAAGATGTGAAGCACCTTGATCTGGCGATAGCGTCCCCAGCTCAACAGCCAGTCCTTGTTCCGGAAGATATGCCTTCACCGAAGTCATTGACTTCCACCGTGGATCCCACACGCGATGACAAGCCACCTCAAGCCACGATCAGCAGTCCCGACCGTGACAAAGTTGAAGTTTCCCCGGACACCCCAGAGATTGTTATCTCCGCTCAGCCGACTCAGCCAATAGATACGCCGCAGCCCGGCGTCCACGGTGCCTCTCCAACCACTGTTCTACGGAGGCGCATTGATGGAAAATCTTCACCAGGGCTCACTCGAGCTCACTCGCAGCCTGCTGGCGCTGTCACCCTTCGCTCAACAGCCGCTCAGGCGAACTCGAGTACTTTGTCGGCTGTCAATGCGATAAACGGCTTTCCTAAGCAGAGTCCCGCATTATCCGCTCACAGCGGCGATACCGATCTCAGCATCCCGGACAAAAAACTCTCTGAGCGACTGGGCTTTTCACATCTGAAGAATAAGACCTTTTCCAAAAGCCAGTCGCTGATCCCCCGAGCTGTCACAAATCGTAAAGAGTCTAGGGTCTCCAACCTTGCCAAACACTTCGAGCAGCTCAGTCGCGAGTTCGAGAGAGAGCGGATCCGTGAGAGAAGATTACGCAATGCAAGGAATATGCAGTCGAGGGTGTATCCTCTGGCAGCGTCGAAACCCATTGTGGAGGTATTCAAGGACGTCGATGTGGCTGTAGATGAACGTGGTGATTCCGACGATATCTTTGACAAGGATGACGAACCTCCAGTGGAGACGGAGAAGAGCTCGACCACCGCCGAAGGCATGGCCAAGATTGGCCAGCCGGAGCCGGACGAGGGGGAGCTCCATGTCGAAGAACCGGCCACCGACACCGCGGAGAACGAGACCGACGTCCCTTCTTCGAGCCATGCACCTTCGGAAGCAGAGGAACAGAGTGATGTTGATGAAGCGGAGGAGGAGATCTTTCTTCCGGATTCGCCTGAAGATCTAATGCGGATGTCCCAAGACGACATTGACCTCAAGGAGCTTCCGAAGCATGAGCGGACCTCGTTGATGAAGATGCTCACCAACTTCTGGGCTGAACGGTCCTCGAGCGGTTGGACCAACCTCGAATATCCTCTGGGGGGATCTGAGCACATCTTCGCCGATTGCGACATCGTCGTGCGTGAGGACGAGCCAAGTTCCATCATTGCCTTCGCGTTAGATTCGCATGATTATACGACGATGCTTCAGAACATGCAGAACCGCCCCCCACAAGAGGAGTTAGCCCATGATTTTCCTGGACATGACCATACTGACGACTTGCAAACCGAAGTTATGCACTCGCTCCTTCGCAAGACTGGGACGCATCTCAAATACCAGTTCCAAGAAGGGCCAGCCAAGATGCTCTGTAAGATCTTCTTCGCGGAGCAATTCGATGCCGTGCGCCGGAAATGCGGCGTCGCGGACCGATTTGTCGAATCACTCTCCCGATGCCTCAAGTGGGATTCCAAGGGTGGCAAGACCAGGTCTCTATTCTTGAAAACCCTCGATGATCGGTTCATCTTGAAGTCACTGTCTCCGATCGAAACGCAGTCTTTTCTCAAGTTCGCGCCAAACTACTTCCAGATCATGTCGGAGGCCTTCTTCCACGAGCTGCCCTCGGTGATCGCGAAGATGTTTGGATTCTACCAGATCATTGTTAAAAATTCCGCTACGGGTTTGGAGTACAACTGGTTCCTCCTGGTGATGGAAAACCTGTTTTATGACCGCGTCCCTACCCGCATCTTTGACTTGAAGGGAAGCATGCGTAACCGCAAGATGAATGCCACAGGTGAGAAGGGCGAAGTTTTGCTGGACGAGAACATGGTCGAATTCATCTACGAATCGCCTTTGTTTGCTCGCGAACACAGCAAGAAACTTTTGAGGTCGTCTGTCCACAATGACACCTTATTCCTTGCGCGCCAAAATGTCATGGACTATTCGCTCATGGTGGCGATCGACGAGAATCGGAAAGAGCTCGTTGTGGGTATCATTGATTGTATACGCACTTATACCTGGGACAAGAAACTCGAAAGCTGGATCAAAGATCGTGGCCTTGTCCCAGTCCGTGGGGGAAACAAGAACAGACCGACCGTTACATCCCCCCGGGAATATAAACGAAGGTTTCGAGAGGCGATGAATCGATATGTCCTGGAGGCGCCTGATTGCTGGCATCAATTCAAACCGGTGCGGGTGGAGAGGAGATTGTTGGAAGGCAGAGGTGAGAAGGATGTCGGTGGAGCAGATGTCGGACGGGATCAGGATGGAGAGAAGGACAACGAAGTCCAGCTTTTCTCTTGAGGGGTGGGTTACTGGGCCCAGGAGGACAACATGACATTGACAGGGCTCACACCCGCATATAAAGTATACGAGAACGCGAGAAAGCGAGAGTCATCGACATTAGCGATAGGCGCCGGTCTTTGTATTTATCTTGGGTAGAGCAATGAGATGATGATGTGACGATGATGATGATGAGGATGCCATTCTATGTGGCTGGCCCTGAATACGAGTCGTCTTTCTATATTCGTTTCGATTCAAACCCAGAGAGAAGGACGAAAGATAGAAGCAGACTTGTATCAAAGTCCATCGAGCGCCTCCCTGCTCAAAAAGCTCCATGTACCAGTCGTGTCGTGCCTTGATCGCTCTGCAGGTGTCCGTTCCTGCGCGGCTCCAGGGTGACACATCGTCTAGCTCAGTTCGTCGCTCAGTATCCTCCCGTGCCAACAATAGTTGTGGTGCAGGTGCTCGTGAAGGGCAAAGAAAAGAAACCAACGACACCTACACCAGTGGCGGACGTCAGATCAGATCGAGCCAGGAATCCACGACATATTGAACACAGAGAGGGTGGTGGGTGCCATTGATATTAATCGAGTCTTGTGGCGAGATGATACAGTACCACGTTCGGGCGGCGCAACAGGAAGCAACCAGGAGCCAGAACCGGCTGCGGCGTCCGGAAAAGGGCTCCAGGGGCGGGGGAAGAGGCAGAAAGTGTTGTGTTGAAAGCGAGGTGGTCGGCCCCAGTGGTGCCATCGTCTATCTCATCTGCATCTCATCTGGTTCCCTGTCCTGTCTCGTCCTGGCTGTAGCGTTGTAGCGTTGACCGTTGACCGTTGACCGTCGACCGTTGACCGCTGGCAAGTAAATCTGGTCTCCGCGTGCATCATCGTCATTGTCATTCCAGCCACCTACCTATCCATCCTTGTCTCCTTGGACCTTGTCCTCCCGCCGTCCATGGCCTCTTCTTGGTTGGCCAAACCAGGGAGAGCTGGAAAGAGAGAAATCGGGCTGATGGGAATCACGGCCAAGGACGTTGATACCTGGCTTGGCCTGGCCTGGCCTGGCTCACTGGTGAACAAACAAACAGTTTGCGATCGATGGTTCACAGGGCACGCGCTGGTGAGAAGCACAAACACACACACACAGAGAGAGAGAGATGAGAGTGGAATATGTTGATGCAGATGGAGGAATCTTTCGTTTCATCTCATTCTTATTGTCTCATTGTTAGAGAAAGACGCCCGTCTCTCCAACATTAGGCTATTGTTCTCACAGCACGGCCCGTCGTGTCTAACGGGGACACAGGCACCCGTCTATTGCTTGTACAGCTCCAGCCCAGCAACGAGGCGGCCCCAGAAATAGGTATCCCGCCCGCCCGCGGCCCCAGCGGTCCTGACGGCCCAGCTGCCCAGGTCACGACCGCTGTTCAACCCGTTTAGATTCATGCAGCGCGCGTGCGCCCAGACTCGTCTCACCGGCCTCTCGTTGAGGAACGGGAGGTCGATGTGGTTGCCATCGAGGGTGTTGACGCGGGCAGTAAAGTGCCACGCGTGGCCGTGGATCGGCGTGTACTTGAGGCAGATCCAGCAGAGCCGGCGGTTGCGCGGGAAGTAGGTCCTGAGTTGCAACATCAGGATGCGTCGGTCCGAGATGTGTTGGGTGTAGCGTTGGCTGCCTGGCGCCGCAGTGCGCCATTGAACCAGAGAGGGACGATCGGTGAGATCAGTCTTGGAGAGCTGGCTCAAGTCTGCAAAGTGTTTGCTGGTCAGGCCCAGGATGATGCGTGATGGCTTGTCGAGGTGATTCATGATCTCGAGTTGAAGGTCGATCGGAAGGGTCCACAGGGTCAGCTTGGAGTGATTGCTGGCATTCTGCGCTCTGATCTGGCGCTTACGGCGAGTGCGACCGCTGAAGAGAATCTAGTACCGGTGAGTCGGTGGTCATGGCGGCTCCAGAGAATGAGGACTTACACGAGGTGGGACAGCGAATTTGTCATGGCGACGGATGATCCTAGGCCCGCTGAATGTGTCTGGTGGAAGTTGTCGTCGTTTGGGACAAGCGAGGCTGGTACGAACAGAGAAAGCGACTCTTGCCATCTTGACTTGAGGAGATGTTGTAGACGGTGACGGGTTTCAAGACAAGAAGGATGACTCTGGGCAACAGGGTGTTCGTGTTGGTGGTTGACAGGATCAAGTCGAGAGCACACACACTGAGCAGAGGCAGGATGGAAGGTGTTGGTCAAGCTTCAATTTTCTGACATGGTCTAGCCTCTGCAACCTTTTGACCGCTCAGAGAGCAGATCATCTGCCAGACCATGGAAGACCAAACACCTTCTGCACCCGCAACCTCGTCCACAACAACCAGACACCCGCCACCGAGCCAACCACGCCCGTGCCCGTCGCAGCAAGCAGAAGGGTGGTGAGGATTCGTTTCTGGCTCTTTGATCTCTTGATAACCTCGCTGTATCTCATGTTGCTGAAACTGACTCGTGCATATTGGGTCGCCCAGCCCCAGCTAGGGACATACTTGTCGAGCCTCTCCTCGATGTACTTGCGCAGCTTGTACAGCGGCGACGTGACGGAGGATCGCATCTCAATATAATTTGCCAACGCCAGGTCGGCGATGACATGCGCATCCTCCGTTCGTTCGGCACTGTATTTGGCGAGAGCCTCCGCTCGGTCCGGACTCTCATCAAGCTTGGAGAACAATACGCGAACCGATTCCAATCCTGCATTCATCCCCTGGCCATAGAATGGTACCATCGCATTGGCAGCGTCCCCGACGACGACGACACTATCCTGGTAGTGATGCGGCGAACATTTGATGTTGATCAGCGGGAGGTGTGGGTTGCGCTTGAACTGCGCCACGAGGTCGGCCGGGGGGATGAATGTGCTCACTCCAGGGAAATACTTGTCGAACGTCGAAACCAGCTCGTCATCCGTCCCATTCTCAAGTTGAGTGAATAGCTCAACAGGGCCAAAGAGCGTGCACACAAAAGTACTGTCGAGATTGGGGAGGGCGATGAACATGAAACTACCCGCCGGCCAGATATGCAGGTAAGTGGGAGGCATGGCGAAACCTCCGAAGCCTCCTTCCTTGGCCGGGGGCATGGTGAACTCGCACCACAAGCAGTCGATATATATTTGATGATAGTCCATGCGGGCAAACTTCATCATATGATGCCTCGTGGCAGAATGGGCTCCATCAGCGCCTATGCAGAAATCGAAAGACACCTCGATCTCCTGAGGACGGTCCGAGGGCGTGGCGCTGTTCTTGTCCGTGACCTCGAACCAAGCTTTCTTCTTCCGGAAGTCCGCGCCTGTCATCTTGTGCTGGAAAAAGAACTTGACATTTGGAAGCGAGTCGAGTTGGTCGAGGAGGACCTTGTTGAGCTCTCCGCGGTCCACGGATCGCTGGAACCGGCCGTGGACATCATATGCTTGGGACTGTTGAAGGAAGGCGCCGGTGGAGGAGCGAGTATGGATCATTCGTCCGTACATGCGAATTGTCCGCTCCAGAATCTTGTCAAGCAGACCGGGAGTGCCTGCTGATCGGATGGCGTTGATTCCACGCTCACTCAAGGCAAGGTTGATGGATTTGGTGAAATTGAGGGGTGTAGTGTCCACATTGCGGAGGTCTAAGAAGGAGCAGCGTCGGTCAGTTTCACGGAGACTATATGGATGGCTGACCAACGGACGGGGTAGGTGATGGAGTGGAAGCAGAGGTCTATGACTCAGCCTATAAAGGGCCTCATTGGCGAAAGGCGAAGGCAGTGAGCTCAGTCGATCCAGGGGATGATCATACCGTCACGCAGCTCATACACCTCAACCACAGCCCCACGAGACGCGGCATAGAGCGCTGCCAGCGACCCAACGGGGCCAGCACCCACTACTACCACTTTCTTCCCCTCCATCTTCCGGTCAAACCAGGTGAGAGAAACTGGTGGCAAAGACGACACTTATAAGCAGCGGCTCGACAAAGAACGATGCAGCCTTGGACAAGGATGGTGACGAAAACGATGAATGCCACCGTCGTGAATGAAGATGTCACCAAGTCATGCCAATCAAGTTCGGCATAACTTCGGCTATATCTCATATCGTAGAGGGAAGCTTATCCGAGACCAACTGCTTGGCAAGGCTGTGGATGTTCAGGAGCGACTGCTTGTGAGTGTCTATCTCTTCTCTTGAATACTGCGACATTGGCCGTCGAAAAGGGGTCAGAAGCTGTTGGCCGACCTGCAACTGCTTGGTTCCGCTCTAGGTCCTCCAGAAAATCTACTACATTATGCTTTCGGGAATGATTCCGACCGGGGTCGGTCGGCGGCTAAGTCCTTTGCCGCCTTCGCTTCTATGAGTTACGACATCTTCCCTTAACAGCATGTCGACTTTCATTCTCTGCCTTTGTCTTGCATAGCAAGGAGAAAATCCTGGACACATTCGTCATGGGGTCGAACGGTGGAAGTGAAACCCTAAGAAAGCCACCAGTCAAAATTGTGAGTTTGTTCCAGCAGATACTTGAAAGGCTCAGGAGGGGTTAGTGAACCGTTTTCGTTTCTGACAAGACAAAGGTCGTCGCGGGAGCAAGTGGATTGATAGGAAAGAGACATTTGCAGCATGTCGTCGATGAACCCGAGGCTGGTGAGTCTGCCAATATTTTGAGACACGAACAGAGTTGACACACTTGGAGTAGAACTTGTTGCGATCATGTAAGTCCAGCTGTGCAGCAAGTATCTGTTCAAAAATCAGCTCTCTAGCTTATGAATGAACTTGGCTACCGTAGCGATCCCGACGTGGTTGGCTCTGAGCTCGCAATTCAACACCGATGCCCGTGCTTTCAAAACGTGGCCGACTTTCTGGCTTCATTGAAAGCTGGGGGGATCTCGGCGGATGCCGTCATTCTCGCCACACCAAACAGTACACACGCATCCCTAGCCACAGAACTTGTGATAGCAGGCCTGGCGGTGCTGGTGGAGAAACCATTGACTGCAACGGGTGCTGAGGGACGCGAGCTGTTGAAAGCCCGCAGCAAAGCTCCTTCCGGCAAGGTTGTGGTCATGGTCGGTCATCACCGAAGGCATAACCCGTATACCATCGCTGTCAAGCAAGCCATTGATGACAGGCGTCTCGGAAGGATTGTTGCCATCAATGGAGGTACAAATATGCATCCCCAAAATCCCAGGGCCATGTCTTGTTGAGACGCCGTTACTGATCAACCGATAGTCTGGGCTATGCGCAAGCCACCCGAATACTTTGCCGTGAATTGGCGGCAACAGCTAGGCTCTGGAGGAGTTGTACGAAGATTCTGTCTGCTCGAAAGGTTTTGGGACAGGTGCAGGTTTTGTTGACAAAGAGACAGGTCTTGAACAATGCAATCCACGAAATCGACCTCCTCCAATACCTATTGGGCGATATCGTTGAAGTCTACGCTGTTGACGGCGTCAAAGAGAGGCCCTATCCAGTAGACGAGACGGTTCTCACCACTATGAAGTTTGCGAGTGGCGCAGTGGGCTCGTTCTTGTTTTCCGAGTATGAAGCACCCTTCTTCAAGGGGAATCGCGCGGCTAATCTCTTGGTCGTGGGACAGCACTGCGACATCGCCACACTCCTGGGAAGCCGCGACCGGAGAGAATCCTTACATTCCCGCCGCTGGCGAAACCTGCCTCACGATCTTTGGCACAAAGGGCTCAATAGGGATTCCTTCATTGTATGTTTGTCTTCTGAGCTGTGGAAGATGCTAGCCTGAATGCTGCTAAACACCTCTAAAGGACACGATTCCACCAGGACGATCGCACGCCCCAGGAGCAGAACTGGTCTTTCCCGTTATCGAGAGACGGTGCTCTCAAAGACCAGATCGGTGATACTCCACCACTGTGCCGTCAACTGAAGCATTTCATCGCCGCCATACGCGGCGAGGTGGAACCAAACTGCTCTGCTGAGGACGGGCTGAGGGATGTCATGGTGATTGAGGCGATATTGAAAAGTCTGGCGAAGCGCGAGCCTATCATCGTTGAACGGGTGTAAATTTACCGTAACGCGATAGAACGATACGGCGGCCTATACAGTGTGCTGGGGTGGAAACACGACGACCAAGAATCGTAGTGAACTACAAACGAGAGGGAGGAGATGGGAACAGAAGATACCCAGGCCATACATATAACGAAGATTTCAAATAGACTCTCCCTCACCCATATGAACTCCAGTTGACGGGACAGCATCGGTCACCCTCAATCCAAGTCCCGATTCAAGCTCCGATTGTTCCAATTTTGCGGGGCACCAAAGAGCCCTGAAGACACAGCCTCGTGGGCAGAAAGACCAAGGCTCCTGCTCCTGCTCTATGTGATACGGGATGCGTGAACTCGTATTAGTGGTTACACACATGTATGTATTCGATGCGGGACGCAACACCCACACACACACTGTCCCGCATTTTCCCACCAGCCCCCCCCGCCCCTCTCATGCGTACTCAAACGAAAGACACTCAAGGGAAAATGGTTCTTGTTGCGAGGGAGGAAACTCTGAGTGATGCGTCTGGGCACGACCGTTCGTCCGTGTCACATTATGTCTGCCTGTAACATGTAGGTAGGCAGGATTTGCCCCGGCGTCTCCATTGAGGTAAGCCCGCGGACGGTTCCAAGCATATACTGCATATATATATAACTAGTTATACATAGTTAGAGCAAAGTACCTGGACGATTGCAGGGTAGAGGGCACTGATCGATTGATTGTAATCGCTCTCTGGTCTTTCATCAAGAACCCTACCCAGAGAAGACATGTGTGAGGACACTAATAGAATCACACAAATGGAGAAGATAGACGTGCACGCCCACGCCATCCCTCCAGCCTACCGCGCCCACCTCGTCGCGTACGGCCACGAACACCCGGACGGCATGCCCTCCATTCCCGCCTGGAGTGCGGCCTCGCACCTCGCGTTCATGGAGAAGATGGGCATCTACATGTCCATCCTGAGCATCACGTCTCCAGGGACGTCCTTGGCCTCTCACGACGACGAGCTGAACCGGAGGATCACGCGGGAAGCCAACGACGACCTGGCGCGCACCTGCAGGGAGCATTCGGACAAGTTCAGATTCTTCGCGAGCTTGCCGTTGCCGGACGTGGACGGGGCGCTGGCGGAGATCGATCGCGTCCTCGATCGGGATGAACAGGCGAGTGAGCAACAAACGGGTCTCGCTCCGGGGAGGATGTGCGTGGGATTTGTCATCTTGTCCAATGCCGCCGGGACCTATCCTGGAGACAAATCGCTGGCGCCGGTATGGGAGAAGTTGAATGAACGTAAAGCCGTGGTCTTTGTCCATCCAACCAGTTGTCACCTTTGCCCATCTTCCTCTGCGACTGCGGGTCATGGAGAACCGCCAACGGCGTCCGCGTCAACCAGTTCGCGAAACGGAAGAAGAGCAGTCTCTTCATACCACCCACTGCCTGTCTTGCCAAACCCGATGCTGGAGTTCCCCTTCGACACGACAAGGGCGATCGTATCCCTGATCCTCAGCGGCACCATTCAACGCAATCCAGATGTCCAAATCATCATCCCCCATGCGGGTGCGGTGCTCCCGCCTCTGATCGCGCGCTTTGCGGCCGTGTCATCATTCATAGTCCAAGCGGCCTCAGCGACAGGACAAGATGCCGGCGTCATCGCGGTTTCCGAACAGGAGGTTAAGAAAATCTTCGCGCGTCGGTGCTACTTTGACCTTTCAGGCACGCCCTTTCCCGACCAGTTGAAGATGCTGCTTCTGGTGATGCCAGATGCCCGGCGGATCTTGTATGGCACGGACTATCCGTTTACCCCTGGCAATGCCCTTATTGCAGCGAAGACAGTGCTGGATGGTGCTTTGCTACAATTCTTCCCTGGCGAGAAAGCAGACAAGGTTATGAGGGAAAATGCCGCCGAGTGCATTTTGGGGCAGCGAGAGTAGAGAATTAGAAAACCTTGAGACTCACAATCGGCATGGGGGAACAGGACCTAAAACAAAGTCCTTGAAACTGGACAAGCGGATGATGTAGTTCGTCGTTGTTTTCGTTCTCTCGTGGCAGATGGGAGTAAGCACGATATATTGGGACCTAAGCAATGACTGTCAAAGGCCTTTCCAGTGTTGCGCGGTTTCCAAGCTTCCAAGCGAGTCCCTTGTTTCTTATGCCCACCATTGCAAATATATGCATTCGATCCAAAGAGCAGGTCGTCTTCAATTCCATCGCTCCATCCTGAATTGTCGTACACCCATTTTTCGTTCATGGGTTTTTTATGCGATGTTGGCCGGATGTAGTGAGCCCATCACATCGCCGGACTCTGTGTCTGGAGGGATTATACCATAGTTACCCATATCGGGAGCAATGCTGCCCTCAATTCGCCGCCTGGCTTCCTGCCTGTCTTCCATGGTAATGCTGCTCTCATCCTTCTTCATGTCCGGCTTGTGTGGCTCGACGTCCGGCGTGTGTCCAATGGACATACCCGCACGCAACTAAGTAGCAAAGCGTCAGTGATCATCACCCGAAGAACGTAATCTGAGAAGATAAAACCTACCAATGTTTCCAGAGCCCCAAGACTGTTTTCGACCAGATCTCCGTCGTATACCATTTTCCCTGGTTCGAAAAACAAAAGTATGGTGCTGCCGCCAAACTTGAAATATCCAAGCTCTTCAGCTCGCTTGACCCGATCTCCTGGTTTCCGAGTAATAACAGTTGAACCAACCATCATGGCGCCGATGCAGACATACATGACTCTGCCATGCGCAATAGAGTCGATGGGTACCAAAACCCTGACGTTCTCACCATAGACATCCAATGCTGATCGAATTGCCATGGGGTTGACTGTATAGTACTCGCCTTCAATGGCCTTGGGGGTTCCCAAGGTCCCATCAACCGGAATGTGGAAACGATGGTAATCTTGGGGAGCAAGTCTGAAGATGCCCATACTTCCACCTTTGTATCGTTTGGCTTCTAGTGGATATGCCTCGCCAAATAATTTCTCGAGCGAATAATCTCGGCCTTTGACCCAGATTCGTGTCGCGTCATCGATTGTATTGAACACAACAGAACGACAATCTGCTGGGGAGACGATGATTTCCGGTCGGTCCGGTGCACTGCAAGGGCGGGCATTGGGTTTCAATGCTCGATAGAAGAATTCATTGAAATTCTTGAACTCGGATGTTGGCAGCAGCACTTCAGACATGTCAAGCTGATGGAAGGCAATGAATCCAGGAATCTGAGCCACCGAGGCAGGGTCATCAAACTTCTTGCCCTGTTTGATTGACAACGAGCGTAGCATCTTTTTGATTCGCTTCTTCTCCATTTCGCCAGCGCCCAGTCCTTTATAGAGCAAACGGATGCCAATACGAACATATACAGACATTCGTTCTTCGTTGATCTGTCCCGTGATCCGGTCTTGAACAAGGATATTCGCGCTATTAGCGCCCAGCTTGTAGCCTCCATAGCTGATCTTGGTGATGACCTTGGAGTACCACTTCCGCTGGGCTTGGCTTTGGGTCACAAACCCGCCCATCACCAAGTTATTGACCTGTCTCCAGTCAGAGCTGGCACAAGTGGCAATGTGCGTTATGATGTCGGCTTCGGTGCGCTTGTTCAGTTTCGGCTGGTGACATATTGGACACTCCCGGATCTCAATGACGTGCTCTTCATCCCCTTCGTCCGCAAGATCGTTCCCGAGTAACTTTCCCTCCTCACCTGCAGCACCAGTGGCTTCTTGTGTAATGGTTGGTACTTCATCGTTGTTGCTAACTTTGGATGGGATGACGTCTTTGTTTGTTGAAAATATTTCGGCGCTCTTGATCTTCTCGAGTTGCGACTTCTTTTGACCACTCTTTTGTAACTGTTCCTCCAGACACATCACTGCCTGGTCGAAGGTCAAATCCACTTCTCCAACATCTTCATTTTCGGCAGCGAATCTCTTGAAGAAGCCATCAATGGTTGATTCTTTCAGGGTCGACCCTAGCGTGTCAAGCATGGTGGTAAATTCGATCTTACTGATTCGCTTACTTTCGTCCGCGTCATATTGCTTCAGCATAGCTCTCCAGAACTGTTGCCTCAGCGCTTTATAAGGCAGATATCTTCCTCGGATGTGGAGCTCGGGACTATGCTTGTCTTCCCATCGTTCCTTGTTTTTCAGTTCCAGTGGAATCACGTATGGTATCATGGTCGGGTCCTCCACCGGTTGAACTGGCGGAGGTTCAGTGACAGAGGGTACCTTCAGATTATTTCCATTGCCGTCAGATGGCATGCTGGTAGGCGGCGGGGGCCGACTGACATCGTCACCACTCGTGCTATTACTGGTGCTGGACAGGGATATTTGAGAGTCGTCCTTTTTCAAACCGGGTCTCGACAACTTTGATAGACTATTGGCTGACGTCGTGCGCGACAAGGGTATACGGAATCTACCCTTTTGCTGCATGGCAGGTGAATATTCTGGTGGCTCAGGAAGGTCATAAAGACCAGTCTCTGGATCCTCTTGTGGAGCGGCTTGGATCATTTTCTGGAGGGGAAATGATGTCGACGCCACGAAGTCGTTGCCTGACAAGCTGTCTCGATCGATCACACTGAATGTGAAGGAGTAGCCAACCTCATTGCGCTTGATCTGAAAGACCATCTTCTCATTATATACTGGGTTCAGGTTGTGCCGAACCACCTTGGTTCGCAGGATCTTGCGGCCCAATGCAGTAACCACGAAGGGGTCCATATCGAAAGAGGTTCGGGTCATGTTGCGTTCAGGTGGTAGATCGATGATCTTGACAATCTCCAGGAAAATAACGCCATTGACATCGGTGTCTTCTGACAGGAAGTTGTAAGCTCTTGCCGCAATCGATCGGCGACGAAGGCGTGCGAGTCTTTTCTTCTTCGCTTTCTTGTCAGCACTTTCTGGTTTGGGCGGAGATTCGGTCTCGGTAACGGATTCCTCCTGATCCTCGTCAAGATCGTCAAAGTCTTCGTCTCCGCCTAGTTCATCAGCTTGGGAGGAGATCCGGGACAACTCATCGTCTTCTTCCTCAGCACCCAGGTAGGCTTGAAATTTTTTCCGAATCTCATCCGGACTAGCAGATGGGTTCGCAGAATCGACAAGAGAAAATTGCATATACACTTCTCCGGACACGTTGCTCTGTTTCTTGCTTGCTGGTCTCCGCGAATTCAACCTGTACCATTTGGGCTGGGTTTGTATCTGCCCGTTGGGGAAGATATCTTCAATCGGTATATCAAACTCGCCCATGTAATCTTTGCCAAATCGGTCTTTGTCCCAGCACATGCATTCAAGTAGGGGCACGCCCGTTAATGGCATATCGAAGCATATCTTCCATTCCGGATTGAGAGTCTTTGCGATTGAGGGTGTAGACTGCTTTGCATTGCCGAGGGTGACCACAAGATACTGATATTGTTAGTGAGAGTCCGGCCTGCAATGAAAGGGGACAGAAACGTACAGGGTCGGAGGTGCCAGATCTGTCTTTCGGTGCCAGGTTTCTCGCCTGCGCACACGGTGAGCGACTGCCACAATCTATTCTGACAGAGAAGAGATACCTTGATAACATAAACTTTGAGGATTAGTGGTTTTTGATCGACCAGGGCAACAGTGCTGTTGTTGTTACTCCCAAGTTCCGGAGGGCTGGGCCGTCTGCTACCACTTCCATTGGGGGCAGAACCACCAGCGGCTTGATCTTTGTCCTTGTGTTTTCCTCCAAGTTGGCTGAGGCCTCTAGGGAGTGATATGTGTACCATGTTTGGCGTCCTTGAAGGAGGCGGAAATCGTCGCACAGTCTCAGTGGTGCCGACGTCGCTTTAACCATGCGTTGGAGTCAGGCAATCGGGCAGAATTGAGGCTGAAACAGGTCGATTGAAGCTGAGAGAGAAGGATTGAGGGGCTCGGGGGCGGACGCCAGTCGGAGGAATCACACGAAGGGGTGGATCGTGATAGCAGCGCACAGACTGCTGCTGAGGCCAAGGACAAGTGACCCGTTGAAACCAGTTAGCGATGGCTATAAGTGTTGGTTCTGTATGGCACAGGCGGCCTCGGACCTGGCCACGTCGATGGCCCTTTTTGAGAGGAGTCGTGGAAGTGGAGGGTGCAAAGAGGGATGCGCCAGCTGCGCCGTAGTTATGATGCCATAGTTTTCCTCACTAGTAAGAAGGGACGAGGGGTAGCAACTTTCAGCTCTATCCCAGGGTTCAGCGAGCACGGCGGCGGTATGCGCATAGTCCACACACAACTTCTTTCCGGCCCAGATGCATACGTATGCAACTCACTAGCGTTCCACCTTCTGACACCGACGAATCGGTAGGTTCGCGAACCCTCTCCCAATAATCGAAGTTCTCGACCATGGCTAGTGAGCAGAATCATGGAACCCTCGTTCATAAGAAAAGATGATCATGACCATTCAAGGACTCCAACGGTCGACTTCGCTCCACACTCCCTCTCCTAAAGCCTGCCAGGCACAAGATCCTTTCCGATCCCTCGATCCTTCTGCCCTTCTGACCTGGAAAGTTGGAATTGCTGTTCAGATGGCTGGTTGCAAGAGCGCCTCGTCGGTCCTGGGGGTACCCGCCCGACAACAACCAGACAGAGTGGGATAATTTATTTGACTATGACCTGACCTGTATCTTTTCAAAGCCCATCGAAGCCGATGATGCCGGGATCTGACGTGGAGTAATTTCCCACCCTCAACGCTTCATCACAGATTACCTAGGGACCCCAAACCATATCGAAGCTGATCACAAGAAGGTAGTGCTGAAGAACCAAAGATCTCCGTCAAGCCCGTCGCCGGTCAGAAGATATCTGCATTGCCAAGTAGGAAAAGAGAGGGGATTCTTAAGCACACAATCGTATTCAGACGCGTGGATTCCCCTGAAGCCCAACGAAAGACCACGAAGTTACAATTAGTCCGTCCGCGGGTATGGCAAAAAACATGCTGCCAATAAGGCTTTGAACACCGTTGGCATGCGTCAAGAGAAATCTGGTCCACCCGGAAATCAGAGAGCCACCCACAGGGTATCAGAATCCAGCTCAGAATTCTTCTCACGCGCGAATACGGTCGACAACAGGACCCAGGAAATCCAGCATCCATTCCAGCCAATGCGAACAATCCCTGCGGGTCGAGATGGTCATATTCAAGCCCATATGAGCAATCTCCATTGTCAATTCGGCTTTATCACGGTCTCGCATATAGGGCTCCTTTTCACCATGCTACTCTTCTCCTTCTGTCATTGCTTTGGTGCTTATGCGTTTTCGCGAGGCTGGTCGTCTTGCTCTTTGTGGTTGACGAGGCTGGTGTCGCCTCAACGGAAGAAGTGCTTTCCATATCTTTCACAGCCTGCTCTAAAGAGTCACAGAACAACTGCTTGGTATGAGCTACCACCTCTTTGAACGACGACGTAGTCACTTCGCCGATGAGCGCAACATCGACTTCGCGCTCCACATTCCACAATTCCTCGCAATTCAATGTCAATCCTTGTTTGAGCCGGAAGTCATTGAGATATAGTTCAACCTCGGCAAGCCTCAAAGTTGACCCTCCTTCTCCGGAGATTGTGGTGGCAGGGGTTTGTTGCTGCGACGGGGTCGTGCCTGTACGAGGAGGCTGCGCTGAGGGTACAACAAGCCGGTGAGTCTTGTAGAGTGAGGACAGTCTGCGCCCGCGGTGTACGCAGAAGGACAGACATGTTAAGGAAGATTGTGTGTCAGTGCTCCTGCGCAGCACCAGCATCACCGTGTCACCTATGCGACTATTCGTTGGTTTGTCCTTGACGTAGATAATGGCTCCAGGAACAAGTCTCTCTTCGTGCCCACTGGCCCAAGTGATTGTCTCTCTGCCAGCATTGCTCGGATCAGTGCATTCAATGAACTCGTTCAAGTCATGAAAGTGATTGGGCTTGACGGTGCGCCGGCTGCAGAACATCCTGAGGCTTATAGGTCAAATTGAATGAGGCCGATTCTTTTGCGTGACACTGGGGGTTGATAGAGAATGAAAGCGGATGGTCAAGCACGAACGGCCGCGTCTTAAATATATGTGGTACATACATTATAGTCGAATAGGACTCAGTTCGTCTCTGGTGCCTAGCATATTGTGACTGTGTCTTGACAGACATCAATCCAACAGCCACACAATCTTGCGAACCACTCTTGGCGGGACTCGCACGTCCCAAGCCACAATGGGTTGCCTTCTCAAAGTCCTCCAGGACCTATCCGTCGCATAGGATTTGGAGCTATGTCCACTCAAGAAGATATCATACCATGATGATCTGGGGAGGCTCAACTTCGGAGAAGAGAAGCGGAGCGCGGTTGGCTCTTTGGTCGCGTGTGGTAAGCCTCATGACCTCCTTGTTGGATTAGCAGAATCAGACTTGCACCTTTCAGCGTGGTGACCCTGAGGCAATGCGGCCTGGCTCCAGAGAGAATTGGCTTGGGACGAGGGACTGAATGACTTCGAGCACCTCCAGTTGGTGAGCACTGCTTTTCTTTCACTGAGACGTTGCCTACTAGTAGAACGAGGGCCTCGGGGTGACGCAACTGTGCTGGTCGAATCTGGGACGAGTCCTTGTATTGCGATTTCATGTCCTTTGGGTCGAATTCTGGGGCAAATATTCTCCAGCGGTCCGTTCAACTCTCCTCTTCTCTTTCAGGGTATCGACATTGTCCTCTTGAATGCTTTTGACGATCAGATGGGCAGAATCCTTCTCTTCCACCACGATCCCGCCTCCTCTTGCCATCGACAGAAGCTCATCACTCGCCTTGGTTCGCTTTCCAGTCTCTTTATTCCAAACCCAGCCTTCTTTTAACCACATCCAAGTAAGGTACGCTCGTAGTTCCTTATCCAATGGAACGACTCGCTTCCACTCTGGCTCAAAAGCGTCAGGGTTCTCTGCCCCCTCGCTGTTCCAACTCTTGGCCACTCCTCTCAACTGATCCCGGCAAAACATGCGCCAACTGTCATGAGAGTAAGGACCCAGTCCAGGCAGGTGGGAGATTTCCCATGCCACACGTTCATCCTGGTCATCGAGGACTTCGTCCTGCTTGACATCTCGTCCGTCACCTTTCAACGGATAGTTGTGCTTTCTATATCGCTTCCCACGTGAGGGGGGGTTTTCGAGCCAGACCTTTGCCATGGCGACACATTTTCTCGCCCGTTGATTCTGAAACCCTAAGCCGTAGATGATCGAGGTAATGTCGCTGACTTCAGCGTTAGCTAGATCTACCGGGGTAGGGTAGCGTGACATGAGTTGAAAGAAAACGGGCATTGCTCGCTCTCCAGGCGTCTTATTCAAAAAGATGGTAGCGATAAGAAGACGAAATGGGTCATGGGCCAGTCTCTCTTGCATCAGGCCGAACCGATCATGGGAAAGAGGCGGGAATGGCAATGTCGCCAGAAACGTAGGTCGATGTTTGTTCGCTTGTGGGAAGTAGGGCGATGTCGTTAACACCCGGGCCTTCTTAGGTTTCGTCTTGACTTCCCCGGTTCTAGGACCAGCCGGAGGGGACAAAGGATGTGGCAAGAATGGGTCAGGCCCAATATCATCTGGTACATCCGTGAGACTTGAATCCGAGGAGAGCTCATCGACGTTGATTCCATAGTATACTCGGTTTTGGGCAGGCGTTTCCGGCGGTGTAGCAATGATCGAAGCATTCTCCAAGTCTGCAGCCAATGTCTCGTCAAGCATCTTGTCTTGCTCCATCAGATGCTTGTCCTGTTGCTCATCTTTGGACGCCTCCATTACGAAATGCCTGGAGACATAGGTGACCTTGCGGCGTGTACCAGCAGCTCTGCGTTTGCGGGTTGCTTTTGCCGCTGGTCCAGCTTGAGCCTTGCCCCACGAGCATTCATCATCCGCAATCATGCCCAGGTCATCGGTAGGAATGACTGATAACTCGGCTTCTGAGAGCGGAGAAGGAGGTGGCGACAGCCATGTTGTGCCGGAGGAGATTAGCGCGGGAGAGGCCATTATCGGGCGAGCCGACGTGGAGGATCATTGGGGAGCGTTTTCAGTAGAGGAGAACGTGGACTTGGAGGGACTCATGGCTCCTCCTCTAGTATTTCAGGAAACAGCGATATAATACGTCAATTATGCACTGGCATTGCTCTTCACCTTGCTTCGAGTGAATGCATGCCGCTCCTCTTTGTGAGTGCTGCAAAGTGTCACTAACTGAACTTCCTTAGGTCCTGGATTCCGTCCCCGAACCCAAATGACAACCCTGCAAAGGGATCTCCTCCACGTTATCTACCTTATGGCCGTTGACCATCGAGTCGAGCCCCGCGACCTCTGTCTAGGAACACCGTCAACCTCCAATGTCGCTACGCAGTGCTCGCCGTCGGCCAGGGGAGTGTTGAGTGAACCAATCACAATCGGAATGGCGAGGCGAGGCGAGACAGCTCCACAGACTTTTGGCGCGCAATTTCGTTCTGACTGCGACGGAGGGTTTTCCTATCCTTTTGCCGGTCGTTGACAGGTCCTGAACAGCTCTGACTGAGCAGCTGGAGGAGTTTCCGATATATAACACCTGGCTGGCGGACGGCTTTTCCACCCAAATTGGACCCAGCATAGCATCCCATAATCCTTCCTACGAAACTTGAGTCCACGACGGTTAGCAAGGATGGGCGATATTGAAGAAGTACAAGTAGGGGAAGTGGAAAAGACTGAAACATCTACAATTCGCCGGAAACCTGTGCCTACGACTCTGCCACCCCGAATCCCTAGTAGAAGTGAAGGTCTCCTGAATCGATGGAAGAACCTCTCGCGCAGGATCCGCATCCTTATCTTGGTGGTCCTCCTTGCGATCATTGCCCTTATCATCGGACTTGCAGCCGGTCTTTCGAAGCACAAACACGAGCAGAACCTGCCGTTACCCTCGGGGAATGGCGGTCCCTACACTGGCGATCTGACTTACTACGAGCCGGGCCTGGGAGCGTGTGGGGTCTCGTCCAGCGACAACGACAAGATTGTGGCCATCTCACACATTGTATTTGATGCAGTCAGTGTTGGCAGCAACCCAAATGCAAATCCATTGTGCGGCAAAAAGATCAGGGCGCGAAGGGACAACAAGAGTGTTGACCTGACGGTCGTAGACAGGTGCACGGGCTGTCAGCCAATGGACATCGATGTCACCATCAATACTTTTGCTGAACTGGCCGATGTCGACCTTGGTAGAGTATTGGTGCAATGGAACTGGCTGGAAAATGTCCCGGCGGGCGCTCAAATCTAAAGCATACCTGGATAACGGCACACTCTGCAGCCAGCTTCAATGAGATACTGCACCAGCGCACCGTTACGGAGGGCGGCATACCCTTCCATGCAAGGTATACAAAGCCTTGCTTAGAAAGGGACGTCCTGTCTCCTTCCTGTCTGGATGCAACGGACGAACAATGTCAAGGAGATCGACGTCCGCAGTCGGACATCAGCGACCGAGGATTGAATATTCATTATGTTTCCAGATCCTAAACCCCGTCGGACCCAGAAACTCTTGTTCAACCTCAAGGCAGGGAATAGAAGGTTGAAAGCCAGCAGCGATGTCTATCGTGGCGCTAGCAGACGGACAGCAGTAAGTTGAGTGCCCATCCCGTTTACGCAGTCTCTCTAACGATAATCAAGGTCCAGCGTTACCCTCGATGTTCTTCACGATGTCGCGGCGCGCAACAACATTAGGATTGCGTCCAAGGCAGACGAAGAGGCATACCTGCTGGTCCTCCAATCCGCTGATATGACGGCCGCACATGTCAATAACCTGCCAGACTATATCGACCCTCGACTCGAGCCTGTCCCCACGATCGGAGGACGAGAGTACTGGAAACCCAAGAATAACAGCCACAATGCTTGGAGTCACCAAGCCAACATCGTGGCAGAAAAACCAAAGTCGGACGTTCTCAAAGGCCGCAAGGTCATTATGAAAGATAACATGTCTGTTTATGGTCTGCCCCATACCTGTGGAACATTCCCCCAATTTGTTTCCAAGGACGGAAAATACCCTGTTGCCACGATTGATGCGCCAATAACGAAAAGATTGCTGGAGGCCGGAGCCACCATAGCAGGTACATCAACCTGCGAGAACTATTCTCTGACACCCATGTCCTACACCTCAGCCAATGGACCAGTCCACAACCCTTGGCTCCACGATTATAACACTGGCGGGAGCACCAGTGGAGGAGCATGTCTTCTTGCACTAGGGAACGCTCGCGCTGCTGGAGTTCCTGGCCTGGATGAAGCTGGGGAGGACGTGGACCTGGCGATGGGCGGCGATCAGGCAGGGAGCATTCGACTTCCATCTTCGTATTGCGGTGTCTATGGCCTTAAACCCACCCATGGGCTAGTCCCGTATACAGGCATTGCCGGGCTGCATCCAATGATCGACTACACAGGTCCAATGGCGAGGAAAGTGGAAGATATAGCAGCTCTACTTACAGTCGTTGCCGGCTACGACGGGCTGGATTCGCGCATGACGCCAGAGTCGCCACTCAGGGAACATGTTGTTGATTATGCGAAGCAACTCGCCGCTGCGGATAACCCGGGAAAAGGCCTCAAAGTTGGTATCATAACAGAGTCACTCAGTTCGCCGGGCACTCAGACCGAAGTTGCAGAGACTGTGCGTTCCGCTGCACTGAAGCATTTCGAAGCGAGCGGTGCAACAGTATCTGAAGTTTCAGTCCCGATGCATCTGCTCGGTCCCGCCATCTGGACCGCAGCGACAAGAGCGCATCTCGCCGGACTGGCCATTGGCGGTCGAATACCCGATGTGCTGAGCCATAGTATTCCACATCTGTCTCTAAGATGGCCACCAGATCAAGAAATGTACGATCTATTGACTGTGGCCAATCCTGCGGTTATAAACATCATTTTCTGCGAGACCTTTTTGAAGGAAAAGTTTGGTCCAGAAGTCCAGGCCAAGGCTCATCGCCATGTCTTGGAATTGAGAGCAGCTTATGACAAGGTTTTCGAGGAATTCGATGTCCTCATCACTCCTACGACACCCACGGTCGCTCTTCCACATCCTGACTTGCGATCTCAGGCAGAGGGCGGTAGCAGTGTCATGGACAAGATCAAACTGGCCGTTGGATCAACCAACAACACCTGTCCATTTAATGCCACAGGCCATCCAGCGTTAAACGTCCCCTGTGGTTGGGCACCTGCACGGAACGGAGTCGGGATGCTCCCTGTCGGTATGCAGGTGATTGGCAAGAGATGGGATGATATCGGAGTGATAAAAGCTGCTAAAGCGTTCGAGCTGGGAGGAGGTGGTCTCGGCCCATGGCCTGGTTCAACGAAAGCCTGATTTTCGGCGTTAGAAGAGGAGTTCTCTCCTGTATACCTTTTTGCCTACAGACCGATCTGCAGCAGCGCACGAGGCTCTCGAGTGCCAGGAACTGCACAGGGGGCGCGAGTAACAATCTTAGACTGCTTATGCTCTCAATGGACAAACTCAGACCTATTATTCTCTACACCGGCCGCTCTTGGACTTGACAGACACGAATCTCAACCCAACACCGGAAAACTTGAGGCAGCCTTGCGTAAGGAGAACCCCCTCGTAACAAGCTGCATTTTTCGACTTGTCGCACCCCCATGTTCGTGTGTTACAGAATTCCATTTCCATTTCCCAATCCGTTCCGAGGGCCTGTGCATCGAAATCCCCCCCGCCGTCTCATCCTCCTCACGGACTCGGTGTATCTGAAGGACGCTGAACGGTAGACAGGGTTGCCGGTAGCTTTTGTTGGTCACCCGCCATGGTTTCTACCCCTATCAATATGACGCTTACAAAGTTCTCTTTACTCTATACCGAGTACTCAGGTGTCGGGCCATGCTTCTTCTTTTTCTCCGTGAGCCGCCTACGAGACAGGTGTCCGGACTCATATGTCCACATCAATCACACCCGAATGGAGAGAGAGTCTCACAGTGTGTCAATTAATTAACTTGGTCACATTCCATGGACGGGCCTCGTCGATATCACATTACCCCACAATGGTAGGTGGAGGACGATGCAATCGTGTTGATTCTCATTCTGTGGCTACTTCTCAGCGGGTCAATACTTGATCGAGCCCTTCTCGTCGTCAAGGAGCGGCGGCACGTCTTGTACCGACGGGTGTGTTGCCGTTTCTCCAGTTACACCATCCCACGGCGGTGACTATGTGCCACGATAGAGAAACCGGAACAAGCAGCACCCGGCTTCAGGGACTTACTCGTGTGTCGTTTATCTACCTGGGGAATGATAACGCCCGACCCAGCGCGGTCTCCTCGAATAAATACCTCTTTATCAGCCAGTTTCTTTTCGAACCTTGTATCCTGCAGCTCCTTGATCCATCAGTTTCTCATCTGCCCACGCTCACTTGTTACAAAGCTCTTCCAATGATGTGGTTGTTCAGGACATTGGCAATAAGCGCCCTCGGTGGCGTGGCCGTTGCTCAAGACTTGACCACAATACTCACGAACACACCCGCGTTGTCCAACCTGTTGTCCTACCTTGAACTGTTCCCATCCCTCACGACGACATTAGGGTCTCTTCAGAACATCACTATCCTCGCACCGAACAACAATGCGTTTGCGAGGCTGTTAAACTCCTCGGCGGGGGCTGCCCTGGTTCAGAACGACACCTCGGCGATCCAAGCACTGCTTACCTACCACGTCTTGAATGGGACCTATACCGATTTTAGCGACAAGCAGTTCATTCCCACTCTTCTGGAACCATCTCAATTTACCAATGTGACTGGTGGGCAAGTGATAGAAGCAATTTCCAACAAGGACCAGGTTGCCTTCGTCTCGGGGCTGCTCAACGGCGCAAGTGTCAGCGGAGACCCCGTCGACTTTACCGGTGGCATTGTTCACATTATCGACGACGTCTTGACCGTCCCGCAGAGCATCTCGGACACGGCGATTCAACTCAACCTCTCCGCTGCTGCCGGAGCTCTCATCAGTGCCAATCTGGTAACAACGGTCGACACCCTGTCTGACGTGACCTTGTTCGTACCCAACAACGAGGCATTCCAGGCGATCGGCTCTGCTTTGCCCAATCTGACCACGCAAGACTTGTCCTCAATCCTGCAGTATCATCTGGTCCAAGGCGCTGTCGGCTACAGCACTCTGCTGCGGACCGGCACGGTGAAGACGGTGCAAGGCAACGACCTGACTGTCACGATCGAGAATGAGGAGGTCTTCGTTAACAGCGCGAGAGTCGTTGTCCCAGATGTGCTCGTCGCGAATGGCGTGGTTCACGTCATTGACAGCGTGCTGAATCCCAACAACACCACTGCGATGCCCAATCCATCCCAAGAGTCCGGATTGACGGCATTCAGCGGTGCGAGCTCTGCCAGCAATATTCCCTTCACCTCTGATGTGCCGACGCCAACAAGTACCACTCCGGGTCAGTCAGCCACAGGGGCAACTGCGACATCAAGTAGCAGCTCCGGGGCAGCGGCACCCGTAAGAACTGGGGTATTGGGTGCAGGGGCCTTATTTGGTGGTGCTCTCCTGGTCTTGAACCTGTAGATAGTATGATTATGGGAGGAAAGCGAGCAGGACAGGCAGGATTGAGATTGACGAGGTCGGGTATGGGGCCGAAGTCAGATAGAATGTTGGGTGAGGGCAGGTCGGAGGAATCGTGGGGTTGAGAGTCTGCGCGGTAATAAGAGTCAAGCATGAGACACACATGGCTTGCTTGCCCGTAGAGCATTCTAGAGTCGTCTTGCAATCAATCAAGCGCTGGGGGAGATCTATTGAAAGATCTGCAATCCGGAATTGACCTTGATCACATCTATTTTCGCCCATGTCAGCCATGGCCTGGAAATTGAGGAGGGCGGCTTGATCGCCCAATCAGGCAGTCTTGGTATTTTTTCCTGCCACCAGCAATTCGACCGCCTCGACCACCCAACGACATCATCGCAGATGGGGGCCTCATTCTTGCAAGAAACCAAACCACAAAGTGACACGACAACTCAACGCTTGACACTTGACTCCGCCTCCATAAAACCCAGTTGCCTCTGCACGACTTGTCTCTCCCTCTTTCGACCGGCCGGTTTCCAACATCCTGGCAAAACCCATCTTCCGGTGCTGCTGGTGACAGGGTCTCTTCCCCGCCAGCTTAAGCGCCCTGTCACTCCATAATAATTCGCCTTTGGGCACAAATGGTACCCGCGGTCTAAGCGCCTCGAAGTACAACTACCTGTGGCCGCATCATGCGACCTTCCGTCCAGCATCATGCCTTCCAAAGTTCGAGATAATAGCGCCGAGCGGCGGCGCGAGAAAAAGGAGTCGTCGCGATCAGAAAAGGACAGAAGAGAACGAGATCGAGACCGAGACAGAGAAAGAGATCGGGACAAAGATCGAGACCGAGACAGAGACAAGGACAGAGACAAGGACAAGGAAAGACATCGATCACACCGCAAGACCTCCGTGCGAGAAAAGACATCGTCGAGAACATCCATCTCGCCTGTCAATGAAAAGCGCCGGTCCTCCATGCCGGGAATAATCGAGGATGCCCCGTCTAAGTTGGACTCCAAGTCCAGCCTGCCGTATCCTTCATTTTCCAGAGAACATAGCCGCGAAGCCGTCGGGATGGGAGGTCGCCCGGTCCTCAACGTCTTTACTCCTCCTGCGACCGACCTGAACGCTTCAAAAGACAAACTAGCCTCGAGGCACTCCGCTGCCGCGAATGAGGCGCCGCCCAGCCCGCCGCTCACTGACAAGAACTCCGGGACGGCGAAATGGAAAACCAATGTTGGGAGACCGGTGTCAGTCGAAACCATCCGGGAAGAAGAGAAAGACTCTCCGACGGATGGAGATGCGAAGGCCACCTGTAAGGCACGCCTAGTACCCAAAACAAGAGGATCGAACGGGCGTCTGCGCAGTTCGTCTGAGCTGGGCACAGACAGTTCTCCGACCCGAAAGCCACGCGATACACCGGCGACGCCGCTCAAGACGGTAACCCCGGTCTCGACAGTTCCTGTGTCGCAAAGATCAGTCAGTCAACCATCCCGAACTGAATCTCCTGCGACCACCAACAGCGCAACCGAATCCGGCACAAACATCAGTTCCGACGCCACCTCGATAGCCCCAGAACAACCTACGATCCAACGGCCAGGGTCGAAGATCCCTCCTGCTGCCGTGCATCCAGATGGTCCGACCGTGATCCTCCCTCAATCAAGGGGAGTAACTCCAATGGAGGTGTATATAGAAGACAATGCCTCCGTCTTGACGGGGACCCCAGCCATCTTCTCCCAAACTCCGGCTCCTCCACCGCCGCCTCCAGCGCCCATCCCGGTTTCTGTGCCCAAGGTCGACTATTTGTTGCAGCACGGCGGACTAAACCAGTCAGTAACGAAAAATCTACTACTGGCAGGGAAGCCCATGGCGATACAACAGGCTCAATCGTCGAACCAACCATCTATTCTGGTCGCCAATCTGTTTGAACCTTACGTCGCGCTACTTGATGATTTCGAAAAAGTCATGTCGAAGAACGGTTCTTTGGCCGTGGCCACTGGGTACCGCTCTGTTGCACGTCGGCTTCTCGATCGACTTGAAGCTGTGTTTGCGCGGGACATTTCGTCCGAAGCCTGTCAATGCCCCATGTGCGAATACGACCATGCCGAGGACGTGAGGGGTGTCAGCTGGGGCGAAGTCCTAGAACTGGTTTCTGGGCGAAAAGATCTCCCCAGCTGGCCACCTTTCGCTTTCACGCAATCGCCGGTGGGATTAGGAATCTCACTGGAGTTTCGTGTGCCGATGCAGAAGCTTGATATTGATGTGCCAGAGGAGTATAGAGAACACTACATCCGGCAGTCCCGCAAGACGAAGCAAAGCGTGGATAAATGGCTCAGCCGTCAGAGCGATGACCCTAGTTCACCACCCGAGGAGGTTGACGAGGAGACATTGACGTTTGCCATACTGACACATCTGCCTGCTGAGCAGAGGCCGATTTTTAAGGACTTACTGGGTATCGTGGATCGGCCAATCGAACCTCCAAGACGAGTACCGACCCCTGAACTGGAGAAGCAGAACGGCGAGTCCGGTGCACCGCAGCCAACGCCCACGCCAGCACCAGCACCGCGAGTCCGCCCTCTACACATCGCTGTAGCTTCGCAAGCGATTCAGAGGTTGTACCGGTTGGCGGTCACGCCTAGAGACTCCGAGGCTGCTTTGTTCTTACTCAACAATCCTTCGTTGCACAACGCCCTCGCCACATTGGCAGCAATTTCCCACGACGAGTGGGATATTCTCATCTCTGGCCGCTTCGACGGGTTTCTCAGAAGTGGTGCCGAAGACGTTCCCTTCCCCGAGCACATTCCGTCAAGAGGCCCGACTCCTCATCGGCCTCCCACACGAGGCCCCACACCAGGATACGGCCCTCAAACCAATGGCACGGGCTACGGGTCTCGTCAGGCAAGCTATTCCCAGCCCTACCCGCACCCAAACGGGATTCCCAATGCTCAATATGGTGCACCCATCGCTCTGGACGAGGAGACCGAGTTGGCCACTCTTGCAGAGATAGAACGTGACATCTACGCCGGGATGGAAGCACTCGAAGATGCGTTCGAAGTTTTGCACAACAAAGCGGAAACCGTTCGTCGGGCGTTGCGAGAGCGCTCGGCTGGCTTAGCCGCTGCCGCCCAGCGACGACGCGGCGCCATGGGTGGCGGCATTGAGGTCCGCATGGACACCCCCGCCAGCGGAATCATGCCCAATGGGGAAAACGGAATGGGCGGACGGTGGGACATCGAAACTGATGATGGCCTTGGGGAATGGGAGGGTCTTGGGGAGATCGAGCCGGATGATTCGGCCAGTAATATCTCCAGGGCACGGAGGAGACGGCCAAAAAGAAGAAACGAAAGGAGGACGCCGGCTCTAATCGAAGAAGAGGACGAGCTGGACGACGACGGGGCGAGCGAGGCCACTGGAAGCCCGAGGAAAAGATGACACACGACTATTGATGTGAGATGACGAGCTATGCAGCATCTGTTGGACTACAAAGGGTTGATTCCTATTCACGAGGTGTGATATGTCACCATCGCAGCATATTTTCCTGGCTTGGTTCCCTGGGCGTTTTAGCAGGCCATACAACTGCGCAATTTGCGATTCACAGAACATCAGATGAACTGGGAGGGGGGTTGCAATGGAGCCCCATGCTGTGATCTGATCAGGCGGAGACTTGCTTCAATGACAGAATCAGAGACAGAATCAGAATCAGAATCAGAATCGTGGTTTGCATATTCCATTTCGTGCACTGTGCGTGTGGTCCTTTTTGGTGGTGATGATGATGATGTGCCGCCCTCTTCGCTCCAAAGCCATCATCTCTCTTTCTTTCACACCACCCTCGATGAATTGCAGCAAGCTCTCATGTTTTCTACCTCATCCCCTGGCTGCTGGCCTTTCCGTGCATCCGTGCACTCAACAATAACAACAACTGCCTTCGTCATGACCTCAGCAGAGGGATGAGTCATCTCCTCATTCTTGCCATAATTAATCATTACGATGCTCTCCGCGAGAACCTTCCCGTGCATTCAAGTGGTGGCGAAAGTCAAGATTTCTTTTGAGGCCAGTCAGTGTATGCCACTGGGTAAAACACCGACGGAACTGCCGCAGGCTCTCCCTGTGTCTGCAATAATGACAGAAGGAGATGGGATGCGGGTACCTGCGGGCTTTTGATCAAATGGGAGGGAATAACAAGAGACTCGTTCATGAATTAGAGACGTGCTGGCTCTTTTGGAAAAGGGTGAGTGAATGTCGTCAGGGCGCCAGCTAAACCAGCTCAGCCAGGTCCAACTAACCCCCTAGGGCCGTACCCGGACGTCACCACCGACGGCCGAATAGTCGTATGTTGTAGTAAGCAGAACGCCGCTCTAATTTTCTCGGCCGTATTATCCCGCGCGAAAATCCACGGCGACGGGCTGCCACCGACAACCCCCCATTTCTATTCGCTACGTTGAGAAAGAGGTCTGTTATTATTATTCACAGACTAAGATTACCGAGTCTTGAAAACGGTCCTCGATTTGTCGGATGGAGTGAAAAAGACACGAGGTATTGCTCGACATGTGCTACATACAGTAAGTACATCTTCACTCGGGCATCGACGGGCGTTTCAGGGCCGAGAGACGACAGACGCAAGACACGAAGAATGATGCTCGCTCGCTTTTGCACGCAGGATCCGGCGCCACTGGCAAAGGTGGCTTGCAGCGATCTTGATTCGAGCAGACGATCGACAAGTAGCATGTAGTTAGTAAGTAAGTAATAGAAAGAGGCGCTTTCCACCGTCTCTCCGACATCACTGTGGTCTTTTGGTCGGTCAGATTCCATCGGAATCCGAGGACACACATACCCACCCTCCGCAGATAAAGACTATGTACTGGGGCCACGGGAGGCCTCCACGGTATATACAGAGAATAGATCACCGGGGAACTTCCTGATTCCCAAACCGTGCCTTGCGGCGAATCAATTTAATTCCACCCTCCGTCTAGCGCCCTGCAAGTATAGTGGGTGTGGGTGTGTGTGTATATGACTGACGCTCACTCGGCCTAATATAATCCCTGCCTACGCCCGCTCGGGACGGAGTATATATCGCTCCTCCCTACATCTCCCCTCTGAACGCGACGTATGAGAGACCAGACACTGGGAAACTTAACACACAACTACCCCCCAACAGAGACATTCGAATGGTATTCTCTACATCACCATTCCCGGAGAGGACAGACCAGCGACCCTAACACAGCCACGGTCGAGAAGAGAAAGAGTTAGCACGAAAAGACTTGGCACGTTGTAACGCAAGCAAGACTTCGAACTGCAGACATGCGACTCTGTCGCAGCAAGCGGTCCAGTATGACTCCCACCGTCCCATCAGCCATGGCGGAACCCCAGCCTGAGCCTCGACTTCGACCTCAACCCCCAGCGATGGATGCCAGTTCGGAATATGATTCTGCCGCCGAGAGCTACGCCCCCAGCAAAGTCAGCATTGAGTGCTGCCCGGTATGTGGGTATGCCGGCTACGACTCTCGTCAGCACAGAAGCTCCCGCGGTCGCCGACGGCGCCATCACCAATGTGGCGCATCACCGGTGGAACTTTTGATCAGCGGCATGACACAGACGATGCGGAGTCTCCAGGCCGTGAGTGAGCAGGAGAGGATGATGAGAGAGAGGCAAGCCGAGACGAGGAAAGACCCCCATCCTCGACTTGAGAGGAGTAACGACGACGATGAGGACGACGGGAAGGACTCCGAATCGAATCGGGAAACGGATGGCGAGAGCGAGACGGGGAGTGAATCCCGATCAGCGAATGCACACGCACATGCACATGCACTTGCTGCAACGGGGAAATACGAGCAGTTTCTGCTGGACAAGCACGACTTGCCTGGCTACCAAACCGCTATGGCAGGTACCTGAAGCACGTCAGAGGCACCCCGAGACGGGTGTGGGTGGGAGAGCTGGACTTGCTTGATGTGTCAACAAGGAACACACTCATTCGTTCAGCCTGTATTATATTAGCGCGAGAGATACCCCCTTAGGGTGGCCAAGGTCGAAACGAATTCAACGTCCCTGTGGTCGATATCGCCCTGTTCAAAACAGTTTAGAGATCTAGATCCTCAATGCATGACAATTTTTGCTGTTTGAAAGACGTCGCTGGGAACTTTTCAGGTTTTGCCTAGCATTTCTGCTTCGGTTCCTAACTGCCTCTGAAATGACTTTTGGGTCCGGTGGTGAAAAGCACACGCTGTCTCTGCGCCGCGCAAATGCTGCCGTCTTATCGTCTTGTCGAGAGGACCATAACAAGTGACGAAACAAGTAATGTAGTCCGTGATGTTAGTGTTGCTGCCGCACACTGAATTCCATCTTCCGAGATAGAGAAGACAATGAGCGACTCAGGTTATGAGACTCTCAGCTTCGGTCAATACTGCGTACCCGTCGAACCTTCATTCCGCTCCACCAGATCCCCTACCCCGAGCCCGCGCCCAACTTTCACTTTGACCATCTTCTCCTTCTTCCCGTTCTCGCCGTTGACCGCCTTCTCGTCCTCCTCGCCCTTCTTGCCCAGCGAGCCCACCCCCTCACCCTCGTCCTCGTCCTCGTCCTCGTCAGCGGGTAGAGCTTTGATCTGCAGCGGCGTGAGGTCCATGCGCATGGCGAAGGCGTCCTCCCCGTCGGCGTAGTACTTGCTCTCGACCTTCTCGACCTCGAAGCCCAGGGTGTCGCGGTACAGGTGCAGGGCGGCGGTGTTGGACATGCGCACGTGCAGGCTGACGTACTGGGCGTTGAATGCCTCGGCCATGGCGCGCTGGCTCATGCGCATCAGCTTCTCCGCGATCCCCAGCCGCCGGTGCGTCCGCATCACGCTCAGGCTGGTGATGTGCCCGTGCTGCACCCCGTCCGGCGGGTCCTCCTCCATCTTCGCCAGCACGTAACCCACCACTTTGGGGTACCGCGGCGGCTGGGACCCGGCCCCGCGTACCACCGCGACAAAGGAGAGTTGTGGCCACGTCAATGCATGGTAGAGGTAGTATTTGAGGAAGTAGTTCTCCGGCAGGTTCGTCAGGTTGCACTGTTGGATCGACGGGAGGAGGGAGATGTGTGAGGGATACGACGAGACCGGGACGATGTCGACCATGTTGACGGAGGCTGGATTGGGAGGGAGGACAGCAGAAATACCAGAGGGGAGAGTCTATATCGGGAGGGAGAAGGATTGTGCACGGTGAGGACAAACCTCAAGAAACTGCGGGCGATTTCAAATGACACTCATTTCCGGTCATTTCTAGCCTTGTGCGCGATACACCTCGACACCTTTTTTAATTCTAGAGCTTTATGTACTAGGTACGACCCTTTGGTCTCCTTTCATGCTATTGACATTTTCATGCCACCGTTCGCACAGATCACGCTGCCTGTCGTCCATCCGCTCTCGTCGGAGCAAAGCATGCCCACCACGCCCGCAATCTCATCAGTGAATCCTGGCCGCTTCCCACCCATGCCTTGCAACACGATGCGATCGTATTCCTCAAGGTCACCGCCCGCCCGGGCTCTGACCGTGTCATCACCGCCCTTGTAATCCATCAGCGGCGCACTGTCCACATATTTCTGGTTGGTTTTCCAGAACTTCTCTCCCGCCATGCTGTACATGTCTCCCCACACGGGCCCTGGGTTGATCGCATTGACTGTGCAGTTTTCCGCCAGCTCTCGTGCCCACACCCGCGTCATGGCTTCCAGCGCCGCCTTCGTCCCTGCATATATGGACTGTGACTCGCAGCCGATGGACGACGACACGCTCGAGACGTTGACGATGCGTCCGGACCGGTCTTTGGGGAGGTATGGCTGGCACGCCTGAACCAGCAGTAACGGTGCAAGGACATTCACGTTGTATTGTTTTCGGAATTGTGTTTCTTCAATCGCACCCATGTCCGGATCGTTCAGCAGTTTGTTCCCGGCGATGCCCGCATTGTTGACGATGATGTCCACCTGGAACGTGCCCGTCCGAGGGTGCGAAAAGTGGTTCTTTGCGGTGACCAGGATGTGAGGGATGCTGCGAGTCGGCTCGGCGAGGTCGGCCTGCACCGGGAAGCAGAGGACATCATGGGCCTCAGAGAGCTCTTTGCAGAGAGCTTGCGTGGGTTCGGTCGATGAGTCGGACGTGTAGATGAGAAGGAGGGAGCACCCTTTGGCAGCTAGATTGCGAGCGATGGCGGCTCCGATCCCTACCATCTGTTAGAGAAGACCTATCCAGTCCACATCGTTCCTGGCAGTATCTCCCGTACCTCTCGAGCCCCCAGTCACGATCCCAAATTTGCCCTCATGTGGCCGGTATTCGGCGTTCTTTGGCATGTTGGTAGAGGAGAAAGCCCTGCGGCGTGAGGACGAAGAGTCGGCCATTAGAACAGAGCCTGCGATCGACGGGAGGACGAACTTCTGTGTAATATGTTGCAACTCTTTAAACTTCCCGTCCTGTGCTCCGTGTGTACCGGCAAGTGGGATGATGATGGAGCGAGCGCGGGGAAATTCTTTTTTGGGCGGCGCGTTCTCCCCATTGAATTTACGGCGCGAAATGGCCCGCAGCGTCTGTGGACAAGTTTCCAGTTCGTGAGAGAGACAGAGAGAGAGAGAGTCATTGTCGCCCCATCCCTGCCCGGCGCTCCCAGCGAGCCAATCTCTTCGCGGACAGACGGTTCTTCTTTGGCTTTGAGCTGCTATCCGATCCCCGTTGCATGAGGGTCGATGGACTTTCTCAAATCCGCAGTCGCTTCTGCCATCGCCAAATCCAGCTCCTTTCCAGTCACCATCGGGGATCGTATTGACTTCGGAGACTCCATCTGGATCTTGCACAATGCCACCAAGAAGGTGAGATGGATATCTGATGAGACTTTTGTGGATGCTGGTTTGACAGATGTTGGTGCAGGACGACAACTCGCCGTGCTGTCTCTTCAACTTCGATATCCATTCCAACAGGGCTCTATTACCCCTAGCCAAAAATGCTGCCCGAAAACTGCGAACAATCCGGCACCCGGGTGTGATACGAGTGATTGATGTGATCGAGAACGACACAAACATCTATATTATCACGGAGAAGGTTACTCCGTTGGCCTGGCATATCAGGCGCAAGAGCCTGAGTGAAGAGACCATAAAATGGGGGCTGTACAGTGTTTCCTCGACCCTCAAGTTTATAAACAACGACGCCTCTTCTGTGCACGGCGCAGTGCGCATCACCTCGGTGTTCACCAGCGAGAGTGGCGAATGGAAGCTGGGTGGCTTTGAAGTGCTGAGTTCCATGAACGACGACGACGCAATTATTTATAACTATGGAAGTTCACTGCCAAACTCGAATGCTTATGCCCCCCCCGAGGTGGCCAACGGCGGCTGGTCCGCTATCAAGAAGAATCCCTTGGGAGCCCCGGATGCCTACGGTCTCGGCACTCTCGTGTATGAAGCGTTTAATGGGGGTTTCATGGGCAGCGACAGCCTCGCACAGCCGAAACACATCCCTGCCAACATGGCGCCGAGCTATCGGCGATTGATCAATGCAAACCCGAAGCTGAGACTGAATGCTGGTCAATTCGTCGAGCAAGGAAAGAAGGTTGGAGGGTTCTTCGAGACGCCCCTTATTCATATTACCGAAGGAGCGGAAAGTCTTGGGTTGAAAAACGAAGAGGAACGAAATGAGTTTTTAAAGTAAGTGCACTGTCTGCTCTTGAAGAGGCCCTTTGCTCACTCGGTTCCAGGGAACTCGACGGCCTCACGGACGACTTCCCAGAAGATTTCTTCAAGATGAAAATCTTGCCTGAGCTGCTAAAGTCTGTTGAATTTGGTGGCGGAGGGCCCAGTGTCTTTGGTGCCATTATGAAGATCGGGTTGAAAATGTCTGATGACGAATTCGAATCGCGTCTTGGGCCACTCATTATCCGTCTCTTTAATAGCCCTGACCGGGCTATGAGAGTGTGCTTGTTGGATAACCTGCCCCTGATGATCGATCGCATACCTCAAAAGGATGTCAATGGCAAAATTTGGCCTGCCATGACAACTGGCTTTACCGACACAGCGCCAATTATCAGGGAACAGACGGTCAAGGCCGTCCTGTCCGTGATATCAAAGTTGTCGGATAGAGTCATCAATGGAGAGCTTCTCCGATTCCTGGCAAAAACGGCCAACGACGACCAACCTGGAATCCGAACTAACACCACGATATGCCTTGGGAAAATCGCAAGAAATCTAGGTGTCGGGTCACGGTCGAAAGTACTGATTGCTGCATTTGGCCGTGCTCTGAGAGATCCTTTTGTCCACGCCCGAAGTGCGGCGTTGATGGCACTGAATGCAACCATTGACGTTTTTAGTGATGACGATTGTGCCACGAAGATCTTGCCTGTCATTTGTGTGAGCTTGGTTGATAAAGAAAAGATCGTCCGCGATCAAGCTACCAAAGCCGTCGAATCCTACCTGGCTCGGGTGCGTAAATATGCCTCAACTCTACCCGAAACAGCACTTCCACCAGAGCAGGGCCCGGGAGCTGCTACTGCTACCACTCCAGCCAGGATTGGAAATCAAAGTGATACCAGTTGGGCCGGGTGGGCAATTTCCTCCTTCACGAACAAAATGGCGGGAGCCAGAGGCGAGATGGCTTCCACGGCGGCAACGAACGGAGCGCCTCTGGCACAAACGCAATCAATGCCTGCTTCTGGACGGAGCACACCTGTCATCAATGTTTCGTCTGACGAACCGACTGCTGTCCCATCAAGATTGCGAACCTTGCAACCGGCGAAAAGTTCCACACAAGCTATTGAGCCCGAAAATGCTTGGGAGGAAGAGGACACGATGGATGCCTGGGGTACCATGGATGACGACGGAGATAACTTTTTTGATGCGTCATCTACGCACCGTACAAACACAACTACCCCTGAACCTGGCGCTGCAGCGGCCGCCGCGTTTGATGATGGCGGTGAGCCAGATTTTGCTGGCTGGCTAGCCGCTCAGTCCAAATCGAAGTCGCAGAAACCACTCCCAAAGGGATTGTCCAAAACCACCACCACAGCGTCAGCTTTGAATGTGCGTCCATCTGGCCCGGCGAGAAGTGTGTCTGCAGGTGTTGGAACTACCGGGACCAATGCTAAGAGACCGGCCATTGCGACCACGCGGACTACAGCACCAGTAGCGGCAAAGAAAGAAATCAAGAAAGACCCGCCAAAGCTGAAAGAACCTGACATCAATGATGACGACTGGGGTGAAGCCTGGGACTGAGGGAAGAAGCTGAAAGACCAGAAGTCAGACATGCTGTTGCCGTCCCCTCTGTACGGGTTTGAGGAAGTAATATTTGAGGCCTTTGGCATGGGCAACAAACAATTCTGTTTCAATCATCCATCCTGCCGTTGTCTCGGTGGATAGGTCATTTATGAGACTGTTTGTACGCCAGCTATGACCCTTTGTTTTGCCCGCCACTAACGTTGGGTTCTTGAGCACAGATTTTTTTACGTGACAGGCAGAAACGGAATCTCTTGTTTACTGACTAGGACAAACAGAGTCAAATCGTTGAAATACTGGATGTTCGCCCCGGAACAATGTGATGACTGAACCGACATAGTCATTGCCGCAGCAGTTTTCGATACCTCAAATGCTTCCATATTGGTTGGGATATCGCACAATGTCGGCTCTCCCGCCTAGCACATTCAGCGGTGGTCAGGGTAAAACGCCTTCAACCTATTCGTGCGATTCGTCTTCCGACACAGGGTCTACGATGAAGAGGTTTTCTGAAGACTTCATCGAAAAATCACGAGCGCAGCAAGCCCAAGCTGATTCCGCATTGAGCTACGTTGACTCACCACCCGCAGACCTCCTGGCAGATCCTGATTTCAACGAAGGCCGTCGATCGCGTCTTATTGAGGAGGCTCGACGAGCCAGGCTATGGATGGAAGAACAGCAGAAAGAAGCCGTGCATAAGGCTAGAGAAGAAATGGAAGCAAAGATATCTGCACCCCGGGAGACGAACAATCCCGAAGAAGGATCTAAATCGAAGAGGGAACGCAACCGCGGAAAAGCAAGTCGCAGCAGCCAGAGTGGGAATGTGGCAACTCAACAACCCGCCAATTCACAGCAACAGCCAGTGTCTGGTGGTCCAATCCAGCCCGACTCCGGTCTCCAAAGGCAGTCAAACCTTCGAGCTGTTCAGCCGGTGCCCGTGGTTCTCAGTCCGACTGGCGAAAATCTGCACCACACGGCGCGCTGCACAGGTCGACGGTCGCGCAACCCGCCTGTACAGGTCCTCGCCCGAGAGTCTCAGGAACCGTCCAACTCACCGGGAAGCACCTTCGTCTTGTATGGTCGGGACTTGCAAGATTCCCATTTTCTACTGAGAGCTGGACCATACAATGTGCGACTGGAGCCGGCACCGCTGGCACCGACATGGTCTCAGGCTCACGGAACTTCTGATAGTCTACTATCCACAGCAAGCACGGCTTCAGATGCTCAGACTTGTCTGTCACCGCCTTCTAGCTTGGTACCTCATTCTCTTTCTGCCTCATGCCCCGTCAACGCAGGAGCCGCAAGCAGCCTCGTCCCAGGCGACGAGGATATCGTCCGGCGAGGCCCACCATTCTTCGCGCCGACTCGAGCTGCCGAGGCAGAACGTCAATCACAAGCACAGCACACACGCCACGATCTGAATTTACAGCAAGAGATAGCCTGGGAACGAGACGCACTGTGGAGAATTCTGAGACAGCACTTTGGCGTGGGCGATTGGCAAATTCGAGCATTGTTGGAAAACGAAAAGAACGGGCGGGGGGATACGGAGTGGACTTATTTGTGATTTTGGAGGTCCTTTGATTTGGGATCTCTCTGAGGATGCGGTCCTTTGGCATTCGATCGGCTTTGAGCAGTCTGCAGAACCGTTGTGGAGCGTCCTCGGCGTACGCTGCTCGTGATCCATCGACAGCCATGTTTGAAGACCAGAGGTACATAGTAGCTGACACCGGCCCGCGTCCTCTACTTTTAGTCTGTCCACCAAGTTACCAATTTCAAGTAATACTGTTGTCGTCAAGTGTTGTCTGATCCATCCAGGCTTGTGACTACTTGATCCTGCCGTCTTTGACCATCTCTCTCATCACCCTGATGGTTTCTTCGACCGCCATCTTGGCTATCTTGGTCTCCTTCTGCCTCTTTTCCTCCAGCGCCTTGATGTCACCCTCACACTCCGGATGCAGCCACTCGAACGTGTAAGTCATGTAGAGATCCTCGCACTCGGCGCCCGCCCCTTGCGAGATGATGTTCTGGACCTTGGAGCCGTCGGGTTGGTGGAACTCGACCTTCATCGCCTCGAAGGCCACACACGTCTCCTTCACCCTCCGGTTGCCGTCGCGGAACACGATCTCGCGCACCGTGACGGGACGGCCCTCGCTGTCTGTGGATTCCGAGACGACGTCTGTGGAGAGGATGGCGCCACCGACGAAGTCCTGTCCGGCGCGAATCTTCCGCTCCAGCCCTTGCCAGATCTGCGAGATCGTGAGTTTAGGCGATGCGGAGGGCGGGTTGATGGGCGCGGTGTAGGCGAGGTTGTTTGAGGGAGTCATGACGGAGAGGAGCGGCGGCTCCTTGGGGGTCGAATCAAGGTGAACGGGGTCGAAATGGTATTAGACGTATGTATCTGTCGACTGTGTCGTGAGAAAAGGAGCGTGAGTGTCAATGTTTATTATGACGGGGCGTGGACGGTCATCATGATTGAACAATTGAACGCAGCGGTTTTGAGGGGAAAAGTGCATCGCGGGGCATTTTGTCACCGTTGACCGACTGCTGTAATAGGCACTTTAACTGCAGCGTCAGGCTTCCGACGCCGATGGCCATGTCACCTGTTGCTCATCCATTCATCACCTGTTTGTCCAACTTCGACTGCACTCCTCCCGAAAGATAATATTTCACAAGGTCCGTTATTCACACCATGGGTCAAACAATACCTTGTAAGACCTGCTCACCTGACGAAGCTCACATTTTCAGACATGGCCTTCGTCCAACGCGCCCGATCAGCTCCTAGGGGACTGGTGCAAAGGATGTCTACGAGATCCTTTCCCTATCTTATCATTCAACGAGCACCGGACCTCTCTATTCCTCCCCATCCAATCAGGGTAATGATTGACCTGTTGCTCTGGAACTGGCGAATCCACGATTTCAAAGCGGCTTCAAGCTGAACAGTGGTGGACATACCCTCCCTCCCGGCTACCATCGGGCCAGCCTAACTGTGGCTTCACAGAGCCAATCTCATGGATCCCTGGCGCCCCCACGCCCGTTGCTGCCTGGAACGTCATGTCAGCAACTGGAGTTCTCCCCAGCAAGTCGAGTCGTGAAAAGTACGCTCGAGCCAATCGTGCGTCGACATGCCCCATTAGTCAGGAACCTGGTACTGCTTTCAAGGGGCAAGTTTCTCTCCTTGGGATGGCACATCCGCAAACACCATGGCACGTATTCGGTAAAGAACAGCCTCTGGGGCGTCTACATATATCGCCGCACCCCGCATTTTTTTTGGAGGGATGACATAGTTCGTTCTTCTCTGCTTCTTAGACGCATTGTTGGGCGTTGGACCGAGTATACCTCGATAGCATGTCTGCCACAGCAATAATCGAGAACCTCCCCGTGCTGGAGAAGCCGAAGAGGACTCGCAAAACCCACAACAAGGTCAGAACTGGGTGCATAACGTGCAAAATAAGGCGCAAAAAGTGCGACGAAGAGAAGCCTTTCTGTCACCGCTGTACAAGTACTGGTCGAAAATGCGACGGCTATGTCAACCAATCTCCCGACCAGCCTTCAACGTCGGAGGAGTCATCACCCTTGTCTGTCGAACACGATTCGAAGAGGCAGAAGACAAGCACAGACAAAGTTGCCATCCCTTCAATAAGCAGATCGAAGTCCAAACCCACTGTTGACGCACTGTGCCGATCGCCATCCAACGTCAGGTTTGAGTCGGACGAAGACTTTTTCTGTTTCGACTTCTTCCGCTCCCGCACTGGGCCTGAATTCGCTGCATACTTCGACAGCTCGATCTGGCGGACATATATCGTGCGAGCGTGTATTCAACACCCCACGGTGCTTGCTGCCGCTGCAGCCGTTGGTGCTGTGCATCGAAGGTTCGAGCTGGGAATATGTCGCGAAGCATTCGAGTATTGCGATATTTCGGACAAACTGTACCAGAAGGCACTTCGAAAATTGTCTGATGATATGGTCTCGCATCCGAATGCGGCCGAGATCAACATGATTGTGATGAAACTGTTTAGCATTTTTGAGACCTTTCAGGGCAACTACGAGGCAGCGCAAGCGCACATGACCGCCGGACTGAAAGGTCTGCTGAGTCGAAAGATGCGCACAACGTACAAGAATACGCAATATCGAGCCGTGGAGATAAACCACGACAGTCTGCGACGGTTATTCTTGAGATTGGAGCTTGAATCTGTCCGATTGTTTGGAGGTGCAGCCAAAATCCTTAGCGACCCGGAATTGTCAATGCCTGGCCCATATCTAAGTCCATTTTCGCCAACCGGGAGCGATGCTGACTCGTACCCTGATCCAAACCCACACACCATACCTCCCGTATTTGAATCACTCTCGCAGGCCCGCGATGTGCTTTTCACAGAAGCAAATTGGATTTGGCATACATGGCAACTTCTCGAGCAGGGGCTGCTGATAGGCACAGGGTTCCAGCGTCACCAAACACACATTTCCCGCTTGTTGCAGTGGAGTATGGCCTACGCAGAGTACAGCAAGGGCGAAGCATCTCGAAACAACGCACAAGACCGCCACCCGGCTCAACTCCTCAAGGCGTACCGTGAGGCCGCGTATCTCTTGTTACTTGCACAAATGGCTTTCCACTCTCCCGACACCGGTGAAGTGATTGTGCCACTATGTGACCCTCCGGAAACCTGCGACTGTCACAGGTCGTGCCGCAATTACGCTGAGCGCAAAGAAGCCTTGAACGCACATTTTGCCCGCTTACTGGTTCTGAGTGAGAGTATCTTAAATCGTTCATCCTTCTTTGCATACGACGAACACTCCATGAGTGTCGACAGTGGGATCGGACCCCCAATCTATGTCGGGACAACGGATTGTCGGTCAACCAAGGTCCGATATCAAGTGACATCCCTTCTCAACAAGTCGGAAATCCAGTCCCGCGTATGGGACACCTTGGGCGTCTATACGATTGCCGAAAAGCTAGCGAGCATCGAAGAACACGCAGTGGTCAAATGTGGTGCTGTCGCGGATGAATTAGAGCCGAAGTGGGTCGACATTACCTTCTTTTTGGACGAGAGGAGGGCGTTGTTACGGTATTGCCATGCCGACAGAGAAGGCAGAGAGGGCAAGCTTCGAGGAACGGGGCTGTGGACCGGCGAGAATAGATGGGATGAGAGCGGGACCGGGGGACTGATCTGGACACAGGAATGGGTTGCTTTTTGAAAAACGTGGAAAATGTAATGCGCGGCAGCGGACACGCATCTCCTAAACGGTAGACATCGGAACTTGTGAGAATGCTGAGATTGTTGGTTGGCTTGCGTTGATCTGGTAATGCGGAGATTGGGTGGCTATATATCTGCGTGTGGCGCAAAAAACAGCAACAGCCTCAATGTATCACTAGGAGGGACATTGGAATTGCACTTCAACGGTCCCCCACTATATTTATTTGTGTAGTATACATACTACGTACACCCGTAGCGTCGATCACCAGAACCTATAAGAGAAAATGGACCCTGAGGCCAAACTTTGAAATGGCAGTATGAGCCTGTATCGTCTCGAGCGAGAGAGCCACTCAATTCCTCTCCTACATTATTCCGATGCACGACAGTGACACACCATCTCGTCGTCGTCGTCATCGTCGTCCGGGGGTATCTAGCCTGAATACAGTGTAAGTTTTCCATCAGAAAGTAAATAGGCTCATCATGCAGTCAGTCAGGCGCTGGGGCTTCCCACCCGCCTTTGTCCAGATCCTGAGTGTTCATATTCTGCGTACGAGGCTCCCCGAAAATAGTGCTGCAGCTTTCGCAGCCCTACTGAATTTTTTGTGTGTCAAGGGGACGGCGATCCAAAGCCCAATCGGTATCCAGCGCAACGCTACAGTGTAGGGCATCCGGCTCGAATTCGGATTCGGATTTCGATTCAGATTCAGCGGATCGGGTTACTTGCTGTTCTGTCCTTACGCCACGTATTGAAGCACGAAAAGTTGTTCGCTCATGGACCCGGTTGCCAGGGAGGTGATGGATGGAGGCTGGTAGTTCGGAAATACGGGGACCCGGTGGTCTTTGATTCACGAGGGCGTCCCTTGATCATGCTGCTTGATCGTCTCCCGCAGAATCTCATAGATGGGCTTGTTTTTTTGGCATACTCGCTGGCGTAAGCGACCTTGGCGATGAAAACATCGACAATAGGCAAAACGAGCGGCCACGATCAGCCTCGCCTGCTTCTTCTGAAGGTGGGAAACCCACCGGACGGCCCACCTGCCGTCGCGCTGCCGTCTGCATCCCGCACCGACTTCTCCCCGGGATGGGTGGTGTCGACATCCCCTCGCCCAGCCTCGTACATCTGACTCTGCCGAATCGCCTTCCTCCTCCCCGTACAGCAGCAGACCCCACAGCAAGTACCGAGCTGCATCAAAAACCCGATCAGATTGAGGCCCGTGGCAATCCACATGAACGCAAGCATCGGCTTGCCCAGATGCGCGTGGATATTCAGGTCGGCGGCGCCGGAGAACTTCTCGCGGAAAATCAGGAACATGATGGTCGCGATGAGCGACGCCACGGCGGTGAACAGCCACGCCGCGCCCGTCAGTAGCGCGATGGGGAACTGGCGCAAGAAGATCCGCTTCACCTTGTGCTGCCACCGGGGACGCTGGGAGAAACCCAGCGGGGCGGCGAAGACGCACACGAACGTCAGCACCGTACCGACCAGGAAGCACGAGAACATCCACCACGACGCGAGCCGCACCAGGTCGAGCACATCGATCACCTCAGTGGGCAGGGTGATAGAAGCGCCCGCGAGGAGTTCGTTCAGGATGATTTCGACCGGATTGAACCAGTACAGCGTCTTGGTCGGCGAGCAGTACGTGATGCCTTCGCCATTGTACCCCTCGCAGTAGTTCCACAGGCCCACCTGGTAGAAGTCGTGCAGGCCGATGGACTGAGCGATGCTGTTGATGAAGACGGCGTTGGGCACCGACGCCGGGATGATGTTGGCCAGGTCGATCTTCAGGAAGTACGTCGACCGGATCACGGGCTTGTTGTTGATGTCGCCGATCTCGACCAGGATGAGGAAGACGGTGGCCAGGAGATAGATAATTACGGTGAACAGGCGGAGGAAGGTCGGTTTGGATTTTCGGTAGCCTGGGGGAACGTCGTCGGATGATGAGGTGGTGGTGTTGTGGGTGATGGGCTCTTCGGACTTGTTGGAGCGTCGGAAGAGGGCCATTCTGGCGCGCACGACTAAAAAAGAAAAGCTTAACGTAGTGAATATGAGGTGCCTCCTTTCACCGGTAGTAGCTACAGATCAGATCATCCTTGGATGGAATGGAATGGAGGTGTCTCTCGAGCGGCGGCGAAGAGAATTGGGAAAGACAACAACGGGGAAGGATGTGTGCCAAGAGGCCTAGCCACACAGCTGTCCCGTGGGAGGTGGTGAATCGTGGCTTGAACACAAAAAGAGCCAGAGCTGAAAGTCCGGAGGGTGGATTTCCCAATGTTGAATGGATCCCCAGCTGGTGACGGTGATTTCTCCATGACATCATAGCATAATGCCGCAGCCTTGTCCTTGCACTAAACCCCGTTAGCCGATGTGTATCCCTTCCGTATCCAGTATAGTAGGGTGGGCCCAGTCCGGACCGAGCGGCTGGGCGACAACCTTGTTTCCTCATCACAAGTTTGATGTCAAAAAGCCACCAATTGAACACCAAAAGAGGGCACCACCAATAAACAAGCAACACGTTCCTTTTTGGGCCGAAGAGATCAAATTTCCAGACAAAGTACTCCCATATTCAATGAGATCCGAGAACTTGCACCTCCGACGACGATGTTGCTCGGTAACTGATGGTCCTGCGTACCATTGAGCCCGCCTGCTGCGCCACCATCCCGGCAATGAAGCTCCAGTGGGAGGAGAGTTTCTCCAATAATTCCAAGACAGCAACGCGCGTCACCAAAGTTCGTTCGTCACTGGATAATATTACTGTTCCCCCCAGTTTGGCACTGTAAATCACGTGAATCCGTGTCCTTTCCTGCCCACTCACTAATAGGTACTACTCTGTACACCTCTCCGCCTTCTGCCAAGTCCTATATTTTATTTAAAAACGATCTTCCCGCTTTCCATCTTATAGCTTGCTGTGCCCGGTAGTGCGAGCTGAAGCACCTAGTTCGACTTGGGTGAATCTTGGACAATGCGATTGCTCTCCTCACTGGCCCTCGCTGGTCTGCTGCTGCAAGCGTATGCGCAATCCGATGTCGTCACGCTGAGCGGAACAACGGAGACGACCGAGACGCCAACGTCGACGGGTGCCGACTATGCCACTAGCGGAACCACATACGCCGATGAATCTAGCACCCTGACTATCACGGCTACCACCGACTATGCCACGGTGACGGACCTCTCGAGCATTTTGGGATCGTTAAATGGCACCGCTACCTCGTCGGGGATAGGATCAAACAATGCCACGACGTCGTCGACATCGTCGTCCGCCACCGAAACCGTCCTGGTGGGCAGTTCGAAAACCACAACTATCCTGAATGGAACGGCCACGACAAACCAAACAGCCTCGAGCACGTCATCTTCTGCGCAGCCCACAAACACTGTCCCCTGCAACGGCCACCCGTCGTTTTGCAACCGGAAGTTCAGCAACATCACCCACATCGCGGCGCATAACAGCCCATTTGTGCGTCCGGGAAATCTCGCTTCGAATCAAATGCTTGACGTCGAGACCCAGCTCAATGATGGCATTCGAATGTGTATGTTTGACCGTCCCTCTCTGCATTGGCCACTTGAATGCTAACAGACGATCACAGTACAATTCCAGGCCCATCTTCAGGACGGCACAATGTACCTATGCCACACGTCCTGTGAGCTGCTCAATGTCGGCACGCTGCAAGACTACCTCACCACCGTGACCAAGTGGCTCCGCAACCACCCGTACGACGTCATCGCCATCCTGATGGGCAACTACGACGTGGTCGCGCCGGGCAACTTCACAGCGCCGGTGGTCAACTCCGGGCTGATCGACTTCGTGTACACGCCGCCCACGCAGCCCATGCCGCTCGACTCGTGGCCGACACTGGCTGAGATGATCTTCAAGAACGAGCGCGCGGTGGTCATGCTGGACTACCAGGCGAACCAGAGCGCGATTCCGTGGCTGTTGGACGAGTTCTCGCAGATGTGGGAGACGCCCTTCTCGCCGACCGACCGTAACTTCCCGTGCACGCCCCAGCGCCCGCCGAACCAGGGCCAGAATGTGCGCGAGAACCGCATGTACATGGCCAACCACAATCTGAACCTGGACGTCGACATCGCCGGCATCAGCATCGACGTACCTTTCTTCACACTGCTGAATGAGACGAACGCTGTGAGTGGGTTTGGCTCGGCCGGCCGCACCGTCCAGAACTGCACCGCCATGTGGAACCGGCCACCGAATTTCTTGCTGGTCGATTACTACAACATCGGCAATTTCAACGGCAGCGTGTTCCAGGTCGCTGCGGACGCGAACGGCGTGAGCTACGATCGCTCCAGCTGCTGCGGGACGGCAGGGACGGAAAATGCGGGCGTCGTGCTGGCTGTGGTGGATGTGAGGCACTATCTGTGGCTGGTGGCCGGCCTTGCTTCGCTTCTGACACTCTTGTAAAGATTTGTGCACACATGGGTGGATGGGTTCAGAACTGTAACACTGCTTCATACGCGCTAGAGACTAGATTGTCCATTGGTAGCATTCGTCCACTGGGCGGGGTCGTTCTAAAGCGAAGGACCGGCTAGAACAGGGAATAATATACAAGGAAACTGAAACCCAAGTGAGCGATGTTGTCGTTGTTGTTGCATTTCCGAGCACGATTCTACGAATCGAAATCTAAGGCTGTCCTGACAAACAGGGGTCTCGTCGGATACTTGAAAACCAATCGACTTTCGAGCGCACATACCGATCCTGATTCTTGGAGCCCTAGCCCTGAGAGGGCTTCTTAGCTCAGTCTAGTGAGGCTACTGGGATACCCCGGTGGCTTACTGTTGTACTACATACGACGAGCTCTCCGACTTCCCGGGTTCCCTTGGATCGACCTACATGAACACAGGGCAGGAATTGAGTCCTTCCAATGTTTCAATATTCTTCCCGGTCACTCATCTCCTTTCAAGTCTACGTTAATGTCAAAAATTAGCCAGAAGGGATGTGGATGATTCTATTCAGTGGATACCAGGACTTGACGAATATCGTGATATACATCGGCTCAATGACAACGGATTGAAAGGAACTACAGGTAGAGAAGGCTGTATATTAGCTTAGGAGTCATTAACACCCAGAGTACTTGGAGAATTCAGGCGGCAATGCATGTACCCCTTTCGTATCTAGAATCTCCCGCATCGGCAGGAATCGATGCTCTGAAAAACTGAAATGTAACAATCCAGGATTGGCCCTGAAAAGGAAATACTGACAACCATCCAGTTGCCATGAATTATCCTACTTCCAACCGGCCCATCTGGGTCTCCAGCTTCTCGATTTGCGTTCTAGTCCAGACTGTGTGACGATGAGAGCCTCCAAGAAGAACGCTCTGGCCGGCCAGTGCCTGCTGGTGAAGTTTCAAGGCTTCGACTTTGTTAAACTCCGCCACGACAAAGGCCAAGTCGTTGATCGCCCAAAGTGTATCGGGATGGTCCATGCCGAGAACTCTTTTCCGACCCTCGAGGCAAATCCGGTGGTGTTGTGCACTTTCGACGAATCTGCCTTGGTCGCGGTAGCATCGTCCTATATCAGCCGTCGCCCAGAGGACGTGGGGATGGTCAATGCCGAGCAGCTTCTTTTGAATATCAATAGCCTCTCTGTGGTGCGATATTGCCGTCGTAGGGTCTCCCAGCTGTCTATATGCCCGGGCTACTGTGTTCAAGGTCCAAGCCACTTGCAGGTCGTCGCCGGTTGTTTCCAAGACCGCGAGAGCCCGCAGGTGCATCGAGATGGAATCCTGGGTCCGCTTCAAGTGTCTGTACATGCGGCCGAGCTCGTTGACTGTCCAAATGGTTTCCAGATGGGTAGCTCCTAGGTGCCTCTCCTGGATCATGAGCGCCTGCTCTTGCGTGGCTGCTGCAAGCTCGACTTTCTGCTGTTGATCATATATTATCCCTAAGCTGTTGAGCATCCAAACAGTCGACAACTCATCCTGCTTGAGAGACTCCTGTTTTCTTCGCAAAGCCTTGGTTATCCAGCTCTCACCATGATCGAGTCTGTTGCCCATGGTATATTCTCGGGAGAGGTCTCTGATGACCATTAACTTTTCAAAGTACGTTATCTTGGCTCTCCCGATGTTGTCTGTCTCGGAGTCGGAGCTTTGCTGTTCCTCGACATGCTCTACATCCAATAAGATCTGCTCGACATCTTGGATCCAATCGAGGCGGTCGTCTCGCTCTCGCTCGCCAGCCGACGCCCACTTGCAAAGCTGTTTTTGGAGTTTAACCAGATGCTGCAAAGGGAAGACTGATGTTTCACCAAACAGTTGCCGCTCGATCCAGCTTAGACGCCGCTCGCGGCATGACAAATAGGTGTGCATTTTTCTATCAAGCTCGGGTTCATATCTGGACCGAACCAAGTGATATGCCCAGAAGGACATCGCATATTCAGACAAAGCGAACAGGACGTCGTCAGTTCCGGGATTGAAATCCACAGTGTTGGACTGAAGGAGGTACCTTAGACACACATCAGCAATGTGTAAATGGCCATCTGCCTCTCGGAAAGGTAGTGACGACGCATCGTCCATGGAATGGCTTTCGGTCACAGCCAACAGAAATTCCCGTACAGAAATATGCACAAATCGAAAGATGTCTTGGTCTGGGAGGTATTCGACCAGAGGACTGCAAATTTCCAGCATCGCCGCTTTAAATGGTAACCTCTGTCTGTAGTCTTCTTCTTCTAGCTCACCAAATGCCAAAGCTGCCGTTAACTCACTCCAACTGACTGGCCGGGCAGCACAACACATCCAAATCAGGAATTTCTTAGTGAGCTTTTGACTTTGCCGAGATCTTGTTTTGAATCTCTCTAATATCGAATTGTAGGTAAGATTCAAGCCCACCGGGTGGTTGGAGATTATATCCATGGCATCATAATTGGTCGTTGCCGACGCCAAAGACTGTAAAATAAGGCTCGCCCACAGGAACATGCCATCTGCTCCTTGGGAGAGCTTAGCGAACATCTTCTCATGCAATTCCGTGTCAACAAAGTCGAGCTTGGACAACTGACCTGTGACGAACAGGTCAATGTCAGCTCTCGTGTCTCTAGACTTTATTCTCAGGATCGAATGTGGATAAGACTCGAGTTGCTTCGTTAGTCGAGGTAGGTCTCTGCTCAAAATCAAGATGCGAATCTTCGCCGAAGAGCCGGTGATGGCGAGGATGTTCTGCAATACATCCTCCGGACTCTCAGCCTCATCTAATCCATCTATCAAGACATATAGTTCACCGAGCAGGTCACAGAGAGACTTGATGAGGAGGAGAGGCTGGTCTGCCATTGAAAGTCGAGGTCTCGCGCATTTCGTTGACTTGTTGTAAGCTTCGAGAACCACCTCTGGCAAGTCTTCAAACTGGGCTATTATTTGTGCAATCAAGGTGGCAAGTATTGAAATGGTGGTCCGGTTCTGCTGAGAGTTTTGAGAGCAGTAAAAGAAGGCCACAGGCTTGGACCCGTCCGCATGTTGCTCGTTCTCGATGTGCTCGATTATTGAAGTGCTCAGAACAGTCTTTCCAGAGCCTGGTGGTCCAACAATCCACAATATTCGGTTGCCGATGGACTGGTACCACTGTCGGAACAGTTCGTGATTGAGGAGCCATTGGCCGCATGGTGATGTACGCCGATTCGATTCTCTCAGGAAGTCATCTTGTGCGTCGGCACTAGATAGCCACCTTGAAATGTTCTGTCGTGCCTCAGGATACCCTTTCCAAACCGCGACAACTTTGGTGCTATTAGCCAACGCTATCTCATTCTCTAAAATGACGGTGTGTCGTGAAAGAGCCCGGAGAGTCTCGCGGAAATCGAGGTCGAACGTACGCCAAATGTTTCTCCAAAGCAAGCTGATGCCTACCACGTATATAAGCGTCAAGGCCGATTTACAACAAAATGAGATCAACTGACCGCGCTTGGAAAATACAATCTTTGCTCTGTGTAGAAATACCAGGGTATCATAGTATACGTCGGCCAATGCCGCTTGGAAACGGAGATCGCCCTTAAGGAGATTCTCGTACTCGGCATATAGTGAGACTTTGTCGCTGATATCCTCGATTGCATGGATCAGTCTCTCCAGATACTGGGAATGGGATGAAGCAACCTAGGACTGCGTCAACACCACCCACCCCTGCTCCCTGGTGAAGGATGAACGAACTACGAGCACTACTCTCACCAAACCCCATACGAGTGAGAAAGGGACAGGTCGTGTCTGCGTCGCCGAGTCCAATGCTCGCCCATATCGCTCGAGAAAGATTAGGAACGGTTCGATCCGGGGCTGGATCTTGCGTGTGTGACTGGCAGTCGCCTGCTTCCGTTCCAGCCGTTGGACTTCGGAAACCACGTCTTGGAACTGCGTGTGTCGAAACTGCTCTTGCTCGTCAACGCGTAGACTGGCGCGAAAGCGTTCGAACGATATCTGTAGAGGCTGAGGCTGAGGCTGAGGAACGTGCGGCTGAGCTGCTTGGGCAGTGCGCACCATCTGCGCCATTGCCAAAGCCATATCGACAATCCCAAACTCACAGACACCACGACCTTCGCCAGGGGAGGAGCGACACTAACATGAACAGGCATCAGAAAAGTGCCAAATCCTTCTCAAAGTGAGGCATAAACTTCCATCCTGTTAGTGTCGATTAACGCTTCGCTGTTCAGACCTGTGTAAAGCATTCCCGGTCTGCTGATCGCCTCCGAGAATTGCTGATGTGCGAGCAGCCTGATGCTTGCACATATTTTTTTCAAGGACGCAGTGCAATGTCTTCTCCCGGGCAGCAAGGCTCATGAGCGTGCATCGAACCCGGTAACCGGTGAGTTCAACGTGTTTAGTGTAGGCTGGTGGGTTAGCATCTCGTGCCCAACCATTCTATACTATCGCCTGTTGAAGCAGTTTGCGGGAGAGGCTAATCACCAACCCTGGTGAGGTGGCACTGCAGCTCGGTGCTGAACCAGTCATTGCCCTCCAATGACAAGCGACGATACTCCTCCCGCATGAACACGCACTGCGCCTTAGGCATCAATCCCGAAGTGGTCCGGCGCCTGGCATATGCCGCTTTTGGACCCCATGCGAGGGCGCTGACAGCGCACAGCGACGACTCAGGATAACCAGTACCATGAAGGAAGCGTGCCAGGCTCTGAATGCGCATATCCTTAAGCGAAGGTTTCGCAGGGACCGAAATTGAGTCCATTTTTCAGCCTCACCACCCCTTTGCGCCCGCACACCTCTTCCGATGGCGATCCTAGGGTAGAGGCCGCTGCTGAGCTTCGGAGGGATTGCGTCGTCACCAAGTACGAAGTCGAGGGATGAGCTGTCCAACTACTCTGTGCTGGCAAGTTTTCACAGCCGACGCCTCCACAAGGACTTGGACAGGACACAGTCTCATGTGGACCATGGTTGAACCTCAGTAGAATGAGGTGCTTCGCTGACGCCCAAGGCATCTTCTGTACGAGGTCACAGTTCGCCTCTTGGCTCATGTCTAACCTGTAGACAGTGAGGCTTCGGCGTTTGGTTTTCGGTACGTACCTCGGATGTATAAATCTATGTGAATATCTCGATATCAGTCTTCATTCTTTCGCCATCAATCTCCCACTTCTTGAACAGTAGCTGGCTCAAATCCCATTTCTTTACATCTGGATACTTCAGCTCGGCCACGACTCTATCAAGGATGGCGCACACAATCTCTCCCCAAGAGCTGACCGAGAAATTCATTGCTCAATTTACCAACAAGTTGAAGAGTAGTGGCTTGATCACTCTGCTTAACAGCCATCTTCAACAGAAAGATACGGACTCGAGCATTCTTCAAATCGACCCTTCCGTCCTGGACCTACACCTGGAGCTCCTGGCCTACGAGAACGCCATCATAGTCGCAAGTTCCTTCCCGACCAAACTCGCACAGAGACTGGCCTACCAGCGAGGGAATATTCCAGACCCTAAAAAACAAAGCTACTCTACGGCAGCGGCTCAGGCGACTGTCCCATATGCCAATGGCACCATTTCGAAGAAAGATCCTCAATACACACCGGCCTCGGCCACTGTTCAGGCGACTGATCCATTCGCCAATGACAGCTCCACCAAGTCAGATACTTTTTATGCACCAGCCTCAACTGTACAGTCAGCTCTATCATACACTAACTCCACGAAGACCACCGAGCCAGATCAAACATACTTTTCTTCATCTAAGGAGGCAACAAAACAGCCCGGGGGCGAAACCACAAGGAAGTCCGCACCGAGACCAGATAGCGGCGGCCGCAGTTCACTCACCCGGGAAACCTCACGGTCAACCATGAGCCCAGTCCCAGGCACAGGCACAGGTACAGGCACAACCAACGGCTCCAAGTCCGGCTTCTTCGGCAACTAGCTGGGGAGAATGTGATAGAGTCTCTGTTCGACACCGGCTTGAATGTGTCAGGGGGACTAGATGACTTGCTACTGTAAAACCCAGGTCGACCAATGCAGCGACTATCACCACAAACACCCAGCTACGAATTTTGAGTTATTCCTTACGACTAAAGTGGCCAGAGACAGATCGACTGGAGGAAGACACCACTCAGTGAGCTTGGGATGAAGAGATAGGCTTCGAGACGGAGGACACAGCCGGTGCCCTGATTCAGCGTGGAGGATTTGGCAAGCTCTGCACTGACATTTTGCCATCGCCGCTGTTTTTTCAATTGTTAGTTTCGATACGAGTAGGTAGTTTTCATACAAGTAGATAGTTTCGTTGCGAGCAGACAGTTCTATACGAGTATGTACGTCAATTAAACCATGTCGGATTCACACACTGCTCAATCCACAAGCTATTCTGTCCGCTCACAGGGTTCAGACCTTATTATAACGCCTCGCCTGGGTGACACCTGAGGGTCAAACAGCTTGTAGGGCTTTTTTAGAACTTGTAGGAAGTTGCCACATTCTACGTAGTTCCAACACTTCCCCCATCCAGTTTCCGATCAGTCAAACGTGCCGCACTTCTGAGTGATTTTGCGTGATGTCGATGTTGTTGTTATCCCTCGAAATGAGGAGCCTAACCTGTCTGATTGTCCAATGCAGCCACAAACAGTTCAATCAACTATCCCCACCAGTGCGAAGAAAGTCAGCGAGCGGATCTCTTTAACCCTAGAGCTGAAATAAAGGAAATGTAACCGAACTCACATATTTCGTATACTTGGTGTTCCCAGCAGCTGGCTGCAGAATTGCCATCTGCTCGTCCAATCGATCTGGGGAACAGTAGACCATCTCCTCCAATCCCGGACTATTCTCAAGCTCCCTGATAAACCCCAAGGACTCGGGGCTACTTCCCACTCGTGAGATAATGAAGACCACGGAACCGTCTCCGAAATCTGTGCCTGACAAGTCCTGTTTGCACTGTCGAATCTTATCTCGTAGCGTTTCGCGATGTTCACCGTAGGGCTGTGACAGCAATGATTAGTTTCAGATTCGGAGCCGTTTATAGCTTCCCAACTCTCTCCAACACAGGTGAAAGAGAAAGAAAAGAAGGGGCTGAGCCACGTCTGAGAGCTCCCGAGGAGTTTTGAAGGGTATGTCTTTCTTACCTCTCCGTCGGTGATGATCACCACAATCAAGGGCGTTTCAAAGGTCCTCCGTTTTACCTTGTCAATGATCATGGGTTGTATTATCTTTTCTTGTAACATGTTTCCGAGTTTGGTGATCCCCTTCCATCGGACACTTGCTACTTTCTGCACGATATCCTCTGGTCGCCTCAAGTCGTCAAGCCGCGAATCTCGGCTATAATTCAGAAAGCGAATAGAAATCCCAGTCTCTTCTAGTAATGTCGCTATTTCCACGACACGCATGAGAGTAGTTTTCAACGCTGGTATCCGATTTTCTTGTTTCATTGAACCGCTGTCATCTGTTGAAGTACAATCAACTAGGGAAGTAACAAAATGAGGCTCCCGTAACGGATACACACTTACCACAAAGGATCACAAAGTTGTACAGAGCGAGTTTGATCACTCCGAGAGTGGTCTTCGGCGTCAGCTCATATGTGGATGAGATACGGGCCGCCCTGGCAGCCGCATTTATGGCGACCGTCTGCACCCTAGGATGATCCTTGTCGTAGAACCCTGAGAGCCCAGTGTTCTCTATGGTCTGTGACAGATACTCTTGGCTTTTCTGCGGAGAACTGGTCACTTCGGCATATATTTGTTCTGAATTATCGGAAAGAGGAGTTAGCGGTTGTTCCACGTACTCGGACTCGGTAGTTCCGCTGTCTGGGGTGAGAGGTCGTTCCTCAAATTGGGATATATGTTTTCTGTCGAGAGGAGACTCGTCACGCGTTATTGGATGCGTTGTTGGATGTGTTGTTGGATTCTTGATCTCCAAAGAAGGTGCTCCATTGTAACTTTCTCTAGCAGTCGTGGAGGGTCTTATAGGGATAGATAAAGGCGGTCCATGGTTGCTGTATGCTGTGGGAAAATTCCTCGGGGGCTCTTTTGGCTTTCCATCAAGTCCTCCTAGATATGATGTCGCTGAGTCTACGGTAGTGGAGCCGTACCCTGCCATCTGGGATGCCTTGTTGCGGTTACTTCCCTGGTTCTGTTCGCCCAGTTCCGAGATGGGGTCAAGTTTTCCCTTGGCTGGTGGTGGTCCCCCAGAAGTGAAAGGTAGGATATCTCGGTTTGGTTGAGCTGGTGGTTTTCTCTCAGGAATGGACGGTAAATGAGAAGCCCCGACCCCTCGGTGTGTCTGAGTTGGTGGTGGTCTCTCCGGGATGAGCGGCGCGTTAGAAAACTTGACATCCCGGTTTGGCTGAGATGGTGGTGATGTCTCAGGAATAAATGGTGCATTGAAAGACCCGACACCTCGGTGTGACTGAGTGTATGTTGGTCCCCCAGGAATGAAAGGTGAGTTAGATAACTCAACACCTCGGCGTGATTGAGTAGGTGGCGCTCTCTCAGGAATGAAAGGCGAGTTGGGAAACCTGATACCTCGCTTTGGTTCATCGCCCGGAGAGTAATGGGCCTGATACGGCTCAGGTTCATGAACCAAGGTTGAGGCCTGAGATCCTTCGAATGAGGGTTTTGTTTCCAAACCCCAATCGGGGCTTCCGCCATTGAAGAAGCCCGTGCCATTCCCGCTGAAGGGTTGTCCATGGGTGGGATTTGATCCTGGACGCCCAGCTATATTTGTCCAGTGAAACCGGTTAGGTACCAGCTGGAGGCATTCTCAAGGGAAACAGAGGAGTTCCGACTTACATTCATCCAGTTTCGATTCACGCGGACTTTGTATTCGTTCCTGGAGCAAATTTGGGAACTTTTGTATCATTTCTAGGGCAGATCGTTCTGACAGCGCCCCTATGTGTTTGTCGAGAGAATCCGGATTGATGTCGTCGATACTATCCATAGATCGGTTGACATGGCTCTCTATGAGATTACGCACATTAGGCTCCCCAAGTATAGAAATTAGGCTCTGAGTGAATTTCTCCGCGACCTGGCTTGCGTGTATGACCATTTTGGAGAAATCGTAGTTGTACAGCGGGTAATGATTGTGCAGTAATGTGATCTTGTCTATATGTATTTGCCGGCCTGGCGCCACCTGCAACTTCCAATGCACTGCCGCCTGAGGAAATGGCGAGGCATCCTGGAAGTAGTCGGAAATGGTGTGGGAGCTGATGGCGGGAGGTACAAGGGGGCCCTATCCAACTATTCAGCCTCATGACTAGTTGCATACGTGGGCAGTTCAACTAGACACGTCACTTGGGAACTGGGGGGGAACGTGCAAGTTGGTATTGGCTGGTTTTCGGCAGATGGGCAGCGAGTGGTCTGCCAACGACCAGTCAGAAGCTGCTTTTTGCAGTTACCTCCAAAGCAATGCGCCCAACCAGGTTGCCTAAGGCAATCGAATACGAGCTTCGCATTTCTGCCTTGTTTTGGATGGATGTCGAAGAAGAATTGAGTGAGACTTTCACAAAGGAGTCAACTTGATTCAAGTAGTTGTCCTATACGCGGCAATAGAGTCGACCAAATATGGCCACCAACAAGAACAGGAACACTGTTAGGGCCCGCAATGTGCCCTTGGAATTTACCGCCGAGAATGTAAAGGATATCATTTTACATCACTTCGAGGCCTCAGAGCAGACTACGATAACATCGAAAATAACTCTTGCACCTACATGCACAGACAATGGAGAGACTCAGACGGCAATCATCAAGTTTAGTCCATCCATGCCTAGATTTCTCAGCTGTCTTGGCCAGAAAAGAGTACAGATTGACGTGGATGGCACGAGAGACATTGATATCGACCAGGATTTCTTTGGTCTTACTCAACTGTATCCAACCTTTGGGACCAGAATTCCTCTTGAGTAGGTACTCATACTATTCTTCTTTGACATATCAAAACGCCTGACGTGGGAATTTCCCCAGTATTATCGCCGTCACCGGTCTCAACGGCCATGCCTTCGGCTCATGGACAGGAGGGAATGATAGGATGTGGCTCCGCGATTTTCTTCGTGATGATAAATATTTGAAGGCCTGTAGGACCATGATTTTCGGATACAATACAAAATTGAAAGAGAAATCTGTCCACACCACCAGAGACTATGCCCGGTCTTTCCTAATGGAACTCAGGAAGGCGAGAAAATCCAGTGAGGTCTGTTCCGTTCGCTCCTGGGTGGCGTCAAACGGCGCTTTCGTTGGCTGACACGAGATGTGTAGGAGAGAAATCGGCCCATAGTCTTTCTGGGCCACAGCTTCGGAGGGATTATTATTGCTCATGTGCGTATAACTCTTGATCTCCACTTAAGCGGCTGAACCTGACGTCGAGATTGTAAATATAGACACTTGTCAGGGCCAGAGATGAGGATAATGGGTCACTAGTCAAATCCACTCATGCGTTCCTTTTCTTCGGGGTGCCACACCGTGGTATCAGCATTGACGACGTTTCTAAAATGGTCGATGAAGATTCTCAGCCTCAAAGGGCATTGCTGGTGCAGGAAGTTAAGGTTGATTCTTCTCACATAACTCCCACCATGGAGAGGTTCATCAACATGACTGTGGGAAAGAAAATCGTATCATTTTATGAGACACGAATGACCAAGGCAGTCACAAAGGCAAGTTCTCGCCTTGGCCCAGGTAGCAGTCGAGGCATGGCTTACATTTCAGCAGGATGAGAACGGCATGTATGGGCGCAACGGAGAGTATATACAGGTAGTGAAAGAACCCTCTGCCACATTCTACCTGCCGGATCAGATCGAAGAAGCGATCCCCGTCGATGGCGATCATTCGACCATGGTCAAATTTGCGAGTTCTGCCGACGACACATACCAATCGGTCCGGAACTATTTAAGGGGTTATCTCAAGTCCTTCGGATTCACCATTGGTTCGTTAGCCTGCAGGCATTCTGGATCTTTGGTCTAATGTGCGAGCAGGCTGTTCTTTTGCGGATAAAAATGCCGGTCATCCATCCGGTGGTTCTAACGCAGTTGCCGAAGGTCTTGTGAACCACTTTGCGGGCACGGCAAACCCTATAGACCAGGCGTTGAGACTAGCTGCTGACCTAGGTTTGACCGTGGAAGCGCTTTATCTGCTAAAAATCGGAGCCCGCCCGAACTTCCAGGATCCCGAGCGTCGGTGCGGCCGTCCCATGATGAAGAGCTGGAAGAAAAGAAGCTAACAGGTTTCCAATTTAGGCCACTGGGGGATTTGTTGTCCGATTCAGCCACGCTAGCTGAACCTCGATGGAAAATCAAGGCCAATGGAGATATAATGGAACCAGGAGAGACTGCGATTTTCAGAGCAGTCATCCGCAACAACAAGGATGTTGTTGAGCTTCTCCTGCAGTTTGAGTCAGATCCCAACCTGCCAGCTGAGAGTGGAAAGACTCCTTTACACGAAGCCTCCAGCCGTGGTTATCTAGCTCTGGTACAGCTCTTGTTGGAGCACGGTGCAAATCCGAACGCACGAGATCCCCTGTGGCTAAGCACACCTCTCCACGATGCAGCGAGAGCGGGCACTACAGCTGTGACACTGCTCCAACGATATGGTGCCGATATGAACGCACAATTGAGAAGGAGCCTGGACACACCGCTCCATCTCGCCGTCCGCGAAGGCCACGAAGCGGTGGTCCGCTTCCTGCTTGACAATAAGGCCAACCCTGTCCCCACGAATAAAAGCGGATGCCGACCTGTCCACCTTGCAGCGCGAGCCGGCCATGTTGGTTTGGTAGGCTGGTTGCTCGAGCGAGATCCCAAAAACGAGACAGATCCACGTGACAATCGGGGTTGGACCCCTTTGCACGAGGCAGCCTACGGAGGTCACGACGATGTCGTATGGTTGTTACTGAGACGAGGCGCGAACAGAGATATCGCACTATGGGATGGAAGACGAGCTGCCGACTTGGCGAACGAGAGTGGGCATTCTGAAACTCGACGGCTCATACTGGCATGACTGAGACATGGATAGCTGGAAAGCCCGATTGTTTTCAGCGTAGAAATGGCAGCATAATAGATTTATGTACTACTACAGATGACCCTTATTATCCTATTGTGATTTGATCATGCCAATGATTGTGGCAGAGCAGCCTCGGAGTCGGTCTCACTCACTCACTTCCTAGACTAGAACTGTCGTGCTCTGCCTCTATCGATAACTCCTACCTGACTGCTCATTCCAAGAAAGTCAGGAGACGAACTCTGTGCGTAAAGCGAGCTCGATAACCACTTTCGGAGGAATCGTTTCAGGTATCCAGTGGTATAGCCGGTGCCAGTGTGCAAAGACCGACACGCAGTCATATGAAGATTTTATAGAAAAGGGCAAGGCTGAGGCCCCTGAAGTTGAAGTGGGTCCCGCCCCGAAGCTAAAGGTTTTTAACAAAACCGTCGCCCTGCTCACTTGGACTCGGCTGCCATAAGGACTGAGATCCTACAGTGGAAGGTGTCTCGTTGAGGAAGACCCTGAAAAAGCCAAAAGCTTGCATCCTTCCTAAACCACAAAATTTGCGGCAGCAGCGGATCCAACTTGGACCATTTCCTCCAACAACACCGCCACATCGGTGACGTTAAGTACATCCGCAATCCTGCTCCCCACAGCAGCACCCTGAGCACTCACCGATAGAGCTTGGGTGACGCTTGCGAATTTGTTCTTCGCTGCTTGCACATAACTCGGATCACCAGGTATGCCGGGATACTTGTCAGCTGTGATGTTAATGTCTTGCCCCGACATCTGGAAGGTCATGTAACCAGCCAAATCCTGGGTATTGTCAGTAATCTGGACTTGTTGCATGGTCTCAGCGATTGATAGAGCGGTTGTGTTTGACACCAATGCATCGTTCATGTTCAGAGGATCTCGCAAGTCGACGGTCAGCCCTGCGGCGATGCCAAAGGGAACACTATACTGAGCTGACACGAGTGAATTGGGTCGAGGGATCCAGTTACTCGACGCCAGAACCGCGGGGCCCGCATAGACTGTGACGTTCTTGATATCCTCCGGATTCCAAGTCTGGTTCGTGCTGGCCCGATAGGCGTTGATGGCATACACAAAACCTTGTGCACGAGCGTGGACAGGTGCCAGCTTCAGAATCATTTGTTCTCCAGTCCAGTTCGTACCAAGACCGGCGGTCAGGAGGCCTGGCTGCGGACTGGGTGAGAAAGCATGGAGAAAGCCGAGCGGGTTCTCGAGGACGTTCGCAGGGCCGACGACTCCGGCGTTGGCCAGAAATGCAGCTTCCGCACCAAGTTGACCTGCACGGGCCGGATGCAGGCGCTTGGTCATTGCGCCAGTATTGACGAAGGCGAGGAGGCCACCTGAGCTGGAAGCAGCCAGGCCCATGGCTGAGGCGATGGTGTCGGCGTCCCACCCCATCAGGCGCCCGACCGCAGCAGCCGTGGCAAGGTCTCCGTTTAGCCCAGGGTTGTGAAAGCCCCTGATAGACTCCACCTGTGTGGTGCTTGCTGCGCCGATGCGAGTTGCCAGTTCGTATCCGACCGCCATCGCTGTCAGAAGCTCTGGGCCGGTTTTGTGGTGGGCCGCCGCCACGCAGAATAATGCTGGAAACATGGCCGAAGCCGGATGCGCGTTGCTGATAACATGCTCAAATTCAAAGTCGGCAGCAGCGAGGCCCATCAAGAACATCTGGCCTGAGAGAGAGGAGACGGTGCCGTCTAGTGCAGTATATGCTGCGTGAGCGCTGCCTGTTCCATATGTGATGTTTACCGCTTTGACTGCCGAGAGATAGACGGGCTGGACCGAGCCAGCGAGCATGGCAGAGAATGTGTCGAGGATGAAAATTGGCAGCAGTGCCAGGAAGCTCGACGGGATCATGGAAATAGTGGCATTAGAGGCGAAATTTGCCAGCACGGCCGTGTAGTTCGTAGTTGTGGTATTCATCGCGTCGGTAAGTAAGGAGAACAGTTGTCGGGATTGTTATTGGAATTCGCCCTGGAACCTTCTCATGACTTGTCTGGCCAAACCGCTGATCTTTATACATGGTTGACGAGGGCATCCGTCCAGTTTGTTCTTTAGCCCCTCGTCTTCACGTTGTCCTCGTTGACAGACCGGGCTGACTACTCCGAAACACCCCTGTCACGGCAAGGCTGCGAGAGTAGCAGCCAACCAGGTCATGTCCGATCTTGGCCGATCTCGGCCTTACGACACGTGATATCACTCCCATGCGCTCATTTAAGAAATGCTGCTCGTTGCGGCTTACAACTGTACTACTCATCGGCGCTCTTTCCGCCATCGGAGTGCAGCTTGTAGTGTTTCTTTCAGTGGAGGGCTGAAGATAGATTTCAGCCCTGGAGGTCAGCGCCTAGGCTTCTGGAATGAGCAAGTGTGAGGCTTACGAAAAATCTATGAGGTGGTCAAATAGACATGATTGACAATTCGGCCAGGGTACGGTTGCTTTTCTGAAAAGGATCAAGAAGTTGTGTGCCCCTATATTGAGAAAGACCTATTTATCTGCATACGCTGGTTCAAGAATCCCATGCCTATTTTTCATGAGGAGAGCCTCCTTGCACAGAGCTGTCCCTCAACTTAAGCACTAGTCTTTGAACAAGTCCCACAGTTTCTTCTTCCATGATCTAGAGTCATACGATGCTTTCGATGCAGGAGCAACCCATTCTCGGCGATCCGAGAAGTCAACTTCATGGAGGCGGACCCTTGGAACGATCAGCACGTGGCACATCCCTCTGGGTTCATGGGATGATACATACCAACGAGTCTTGTAGTAGAGCTTGAACCCGAAGAACAGAATGAAAAAGGTTGGAATCGTGATGTAGCACGCAATGAACGACCTCCAGTTGAAGGGATGCTTGAAGACCGTATATCCCTGGATGAAGAGGAGGAAGATATTGAACGCAAAATTGAGACGGTAGATCCAGATGCTCCCGAATGCTTTGTACGGGAAGGTGCTGACGTCGATGTTCTGTTTCTTCGCCGCGGCCCGGATCTGCAGATGCGTGAAAATGATGGCGGCCCACGCGATGTAAGCTGCAGTGCCTCCGACGCTGGTCATGTACGCAAATACTTGGCCTGCGGAGAGTTTTCGGTTCATCAGGCAGAGGAAGCCCCAGAGATTGGAGGTGAGTATAGCAACCCAGGGAACTGTTGAAGTTAGTTTCTGCTCTCTAAGACGTGAGAATTCAATCCATCCTTCTTACCTCCACGAGATGTCGTTCGAGCAAAGATCTTTGGAGCTCTCCCACTCAAAGCCAAGGAGTAGACAGTCCGTGACTGTACATATACCACGCCATTGGCTGCGGAGACGAACGCCACTGTTATCAGAGCATTGACGAAATGGCCGGACGTCTTCCACCCTGCCTTAGTGAAGCCGATCGTGAAGGGCGAGGATGCAACCACTGAGTCTGCATTCAGGAGGTCTGGTGAGTCCGATGGACATATTAGTCCTTGGAAGAAAGGCATGCCGATATAGACGACCAATATGCGGTATACCACAGAGTTGATAGCCTGTTCAAATTAGCTAAGTTACAACCTTCTCGACTCTCAAGTCAATATACCTTTGGAATGTCTTTCTTCGGATTCCTCGACTCGCCACCAGCCAGAGAAATAATTTCCGTGCCAACGTAGTAGGCTGCCGCGAGGACGAAGACCTGTCCGAATCCGTCGATTCCATGTATAATAGGGCCTGAAGTGTTTAGCTATGTCGGCTGTGTAGGTTCTGGGGAACGTACCGGTTGGTTTCGTCCAATATCTGAATCCAATATATCCACCACCGAATCCGCCTACATCGGCCACGATGGAAAGTATGAAGAGGATAATCAGGGAGAGGAACTTGAACATGCCAAAGAAGTACTCCAACTCCCCGTATACATTCACGCCGAGAAGGGTGACCACGGAGAAGACGGCCCAGAAGATGAGTGCCCAGGCGTAGGAGGGAAATTTCGATTCTGGCACCCAATAGCGAAGGATGAGGATGGCGGAGTTCCAGTCTTCCCAACATCAATCAATGAATATAAATCTCTTCGGAGGGGAGGACATACCTGCTGCGAGGAAGACGCTCCACATGAGATAGTACAGCCACGACATGGCAAAACTCAGAGCTGGATCAACGAAGCGACCGGCGTGCTGATAACATGTTATTTTTGACTTCAAGCACATTTGGCACACACCTACTTCAACAAATCCTCCGTGAATGGGAAACAGCGTGGTCATCTCGCCCACGCTCTGCATCAGGACCCACACCGAGATCCCTGGGAACATGAGCATATTGGGTCACACGGTGTTGGATTTAAGGGACTCTTGACTTGCCGACAATAACAAAACCCAACAAGGCTCCGAGCGGACCAGACAGGTAGATCGCATAGCCCAACCCGTAGAATGTCCCCGGGCCAATGATACTGCCGAGCGCAATGATCACAAAGTGTCTCCCCTTCAAACCTCGTCGCAGCCCGTCGTCCAGGACATCCCCTGAGACATCTCTTCTGGTGCCATGGCTGTCTGGCCCGTCTTCGGTCACTTCCAACGCAGTGACCGTCTTCTCAGGTCCTACTACAAATGTAGCAGTGCCATGGTCAATGCTGGAGCTACTGGATTCCCTCTCGAAAGACATGTTGAACTGTTCTACAGGGCGCGGAGTGCAGTACTGCTTTCGGCCCCAGGGGAATAGCTTTATAGGACAGACATCCCTGGGGGTCTGAAGTTGTATCCACTTCCGAGTCACTCCCACGTTCAACGGCCGCGGTTTTTTTTCTTCTTCGCGTGGCAAGTAGAGATCTCCTCAACGCCCAGATCCTGCTCGCGATTCTCTGAGCATCTTGCACCATCGAATCTGGTCCGGCCTCCACCGCCACCATCGGTTCCGAGTTGATGGGTGTGGCCGTTTGCCCTTGCAGAAAGGGGGATGTTTCCGGATGCCCCAGATCGCCAAGGTGTGTAAGTTGAGCCAGCTACTAGTCGAATTCGCGCCATTTTCGCTCCTCTGGTGTGCTATCACGCGAGTCACGCCCTTCCACGGTCGATCGAGCATATGCTGGGAGGTCCACATCGCATCACAGCAAGAGGGACCAGTCCTTATCCGAAGTGGGAGGTTGTGCAGTAAACACGTGGGAAGTAGTTCCGCCAGCGGACACAATCCAGAATGGACCTGCCTACCCACCCCGAGCACATGGTTCTATGTACAGCTTCGGCTACTGTCTGGAGATTTCGAAATTCCACATCCATTGTTGCCGAGTTATCCCCAATGTCAATACCACCCTCAATGGATGATATTCGTTGCGGGCGAGTTTAAGTTCGCAGGCCCAGCAAAACAAGAGACATTGTACCGGACTTCAAGCTTTAAGCCAAGCTATGGCATTATCCTGACTATATTAACATCATTCCCCTCCCTTTCCCAAACGAATGGCTGTATAACGTAATGAAAAGCTGTTTTCTCCTCGGTTGTATAGTTTTGCAGGAAGGATAATCTCCTGAGGTCTCCTTTAGTGCTATATTTTGAACTGGTTTCGTAAGTACATGCTGGAAATATCTTGGACAAACTATATCCAGTGCCTGTGCACCTTGCGGGACCGAGTGTATATTTCTCGCTGGGTGCACAAGGCTGTATGTGGGAAAGCATTCGTCGGCGGAGTTGTCCGATTGTCGCACAGAGTGAGTGAGTGAGTCATGTTTCTTCAATGCATTCCACTTCCTGCTCAGGCTCTCATAGATTTTCCAAGAAAATTCAGATCTTCGTCATACAACATACCATGGCTACCGTCACACTTGATCATACCACCGGCACAGTGAGCGAGGAGCAAGACCTGCACAAATTCGCCCAGGTGATCGCGGCGGCTTTCTCGAATGATGCCCTCAACCGATACCTGTCCATGGGACGCGAGTCACACCCAGACCACCCCAAGCTGGCGAACTTGGACCACCGGGTTCAGTACTGGCTCCCACACATCAAGACTCGGTTTGAGAACGGAGGCATACTGATCCACACTTTCGACTGGGCTGGAGTGGCGCTGTGGTAAGCGAAGAGTTCGGAGAGACATACTCCCCCTCCACCTAGTCTGTTTCCCTTAGCCACTTTCCCGTTCTCACCAAAGGTACACACATAGGCTTCCTCCGGGGATTGAGAAGCCCGTGACCAATTCTGCGGCTGCTTCGCCAGGAGCTGTCGAGTACAGGACGAAGTTCGACGCTCTCAAGAAGAAGTATTTGGGCGATCGAGCCTACTGGTACCTCAACCTGATTGCACGGTCGCCAACTCGATCGGAAAAAGGTATAGACCCACCAGCCCCAACAGGGCTTGCTAGGTTAGGAGAAAGTTGGTTCCAATCAAGCACTGATGCTGACTTTGCCTCTCTCTTGGATTGTGGTCCAGGCGCCATTCGGAATCTGGTGGACCCTTTCCTGAAGAAAGCCCAGGAACAAAACATGCCTGTCTGGCTAGAAGCGACCAACCAGCACGCCAGAGAGGTCTATACCCATTTGGGCTTTAAGACCGTTGCGCATGTGCGAATAGGCGAGGGGATTGTCAATGCCGAGGGGTGGGCCCAACAGGATGGTGAAGGCGTGCTGGTATACGGAATGCTTGCCGGACTCCAGCGTGAGGATGATGAGTAGCACCAAGGATAGTGACTAGACCATCTCAAGAGGGGTGGCTAACTAGATAGAGCTGTTCATGAGAGTATTGGACCGATTCCACGGGCTTAAATGGCTGTGATGGAAGCTATGGTTGCCGGAGGAGACCAAAATATTGAGTTTTTGAGAAATGGCATTCGAATCACCCATCAAGAGCCTGCACAACCTGTGCCCAATCTTCCTCGCCGTACGCACCCGGCACTCGGTGGCCGTCAAACAGACTCGCCATCACCACACGATCCTCCTGTTCACCTTCCCAGGGCTGTCGGCCGTGCTGGGCAATGATGTTGTCGTAGACGAGAACGTCGCCTCGCTCCCACTTGTGGAGTACGCGGATCTCGTCGGTAATTTTGGCGAGGTGTGCCAGGTACTTCTCGGGGATGGGAGTGCCGTCGCCGAAAAGCTGTTGGGCGGAGTTCTTCCTCCCCTTGTTGGCGTTGTGCACGTTGTTCTGGTAGTATGCCGCAAGGCCAGTGAAGAGAGTTGGAAGGTTCGTGTCCGGCTGCGTTCGGATCGCTGGCAGCCGGTGCGTCAGGATGATGCTCCCGTCGTCTGCCCACTCCCACGTCGTGTGCTTGCCGCGCCCATATCGGGCAATCTGAGCCTCGATCTTCGCTCGTCTCGTAGCCTCGTCATCCCCGTCCTGGATCTCTTTTCCAAATGCTTGCTTCAGAGTCGAACCACCTTCGTACTGCTTTTCAACTTTGTAGGTGACTTTGCTGAGAATGCCCTTCTCCGCAAGCTCAGAGACAAACTCGGGAATCTCCTGCTGTGCTCTGTAGAATAGTTCCACAGACGACGAAATGGGAGTTTCACCCCCCTTTTCGGGAACCCGGTGCCCATAAAAGAAAATGTATTCGGGAGCATGCGGGACCTGTGGAGACTCGTTGTGGTTGTAAATCAGTACATCCTTGGGCGCCTCGTTCGCCGGTGCCACGTTGGGGGCCAGTACCGGCCTGTTGACGACGATGCCAATGATTTCATGCGGCTTGTATCCAAAGGCGTGTGCAAACTTGCTGAAATCGTGGGCATTGTGGATGGGAAGGCCCCGGAAAAGCAGCGTTCCGTGACGGGCGAGGGCCTCGGTCAAAATGCCGCCTTGCGCCTGGAGGGATTTTACAGTGTTGACGACGGTGTCCAAGTCAATCTCATTGCCATCTCGGACAGATGGTTTCAATGCCAAGGGGATGACTGTGCCCTGAGCATGAGGCGGCCCCAGGATGCGCTGGTTGCTCGTTGGCAGATCAAATGGCTCGAACGTGACCAGTGTGGACGCCGACTGAGATGCGTCGAGTTTGGATGAATGCACCCCGAAGGGCTGCACTGAGGTCGCCATTGTTATTTGACGAAGTCTTCGTCGTTGAACTGAAATTTGGGGATGTATCTTATCTATCGAGGATGACTTCCGGCCATATATTGGGTACAGGAGAGAAGTTGAAACCACTTGTCCGTGGACTTCTCCGCCGGACGAACTAAATACTAGTCGCCTCGGTCGTTGGCGTGGCGTCATTCGTTCTTAAGATCACGAAACCCGCGGCTGCCATCAATATCGTCTTCCCTATGGTGTCAGTTCGGCATTGAGTCGAGCCCCAAAGCCATTGAAGGAGCACATGTGGCTTCGACAGGGGAGGCTGAGAAGGGCCCACTGGAAGATGGCGCCAAATCCAGGACCGCTACCGACTGATTGTCAAGGACACGGACTTTAAAAGGTGGAGCGTAGAGAAGCCCCTGTTGAGGACCGGGCGAACGAATAGAGTTGAGTATCAGTAGGGGGCTTATAGTTCTAGATGGATTTACTGTGCGGTATTTCCTACCTAGATCCCCAGTGTAGGCCCTACCTCTTCCTAAGAGAGACTCGTAGTCTTGTCCTTCACCTAAGCCCGTCCAGCTTTCCAGCCGCACCCCATAATGCGACAGACTTTAACGTTTGGCGTGCTTTCTCTCCGTAAACTCCCTCATGTACTTGGCCGGCTCCAACCCCCCGTCGCTAAACATGCTCGCAAAAGCATCGACGCCCGCCTTAACACCAAATGCCAGATTCGTTTCCTCCCACAATTTGACCAGCCTCTTTTGTGCCCTCATTGCGCCCGGCCCGTTGGCAGCAACAAGATCAACCACCTTGTCGACCTCCTCCTGAAGTTGTTGAGCACTACTATAGCACGCGTCAACCAAGCCCCATTTCTCCATCTCCCTCGCATCGTAGACCTTGGCCAGGTACACCAATTCCTTTGTCCTCTGCCAGCCAACGATGTTGACCAACAGTCTCGCCTCGATGACCGAGGGTATCCCGAATTTCGTCTCCGGCATACTGAACGTCGACTCGTGCGTCGCATAGCGGAAGTCACACGCTGCCGCCAGCTCCAGGGCTCCGCCAAAGCACAGTCCGTGAATCTGCGCGATAGTGACGACGGGCAAGTCCCTGGCAGCTTGGCAGGCCCCGTGCAGCCGCGAGATAAAGTCTTTTGCGTCGTGGTAGTTGTTAATCGCGGCCATCTCGAAGATGTTGGCCCCCGAACTGAATGCGGCGACCTTGCTCTCGGAAATAGCGCCCTTGATGACTACGCAAGACAGCTTTGGATCACTGGCTAACGAGCGTAGTTTTGACGTGAGCTTCTCGATCAGCATGCTGTTGAGACTATTCAGTCGATCGGCATTCGATATTGTGACCGTAGCGACGGTCCGTTCGTCCCCGCTGGGTGAAGGCGTTACAGAGCAGATGATGTCGCCACTGTTGTTCTTGTCACTGCTCGAGGCTGTGACGCCCTGCTGACACACCCTGGCCACATGGAGACCTCTTCGGGCTTGTTGGCGTGCCAGTCTCTGTGCCACCTCGACGTTGCATCCTCTCGCCCATGAAAGTCGGACGTTTCTTGCAGGCGAGCGTACTGGCAGTGCACCAAGAATTAGTCTTCGCGAGGCAACATTGCTCACCGCACACTGCTGGCTGAAGAATCGTCTCGACGGCAGCTGCACCCTACGGAGATTGGCTAAGCATCGGCTGCTGGGTGAACTCAAAGTAGCCATCATCGCCGTATTCGCAAGGTCTTCTCTCAAAACCAGTATCGCGGTCGTAGCCAAGGCATTCAATCCTTTCTGTCCGAATGGTAACACTCGTCCGCTACATCTGCCAGCAAAATCAAGCGGTCCAAAGTCGATTGGTTAGAGACGGCAGAAAAGGAGTTTGTTTCCCCCAAATTGAGAAGACTCCTCTGGTTTAAGGCAAAGCCCTGAAACGCCGAGATCCGAGCCGCGAAAGGCCGTCGAATCGCCGAACCGGGGGAGCCTGGGGCCGGTAAAAGCGGTCTCTTGAAGGACTACCAACAATGATGTGTTATCTAAAGTCCAGTGGAGATGGGCACACTTCCTAGACACATATATACAAGCTATCCAACCCAATCGACTGGTAGATGTTGTCTGTCTGTTCGTGTGCTAGAGACACCAGATACCCTCTACATCGACGCACTCCTGCAATACACCCAGTCCTCAAACCCCCGGAACCAGGCCATCTGCCCTCCCATCAGCAACATCATTTCTGGCAAGGTCAAGCCCCATGATCCCATCACGGCTTCACCACAAATGCAAAAGGCACAGCCAAATCAGACAAGAAAGTCGTCTTGGGGGTGCCCGTGATGCCGGCCGCGGCTAAAGCCCTCTTCGCAGCAGTCTGGTTGGCCCCGAAACAAGCATCCACGAAGCCTCCCGCCTCAGTCTGCTTCTGCGCCACGAGCTGCGCGTACTGGCTTAGCGGGCAAGAGCGGCCTGGTCCCGAGTCGCAGCCCAAGACGGGGTAGACGACGTCGTTGAGGACTACGCGGAGGAACTGTCCTGGTGTGGTCTGGCTGGGTTTGCCGCTCCCCGTGGTGCAGGTCAGCCGTTCGAAGCCGATGGTGCCGCGCATCGTCACGAAGCGCGAGGAGATGTATCGTTGATTATCTGGGATCCGGTCCGGTGGCAGCGGAGCTTGGTCGTTAAAGACACCGATTTGGCTCGCAAGTTGGTTGATCTGCGCATCGTTGGTGAAAGCCACAATCAAGGGTGGCGGGACGAAAGTGGTCCCGTCGCTAGAAGTGTATGTCTTGTTCGGACCGTCGACGAAGCGTGAGACCAGTGCCGACAGGAAGGGGAGCATGAAGGTGCTGTTCTTGAGGGATCCGGGCCCATGGCCGTAGTAGAAGCGCAGGTCTTGTGAGTATTCATACGCTTGCAGCTCTTGCTGGGTGAGCAAGTCGCACCAGGGACTCCGTTGGCCGGTCATTTCGCTCTCAAACCCACAGAGAAGCGGAAACATGGCCACGTCTGTGATGTTGAAGTTGACGGCCCCCTTAGGTGATGTGAGGGCATTGATCCGCGCCGCGATCGGTGGGAGGTAGATGTTTGCCCAGATGGCCGCTGCAGACCCGCCCATGGTATCGTTGTATGCCGGGCACAGATCAGACACGCCCAGAGAATTCGCGAGGCCCCGCGGATCGGTATTGTTTAACACATACACTGTGCCGAGTGTCGTTGCGTTCGGACCCAGAAGCCCACGGGCAAAGAGCCTGGCCGAGTCGATGACCCTGGGCGAGGTGGGGAAGAATGCATTGGCCCAGAGAATGAACGGCGTGTTGTCAGCGTACAGGCCGGGATATCTCCAGCGGTAGGCGGCACCCATGTCGTACAGCTCCTTAGAGCCACCGATCGAGAGCTGTGTGAGAAGTTTGCCCGGATTCTTGAGAGTCGGGTCCCAGGACGAGATGAACGAGAGCGCACCCTGGGCCGTGGCGGACGAGTTCTGGATCTTAGACTGCAGGCCCAGCCACTGCTTGTACACGGCAGGGTCTGGATACCGGGAACCGTGACGGCTGGTGATGGACGCCATGTCGATGGTGCATCCTTCGGGGATTTCATAGGGGATGTCGGTTACATTTGGGCCTGCATCAGTAGAGGTGAGTTAGAGGCTTTGACTTCTCCCTTTCATTGAGTCACGGTGATATTACCTGGGAACCATGGCGAGTTGCCTCCAAGAAAAGGGGGAAACATGGCGGGTATTGTCCCTGGTTGACCCCCAACGTCGGCGACAGCGATGGATCTCTCCACAGATATCATCGCGAGGAGCAAAGCTGGCCAGAACATGGAGTTCTTCATCTTGAGAGTATACAGACGTGGAGAGTTGTGCGTGGTGAGATATCCGTTGCATCAGAGATGGCAGCACTTCGATTTATATCATCACGATGTCGCTTGGTCAGAGAGACCAGGGGAGAAGTTGCGTTGCGCAGGTCGGGCTTGTCACAGAGGCCATGGAACCAACTTCGATGACACCCAAAATCCAATCAGTGAGTATATCTCTTGCATACATCCCGAACGCCTCGTTTCGATGCTATTTTAAGTGTTCAAAAGCCTGAAAGGCTGCGTAAGTGCTGGAGGTCTATTCGGGAGTTCTCCGAGCAGCAGCAGCAGCAGCAGCACTTGGCATCGAAACAGTTGGTCGTTATTGAGATTTGAAGCAGTACTGGCTGTCTTGATGTGTGTTGTGAAGCCCTGTGCCCTCGAACCAGGGATATGATGTTCATCGAGACACACCCCCTCAAACAGGTCGAGAAAGGTCTGCATTCTACTATCATGATAGACGTCGGTAAAGCACGAGGCTATCATGCAGTTGCAAGTGTGCACCATGAGATAGACTGGCATGGCAAGCAACGACGCCGTGGTGGCTGAGAGCCTCGTATGTAAAAGCCCTAGCTTATCCATGTGTGCCAAGCGGCGGGAAGGACATATCGTTAACGCAGACCCCGTATACCGTGCTTCCATTCGGGCGAGTTCCGGGGTGTCGGGACATCGGCCGGGCTTGTTTAGAATACGGAGAGCATACGAGTACGGGGTAGCATTGGTTCTAGCCCAGACCGGCAGCTGCGAGAGAAGCTCTTTGTGTGTTTATTACTTGGCACCAACGTCGACGGTGAGACAGGGCATCAGGAGCCGGTCACAAGTGTGTCATTTGTGCATCAATGACAGCCGTACTGCCTGCAACCCGAAAAATGGGCTGTGCTATATGGAGGTAGAGGTTGTCGTGGAGTTTGTCGTTAAACTCAGCTTCGCATTCCGAGGTGTCAAAGCGAGATCATTTCCCGAGACGTACGAGAGCAAGAAAAGAGAGGCGACGTGGACTAATTTATCGAGTGGACAGGGGAAAGCGAGCAGCCCGCTCGTCCGCTGTAGGAAAGTTCTCATCAACGTCCCACGGCACAACGCCGCTCGATAAGAGAGAGCTTCGGCGTGCACCTAGAGTCGGTGCATTTGAGGCAACACTGTAAAATGCACAGCAGAATCCGTTACTCGCCGTAACCGTTCCGACCCCCTGGTCTCCGAAGATCTCAGTTCTCAAGTGGGACGTTTGGCCGTTGGAACAAGTTTCGGCAAAGTACATCAGAAAGTCGTCGGTATATGGGCGATGAAGGGAATGAATGTCCACGACACTGGATATGCATATGGTTGTATGCTAGGACAACGCCAGAAAACCCGGGCTCAGGAATTGGATGGCCGATCTTTGACTATCGAGGCTGTGGTCGATCTATGCTGCCTCTCAAAGAAGGGAACTGGCCAACTTCTAGCTCTCTTCAAGCAGATGCTGCTCTTGTTTCCACTGGGATCGCCGCTGAGACTGCCCTGGCTTCCTCTCTCTTTGAACTTATCGAGACTCGAGATCTCGATCTTCTTTTCCCTCCTAGACGATAAAAGACGACAACCGATCAACGTATGCATGTAAAGCGTTGGCGAAAGGGCACAAAGGGGGGAACTCTGCAGAAACTGAAGTCTATGGCAAAGCAGAGATATCGATTCAAAATGGGCGAACTGCCACCCTCAGAGCTGACACGGAAAACAACAAATAGGAGAAGTTTCGCAACGGTCCAAGACCGGGGAGTGCTAGCAATGCGGATTCTATTTCGCCCATGGTGAAGCACAAGGCGGACAGCCGTCCCATTACCCTTCGGAAGCCTATTCTTTCGGTGACTGTCGCGACTAACAATTGACTGCGGTATTATTACCCCCTTCCATAGTAGACGCCTCCAAGCGATCCGCGAAGATCCTCCATCTTGTTCCCGATCCAATCTCTGTAATATTCTCAGACAAAAGGCCCGTTCGTGATGAGAAAAGACTCGATCAGCGTGCCACCCGACCTGAAGATGCAATCATCCGGTGCATTCAAATAGCCCAGGCGATAGAAGCTGAGCCCGCCGCTGTTGCAATTGGGCCCGGCGAACACCCATATGTAATCGTTCACAATCTCGGACCCTACTTCGAGAGCTGACCATGACTGTGCTGGCGAGGCGAGGTTGTGGCCTGAATGGACCTCCGTGTTAGCATCTCGTGCTTTTGGGAGGTATCGTTTTGCGTCAGAAAGACGACGCCATCTTTCACAATCGGGGTGCATCTGCCACACACACACACACACACACACACACACACACACCACGCACTCTTACATGTTTGGCAGGGAGGCGTGAGTTGTCTTACATTCGTTCAATGTGCCGACGGTAAAGACCTGGGTTGCCACTTGGCATTGTGTGCTAGACGAATAAAAGCCAAAGACTGCCTCCCAGTTGTTGCGGGCTGCAAGGGCTCTCGATGCTAGGTTTTCGTCTGCTGTCGGTCTAGCGTGAGAGAAGGCTCCGGCTGAAAGAAGGACGATCAAGATCTGATACAGTATCTTCATTGTCGATATTATCGCTGGGACGAATTCCACACAGTACAGCCTTCGGCAGACAGTGAAGAGATGAATTGCTGAGCGGTAGGTACTTCCACCACTACCATCATCGTCCCAGTTCACATCTTTTGGGCATCTCGAGCTCTTTATGTATACGCTGGAGCTGGTCGATCTGTGTGTAGCGCCGCAACATCTGGTCCCAGAAACAAACCTCAATTTGTAATCCCACCACCGAAACAAGTAATATTGTATGGTGGGAATTTAAGTATCTGACACTCTGCGGCAGGCTAGCTCAACCTCGACCCCCAGCACGGAGATTTCAGGGCAGTGCAGATCCGAAAAGCGGGCGGCATGGGGCATGCATGCGACGACCTCGACTATTAGTGGGACTCTTGAGTTATCATGAAAATTCCTGCTTCTTTCGTAGAAATACCTAGTTGTATAGGATGTATTTCCTTTTTCGGTACTTGGTCGTTTGACTGCCTGGCGTGAGGCGGGTCCCATCCCAAAGCCTGGGGGCCTTTGAGGCAACTTTTTGGAGCAGCTCAGCGAGAGCTGTCTGCAATATAGATCCTTGGCAGAGTTACTCTCGCGCTTCTCGAAGGGACATGCCAAATGATCGTGGAAGCGGACGAGAAGACCTTGCAAGATAACTACAGAGTATGCCACCAAACAAATACGAAGTATACGGCGTCAACGCTTCCTGCAAATCTTCTTGGCTGGTACTAGTTCGAATATCAGACTAAAGCGGTCGTCAAATCTGGTTGTTCATTCTCTATTTTCCTTTACTCTATTCCATCTCCTTAAGAAGAAACATATAATCCTCATCGGCCACTGATAGGCATTCTTTCGATGGCAATACCATCCATGCTGAGTGTTATCCGGTTTAATCACTCACGCCCCGACCTGCTGCTGCTCCAAGAACGTCAAGATCCTCTGCTCATACTGCGCGGCGTCTTCGACTCGCAAACTCGGGTCCTGGACCGCGGCTTCCGCGAGGATCATGTCCGCGACCTTCTTGCTCCTAGGGGTGATGTTACATGCAAAGGGGACGGGTCTAAAGATCGGGATGGCCCCGGCTAGACAGAAGCGTCTTTGGTCAGTCTCCCATGAATTGTGTGTAATACAAGGGGTGTAAACCTGGGGGAACTCGAAACCTACCAACTTCGTCACTCGGAGATGGGTTGGCACCCAGGGCGATGTCGAACGCCCACAGGAGCCGGCTGATGACAATGAAAAGAGAAGCGTCTGCGACGTGCTTGCCGGGGCATTCTCGCCTCCCGACGCCGAATGCATAGTGGCTCGGGGCGTGAGCATGCTGCGGCAGGTATCGCGGGTCTTTTGGCGACAGGAATCGCTCCGGCATGAACTTCTCGTGGTCGGGGTAGTATTCGTCGTTGTGATGGATGGCAGAGGCATTGTAGATGACTGTAGTCCTCGCGGGGATCGTCTTGCCCCGGTAGTTGTCGGCCTCACTCGTGGCTCGGTAGAAGGCCAGAGGCGCAACAGAGGCCCAGCGGTGGACTTCTTCAATGGTCGCGGCGATGTAGGGGAGCTTGCTTCGGTCCTCCCAAAGCGGAAGACGGTCGGGTCCGACCACTCGATCCAGCTCTTCTTGGGCCGCCTTGACGAATTCCGGGTGGAGCACCGCGGCCTTGAAGAACCATTGCAGCGTGGTCGCGGTGGTTTCGGAGCCTGCAGCCAGCAGCTCGGAGAGAATGATACGCCTATCAACATCCGAGAAGTTGTCGATCTCAGGGCTTTCCAAGAACCGCTTCAGGAAACAGTCTGGCGCGTTGCCCTTCTTCGTCCTTTCCACAATCGAGTCGTAGAACACGCCCCAGAATCCAATGATATTCGCGAAGACCTTACGTGCACTCGCCCTCCACGGTGCGAGGCTGTCTGGGAGGTAGTTGAGGAGCGGGATCCAATCTGCCATCCAGTAGCCCGGACGCATTTCTGAGACCAAAGTTAGTGTATGTTGCCATTCAACCTCGTGATGCATCATTATTGTTGTCATTATCATACTCTGAAACATATCATACGAAATGGTGCGGATTGCGTCGGGAGTCCGAGTATCGCTGCGGGTGAAGCGAGCTCCGAGTCTGACTCGTGTGAGTGTTTATACACAGTCCACAGGCCAAGGACAAACTCACAAAAGACTGAAAGTGACGCTGGCCGAATATCGTGCGACCTCTGTGTAGAATGCACCGGGGTTTTCCAACATGTTCTTCAGAGTCTGCCGGCTTTCGTATTCCTGATAGGGTAGGAAGATCTTCGAGTTTTGCAATCCCAGGAGACCGTGGATGGCCTTTCGATGTTTCTGGACGTGCAGAGCAGTCGCATTAGCGGGTGTACATGGCTGTGTTATGTATGCTCAGCACAGCTTACTCTGAATTCGTCCCCATACTCCATCTGGACCAACCTTCCCTGGGCCACGATCTTTGCCTGAGCCGATGAGGAAGGACGTGAGGAATACTTCTGGCCTCGTTTGATGATCAAGTCCTCGACAGCTGTTGGGCTGCTGAGGACAATCACTTTGGACCGGCCCATGTTGAATGAGAAGAAGTCGCCATATCGAGGTACCAGTCTGCTCAGCTGCTGGTTGAGCGTTAGTTTCTTGTCCGGTAAGACTCCAATGAACGGTATGCCCTGAGGCCCGTCTGGCCATTGGCCCTTGAGTCCGAGCGGAAGGTAAAGCACTATTGCCAGCACGGCAAAACCAAGATACCACAACATGTTGGAGATTGCTTGAAGAACTCAGCACCTTGAAATTCCTAGAACTGCTTTATGAATCCGCATGATTAGCATCATACATGCGAAGTGGTGAGGCCATCTTTTATATAGAGCGGCGTCGAAACATTGACCGTGATGCCCGCCCATTGAGTAACTGTGCGTTGATAGGCTGGTTGATCTGTGATCAACGACCAGCCCTTGCTTCGTTTTATTAGCCTGTGTAAGTTTGAGGCGTCTGAACGAGGCATCCTTCTGGGCAAGCTGACTGGCCAAGTTGTCGATACCGCTCCGTTGGTGACAGGTTGTGGCATTTTAAAAACCCGGCGGCATGCCTCGGCGCCCGAAAGTGACGCTTTGGTGTAAGCATAGTGAGCAGTACCCAATCTTAACCATCGATTCAAACAGGCATTCATCCAATCGCAGCGGGAAGTGCTAATTAAGCCATGCTGACCACCCATGTAAGCATACGGGGAAGATCAATGGTGGGTAATAACACGCCAGATGGTCACACCTTGAACAAACCAATGTCGAGCTGCTTTTTAGGAGTTTCAAGGTTGAAAGCGTGATCTGTGGGCAAGATCCCCAAGACCCTGGAGATTGAGGACATGGTAGATTCCAAACTCCGTGATGGGCAGCAGCATCGTTGGCTCCAGCGGCTTTAGAGGGTGGAGCTCGGTCGGCATGCGCTCGTATACTAGGCTGTCTAGACCGAGCACGAGATAGAGGGCCGAGCCTCATCAGGTATGTGTTGTGGGTAGGACACAGTGGCTAGTGTACGACGCAGGGCTTCTTTAGCGGACGTTAGGCCGGAGTTGGGGAAGTGCACGTAGCATCAAAGTCGGGAATTGAATGAAAGGGGGGACCTTCGCACAATAGAAAATGCATGCACGCCATCTTTCTTGATATCATCAATTGAGTCTCTGTTCGAGTTCACTCAGTCACAGCTGTTTGCCTCTCCAGCAGTTCTTGCCAAGCTTGAACTGCATAGTATCATTCGAGATGAGCTCCTCTTCTAATGACGCACTCTCCTAGCTACGCTGCATATGGCAAGTTTCTGTCTCCCCAAGAGGCGATAGGCGGAGATAACAGCCTGGCCATGTCCGCTTTGGGCACCGCGCAAGGCTGGTCGGTGAGGGATAACCCCGGATTCCGGTAGGACGTTGGGACTGAAACTGAACAGAGATTGATTAAACATATGTATATATACATGTGCCCGTGTGAGTGGCAGAAGAAGGTCCTGTAGGTCCTCAAGGAATCAGACTGCCTCTCTGCCTGGTACTCTCCCATTTGCATTTGTGAATCATGTCGAAAATCACCAATATCCCAGCGGGCTTCCATTTCGTGGCCACAAGGCACGACGACACCTACGAGTTCATCAACCCCCTCAAAGGAGACGCGACCAACCTGAAGGTCCTGGTGACCGGGGCCAGCAAGGGCATTGGACGCGCGACAGTCATCTCGTTCGCAAAGTCCGGCGCATCGGCCATCGCCCTGCTGGCGCGGTCGGACCTTGATGGTGTCGCTCGGGAGGTCATCGAAGCAGCAAAACAGGCAGGGCGCAAAGTCCCGCCTAAGGTGCTGCAACTGCGAGTCGACACAACCGATGTGGCGGTCGTGGACAGAGCCGTGAAGACGGTGGAGCAGGAGTTCGGCACGCTGGACGTGGTCATCAACAACGCCTCGAGAATGGAGACGTGGAAGCCCATCCATGAGACGGACGTCCAGGACTGGTGGTCGACCTGGGAAGTCAACGTCAAGGGCACGTATCTGGTCAGCCGGGCGACACTGCCGTTGCTCCTGAAAGGGCAGCACAAGACCATGATTGTGATTTCCAGCGCGGGAGGATTGACCACGTCGTGCGTTTTCCATGAAGAAGCATTTTCAGCGAAAGAAGGGTATGTTGCTGACTGGGTGACTGCATCGACAGGGCTGGGGGCAGTGCATACCAGGGCACCAAGACGGCGCAGATACGGTTCAATGACTTCCTCATGAAGGAATATGGAGAGCAAGTGTGTGCTTTCACTTGTCATGTCATGCCATTTCGTCCCTTGCTCTATGGTGGCAACCGCTGACGCACGACGGCATTACGATTATTCTAGGGTCTCCTGGCTTACGCCGTCCATCCCGGCGGCGTAAAGACAGAGGTTGGAACCACAATGCCGGAGCATATGCACCACCTTCTGGTCGCCGAGCCAGAACTGCCGGCAGACACACTAGTTTGGCTGACGAGAGAACGCAGAGAATGGTATGTTTTTATGCTCCACTCAACGTTATGCTATCGCGCAGAGGACCGCATAAAGCTAACTCCAGGCAACAGGCTGGCTGGACGATACGTCAACGCACCGTGGGATATGGAAGAGCTTTGGAGAAAGAGGGACGAGATTCTCGAGAAGGATCTGTTGAAGCTGAAGCTGCAGACTTAAACTAATGATGGCTAGGTATATAGAGAAAGCAGCATGAAACGTCCACTATGCAAGAGTGCGGCATCTCGTGAACGGTCATAGCACGCCAAACCATTTCTTTGCGCGCTCAGATGCAAAAGCCTCGCGGAGTGTCTCCTCAACACCCTTGGGATGGATCAGTGGGAAGCGATCGTTGTCCCAGGGTCGCGGCAGAAGAGTCCCCTCCCTTCCCTGAATCAGTTTGTGGCTCGCCGCCAGCTCCGCATCGACGTCACCAGCGGTCTTTGATTGTGCTTCTTCGTGTTGTGCGCTCTCCACATCCAGGTAAGTGACGTCGTATTGTCTGCCCGTGACTCGTTCGAGGATCTCGAAGATTTCCGCGTACGTGATATTGGTCCCGGAGATGCGATATGTGCGTCGATTTCCCTTGGCCTTGGGAGAAAGCGGCTCTTTCAACGTCTCGACCAGGTATCTTGCGCTATCCGCGGCGCCGATCAAGCTCTGTCTCCCTGCTGCCGTGCCATAGATATTTGCTTTAGCGTTTTTATTGTCGAAACCAAAGTGGGAGATGATGGACCATTCCGTCAACCGGCCCAGCAGATAGTATGTCCATCCCAGATCGGCAGTGTCGCGAGCTCTGGCTTCGAGATGCTCACGCGTTAGGACTTTGTACTTGTAGTAGCGCTGGGTCCAATTCTGGCCGTGGGTGATATCGGCGCCGTACTCGCTGGGATAGAAGTGGCGGACCCCGGCTTCAATGGCCGCGTCGATGATGGTGGGCTGGAGGTACAATCCATGATTTCCTAGGAAGCTCAGCACGCAGTCGAATCCTTCGTAGGACTTTGGAGAAGCATAGCCGGCTGCGTCGATGACCTCAAATCCTTTGGCTTTCAGCTCTTGGATCCGAGCCTTTTTGACTTCGTCGGCGGGCCGTTCGGTATTGTTGAGGAAGGCAATGCGAGTGAAATGAGTTGGATTCTTGACAAGCTCATGGGCAACGTAGTCGCCAAAGCTTCCGGCGCCTATTGCACCGACAAGGAGGATTGATTGGAACATGGTTAGGGCGGCCTCGAAGTGCGTCAGTTGTCTTAAAGCCCTTCAGTCAAAGAAGTTGCCAGTGGCAGTAAAAAGGCCTCGTGAAATCTTTGCTTGGGGATTTATAGAAGGCGTGCCCAAAGGCGCTTCTATTGCATCAGCAGTTCGCTATGCGTTATAATCGACAAAGCATAACAAGGCCTGATCGGCCACTGTGATGACCAAGCAACGCAAGTCCGTATGGAACAAGGAAACGACCAGACATCGTATTCCTCACCCGGTGATATTCCCTGCTGATGAAGCAAGGGCGTTCATATTCAGTCTGGCGTCTTGTCATACCTGCATACACTTACAGGGTATGAGTGGCATTAGGAGGTGATCAAACTTTTGTAGCAATAGAAATCCTTATGATTTCGCATCTAACATTCTCAATTCGAAAATATGCGGTCCCACTCACCCACAGGAGAGAAAATAGAAACGGGCCAAGGTTCGCGGTTCCGTACCCTGCCACCATCCTGGCAACTTCATCGGCACATAAGGGGAGTGGTGGTTGGAATACTTTCGCTCGCCACGACAAAACAGCGACAAGCTAAAAGATTGGCTCGAAGGGGCGCAAGAAGGCCTCCAGCAGGAACAGGGGACAAGCCGAAGCCTTTCATGCGGATAGAGGGAAATGACTAAGTGCTCGATATTCTTTGGTTGAATAGTAATATGCGCTGAGGTGTAGACGTATATCAGAACAAAAGCCGAGCTTCGTCCGATGGAGTTCGCATTCGATCCCACTACCGAGTTGATCTCCTTGATGATGGTGTCAGAGTATCTTTTCCCCTTGGCCTGGGCAGATGATCTAGCCCGTGTGACCGGTCACAGCGGCGAAGATAAGTCTGGTGCTGCTACCCAATCGGTGGTGTAGATTGGAGACGAAGAAAATTGAAGAGTAATCAGGTATTGGTAGCCCGCCACGCCTTATGAGTCGGCGGGAGCCCACTGGCTTGGATCTGTATATACTGTCTCTGCATTTGACTTTGATGTTCATACCGGTACCGCTCGCTCACTGAAGACTGAAGTGGGGGAAAGCATTCTCGGACCGTCCAGTAGAGGAGATGTCTGCCCACCAGCAGAAGGCTTTGGATGGCCCTTTTATGGTAATCCAGCGAAAATTGGCCTGCAATATTGTGATTTTAAACTGACCGTGCTTTTCAGTTGGCGTTTGGCACTGGTTCAACATGGCGAAAGGAGGATCCAGACGCTCTCGACACCGGTCTGATCGAGGTTGTGAAGGAGGCTCTGGAATCGGGCTACCGCCACCTTGACACGGCTGAGCGTGAGAAGTGCAGCAACCGATAAATTGAATCCTGATCACTCACCTGTAACCAGTCTATAACACGGAGAAGGAAGTTGGAGATGCAATAAAGCAATCTGGAGTGCCTGCCTCAGAGATTTACATTACCGGGAAAGGTACTTGTGGTCCCAACCACCCGCTGCATGTGGGAGATCTGACCATGGTCCAAAGTTTTCACTATGTCGGACATTCCAGGAGCATTTGATCGGTCTTTGAAACGATTAGGTGTTGATTATTTGGACCTGTATTTGCTTCATTACCCTTACTTTGCCAAATCCAAGACAGATCTTCAGGTGGCTTGGGCCGAGCTCGAAGCTATATACGACTCCGGGAAAGTTGGCGCCATAGGTGTCTCGAACTTCACCGGGGACCACATTGAGTCGATATTGGAAACTGCAAGGATAAGACCGGCGTGCAACCAGATCGAATTGAACCCATACCTCCCACGGATCGAGCTGCAGGAGTACCACAAGAAACAAGGCATACAGACGTTTGCTTTCTCACCGTTATCACCAATAGTGAGAGCGAGTCCGGGGCCACTTGACAGTGAATTGCTGTCCATTGCAAAGAAACATGGAATTAGTACAGCTGTTGTGTTGATACGATGGGCGTTACAGCAAGATATTGCAGTGGTGACAACTTCAACCGACAAAGCTCGCATGAAAGATCATCTGCTCGCTCTGAATGCATCATTGTCAGAGGAAGAAGTAGCACTGATCAGCAGGGTAGGTGCACAGAAACATTTCAGGGGTCGCTGGAACAATATCTTTGCTGCAGACGATCGGAGCTGAAAGGATGAAAGAGAAAGTCTCAACTGCAGTAATAGAACTGTGAACTGGGGCCTTGAGATCCGCAATCTAATCCGTTGGATGCAAAGGATGCTAGTCAATGTTTACCGTTTCGTAATAGACCACGAGGTGCTCCCATATAGCCTTCGCGATTGTTCTGGTGGGCGTACCCTGAAGGTTTTTCAATGTCACCACTTCCTCGTTCTCGTTCATGATGCATCCAGTTGAGCGAGAAATCCACAATTGAGGGCGCAAAAGACAATGACCGACGTCGATCATGTCTGCACCGAGAGGTAAGCCAGCCTTTGCTGTCGCGAAAATGTCGATATAGACACATGAGAGCTGTTTCTCATTCTAGATGTTCTGGATTGGATACACACTTCTGTCCCTGTGAGGCTGATCGTCCGGACATAGTGGGAAGGTTTCCTCCCAGCGGGCGAAGATGAAATTGGTGTTGGGAAACAACCGAAACACCCGCTGGTTCAGCCCATCAGTGGTCACTGTTGCTCGATCGATTGGCACGCCGATTAGCGCACTATCTGGCTGGTGGCCCCTATTCGTTCTTTTATGGTGTCGACGTTCTCCATATCGGTTGTCCTGGACCCCACATGTGAGAGCATATGGTCATGGCAACTCCGGCTCCGTAGGGCATCTCTGTTCCATTTTGACCATTTAATATGTCGGAGACATGCAAGTGACCAACTCGAGGATGAAAGTTGAGCCAGCCAACTAAATTTCGAGATATCTGAATGCAATAGAGATCGAAGCGATCAGCTGTGTTCCTGGGGGAATGCGAGCAACATTCGGCGGCCATCCAACTTGAGCTTCGCTCTCGTGACAAGAGGGGTCAGTAACGTAGCATGTCTCCTCGAGGAAGGCCGCAGCATACGGCCAGAGGGCTCCGTTCATTGTGAATGTCACAATTCAAACCACAGTCAGGACGTCGGTAAAATAATGCTTGCATCTCTTAAGTCGTGCTCTTCAACCCAGGTCTTGTCTCCAGTGTCTGGGAGATGAAACCCCTGAGAACTGCCCATCTCTCACTTGTTGACGGGATGGCAGTAGTGGTATCTTGCCCACCCACACCGCTGCCAGCGGCCTCAGCCGCACCTCCACTGATGGGCTTTGGTGCTGCAAGTTGCGCCATATTCTTCGCAAATCGATCTCGTTCGCCCTTGTCGAGTTTCTCCCTCCTTTTCAACGCACCCGGCCGCGATTTCATACTCTTTCGCCTAATTATATTGACTTGGTCTCGAGCTCGCTCATCTGTTGATGTGTTCAGCTCGTCGTCGTCTGGAAGAGCAGCTGCGAGGGCATCGAGAGTCGTCACAAGTTTGTTGTTCGGCCGCCTTCGTCTGGGCTTTTTCTTGGCGGTAGATTTTGCGACTTTGTTCATGAGTTCGGCGTGTTTTATTCGACGTTTGTCCTTCTTTGAAGAGGGGAAGAGTGATTCAGATTTGGGGGCCGAACTCGACCCGCCGGACTCAGAGGTTCGTTTCAGGATAGATTTTAGAGGTCGTACGCTTTGCGACGAGGGTTTACGAAGAGGAGCCTGGGAGTAATTTGGTCAGTATCAGTGTATCGAAGGGACTGTTTCGACATACCATTGCATGCAAACGACGTGTACCGTCTACAGGTGTGTCGTAGCACCCAGAGTGGCAGAGAACGTGCACATGAATATCACATCCGTGACGCCAAAGGTGCGAGGGAAAAATTAGGTGGGAGGGAGGCTTATCGATAAGGGCTAGTGAGGCTAATGAGGCTCTCACCAGGCGACGATGTCGTTATCATCTCCAAAGCGTGTCAATCCAGCTGCTGCATACATAACCCGAGCCTCACTCCTCAATTCCTCTCCACTTCTCCTCATGATCCTCCTTCTCGTCTCTTCTACTGCCCGCAACCTCACAGAAAATGCATAGTAATGCCCCCGTTATAAAAAGTATACGACGTGCTAATGGCGCGGTGCCCGCATCCTCTTCAGCCGCTGAGGGGCACATGTCAACTCGGCGGCACAAACGCTTGCCAAACTGAGCACAAAAACGCCAAACACGGAAGGGGTTTGTTCGCCATAAGGAAGCGCCAAAGTCCTTTCGCTCGCAAACACTTTCTTGATCCCGGCTAACACAGACAAGCGCCATGAGATCCAACGTCGGCTCGTTACCGAGCGTTCTTTCGGCACGGACTAGTGCACAAGGAATCCGTTCTGCCCACCCATGGTTGAGGAGATGCCATGGAAATCCGAAAACCTAGATCATTGAGTGGGTGACGCTCTATCAAAGTAGCTGAAGCAGCAGAGTTTACCTCGGTGCCGGGCGATTGGATCGTCGGGATGAACGAGTCGACAAGTCCATGTCGCGCCTCAGCCAACCTGAACCGCCCCTCGTCCAAGCTTCCAAGCTCCTTTCCCCGCACCGATTGAGACATTGATATAAACATCAGCTGGGTTCCTCGTCCTGAGTGAAGCATCCAGACTTCTTCTGAGCACAGCACCAGCGAAAATAAGAAATCAGACTTGATCACATTCTCCGACAGGAATCTTCTGCAGAACCAACATCTCTCCTCCCAGACAACCTCTCAAAATGCCTTTCCACGCAACAGTCCTCTACCCCAACGACGACGATACCACGTTCGACATGTCTTACTACCTCAAAACTCACATGCCTCTCGTGATGGACAGCTTCAAGAAGCACGGTCTCAAGAGATGGGAGGTGCTCGAATATAAGCCCGGTGCAGACGGCGCAAAGCCAAAGTTTTGTGTCGGTGCGACGTTGATCTTCGACTCGCCCGAACAGCTGGGTGCGGCATTGACCTCGGAGGACGCAAAACCTGTCTTTGGAGATATCGCGAATTTCTGCAACAAGGCTCCCGTTTTCCTCGGAGGGGACCTAGTGGGAACTTCTTAGGGCGGAACTCGAGGATCGCGAGATGATGGGACGTCAATAGAAGATGGTTTTGTCAGTCCTGAAACAAGAAGTCTGGTGCGAACAGCGATGACAGAGCAATCAAGAATCAGAGAGATGCTCTAGAGAGATACTCCGAATATGTTCCCGGCTCCACTGCGCAGGAGATCTTCCTTGTCCTCTTGCTGATTGCTAAGGGGCTCTCGCATGCACTGAGTGCCCATGAATTGCCATCGTGCCACACTCGGTGTTGTCCTTTCCCCGAGGAGAGCACAAGTTCGACCTCGTCTCACCGCACGCAGCACAGTCTGGCGGCGAGCAGCCGTGTAATGGAGAATCATTCGACGTTGTTTATCCCATTCTTCACTCACTCGCTCGGCCAGCTCGCCGGATGGCTACCGGGCAAAGAGTCCAAAGACAATCTAGATTCATACTTCGCAACAATTGACGAACAACTTCATAAACACCCAAGAGTATCAGAAAATGAGACGTCGAGGTCTGTGTAGAAGAGGACAAAGATGACAAGCGTCCAGCGTTCCACGCCGAGAAGGACGGTGCTTTATCAAACTGACGAAACTACCATATTCTTCCTAGTGTGAGTGCCAATCCCTGTACCATTGACGTATGACATAGAGGTCACGACCGGAGAAGAGCGACCTTGCTCAGCAGGAGACCAAGAGTGCATTGCCTTCGCTTCGGTATGTCTATGACTGCGTTCCTACCTTGAAGAGCAGCAGCATATGGAGCAAAAGTTGAATGCTAAGTCATAGGGCATTGTAGGTGATCATCTAACCTCAATACGAGTCATTCGGCCACTCCTTCAACATCGTTTGCGATGGCCCCGATCGCACTTGACCAGGCTACTGACCAGCCGGGTCTGCACAAAGGCGTCATGGCACAGCCAAGCATCAGCGAGACAGGAGAAAACATTCGTCTCGCTGCGAGGGACGGTGCATACGACAAGCAGACATCGGGCGCCGCTCCCACCTATGTGCAGGCAAATCTCATAGCCATGCCATCGAAGTTTGCCGCGGATTTCAGGTTGTTGTGTCAGAGGAACCCCGTCCCGTGTCCCCTGCTGGCCGAATCCACGGAAGTCGGGAGATGGGATGAGCTGAAATCCCACGTGCCTGGCTTGAATGGAAAAGATATGGCGAAGGACCTCGACCTGCGCCATGACTTCCCGAAGTACATGGTTTATGAAGACGGCCAGCTGGCGAGATCTCACTGTGGTGACATTGGCGACGTGTGGACCGAAGACCATGTCGGCTTCTTGATCGGGTGTTCGTTCAGTTTTGAAGCCGCACTCACAGCCGCAGGCCTGATGCCGTCCCACATCGCGCATGGTAGGAATGTACCCATGTACCGTACAAGTCTCCCTCTGTGCCCCGCGGGTGTCTTCAGTCAGTCCACATATGTGGTTTCGATGAGACCGTACCGAAAAAAAGACATCCCAAAGGTGCGAGACATCACGCGCGTATATGTCGCAACCCACGGCGAGCCCCTCGACTGGGGATGGGATGCCGTCACCCGGCTTGGGATCAAGGACATCAACAAGCCGGAATTCGGGGACAGCCCCGTCTTGCCTGACGGTTCGCTTCTGACTCCGGGCGTTGGAGGTGGTGAGTCTGAGGAATATGTCCCTATCTTCTGGGGATGTGGCGTCACGCCGCAAGAGGCAGTCAGACAAGCTGGTCTAGAGGGTCCTGTCATTGGGCATGCTCCGGGACACATGATCGTGCTGGACATAAGGGATTGGGACATTGTCCCAAGCATGTGACCTCGGTGACCTGAGTTGGCTTCGTGGGCTGAGGGCAAGGAGCTGGACATTGACCACAGCTGGACTGGTTTCAACGCTTTCTCAGGGTACTCTAGCTCTTCGCTACCTCCCAGGTTGACCGCGAGACCATCACTGAGACGGTCGTTGGTTTACAGTACTGGGATGAAGTGATCTTGCTGTGAAATGGGCATTCGATTCTCAAGTGGACCCGTCCGGGCAGAGCCACTGTATATTACATATCAGAAACAACTACATTATGGAGAAACATAAATAGACAGTGCCAGGCATGAAAACGTTTGGTACTTAGCTGGTTCAGGGCGCGCCATTTCGTGAGACGTCCTCTACAGACGATATTCAGCTCCTGAATCAGTGCAAAGAATCGGCCAACATGCTCAATGGTATGAGTGATATCATCATCGCCAATACCGAGCCGAATATGCACCTCATGTGCGTTTTCGTAAATCTCTCCCATGATGGAGACCTGGTCATTGCGCCCTTCACATTACTCCGGTTGCACCCCGGTTCAATGGAGAGAGCGTCAATCCACGAATCCGCCCCTGCTTTGTAAGACTTCGGGGTTTTCAGGAGCGATTACAATGCTGGTCAGATTCAGATATATTCACCGTGAGCGAAGATCTCCTCCATGCGCTGTGAACACCCTAGCAATAGACGCGACGCAGTACTTTAGCTTTATTCGCCAGTAGAGTACGATATATGACGTACCGCAAAACCATTGGAGCCCGTTCCAGACCCAAGGCGGATCAAACAAATCTCTTCCGACTAACGTGTTGAATCGACCTGTCTAGGAAACTACCAGGTTGAAAAAACAGTGGGAGCAATAACGAGTGCCAGTCACTCACAAAGCCTTCCGCAATGGGTTAGCGCCTAACATCAGTCTTGGCGACTCTCGAACTCTCACCTCTGCGGCTCATCGGACGTCCTTCCTCCCCTCTGCCTTTCTCTCTGTCCCGCGCAATGGACAAACAGTCAGAAGATCGGTTGACCAAGCCCGTGAGAGGGTGGATCTTGGTTTCTAGGCATGAGACTTTTCGGCTGAATCGGAGTTCGACGCCGATGGCAGTTCTTTTCAACGTTTCCCCCGCCCTTGCCCTGGCCGACCACACCCAATTTCAGGCTAAATTCGCCTATCTCCAAGCCTTGCATGAATTGAAGAATACATCCCCTCTGTAAGAGAACTCCACGATGAAGACACAGCACTCCCCAACGAACATTGTTGGCCGCATTAAGATAGAGATACCGGATTGATCAGCTGCATGCAAACAAGCCTCACCAATGGCGACAGGAATACTCAAAGTACAAGGCACCCAGGTGGTCGACAATGGAGGAACTCCAGTCATTCTACGAGGCTGTGCGATAGGAGGATGGCTCAAGTAAGTTCCACCAAAGTTTCAGCTTTCATCGTTTAACAAGAAGACAAGCATGGAAAACTTCATCATTGGATATCCCGGCCATGAATCAAGTATACGTGCCGCGATGCTGGACGTCATGGGCCAGGAGAAGTACGACTACTTCTTCGATCGATGGTTGTACTACTTTTTCACAGAAGCCGATGCAAAGTTCTTCAAATCGCTCGGTCTGAATTGCATTCGTATTCCTTTTAACTACCGACACTTCGAGGATGATATGAACCCTCGGGTCCTCAAGGAGAGCGGCTTCAAGCACCTAGATCGGGTAATTGACCTCTGTGCCAAAGAGGGCATTTATACCATCCTCGATATGCACACTGTTCCCGGCGGTCAAAGCCCTGGCTGGCATTCAGACAACACGACAAGTTACGCGGCGTTCTGGGATTACAAGGACCACCAGGACCGAACCGTGTGGCTTTGGGAGCAGCTCGCCCGCCGTTACAAAGCGAATCCCTGGATTGCTGGATACAACCCCATGAATGAACCCTGCGACCCCAAACATGTGCGCTTGCCCGCCTTTTACGCGCGACTGGAGAAGGCAATCAGAGCTGTAGATCCAGACCATATCCTGTGGCTCGATGGGAACACCTTTGCGGCTGAATGGAAGGGCTTTGACACCGTGCTCCCAAATTGTGTCTATGCCCTACATGATTACAGCATGATGGGCTTTCCCACCGGACGTCCATATGAAGGCACATCTGAGCAGAAGGCGAGACTAGAGGCGCAATTCATGCGTAAGTCGGAGTTTCAGAGGAAGCACCAGACTGCAATTTGGAATGGCGAGTTTGGTCCCGTGTATGCAAATCCCAAGTGGGACGAAAACGCTGAAGAAATCAACCAAAAGCGATACAACATGCTAGGCGAGCAGCTGCGCATTTACGACAAATTCCAAATCCCGTGGTCAATCTGGCTCTTCAAAGACGTTGGCCTCCAGGGCATGGTGTACACGTCGCCCGATTCGGCCTGGAACAAACTGGTCGAGCCTATGCTGGAAAAGAAGAAGCGGCTGCAGCTGGATGCATGGGGAAAATATCCGTCCAAAGAAGTCGACGACGTGATGCTGCCCCTCATCAGCTGGATCGACTCGGTCTCGCCCACAGCGAAGAACGTCTACCCGTCCACGTGGAACACTGCGAGGCACATTGAACGCGCCGTCCTGCAGACCTTCCTGGCGGAGACATTCTGCCAGGAATTTGCCGAGCTCTTTCGCGACAAGGATGAAGGCGCCCTGGAGGAGCTAGCGAGGAGCTTCAGCTTCGATAACTGCGTGCAGCGGGAGGGGTTGAACAAGATCATGTCCGACTACGCCGCCGTTGCGTCGAAGCCCACTTGACAATAGATTAGGCGGGAACCCGGTGTCGGTAACACAATACAGTCAGCGTCCATGGTGACGGCCATTCAAAATGTTCCGCTTCCCACGAGCACATGTAGCAGGGCATGATAGTCGGGCACTTCCCGGCACCTCAGACCATCTCAGAGGCCTTTCTGCCTCATATCTTTTCTTGCCTAAATTCATTTTCTTGGTATCGGTCTTTTTTTCGTTGTCGACTCCAATCATTTGGGGACCTGTGGGGATGCGTGGGGAAACGGGGCGACAAGGCTGAGCTCCATGAATTTGTCGTGTGGTCTATCTGGTTCGGCAGATACGTCAAGGAGTAAATGCCAATACTTTCTGTCCTACATAAGGTCCTCCTAGGCTCCCATGCTCGTCATACATAAGGCAGTTCCACTTTATCATTTTCTGAAAGCGAAAGGCTTCTCTTTGAGTCCCATCTAGTTGACGAACCCTGTCCCCAGGGATAGAGCCACCATGTCGAAAGCAGTCGCCGGCCATGATGTCTCTGCCAGGGACGTCGCCAACGTTTCTGAGATCTCCCACCTAGTCGCACAAGACAAGACGCCATGGTACAGGAAGAAGAACCTTCGACGTCTCTATCTGTGTCTTGTTCCAGCCGCGTAAGTGCCGTCCTTCTCAAGTCCAGGCCGAGCTGTTCCGTTTCGTTTCACTATCCGAGAAATTTGTTTGCTGGTTCGACAAGACGCTAATCTCGATATGACTCAAGGCTCGGAGTGGAAGCCACAAGTGGGTTCGATGGGAGCGTGCTCAATGGGCTTCAGGCTGTCGAGCCTTGGGAAAAGTGTAGGCTCATCAGCATTCGAAAGAGTTCAAACCTAACACACTGCACCAGACTTTAACAACCCTAACGGCGCCCTCTTGGGTGTGATTACCGCAGCTTTCTCTATTGGCGCCGTGGCGGCGGTACCACTCGTCCCTTATGTCAATGACCGCTTTGGGCGCAAGCCTTGTATCGTGTTCGGTAGTGTGATCATTGTCATCGGCGCAGTCCTGCAGGCTGCAGCAGTTGACAGTAAGTCGGTAAATAACCGCTTCTATCCTTCATCTGCTAACACGATCAACCAGTTGCCATGTTCCTGGTGGCCAGAATTATCCTCGGAATGGGAATTGTATACGCAATCAGCGGAGCATCCCAGCTCATCGCCGAGCTGACATATCCCAAAGAACGCTCGGTGATCACGGGTCTTTTCAACGAAAGCTGGTACGCTGGAGCGATATTGGCCGCTGGCATCACGTTGGGAACATATTCCTGGGACAGTAACTGGAGCTGGCGATTGCCCTCACTGTTGCAACTCTTGCCTTCGTCGTTGCAACTCACATTCATCTGGTAGGAATTCCCCCTTCTAGGTTCTGCAGAGAGGTTGACGTTCTCAGGTTCATCCCGGAGTCTCCCCGTTTCTTGATTTCCAAGGACCGCCATGAAGAAGCTCTAGAGATTTTGATCAAGTACCACGCGGAAGGTGATCGGTCAAGTCCATTGGTCGCAGCAGAATTCCAGCAGATCCGCGAGACTATCCGCTTGGAAATCGAGAGCACCAAGAGGCCGTGGAAAGAGCTTGTGACATCCAGTGTCAACCGACGGCGAGTGTTTATTGCAGCTTGTGTCGGCCTATTCTCGCAGTGGTCAGGCAACGGCCTCGTCAGCTACTACCTGAGCAAAGTCCTGGCCACGGTTGGAATCACCAAAAAGAGGACTCAGAATGAGATCAATCTCGGCCTTTCCTGCTGGAACTTGGTCACTGGCGTCACCGGTGCTCTGCTTGCTCACATCCTTCCCCGGAGACGCCAGTACTTGATTTCGTACAGCGGCATGACAGTGCTCTTTGCGTGCTGGACTGCGGCTTCTGCGGTGTACGCAAAGGATCACACCAACCACCACGCTGCAATCGCTGTCGTCGCACTGATCTTCATCTACTACGGCTTCTACAACCTCATGATGCCACTCACCTACATCTTCATCTGCGAAATCTTCCCGTTTATCCATCGGAGCAAGGGCGTGGCAATTACGCAGTTCTTCTCCCGTGGCGGCAGCTCCTTCAACCAATTCGTCAACCCCATAGGGCTCCAGGACATCACATGGAAATATTACATCGTGTACGTGGTGTGGCTCGCCGTGGAAACCAGTGTGATTTTCTTCGTCTATCCTGAGACACGGGGCCCGTCGCTCGAAGAAGTTGCTGTGATCATGGAGGGAGACAAGGCCAAAGTCGAGGTCATTGAGGTCGGAGCATCGACGGCGAAGGGTGGAGTGGGCGTGCAAGAGGTTGAGAAAGCCTGAAGAATGTCTCCCAGCTCAATGGGGCTCTGTTCGAGCCTGAGAAGGCAAAGTATGGACATATTTCGTTCTCTCGCCACGTTTGGGATGGGCCCATTTAATCACAGAATGAGACAATCCAGCCTTGAGTCGTTGGCGGTCGTTCCTTTGCGTTGTGCGATCAATACGAGGTACGGAGAGTGACTGCCTGCAGCTGCGCTGACAGTGGGCGCCGAATAAGCTCCGCCGACCGTCAGATTAGGGTTTCAAGCCCCCGTAAGAGGAGACACGAGCCAATGGACGCCGTCAAATGCCCTCAGTTTAGCGGCGCCGGTGCCTACAATGGCCCCTGATTAACTGATCACAGCGCCACCAGGGGTGCTGGTGTGCCAGGCACGACAGAGCTTCTACGGGCACGGGATAATTATCATTTCGTATGGAGTACCTCGTACCATGTAGATACCCAGGCACCGCCAGATCACATTACGAGGAAGCGGGGCATCCTGACGATCTGGTTTGATTTCAGGCCTCCCGTTGATCCCGCCATGGCTTTCGCAATTCTCCAACCCCCAGTTAGCTGGACTGCTCTGAGGGCTTCGCTGCCCTTTACCGCCGTTCACGATGCTTAACATGCAATTGCAGCTCAAACCATGACAGGTTGCACATTTGCTGCAACTGACCCTCACCCAATCTCTTCCGAAGCTCCTCCCTCCGACAATGTCCGCGAGGACGCATGTGAAGCGCCTGATTGTCTGTGTGGACGCTGAAGAGTACAGCGGGCCAAATGGAACTTCAGGTGCGAGAGTATACCAGTGCCTTCATGGAGTCAAACTAACGAAATTCAAGGAGACGGCAACCCTAGTAACATCTTCCGAATCCAAAGCATCATCCCCGAGGGTTTGTGCATTGACACACATGGTCGGACGGTCGAACAGAGTGTTCGCTACTATCACGCCGTCTCTGATGGCCCCAGTTTGATAGAGAGGTTGAAGACCCGTGTGGCGACACCATACTACGAAGACCAGATCAAATCCATTGCTCGTGGCATATGCGAGACGCTGGAGGAGCCCCAGGATGAGCTCTTCCTCTATGGCTTCGGCCGAGGCGCTTTCATTGTGCGCGCGGTGGCCGGACTGCTCAATACCCTGTGTTTGCCCAAAAGCACGTCATTGAGATACTTCGACACACTCTATCAGACGGCACTGGATGTCTACAGAGCGCGAAAGGAGGATGATAACAGGAACGGGCCCAAGATGATTGAGTTTCTTCGGTCGCATACGACTCGGCCACCGGCAATACAATTTGTTGGCCTCCTGGACACCGTCAAGTATACTGCCGAAGGTCACATGCATGACATCTCGTTTGTCCCATCCATAAAGAATTTGCGACATGCCTTGGCTCTCAATGAGACTCGCTCTCAACTGAATGCCGAGGTCTTCGACCCGCCATCTTCTCACGATATGCCGGGAAGGAGTTTTACTCAGGCGTGGTTCATGGGCTCGAACCAAGATCTGGGAGGTGGCACCCGAGATGATGGCCTGTCCTTGTACCCGTTGCAATGGATACTCATCGAAAGCATGCGAGCTGGACTCGCTCTTCAATCCCAGCAGGAGCAGCCACGGACTGTTGGAAAAGAACATCCCCTCTCTTTGGCATTTCCTCAGTACGCTGGCGAGGTACCTAAGCTCGACGGCAGTGAAAAGATTGAATGGCAGATATCCCATTCGAACGGCATACAAGTCAGCCTCTACGATTTGCAGTCTCTGCATGGACGTTTTGCCGATGACAACCGAACCCACAATTTGCAGATCAATTCTTCAAGTTCACTTTATAACAGCTCGCGTAAAGTTTTCAATTCAAAGGGGATCATTGGATGGTGTGATGATGGTACATAGCGTGATCGATGCTTTCAACACGCGCATGGTTCTAACAATCCTCCAGGAAGCTACGGAACGATAATTCATCCTTCGGTATTTTGCGTCCTCGACAGATATCCGCGGTTCTACGAACAGTCGCGATTCAAGTCCCTGAAGAAAGATTTCGCCGACTATCGGGAACGTTGCTTGCAGGAGGAAGGGGGAGCCATCCCTCCGTGGCTGGAGGGATTACAGTTGCAGGCAAGCGGCGTCAAGGCATTCCGAATATTGGTTTGTGGGAAGACGGGTGTCGGAAAATCGACTCTGATAAACAAAATCTTTGGGGTTGAAATGGTTGCCTCTTCTCAATCAACATGTTCAATAAAGCGTCAGACTAACAATCTTTTCTAGACCGAGGAGTCCGACAGTTACAAACAAGGAAATCACGACATCAACGAAGCCTTTGAATCTCCCAATAACCCTGGGCTCATGATCCACGACTCCAGAGGATGGCAAGCCGGGAGCGAAAAAGAACTTAGTTGATTGCCAAGTTCCTTCGCCATCGGGCATTTCAGAAAGATCCAGCCGAGGCGCTGCACGTAATATGGTGGGTTGTCTGGCGTCAGATCGGAGAGCTCGACTCGCTCACCAAGTTGACAGGTTCTGCGTTGATTCGGATATCAGCCGGATCGAGGAGGCGGACAAGCGAACCTTCGACACTATTGCACAATTTTCCAACCACGTGCCGGTCTTTGTGATTGGGACCAAAAAGGACAAGCTGATTGCCTTCCGCAAGATGCAATTGCTGGAGAAGTACATGGAAGAGACGGGCAATTACCGCGAATCACAGCGGCTCGCAAACGAAGAAGCGGATAGATTGGCGGAGGAACAGTTTGTGGCACTCCGCCAGGAGCTCTCTCGAATCAAGCATTATAAGGCAGATGGGTGCTGCTGTCTCTCCAAAGGTCAGTGCCCTGTGTCAGCGTCCCACGTGGTCCTGGAATGCTAATTAGGATTGGTAGACGACGACCAGGCAGTTAAAAGACTTTTGACGCAAACTCTAGATCTGATTGAAGATGAAAAGGTCCGAATCTTCGCAGTTGCCGCACAAGTCGTCGATGTCGAGCAGAAGATTGACTCTGCAATCACAGAATGCATGCGCTTGGGCCTCCACGCAGTCCGCACTGCCATGGTGCCGTTGCCGTTCTCGGGCGCGATAGGCACGCCGACTGTCGCGCGAATCCTGTGTCAGCATATCCTTCAATGTTTTGGATTCCCCAAGGCGTTACCAGAGGAAGTGGAAGAGATCATGACCAGGGTGGTGCTCGGTCATCTCAAGAAATTTATGACTGTCTCACTAGCAGAGTTTGTCGGAGTCGGCATGGTGACTGCAGGTGTCATTGTCGGCACAATGGGAGCTGGTGGAGCCCTTGCGCTATCACTATGCATCCTAGCCGTCCCTCCAACGGCGAGGATGTTGTTCAAATGTGCTTGTGACATGATTCTCATCCTCGAGCGAGCATTCCGGTACCAGGGCAAGTACGTTTCAGTGAAGCAGATCGAAGATGCGGCCGTCTACTACACGACAGCCATGACAAAGACTTTTGCTGGGAAAGAGCTCCTACTACAGAAGCATGTTCATGACGAAGTCGATCGCTTGATACCTCTGACCAAGGTAACTGCGGGAATGAAATTCAGCAAGCTTCGCCCGGGGCTCGAAGACATTATTTACAAGAACCGGTTTCAGAAGTCTGAACCAGCGAAAGACGACGGCAGGCTGGTGGTCCCAGAGCTTGGTGGGCAGGTACTTGCGGAGCTCGACGCAACAACGAGTCCCATTGAGCTGCCGGGCGGAGGGAGCCTGCCTGTCGAGCTTCCAGCAGTGGTGGAAATTTCATCCCAAATCCGCGAGAAGGAGGCGGTGCAGTCTGGGATGGCATCAGCCACCAGTACGGCTACGACGACAGACGATCTTTTCGGCCTGGAGGACAAGACCATCAGTAGCCACAGCGCGCCGGCAACGCGTCAGACAACCTCGTCGCCGCCCACAGAGATATCGGCGGAAAGGACGAAAAGTGAAGGAGTATTCTCAAGGAGTACACGAAAGCTATCAACCAAATTGGGGTTGAGGAAGTCAAAGATGATGCAGACCTAGACGGGATATCAAGGGTTACAGATGTGTATACGACTGACATGATAGATACCCTCGGAGGAGAGCAGGAGAGTTTTCCCCAAACAGGCAATTTGGCGGAAGCCGCCATTAGCGTGTACGATCTCGTACAAGCCTCGGGTCTTGGCGTCAGCTCGCCAGGTTTTCCTCTTTTTCGCCTTCGCCCCCGAAATCCCTCTTTCGGTGATGGCCGCGCGCTGTGCGACATACCGGCTGTTCCCAGAGGCTCTTATCTCAGCGCATACATCATCAGCATCGAATCAAAATGAAATGGACGATCTCCAAGCAAGTTGAGATAGGTACCCGCCGAGAAGACGTCTTCTGCCTTGTACGAGGCTGACACAGCCAGTAAACACGATGTGTATCGTTCGCAGGAAGAGATACACATCACCAGAGGACATGGATATATATACCTTCCAGGTCCGCTGGCAGTCATGTCTCAGCTCATCCAAAGCTCTCACGCTGTAAGTTAAGATATACAGCCAACCTTCTCGCAAAGAAATCACCATGCCAGGAATCACGGTTTCGCCCATTACCCCGGCCCGACCTGAGTTTGGAGCTCTTGTCGACGACGTGGACTTGGAGAATCTCTCCGACGCAGAGTTCGAGGCCCTCCGCAACGCCCTCTACACCTACAATGTCATCTGTGTGAAGTCGCAGTCACATCTCACACCCAAGGGTCAGGCCGAGCTGACACGCCGCTTCGACCCGGATGCGATGTCTTACGGCCACGGTAAGACCATTGATGCCAAGCGGTCGATCCTTCATCCGGACCTCAAAACGGTGCCTCACCAGCCTGAGGTCCAGGTCATTGGCAATGGCTTTGTACCCGAGTACGAAGGCCTCAAGGACATCACCTTGAAACACCCTCATCACCGCACATTCCACAAGACCGTCATTCCGGAGGACAAGGACCTAGATTTCACCCGCTTCTACCGCTGGCACATCGATGCCGCACTGTACGGGGGTCTGCAACCACCGTTGGTGACGTCCCTGCTTGCTGTCAAGGTCCCCTCCGGACGGACGCAAACCCTTCTCTACGATGACGGCAGCGACGACACCCTTCAGGTCCCCCTGGGCACCACCGCCTTCGTGTCCGGGTACACCATGTTTGACAACCTCACGCCGGAGCAAAAGGAGTTCGTGCTCACCTCCAAAGTGGAATACGCACCACATCCCTACGTGTGGATCTCGACTGCGAAATCGCGCCCGGACGGACTGGGCATGGTCTCCGAAGGCAAGGAGGTGCCTGTCGAAGACCTCCCGCCGATCGAAAACGCCTCCGACGTGCAGATCCAGCCGCTCGCCTGGCAGAACCCCGTCACGGGCAAGTTCGCCCTGCAGATCCATCCATCGGTCGTGCGCAAGATCCACCTCGCTGACGGCACCATCATCGACGACCTCGCCAAGGTGCGGGAGATCGTGCACGATCTGCAGCGCCCCGGGATCGCGCCGGAGCTGGTCTACGCGCACGACTGGAAGGAAGGCGACTGTGTGCTGTTCAACAATCACGGTGTCCTGCACAGCGTCGTGGGCGCCTTCAGCAAGGACGAGGTCAGGTTGTTCCGTCAGTGCAATCTGGCCGCGAGTCGGCCGCCCATTGGGCCGCCGGAAGTCCTCCCGGGTACGGTCCAGGCGTAGTCAGCTACATGCTGGCTTCGGGTGGGGGTGATGATGATTATGTATGATCAGGCAGGGAAAGGATTGCAGGATATGTGTAGTTTGCTGGTTTACGTCGCGTTGTGGACGCTTTTAGAAGAACAGTTTCAATAGAAAAGAACACACCTTTTCATCCATGCGGTCAGTGATTCCCATTTGCACACACATGTCTCTGCTGTACTTCACTCCAGGAGCTCCTCTAGGGAAGAAGACATCGTCTACTCGTGGCCCTCTCGATGGATCAGCCTCCGTCTATTGACGCCATCTCTGAAGCATGAGTATATCAGTCTATCCTACTGGCTTCTCGAGGCATCGCTTTGATACACCGTCTCTTCCCAGTGGGCCACGTAATACAATGGCTGCTGCGGAAGCTTCGAGCTGGCCATCATCACCTTTGACACTGGGGCAGCTGTTTAAAGGTTTTCTCACATCATCACTCAGATGCTGGGAACGGGTCACGGCCAGATTTCTCTGACAATGTCGGTCACGAAGAGACCGGCCCTGTTTTTGTTTTTCTGCCGGCTTCTCACTTACTTCCTCCTGACAGTACAACCTGGCTGCCAATGCTAATCTTCCACCTGCTCTTGATGGGGATTTACAACCAGGAGTTTCAACCAAGAAATCCAGACGACCAAGAGCCGGACAATTTGTTGCGGATCTTGTATTCGCTCCATGACCGATTCAGCGGCTCACACCTTCATCGCTTGCCTCATCAACGAGCTGATATATTGGCTTCCTCAGCGGCTTTCCAACTCCAGGCTCAGAGAGCAAAATATGGTGGACGCACTGGACCGAAGCGAGAATGCCAGCTCCTACCGTTCCTCCGACTCAAGTGGCTCCGCTTCTTATCGACGAAGCTGTGATTATCTCCCATTTCTTTTTTCTTGGAGGAGGAACTTTGTCCTCTTTCGAGCCTCTTTAGAGACAATCAGCCACTTGCTCTCCAAGAACGGAAGGGGCACAGGAACAAGAGACCTGGAATCTTTGGCGACAGGGTCGGTCCCACAGCGCTGGATTTCACAGGGTCACCTTCGCCGCGAGACTACTGGGCCTCAGGCACGCACTTTCGATCCCAGCGGACGTGCTCCCCGTACGCAAAGGCGAAGTTGTAGGTTGCCCAAATGACGTACCATCACGAAGAGGAATCGAGTCCGACAATGCACACGCTTTGGGAAGACCAGCAGCAGAAACAGAGCAGGATAGGGGCAGTTGAGCAAGAGCAGGCAGCCACTGCCCGGGTTGCATCTTGGCGAGGATTATTGGGACACCATGGTCGAATATCGCCTGGGCAAGCAACATCGTCAGGATGCGGTGCAAGCGACCCAGTAAGATGGTGCCCATTGCCCAGGCGGTGGTCTTTGTGTCTCGTACAAACGAACTAAGCCGTGGGAGTAATGAGGCCAGGGGAAGGGCGTGTGTATGACAGTATGTGTGTGCCTTGCAGTCCCCATTACATGTCTCCCTCGTGGTCTAGAACGTCCGTCCGTCGTCTGTCTGTGTCTGTCTGTGCTTCGGCGCCCACCCGGGCTGTCAGAAGCCCGTGGCAGAAGAGAAATGTCGTTGGGGTTGAGGCCTCGTCTTATTGACCTCGTGACTATTTGGGAAGTTGGGGCAAGGGATAAGTCCAATCAATCAATCCATAATCAGAAGTTGCATGCATGCATGGCCTCTTCCCCATACGAGCCTACCTATACAAATCCGCCACCCCGGATCTCGCCCAGGATTCGGGGGCTCGTATATCAGGCGCTTCTTCCCCACCGTCCGTTCCATCTGAGGTGCTGTCATGGCTGCTGCGGCGAGTGGCACCCAACCCCTCGTGGAACGCCTGGGGTTTGGACAGGGCTGCATGAGGCAATTCCCGCCGTCGTGTCCGATATCCGCTCCTCCTTGTATAGAAATAGTAGGGACACATCATTGGGAAGCTCCAATAGCAAGTTAGGTAGTTGGAGTGAAGTTGGGAAAAGAGTCAAGTTTTAAGTTTCAATCTTTGCTACGTTTCAGCCTCGTTGGGCTGTTTTGCGGCTGTGGATCTCCGAACGGCGCCATTCCGAGTACGTCGAAATCCCTGCCTCGTGGTCGCTGCATTATTCCAGTCTGTTGACATCATGTAGGCCAATCTTTGAGTCATTAATGGCATGGCCAGGGCTCCACCGCCTCACATGTGAGAAGTGGCCCTCTCACCGTCGGTGAATTTACTAGCCAGTCCGCCTTTGCAGAGAAGGCTGAGCCGGGCTCGGGCTGTGCTGATAAGTATTATGTAGTCCCTTTTGGCTCTTCCTTCGTGGCTGAGGGTGACGGGCCCGTCTGTGAGTTCCACCCTAATCGATCGAAAAATCACTCATGCATATGGCAAAATCCTGTAAACACTGCAGAATGCAAGGATATCTTTCGGATCTGAGAAATCCTATTCGTTAAGGGATCAAGTGAATCCAATTTATCAATTCATCAACGAGAGAACTAAATGCTGGGATGCAGCTAACCCTGCGGCTGCTGAACCTGAAAAAAGAGAGATGCGGCCTGTGCAATCCCAGCTAAACCAGAAGGCGCCTGGGGAAATCTCCTCCAGTTTTGGGAAACCGTGTACACGAAATTGAGATCTCCACACGTACAGCTGAGTCTGGGAGCCAAGCTGTAGAGGGATACAAACATCCAACGACACCCTTACTTAGCACCAAAGCCCCTCCACGTACGTCCGTGATTCCAGCACAAGTGCTTCTTCTCCATGACTGCTCGAAGCGACCCAATCACCTCTTTTTCGTCCTGTGGGTCCGGAAATCCGATATCAATAACCACCTAGGCTTGCGGGCAGGTCCGGAATCGACACTAGCTATACTCTGTTCTGCACCTCGGGCAGCGTTCGATTTGGCAGACTGAGCAGTGAAGGTTGTTCTTGGCAAGCATGGGCCCGTTGTGGCAGTTGCAGCAGTACCAGACCTCGCTTTTCGGGCCATGAAGTTTTGGGTCACCGGAGGGCGCAGAGAATGGCAGGCCAGGATGGTATGTCATACCGTAGTTGTCGTTCTGATGCTGACCAGTTGTGCTATGGCCTTCTTCCACGTCCTTTGGACTTGTGAAGACATGGGATGACGCCTCTGTTGGATATCTGTGTGTATAGCTGCCAGATGGGGTCAATCGCTGCAAGGGATGTCGCCGGAGTCTCACTCACCACATAGTGGACGACCTGGATTTCGTTCTGGCGGATGTTTTAGATCGTGCCTGCTGCAATTTTCCTGTATGTTTTTCTGTATGTTATGAAGTAGATGCGATAGAGCTGGTCAACAAAAGGGTCAATACTGAAAAAAGTTTGGAGTATTTATCTCTCTTCAAGTGGCCATGGCACGACAATGCGTTGCCTCTTCCACCATTCTCCGAGGCTGTGCCAGGATCGAACCAGCAAATCCAAACGCTGCATTTCAATATTCAACGTCCTCTGTAGTCTGCAGAGAGTGGCCGTCGTGCAAATCCGCCTTGTCAAGAGATGCCTCGAACGAGCTGAGCATTGGTGAACGAAAAGGAAATCCTGGGCCAATGTGGATGGATTTCATCATCGAGACAGGTCAATTGGCTCCACTGGTAAAGAGTGAGGGCGTTTCCCCTAGGCAAGAAGATTTTATTTTGCCCGCCGGGGCGAGCGAGCACAATGGGTCCCAAGGCTCCCCTGAAACAGGCCGCTTGGAGTGTCATCTCAGGGGCTATCTGCCAAAAGGGTATTGTGATGGCAGGAACATTCACCTGTTATGAGTCGATACCTTCTCCGATTCCAGAGTTTGTGACTGGCTGGAAGTTGACTAGGTGCCTATTGGATTAGCAGAGATAGGTCAAGGGCAGATATTAAGTGCGGAAGGCACACTGTAGCAAAAGGGTTGCCTCTTGGTTGCCTCCCCGAACCAGCCAGGGGTGGTTCGCTGGCACAGCCCAGTTCCTAGAGATAAAAGGCAAAGTGGAACACACAGTAAGATTCGAGCCCGCAGCTCGCAACAGAGTCAACGACCTAATACGCTGGCGGCAGGACAAAGGGGCGCCACCACGACGATGGCCCACATCGACCTCAAGTCACACCAGACAGACACCAAAAAGGGTCTCACGGCAGGCTCCAGACTTGGGGCAACGTCAAAGAGAGAAAAGAAAACACTCATCTGTGTTTCGGAACGCCGTGAGACGACATAATCTCGACAAGAATTCTTGAGGATCCAGCAGAGTAGGCGTCCTGACAAGGCCAACGATGGATCACTCCAGACGCCGGTTTCGACAACGTAACATTGCAACATGTAACCAGTCAAAGATATCACAGAGTTTCATGGGCCAGGCGGGATCCCGAAGCCGAGGGAGCAGTGCCTCAGAGGAAGTGGAAGTTGATGAAGTTGAGTTAGAGACTCGGTGACTCAGTTTGAGAATTCCCCGGAAGTGTCATCCGCAACCCGTGGGTCTCTATATCCCACCGTAGTGATTCACGGGGACGCACAGTCCCTCCACCCGCAGAGGGCGGTACAAAAGCGGACAACGTCGACATGCCACATCAGGTAACATAGCTGCGTGAATTGGTAAGGTTCTGAGGACGTTGACTAATGGCTGGATCGATCCTTCCTCAACATGGACAGCCATCGGTCAAATAAGAAAGAATCAGCTTTTGGAGGGGTATCAATTAAGTTATGTAGCTAAGACTAGCAGAGACCAGCCGGCGACCAACTGCTCAATCAAAACTGCATCAGAGTTTCTATACCTCCCTCCGTCACACTTTGTCCGAACTTGTTCTGTACGTCCGTCTCGGCCTTTTGTCCTCCATTTACCGAGTCCCACTCCGAGACGGTCGATGGTATCGGCCAAAGCCGTCCATCAATCCATCACACAAGCTGTTTCACAATATCATTCTTCGCCCACAGCCGAACCGTGACTGTTGACAAAAAGACAATGGGGGAAAGTACTGGCAAACATCTGCGTGCGGACACTCAATGTCTCGGGAAACTTGGGATTAATACATCCACAGAATCGTGACTTTTGATGGAATCGATCACAATCAACGGGGCAGGGCCCCGGTCCTCCAAATCAGAAGACGACTCAGCTTGATCATTTCGCTTCTGGCTCTACGCGGTGGTTTTTGCCCTTGCTGAGGATGGCGTCGATGATATCCTGCGAACACTTGTTCGCAGTGTTCACCGACAAACGCTTAGCGTTGGGCATCTCGGCGTCCGGCTCATTGTGCGACTCCACCAGGCTCTCCATTTTCGGCCTTAATGACAGCGAGGTTCTCGAAGTAGCTTTCTCGTCATTTGCATGTGGTTTGTCAGTCTTTGTCTCTGAGCTGTCTGACGAGGCAAGAGACGGTACCAGCTCCAGAAGCCGAGGCGGCAGCATCGAAGCATTGTGCGGCAGTGACTTGGGCGAGGAATTTGGTCCTTCGTTAGGCGAACTTGAGTTGGGGATTCCTGGCGTAACTGCCCGCGACGGAATCATCGAGCTGAAGGAAGCTGTTGAAGCTCTGCTGAGACTCGGCGTGCCTGAAGCGAAGTCTCGCTCTTTGGTCAAGAAAGGATGCTCCAGTAATTGTTTCGCGGTCCATCGTTCTTCGGGGACCCACGTGATCATTTTCTTTGCAAAATCAATGAACAATTCTTTTTCTTCCCCTTTCAGCCTAACAATGGAAGATTCGAATGTGTGTTCCTCGACATAGTCTGGAAATTTGAACTGGCCGTCAGCATCAAAATAGGCCGGTGCCTTGGCACAACGCTTCAGGAAATCTGTAGGTGGGGGACCCAGGAGGGCGATCATCAGGCCCAAGTGCTGCTCGGGATGGTAGTGGCCGGGTTTCGTATCAATCCGATCAAACAGTCCGAAATGCTCAAACAAATCCCACAGCATGACTCCCAGATTCCATATATCAGCAGGATAGGACCAGCCCGCTTGTAAGATGACCTCGGGCGCCATAAATGCATTGGACTGGATGGGTTTCGTGTTCTTCTCGTCCCCCCACGCTGCCAGGCCGATGTCAGTGATTTTGGCAGATGCGATGACGGCTTCGCTGGGCGGCTCCCCGAAGTCACTGCAAGATGTGTAGATGACCCGTCCATGGCTGTCGGGCGCTTTCCGGGGTGCCGGATGTTCCAACTGAGTCTGCACAAAGTGGTCGAGAATATTGGGATCGCCAAGTCCCATCATGATGTTGTCGGCTTTCAGATCGGTGTGCACAACATGGCACTCGGAATGCATGTAGTCGAGGCCCTGCAGTAGAGCCGGAAGCAAGATGCGGAGTTTCCCACAGCTGAATCGCCGACCGGGGAATTTCTCCATGCACAAATCAATGGGCTCTCGCAGGACATCGTACACGATACACAAATGGTCGCCATGTTTCCCCTTGAGCTTGAAGGTATCGAGCATGAATCGGACATGGACGTAGCCAGGATGTTTGGGGTTTGCAGAGAACAGCTTCTGAGCAATCTCTCGTCGGCCTTTTTGGAAGTCTTCGCCGAGGGTATTGACGTTAATCTTGATAGTCACATATTTCCGATTCCCAGCATTTGGGTCACTATTCGGCAACAACGCAGATTAGACAACCGTGTCACAAGTATGCCGGCATTAGCTGGAGACTTACGCTTGAAGATCCCTAGCGAGCCAGACGGTGGCCGTCATGCCAAAACCAAGTTTGACCACGATTTCATAGCGATGGTTTAATACTTCGCCCAGCCGCACCGGGTACCAGTGGTCTGGATTGTACTTGGGAAGCGTTTCTTCCTCGATCTGCTTATGGCCAGAGATCGTATCGCCCTGTGGATGTGGCGAAGTGCCCCGCGAATGCAGCAGATTATTCAGCGTCTGTTTATTATGGCTGTGTGCCCGTTTGAGCAAGTTGGGACGCATTGTGACGGGACGGCAAGAAAGAGCAAGCGGATCAAGAAGGGATCACAGACAGAGATGCCGACAGTCAGTTTCCATTGTTTTGTTGCTTCGTTGCTTTGTTGAAAAATAGGAAGGTTTTCGGGAAGTGGAATCTGTCTTTTGGTGACGACGGACGTTGAATTTGAGTGAGGCTGGAGCACAGCTGAAACTTGTAGTTGTTGGCCGGCAGGGCGGATGAATCGGCTAAGGCGGCGACGTCAAAATCGGGCCCGGGAAATCCTGGTTCCAGGTTACTGTTGCAAGTCAGCCAAGGGTTCAGGAATGTACCATCACCGTAGTTGACGCTGTCGGGCGAAGGCGGACGGAGAAGGGGATGGCGAAACCTAAGATGTGAGGGAAAAGACGGTTCTGGAAACAGGTTTACCAAATGGCATACGAGACGGGAACTGGGCACATGGCCCAAGGGGCACTGTTATTCGTGAATAGGGACAAAGGGTTTGATTTCTCAGAAGACTGCAGAGGGGGGTGATGGGTGACAGTGGGCAGTGAACTAGGATGAGTGATCGATCCCTGCAAGTTGCAACGCCGCCGGCGCGCCTCTTACGTGACCCAGCTCTTTCTGATGGCTCACAGGGCACCGAAGAAGCGGCGTGCAGGGGTGCAATAAATGTTGTGGTCCGCACTGATGCTTGTTGTTTGGAGGGAATTGCGTGTGCCGTGCGTCAAAAATGCCACGGGAAACTCACCGATAGGGTGGGAGAGGGGTGCTAGGGTCGGTGGTGGGCGCTTGTGGTGGAGGGTTCTTGTGAGATGCTGTGCCGGCCACACAGGGCACGAGGCGTACAGGGGGGAAATGACCAGCGATGGCGGTCAGGAGTCAGGAGTTGGGAAAGGGAGCGATAAAGATATCTGCGAAAGACAAAGCGAAGCTGAAAGTCGTTTTTAGAAAGTGGTCGGTGGGCTGTCGAGATTGTTGGCCGCTGATGATAAACGATTAAGTAGGTTAGTGGGTAAGGATCTTTGGGGGGGGGGTTAGGGATTTAGGAGGACCTAATTAGGCACTACCTCCTTAGTCAGTTGGCTCCAGATGCTTGGTTTGAGGCTTGGTTCACGGACAACCACCTCCTGAGAGCGGGCGCTAGGCGCTGAGGTTGAACTGGTTAAAGCCTGAACGCCCAACAAAATGGCTCCAGGTGCCCAAGAGCCCGCAACTTGGTCAGCCGGCCCCCCAAGATATGCTCTCACGTGACCGACAGAAGGAGGGGGACATCTGCCATTTTTATCCCTCATAGCGAAAACACGCCCCCAAGCTCTCTTCCTTTCCACCCTTGTATCTCATCTTCTCACCCGCAAATCGCCCGTCGAAGGCATCTCTCCTGGGTGTCCCCTGTATCGACGTCTGATTCCTGATCAGTGCTCTGCCTTTCTCCACTCCCACGTTGCCAATGGGCACCCAGCTACATACCCATCTGATTTCTGCCCGGCTGTACAGCCCAAATCACCAATCCAATTGACCTCTGAGGATCACCCAAGATCAGCCAAGATCTGATTGTATCTTAGTCACTCGCAGATCCTCTGTCAAGAACAGATCCGCTTGGAACGCATGGAACAAATGGAATATTCTCGGACGTGCAGCAGAGTCAAGATCCGGCCATCCACATGCTACCCCAGACGCACGCACACAGCTGGGCGGCTTTTCGGTCAAGAACATTTAGCCCACCGGCAGTGATTTTGCCGCGATGTCATAGGTTCAAACTGCTGCGGGCTGCGGACAATATATCGCGCAACCACTCAGTCTATTTCCTTGGTCTTCATCTTGGATTTCTTTCCTTTTCGGTTTCCTCTGGACATGAACAGATGACGCAAAGATGGGCTGAACCCAAGCAAATGCCGAGCGGGATCACATCACCTTCATCCCGTTCCTTGGAGAGGCCAAACCCTGGAATCATGAGAAAGCATCGCTTATCGGCGTGGGTGAGTCATGTCACCAGATAAATGGTCATCGAGGCAGCTGCGCGCACTCATCGGGTCAACTAATCATCAAGGCACAAAGATACACAAGCAAGGGTAGGCCATAGAGGAACTAGCCATATTTTGCTCAATCCTCTTTCGCGAAACTTCTGCCATATGACGGCCTCTAGTCCCATGAGGGAACAAGCACAGACGATTGGTGCGCCCTCATGCACGATAAGACTGGTCAAGACAGGAATCTGCAACAGCTATGGTGGTCGCAGAAGCCCGCGAAGGAGCAGGAGACGGAGAGGTCACGAGGAAGAGGGTAGCATTCTGGGGAACGGGTGGAAAGACTGGTAAAGAGCAGATCGAACATATCGAGTTGTTCGACTCGTGCGTTCTCGACGATATCTCCCGCAAGGTTGGCGAGCAAGTCACGATATGAGGCGCCGCATGGACCCCAGTATTCGAGCCTGCGACAGTATGTAGAGACCACCAAGGTACCAGCCATGAGTAGGAGGAGCCTAGGATGCCTGGCATTTAGTAGAGAATGTCTTCTATGTTGGGCTCGTTTCCAAGGAACCAACTTGGAGCATTACTTAAGTGAGCCTACGTAAATTCTAGTAACTGGTGGAAGGCCGGTCCCGGTCTCGCTTGTTCTGCGCTTTGTCCGTGCCCTGCCCTGTCGTCCAACCACTGAACCTGCATGCGTGGAAAAGCTCCGCCAATCACCGTAAGGCCGGTTTCGAGTCCGAGTCCGAGAATCTCCTGGGGACCACCGTCCTTTTCGCCTGGGCTTGGTTCACCAACACCGACCACTCACTCTCCGAAGCAAGTACTGTACAATACATACCAATGTATTTAACTACCGGCCCCAGGCCATCGTTGCCTTTACCGTGAGTAGTTGCCTCGTAACTCAACGATGTGCAGAGCATTATCCCGTACCGGGTACGCGATTCAAGCACCATGACCAATCATCCACACACCACGCACATGCCGACTTCACCAGATCAGCCCCCCCGATTCGCCGTGCTGCATACCGTATACGTCCTCCATGTACTTTCATAATCTCCGTCTGGAGTAAAAAGCGGGCACTTGACTGAAGAAAAAGCGAAGCTTGCGAGAGGAGGCGGGCCGAGCATGCACCAATTGGTGTCCTTGGTGCGCTGCCACCCACCCGTGGTGAGCGAATGTCGGCACGTTATGATGGTAAGTAAGTGCTATATAGTATAGTAATCAGTCTCGCGACAGTACCTACCTAGGGATTAAATAAGTATATGAACAGGAAGCCAGCCTGTCTAATTGATCAGAGAGTATAGGCAAATTTACTGTACAGACTGGAAGCAGGAAAGGCCGATCACTCCGTCCAACAGGAATCAACACTGGGCCGCATCGCACGTAGCTCACGACTGGTGGTATGGTCTATCGCTTTGATCAGAGACGCCTAGCCCAATTTCTTTCAGAGACCATCCCTAGACGAAGTTTGAAAAAGCAATCCTTAGTCAACTTCGCAACCAGGGCACTGCTACCGGCACAAGATCGGAAAACAGGGATGGGCTTCCTGCGCTACCTCGAGTACTTCCTCTCACGTCTCTTATCCTCGCAGAGAGGGCGGGACGCCAAACTGCTGACCCGGGCGACCATCTTCTCCAACATCCCCCAAAACGTCCTGGTGACCTCGCCGACGCTGGGAGGCTCGCCCGCGCACCTGAGCACCGAACACTCGCAATTCGGCAGCTCCTTATTCCCGGATTTGTCGTGGTCTCTTGGAACCACTGATAGCAGCGCTACCAAGGGTGTTGTCAAGGAGTGGCTCTTGATCTGCGAGGACCCAGACGCGCCGCTCCCGCTCGTGCCGATTCACGGACTGTACTACGCCATCCCCGCGACGAAGACAACTGTTGGGCTTGAGGACTTCGCCATAAAGCTGGACACATCCCACCCTGCACCGTCGGATGAGGCCGACAGCGCAAAATGGCTTGCGGGTGGGTTCAGGCTCGGCAAGAACTGGCGCGGCACCCTCTATTCCGGACCACGCCCGCCCGTGGGCCATGGCGAACATCGGTATTTCTTCCAGGTGGTTGCCTTGAACGATTGCCTAGACACGGCCAAGATGAAACCAGTGGCCACCAGAGACGACGTGCTCAGGGAGATGCAAGGCAAGATTTGCGGGTGGGGGGAGTGGATCGGGATCTTTGAGCAGAAATGGTAGGATGAAGAGATAGTTGGGGAGCAAAGAGGGATGGAGAGGCGTCAATTACTCGTCCGAAGTGTGGTGCTGCTGGGTTTGCAAACTGGAAAATTGTAATCGTCGCGCAGAGAAAGGGTTAATCAGTATGAAGGAGCCTTTGCCTGTCCATATTCCGAACATCCCCAAGGCAATCACTAATGTCAATGCAGCAACCTTGACCGCGTTGATTCGTGTCAGAACAATAGCAGATACCCGAAACATTTTACTCATACACTTTTCTTCTCCCCTAATCATATCGTGGCAATCGGTCCGTCGGTCCATATGGAAGAGAAAACGTCGTCCGTGACAGGCCAGCCGAATTCGGTCAGCATCGGATCGTCCAAGAAGGTCGAGTAATCAGGCTTCGGTGCCACGGGGACCAAGCCGTCTTCCGGAGCAGCTGCACTCGACTCGTTGCCGGCCTCGACGCCATCTGCTGCACTCAGTAACATGTTCCCTTGGCCAACGAGATAGATCCTACCTGTTCGATTTTCACTAAGTGGAGGCGGGTAGACACCCGTGAAACCCCCAAACTCTTCCCTCCACCACACAATGCCGTCCAACACGACGCTACCAATGAGACGGCTCCGGATGCGCAGTGCTACCAACTCAGTCCCATTGGGTCTCTTGAAGACGCGAGTACTATTGAAGAGCTGAGTCAGGGCAACACCGTTGCGAGCAGGCAGATCATCATTCTGGACCGACATGCGTTTGTGTAGGCTGATCCCCAGGAAGAGGGCGGTTTTAGCTCTCTCAACGTCGGTGTACCGGCTGAGGGAGGTCTTGAGCAACCGTAAGAGCACGTGACTGGTCACCATCAAGCTGTAAAAGAAGTACAGCCCAGCACCAGACAAACACACCTGTCCGGTCTTGTCCAAGTTGTCGAAGGATTCAATTACCTGGCAGGCCGACGCGCACAGCTCGTAAAGCGTACTTGGGTCGTGGGCCGTTGGGGACTTGTACAAATTAAAGGCTTGGATCGTGAGGGTCGCAATGTACACGTAGAGCTGGTCAAGGTCTGCAAGACCGTTAGTCGGGATAGGATATCAAAGGGACTGGTTTTACCAGAGGAGGACTCCAACGCAACACTAGATATCTGCGCCTGGAAGATGTTCAACAACGAATCCAGAGACCTCTCCTGGTCTGTAGTCATTCGCCAGAGCCCATTTTGCGAGACGGCGATGCAACACCTCGTGACCACGTCCTGTAATTTCAACTCAAACTTCAGCTTCGGTGATATCCTCTGGAAGAGTGCCCGTCGCTGTTCGATGTCGTGGGGGATATCGAGCATAGGAGTCGGCGCACTTCCTTTGAAACAGCAACCCCTAGAAAACAATCATTAGTCGGTGCGCCAAGGGTGCCAACACTGATCCCATGCGTACCGCTGGTAGACAAGTGTACAGTATCCCCAAGTCTCAGCACGAATCCTCAGTTCTGCTTCGGTAAGTTTGATCGGTGTTTTGCAGAACTCCTGGCTTGCGACCGGGACGTGTAGCCCGATTTGCATTGCCATGTGTAGCACGGCAGCACTGAGCGGATAGGTCATATCGTGGCCGTTGCCTGCTTTCGGAAAAGGCCAAAACAGGATCAGAAGCAAGCCTTGCACGACGGGCAATCCGATGGTGGCATTGAGCGACAGCAGCGCCATAGTTTTAATTCTGGATGGCAAAACCGAGATGAGGGTCGGGTTTTTTGAATAGGTGCGGCATGACACTCCGATTATCGCCCAGAAGAGGAGCGGAGAAAGGTTGTAGTATCCATTCGGTGAGACTGTGGGATCAAGAATAGGGACCAGGCTGGCGTACTCGCGGAAATACCTATCAAATGCTCAGGCGGGCCTCCACGAAGGTCGGTAGACAAACTTACAGTTGAAACATCGCGTCGATATCTTTGGAATCCACGGTTTGCCCTTCCAGACTCCGTGGCAGGGTGCCTGAGGGCTGATACTCCTGTGAAAGACTTTCCGGGGTCTGCAGTGATTCGGCGGCTGCAGCAGAGAACGATCGAAACGAAACCGGGGCAATGGTTGCGTCTCTGAAGAAAGGCGCCACCGATGCCATGCGACTTTCAGACTCTGCGTTAGTCGTGCGTAGGTCAGCCGCCCATGATGGCCGTGGCAAAGACGGCGACGCCGCTGCCGCTTCGGGATGGTGGCTCGACGATCTAAGGCGTTCTTGGAGCTCGTCCGTCTGATACTCAAGCTCCGACATTCTCCTATTACCACACACCAAGTCAGCCAGGGCTTGCTGCACATAGAGGAGGAGCACCTATGCGTACTTGCGCTTGTGTTCTCGTTTGAACGGCTCGGAGATGATGCACTGCCTGCTCATCTTCCGGCATCTCGTACACGGCTGGTCAGGGTCGAGGTATGCATCGCAACGGGCCTTTCAAGCCATCGACTTTGTATTAGTCGCGGCACACACACAAGAGACGCGTCATGTCCATACCTTCTGCTGCCGACATTCTGTGCACGCTCTCTTGATCACTTTCCCGTCTGTCCTGTTTTGGCTTGTCAGCTTGGCATTCTTGTGGGCGAAGGGACACGGCGGTCAGGCTCACGGGGTGGTCTCAACCTCACTCATTTTACGCGTCTTGTTCGCGGCACCGGCTTCGAAGGCTGTATCTGGAGCCATGGCAGGCAGAGTCAAGTATCTCGCAGAGCTGCAGACATGAATGGCGGCGACATAGAAGTTCGGAGAGGGATGAGACGGAGAAGTGGGCTTCCGGAGTGTCCAAGTCCCCCTTGCCGAGAGATGTGTCGAAGGAGGGGCGCAGGGGGGCGTTTGCCAAATGCCAGTGGCCGGACCATGGCGGGTAACTGCGCCGAAGCTCCGGGCTGGCAGGGCACGTGCATCGGCCCCAGTTTAGTGCGCATATTCTCCCGCCGCTTTACTCTCGCGCTACCAACTATTTGATCTTTCCCATGCTCCCTGATTGCTGGCCTAGCTCCAAGCCCTTCTCTAAAGAATTCTCGTTGTTGTGTGGGAAGTGAAGCAGATGTCACTATTGCCGGCTTGTCGTATGGAATAACATCGACGGAGGTAATACATTCTCGTCTGGACTGCAGGGTGCAAGCTGACAGATGTCCCGAGGTATAGTTTCAGGTCATAAGATGCGTCAATTCCAGCCTGCTCATGGTCTAGGGTAGGTCCTTCCGGTGTCATCCCAATCGTGTCCGCTCATATAAAGAGTAAATGTGTAGAATACAAAGCTCAGGAGGTGGAACACCGTAATTTTGGCGCATCATCCCCATCAAGAGCCCCTTGCTGTCTCCCAACAAAGCTTCCACTCGCGTCCCAACCTGCTGTGGAACAAGAACTTGGTCAGAACCTCACGTATGGAGTCCCATCCAGGCGCTGGGGAGTCCAAGTTCACAAATCTGTCCATCAGTTCCATCTGCAGATGGTGCAACTGGCCTCGCCGTGCCGCGTTCGCCGTCACAAGAGCGAGCCATTTCCATAACTCTGTGTCCCATGGCTTCCCGAAGGTCCAGAAACGTAACGTGTCCCCGAGCTCTTCAACGATCCGACGGTATCCGGAGCAACGACAGGTCCAACCCAGTAGATGTGCATGATAGACAAATACTGCTTTGCATATCGCCTGTTCCACATTGTGCCCCGCTGCAGAAACTCGACATAGTCTCATGACTCGAGCACTTTGGAGGCGTGGATCTAAGCTCATCAGGAATGCTTGGTCTTCCTTTGACAGGGGCTCAGACCCCTGTTCTCGATCAATGAGCCTCGTCCAACGAACAGTATCTGCGAGAACAGAGACGACATCATAAGACAGGTGACCATCTGTCGCCACCGATTGGAACCCCATGCTCATTGTAGAAACGGTCTTGGTGATTATCGGTGCAAATGGTTGGCTTGGGTACTGTAACTGAGTCTTATCAGTTGCAGGGTCGTGTAGAGCGGTTCGATCGCCGAATATCAGCAAAGCATTAGATTCAGCCCTGTCCAGTCTCATCAGATCTTATATGTGTGGGAAGTTCGTGGAACATACCAGGATACGAAGGATAACAGAGAACCTCCGAATGCCTCCATAGTGCTTGGGGCAGCTGCTTTCACCATCTTCCTGAGACCATTCAGGTGCGCTCCATAGGCATCGACATCTAAGAACACATTCTACGCTGGTCAATATGTCAACTTGAGTGGGAAAATTAATTCTTACGTCAATAATCATGAGGAAGACGGTTGCAAGAATAACAGCCTCGTCAACCCATCCGGAGTTCAACTTGGTCCGTAGTCCGTTGAGCGCCTGGCCTTTGTGATAAAGGGCCCAGCTGCACATCCTTGTCTGGAAGTTTTGACCGGCTGCCTTGAAACTCAGGCAAAGCGCTACAGTTGCTTCGAATAGCTCTACATTCTGTAGGGCAAAAGGGAACGTATCTCGGATAAGAGGGTTATCCGTCGCTTGATATCTGAGGCCGGGTCGTTGCGACGGGGCCCAGTTGTGGATATCTGAATCTCGTCAGCAAAATCTTGTGGAAGTAGACAAGGGGACAAAATACAGTGATCCATAGCCGCGACAACTTCGTCGCCTTGACGAACTGGTACAGAGTCAAAAGGATCAAATAATCCGGACGTCGGCTGTCGAACAATTCTGATTGAATCGACCGGCATCTCCCAAAACAATTCCTGTTTGCTATCATAAAAGGAGGCCATTTCCGAATGATGCCGACATTTCTCACTGCTTGGTATAGAATCTGTAACAATTTGTGTTGCCACTGAACTGGATCGGCTTCCTGGTGTGTGTTTCTGGTCTGACTTTCGGTCGATATCTGCCCCCGAAGCCGGTAAGCCAGCAAAGACTGACTCTGGAGATGGGTCACAGTTCCATTGGAGGACCTCATAAATTTTCTCTGACTCCTGCTTGATAATGGTTCCAGCGTCGGGTGGCTCCTGAGATAAGGAACCGCCCTCACTGCTCTTGTCGCCCCCTTCCCGTTGCGGCTGCCCCGGCTTGGCCGCCGGAGCGCCCTTTTTACGCCAATATGCTACCCGGGCGGCGTGAGCTCGAGCTTCGGAGTGTTGGAGTTCTTGTAGGCGGCGCTTGTTGGGCTTTGCATGATTCTTGAAGGTCGATTGATTATAATTTACCAGGGTCGGCATGGCGCTGCTAACGACAAACGTTAATCCTCATGGCGGTTGTCGCTCCACGTTTGAGTGAAATGTACTCAGTCGGCAACCGTGGCCGAGAAACAACAACTGAAACTGGTAGTGAGGAAAGAAGGGCACAGATGAAGACTTCTTCGCGATGATCTTGTTGGTTTGATAATTGATGACCAACAGCCCAAGACCGCGAAATCCTCGATAGATTGGGGGCGATAAGTCGAAACAAAGATGTCCGACAAGCGAGGTGCAGCCAGCCTAGCCACTTCAGAACAAATCGAGAGCCAATCGAAGATACAATCTATGGCGAGAATGGTGTGAACAGCGCCTAGGATTTCGCTCCAACCGTTGACGCAATACCGTTTGCTGGAGTTCTCTTCTTGAGGAAATGATACTGTGACCGAGTCCTGCCAATCCTCGTAGTGAATCGGTCGGACAAGCGACAACGCAGGCACTTCACTCGAGAAGTGCAGCTAAAAGCATATCGCTCTATAACTGAGTGCAAACTGTGGCATTGTTTCTGGCCTAGTCGAGGAGCCACGCACCGCCCGCCACCAGGCTAAGTAGTATTGCTGACCGAATCTGTTGACGTTTTTGTCTGCTAGTGATGCAGGGATTTATGCACGGCAGATCATTGTCCCCTTGGTCTCGAGGAAATGAGAGATGTACCCTTCCGGCGGCGTGCTACAAATGTAGAGCCGGCGTGCTTCTCAGTGGATATTATACCTCCGAGGTCATAAACATAACACCTTGAGGCGTCTGGGAATCGAGTTGTACTGTAGGTAAAGACAGAGGGTGAGCGGCCAGGCGTAAAGGTGAGAATACAATAATAATAGACCGTCAGAAAGGTTGCACGTGCGGAGTGCAATATGGAGCTGCGGGGCCAAGAGTGGTATGTAATAATGTATGTCTTATCGATAACGATGGTCGGCGCTTGTAATCACCGACTGCGAACTTTTTTTTCATGTCGATTCACTGTGTCTGTCGAATGAGTGCATGCACCTCACACAGCGAACAAAGAATGCCTTCTGGGGCTACCAGCGCAACATGACGAGATGATATAGCTGCTGCGACACCGTTACAGCCCCGACCATGGATATTCACAGGTGCCGCTTTGTGCAGTATCCTCCACAGCCGATCAACGCTGTCGCATTTTCTCACTCCTCCAATCCAAAGAAAAAAGCGCCTTCGGACCTGCGCCTGGCCCTTGGTCGTAACAATGGCGACATTGAAATATGGAATCCCGAAAATGGGCTTTGGGTGCAAGAAAACATTCTAAAGGGTAGCAGAAATACAACAATCGAACAGCTCGCCTGGACCCAGGATTTGGTATGGGAAGAGTCGCACAACACCATTACGCCGAAGGCTTCAAGAGGTCCTTTGCGGCTGTTTAGCACCGGCGGATCAACCTCGGTGACGGAGTGGGATCTCACTACAGGTACTCCCAGAAGCAGAGCCGAAGGAAATTTCGGGGATATCTGGTGCTTTGCGGCACAACCTCAGCTTGAAGATGCCAAAAGTCAAGAAGCCCTTCAGGGTGGCGCAGGGTCACAGTTACTGGCAGCTGGATGCTCTGACGGTACCATTATCCTCTTCTCTACCGAAGACGACGACCTACGCTACCTCCGGCCCCTGGCACAGCCTCCGGTCAAGAAACCCAAGGTCCTTAGCCTTGTGTGGCGCGACCGCAACACTGTGGTGGCAGGATATGAAGACAGCATGATCCGGGTCATCGACGTTTCGAGCAGAAGAATCTTACGGAATATGAGCCTGGGAAAGCCTATAGAAGGCAACAATTCCGTGGTATGGACTGTCAAATGCCTCCCTGACGGGACGATTGTCTCCGGCGACTCGTCCGGTGAACTGAAGATATGGGATTCAAAGAACTACTCCTTGGTCCAACGACTAAAGAGTCACAAAGCCGATATACTAGACATTGCCATGAACACTTCTGGGGACATGATATTTTCAGTTGGTGTTGACCGGAGGACCGTGACCCACAAGATGGTCCCCCTTCATTCTGGAACCCAGAAAATGAGGTGGGCTGAGGTGTCCCACAAACGGATTCATCAGCACGACGTCAAATGCGCAGCCAGCTTTGAGAGTATAGAGCTGAGCGTCCTAGTGTCAGGAGGCATGGATGCTCGGCCTGTCGTCGTCCCAATACGCCGCTCACAGACTGAGTATCATCGTGCTCTGTCCCACCTCCCTCAACGGTCACACATTTCGAGTTCCAAAGCTTCGAGGGTGTTCATTTCCTGGTGGGATCACGAGATTGTGGTTTATCATGTGCGCAAATTCTCGCCTCTTTCACCGGCTGATGGAAGCCTCGAAGGAACAGCAGAATCGTACTATGACACTCTCACAAAGCTTGTCATACAGGACGACGAGAGTATTCAAGATGCACATATCTCGCCAGATGGACGACTGATCACTGCGGCCACAAGCAACGGCGTCAAGATGTTTCAATTACGAAACACTCACGTCTCGGGCAAACCATGTCTGCGGACACGACAGATTGAACTTCCCCCGTCCATAGCCCGCTTAGGTGCACGGAGAATAGGCTTCTCCCCTGATGGCAAGTGGCTATATTGTGTTCGAAAGGATAACGCTGTGGTCATGATGAAGCTTTCTTCCTCGGACGACTCGAAAGACCGTCCGGCAATTCACGAGAAAATCGTCAAGCTTTATCGGCAACCTCGAAAAACAGCACAGTCTGCATTGGGCAGTTATCTTCAAACTATCAAACAAGTCGCGTTCTCGACTGACAGTCGGGTTCTTGGTGTGGGAGATATATCGGGCGCCATCGATGTCTGGGTACTTGAAGGCCATGAAGACGTCAACTTCATCGACGACGCGGGATCAGAATCCTCTAACGACTCGTCTGGATCCTCTACCTCCTCTACTACATCGGACGATGAAGATGACGACTCATCCTCGCCTATAATCCACGGCCAAAAGTGGATTCGTAACCCTTCTGGTTCCAGCCTGCCACAATTGGACTCCTCCATCCTTGTCCTGACATTCCGACCTCCACCTGACAGTCCTAAGTCGTCTTCGGCGGGAGCACACGACAATCGTGGTCTGCACGCGACACGCCACAATCCCCACCCTGTCAGCCATGAACTCCCTGACGAAGCAAATACAAAACTCATTGCGGTCACAGCCAAACATCAACTCGTGGAATTTGACATTCTCACTGCCAAGCTAAGCGAGTGGTCTCGACGGAATCCTTCAAAGTTTCTTCCACATGATTTTACAAAAATCAAAGATCGGGTAGTGGGGTGCTTCTGGGATTGTCATGACAGAACGAGGAACGGGGAAAGATTGTGGTTATATGGGCCAAGCTGGATATTTATGTTTGATGTTTCTCGAGATTTATTGAAAGACCATCCTAACGGAGTAACCAGTGGCTCTAGGGAAGGGGAAGTCGATAAAATTGGACGACTGGGAAGATATGAAGTGGTCGAACCTCTCATAAAGGGAGGCCACGCAAATCGCAAACGACAGAAGCTTCTCGAACCCGCCGCTCACGAACAAGGAGAGCGCGATAGAAGCAGTAAGAAGCGCAAACGTAATACCGGGGCCGGAGACCAAATGCGTCTCGAAGATCGTGAGGGCGGGCTTGGAAGTGAGTTGCGCCGGTTCAAGAATGCCTCGGGGGATGATGCGGAGGTGATTGATCTTGACATCGAAAACGCCGGCAATGAGATGGATCTGGATGATGATCTGGGAGAGGATGAACGGCAAGACGATGCCCTGGCCCTAATGAGACGAGGCGAAAGTGGATCAAGTGCGACGGAGAAAGTGACTCCAAATGGGCAGGACACAGCGCCGTTATCCTCTCAAAGGACGCCCAGGATGTACTGGTCCACGTTCGACTACCAATCGATCCTGGGGATAGAAGTTATCGGAACTCCAGAACCCTCTCCGCCAGCCAGCAACGGCTTCACCACTGAAGTGGCCACGACCGAAAGAAACAACATTGAAGAGGGCTCCAGCGGAAATATCGAGGTCATCATCGTTGAGCGGCCTATGCATGACGTTGGGCAGGAACCTCGTTTCGATGGCGGGCAGGAGTGGGATGTTTGAGTCTTGACACTGGCGGCTATGGGTCAACGTCTTTGCAGAGACTTGCATAGAGATGTCACTTGCACTCGGCATCAGACACGAGCTCTGCTATGCAAGACAGGGCAGGGAAAGAAATTTGGGTTTGGAAATATTCGCCTTGTCAAGACACTATTCCGACGTGGAGCGTGGGATTACCGGAACGAACTATTCATGTCCAAGGTCCATGGTCCTTTGCATCGACAGGCACAAATCCAAAGAATCAGGGGCGGGATTGAAAAGGAAGCTCCCACCAAGACAATACAAATGTACCATGCTCCTCCATCCAATCATCAGTCATGGTTCCACACTCAGTCACGATGCCTGTAGTCATGCATTCAACCTTGATTTGGAGTATTTGCGTCGTCGATCCTCGAAACCACTAACATGTCCTAAGTATGTTTACCGTTCCAAGAACAATTGCATCCCGCGACCCATAACCATCGAAGGTGAGGAAACAAAGATACAAAGATAGATCGCACGTCTCGACCGGGTACCGAGTACATAGATAGACGGCCTAATTATGTCGTCGTGGAGAGACGGGAGGAGCCATGGAAGGAAGGTTATATTAAGGATGAGGAGCTCACCACTCCTGTCGTGGCGGTGCTACAATAGTGATTGCCGTTCTATTCTGTACCACACGCCATCAATTGGATGGCCTTACTATGCTCTTTTTGACTATACCCATGGGTTTTTTTTTTCTCTTCCTTCCTCTTTCTCGGACTCAAGCTCTCTACGTCCTTGACGGAGCAAGGACCTCGGCCCTCAGTGAATACCAAGTATAAAATCAAAGATCAACCGGTAGGCTTGTTCTCAGAGGAGTACCAGAGGCTGGTGAGGCTGAGTAAAAAGTTCCTATTGCCTATTACTCCTAGCAAGACTACTTACCACCTTGTACCTTGTACCTCTCATTCAACGCTAAACCAGCGACGCTAATCTCGTCTCACCCCATCCCATCCCATTGCATTACATTGCATTGCATTGCCTCGACGTATTTGTCACATCATAATATCCTTTTCTATCCCAACTCTATGCCCTCTCTTCCCCCTGCATCTGTGCTAATGTTCCTTGCTCTCTCTCCCCAAGCCTCGGGGCCACGCACCGCACCGCACGTGTCGTATCAGCCAGCAGAACCCCCCCGGGACGGAAAAGATGCCGGACAGAGCCTATATACTACGTACAAGTGACAACGCGTATCTGACCGACCGATCTCCGATCCTTCTTGGGGCCGGTGGTCCTCTCCTCTCGCGTACTTGTACGTAGCCGATGATCACCATCGGTGGTTCGGATTCGTGTACTATGTCCTCCCGGTACACATCACTTCGCATCGTATCCAGCCATGTAACATGTTCCCGGTCTCCCCGTCCAGTACGTAGGTATATATCCATATATATTCATGTATGTTGACTGCACATGATATGGTCTGTACGCAACCAACGTGTCATGGTCGAGTTCTACATAGCTACTAATTGGGATGTAAATCTTGTTCGGAAAATTGCTCAACGGGAGAAATATACTCCCCCGAGGGCTTTTGGGAGGGGGGAGAAAAAAAGAAAGAAAGACCCAATAGATCATAGCTATGGGGCATTGGAGGAAGAGAAGGGACCTGATGCCCGATTAGGCTACTCGGTACTAGCCAGGAACTCGAACGGCGTCCAAACGGACGGTTTCGAATGCAGATGACAGGGAGCCACCCGGGATTCCGCCGGAGCTGGATTACGACGACGACGCGCCTTCGTCCGATGCCGATCCTGGTACATAGTATGGAGTCTGAACTCTGGAGTACGGGCGACGACGCCTACCACGGCGTGGCCTGGCAATGGCGCGTGCGCCCGATCCTGACATCAAGCACCCAGAAGTCAGATCGTTCTCGCGGAAGGATAGTTGAAGTCTGATTTGAGTCTGTCTTCTCTGCACATGGTCAATGAGACCAGTGGAACATCACTACTATATTTTCGCTTGCGTGAGCTGCCTCCTTAGCTCGAATCGACCGCTCCAGACACATCCTTTCCAATCCTCTGGTGACAGGCGGGCCAGATTTTTCCCAGCTGCCTCAAGGAACACGCCCAGCCGTGCAATGCAAAATCTCCCAAACACTCATATGCTTCCCATAACTTTCGCTCATGTAGCACGTGACACCGTAGAACCCCGTTACACCGTACAGCTCCTTCTTCTCTGTAGATCGTGGATGTAACAAAAATGCAGTTCCTTCCTACCCTGACACCTGAAAATGCAGGGCCCCCCTTTTGGTAATTGTTTAGCGTCCCTGTAAAATGCAGTATTGACTCGCCAAAGCGCCTCGAACCCGTGCATGCATATTGAGACTTTAAGTATCCTCGGACAGTGGAAAAGTGGTATCATCAAATCGAGCATAACGACGTTATCGTGTAGAGTGATGACAAAGGAAATTGGTAAAAAGAGCGCGGCGGGAAAATTGGCGCGCTCTTTTGGATAAGAGGGCAGTCAAAGCTACCGGTCGCCCGATTGATCCGTGTGTTGCTGAGACCACTGCACCTCTTGTTGTCTGTCGACGGGATGCTTCACTTCGTCCGGTCGATCAGCGTTGGCTTGGGCGGGCATAGAGTTGATCATGTCACTGGCCAGGGACTGGGCCACGTAGCTCCGGAGCTCCCGCTCTTCTCTTTCGTCTTCGCGCATCAATTGATGCCGTACGTGCTTGTCCATATTCTCTCGTCGAATTTTGCGGATCTCGTGCATGATCCAAAGCAACACCTCTTCAGAACAGCGGGTCCGCGGAAGATGGTAACGAGAATTGCGAACATATCGGCGGGTGACATCGGTGGCTCCATCGTTGGAGAAGGCGATACAGTAGGCAATCTTGCGGTTCCAGCCTGGAGAGATACTGTGTTAGGAGGGAATCTGGGGAGGCGATTGGGGGATGGCGGGTGCTCACCTTCAGTATACACCCTTGGGTTATCCCACATCTCCTCACAGGGATCGACATGGATCCACCTTCGTTGATGCTCACTATACACTTCGGTCCATACGTGATCTTCACTATTCCACACCCACCGTACACGGGCGCCCGCAGCACGGCACAACATGCTGAAACAGTTGGCGAATTCTCCTGCCCGTCCTCTCCGAGTCTCAAGCAAGGTCCAGACTTCTGAGTACCGGGGAAACCTTTCGAAGGCCTGGCAACCGGGATTTGTGCACTGATAGAGTTCGGTTCTTGTGGCTCCGCGAGCCACTTCGTCCGGTGTGGTGGGTGTCTGCCCTCGAGCAATGGTGGCACCATGACACCTTGAACAGGGAGGATTATTGACGAATGTGAAGAATGAGCGCTTAAACCACCTGGAGACCATGTTAGAGTCTAAGCCGGAAAGAGTACAAGGCTGGGGGAGACGCACCTGAGAAGGGACCTCATAACACAGTCCTGGTAGCCCCATTCTGGTTTGGCATTGTCACCTTTGGAGGCGGCGAGGGCTTTCAGTAGATTATGTTCCTCTTCTGCCTCAACATAGATTCGGTCGATTGGCACGTGTGTTAACGCTTCGTCCAGAAGACCGGGGTTTTCATATTTGACAGGGGTCATGGACAAGGTGAGGAGGAGATTTCGGAATTTCAGCGAAGGGCCATCTTGTGGAGGAGACGGCACGATCGGAAAGCTGCGAAAAGAGGTGTAGGTCGGCGGCTGGTGTTGCGAAGAGCGCGAACTGGGAGCAACGGACGAAGGTGCGGAGTTTGGGGGATGTGCAGTGTGTGACGAGGCGGGAGGTGCGAGATGGGGAGAAGCAGAACGAGGTGTTCTAGCTTGTTCCTCCAGTTCATTTAACCTCCTTGTCCGTAGCAGCTGCTCGAATTGTTTGGAGAGGTCGGCGGCGTTGAAGTCGAACTCGTCGTCGAGAATGCGCGGCCGCGCGTTCCCCGCCATGGCTGCAGAGCGACTCGGTGTTGCAGTCAATGGACCGACGAGGAGGTGAAGTAGGGAGGGAGGAGAAGAGAGAGGCTCAAGGACGAAGTACTCTAGGGCCCGAACAGGAGAGTGGTGAACGTCAATCTGATCTGAGCAAATCAACCTGATACAAGTGACTGTGACAAACTGGCGCAGTCGCCGGAGCACAGCCCGAGTCCAGTTGCCTCGCCACAATCGGAAAGGCAATTGGCGTTCCAGGTATAGCCCATTCACAGCAATGGCAGGGCTGTTACAGAGCAGACAGTGCGAAAAGGGAATATCGACACAGTCTAGAAAAGTGCAAGACGGCAAGGTGCAGTGTATTGTAGTAGTAGAGGAAGAGGAAGAGGCGACAGTGAGGATGGTCAGTAGCAAGAGTGCAGCGGGAGTGGTACGTGGACGCAGATTGCGTGAGCCTCTCCCAGGCAAATGCTTGAGGACCGGCAAGCAGCGAGATGCTAGCCACACCCACACACACTTACTCACAGTGCGTGCGCGTGCAGTTGGCAGCTGGGCGAGCAGCGGTGGGTGACGGGGGATGCTGGAGGTGGCTCTGGGCCACTACCGGGCGCTGGACGGACACAGGATGGCAAGCATGCAGGCCAAGCGGACGTGGAAGGCCGACGTGGACAAGAATGGCCCAGGCAGCAAAAGGAGCCACTCACTGCGACTCTAGCACTGGCAAGCTTTGGCAGGCCCTGGATTGGCCCCCCAAAGCCAAGAGTTGAGGGCCCAAGGCCAATTCTGGGGGATTCGGGCTCCTGCTTCTGGGAGGCTGACGACGACAGCACCCGACAAACACACTGCGCCGCGCGTCCCTAACACTGAACTGTGCGAGCAGCATGAACAGCCCCCCTGATGCGCCCCCTCCCTGGCCAATGGCAACCCCGTCACCTTTGGTTCGGTATTCCGGGCTCCGGCCAATCACTCGCCAAGCTGGCCAGGGCACCCCCGTCCAGTTCCCAGTCACTTTCCACTCTGCCTGCAAAATGAAATGCACCCCAACAGCTTGATCTGGCTTGTTTGCTATTATCTTTCCCTCAAGCACTCGCACGTGTCGATCAAAACTGCATCCACCTACACCGGGCCAAGGACAATGGTACCAACCAGCATGATTAGCGAGAAGAAAATGGAGAAAAGAGAAGGCAGCCGACCCATCAAGATACGACTAATCGTCAACGACCACGCATTCAACTCTTTCGCCTTTTTACCCTCTACATACATACACACCCAATCCTCCGCCACTCCTCTATTCTGGCCCCTCCTGGCCAACCCTGTCCTTCGTCCGATCATCACCGATGCAAACGTGTCAGAGTTACGAACATTGCCCTAAGCTGGCGACCACAGGGGCACCACGGAGCACCAGACACCACCATTCACCAAAGGCGTCTCCTAGCTCGCACGTAATGGCCTTGGCAGTGCTGATGCGCTGCGCATTGCCTATTTCACGACGGGGGATTTCTATCAATCAGATGCCGCGACCAGCTGCAGGCCAAGATCGAAGGGCTGACGCCCATCGTCTGCCATTCGCTCCCTAGGGGCTGCAAAGGGGATCAGGGCCCACGTTTTGACCCTTCTGACGTTTAGACGTTTTTCGATGTTTCGATGCTTAGATGGGCGACGCAACTCCACGGGATCCATCCATTTCTCCCCTTGCATTGATGATTTCCACCCCCGACTACCGCCCATCTCTTGGCATTCGCTAAGCCTGTAACCTCAGGTTTCAAACTTAACTTATCGTTCCCGTCAACACATCCCTTTTACGCCGCCTACTACCTAGCAGAAGGTGTTCCACGCCTTCTTCCACCATGGCCACGTTGCTCGGATCGCTCTTTCCTCTGCCAGAATTTGTTCCAGGTCGAGCTCGCGTCTGCCAGAGACCACGTCAATGTCTTTAACCCGTCGGATCGGAGTCCTCTTCCAAATCTTGAACCCGATGTAGAAGACAATGACGATTGGTGCTGCCAGATAACCTTCGAAGAAGATCTCAGTCCTCTCGGATGATGACATCTCTCGATAACCAATCTATGTCGCGGCAAAAAAAATTGTCAGTCTCGCTGTCTGAACAATTCGACATTTGATGTTCGGGAACAAGGGCAACTCACCGGGGCAAATCCTGTCCAGAATTGGGCGATCAGCACCAAGCAATTGAATAGAAAGCCGATCCATGACCCAATAACGCCTGCTTGAGATTTGTAAGGTAGTTCATCCAGGGTGTGACCGTGGTACTTCCAGGCCTGCCGAAACCGAATGTGGCACAGACAGATTGATCCCCAGGTAAAGATACTTGCCAGACCGCTGATAGCAAACATCCAGTTCCATGCTTCTTGTCTCTGCGACGGCGACAGCGCTACGATATAGCAAAGAGCCCCGAGTGCTGACGAGACGAGGATGGCCACGAGCGGTCTGCCCGTCCGGTCAATATAGCCAAGGATTTTGGGTGCCTGGCCATTATCGGCAAGGGCAGCCATCGTGCGGGATGCACCATATACGGATGCGTTGCCGACGCTCAGAACCGCAATGAGGATAACAGCATTGAAGACCGAAGGCAAGCCTCCGACGCCCGCGTTCTGATCTTTCATCAGTATAAAACATCTCCGACACCGTCGCACACGACTGGAGCAACTTACTTTGATGGCCAGCACGAATGGCGATGTCCAATAATTAGCGTTGCTGCCACTGTTGAGTAGCCGAGGGTCATCCCAGCGAACCAAGCACCCAACAAAGGTCAAGGAAACAATATAAAACTGGTACAGCACCGGTCAGTGAGGGTTGGCACCAATCACGGAGACATCCTTATGTCAGCTTACCAGAACAACCCGCCAGAATACTTGTTTTATGGCAGTGGGAAGCGCCAGACGCGGATTTTCTGCTTCGGCGGCCGCCAAACCGACCAGTTCAGTACCACCAAAGGAGAATGCAGCTGTGACAAAAACCGAGCAGACACCCTTGAAGCCATATGCGAAGGCGCCAGGATTATCCCATGTTTTGGCTCCAAAATAATGCCCGGTAGGCCCGCCGCCAACATCAACGACCAAAGCGAATATGCTGCGCAGCGGCCAGAGTCAGTGCTTGCTCAGTCGAACACCATGAAAAGATAAAACTCACATAAATCCTAAGGTTGCAATAACCTTGATAATTGAAAAGACAAACTCGGCCTCCCCATAACCTTTGACACCAAACAGGTTTATCGAGATAATCACAATATAGAAGATCGTAACCCAGACACAGGGGTTGACGTTACGTGCCCCATGCCAGTAATTCAGGGTTATGGAGGCCGCCATGATTTCGATTGGTAACGTGACCAGCCACTGCAGGCAGTAATTCCAGCCCCTAAACACCGCGTCAGCTCACTAAATATCCTAGATAAAGACCTATATTTCGAGGAGAAGGGATAAAAGGCAGAAGATAGGGTTTTGTAGGGTTGGGCTACGGACATTGCAAACCCCCACGCCGGATCAAGAAATCTCGATGAATATGCGGAATATGAGCCAGCAACCGGAAATCTGTTATGCAGAAATGTCCATATCAGCATGTTGTCGAAGCGGAGAGGAAACGGAGGGCATTGACACGACCCTGCCGCATCTCCTGTCTGGTCTGATTGATCACTTACAAGACAGCCATCTCCCCCAGGGCGTGCACCGTGCAGAAGATCATGATCCCCAGAAGGCAATATGCTAAGACCAGCGCCGCGGGACCGCCTGTGGCCAGAGCCGAGCCCGAACCAACAAAGAGACCGGTTCCTATGGAGCCACCGATGGCAATCATCTGCAAATGGCGCTGCTTGAGCTTCATAGCCAATGCCGGCTGTGCAGGCGGCTGGTTGGGCAGCGGCTTTCCATTGTCGTCGACAAGCAACTCGGAAACGCGGGCGCTGTGAGTGCCAAGGGGTGCGCTTGTTAGCATATTGTTTCATCGTTGACATGTCATACGAGGTGGAAGAAACACACTGGGGATTTTCGCGAAATCCATCGATCACCCGGGCGAAGAAAGACGTCTTCTGCTGGGTGGAGACGATCTGCCCATATTCCTGACCGGAAGTGAGGGATCCGTCGCTGGACTCCTGCTTCTTCTCCACATCAACGTCCATCTTGAGGGCCCTGCAACCTGCTGCTGTTGTGGAAGATATGGAAATAGGATTGTTTGACGGGTCAGAGCGACCACAAACTCAAGCTACTGAGGGACTGGGGTAGGCTGGCAAGTCGTGTCGATCACAAGAGCTTTCAAAAGGAAAGAATCCAACGGCGAGAAACTGGGGAAATACCCAACCTTTTCACCACCGAAGGCATGTAGGGCGATTTCAGAATCTTCTGTTCGGTCGTACAACGGAAGGGGCAAAGACCACACTGATCGAATCCGCCTCCCCAGCCTGGCGGTAACGCGGGACAGCATCTGGACATCATTGAAGGACCCCCCTGTATTCGGGCACGGATCTTGGCTGGGGATTATGTTGTACTGACAAGGCAAAGTCACAACAAGGTCGGGTACCGCTCATTTGTGTACGGATGTCCCGGAAGAAAGATAAGGTATCCGAGAAGAAGACGGGTCTTGCTTGGTGAGCTCTGGTCAAAGAATCGGCTGGACTCAATGGGATCTGCCGAGTGAATGGCCGCAATACAGGTGGATGAGTGATATAGCTCGTGTGGAGATACCTGGGCTTTTTTTCTTTTCATCCTGCACAAGGGGCACGAAAGGTGGTCGCGTAATGGTACGTCCGGAGAGCGAGAGCCTTGTGGGATGAATGCCAATAAGCAAAAGAACAAACTAGGGCGAATTTCCCTTTCCAGCCGCAATACAATGGGTGGTTGTCCATTGGTGCACCTTGCTCGGCGATGGCAAAGAGTTCATGTATGATGATGGCACCAGCGGCAACGGCAGCGGGTCACATCCGTCTGAGGAAGCGATACCCCGAGCCTGGACTGCGGTGTTTTGCATCGTGGGCCTTGGATGTGACCGACATGGGGGTGTCCCGATGGCGTCGATGTCAAGGGTCAATAGAGTAAATATTTGATGCTCGTACAGAACAAGAGGCAAGTCTGTGCATGTGCATATTATGACGGCGGCGACGTTCCCTTTTTTGCTTTCCCTCTTGGTTAGAATCCTAAGTTTCCTATGACATCATCGGATCCCCCCCCACGTCCGACGGCGTCTCACTATGCGAGGCTACGATGCAAGGCTGCGACACTTTCTCTTTTGTATTATGGAAGAAGCACAAAGCATCGCAGTCAGTTTGTCTTATCAGCAAACACTTTCATCATTGAATCAACGACTCTGTGCAGATCCCGCACATGCTTCCCGGCTGAAGTCTGGTCATCAGATGGTGCAGACCCCGAGTCATATTCTTCTTTCGCCTCCTTCTAGAAGGACTCCATTCCATTCTGACACGCATCCCAGACTCGGAACATTGGGGCAAGAGTTGCCTCATACAGGGGAACAGGTAGCAAGGCTGACAATGGGGTCCTTGATCAATTCCTGCTGCTCCCGCTTTACTTGACACGATTTTACCGCCACCATCCACGCATCTCGAAAATCGCCTCCCATGGCTTACGTGACCAGTCAGTGGCATCGATCGTCATTCACAGTTTTTCCTTTTCCTGAAGTTTGGTCGTAGGGTCGAGCAGACTCCTGGAGAAGCAGTATCAAACAAATTCCAGGTCTCCAGTTGACGAGGCCCCTGGAGCCCTGCAAACCCCCCACGCTTATTGCTCAGGTTCCGATTGCCTCCGCTGCAGGTTTGCTCCATATCTGTATCCCTCGCAGGCGTCTGCACCGTCAGCCAAGATTCTGATTAGAAGGGGAGGGTACGCTTAGAAGCAAACACATCCATCCAAGCTCTTTTCTTTCTCGAGATGCGTTGGTGGCATTTGCAAAAATCAATGTTTGTTATTCCTGCACGACATCTGGCCTGTGAGACAGCTCACGCTCTCGATACACCATGAGTCGGTAGCGCGCAGATACTCTGGGTAGGTACTACGACGAATGATGGCGTTGCAGGCTGGCTTTTTCCATTTGTGTCACCCTCGTAGAAAATGCTTGGAACCCTTGCGTGCTGGAGCTTCCGGTGGAGTGCGATCTGCGAAGTGTTGGCTCGTTCCCGGCACTTTGTTTCCTGGCTCTCGCTGCGCCGAAGCGTTCCTGTTGGCACAGTTGCTTCTCTTGTCCTTCTTATCTTTACTGGATCCAGCCATTAGTCCCTTCGTGTTCCCGGCTATCATTGAGTCCAGTTTGTCCAGGGACCAAGGCAGCAGTAAGAAATGGACGAGGACAGCGTGGATATCGTCATCGACAGGGTGGTAAAAGACAAGGGCATCGAGACATTTTGCCCTAAGATACAGAATAGTCACGCAGATGCAGATCGACACGTTCGGGATGGAAATCAGAAGGAGATCCTCGACTGGAGCTGTGGAAGTTTACTGACACCAGCATACCGGATGGAGATGTTCTTTGCACTTCCGACATCGGCAGGCACAAATGATCTTTCTTGAGGTCCCCCTTTTCTTTATATGCCAACATAACGTCTGGCATGATCATGAAGTGTTGCTCTGGATGAACTTTTCAACATTCATTCGCGCTGCACAGCCAGAGAAATAAATCACCCACAAAGAGAAACTTTGCCGAGCTCGAATTATATGTTTGCTCGCACCTCGTTACTTTCTCATTTCGTTCGTTCTTCAGCGCGTCAATCTTCATGTCCCAAGAATTCCTCTGTGTAACCCGACGACATCCAACTGTTGGCGAGCCTGGTCTCTATTTCCCACAAGCCAAAGCACAGATACCAACACCATGACCGCTGCATCTGCATTTCCAAGAGCCACGAAAGATGGGTATGGTCGTTGAGAGAAGTATCGAGCACATTATCCAATCTTCAACCCCAATTTATCCTTCCAAGTTGCAGTCGACGATATCCCAAAGCTCGTTGTGGTGGCGTTGCAGGAAGTCGCTGTTGCCAGTCAACATGTTCAGCTTCAGAACCCGTCGGATCAATAGAGTTCGCAAGCTTTGAAACTCGATGAACAGAGCCTCCAAAGTCTGACTCTCCTCCTTGGTGATCATCTGGGACCTCCGCTTCTGAATCAGCCCCGCAGCTTGACTTGCAATGTCTAGACGCTTCAAAGCTGTCTCCGATAGATCGATTTCGATACCTAGAATATCAATCCAACTCTCCTGCTCTTCGTTCGCGCGACAGACTTCCTCAACAAGCTCTCGAATATGGCCTTTGTTCTGGTCTCCATGGCATACGCTATCCATGTGGATGATATCAAGAGCCCTCCTCTTCAAGTATTTGCATTCATCGTTGCACACGCCTTGTAATCCCCGGAGCACCCGAATGTTTGTGCGGACGATGAACTGAATTATTCCATTTGCCTCCGGATTAGTGAGAAGCTCGAAAAGTGCCTCGACCAGCTCTTCGATTCCCTGTCCGGCTCTTTGCATAGAGAGATGATAATCTTGTTCCACAACTTAGCCATTTGTGAATCGTTTCGTGATGTCTTCACTACGGTCAGGCTCGGCTATTCACTTACCACATCCGTTCAGAGGTTTCAAGAGTGCCTGGCTTGCTTCTCGCGCAACCATGCTCAGGGACTGACCCCACGGCTTACTTGCGAGGGGAAGAGGTTCTTCGTCCATTTCTGTGTGATATTGGCAAAGGCAGCTTTACATGGGAAGAATAGACTCACGTCCGAGGAGCGGGTCGAAGTTGTGGCAAGCGCCCTGTTTCCCATCTGACAAAGTTTTCATCTCGCGTTGGTCTGTCTCTGACTGGAATGAGAAGCGGTTGGCTTGCGACAAGCAGAAATTTGTCACCCACAGTATTGACGGAGTTGAGAACGAGTCTCGCTTTTTTCCGAGGTATGAGATCCTTGGATGTAAGAGCAGTTCAACGCCAAGTGTGATGAGACTGTTGAGCACTGACAATTTGGTGGTTTGAGTTGGTGACTGTCCTGCTTTGGCCATGAGGACCGCCTCAAACTCATCTCGTGCATGGCTTCCTCTTGTGCTTCACACCACCCAAGCACAACCTCTGCGCTCCTGCTGTTCCTGCTGCACTCGCAGACTGGCCAACCACACCCCAAAACTGAGCAGGACAGATCAAGACCTCTCGAGGTTGACGGAGTCACCAAAGCCAGAGAACAATTGGGTCCATGGTTCTAGAAAGCCACGAGCGAACGAAGGCGAAAAAGAATCAAGCCAACTTCCAATTGAAACTCTACGCCAGATGATCCAGACAGGGGCAGTGATGATGTTTTTACACCCCTACAAAGAGGATATCACTTACGACTTAATTGTCACGTATAGAAAGATAGACACCTGACAAAGGTTGTACAAGACGGAAGAACAGACACTGGCGGTAACATCGACACAGCTTCCACATCTCGATCATTCACTAGCAGAACCTCAGTTTTTCGCTGTGCTGTGCGCTGCCTTCCAATCAGATACGTGCTCTTTTTGTCATCATTCCTGCCATGTCCACCGCTTTTATTCTGAGCCTGAGCCATGGGTCGTCGCTGAGACATTCTCTCCCTAACTTTATTCTGTTTCTCAAAGTGGTACGGAATATGCTGGTGAGGATGTCAGCAAAGGAAAATTGACCACGAGTCCGAGGTAAGACCAGGATTGAACGTGACAAGGGGGGTTTGTTACCGTTGGTTCTGCAAGTGGCATTACATGAGGGCCAGGGATCTTTGTCTCTGCCTCCATCCTGGGGTGTCTTGGTCACACTTTTCAACAAGTCAATCAGCTTCTTGTTGCCCAGCGCTTTGATACCGGACTTGATGGCGTCGAGGGTGTCTGTGGCTGGGCCCGAGGGTGCTCGGCTGAAAATATCCAGCGACGCTACTGTCTCTGACGCGGCGGGCGTCTCATACACGACCACGAAGCCAGCTCCTTCGGAGTCATAGCCCCAGCTGATGACCTCATACGTATTGTTCTGCGCTGCGAGGGAGGCCACCGGCACACTGTGGTAGGCACCACCGCCACTGATAGCAGTGTCAAGCGAGTACCCGAAGTAAGTGGCGTTGGGCTTCTGCGTGTCGTTCACGAGCTGGAAGGACGCCAAGTCGGCGAAGTATGTGGCCTCGAGCGCATAGCAGGCGTCATCCGCACAAGGTCGCGTGAGAGTCCAGATGAAGTTCCGAAAGATGTGGTAAAGCTCTTGATTGGAATATGTGATGAACCAGTTCCCCAGAAACCAATTCGGCGGCAGCGGGTCCCATGGCTTTAAAGAGGCCTCGTTGAATGTCGGCGGTGTCCGCAGTTGAATCGGGTGTTTTGGGACCTGATGTGCTTGGAGGAGCGAGAGTGATAGTTCTAGGTTTTTTTCAGGTCAGTGAGCCCCCCTTTCGATCCATATCCAGTGTTGTTGGGCTCTCAAGTCGTGGAGGATCTCCCGGCGATGTGGAATCACATTTTGTTGCAGCAGTCCTTGACGTTGAGGGGATCATATATGAGCAGGCATACCTGGTTGAGGCCCGATACCAGCAGTCAGAGATACCACGGGGAAGCAGACGAAGGCAAGGCCAGCCAAGACAGGCGCGAACCCTTTGAGATGCATTACGACACAATACAAACCAGGTAGGGGACTGATGGCATGAGGCTGTGGACTTGCATCTGCTGCGAAGTGCCCATCCTTATATTCCAATAGCCTCTGGGGATATTAACTGGTGAATATCTAGCCACGCATGTCCTGAGGGGATGCGATCTGCTCGTATACTAAATGCCATTGGGAAGAGCTAGTGCTTATATACTAAAGCGAACGAAGAGCTGGCGCTGACTTTTCGTTTCAGGGGCTGGGCTTCGATATCGTCTCGAAAGGAGGCGATCACCACAGAGAAGGAACAGAAGAAGAGACATGAGGCCCTTTGCAAGCTTCTTCAGACGTCTTGTTCGCTCCTTTCGTCATATATTCATGGGGTTATTTTCCACCGACATCGAGAACTCTCTAAAGTGCAAGAGGGAGGGGCCCATCCTCGATAGCAGGATCCTTTATCTATTTCACCATACCGAGGACATATTCTTCAGCTGCGCCTCAAAAAGGGTGGCCTTAGTTCATTCAACCTTGCAGATAGGCCCCAGGTCTCTCGGGAGCCATGGCGACTGATATGGAAAGGCGATGCTTTTTTTCTTTTTCTTTTTAACAAATGCCGGTTTTGGACACTCAGCTCTTGCTTTCCCTGGTCTAGACGTTCGCTTCAAGCCGCCTAGCCTCGAACGCCTTACGTCGGTATTCATGGGATCAAGTCCCCGTCTCGGTTTCGCCTCGGCATGGCGCGGACAGCGGCAACGTGGTTTCCCTGGACTCCACCTTGCCCTGCAGCGGACCGTGCTGATCCCTAGCAACAGAATGGGGCCTGCCTGATGGGAATTACCCTAGAGAGCAGTGAGTCCGTCTAGTCTAGGATTAGGATACCTGGGGCTGCTGCATATCTACCCCAGAGGACTAATTGTGCTCAAAACTCTAGACCTAATCGCGCAACAGCTGTCCGCGAATGACAGGAAGAAAAGGGGGTGGAAATAGAGGAGGCCCGTCCAGACACCGATACTCCAAAAGAATCCCTCCAACGCCAATCCAGGCCGAATGGTCTCCTCCTACGCGGAGGCCGAGCAGAGAGTGCATGACGCCTACGTGAAGGCCCTCCACGGCGGCACTGTCAAGCCCGCGTCATCAGTCGTCGCTTCTCTGAACTTCGCCCTCTTGATCGGCTGGTTGTTCGTGTCTCCGTCAATATCGGAGCTGTGCTTCCGAAGGTGCCGCCTGCCGGTCTTTCTGTGCATCTCCTATGCCTCGATATGGAACCTGCTATATACCCGCTCGATCGGTGTAGTGGGCAGTATTGGCGTTGGCCTGAACTCAGTGCTGTGCGTTGTGCTCGCTGTCAACTTCATACTTTTGCACGACCCGCGGACCTTCAAGAGGCTGGTCTTGCGATCAGATGGGGGACCATCCGGGGCAGATACGTCCACCGAGCTGGCCCAAGGGCTTGATGCGTGTGACGGACAAGGCCGCAAGCAGCTCCTGGCTTGGGAGCACATGCCAGGGAATCCATGGCGCAGGCTGTTGTGGATTTTGGACCTCATCACCAGCTTCCGCACCGTGCACTGGTCCTGGAGTTCTTCGGCTTCGCCTCCAGATGCTCGCTGGTTGAACAACGACAGTTCATACCGCACAGCTTCAGCCGGCCGGAACCTGTCTCGCTTTCTGGTTGACTACTTCCTCATCGACCTACTCAAGTGCATCATGATTGCAGACCCGTACTTCGTCGGCTATTCCACAAAGCAACCACCGCCTTATTTGTCGCCGTATCTCACGTCCTCAGGGGCGCTGTACACTTATCGCTTGCTTCTCAGCACAGCAGGGATGTACCTAGCGGTCGATCTGGAATATTCAACGGCAGCTCTGGTCCAGGTCAACTTTCTCGGTCCAGGGATACTTGGACTGAATGCGTTGCCCTTCGCGTTTCCCCCCATCTGGGGTAACCCATCCGCTATTCTGCGCAAAGGTCTAAGAGGCTTCTGGGGTCAATGCTGGCACCAATTCTTCAGGATGCACTTTGTTAGCATTGGCGATGCTATGGCGAACATCTTACTAAGGAACGAACACTGGAACCCCTGCAACTATGGAAGTCCTGACAGGAAACCACGTCAAGACCTGAAGCCTTCGAGAGCAAGACATGTGGTTCGGATTGTGACTGTGTTTCTCCTCAGCGGGATATTGCACGCTTGTGCCAGCTATACACTGCTAGGACCTGCGAAGCCTGTCGCAACATTCCTGTTTTTCGCGCTCCAGCCGCTGGGTATGGCGATCCAACACGCATGCTCTCGGCTTTTTGCCGGCAGCTATCTCCCAAGCTTACCAGACCGATGGACAGCAATGATACGTCAAGCTGCAAATGCTGGCTTTACCCTTCTGTGGCTTTGGGGAACCGGTGGCATGTTTTTCGACGACATGGCCAAAGGGGGCATGTGGTTGCTGGAACCCATCCCGGTGAGTTTCATTCGTGGGCTGGGACTCAGCAATTACGACAAAAGGTTCTGGTGCTGGTAGTTTTTAAGGCTTCCCACAACATCTGCCGCGGGTGGTCAACGGCGACTGGAGAGGCAGAGCGATGCTCCTTCTTGACGGCATGCATTTGCCACCCAAAGGCAACCGCACTGATGTGTTTCGGCATGCTGCAGGTTGATACAAACCACAAAAGTCCCGCAAAGTGCAGAATGCGACAACAGCTCGGCACAGAATATCACCAGACAGAGATCGCGTTGCCGACAACGGGTCCTGGATAAGGCGACAGAGCCTGAGAGCAAATTCCGAACCGGATCGTGAGCTGCCCGTAAGTATGGGCAGCTCGTCAAGGATGCATCTTCACGAGCTGTCGACGTGTCCATCGGGAGTTTGCAGCAGGAGGACCGAAAGTGAAAGAGAGCCTGACAAGATCGCTCCAGTCTAAGTCGTGACTGCGTAGGCAGCCGTGGCAGAAGTCTACACTGAGCTGGCTGAAGACGGCGATGCTGACAACGCTGTCGGAATCTGTGAATTCTGGGGACGGAAAGATTCGACTCGGCAAGGCTCTTTGCCCGTGGGCTTCTGGGTCCGAACGCAACGGCACTCGGCACAGTGTATGTACGAAAATGGAACAAATATGAGAGTATTAATTATTACCATCACCGACATACATAGGCATCCCTTCCCTTTCCTTCCCCTCTTTTCTCTTCTATTCCTTATTGCCTACTCTTTTCCATCCTCCCTCCCCCTCCTTCTCAGGCACGGCGCATTCAATCCCACAGAGACGGGACGTAGCCCGGGGAATTCACTACTGCGTGGGACTTTAGTAGACTTGACGAATAAGTAGAATGGGCCATGTGAGACGGGCGTTCAGTCGCACGGAGGTTAGGCTGTGGAGAGGAGAGTATAGCACGGTATTGTACAGCATAGTAGAATAGAGTAGAATGCAATATGATACGAAATAGACTGAATTAAAGCGAGGTAAAGCCAGAGCAAGTAGAGGGGAAGGAAAGACACGTCGCTCGATCGATACATAAATGATCTGCTGTTGGTCAAAAGTCCCTCAGGGGAATGTACATATGTATGCACGTACTGTATGTGATGCTGTCCCCATCTCCCATGGTCTGTCTGTGAATTTGGAGTCTATGGTCTATGACAGACAAAAACACTGCGCTCCAATCGAATCGAATCGACCACCCGCTCGCTATGCACGATTTCACTCCCTCCCTGCCTGCCTGCCTGTCTGCCTTGTGTGCCTGTTGAATGATTGCGGAAATCCAAACCGGTAAGAGAAAGTGAGCGAATGAGTGAGTGGGTGGAGCGCTTATCGGCACACGCATCAAGACGACCACCAGCCCCCCCGTGTCTGAAGCACTCTTCCGGTCAGCACAGAGAGAGCCTCTGTCTGGAAGTCTCTCTCCCTCTCTCGAAATTTCGCCGAACATTGTCGTGGAAATGCCCTCCTCAATCTCAATTCGCCATAAACAAACGAGAAGGCTCTAAGTAATCAAACCACGTGATTTGAATTAGCCGGTCAAGAGGTGTCGGGGCGAGATACATCCATCGAGTCTCGACATCTTATCCGGTGCTTCTCTTTCGAAAGATATGTATGTCTCTGTCCTGTAAATTTTCCCCCTTCCTCTCCACACCACAGGGAACTCATGACTCGTCGATGGTCGGCTTGAACTGGATCCTATCCTCGGGCTTCGACTGGAAGGGCACGCCCAGTTCGAACATCTTGCACAAGACATCTGAAAAGTCCTTGAAAAACAGGTCGCCGTCCTGGGCGTATTTCTCCACCCACCCCTTGAAGATGGGGTCCTTGATCAAGGCAATGTCGGTGGGCAGCATCATCAGACTCTTGGTTGTGGCGTCCTCGTACTGCTTGGGCCCCTTCCACGATCGCCAGCCCCATTTCTCCTCCAGCAGCAGGCGGAAGTAGTCGTTGGTGAAGACGGTCGGCGAGAAGGTCCAAGGGCCATCGAAGCCCGAGCGGTCGGCGTGGCACCGTCCCAAGGCGTGGGCACCGGACAACGCCACCATCTCTTGATCGTTGAAGCCCATCCGTCCGAAGATCGCGCGGATGTGGTCTTGACCCTTGGAGGCGTCGGGCAGGCGGCCGTCCGGCGTGCAGAATGCGACGTCTCTGTCCTGTCGGCCGGGTCTCCAAGGGACAATGGGGCCGTTCATCTCTTGGACGGCACAGACACCGGCAAGGGTCCACAGGTCGGAGTATGTAATCCAGGGGAATTGCGCCTTGATGGGCTCGAGGAAGTCACGGGCGCTCTTCAGGCCGGCGTTGGCACCGTGCTCGGACTCGGGGGCAAATCTCATAGTTGCGCCGTTGCTCCCACCGGTGCCGGTCGCTGCATCATAGGTGCCTGATGCATGCCATGCGAGACGCAGGAGAACCGGACCATAGCTGCCATCGTCATAATCATCTTTCTCCCACAGCTGCTTTGCAATGGCGTTGTAGACTTTCTGGTAATCTTCCGCCGTGGGCTTGAAAACGCCGGCGGATTGTCCTGCGCTGCCCTTTTTCAGAGCCTCGGGGGCACTCTCGAGACGAATCGTCTTGCCCGGTCCGGTCGTGTCTTGAGAGACGAAGTAATAGTAGCCTCCTGCGAGAGCGGCCGCAGCTGCTACACTGCCATAGATGGCGGTGGTGTTTGAGGATTTGGGGGTCGACTCAGAAGAGTAGTGGCGTCGGGAGGATTGCTGGAAGAAATGTTTTGCCGCAGCATTGGATCTTGGGGTGCGGGCGGCGAGGCGCAGGGACGAGGTGGCTGAAGCTGTGCTGCGTGCGACAGCCTTGGAGAAGGTACGGGAAGCCGTTGCAGTAGCCATTTGGGTGATGCAATTAGTTGTTCAGTGTCCAGAAGCAGTGAGAGTCTCCGGTTAGGTGTTTCAAGGACAGACAGAGAAGGAGAGGAGGATGAAAAGAGCAGACGGAGCAAGATATAGAAACGAGCGGAAGAGTCAGAACTTGCCCGAAGAGGCTATCGACGGCGAGACCTGCTAGGCAAATTGGTGGGAGTCGGGCGAGGCTGAATAATGGGCACTCTGCGACTGGACTGCACGCCAATCCGCTGCTGTCGGATGAAACGAAAGCTGGACGACCCACCGAAAAGGAGTGACTGAGGCGGAAGACGAGAAGGAGAAGTGGGAACGAAAGTGCACACACGGGTGGCGGAACGGGGAATAAAGAGGTGGGCAAGAAAAAAAAATCACCCAAAAGTCATGAGATTTTTCTTTATCAAAGGGCGTTGCTGAGTCTGACGTCGACGTTATCAGTAGCGACGGCGCTAGCGCACTTCAGCGTCACTTAGTGCCATTTGGCGAGACTTTAAATGTTACTTAATCGCCGTTTAGCAGCCCATGCAGCCAATAGAACGCCGTCACTCACACCACGCTCGGTCAGCCTTATCCGGGCTTGGCAGGGGAGACTGGATGCGTGGGACGCTCATCACGGCAATGGGCGGCCAAGTGGTTCCGTCAATTTCTCGTGGATCAAAGGATCCAACACGAAAAGCACGTCTTTCTCCGTCAGATTTCGCAACTCTCAAGGCTGGGTCCCGTGTCTCGCTGTCCTTTGCCTGATGAAGAATAGTTTTGGATTTTCTCGGTGTCTATTTCCTTTCTGGGTACTCTCGGGGAACATGCCACTTTTGCTCTCCAAAGTGAGTCTTTTCAGTGCCACTCAAAGACGACCAATGTACATACATACAGTCCGTGTATTGAGAGACTGATCGTGTGTGCATGGTCATGACACATAGGCTAGTACAGCTGTGGCTCCCTTGTTCCGGCTTGCAGCTTCCCTAGCCTTGCATCGCAAAGATAAATACTTGTACATCAACGAACGACCTTTTGCCCGTATGGCCACAGACTGATCGCCCTGGACATGAACCCTGGTCACAAGGTCACCGTGACTCTGAGAGAGTTGTCACAATTCTCAGTGTGCCTCCACTTTGAAAAAAAGGGCGTCAAAGACCTCGGAAGCCTGTTTCGTGCCGAGAAGGACGCTACCCTTGGACTTTGCTCGTTTCTTAATGTCTGTAGACATGACAGCTGCCCGCCCCAGAACGGCATCTTTCTCTCCCTGCAGCTTCTTGTCGATTTCCGCGATATGCTGCGTGAGTTCCTGGTCGCTCGGCAGGTACATCAACCCCTGAGTCCAGCTGACACTGCCCTCTCGATGTTTATGTTCCCAGTGCATCTGAAGGCGGTCCATGGCAGTTTTCTGCTTACGTCTTGCACTGATGCCGGGACGCCTGTCATCCACCTCACATATTCCACATTGGAACTTGAGCTCGATGCCTGGATTGACCGTGGCCAGGTCATCCAAGCATTCCCAGAATGCGGACAACGGCGGTTCTGTCGTATGCTTCTGAGCATAAAGGTCAAGTGCGTACCTCAACGCGATCTTCATCTGACAACGGCCATCAAGCCGCACCCCGTACAGTTGCTGAGCCGCGTAAACCAAGTTCGGGCCGAAGGCATCGGCTGCATGCTGTTGCTTCAGAGGCTGTCGTCCATGAAACGCCGACACCCTCAAACGTGCCGGCAATGGGGTGAATTCGGTAGGACCTGTCGGGCTCCAAGCGCCCAATTGCGTGAGATCTTGATGACGAGGCACAAGAGGCAGGTTCCTCGGCCAGGCAACCGTGTACCAGGGGAACTTGTACTCGACTCCACCCTCCCGTGGAGACAAACCAGACATGTCGTTCACAGGGTGCGGTGTGGCGAATTGGTAATACTCCAGCCCTTTGCCCACTTGCCTGGCATGGGTTTGAAGAATGTGTTCAAATCCCTCCACGAAAGACCATGTGCGGATATGGTCCTTTCGCTGACAACCCTGGCATTTCAGACTCTGAAGCACAATCCTGCCTCGTTCCGAATGCGGTTGGACGTGTCTTTCTATCACATCCTTCACAATCATGCGGGCGTCGTCCAGGCTGAGACGGTATGGTCCGGTGGTTCCGTCGAAATTGAAGCCCATGGGGCGGTTCTCCAGTGTGCTGTAGGTCTCAAAAACATTCCTCAGGCACAGGAGCAAAAGATCCTCGTCGGCAACACCATCGTTGACGCATCGGACAAACTCCGCGTGCGCCAGTTGTAGCACAAACTTTTGCTCCGGCTGGTACGAGCGCGGGACGGCTTCTTTTCCACCGCGATGCGCATCGAGTAGCCTAAAAAGCCGGACTTGCGGGACAGTCTCCAGAAATTCGGATTCCATCAATCTCTCAAAGTCCTCCACATATTGTGCCTGCATTCTGTACGGTTCGATTTTGAGCCGGAGGCTCTCCCACGAGCGTGGTGTGGGGTCTGATCCAACCTTGAGGTTTCCTGTAAACGCTGCCATTTTCCAGAGGATCTTGCGGTCGATGGGTGGCGATAGCTCTGCGGCACGTGCTTCAAAGTATTCGATTCTTCGTTGTCGCCAAGCTTGGGACTTGGACCCCTGTACCGTCTTCGTGTACTCCTTCAACCACGCCTCAATTTTGTTCACCTCGGCCATGTACTCCATTGTTTCCCTATGGATCTTGCGTGCCCACGCCATCATTGCAGTGTGTGTCGCACCTGAAACCCTGAACTTCCAGTATTCGCTTTCAATTTTGGCATAGGATGTCTTCAAAAAAGCGAACTTCCCACTATGTTGTCCCCAGTCGTGTGCTTCGGTGTCTACGGGGCATGAATGCGAGTCACGGCGGCTAAACAGACAGACATTGTCAGCGCACAAAAACCTGGACCCTGGTGTCAAGTGGACACTTACCCGTCGCTGGATACGAGCGGAAGCAGTTGCCACAGAGCACGTCCGTCTCCCGGAGGTACGTGGTCTCTTATCGCGGGCAGTCTATGCCGACGATGGTGCGCGAGGTCATTCTCCTGTGACTCTTAGCGTCGGCGTCACGACAGACGCGGGCAGACGATGGCTTACGGTGGCTGTTTTCTTGTTGAAACAATTCGGGCACAAACGAGCCTGAAAAGTCCAATGAACCTTTGAGGTCCGATCCACATGACAGCCCTTGCTCTGGCAGCCACGACCAGCCAGGAGCTCAACATATTGTTTTTCTGAAAGCCCCTTGGGGCATTCAGGCATGTCCACACCATAATGGTTGATTCTGCTCTTCCTCCAGATGGCAGAATTATCGGAAAGAAGGTTGTAGAAAAACCGGTTGAGTGTTTTTGCCTCCAGCAGGAATTTAGGCTCACAGAAGCTGAGCACATCAACCCAAACGCCTGCGTGGACCTGTTCAGAGTTTTGTAGTGGTTTGCTCGGATGCAGAATCGGGCGTCTGGGCCGCAGTGGTTGCTGGTGAGGTCTTGGTGTGGTCACTGGGGTTGTCTCCCGCGCTGCAACCGGATTGATACTTGGCTCCTCGCCATGCTGCATGCTCTCTATTGTATTAACAATGAAGATTGAATGGCGGGCCGTGTTGGTGTTGGAGGCCACAGTCCGCTCTGGGAGCGTGGACTGTGGGCCTTGATACCTGGACATCATCGTCTGAGGGGAGAGTGGTTCCTGAAATTGGTTGGCAGGAAACACAGGCCCAAGAACCTGAGGAGAGAAGTCACCGACATGGTCAAACTGTGCTGATAGTGGCAGTGCTGGCGGATCTTCATGCTTGCGTTTGCCCAGGACTGGGGCGGGTGATGAGGGCATCCGGAACCAAGGAGGGGGAGGATAGTATGGATTCATGGCTGGCTGTGATCAAGAGTGAGAAGGAGAAGTAGGAGAAGTTGGAAAGTGTCAGCTAGGAAAGAAGCAGTGATGATGAGATGAAGGCAGTAGCTGAGTACGGGCAGATGAAAAAACCGTCGTGAGGGGCAATATCCTGTGCCCTAACGCCGAGCATCGTCCTGACCGTCTATTGTCCTGCCTAGTGTCGCGTCGTCGAGCAGCCATGGGACTGTGCTTGTTCTTCCTGGTGCGGTCAGTGTGATACGGTGTGAAGGGTTGAGACACGCAACGTGAGTGTGCCCGAGATGATAGTAAGAGAGGCCAGAGACGGAGGACGCCCCAGTCGCCCAATGGCCGAGACGCCTCAATGCCCAGAAACAGGGCCACTAGACCTGAACAAGAGTACATGATGACTTGCTGTTTTATTCTGGGGGATGGCGACGGGCGATTGTCCTCTTCCATCTGCCATGGATAGTGGCGTGGGGGCATCAAGGGCAGCGACGGGGTGGTAATGCGGCGTGCCTAAAGCATCCTCTCCCGGCAGCGCGGGCTGCCCAGTTAGGTATAGCACCCACAAGGCCACCGCGTCAGAGCCTACAAGAGCCCCTTAGGGATAGATAATGACTACAAAAGGCCGCCCAGATCGCCCATCTCCCGGCTCAGCCCGCATCGTATTGGAACTTCTAGAACTGCGCCAACACCACCATCAGCAACTAGGCTTGCAGGTTGGCACGTTATCGACATCTGCCCTTTCTGGGTAATTCATCAAGCAAGCAGCAAGATACGCAGAGAAATCCGCAGTGGCAAGGTGATGGCTCCGAAAACCGGACATTGGCGGCTATCCACTACTGCTATCATACTGCCAGCGACGGCAACTCACGGCCAGAGTTGAACTGGCACACTGGTCTATCTCAAGATGACAAACTGAAGAACCTGCCATGGCCGACGAGCAACCTGCACGAGGATGCAGTGATGGGCTCACTAGGCCTACCGAGCATAACCGAGTGCCAGCTGGCGTCAGGGTCTCTTTTCTTCGTCCCCGTCATCTTCTCCTCCTCTCTCTTCCTCCTCCCTCCTCTCTCCGCCCTCCACTTATCGACCACCGATCATCCACTCCTCCCCCGGGCTTATCGGTCTCTAGCCGGGCCATTAGCCATCTCGGGCCCCTCTGGCTTGCGGGGCAGACGCCACTGCTAAGCTTGTTTAAGCATAACGGGTGGTTTCCCCCTCCACGGCCTCTAGCCCTCTAGGCCTCTAGGTGGACAAGTCGCCTATGGCTTGTTTTCCCCAGCCCATGGCGCGCTCTGGGTTCGGCCAAGCCGCCCGTCTGAACCACTCAAACCCAGTTGTTGACAAAATTCGATGTTGCATCCACGACCAGAAGCCTGTGGTCAATCTACCCTCTGTGTGAGAACCCCACCGCTCGCCAAAGAGAGTATGAGCTCCAGAGAACAGAATTGCCCCTCGCTTCGGACAAAGCTCCTGTTCTTGTCCCTGCGGCTGCCAAAGCCGGCTTTTGCAGGGCTCGCTGGAACTCTACAAAGAGACCCGCTGCCCTCCTAGAGACGCATTTCGATCTTCTACTCTTCCCCGGATTTTCGGCATCGCACCCCATCCCCATAAATCGTTGTCGTCGTTGTCCTCGTCGCCATCATGCGGTTCGATATAGACGGGTCCAGTAAGTTTGCTGCTGACAATACCACATCGTTGCTCCACCTAACCATTGTAATAGGTGAAAAGGCCCAGCACACATACAATGACACGAATGGCCTGGGCGACAACCAGATGGGCTATGATCCAGATCTGGCCCATCCAGCTGCCGGCTACAGAGACGGCGAGATAGCTGTGTTGCCCCCAGGAGTCTCCGAACGGAAACTCATCACCAGAATCGACATGCGCATTATTCCTGTGCTGTCAATCATGTACCTCTTGGCTTTCCTGGATCGGACCAACGTCGCCAATGCCGCCATCTTTGGCCTTCAGAAAGACCTTGGGCTGAGTGGCACGCAGTACAGCACTGCCTTGACCATCTTCTTTGTCCCCTACGTCGTCTTTGAGATCCCGTCCAACATCATCCTGAAGAGACTCCGGCCCCATGTGTGGCTCTCCATCTGCATGTTTGGCTTTGGCTTGGTTACCATCTGTCAAGGTCTAGTCCAAGGGTACGGTGGATTCCTTACCACCCGATTCTTCCTGGGCTTCTTCGAGACAGGCATGTTTCCCGGTGCATTCTATCTTATTGGTATGTGGTACAAGAGACACGAAGCACAGAAGAGATATACCTTCTTCTTTGCCAGTACCACTCTTGCGGGGGCTTTCGGTGGCTTGCTCGCCTCGGCCATTGGCAAAATGAACGGCATGGAGGGCTATCTCGGTTGGAGATGGGTTTTCATCCTGGAAGGATGTCTTACTTGTGTGGTCTCTTTCGTCTGGTTCTTCGCAATCCCGGATTTTCCTGAAGACGCGAAGTGGTTGACGGACGCCGAGCGCGAGTACATCAAGGCTCGGCTTCGAGATGACCAGGGCAAGTCGGCCATCGACCGACGCATCACCGTCAAGGACGTCATCAACTGCTTCAAGGACTACAAGATCATCGTGGGCGGTTTCATGTATTTTGGCTTGATTGTGCCCGGTAGGTGGACCTGACCGTCCTGGCTAAGGGAACGCCACAACTGACAAATGGTGCAGCCTACAGCTACGCTTACTTTGCGCCCACCATCATCAAGTCGTATGGATACAGCGCCATTCAGACCCAACTGCACTCGGTCCCTCCGTGGGCGGCAGCATTCGGATGGAGCATGCTCACGGCCGCGCTTTCGGATCGATTTCGCCACCGTTTCCTGTTCGCAATGTTCAATATTTGCATTGCCATTGCGGGCTTTGCCATCCTCATGACCGTGCACCACAACACTGACTTGGAATACGGAGCGCTGTTCATGATCACGTCGGGTACATACAGTGCCATGCCCATCATTGTGTGCTGGTTCTCGATGAACCTCGGCGGTCACCATCGCCGAGCGGTGGGCACAGCGTGGCAGATTGGATTTGGTAACATTGGAGGTGAGTTGGCTGATGGGTCTACGAGTGTCATAACGAGATACTGACTTGTGATGTCTCAGGTATTATCGCGAGTTACAGCTTCGAGGCGACCGACGTAAAGACCTTCTTCCACAAGGGCTACAGCATCTGCATGGGCTTCATCTGCCTGAGCGCCGTCTCTTGTGTCATCTACTTCCTGGCTTGCCTGACCCAGAATCGAAACAAGGAGAAGACGCACGACGTCGGACTGACGGAGTACGAGAAGACAGAATTGGGGGATATGAGTCCAGACTACCGCTACATGCTGTAGTGGGTTCGCGCGTGTGCTGCCCTCGTCGGTATCCATCCTGAGATAGGAGGGAAGAAGGTGACTGACTGACTAACTGACTACCTACATACCTGTGTGACATTGTGCAAGAAAGAGGTCGATAGGGGACAAGCAAATTTACGAGCCAAGATCACGGCCCAAAGTAAAGATGGGTTGTTGTGTAGCGGATACGAAATGTACGCCTTGCTTGCATATACCTACAGTAGTACCTCGTACCGTGGACACTAATAGCGCAGATGGAAATCCTAAACGATCACAATGGCCCCTCCCGGTTCCGGGACCTATTCCGCCTCTCTCCAGTATCATCTCGTTCGAGTCATCCACGAGACCACCGTGACCACTAAGAACCCCCATTCAAAGCCTGTCCATAGAAGGTTTACCTGTGGTGTGCACTCGTCCGGAGAAAGAAAATAGAGCCACTAAGGGAGCTACTAGGGTTGCATCCGCCAAGAAGCTACATAAGGGACGCTGGAGACACGGGACGGACGGTATGGGCGTTGATATTTTTCGGTCAGCATAATCCATCATCCAGCGAGGCTACACACGGTCCCTTTCCTTCCTTCGAATCACTCAATCTCTATGCATTCATATGTAAGTAGCAAGGGATAAGATGGTAAGGCATAACAATCGACCAACCCATTATGCAGTCGTACATCTCCCTTCCCCTAGCAAGGAGGGCTTCCTCAAGTGGCGGAAAGATAGTTATCTCCGGGCACATGTGCGTGTGTGTATCTTGACCACCCACACACCCTCCTCTCCCTTGTGGTCCGCTACCATGTCCCCTCCCGACGGACACGCCGAGGCACGAACAATATGTACGTGGTGGGCGGGTGGCTGAGTGGATGGATAGGTGGGTACCCTACCCTTCCCTCCCTTCCGTCCGCCGGAGAAAAATCGGAGAACTGACCGACCGACCGACTGACTCGCTATTACTAACCAGTCCCTCACCTAGATGGCACCGTGATACAGGGTGACAAGTCCGGAAGAGTGAGTATTGGACAGAGAAAAGAAAGCACAGGTGGTGTCCATGCCCGTGTGCCGAGGTAAGTTAGTTCTGTAACATGGGACATGGGGAGGGAGGGAGAACAGGGAAGGAGAGAGGAAAGCTCAATGAGATCCCGTTGCACTCTGCCTATTACTACAGTAGGTCTGCATGCGCCACCACGTAGGAGTGGTGGTAGCGATGGCAAAACCGGAACATCGTTTTGGGGGGCCATGGCCAAACCAACAACAACTCGCGACAAGAAAGACCGTCGCTTTCTCCTTGATTAGTTAATACCCTCTTTGTTCTATACAAAGTTAGGTACTCTAGCTACTCGTCCTCTGGGTGTGAGCATGGTGGGACAAGCGGACTGAGAGGGCAATGGCTCTTGGTCAGTGTACATACATACATACATACATATATGTGTGTTTGTGTGTTTGTGTGTTTGTGTGGATCCGTATTGATGGATGGGTGGACGATCATGAAGTTGACCCGTTTCCCCACACTGTAGCGTGTACATATACGGAGAATATAGAGAGCTCAATCAAGTATCCCGTCACCAGGAAACCCACTCCCAAATCCTGGATCTCGAAGGAGGAAAGAAAGAAAGGAACATCCCAAGTTGCAACTCGATGGTTCTGTATCCCCTCCTTGGGACAACACCCACTTTGCAATGAATAGCCCATTCTCGAGTCAGAAACAGGGCATGTAGTTGATTCCTGGCCACCTCGCTTACATGCCAGTGGAGGCGCATCTGGACCCCAGAAGATCGACGCTCGCGTAGCAGGCAGGCAGGCAGGCAGGCAGGGGCGCCATGCACACATGTCACTATCGACCCGATGTAACAGGAGATCTATACACGTGGACGATGGACCCCGGAAACATGTTCCTTGGTATTGCAATGGGCGAATGAATGACCTATATGGCTATGAGGCAGAAAAAATAGACATAAACCATTCATCCATTCATGCTTTCGTGTCATGCGTGACCACAGCCTCGTAGTCGCGCTTAGTTCCTAATCTGCCACCCCCGCGAGTTGAAAAAGTCACATTGCGCGGCCGCGTCCGGGTCCGGCGTCGCACTGATGCTGTTGTACGTGACAGCCTGGATGGTGAAACCCACGCCTTCGCCCTCAGCTGCCGACCCTGCTCCCCCAGAGATGTAGCTTGGCCAGTATGGTGCACCGGCAACACGCAACGGGTTTGGGTCGTGGAAGACGGTAAAGCTTACCCAGTAGCTGGTCATGATGTGCGCCAGCGTCAAGTTGTTCGCGCTGGGATAGTTGGTCACGTTGGACGAGATGAAAGGGTTGGTGGCCCCGTGAAGCTCGCTTCCGGCAGCGAACGTGAGCTTGAACACAGCGGAGCTGTTGGAGAGCGAATCCACCATCGACGAAGCCATGTAGTAGGTCGGACAGTTGATGATGAAGTCCCCAAACCAGGTCTGCCGCTGGTAGAAGGTGCTGTTGAATTTGCTGCGGGGATAGAGAGAATACAGACGGGAGAAAAATGATGGCCCTGCCGCAGGGAAGAGATCTTCGGCCTATGTTTGGGAAGAATATTGTCAGTGGCTGCAGAGCGGGGAAGAGAGAGCCGGTTAGGACTCACATCTACCGTCTCGTCTACCTGGGATGTCTGCGTCTGGTTGGAGAAGATATAGCCCTCGTAGGCGTCCCGATTGGTGATCAGGGGTACCTTGTAGAAATTGCCCTTTGCAAATTCTTGGTCAGGAAGATCGCGGATGAACTTGCCGTCGACAACGGGGCCCCAGTAGTAGACGCCGTATGCATTGTCAGGTCCTGGGTACGTAGCGTTCAGAACTGCCTGGTTGAGGTTTCCCAGAGTAGCAGAAGACAGCCCTCGGAGGCAATTGATATCCGAGCAGTTGGACAACTTCAGAGCCGTGTTATACTGGGCGTTCTGCGTGCTCTTGTTGGCCAAGGGTTGCCACCATGGATGATCTGCAATTGCGGCTGCAAAGGGAGGGAGATCAGAGCCGCTGTTGGCGATCAGCTGGCACGATACACTGCCTCCCCCAGCTGAACCTCCCCATATAGTGACACGGCCTGGATCACCACCAAAAGCACGGATGTTCCGCTGAACCCAATCCAGAGCAGCTCTTTGGTCGAGCAGGCCCGCATTTAGCGCTCCGTTCTCAGAAATGGCATCCCCGCCCATGAACCCAAACATTCCGAGACGGTACTGGATACCCACATAGATGATGTTGCCGTCAGACCGGTTGACTAGGGCATCTCCAGGGTAGGAGAAGGGAGCGCTCCCACCAACGTAGCCACCACCATGGATGCTGATTCAGAATATGCAAAGTCAAAGTCTGCATGCTTGGATAAATTGAGAGGGAATGACGCCAGGCAAGAGAAGAGAATTCTGAGGCCTTCGCCACACCAACGAAGGACTCGATATCGCCAGTGCTCCCAAAGAAATGCTACTTACGTGAACAGGACGGGCAAGGCTGTCGAGACAGGCTTGGAAGGCACAAGCACGTCGAGGAGCAAACAATCCTCCGATTGTCCCTGAGGTGCTGATGGGGTAGCATAAGTGGACGCCGCCGAGGATTGGTAGCATGCTGGGCCAAGAGCTGAAGCATTGATGGTCTGACCGTTGTAGTTGTTCATATATTCGATGGGCATAGGTTTCGCCCAGCGTAGTTCACCTGTCGGAGCGGCAGCATAGCGGATGCCACGATAGTAGTTGATGCCTGCGGTGGCATTCTGGTAGCCGCTGTATTTCACATAGCCAAGGTTGATAACAGGGACGTTGGCGGAAGAGTTCTGTGCCTGTGTGAATGAGTTGAGAAGGAGAAGCACCGCTGCTGCTCCGGTGGGCAGGGATTTCATGACTGGCTATGAGAACTGTGGGCCCAATTCACTCGAGTGAATCAAGTAGCAAGTGTAGGGGCACCGTGTAGTCAGAAAACCACTCTGGTTCTCCGAGTTGCTGTTTTATGTGGTCGATGGGCTCGAGCTTGAAGTGGGATATTCGAAAACCACAGCGGGGGAATGAGGTCAAAGCTGGATCCATGGCCGGCGGCTTCCTCTCCACCGACTTTTCACCTACCGTGCTGCAGGTCACCAGATACATTTTGCGCAGTATGGAGATCCAAAGTTTTGCCTTCCTCGTACCAAAGCGCACAATGATGGTGTTCCGGGAAACGAAATGGGGAAATTCTGGGGTAATGCATTGATTTCAAGTCGGAATATGGCCGGACGAAGCTGTAATTGGATGTCGCAGGAGGAGTAAAAAAGGCGAGACAATTCTGCCTAATTCAGGAGACTCATGGTATTGGTGCCAGCCTTATTGTTCAGGAACAACCGGGAAGCGGCACTTTGCAGCCTTTGGCCAAACGACCTGAGAGTACTCGGTACTTCATCTGGCGGAACGGCTCGGCTATCGTTCCCCTCGAGAAGAGGGGTTTGGAAAGCCTGCGAGGAGAGGCAAGAAACCTGTACAGGGACCTACCTACCTGCATTCTGTCGTCTGGATGTCGCACTTACCGGTGAATAATGCGCACTGGTCGATGATGAGACTACACCTAAGCGAGACTGGCTTCATAGGGATGGTTTGAGTTTCAATGATGGGAAGTACATCTTGGCAACTGTGCCTCAAATATTGACGACACGATCTCGTTGCAAACGTCATCCGACGGGCTGAGAGAACGTACGGTATACACAGAAACGGATCAACATTTCTCCGCGATCCGACCGAATACGGTAAGTTGGCCGGCAGATTGATTCCCGGGGATGGCTTTCATTGAGTGCGAGGCGTTCACACACAGATTTATGATATGTTCTTGTTGATTCTCCATATTGCAGAATTCGAGGTCGAGTCGGTCAGACCTGAGCTTTCTACTCTGCTACATATTCATGGACACTATGCCGCCTCCCCGAGCCGTCGGCTCGATTCCCCTCCCTCCGCCGCCACCGTAAATCGGTCATTCCGCCTCCAAACCTCCGAGAGTCGCTACCTATCTTGCTGCCCAACTGTCAAAAGGTCAATGCGGGCCCGCCTAGAGAAAAATGATTTCTGGTTGCAAATTTACATTCGAAAGTGGAATGAAACACGTTATGTCAGCTGCGTGCCAACACTCATAGCTGAGCTCTCAGCGGTGCTTTGACGAGACCGACTGCCAGGTCGCACTGACTGCCCAGCCGATCGATGAGTGGCTTTTCAGAGCTCTTGTCTTCGAGATAAACACGCAACGCCACCCAAGGGTCGGCGCCGGTGTGCAATTGAATGTAAAGGATGAGCTGTGTGCTTCCTTGCGTTTCCCCTGCTAGAAACAAGATCAGTGCGGGCTCAAGTTTTGATCGACTTGCCGCCTACCACCAGCAACACCGCTTTGACCAGTCAACATTGGCGCACTTTGAGTGCAAGCCATCGACGCGCACTCCGCCGACCGAATGTCGAGTCAAATACGTTGTTTGATGAGGTGGTTATCGTCAACAAAAGCTTGTCCGGTCTTTGTTGTTTCTCTATGCGCATGAACTTTTGACTGGACACAGCAGGGAGAAACAATGAGGACCTCAGCAGCACGGGGAACACTTCAGTAGATATTCATGCCGCCAGACTGACCGCTTCATCCTCCTCTGTTCTCGGGCGTTGTGGCAGAGGCGCGCTCTGAACGAGAAACTGTTTTGCCACTCCAATTCCAAACTCTATCAGCACCACTTACAGGGCACCACGAGCTTACTTGAGTGGGTGGCTGAACACTGGCCGGGGTACGGATACCTCATTATGAGACCAGGAGCGGCAAGTCAGTCAACGTGGCGAGGTGTCTACCCAGACATATCCTGGCGTACACCGCTGCCTCCTGGCAGGTCAACCAACAGCAATCGCAGCCAGGGCTTGCCTCCTCGGGTCCCACGTATTCAGCGGCATTTTCCTCACTGAGAGACCTCGATATTGTGTCCTTCTAAGGATTACGTGACTGTGAGTCCCAAAAATACTGGTACAGAAGAAACGACAACCACGGCGAGAAAATGGCCCGAAGTGGCCATGATAACGAAAGCTAGAGAATTGATAAGAAGGGCCAACCCATTTTTGGAGTACAAACAATCTGCGATGGAGTGCTGCGGATTAGGCAGACATCGGTGGCAAACTCCCACATCCATGGCCCATGGCTCGTTTGACCAATATCCCTGCAACCTAGCTAGCGAGCTCAGCTGACCTTGGTATTTCGATCGTGCGGCTCAAAGTCACGTGTTATGCACGGTACTATGTGGCAGCATACATGCCTGTGCTCGTACGAGAGATCTAACCTCCCGGAGAGCAGCAGATGAGAGAGAGGGTAAAGAGACAATGGTAGGCGTATATGTTCACCTTCTGGCGGCCTGGGGCGAGACTTGCTCGAGAGGCGTACCTGATCATTGGGTGAGTCACCCAGCCCAAACGATGTCATGTTCGGTCGCGTGCGGTCGACAACCACCTCGTATCTTGGTCTTGGTGTGATCGATTCGGATTTGGGTCGTTGATTAGTGTTCTCTTGGACCGACCACGATGGTCTTCCACAGGTCGAGGACGAGAACTAAGGAGCGACAATCAAGGGATGTGGAGGTGGAGTGGTGAATTGTTTTCTTTTTCTTTTTCCAGACTGTACACCAGTATTCCTAGATACTGCGAGTTGTGCAGATACTTGTACATCAAGCCAGATGCAAGAATAGAACCTCCAATGTGCCCACCATCCTGCCGCCCTGGTTGCAGGGCTGTAACTGCCCGCCGAACAGGATGTTGGAAAGGAGTCACTTTTCCGTTTCCTTTTCCTCCCCCATTTCCAAGTGACATGTCCCCCGACGAGTCCAATTGAATGATGCGATGCTCAGTGGTATCGTCCCGACCCATTCTTGAAGAGAAATGGCCTCCCTGGCTCACAACAGATCAGACCCAACCAAGCCAGTGTGTGTCTCTCTGTCTCCTATTCACTAAAAGACCTGCTTGACGAGCATCTTCTTGTTGATCTTCCCCATGGCATTCCGGGGTATGCTCTCCACGACCTTGAGTTCCTGCGGGATCTTGTAGTTGACCAATTTATCCTTCAGGGCGCGACGCATGTCCATCACGCCCCACGGCTTGCCGCCGCGGCCGCCGCTCGTCCCTTTGTCGCTCAGGACCACGACCGCCGCGACCTTCTGGCCCCATTGCTCGTTCGGGATGCCCACCACGGCGGCCTCGGCGATCTCAGGGAGCGCGAGGAGTTCTCGTTCGATCTCCAGCGCCGACACCTTTTCTCCCCCGGTCTTGATAATGTCGACAGACTTGCGGCCGCGGATGAAGTACATCGGCCCGTGGGCCCAGGGTTGCTCGCTGTTGCCGGTTCCCGGGAGGAGTTGGCGGATTGCCACGTCGCCAGTTCTGAACCAATTTCCTTTGCCGTCCTCAGACTCAACGAATTCTGCCGCGGTCGCGGACGGGTTACGGAAGTACTCCTTGAAAACAGTCGGACCACGGAGCTGGATTTCTCCTTCGCGCGGTTGACCGTTTTCATCCACTTCGTCGCCGTCTTTGATCACGGTGCCTGTCTCGGTATCGACGAGTCGGATCTCGACCCCCGGTAAGGGCCACCCAACTGAACCGTCGACACGATCCTCAAACGCCAGTCCACATGATAACGCCATGCCAACCTCGGTCATTCCGTAACGTTCGAGGAGGACATTGCCACCAGAGAGCTCGGTCCAGGCTTGTTTTATTGGTGTCGGGAGGGCTGCAGAGCCAGATATGTTCAGCCGGAGATAGCGAGGGGTGATCGCTGTGCGGGTCGCGGTCTGCATTTCTGGCGAGAGGGAGGAATGAGTTGCCAGGAGGCGGCTGTATATCGTCGGGACGCAGGTGAGGAAAGTTATCGGCCTCTTCTTCTGGTCTGGTGATGAAGAGGAGGAGTCAGGCAGGAACGGTGCAGCAAGACGCCTCCACACCGTGTCCGCATTGAATGGGTACGCGAACTCGATGGCGGCGCCGGCCATGAGCGGAGTATATAGTGCGTTGATCGTGCCGTGGATATGATGGAGCGGGAGAAGGTGGAGGAGCAGGTCCGAGGAGCTGTATTTCCACGCTTCGATCAACGACCTGGACTGTGCCGTCATGTTGGCCACAGATAGAACCACGCCCTTGGGACGACTGGTGGTCCCGGACGTGTACAGCATGAACCCGCCACGCTCCAAGGTCTGAGAGCTCAACTGGACGTTCTCGGCGGACCGTGCTCCGGTCTCGATCTTGGAGAGGATTCCCAGCTTCGGGGCATGGTTGAGTAGTCCCTCTTTCACCACCTCTTTCGCCTTTTCCTGGAACTTCTCCGTGGAGAGGAACAGCGTGGCTTCGCTGTTCTCGAGGATGTAGCGCAGCTCTGAGCTCGGGTGCGTGTGCGCCAGCGGGAGGGCGATGGCGTCGTGCGAGAGGATCGAGAGGAACGTTACTTTGGGGGCATTGTCAACATGGGCCACACAGGGATTGCATGTACTGGTCCCGCACCCACATAGTCATATCCGTTTTCTGCCAGAAAAGCTACTCTCTCACCCGCCAGAGATCTCCCTCCAGCGAGAGCGGTGAGGTTTTCCTTTGCCGCAGCAACGTCATGTAGGAGACTGCCGTAGCAGAATGTCCGGTCGGAGGCGCTGTGGATGACCGCAGCAGACTTCGGGTCGTGGTTGGCGATGGCGGCGAAGATGGGCGACGAGGGGAGCGTCGACAACAGCCGGACTGGGAGTCCCCGAGGGTGCCTGCATATTGGAAAAGAGAATCCCAAGCAGCTGGACAAAGCTGTCCGACACGTCGTCCCTCCTATACGGCCGGCAGCAGCTCTTCTAAGCTGAGAGGTCGCCGCGTTGACGAGGCGAGAGGTCGGAGGGGCAGGACCCATCTTGAAACCATTGTTGGCCGAAGAGGTGATCACTGAGAATCTCAGGCTCGAGCCGTGATCTCGGAGCACTGTGAGACAAGGAGAAGAAGGCCAGAAATTATACGGGAGGGACGATGTGTCAAGACGAGCTGGAGCTCAAAGTCATCCATTATTCATTTTACTCCGCATGACGCCGCAGAGGAACAAAAATTCTGGTGTTTACTCGGTACATCTATTACCCTCGCGAGTCTCGCCAACGACATTTTGGAACAAATCGCCTGCATCTTCATCATCATACTGCATCCTCGATCTCGAACTTGACGAGAATCGAACAGGTCGTCTCCCTGCCCTTCAAGTCCAGCATGCGGATAAAGTTCCAGCCCGGGGCTACGTAGAGCAACCTCACAGCCGCAACGGCAAAGACCGGGTTGATGGCGAAACTGTCGTCGCTCTTGATGAGCATCCGCAGAAACACCAGCTCGTTGTCTTCGTATTCCCACAGCAGCACCTCGTCCCAAAAGGGATGCGTGGCGGGAGGGTTCTCGCCTCGATGCATCAGCCCGAGCTTGTGTTGTCTGTAGTGTGCCGTCTTCCGCTTCGGAGCGTCATCGTCTTCAAAGTCCGGGTGGTAGAGTTTGCAGGTCAAGTATGGCTTGATGTCGTCAACTTCACGGCCTTCAGGGACAGGCACATCGGTGGCTCCGGCGACGTGGAGACGGAGGATCTTCCTCTTCCCGGTGTTGAGTCGGCCAGATCCGCCTGATCGGAGGGCCGCTGGCTTCAAAACATAACCATCCGTACCACTGAACAGCGCCTCGTTCAGCTGGATGCTGGCCCCGAACGTCTGCCAGTTGAGGGCACAGACTTGGGCGCCAATGCCCCAGAACTGCACCGGCTTGAGGTTGCGGGACGATATCCGCGTGCCCTTGGGATAAACCCGCATCAGATGTCGCGCGTTGTGGCGGGCGATTTTGTCGTTCTCGACCGGCATGTAGGCCTTGAGGCCGGTTTCTGAGACATTGATGAGGTGGTGATGGGGCCCGTCCTTGAGTCCAGCGTCGCCATACCACGAATTGTCGCGTGGTTTCACCGATTGAGCGTAGACACCGAGCTCGGCCAGCTCAGGGATGATGACACTGGTCGCCGTCTTCTTCTTCTCGTTGTACGCCTTCCGGGCCTGTTTCGTTTCTGCATCCTCCTCGTCGGAGTTGGAATTCTCCTCTTCGCTCTGTGATTCATTGGGGAAATGGTATTCGACAATCAGGACTATCTTCGACCCCAGGTCCTCGAGAGTCACTTGGTCGCCGGCGCCGTGCTGCTCGTCGTGCCCTTTCTCCCTGACGGCCTTGCTCAACAGCCGGTCACCCCAGACCTCTCTCATGATCTCGACAAGACGCAGTTGACCGCGTGCATCGCAATGGTTCTCCAGAGACAGCAGAATTGGAGCTGCTCGGTACCCTGGCTGGGAGACAGACTGAGCAGCTTCCTGGTCGATGACATCGCGGATTGTTTCACACACCGCGCGGAAGGGGATGCTCGAGACGAGCGTGTAGCCGTGCGTGACCTTGGGTTCGTCTTTGTTTTCTTCATTGTCCCAAGCATCGATCTCCACACAGCGAGATCCAGTATTGAGAGCGGTCCTGTAGGCATCGGCCGAAGAAGTGCCGTACAACTGATGAGCCAACAGGTAGGTGTTGTGACTGGAGCTGATGAAGTATTCGGACAATGGATAAGACCGATCCGTTATATGGGATGGGACGTTGATGTGTGGCTTGCTGAGGAACGCGCGTAGTGGTTCGGTGACTTCGTCTGGTTTGTCTAGCGCAGCATCGTTCTCCGAGATGACGTGGTGCTGTACCAGGAACGCCTTGAGCGCATGGCTGACCCGGAGCTGGTGCTTGGTGATGTCGGTTGCGCGAGAGCCACGGCCACCGCCGGCAACACTCGAGGCGTCGATGACTTCACCGGCGTCCTCGTACTCGAATTTGCCAGACTTCTTCGCGAAAGGATTCAGTCTGGCCATGTGCGAGGCGAAATGGGACGGTGGTGATGCGGACATGGTGGTAGCCAGGATTCTACCGAGTCGACACGGTCAACCAACTTGCTGAGTAGTAGAGAGTCGATTTGACGAGCAACCCTCTGCTGGAGAAGACAAGGGTTGTTCTAATGTCGAGATCAGCAGCAGCGTAATCATATGAAAGTCAGATGAGGGACCCAAGGGAGGAGCTGAAGGATGCCCGGCTATCCTCGTTGTATGTTAGTTCTGTAACCAAATGCTCCTTTCAGAACCTCACCGTATCAGACAGACAATGAGCCCCCTTTTGACTGTCTCTGAGTCTCTGTGAACCTCAAGAATCCTTCCGACAGCCCCTTTGCAGAACAAGCTTCTTCCTCCGCTCGTCCAAGATAGCCGCCCGTCAGATGAAGCTGATGGCTGTGAGGAGTGCGCTAGATGTCCTCTCTGCTCTGCCGTAGAAAATGCCGTCTCCCACCGAACACTCCGCCGGACCCTGCGCTGTTGTGACAGCTATCAAAATCCTGACAACCCTGGCAATTTCTCCGTTGCCAGCATTCAGCCCATCAGAAACGTCGGGACAATAGCCAAATGAGGAGATATGTGACTGCGGGCGCCTCGCTTTGCCGTGCAGCAGTAGTATCGACAAGAAGGATGGCCAGCAACTCCTCCTCCGCCACGCCCGTGGAGGACACAATTCGAACAAAGGTGAGTTTTTGATCCAGCCTCGTGAGGCCGTCGGTCCCGGTAGGAGGGCAAAAAGAACGAAAGAAGGAAAGCTGTGGTGTTTCTTTGGGGCTCCCCAAGCCTCATCCAGCCCCATTCTCTCCATTCCTATCCACATATGCCGAATATATGCCTTTGATACCAGCATCTGACTCGCCGGACAGATCACGGAGGCATTGAATCCGACCAGCCTGACGATCCGGAACGACTCGCACCTCCATTCCCACCACAAGGCCATGGAAGGCTCGACGTCGAAGGAGACGCATTTCTTGTGAGTGGATGCTCTCTGTCCAGCTCAGACTGAACCGGCCGGCCCTTCCCTCTTGTTCCTGTACCTGTCTCTGTCTCTGTCTCTTGTTCTGCTCTACTCTACACGGATCTTCTTTCCTCAACTCAGTCTCTCCCTCGTCCTTCTCTGCTCCGCCTGGCCTTCTCGCGCAACCAAACCAACCCTAAGTAACACAAACACCCCCCACAGTCTCGACATCACATCCCCGTCATTCCAGTCCAAACCCCAGCCGGCCCGGCACCGGATGGTCTACGCGCTGCTGAAGGACGAGCTCGACCGGCCCGGCGGCATCCACGCGTTGCAGCTCCGCACCAAGACGCCCGAGGAGGTGGAGAGGGGCCAGCTCGCGGCGAGGCGGAAGGATGCGGCGGTGGCGTGATTATTGGCGACCTTTGGGGAGAGAGTGGAAGAAGTGCTAGGCTCACTATGTCCTCGGTACGTACATATGTACATATATACATGTATGGGGACGAGCAAGCAAGCAATATAGCGAAAGAAGTGTGGTGTCTACCAGCCTGCCTGGCTGCCTGGCTGTTGCTGGTGTTCTGGGCATCGTCAGGATTCAAACCCTCCCTTTGTCCAGTTTTCTCAGCTGATCTCGCCTCAGAAGATAGAAGATAGGCACCTTTCGCTCGACCGGGCCCAAGGATCTGCTGCCAGCACAAACCCGGAGGTGTTGAAAGGAGACTCATTCCAGTCGGTTGAACACGTCCATATCGGACCAAACTATATTATAATAGTGATTACGAGGTGCATACTCTCAGCCCCTCGACCAATACATACAGTGTCCAACGCATATATAGAAAAGCCTAAGAATTCCTAGACGTGTGCCCTCGCCCTTTTCCTTCTATCAGACTGCTATTCTCACATGACGCACAATCGTCACTGAACGGGGCGAGAGGGAGGCATGCTTGTATGGTGGACGAGAAGCGAGCCATACACTACTAATCTTTCCCTCTACCGCTCTGATCACGTAGACAATGAACAAACAAAACTCATGACTTCAGCAGAGTGAAGGCGAAAGGAATTATTAGCGGCTAGTGTGTGTATCTAATGGGCGTTTTGATCCTGTACAATGTCACCCAACCGACCAGCCCGACAATCCCCTCCGTCGACAGAAGGGATCAAAAAACAAACAAATGAGCATTTGGCGCCGGCTTTTTCTGCAAAAGAACATATGAGATTCTGAAAAAAAAAACCCTTCCTGCCGCCTTCCTTTGCCCGCTCTATCGCGCGCCCATCTCCTCTCACGAATACGAGTCGCGTCGACTCTCGGGTGATCCAAAACCAAACAAGAAGAAGGGGCACATGGTGGGTCTGCTTCACCGACACTAGAGATGCCGTCCACTCTTCGTGGCCTCATCATGTCAAATGGAACCTTTGTGGGAATTAAACTTGGATTGTTGCGGAATTGCCAGTTTCACGTATGTCACGATCTCCGCGAGCGAAAGGACCACATTGTTTTGTGATTTAGGACGGTGGCTGACTGTTACCACCGTCATGCTAATGAGAATGGTTCGTAACAGTAACACCCACCGCCACGACCACAACAATAATGATGATGATGAGAACTGGATGAAGGTTAGCACGCTCACACCGGCCAATTCCGACAAACACTTACGAACAATGCCCAAGCATATCCACTTCTTGCGGCGGGCAGCTCGGGCCTTGACGACCGCGCCCTCGAGCTCAACATTTGCCTTCGCCACATGTTCTGCGACTTGCTCGCCTTGCTCCTCGATCTGGGTGACTGCGGGCTCTTGCTGTACCACCAAGGCCTCGAGATCCTGGAAGAGTTGAGCAAGCTCGATCATCTGCCGCTCAATCTTCTGGATATCTTCGTGGCGCTGAGAAACGTTCCGCGCCACCGTCTGCGCTTCACCGCGTCGGTCGCTCTGGATCAATGCAGAAGAGAAGATTTGCTGGTTGTTGGGATCTTCCACGGCTTCACGCACTTCTGCGTCTGACGCATCCGGGCGGACGATTCGGTATTGTCTGGCCATCTGTTCTTGAGACGATTTTCGGAACTCCCTCTCCACCTGTTGGTATTGATTGATCGCGGTCTTCAGTCTTCGGTCGACCTTTCCCACTTGAGGGGCATTGCGCGGGTTGCCGGATTCCGGTTGTTGCTTGATAGCCTTGACGCGGCTGACCAGACCGCGGTATTTTGTCATGATGGTCTCTCCCGTGCGATCGACCTCCACACGCAACGGCGACTGGGCAGACGTGTTCGTGTCGGCCAGGTACCGTGATTGGAGCCCCTTGAGACGCTGCAGGTCGGCCTCGATTTCATCAATGGCCTGGTCAACGGCCCGGCATTCATTGAGGATTCGGTTGGGGTCGGCGCCGTTCATGTTTCGCATTTCTGAGGAGGAAAAGTTAGCCAGCATTTACTCGTGAGGTATCTTCGAGCTTCGTGTACCATAACCACCTTGCCGCTGTTCATCCTGGGCATAGTAGCTGCTGCCTTGTTGCTGAGGCTCCGGACGTTCGCTGTAGTTTCCCTGGCTGCCATATGCCTCATTGTCATAGCCCCCTTGAGCGTAAGGATTCCCAGCTTGTCCGTAGGGATTGTAGGTGCCGTAGCCCTGGCCCCCTTGTTGCTGATTGGATCAATGTAGATGTCAGCAGCAGTTCTCACAGAAGTGCAACGCCATGGTTTGAGCAATCCATTGACTGCGTTTCAGGGGCTGAGGGCAGAATAAGGCGACTCAATGTCTCTGGGGAGGGCAACAACGTACGCTCATGATGGCGGGAAGACGAAGCGGGTTATTAAAAGGCGTAGAGGTGACGATAAAGGTTCAATCGAGTTGCTCCAGTAAGCGCGGGAAACCGTGGAAGAGGAAACCTGGGGGGAGAAAGGAGGCCGACGCGCGCAACTTGGCTCGGATACGCGATACAGGGCCGAAGAAAATGAGAAAGGAAGAAATAAAAAGGAGGAGGATGAAATTCTAAGATGGAGATGGAATCAGCAGCGGCTGAATAGAAAAGCTGAAAGAAGAAAGGAACTTGGGGGTGTGTAGAGAGTAGATGGCGGGCTGAGTGATCACAGCTGCTGCGAGGAATCCGATCAGCTCGAGAACGGAGTTGGAGAGGGAAGGAAGCGGTGCGTGCGAGGGAGCGAGTTGCAGGGAGTGCAGTGCATAGGGGAGCCTAAAAGTGCCCCTCGCACCCTAACTAGCCCTACTAGAGGGAGCTGCGTCCAGGCTTCGACCCAAAAAAGTGTGGGCGCCCTTTTTCCTACGCCTCATGCCCAGAGCAGCGCCCCAGGGCCCTCGCGGCCTAGCGGCTTTGAGCAGTGGGGAATAATATACACGAACTTCGCACCTGAACTGCGGCTGTGCCACCTCCAACTGCTACCCGAACCATACAAGAGGACTTTGCACAAAACGTTCACCGTCGACGGCATGATCTTCACTGGGTCGTCTCAAACGCAGGTCAGCGCTTGCCCCGTTCTGCCTTGCCTATTCCGACCTCGCCCGGATGAGATAATTTGATGGATTCTCAAAGACCTGGTAACCACTCTGACAAACCATTGCCTCGCTAGAAGCCTACATCGCACCTCGACACCCAATCAAACCACCCCCAATCTTACTTTAGCATGGGGAACGCTTTTGTCCTTCACCAGTGTTACCAATAACGCCTCAAAGCTCCGAAAAAGAGATGGATCGCCGGCGGTGGAGGAGTCACATCAGATATTGTTTCAGCAATTGCCAGAATTTCTTTACCCACATTAGCCAATGCTCTATAGAGTTGATGGTGATTTGTGGTCGTCAGGATTGAAACATAACTGTTTTGCCGCAGCCACCGTTCGGGGCCGGAGTAAATCTCACTTTGCCCCCCAATGATCCGTCGCGGCGTGATACAGGCATCGACCTTTGAATTCCAGCTGCCTGGAGCGAAAACCATATCTCGAAAAGAGATTTTGAAGGCCCCAATAATGACCGGTCAGTGATCAGCTCTCCGCCACGACCCCCACAATGGTGCTAGAGCCTCGCTCCCAGATCCACAAGGTCTCCCAGGGGCGCAAGGCTGCGACATTAACGCCGTAAGCATTGGTTACGCCCCAATCCATCACCACCTCTTTGATTCATCAACCCCCCTCCAGTCTTTCTCCGTGTAACCAAGACGGCGTTTGACATCTAGGACCGTCTGCTCGTCCCCCATGTTCTTGCCGATATTGTCGGATAACTTGATGGCCGGTCTCCCGCCCGCCTTGGACAATTTGATGACGATGTTCATCGGCTTGGATTTGGCTTCGGGGTCCGACTTGCGGCTGAAGTCGTTCGTGAAGAATGTACCCACCCCAAAAGAAGGCTTGAACCCACAGGCTTCTGCCAATTCCCGGTATTCGATGCATTTTTCCACATTGAGTGAGTCTGAGAACACAATACTCTTGTTTTCCACTCCTATCGACTTGTAGAAGTTATCAGCACCTTTGATATATTCCTTGGGATCCCCAGAGTCTTGTCTGATGCCTGCAAACACTTCGGCGTAGTACGGCTGATCCGTTGCCGGATGGCTGTCGTCAGTATACCCCGTCGACTCGTCCCGTGAGGCCGATGTCCGGGCAGGCGTCCGTTTCTTGAATGCCTTGAAGAAGTCGGGTGTACCGAACGTATCCGTGAGGGCAATGCCCAGGACCCCCTTGCCGAAGCAGTCAAGCCAGTAACGGAGGCCATTTTCATTGGCATTTTCGTAGTCATCGGTGAGGGCGGCGATCCCCATGTACCATTCGTGGGCCACTGTCCCGACAGGCGGAATGCTGTACTTCATCGCAAAGTATACATTGCTTGTGCCCGACAGCTTTCCAGGCAGACCTTTTTCATGTGAAGCCCTCACTAGACCTTTGAGCACGAGATCCTGGGTGTGGAAGTCGCGTCTTCTCCGAGAGCCGAATTCCGAAACAATGCAGCCTGCGCGGAATAACCGCACTCCCTTCTCGTATGCCCGTTCCTCTTGCCCGCTGTGATCCCAGTCCTTGTCAATAAACTTGAAGTATGCTTCGCTCGTCAAGGCCAGGATGGGGATTTCGTATAGAATTGTCTCGACCCACAGGCCAGTGATGGTAATGTCGAGGTCTCCGTACGTTCCATCGACCGGCTTGAACTCGAGATGCACCTGCTCGGCGGGCCGGAGTCGAAATGTCTGTAGGTACTCTAGGTAGTCGGAGGTCAGGAACGGGCAGTGTTTTCGGAGATATTCCAACTCTTGCTGTTCGAGGGTGATATTCCCCAGCTTTGTAATCTGTTCTTTCAGCCAATTGACAGCTTCTTGATCCAATCGCATCTGCGGGGTGCGGTTGGTGAACTTATATTCAACATCGACCGTGGGAAAGTACTTTAGAATCGCACACTGCATCGTCAGCTTGTAAAGATCAGTGTCGAGGAAAGAGAAGACGCCTTCGGGCAGCTTTGGTTGTGCCATGTTGACAAGCACGAGACCAATCTCAACAGAGGCCACATCTAAGAAGGGGGAGGGGACGTTTTTGCAAGTGTGCCCGCAAGCTGCTACTGTGCAGCCGCGCGGAAAACGAGAGTCACCGTAGCACAGACTCTGACAGGGACTGCAGTGAAGTGACAATGTCAGCGTTAGAGATCAGGACTGCGCGGACTATTCCCAGAGACGGCGATCAATGTGACATAATAATGCGCCCGGGGGGCAGATAAAGAAGCCGCCGTTGTTTAGCCGATGTCCAAGGTTGTCGCTCTTCCCCGCGTCTCTCGAATTGACTTTATCCGCAAAGGATTCTGAGTTTAACGAAATCTCGACGACAACCTTGGGATGACAGGACATTCGAGATCCTTTGGGATGTGTCTCTGTCAGTAACAGACTGGCCGGCTGGAGTCTGGTCATGGACGCAGCCCACACACATACACTGCAACTTTCCACCTCAAGTCAATGTCCCAGCTGCTCATATTTCAAATCAAAATCCTGGATGAGCGCAACAATCCCGCCTCTACTCTTTTTGCAACTGAATCTCTACAAATACCGTGGTTTGTACAGCCGTGGAGATGAAATGCGTGACGTATCTCGGATCAGGCGCCGTCGCGCGTCAGCTCGATCATCACGCCGGGCCGCATCAAGAGCGCTGATACGTGGAAATGGGCATCACGAATTTCGGATCTTTCAACGGTCAGAATCCATGCAGGGCCAGAGTCGGTCGTGGCTTAGCAGCGTTATTGCCTCAATGGCCCGGCAATGCAAGAAAAAGAGTCTGCCGATGCAGCCTAATAGCACCTAGACCTCCACAACAAAGATCTACGAGCTCTCAAGGGTCGCAAGAGAGGTGAAGACGTGTATGCGTCGATCTCAGCCTTCCCGTCGCAGGACATGAGGCAACTTAGTTATGGAGGGCTGCAACGTGCGGCTGTTGGCAGACGCGGGTTTTCTTTTCTTTTTTTTTCCCCCACGAGGAAGGACCCCAATTCGGGAGGTTATCATCGTCTTGCACACCTCTTCACGGTATGGCTCACTCAAACATACTAGATCTCGAGCATCCTTGTGTAACTTCCACTGGGTAGCTTCGGCATGATGATCATGTCTACTTCCTCAACTGGTCGAATCGCAGGCTCGAACAATTCGCTAGAGTTGCCATCATTTTCCAGGATCGTCTGCCACGTCAAGTTGCTAGAGACAGGGCGCTCCGGCTCGCTCCTTTTTGCTTTATATCCCCGACCATGTCCCCCAGCCACATGCAGCTGCACCTGAGAGGAAGGGCGCTCTGTCCTCGCCCCATTGGGCATGTTGGGTTCCAATTACATTCAGAAGAACAGGCGGTGAGGTATAAATATTCGGGTTTCCCTCGTCCTGTTTCCTTCACTCTCTTCTCGCAGCACTCCAGTGACCTGTTCCCAGCTGCTTCCACTTGACCCATTTCCGGATTCTCTTTAAAGGTCATTTTCAGCGCTTACCACTCCTGTTCTCACCATCGTGGCGCCAGCAACCAATACAAGTCTCTCAGTCTACATCAGTATCCACCAAAGCATGACTGCCTCGTTCGCAGTAATTAATGCTGTGTTTACAGCAGCTGAGGAGGACGGTGCAGGTCAGTTCCAAGAACAGTTTCCCGAACTTGGATCCGGTTTTGAACAGCTCAGGTTCCGCCACTTCGGGCGAGTCCAGCCCAGTTCTACGCTTTCGCACCTCTCCGCCTTCGAATGATCCATGGCAACCAGGCCGGCCTGGACACAAGCGGCTCCATCATCTTATTGCTGAAGTCGATGCCATCCTGTATACGGTCGAGAAGCTGAGGGCGGGGCTTTGACCTTTGTGGCATTGCAAATGATTCGCTGCGACACCTTCCAAAAAGTGGTCTCTTGTCTGTTCTTTTCACTTCTAACTCTGGCCTTGGATTTTCGGGAGGTTGCAGGATTATTACCCCGCGTGGGCTTTGGGTGCCCCTCTTGATCGCTGAATCTCTCCCGAAACTGTGGTGTTGATTGTGTAGCCCACAATGTAAATCTGGGTCACAGTGGATACGCCCATGAGGTCCAGCTATTCTGCCATCATTGTCATGGTGAAGTTGCAGGATGCTTAAGTTAGAGATGGATAATCCTTAGGATGTTTGTTTAGAAGCAATTGAGATGCGCTGCTGCCATCGTGGTCTTGTTGTGTTGTGCGGCTTGCCGTGTGTAATAGTAGGGCAAGGAGCCGCAGCGCTATGTCAGCCCCGGAAAAAGGTTGATCCGTCCGTATCTATGGTATTCGGAATGTGGCACATCTCTTTGAAGAGGATCGAACCGCCACAGAGTCTAAACTCCTCGGGGGAAATATGACCACAGTTTTAGGAATGGTCTCCTCTATGAGTGGACCGAGTCACAGCCAGCGCTCTACTACTAATTTCTCGAGTAAAGTGAGAAAGCCGACCAGCACGGATTGGGATTCTGCCCGGCCCTATCAACCCCAAAGAGGCAAGTACGAAACACTATTGCACTTTCCTAACGCTATCCCACTCCGCCGAAGTTCTGAACCGCCTCACAGCGTCACCACCACCTTCGACGCCGACACACCGGCTCGCAACTTATCGACAGCCCCCTGAATATGCTCGACACCGTGCCCGACCACATCTGACGGCGGGGCCGGCTTGATGATGCCCTGCTCGAGCGCCCTTGGCAGGAAATCCCCGTATATTGCCTTTCCAAGTGCCTTGTCTTGCTGGAGGATTGCCGGGGCGTAGACTTTTGCATCTCATCTTAGCACCGGCACAAACAATGGCACAGGTGGTGTGATGGGGGACTTACCGTCGCTGGTTTGCACGGTTGCCGGAATTCCTTCGACGAGGGGTAGCACCACCGTCATCTTCCCTCCGCCTAGCTGGGCCAAAACCTGTGCCACGTTCAACTGTGTATCTCGCTTCGAAGCAGCTGCCGGATATAATCGTCATCAGCGTCTGGGGTGGTCTGACAGATCCAATTGCAGGGTCGAGACTCACCATCATAGGCACCCCGACAGGTATACTTCTGCATCGCGGCCGTCAAGTCCCCCACGATGCTCGGGCTCGAGTAATCAAACACATCGATCGCGCCCAGCTTCTTGCACAGGTCGAAATTCCGCGGCGACGCCGTCGCTATCACTTTATACTTGGCCGCCACGGCCAGCTGGATGGCGAGGGCGCCGATGCTAGAACTGCCTCCCCAGACGAGGATCGCCTCGTCACCCTGGCTTGTCTCCGCACCAGCCGCATCCCCGCCGGGCAACCTCAGACCCAGTTTCGCTTCATGGAATAGGGCGAGGCTGGAAGTCGAGATGGCCAGCGGCAAGACGCACGCCTCTTCGTGCTTCATCGCGTCTGGAATCGCGCAGCACCCCACGGCCGGCACCACCGTGTACTCCTGGAACCCGCCGTGCCGGGGCTCGTTGGTGGGCAGACCAATGGCGTGCGCCAGCACCCGTTGACCCTTGTGGAACTGCGTGACCCCCTCGCCGACCTCGACGACGACGCCGGAGACGTCGTTGCCGAGGATCCGGGGCAGCGACCCGGCCGGATATGCGCCGTCCTGCATCATCCAGTCGACCGGGTTCATGGCGACGGCGCGATTCCTGACGAGCACCTCGCCGGGGCCCGGCTTGCCGATCTCAGACGGCCCGACTTGGAACGGCGACTTTAGTTCGCGGAGCCATGCGGCGCGGTTTGAAGGTGCCATCGCGGACACTAAGGTGGTGTATTGATCTCCGTAGTGGCTTGATTTGACGAGTTTGGGAAGAACTCGGACACTCCTTTGAGGAAGAAAACCAGTAGGATAGCCCTGGGCATTCCCAAAGCTGAGGTATGAATGAATGGAAATAAAACATAAAATCCGAGAAGTCTATATCAGCTCCCATTGGCATCCCCGCAAAATGAGGCCCGCTCAGTGGATGGGCCTGACATGACCCCAGCATTCATTGCCTCGGGCTGCAGACAGACTCAGCGACAACTTGGAGTAACCAGAATTGGCAGGCATATCGTGACAGGAATGCTTGGGTGTAGGGACTCTTCTTGTACTCTGCATACTTGCCTAGTAGTAAAAGACCACTCAGGACTTATAATCGGGATAAACACCGATGAATGTGATCGGTTCATCATTTGGTATTCCTGCATACAGAACAAAATATGTATTAAGAGAAACAAAGTCTGTCCGAAACGAGTAAGTGGCTGGAAACATCCAAGGCTTCTGTGACCGCATCGCTTGAGGCTGCAGTAGTCCTCATGCAGGATACTGCAGCACTGCAGGCACTAGGATCGATGGCACATTTTATGGCGTGGCACAGCGCGAGCCTTGCGCTTTCTGGTGCACATGATTGCTTTCTTTCTCCGTCTTCGAGCATCCTGTCACCTGTCGGCGAAGTGCTGCCGAAGCTGAGGACCTGTGCCCGTGCACGTTCGCAGCCACTCTTCAAGAAGCTCTCCAAACCCGCTGTTTCATCAATGCATAAGTTCTGGTTCGTCTCTGCCCCAGCAGTGTACGGGTGTAGGTTGTCTTTCTATGAGGACTCCATATCTCTTTCTAAGAGAACTGGGCGCATCATGTCGTGGGGCCGCAGTGTGCACAGCCACGGATGGCAGGGACGGCAGGGACGCGCAAGGATCATGATAGGCAACGGGCACCCCCAACGGGGGGTCACTCGCCAAATTGCATCTTGTCGATCCACCTGCGATCAGCATCACCTTTGTGCTCTTTCTTGGGGTGCATGGAGATTGGGACCGGCATGGGAAGAGGGGTCATCGTAGGCAGTGTCGGTGGCTGGCCGGAAGGTCGTTCAAAGAAGCATCTTTGTGCCGTCGACAAAGTGTGCGGCTGTCGCAGGAAACATGAAGCTCAAAGGGACCTTGTAATGAGACGGATGGCGGCAGATCGGAGGAGTTGGTCGTGAAAGCGCAGGAAGATAAGGAGGTACAAGCCACGAAGCTCCATCATTGGCTGCATCGGACGCTGGGCGTCGCCCCTTTTCCCGGATTGGCTCGACGACGCGTTTCACCCTCAGGCCCAGCATCCCGTTGGTGCCGTCTCTTCTCTCCTCTATGATAGATGATACACCCCCTCTCGCGTCCTTTCCTTCAACCTCCCTTCTCGTCCCTCCTCGTCGAGCCGCTCTTTTGGCCCAGTCTCTCTTTTGCCAACTCGTCGTCGCGCTGTGCTGCGACGCGCCCTCACACTCATTTAACCATCACCCATTGTGTTTTGCATACAATCAGCAGGACGTCCGAGCTTGAGGAATTCCCCCTGCGCCACTCTCTCGTCACTGGAAAGACCTGGAGTCACCCCCATTCACGCTTGAGCAAGACCTGTTTCTGCTCGAATCTATTACTCTTTGTCTTTTGGAGAGCCCATAACTGGCAATAGATCCACCTTCTACAGCCATGTCTTCTCTTAAGACCACGTCTTTAGCCCTCCTCTCCCTTCTCACCACCTCTCTCGCCCAGACTTTCACATCATGCAATCCCTTGAAGCAGACGGATTGCCCGCCCAACACGGCGCTGGGGGTCGGCAACTACTCCATCGATTTCACCCAGTATACCATGTCAGACAAAGTGTGGAATGTCACCGCTGGCAGTATCAACTATGGAGACGACGGCGCCGAGTTTACGATCAGCCAGCGAGGCCAGTCACCCACCGTCCAGACAAACTTTTATCTTTTCTTTGGTCAAGTCGAGGTTATCATGAAGGCCGCCAAGGGTCAGGGCATAGTGTCATCGATGGTGTTACAGTCGATGGATCTTGATGAGGTGGACTGGGAATTTATCGGAGGAAACAATTCATATGTTGAGACCAACTTCTTCAGCAAGGGTAACCAGACCGACTACGGCAACGCCATCTGGTATCCCATCAATGACCCTCAAAACGAGTGGCACAACTACACCTTGGACTGGTCGCATGAAAAACTGGATTGGATTGTCGACGGAAACATCATTCGCACTCTGACCTATGACGAGGCCAACGGTGGTCTCAAGTTCCCCCAGACTCCCTGCGACCTCAGACTCGGAATTTGGGCTGGTGGTGATCCTAAGGAGCCGCAGGGAACCATAGAATGGGCCGGCGGAGAGACCAACTACGACGACACCCCCTTCACCATGGCCGTCAAGTCTGTCAGAGTGTCGGACGCCAGCAGAGGTACTCAATACGTCTACGGCGATACCTCCGGAAGCTGGCAGAGCATCAAGATTCTCAAGTATGGCACATTCCCACTCCCCTTCGCGTGCTGGAAAAACCCAAACTAACGATTCTCGCAGTGACACCAAACCCATCCAACTCGACGGCGAAAACAGCCAGTCCAGCACGCAATCCGTGGAACAGAAATGGAACGGCCTCCCCCAGAAGACCAAGTACATCATCATCGCCGTGGTCTGCGGCGTCGTGGCGTTCTGCCTCATCGTCTTCGCCTTCTGCTGCATCCGCCAGCGTCGCGCCGGCAAGCACGAGAAACTCGTCGAAGACGCCAAATACGAAAAGATCACCGCCGAGGTCATGGCATACCGCGCCGACATGTCGAGGATGCGCGCTGAGGGAAAGATGATGGGCCCCAACGTCCACGTCAGCCCTGTGAGCCCCATGATGATGGGCCACGCGGGAGCTTCGCTCCAGCAGAACTACGGTCATGCGTCGCCTATGATGGCCGGCATGAGGAGCCCGAACCCCGGTTACGGCTACGCGAGCAGCCAATATTCGAGAGGCTATCAGAAATATTGATGCAGGGGAGGGAGGGGAGATGGTCGGAAGCGAGGCAGGTGATATCTGGGCCTGAACGAGTGGGCGAGACTACCCTGCAGTTCATTGTAAGATAATGAATGAAGTTAGCAAGATGAGTGGAAAGCGGGTAGTTTAACTGCATTTCATTTTTGAGCGTTCGGCCTACGCCGGCTCCAGTGTTGATTGTTTGTAAAGCTCACACTTTCATCTTCGCTCGTGTCTCTCGTGTGCCAGCTCTGCATCCCACCCGTTTAAAGGCCCATGTTGGCCATATTGCGCTCTAGCTGCGCAGCCTCCCTGCTCGCCTCCTTCGACTCCTTGGAGTCTTTCTTTCCCAAGCGCATCATCTGGCTCAGCTTGGTCTTGACGCCTTTCCCGGCCGCATTGCTGGCGCCGGTGGATTCATCTGGAACCACCTTGCCTCCCTTGAGGGTCACCAGCTTGACCTCTCCAGGCTTGACAACCCTGGCGATCATGGGTTGTGGGCGTGGCTTGGGCTTCGGCCCGCTGACTTTGACGACCGATCGCATGTCGTCGGGCAGGTAGAAGCCGGTGTCGACGCATTGGCCGAGGAAGTTGAGCTCGACGAGTTTCTTGGGGTCGAACCAGCGGAAGAACGGGCCAGCGTCGACGGCGAAGTTCATCAGGGTGAGATGGCTGATGGGGAGGTAGCGCATATTTTCGACGGGAAGGGTTTCAACCACGTCGATCTGGGCCTGCTTCATGGCTTGCTGGTCGAGGTACTCGCCGTCGCCGAATTCTGGGTGCAGGATGCCTTTGCCGTGAGAGCCGAGATATTCACTGTCGACTTGTCGTTCAGCGGAGCCGTCATAGGACCATGTCTCATCGATTTTGAGGTACTTGTGCTTGGATTCTTCATACATTTCAGGTTCGAGTGCCATTTCAAGGCGGAGCTTGGTGAGGTTCTTGTTCACCCAGCAGGTAGCCCAGATGATCGGTTGGTAGGATCTCATCATGCCGTTCAACTGAAGGTAGTGGAGGTTGTGGAAGGTTTGTAGAGGTTTGAGGTCTCTGAACGGGAAATCCCCCTTGGAGTCGCCGTCGCTGTTCTCTTCCTCTTCATCATCATCGTCGTTGATTTCGTCCAACTTGATCGGCCAGAACAGGTCAAGATTGAGGATAGGGCGATCTTTGTCCAGATGGCGCCAGAGCTGAGGACGGAAATTGACGATGGGCTTGTCAAACCCGCCGACGTCGACGCTATCACCTGGTGAGTCCATGGTAGATGATATGGAGAAAAGTTGACATACAGAAGATTGGCCAGATTGGAATCAGCCTCAGTTTTGAAAGAGTTTTTTGAGAGCTTGCGGCCATGCTGCCGTACCCCAGGTGAAGACGCGGTGTTAGCGTGTTTTTTTCCTGGAGATTCTGCCACTTTGTCGAAGAGTGAATGTGGGCTTCTGGTCACCACTGAGACAAACGGGGTGTTGCTTGGAGTGAATTCCTTTGTCTGATTGTCCTTGGCTGTGTTTGTCATTGTCCCAGGCGGTGGAAGCTCTTTCATCACATCTCCTCGACCTGGGCCTCTATACGATGTAGGAGGAGCATCCGTTGAGTAGGGAGAGGGCAGTGGTCGTGAGAAGTTGGGGGTGCGTGCAGAGGAAGGAGCCATGATGGGCGAAGCAACAAACAACAACGACCACAGAGAAAGACTCCACGGGTTTGACGCATGAAAGAGTGAGAAAGAGAGACAGAGAGGGTGAGTTGTACTAACATGATTTGAAGTCTTGAGCAATATGGAGGAGCGTTGAACATCTCAATGCGATCGCTGGGGAGCGTTGCCCTGCGAAGCGCGCAACAGAGCGACGTCTGCTCAAGCATCATTTTCAACGACCGACAAAGCTGTCATGACCATCCTGAACGGCGGGACGAGTCTCCTTCTCTTTCAGTGTGATTAATGCCTCCATTCTGTTCACATCCTCCTCTGAAGTTGAGCCGTTGACCTGACGCGTCGGGACAGCAATAGCCGAAGCTCCCCATGGCTTATCCGTTCATCACACTATCAAGGGACCAGATGTGGCCAGACAGGTTCTTACAATACCTCTCGTCCCAAACACTTATCCACAGACAGTGTGTCCTGGTGGGAAGCAAGTTTGCACATCATGGTCAGAGGAATGAGGTGCTTGGAGCTGGCACGAAGGTTTACAGCGATTGATCTAATCTCTTGGCATCTATTCAGTGACGCGCTTCGCGGATTTTCCATCCATCCCGTAACTGCTTGTTCCTTGCCAGCAGTAATTTTGAGGAGGGCTCGTCTTGATTCAGACAAATTGATAATGCTCTCACGAGGGACGGAGGGCCTTGATCCGCAGCTGCAGCCATGGCTCCCATCCGTCGCTACCTGCGGATCAGCAAACACTCCGTGCTTGAGTGCCGCATCTTTCTCGAGAACCCTGCGGATGAATCAAGATGGCTTCTGAACGAGAAAGACCCCGCCCTTCCACGGATCTTTGAAGCTGTCAAACCCTACGTGCTACCGAAACTACGGGAAGAGAATGAGCGGGCACGAGGTAAGGGCAAAAAGAAGAAGAGCGTCAAAGACGTGGTTCAACAAGGTGATTGATCACACTGTTCCCAACGAGCATGACCATTCCTGACAGGCGCCTCTAGATGACTTTGATGTCTCCATCTTCCTTACTGAGATCCGGACTCGCCACTGTCTTCTCGTCAAGAAAAAGACATTCAAGCAAATAGGCCCAATCAAAAGCAACAATGGCAACAAACTGACTAGAGCCGACCATGACGCCGTGATGGTTCAGGATGAGAGTGACGAAGAGAACATCAATCTCCACGACATCCCAGCTGCCGTAGAGGAGGATGAGAGTCACCTTGACATTGGAGGGGAGGACGACGATAAGAAAAAGCTCGGATTCAATACCACATACGATGGATTCATCATCTGGGGCTGGGTGCTGTGCCTCTTTGTTGAGCGCAAAGGCGGACCTAGCAAGAAAACTCCTGGGATCTCAGGCAGTTCGCAGGCACTCATGCAAGACTGGATCCAATCAACTCAGGATCAAAAGGACGATGGTTTGTGACACTCGACATGGAGCAAGACACGGAGATTGATTCGCCGCACTCACAATGGCAGTTCTTGCAGAGCCCCCGAGGGCCATGGCGCCAACTTGGGGCAGCCACGTGGGAAAATGGGTTGAAGGATAGCTCCAGGAGAGACATGACCCCCCCGGAGCCTCTGTTTCTATACTTGTGCAACCGAGCCGGCCCCTAGCTCGAATGGTGCATTTGTTCGAAGCAACCAACTTCAGTCGGTGCCGCTGGACTTGGTTGCTGTAAACCCATATTCGATGCAGATAGCCCAGGCCTGCGGGACCTCGCGGCTCAACGAACAGTTTGTTAAACAAGTGTTGCCTGGAATCAGAGGAAGGCGACAACACACACAGTTGATGTCTCTCGGGGAAATCGAACGCCTGAGTTCCTTGTTCCAGAAGTACTCCAACGATGTCGCATCGACCAACGCCAAGTGTGACCCGAGCAGTCTGGGGCTATTTTGTGGTTCAGGTTCCACCAGACTGCAGGTCGTGGCGCTTATTCACGCAATTTCCACGTGGTTGTGGCTGCCCCTTTTTCTCTCCTGGAACTTGAACCCTGCATGATGCATGACCGGGGGCGTTACCTTTGTATCAAGGTGGGCGGCCAGACCCGTTCCATCTCATCCCAGGTCGCACATATACGAGAAGGTAGCGCAAATGAGACACGAGGGGGGGAGAGGGGATCACGATGCAGGTTTGAGTGCAGGATGCAGCGGATGCAACGGTCTCCCGCCAGCCTCATTGTCCAATTGTCGCAGGCAGAAGCTGATGGGTATCAGGGACAAGGTATGTACACGTTCTACAGGGACCAAGACAAGACCGTAAGTTGCTCACACACGGGTACCAAGCACAAAAACTCCGTTGGTCTAGCTGGCCAGTATACTACTTTTAGATATATACGACGCAGTCATCTGTGCTTATTAACTGCCGCACATGCTGTTACCACGTACGTGGTTGACAAGCGGGATGACCCGGCAGCTCTTTTGATCCTGTTGCAGTCAGTTCTTGAAGTCGCAATAATAGTCCAGCTGAACAGTGTCCACTGTCGAGTACTCGGTACATAGGCGCCGGTCGCAAAAGCAACGGTAACAATAACTAGGGAGATTGCCGCGGGGCTTGGGCACCCTCGTCTGATCCCAAGTAGCGCCACGATGCTAGCCACGAAACGGCAGCTGCATGGAATCCAATGCGAGATTCGAGAAGCGAGCAACATACAGCCAGCCACCAAATCTCTAATGTAGCACGTGTGGATAGCTTCCCCGTGCTTGGAGCTGCCACGGACATTTGCAGAGGGCGTCCACGGCGCATCGGAGGCGTTCGGAAATACTAAGGGTGCGAAATGGCAGCAAAGTACTCGGTACCTCGTACAGTATCCTGGGTACATTTTGGCAAGCCGAGACGGGCTTGGGCACCAGAGCATTTGCAAGACTGCAACCCACTCCGAGGAGAAGAGACAAGACGAGCGAGACAGGAACGTCACTGCGCATAGACTTCTGGTGACACGGCGATACGGTGGCCGACACACTTTTGATGCACTCCATGGTTCTGGTTCTGTGGGCTCCGATGGCCATCGTGACGAAATAGATGGCGACGCAAGCACCGCAAACACAAAGAAACTTTTGAACCACATCATCCATGCTGAAGAAGGAGAAGAAGAAGAATGGAGAAGATGAAAAACCTTCTGGCCAGGTTGCCACACTCAGGAGTAAGCATGAAACACACTACTCCCTACAAACTTTGCCCGCCCTGAGCTACAGTGTAGGCAGTGTATGTCAAAACTCGGGGGGTGGCAAAATAACTGCCTCATTGCCTGCAGGGGTAAAGAGAAGGATCTTCAGGAACCCGCTGACCACCACCGCCACCACCATCACCCACCATCCAAAAACTCCTTGAGCGATACGCAGTCCGGACGGTTAGAGCTCGAAGCTCGTTGACGATCTGAATATCATCACATCATCCCCAGCCTCCTTTGAAACAGACCGTTGAAGGAGATGGCCACGAGGAGGAGCCCTATGACTGCATAATCGACACTGGACACGGTCGTATATGGAGCTTGCAGAATGGATTCTCGCTTGCGAATAATCGTTCTCGGTGCTCACTGCCTCATCCACGTAGGGTACCGTAGGGCACCTAATCCACAAAAACTACGGATAGAATACGCAGCGTATGTCCCCTGTGGTGACCGGTGAGCTGGTTACATCCAATCCAGGCGCGCGCTTGGCCACGATTTGAAACATGTCCTCCGCGTGACAGGTCCCTAACCGAGCGAACATCCCCCAAAAAGACCAGCATCGATCATTTTTCATAGTACGAACGGCTGCAAGCTGAGCATGGAAAAGGAAGTTGCCGGAAGAGCGCAGCGATGGGTTTGTCCTTGCAGGAAACCGTGCCTTGGCCGGCGAATCAGACCATGGGAACGAGCCTCCCTATCCGACGAGGGCCGCACTCAGCATCCTTCAGCCAGAAGCAAGGGCGGACACATCAATTGCGTCCCATCTTACAGGTACAAAGCGGCATAACTAAACCGTAAGGCAAGGTTTCTACTGGTCACGGGGTCGAGCGCTGACCAGACGACTCGTATGCTTTGGGGAGCATGCGAATCCGGATTTCTTGATGGAGGTACGGAAACCGCCATTTGTGGCACAATCAGAGTGGACATCTACACCATCATGCATCATGGCATACGTTGAGGGCCACGTTGCCGTCTGCCCGCCAATGAGCACGGTGCTGCCAACAAGGTGAAACCGGAAGTTGGGAGTTCCCAACAACAGTGCGCTCAGCTTCTGTGCATTACTCGTACTCGGGCCAAAGGGCAACTCGGCACAGGAGGACCACCCACACCGCTGAAGAGCAGTGCCAGCTGCTCAGAAGCAGAACAATCCCTTCCCGTTCGGGATATAGTTACGGGTCGACCATGTCTCTCTTTGCCGAAACTTTGGCCTGCTCCCGAGTCGTACACCGCTTTCCGCTCTTCTCTGGAAGCAAGGCACAAAGTGGAACGGGGCAAATGATGATTATTATTAAACAAAGGGATCATCGAATGCTGGGGAGCAACGCCGTCGCAGCCGGCTTCTCTGCGTGGGCAAGGAGAAAATGGGTCACACAATCTGCTTGGTGATTTCCGGGCAAACAACCAAGCGGAGACAGCGACAACAATCTCCCCCTCTCCTTGCGAGGCGCGCCCGAGAAACCCCAGGCTGTTCCGGTCAGCTGGGACCTTGTCTTTGTCAGTGTGCGCGCCTGAGGGACTTAGCGCCTTGGCCTAGTCAGGAAATCTGGAGGGGCCTTTATACGTCTAAGCCGCTTCTGGAGAGTGGAAGCCAGGGGCTTCAAGGGGGGAGCGGCGTCTCCTGAGGAGTCTCGAAATCTTGCTGTGTCAACGAGGGCATGCCACCACACCGGCAAGCCTCAAGCGGGCTCCACCACCAAGGTAGCCCATCACACAGCCAAGGAGTCGCCAAAAACTTGCATGGATTGACTCTGGGTCAGCGTCACCATTTCTGGAACAATTTTTCGGTGCAGCCGGGGTGAGGCTGCCTCGGATCAGCAAATAAATACCTGACTCGTATCCTGCTTCTTCCCAGAAAGCATCTCTTCAGACAAGTCACCGTCCTCTGCTCCTCCCTCTGAAACTCAGAGACTTGAAACAGCAAGCCGGCAAACATTCCAAAGAGCTTCTCATCACTACCAGAGACAGGGCACAAAGCCTTCCTCGACTATACCGTCGACCTCAACACATAGCTCAGCCGTCACAATGCCTGCCGGATCAAAATATCCTCCCTGCCCGGGTCCTCCTCCCAACAGACCTCTTCCAGCAATCCCCAAGAAGCTTGCTGCATGAGCCACTGTTCTCCTCAGCACAGTGTCGCATTCAGCATGACCGGCTTTCCACAGGACACACGGTTTCGACCATGACTCTCCCTGACCTTCGCCCTTGAGCCACCCGGCATGCGTCCACATACCAGGCAGCCACATGACCTGCATTACGGACCTCATCTAACTAATGCATTACAACTGGCGTTCTCCACCTTTTGAGGAGTTCAGCAACAGATTTGTCTTACAAACCACGGAGATCCTCCCATGTGGGAAGCTCTTGGCACTGTTGCATTCGCGCATACAAAGAAAGAGGCCATGCATGTACCGATGTGCTGGCAACTCCACTGGTCACAAGCACAACACTCTTGCAGCAGCAGCAGCAGCTAGGCTACTATGCGCGCGCCCACATTCTACCACATTTCCAACTCGGGCAACATCCAACCACTAGGGATCTCTGGCCTTCCGTGCAGATACGAGGAGTCTCGAGGTCCTTTCAACCACCACTAGCACCCCTAATCAACGTCGCCGAACTTCTGACCCCTTCTTTACACACCACTTTTGCGCCCGATTATTTCAGCCTCGTTTCAATACTTTCATCCCCATCACCAGACGTCCACATTTGGATCTGCCTGTCCGTCAGAACGACTCTGTTCACCACTTTCTTCTTCCTCACAACAACCAACATGTACCAACACACAATACACCCACCCACCCAGTTTGCCATACCTGTACCAATAGTGGATACCCCAACTTGACACATTCGTTTGCGGAGGGAAGAGAGTCTCTCGCTTTGCCTTGCTGAGTCGCCCAGTCGGGACCAGCGACACAGGCCTTTGTACGTTACTTGAGAGTGGACAAATAATGAGACCCATGATGATGAGTTTTGGGAAGGGACCGACCCGGTCACACAGCGAAGGACCATTTCCTTACCAGCTAGCGTTTGCGAGTCTCTAATGGATAATACTTTTTATTCTCTCAACCTATTCTGTTTCTGGTTTTGCCCATGTTTGTTCGGGTTGTGTAGGCCCAGTATCGCCCGCATCATCCCACCGGAAAATGCCCCAAGCTTTCCACGAAGCTGCATCGTGGTGATTTCCTATACCTGCGTCTTGACCCAGGGAGACAACGCCGTGCGACCTGCGGTCATATTAGGCAGCATCGCGTCTTACCTGCATGGCCAGCAGCGAACGTGCAGCAGGTTGGGGGAGCTGGAACCAGCTGTTCGATTGGGTAGAGCGGACTTTGCATCCGCAAGCAGCCGCCAGGAACGAACGGCATGGGTTCGGTGTGTCTTCTGACCTGTGACCTGGTCCCTGGTCTTGGGGACTAGGAAAGGGTGGCAGGCAGTACGGCAGTCTGGTGCAGAGCTTCACCCCGCCTTTGGGACTCGGAAATAGAAACATGCTTGAACCGAGGAGACACAAATGGTGTTGAAGATGACGGCGTGCATTGGCCTGCAAGATAGACACGGACCTCGTATCTTTTCCCGTTTTGATCTGCACCGTTGCATGTTCTTCCCTTTCTCTTTCTTTGTCCCCCTTTTCCCCCTGTGTGGTCATTATCTCTCTCATCACCCCCGTGGACTCCTCTTCGTGGATCTCGACGGCATCATCGGATGGGGAGAGGTGGATAACTGGATGGCACGCTGGCTGATGGCTGATTCCTGATCGAGGGATTGAGCAATAGTGTGGAAAGGCCCGTCCTCTGGTTGGACTAAGCTGATCTGTTATCCTCCGCTAGGAGCAGTCGACTAATAGACAAGAAGAAGGAGTCCGCCGCAACGGGCCCATTCTTGCCAGGTGCCCACCAGTGCTAGGAGAGCCCATGACGAAATCGCATCCCCCCAACCACCTCGATTCTCTGGGCTGGCCCGAGATTACCGTTGAGCGCCCGTCCACTGACACCATCGTTTGCGCCGCCTACAGAAAACTGGGAATGCCCATTGAATGCCATTCCCCCACAACCCAACAGCGGCCGTGGGCCATGGCCACTGCCACTGCTGTCATCGCATCGCAGCTGCAGCTCTGCCCGCGATCCCTCCATTCGCATTGGCGGCCCAGCTGCCCACTCTGATCGATGACCATATCTTGATCTAGTTTTTTTCCTTTTCCTTGTTGCTGCTCGTGCTTCCCATAGACCTGCTCCTTATCTGCAGGTTGTTGTTTGTTGTCGTTCGTTGGGCGTCCTCGAGAGGTTGAAGACGAGGTCGGTGGTGACTGTGCGCTGTCATATACTAACTACTATACCTTCACTCCGCCATGTCCGCTCGTTCTCTGCCCGTCTTTGGCGCACTCTTCCTCACACTCACTGCAGCTCAAAACACAGTCTCCCTCGCTATCACCGCCCAGCCCACCTCAGGCGCCTCCGGAATCATCAGTCCTTCGTTTGCCGGCTTCGGGATCGAGTCCTCCAATCTCTTCTCCTTCACGGGCGGCAGCAACGAGAACCAACTCACCAAGAACTTGTTGGAGAATTTGGCAAACTACACAGGTACTCCGCCGCACCTGCGCATTGGAGGCAATACTCAGGACTATTTCGTCTACGATGCCGATCAAGATGACTATGCGTGGGAGTCCAATCCTCACTCGATTGGACAGGGCGCCTATGCCAGCGATTCGATGATCATTGGCCCCAAGTTCTTCGAGGTGATCAATCGCTTCCCTAGCAATACACCCATTACCTTTGGCTTGAACCTGGCCTACTCGGAATCCGACTATATCGAGCAGATCACCACCATGGCGAAACAAGCCGTCACTCGATTGGTTGACGTCAACCTGGTGTCGTTTGAGATTGGCAATGAGCCTGATCTGTATCTGCAGAATGGTTTCCGGACAGGCAATTGGGGTGGGCAGGTGTACACTCAAGAGTGGCTGGACCGAGCAGGTGCTATCTGGGAACAAGTCCTGCGGCCGAACAACCTCCCCAGCAATTTCTTTGAGCCGGGGGCCACTGCTTCAACCATTGGGACGTCTTTCGAGATCCAGGACTTGGATGAGTTTGGCATCACTGTCAAGGCCAATGGGTCGTCGAAACCGTATATTGCCAGCTGGAACCAGCATGATTATTACTATTACATTGGAGTGTCGACCTATCCACTGACAGCCTACGATTTTATGACCCTGTCCACGACCAACGACCAGTTCGCTGCGTGGGTATCACAGATCCAGCAAGCACAGGCCACGGATTATCCGTATGCTCTACGAGAGATGGGCGTGGTTGGACCGATTGGCTTGAGCGACATTACCGACGTCTTTGGAGCTGCACTGTGGTCCCTCAATTTCTTCCTCTATGCCGCCACCCTCAATATCTCTTCGGTGCAGATGCATATGACCGACAACAGCAACGCTAGTGCCTGGCAGCCAATCCCGTATTATGGCAATCAACCATTTGTGCGACCCAACTACTATGCATTCGCGGCATTTGACCAAACCATCGGACCGACCTGCCAGGCCCAGGTCGGCGGGTATATCATTCAGAACCCTCCCGCGGCATATGGCGGCCGAATCGCGGCCTACTCGGTCTATCAGGCCGGCACCCTGGCTTCGATCGTCCTGATCAACTCGAATCCGGCCAACGTGTCGGAACCGAACAAGCCGAGCCTCACCTGGGACTTGTCCCTGCCAAAGCAGTTTGCTGGACAGGAACTGTACTTGGCTTATCTCACCAACGACGGAGCGGATGCCAAGCACGGTACGACGTGGAACGGCATCAGCTACGAGAAGAGCGGCAATGGTACACCAACCCGAGTGAACAACACGGTCGAAAGAGTCAAAATTGGCAGTGACGGCAGCGCCAGCATCGTGGTTCGGGATTCCCAAGCTGTCATTGCCAACATTGGGTCTCCGGTCGGCCAGCGAAAGCCCAACGCCAGTGCCTGCTCCAAGCTTGCAGCCAGCATGCCCGATGCTAGCCCTGTCACGAGCCCCGTGGGTACAAGCGCACCTGCTCCAACATCTACTTCTGACAGCTCCGCCTCATCGAGCCATTCAGATAGTTCCGCCCAGTCGAACGCCGCATCGACAACAGGCAGCAGTTCACGTGCGAGCACCACGAGTGGAGTTGCGGGCCTTTCTACGATGATGTTAACGACAATGGCTTCCGTGATGCTGACTGGAGTCTATCTTCTCTGCATATGATGTTGATGTAGCTTTTATGTGTGCATGTGTTGGGAACTTATGGAGGTAGACGGCGTGTATGGGTCTACGGTAATTATTGAAAGAGTTATGATGAAAGATATTTGCACCAGCCACAGGAGTCAGGTAACGGGCCGAATGCTGTCAATGAGCGTGGATAATGCGAGTTGGTTCGAGTGCCAGCAGAGCGAGCCAGAGGTCATTTGGATACAACAGTTGTGTGACCGAAGCTAGAATATCTACTTGATAAATCTAATCCATAATGATGATGGTACTTGTACTTATGCATGAGAGAGTCTTGGGCTCACTCAGAGGAAATCCCATTTGTGATGGAGACTTCTGCCCGGTGCTGACTGGCGGCCGCGCGGACTGACGAACTGACGGACTGACGTATGTACGGAGTAATATGTACCTCGTAACATGTGTTGCATTTACACGCCGACACGTGCATACACTTACTTACTTGCACACAGGCCTCCTCAAGACGCTTTTCGGGAGCTTGTTTGCTTGCTTGCTTGCTTGCTTGCTTTTTCGGCAGTGTGCGCCCTCGCTCTCTCCCTCTCCCTAGCCCTTCTCCCACCGAAGACGATTCCCCTCTGCCACCATGGAGGTTTCCAGCCCCCGTCGACCTCACTACCAACTCGGCGCCCTCTCCGGCTTCATCCCCCTCAATGAAGAGCCCAGCGCCATGTCGACGCGTGGACAGCGCCTCCCGAGCCTGATCCAGAACCGTTCCACCACGTCCCTACTCACCCTACAGCGCCGATCGACCACCCGGAGGGGCTCATTCGCAAGCCACCGGTCCGACGAAGATGAAGAGCACGGTTTTCACGAAAGCTTCGACGCACCAGCCGCAGGTCGGTGGCGGCCCAGCACGCCCTCGGAGACAGACCCGCGGCGCATGAGCATGGGACCCGAGCTCCTCATGACGCCGCAGATCCGCAGCATGCGGCTGATCGGGCAGAGCAACCCCCGGTACCACTGGCACCAGTACTTCAAGACCGAGGAGGAGCTGAAGAAGATGAGGAAGCCCATCCGCAAATACTACGAGCGGAACAACTTTTTGATCACACAATACATATACATCGACAAGTTGCTGGACTCGTCGCTGCCGCATAATCTCATCCAAGAGTACGGTCACCCGCGGTCAAGCGAAACGATGAATACCATTTGTGAGGAACCGCCTTCGGGCAACGTGACCCCCGTGACGGGACCGAATGCCACCAGCTCGCCCATCGAGACCAAGTTGAAGCGGACGCCGAAAAACTTGTACAAACTTCCCAGTGAAGAGACAGCTCTGTTGGGAGACGGCGTGGACGCGCACTATGATGCAACTCTCCCGGACATCAGTTTTGACGACATGGACGAGGGCGTAGACTCGAACGAGCCGATCGTGACGCTGGCAATCTACATCAACCTCGCCGCCAACATCATCTTGCTGGCGGGAAAAATCGTGGTGACTGTCCTGACCTCGTCGCTTTCGGTGCTCGCGTCACTGGTCGACGCGGCGTTGGACTTTCTGTCGACCGCCATCGTCTGGACGACCACCAAACTCATCTCGAGACAGGATCAATACGCTTATCCCATTGGCCGACGACGATTGGAGCCGGTGGGCGTTCTCGTGTTTAGTGTCATCATGATTACTTCGTTCTTCCAAGTGGCCTTGGAATGTTTCAACCGGCTGATTTCGGGAGACCACACCGTCGTGGAGCTGGGTATTCCTGCGATTGCCATCATGCTGAGCACCGTCGCCATCAAAGGTTTTTGTTGGTTTTGGTGTCGATTGGTGAAAAACAGTTCTGTGCAAGCCCTGGCTCAAGATGCGGCCACGGACGTCGTCTTCAACGTCTTCTCCATCATTTTCCCCCTTGTGGGCTTTTACTGCGAGATCTGGTGGCTTGACGCTTTGGGTGGTTTGTTCTTGTCCTTTTACGTCATCTTCAACTGGACGAGAACCAGCGTCGAGCATGTTCGAAACCTGTGCGGTGTTTCCGCCACCGCGGACCAGCGCAATGTACTGTTGTATCTCGCGATGCGCTTTGCCAAACCGATCCGCTACATTCAGGGATTGCAAGCATACCACACGGGCGACAAGCTCAATGTGGAGGTCGACATTGTCCTCGATGAGAACATGAGTTTGAGAGACAGCCATGACCTGAGCGAGAGTCTGCAGTATGTACTCGAGAGCGTGCCGGCGGTGGATCGCGCGTTTGTGCACGCCGACTACGCAGACTGGAACTTGCCCAGTCATATGAATCAGCAGGGTTGACGAGATTAGTGGGAATGGGCGATCAGACGTGTTTGTATAGTACGTGAAGGAAGGAGCAGGCAGGCGGGATACAATGGTTTCAACAGGCCTGAGTTTAAGAGGTGGTTATTACCAGACGATTTACGTTATGGACTGTTGTTGTCGATGTTGGGATGGGCAAAATGTGTATGGATGTGTGTCTGTACAGATGGTCGGTCAGCTGTGGGTTCAATCTGTACTATACTATGATACCATGTCCTTGTGAGGAGGGACGACGCTACTTCGGGATACTTACAGTAATACCACTTTCCAACTTCGAGCTCCGCAGAGGCAGAGGACTCTCGAACAAACATGGAACTTCATCCAAGACCGTCGTACTTGGTCACCGCGCGGCATTCCCAGAATCAGCAGCGCGAAGGAACCTCCATCCCGGCAGGGCAACATGTCTCGGTTTTTATCTCTATTTTCTTTTCCGGCACCTACAGTACATTACGTGTGCTACCACCCGAGTACAACATCTCCATCTCCATCTCCATCTCCATCTCCCCTCCGTCAACGGTGCCATGGTGGTGGGTGGGCCTAAAGGCTCTTTGCCGTGCCAGCGCGACCTAGGTTCCGACAGGGGTGTTCACGACTCGTGGCACCAGGGAGCTGCGCAGAGGTTCTTGGGTTGGATTCATTATGCCTGTTGATCTACAGGAGCTGGTAATCGTGTTTGCGACCATGGAGCCACGTCGTTAGGAGCTATGTAACATGATATACAGTGGTCCATATAGCCGAGAGACCCACCCGCACCCCTTTTCTGGTCGAGCCTTGTCTCGCAATGCCGGTGTGCTTTCTTTACATATCAGCGACCCCTCTCTAATATTGCACCAGCACTCCTTTACTCCGCTTCACCTTCATTACGGGCTTCTCTATGTCCTCTACACTCTCTCGGCGCCCCATATGGGATACCATGGAACTCAAGGGTGACTGTTGACCTCACTGGGGGCTTCCCCAGGTGGGAGGGTGAGTATGGGGACAATCGAAATCTTTCGACGAAAGAGCCCGTTTCGAGGGATCTGCTGAATACACGTTCCCTCTCTTGTACAGGTATCGAAGAGACAGCTTTTATTCTCACAGCGAAAAGGCAGGCAGATTGCCTCGTGTGCATGACGGTGTCCCCAGGCACCACGTTCATCTTCATTTGTTACGTCCAGTCGAATCCCAGAGTTTTCCTCGAATTGAGTCGACTTAGGGAACCTCGTCCCCCGGACTGGACTGGACTCATCTACGCAGCTGTCATCCGGTCTAGAGGCAGTCCGTGCGCATAGTCACATGTGTCATTGACAGACGCAGCGTGTATATTGCCTCGCGGAAGGGCTTCGCTCAAGCTGGGTGGGTGGTGGAGAGACTAAGATGCTCAAATTTTGAGTGGGTAACCGCCCACGCACGGACCCTTTCTCGTGACATCGAGTCTCAGGAGTAGTCGGATGGAAGCCCTCTGGACAAGCTTTTGGGAGTTGTAATCGCCTTCTAGATCACATACGGCACAAAGTCCCTGGTGGGCGAAATCGCGTTTCGACTCCCCCTCGGGCTGCAGATGGTGTCCGCGACCCTCCTGAGCGTCGGGATACATATCTTCCCCTACCCTCCTCGATGGCTGGCGCCGGTCAACCGATCAAGCCAAAGTCTCGCAAGTCTGGCGAAATTCCGACGCTTGATCCCGGACGACAGCCGAGTTCAAACCGCGGAATCCTGGCCGAAGCCTCAGCACGTCTTGCAGGAGAAGAAGCACCCCGGCGCCGACAGGGTCAAGCTGGAGATCCTGTCCTGGATGGAACTCTTCACGAAGATGTGGCATCGTATTGTCGTCGGTGCAGGCGTATGCTTCTTCCAGCAATTCTCTGGCATCGATGCTTTCATATTTTACGCGCCCACTTTGTTCGAGTCTGTCGGCCAATCGTCAGAGATGGCCTTGATCCTCTCGGGCGTCGTCAACATCTTGCAACTGGTCGCCGTGTTTATCTGCTTCAGTTCCATCGACTTGATCGGGCGACGGCCCATAGCCAGGGTCGGCGGCTTTGGAAGCGCAGCTTGCTACCCTGTCATCGCCATCCTCTCCGGACTGTGCGAGAAAGACTGGTCCGCAAACAACGCCGCCGGGTGGGCATGTGTGGCGATGGTCTTTGCCTTCATCCTCGTCTACGGGATCTCATCCTCGCCTCTGGGCTGGACGCTGCCACCGGAGGTGTTTCCGACATCGTGTCGGTCAAAGGGAGTTGCGCGGGCCGTTGCGGCCAACTGGCTCTCGAATTTCACCATGGGTATTGCCATGCCTGCCATGTTGCAGTCAATCAGGTAAGGCACATACATATTCTTCGCGTCTTTCTGCTTCATGGCCGGCATCTGAGCTTACTTCCTCGTCCCGAAAACCATGGGCAAGACCTTGGAGGAGATGGACGAGGACTTTTGGTGATCACGCAGCTGGCGAAGAGGTCGAGGTCCTGCAAGCTTCTGTCATGCACACCCATATGTGCAGCTCTGCCCAGGGCAAGGAGATATGATTTCGTTCGTTCGACCGTCCGGACTCCAAGTGTAGAACCATGGACTTTGATATGGTCTGGTTAAAGATATTAAGCGGCCATCGACTTGGACGGCTGACAATACCCTGTCTCTGCTGTTTTCTTCAAGTATATAGCAAAATGCACCCAATTACTGGCTTAATGGCCACTGATTAGCATGCTGCTTCTATCATTGTAGAAAGGACCTGAAACATCAGCCGCTTAGAGGAGTGAGATCTTGACTGGAAACGAGCCTTTCATCCCTGTCACCATATTGTGAGCTTGAAAGCATCTCATTTGCTGTACCCCTTCGATCCCGTGGTTTGCAAGAAAAGAACAGAATCAAATCCACATCACCATAAATTTGGTTCAGGCCATAGTCCAGACCTGGCAGTCTTGTCGAAGAGAGTATTATCCATGTTGTTGAGGTACCGGGCTGTTTCTCCCAGAGATGTCACTTCGAGTGGCTCAAGGCTGTGGCAACAGATCGCAAATACACCTCAACAAGCGCCCAATATATCCATTTTGGGCTACAACCGGAGAAGACTATCGGTTTGACAGGTTACTACATGTCTCGCTCCAACATGGGATCAACAAAACTAGATGAGAAGATGACCTTGAATATACCAAACTGCGCGATCTGGATTCTAGGTCCCGATCGGTATGGGAAGACCATGTAGAACAGATTGCACACCTGGATCGTCCTGACCCCGAAGTCGTCGGCTATACCACGTACGATGTCGGCGTATAGCCTATATATCGGGGAGTCTCCACAGGCTTCGGGATTCTATTCGCGAGACTCCACAATCGGATGTCCAAGACTTTACCTTCCTCACGGGGAAGTGCAAAATGAGATCTATCATTATCGTTGCTGTCATTTGCCCTTGTCTATTTCACATCCGGTGTCGCCATCGAAAGCCATCTTTGCGTCCAATGACCAAAGTCGAGACTCCTAGAGAGAAAGACAGAACCATGGGGTCCATTGGAGTCGACAGTGTTGAGAAAACTCTCTTGAATGGCACCAGCTCCCCGGTGAGAAAGCTGAACGTCGGCGTGGTGGGCATCGGCCGCATGGGACGTCGACATGCCATGAACATTCTCTGGCGCGTCCCGAGGGCGAAATTGCTTTGCGCATGTTCCCCAGCCCAACCAGATCTCATCTGGGCTGAGGAACATCTCGTCCCGCACGGGGTTCAGGTCTATCCAACTTTTGAAGAAATGATCCAGACACCTGGCTTAGATGCCGTGATCATAGCTTCGGCCACAGAATTGCATTTGGAACACACCACGGCATCCCTGGATCGAGGTATTCACGTGCTGTGTGAGAAGCCGGTCTGCACATCGGTTGCTGAGGTAAATGCTACTCGCATATGCACCTCGTCAATGGGTAGAAAAGCTCACAGAACCTTGTAGCTGCGTCTACTTCTAGAGAGGGTCGAGGCGAAACCTCAGACGAAACTCATGGTAGCATTCGTTCGGAGATTCGACGAGAACTACCAGGACGCATACGCAAAGATTCAAGAAAGCAGAATCGGAAAACCTATCATTATCAGATCTCAAGGCTGCGAAAAGCTTGACACGAGCGCGGCGTTCAAGCAGTATCTCAAGGCATCTGGTGGGATATTCCTCGACAGCATCATCCATGACATCGACTTGTCCCTGTTCTTGTTTGGGTTGGACCCGCGGCCAAAGTCTGTGTCGGCTTCAGGCGTAGCTGCTGTACACACTGAGCTGGCTGAAGACGGCGATGCCGATAACGCTGTCGGAATCTGTGAATTCTGGGACGGAAAGATCGCGTACTTTTACAATTCCAGGACAGCAGCTCACGGGTACGACAACGCGACCGAAGTGTTTGGCACGGCGGGTAAGCTCTCGATCAACATGACACCGAGACGAAACCGAGTAGAGCTGTGCGATGCCGACGGATTCGTCAAGGTTGAGCCTACACCGGGGTGGTATGATCGATATGAAGCTGCATTTGTCACCGAGGCTAGATCTTGGGTTGACGCTCTGATGGATGGCGAGCCCATGCCAATTCCCTTGCAGGACGCGTTGACTTCGCTAACCATAGCAGAGGCTCTCCAGGAGAGTCTCAAAAGTGGCCAGAAAGTGGCGTTCGATGAAAAAGGCCAACGCATGGAGGTTGCTGCTGCATGAGGCATTCTCCGTGCTCACACAGATAGACTGTATGTGAAATACCTCAAACACCCTCAACCAAGCGTGTCAGTGATTCAAAGTCGTCGTCTCAGCTGGTACCTTGGTATGCCCATAACCAGTTATGCCATTTTTCTGGGTGTAGAAGAAAATCTATATTGGTGTTTGTCTTGGTTCAAATGACACCGATGTGGAATTGATTATCCGGTAAGAAACCCAGAACAGATACCCATGGCCCCAGCGTCTATGTGTCTCAATTCGAATGGAGGCCCAACCGCGTTGACACGACATTAGACACGACATTTTCAGCGTCACGTTCGAAATATTACTAGCCTGCCATCGTTGACAGCTGTCGATGCAAGGCGGAGAAAGGGGCGTTCCACACCCCTGGACGAGGTCCAGCGTAAAAAGGTAGCGCGAGATTGTCGGGAGGGAGAGGGAGCTGAAGGGAAAGACAACAGAAGCCGAGAAGGAACGGACACCGCGTGTTCCTTCGACCAAGCAATTCGGCAAAACATGCTTTTCCTGACCTTGCAATACAGAGTCGTGAAATTATCATTCACCATCCCAATGCATCCACCAACCATTGGAGCTTTGACACAACCTATCCGTCCTCCATGCAAATGAAAGCACAAGGAAATGGGCAAGCATGGCCACCAAGGCTTTCCACATTCGTAAATGTGTCAATGAAAACTCCAGTAATGCAGTTGCAATAATGGGATAGACGACTATCGCATTCATGCCGAGTGATAGGCAAGGTTGGAGAGTGCTGAATAGTTTTACACCGAGTATGACGAGACGGGTGGACGGAGAGGTAATGGGTGCGTTGAGGAAGGCAGAGATTCGATCGAGGAATAGAAGAAGAGCTGGCCGATCAAGCTGTTGTGCAGGTTCCAGAAGAAGCTGTTGTCGGACTGGCGACGGAGCGGGAGACTTTTGTAAAGGCGAGGACGGAAGAGACGATGACGCCCGGTTGGCTCGCAGAACCATCGTGCTTTTGAGCCTGAGGTTGCCGGACTCTCGCCGAGCCGACGTGGAAGCTTTGTGTGTGCGTTGCTCACGGTCTGCTTCGCTGCCGCTCGTGTAGCCGTGGTCGCTGATGGTTGCTTCGGAACTTTTCGGCTCTTGAGATAGAGATCTCGTGGGCCGGAAGAATGATCTCTTGGGCCTGGCACCCATATCATGACCTGGCCTTCCTTGTGGAGAGTTTCCCTTTTGTGGTGTGTCCAACTTCTGGATCCGTCGGCCCGGCGTCAACTCCTCAGGCTCCATGGAGTTTCGCCTCCGCGCAGCAGGTATATCGTCAAGTCTACCTGACGAAACGACCTGAAGGACATCATCTGCGCTTGGCCGCTCGTCCGGGTTCAAGGACAGGAGTCGCTTGAGAAAGGAGTACAGCGCGGGTGGTAGCTCAGGACGCAATTTGCGCTGATCGTCAAATCCTCCCCAGTTAGTAATTTCTTCTCTCAATTCATCTATGTCTTCGCGCTCTTCATGGAGAACATTTGCCGAAGTGTAGGGAAGGTTTGCAAAGCAGAGGAAATGGAGAATCATGCCCAAGGAGAAGATGTCAGACTTTGACGTAAAGTTTTCGAAAGGTCCACCGGGGGAGATGCGTCGAAGCACTTCGGGCGCGCAGTAGGAGATTGTCCCTGTAGCACCGGTGGATTTTCGCGTAGCATATTCGTACTGGACTTCGCCGAAGTCGCTGACCAGGACTCTAGTTTCGCCGCCGACCGTGTGCAAGAGGCAGTTGCTCGGTTTCAAGTCTCGATGAATGAAGCCGTTGTGATGCAGATGTCTCAATCCAGAGGTGACATCTTTGAAAAAGTTGTAGATTTCGTCGAAATGTAACTTTTTGGGTTCATTGGCCCGCCGAGGGAGGTCTGATTCTCCCCTCGACTTTCGACGAATTCGTTCTTTCAGTTCCTGCGTCGTCGTGGATGCCTGCGCCGAGCCGAGGACATAGTTCTGCATATCTCCTCCGTTGCAGTATTGCTGCAGAATGAACGCGCAGGGTACGCTTGGGCCAAAAGTGCTGATCTGGAAGTCTTCCAACCAAACGTGGCGGTAGGAGACAAGGTTTTGGTGCGACAGAGTCTGCAAGAGCTGAACCTCCACGAGGACCTTCTCTAACCATGCATGGTCGTCTCCAATAGGGACACGCTTGCAAGCGAAATGGCCGAGGGTCACGCCATCGAGGACGTGTTTGACCAGAAGCACAACGCCTCGGCCGCCTCTGCCGAGCTCTCTTTCTTCAACGAAGAACTTCTCGAAGTAGTTGGGCGAAAAGGCCGTCTCTGAGATGCCATGAGTCTGACTGGCAGGCACCGGAGCGCTGGCAATGAACTCTGCATTTGGAGGCGGAGACACAGCGGCCGAGGAAGGATGAAGCCGGGAGCGGACCGGTTGGGCGATGCGGCGTCTCGGAGAGGGCGGTGCTGATGTTTCGTTGGAGCCAGGAAGACTTCGGGCGAGCATTTCAAAGTAACCCTCGGTGATGAAGCTGGGTTGGTCTTCCATTGGAGTTGATCCGGGATCGTGAGTGCTCGAGGATCCAGGTCTATGCCAAGGTCGACCACACGTTGGACAGTCGGAGGAGTGTCGCTCTACATCTTGGTTTCGATGAAATGGAACGAGTTGGTTCGTTCTCGGGTCACGGTAAACCACGGTGTCTGCGTGACGGCTAGTCTCATCAGTTCACTGTGCGTGTGTCTGCTATAACTGGGGATGGACACTTACAGCACAATCTCGCGGTTGTTGTCGTAGGGGATGATGGACAGAGTTGGAATGTTATCTACATTGCCGTCCTCCATCTTCGAGGTCGGTCAACAGTGACTGGGAGAAGATGCAGGAGCATTTGAAAGAGGTTCTGTTGAGTTCTGAGTAGCAGGTGCGACTTGCGGTGGCACTGGTGGCCGTCGTCGTTCCTGATTTGTGAGAGGATGGTGCGGTGGTTGGACGGAGCGGTCGAGTCAGGCGAAGCAGGCCACATCAAGCCGCAGGATGACTTCTCGGGTGCCTGAAGGGAACCATCTCCCACAGATTCATGGAAAGTAGTCACATATGGCGATCCATGTTTACCCAGACGTGTATTCTCTGCTCTTCGCGATGTTCATAGCGTGACAGGCGTTGGAATGTGGCGGAAATAATAAATTGGAGGCGGACGATCACGATGGAAATTCAAAGTCAAATGACGGTGGCAATTTGAGGCCTCACCACGCCTCACTAGGCCTCACTCCCTCCACAAATGCCCCCAAGAACACCACCAATCCACCCCCAGTCCATATATGCTTCATGCCTGCAGCCGCAGAGTACAAGTACAGTTCGTTTCCTTCATCCAGAATATGACTGGACCCATTACATTACGATGCTATAGCTTCAACTGTGTCCTGGCCTTGGGAAGACCGGCACGGTGTCTACATTATTCACGTCAAAGCCCAAGAGTGTGCCCTGGTTGCTATGCTGCCACCCCTGACCCGTCTGTTGATTGACAAACGCGCTCTGCCTGAATGGATTCGTGCTCCCAGTCACATTGGTTGCCACTGCATTTCCGGGGGTCGTCGGTCGGTTCTTTGCGAAGGGGTTGGTGCCTGTTCTTTGAGGTTGGAGCGCCGGCGGCGGTGATGAGAGGAAGGATGGGTTGGACGGGAAGGCTTGATCAGGGGAGACGGGAGAGAAGGTGGCCTGGTCGTGAGTGGCGCCTGCCGAATGGTCGTTGTTGGGGAGAGCTCCAGTGTTCTGCTTGGCGAATGGGTTGGTCGACGACCGGGCCGGACCTGGAGGACTGACGGGGGAGAACTGGGTGCTTCCAGTGTTCAGTGTGGACTGCCGAAATGGATTGGTGGATGTTGGCTGTGGTTGTATCGGAGAAGGCTGGACTGGTGAAAAGGCTTGTGACTGGAAGTTTGCCACGCCGTTCTGAGGAATCGGTGAAAGCTGCGTCGAAAACTGAAATCCGCCCACCGGTTGAATTTGCTGTGGTGGTTGAGGCCCATATCCACCGAACCCGGCGCCTGTGAAATCTGTCTGCAGAGGCTGCGGCTGAGCTTGGGGTTGCGGTAGAGCCTGGCTCTGGAATGTGGGCTGTTGCTGCAGAAAGGGGTTGTAACCCGTCTGTTGAGGCACTGGTGCTGGCTGATATCCCTGAACTTGTGGTACTCCTTGCTGAAATTGAGGCTGCGAGTTGAAATTGGCCTGGTCCATCGTCTGCTGATTGTGCTCGATCGATTCGAAGAAGTCGATCAGATCGGGTGCTGGTGCCTTGGGCGCCGATTGGAACGGTTGTGGGTTGACTGCAACGGACGTCGTTGTAATTTCTTTTGTTGCCGTCTTGTCGAACGGATTGGCTGATGGCGCGGAGGAAACTGGCTTGCCTGTCCTTTTTGCTTCTTGCTGTGCCAAGTATTGTCTTCGATTCAATTCAAAGTCGGGATCCTGGAGATATTCCTCCAAAGCATGGGTCAGTGTTGTTGGTGCGTGTTTTATTGTTGGGACTTCCAGGCGAGTTGACATCTCGTACTGTCTGGCGACACCGAGATACTGTACCACCTTCTCAGTCTGAACTCCGAATGTCTTGTAGATTCGCAAGGCCCGTTCGGCGTCAACACGGGACATTTCGAAGTAATGTTCTATGTCTGAGTTAGCTATGGGCCCCTCTATCTCACCTAATTACCGTACCTAGAACATTGATAGTCCCCTCGTTCATCACCTTGAACAGCTCCAGCAAGTCCAGGGTCAAAAGACGAAAAGCCGTCAGTGAGATCTCGTTGTCTGGGTCATGATTGCCTAGTAACTGCAAGAGTGAGCCCAGATGGAAGCTGGTATCGGTTGCCACAACTCACCTCGCACCGCAGCAACGCTTGTATCTGAGCCTGCACAATCTCAGTTTGTCTCAATAGCCCTTTTTCGACGGTCAGTCTGCGCATCTTTCCCGCTCCTGACTTGACGAAGTCCGTCTTGGTGTCACGGAACGCTCGAACTCTTTCCATCAAGTAGTCTGCATAATTTCGGATGTTGAGGCCTTGAGTCTGAACTATTCGGTTGTCAGTGTCCAGCCTCCTGGTGGTATTTCACCTGGTTTTTCTCCGCGTACCGTCCGTGAAGTTGCTCATTGCCAATCTCTTGGGCGACTCGGATATGTACCTCAAAGTGACCTCGGGCTGGCCTTCTCTTATCATTAGATGCACCACAATCAACGCCTTGAAGACAATCGTCCATGTCGAGTCCCTCAGTCGAAGCTGGAGTGTCCGGAAGACTTCGGCGACACCTGATTCCCCCCCATTTGTGGCAGATAATATGGGCTCGATGTACTTGGCCTTGGGCGCAGCCAACTAGCATTCCGTCAGCTCTGATCAAGCGGTCTGCGCACCATCCTGACCTTGATTTTCGTAGCGCCCTTTACAATCTTCTCCATGGTGATTTGTCCGACAGAGTGGTGTTCGAGCTCGCTCGAGGGAGATGAAGGCGGCGGCAATTGGTCAAAGACGAAAGCAGTTTCCGAGTTGTCCGCTTCAGCCGGTTGAAGTCAAGACAGGGCGAGGTCAGGTCGGGCGAAGAATTATACTAGACAGCTTGCCATGCTTTCACAGTAACATAGTGCACAGAGTGGGCAGAACAGGATCACACAGCCACAAACAGACCAGGCTGCTCGGGGTCGGACTGCGTTGGTTCGTCGCTGTAAAGGCCAGCCGGCGCAGGCGCACTAAACAGACAGGCGGAGGACAATGGTTACTGAAACGAGGCACAGGCAGGGAAACACTCGGAGGGACGACGTAGGAGGAGTAGAAGAAGCAGGCGACAAGTTCCCGGTGTATCTACCATGCCCCTATCACCGGAACGCCATGAAATTGGAATCCTGTGAGATGGTGTTGCGGGCTGGATATTATTATGGCGCCCAAGCCACTCGACCTGGATGACGGCGCACCTTGTACCTGCCACGCTGCCACCTGCTGTCGGGCGTTGCCCCAAGCTCCGTGGCTCCCCTGCCATTTCTTGGCAGCCACATCATCGGAGGCGCCGCTCACGTGAAGCTCTACGACACACCACGCTGCTCTTATGAAGCCATTGTCGGCGCCTCGTCCTCTTCCTCAACTTGGAACTATTTCACCTTGACTCTGGTTCACTCTTGGGTGGACGCCTGCCTGTTCGCCCTGATTCTTTCCATTCCATAAAGACCAGCTACACCGCTACATGTGCTTTAGGTGATAGTCGCAGTCGCAGCGAAGACCTTGGCGGATCACAGGAGGTCTGCGTCGAGATGATGCCCGTCGGGCGATCGCAGCTCCGAGATAAATACTGGGATATTTGGGCGCTCTAAAGACTTGCCGCTGACAGGACCTGGCAAACCTCGGTGTTTTGAGCCAACCAATGGCATTATTTGAGCGTCATGAAGATGGGGAAACCCTTCTGGAGGATCGAGGCCCTGCGTAAACTCCATTATGGGTAGGTAAACTGACTGACCCAGGAAACCACCAAAATGAGAAACGGATTGAAGAATGGGTAGGATCACCATGGCAAAATGAATGGAACGATGCGAGGATATTTGTTTTTGAGAGTTGAGCTATGAGAACCCAGTTGATACACTTGGTGTTATCGCGCCCATATCACGCCTCAGTGCCCTGTGGCGGTTTTTGCTGATTGAGCAACGCAGTCAGCGGCCCGGCAGGCGCATCATAGCGATCCATATGAATTTCCACCATTCTCAAGCCTGTTCCGTTGGCGAGACTCTCGTGATTTAGCAACGGCTGAAGTTCGCCATACGTCCTTGCAGACGAAGTGAAAGTGTTTTCTGGAGCCCCGAAAAAGCTGGGTGCTTTCAAGTAGCGCCAAGGAGAAATGTCATTGTAACCTTCTTTCATGCCGTGAATACAGCGCTCTATTGTGTAGCCGTCATTGTTGATCAGAAACACTACCACGTTGAGATTGTGTCTAATGATGGTAGCGAGTTCCTGGACAGTCATCTGAAAGCTGCCATCGCCGATGAAGAGAATGGTTCGAGCCGTCGCAAGGCCGTGGTACTTCGACGAAGCGATTAGTTCGCGCTGAGCCAATGCTGCGCCTTGACAGGCCGGTAGCATATACCCAATAGAAAGCCAGGTGATAGGAGTAAAGAGTCTCGTATGCTCGGGGAGGAGCATCTCTCGCACGCCATATCCTGCAGTCCCTGTTTCACCGAAGACAATATCTCCAGGCCGCAGGAATGGTGTAATGAGGCGCCAGACTTTATCTTGCTCTATAGCGGCGTCCGTCGACACTTCTGAAAATGATAAAGGGTGCTCATGAGGGAAGGTCGGGCTGCTCTCGTATTTCTTCAGCCTTTTCAAGTCCAGTTTCTGCAGAAGTTGAGTGAGAAAATAGGCTGGCGAAATGTCGCGATGGAGCATGTCATCAATCTTGATGCCGTCCCAGGTGAAGTAGATGGTGACGGCCGATTTGGGAACGCCGGTCCAATTGTAAGTGTTGGTTGAGCTGAGGTGAGGTCCAAAGTACAAGGCTAGATCCGAGCCATCGATGAAAGCCTTTGAGTTAGCGTCTGCAAAACTGCCGCGATAGATGCCATGAACGTTGGGGAACGTCTCATTGACAAGCCCTTTACCGGACGTTGTGGTGAATGTGGGCCAGATCGTAGAAGACACGAGTTTGTCGATCTGGTCGAGGATGCCCAGCGCTCTGGCCTCTCCGTCCACGAGAATGAGAGGTCGTTCTGCCCCATATATCCGCTCAAGGACTTTGTCTAAGATCACATCATAAGCAGGATTTAGGACAGCTCTTGGGATCGCAATCTCATAAGCGAGGTTTTCTGCGATGACTGATGCTGAAACCATGTCCAGAGGAACTTCAATATAGACTGGTCTGCAGTGCAGAATGCATTGCTCCAGAATTTGATCGATTTGCTGCGGCGCAGTACGGGGATCGAGCAAATTGGTCTGAGCCACAGTGACGTGCGATTGCATCTGCCCAAAGTGCCGGTAGTCCCCGTCCCCCAGGGTATGGTGCACCATCAAACGGGATGCTTGTGTGTTGCGAGGAGGTGTGCCCACGATATGTACGACGGCTGCCCGCTCGGTGAACGCACAGGCAATGGCATTGATCGCCGATAGCTCGCCGACTCCATATGTGGTGACAAGCGCCCCGATGCCTTTGATCCGCGCATACCCATCTGCGGCATATCCGGCGTTGAGTTCGTTGGTGTTGCCTACCCAGAGGAGTCCTGAGGGGACAACAAAGTCCAGCAAGCGAAGATTGTAGTCTCCAGGGATCTGTTCAGTTACAGTTAGCCAGTACCGAGAGAGATGACTGAGGCCAGAGAGCCTCTTAAGGCGTAAACGACTCACTCCATGAACCGCACCGACACCTAGTTGCTTTAGGCGGGTGAACAAATATTCTGCGACTGTTGTAGTTTGAGACATTGCGTCAACGGCAGATCCAGGCGTTAGAGAACGCAGGAGCAGGGCTGTCTCTGACAGATAAATTCTTGAGCACCTAGGGAACCTGACTGGGAGCGATTTAGACACCAGTCCTAGAAGTGACCATAAAAGTTGGGCCCTTCTCTGGGCGCTTCTCCAGAAGAACAAGCGACAATAGTGGTGATGCTAGGTCAATTAGAACCGATCACCTTTTATGGGGGGGAACGCAGGCAGGAAATGTAAGACAACAGCTCAAACCCTGCAGAAATGCCAACTGTCGTCGAGGGTCGTGGAATGTTGTCAGTCATTCGCAGACGGTGGTCAAGAAACCTGCAGTGTTACATTGTATACCACAGTGGAAGGCGTCGCAGGGCGGAGAAGGAAAACTGTCGGAACCGGAGCTACAATTTTTCCGACTTCATAGGACAAGCACCGACACCCGGAGGTCGAGAGTACGCATAGATACTCCCAACATACACATGTGGGAGGATCAGGAGGAATTACAGGGTTATGGAGGCGGCATAAGTAAAGGAAGAGACACAACCGACAAGCCTACACTGGCCTGGCCGCGCAAATCACCATAGATTCGAAATACCAATTCAGCACGTTGCTCGTTTCATTTTCAGTCTCTCGATATCCGAATTGCTGTAACGTCAAGCATACGTGGATTCTTCAGGACCAAAATGTTGGAACTTCCCTTCAATTCCCAAAGCTCCTCCTGCGCCCGAGCCCAAGCCTTGATAAATATCATGAAACGATCGTGAAGAGGCAAAGATCTCTCGCCGTCGCCTTCCCTTGTCTCCCTGGTTCCGACCTACGCACCCTATTCGCTTCGAATGACATTCGAACCCCACCTCATACACGATACCGCCGGAAGCTAATGGATACAGGTCATAGTTTCCCCTTGGCAAATGTCCTCAGACCCCATCAAACCAAAGCATCACTTATACATCATTCGAATGAGATATATATGTCCATTCTTGGAGTATAGCGAAAGGAAATAAAGAACGACAACCCCGGAAAAGTTGGATTCAATCCATCATGAAATCACCACGTAACATTCTTTCACCAAGGGCATCTGGCTTCTTCATTAATTTGGCATGTGGTGGCTCAACAGGCTTTGTGATTTCCTTTGGCGGCTCAGGATTGGAGATGCTTGCGGAGCGAGGGCGAGTGGCCCCTTGGCTAAAAGGGTTGCCGGAGGAAAAGGATGGGGAGCGTCGGGATCTGTCACGTATGGCTTCGGACCAGTTGAAGCCTTCTCCTGTTGGTTGTTAGTAACGTGTTAAACTACCCGACTCGATTGTGCGAGCTTATCAGAATAGGAGGACGAGAACTTGGTTACGTATGAAAGGGACAGGCCTCGACTCTTACCTGCAGTCTTGGCCGTCCCCGACGTAGCTCGACGTGATGGAGTGGCATTTTCGGAATTCTCATTCAGAGTGAAAAGGGAGGAGGAGGGGCGCCTACCACCGCCAGCAGCACCAGGGCTCCCTCCTAGTCTGACATCTCTTAAAGCTTGTGCTCCAAAACTGACCCGTCTGGCAAAAGATGGTGAAGAGGGAGGTTGCAAAGTGGCGCTGGAGGGGTCATCCTCCTCAATAACAGCAGGCTCATCTCCGAAACTGTTTTTGAAGTCTGGAGAGCTTGACATGGACGACGTTGCCACACTTGCTCGTCGTTGCAGTCCGAAAGCACCGAAGGGAGTTTGGTTGGAGGGGTTCGTAGTCAGGCCGAGAGCAGTAATCGAGGTGCCTCTTCGATGTTGTGGCACGGTGGGAGTGGACGGAACGCCCAAGGAGGGAGGGGACGAGGACGGCGCAGTAGGAGAGGAGCTTGTACGCGGGTTGAACATATCAACAAAGGACGAGCGACGACGGTGCTGTGGAGGCGGAGGTGACGGCGGTGCAGGATTGCGGTCAGACATTGTGAGCAAGTTGATTTATATGGTACTGCGTAGGCGTCCTGAGAGATAGAAACACTGGAATTGAAGATTGTATCTTGTTAAGGACCGATTGTAGCTGGACTCTTGACAACGTTTAAGGTGAAGGTCGAGGACCAACAGAAGGCTAGGAGGTAGGACAAAGGAGGCCCCCAGTCACGTCATTGTAGCGTGAGCGGCCTGCGGTTGGTGGGGGATCTGTGTTTCAGGTGGGACAATGGACGGGAGCGACGATCAAATCGTCCGATAGATGGGTACTTGGTGGATAGGGGATTGAAGTAAAAGGACGAGGATAACTTTGAGAGGTGTGAGCATGGGAGAAAATGAAAGTGAGAGAAAGTAGAACTGAAAGGGAGAGAAAAGATGGTTTACATAAGAAGTCGACCTGGAGGGAAGGGCTAGAATGCACAGACCTACACATCACTTGCAGCAGCTTGGGAGCAGATGCTCAGATGCCAGATGTACCAGCAGGCTAGCTCGCTTTCCTTTTCCTGGGCTGCAATCGGTGTCGAAAACCACGTAGCCCAGCTCCGACCCAGACGCCCAATTGGTTGAATGGACTGGCTTTGGGGACGCGGAAACAAGCAGCAAGTTGAGTTCGGAGAGGGTCTTAATGTCCCAGGGCACCCCTCCAAGGAAGGGACTGCATTAGCTCATTGAGCCATCCCCAGGCCATGCCGGCTGTTCCACAGCCTGGAGTCGCCTAAGATTGGGCGTCATTAGCCCCTAGCGGCCCCCTTGAAGCAGAGCCCCGGCGCCCACCGCCAATGATCGCCGCCTTCTCATGATGCTTAGAGCTTGGCATAGAGTCACAAAGTGTGGGGTAAAGGCGGCCAGGCATGAAGAGAGCCAACACCCTTGCATGCATGGCTCCAATCAGCCTGTCCATCATCTGCGCCCCGTTCAATTCCCTCTGTCTTGCACTTTGCCACACTCAGTACGAGACACGCCCTCCTACAAGTACTACGTACCCCGTACCGAGTACACGCCACTTGACACGCGACATCCTTTGTGAGCCGTTGTGGTTTCTACGAGTCTCACGCTCCATGGCACACAACAACCTCGCTGCTGAATCCACCAGGAACCTCTCGTACACAGTTTCAGACCACTATTCACCAGGCTATATGAATAAATACACAAGACCTCTATCATTGGCATTCGCTGACGTGCACATGGAAACGTCCCTTTTCCGGCGCTACTACGAGCTACACGCACACTTTTGCAACGGCTTCTTCCATTGCCTGTCAGCTGAGTGTCCGGGTCCTTGCGGAACGTCCTCATCCTCCCGCCCACCAGAGCCATCCTTTCTCCTCCACGCAGCGCAAGGTTCCACAAGCACCTCGCCGAATGCTGAACGGGGTCATGAAGCATGGGCCACTGGACCCTGGTTTGTTGTTGGCATGCAGCCCAGTTGCTATGCTGTGAAGGGGACAATGCCCCCGTTGGGCACTATTCCCAAACCGGATATTGAACTGCGTCCGTCAAGATAATACCACAATGCCGCTTTCAATATGTCTACATCACCGAATGCGGGTGCTAGAACCGCCATTGATGCACGCAGCCAGCCAAAGAGATACTCTTTGTGTTGAGAGAAACACAAGGTAAGTCTTGATTTATTTCCTTCCTGTCTGCCACGTTGAGTTCTTTTGCGTCTGTTCCTTTCGATATCACTTCTCGTGGGAAAAAATGACTCCCAGAGTATCTCGCAGCGACTCCAGGCCCCAGTTGCCTAGGACCGGTCAATCTTCACATGCTTCTTCCAATTGGCAACCAATATTGGCCCCATACTCGCGGCGACTATCAAGCATCGGGAGTACAACACAGCTGGAAGGGTTTGCTCCCATCGCCTCTCCTCGCTCACGCCAGTCTCCGACTTCGAGGGGGAATGTCCATCTGCTGGCAGCGGCGAGAACTGGAGAGTCGCATGGTCAGCTCGGACGCTCACGCTCGGCCATCAAGAGACCCAAATACAGCCGCATGAATCATACATCAGTCGATCGATTTATTCCACCGGAACATGGCTCGGCTGAGATCCTCGAGCTACCTGAGATCGACAGTGACAGCACGCCAGAGGAAGTCGAGAACATTATCGCACACATGATCGACTACTTGTTGAAATGGACTAATGGAGAGCTCGTCGAAGGACCAGCAACTATCCTCCAAGATATCAAAGTTATTCACGACTCGCTGCAAAACATGTTGGATCTGCCCGAAGACGTGATCTCTTCCTCTCTGGTCCACAGCGCGCTCAGAACGCTCAGAAAACAGTACGAGGTATTCGTCAGCTCTTGGGCACAGGCTGTTCACAGCGCCTTTAACGGCAAGCTCCATCGTATCGAATCTCAGCTCAAGCGGCATCCCGCGGCCTTATCGGAGGCAGCATTCACTTTTCTCATGTCAGATATTCGCAATGCTTGTTCGAACTACGCCTTACCGGCATTGCTAGACTCTGCTCAAGACAACAGCCCGTTGCTTGTATCTGAAGTTGCAGCAAAAAGGTTGTTGAACCGCAGCGTGCGGCTGCACGAAATCTTTCAGAATGCAACTTACGTTTCCGAACAACAGCAACTGTGGCTTCTGATCTGGAGAGCCCTGAAGACTGTCTTCACTGCTTTTGAACAAGGAGGAGCCCCGACGTCTCCAACCAACACAGAGCGCGATCGCAACTTCTTCAAGCTACCCGGAATCTATGGTGAACTCAAGCGGCTGATCAGCTCACCAGACGCAGTCAATCCCAGAAGTATTGAAGATATGGTTGGAAAATACTGCCGATACATTTATAAATGTCAAGTCGACCGAGGCAACAAATATGAATCCCTCCAGCGACCGCGAGACACGCCTTTGGAAAGTCACACCAAGGAGGCATTGAGAGAATTCATACAAACAGGCAAATTTGAGATCAGCACTCTCTCCAAAATCCATTTTGCAGTCGCACGATTTAACGAGATCAGCGGTGGCCCGGTCGAAGTCAGGAGATGGCAGCATGATACTGGCAATAGAGAATGGGAGTTCATCGCACTGGATCTGCTGTCCCCTGCCTTGAAGCTCACTCCTGAGAGACGCCCGAGCTACTCGGATGTTCCTTCGAGTGCACGACGACGCTCATCCTTCGGAGATGCAATGCAGAGGTCACCGAAACGCTTGTTTCCCTTTCCCCGAGGCGTCAACATGAAAAGCGCTTTTGACTATGTTTTTTACCCTTTCCCCGAGACGCGTGCTCACGAAGTGGTCCAGCACGAGCAAATTTCGAGAGAAATGAGCCAACGCGGAATCATGTCGGAAGGTCCACGAGCCGAATTTCTTATAAATCGACCTCCCCGTCATGCTCGTGATCCTGCTGATCTTTCGGGGTCGGACAGGTGGTTCGGCCCGTTTGACTTGATCCGCACGGCGATACAGCGACTGTTTCCACAGAGACAGCGTGTACCTGATGCCAAACGCCCAAAAATAAACACCCTTCCTTCGCGTTGTTTACCAAGATCATCTGCATTGAAACCACGCCCTCTCCCCATTGACTCAAAAGCGAGGGTGCACAAGTCCACCTCTACAGCAGCCCCAAAACTCAGACTCCGAGGGGGAGGAGGCCCTCCACTGCATCGATCAGCAGCATCCCTCAACGGAAAGCGTGCTTTCGATCCATTGGCATATCGGCGGATGATGATGGCAATCTTCCGAAGGGAACTGGAGACCGAGTATGGTCGCAGCGTCACTTTCGAAGAACCCCGGATGTTGCGTTTATTGAATTCCACAAGCTATGACGTTCAGAAGGCTGTACAATTATACCAAAGTTCTAGCGGGGACAAAAGCGTTGGTTTCGCCAGAAATACGGCCAACGAGCCACGCAGATCCGTCCGCGCAGGCAAAGTTGTCTCTCATCAAGCCGCGACCAAGATGGATCGACATCGAAGACTCTTCAGACAGACGCCTGCCGGTGACAGTGCAGAGATATATGCGTACCGAATGAATACTGTGGCTCAGCCCGTCTCTGGGCCATTTGAAGCACTTCCGGCAGGAGAGTATGGTGATGATGCCGACCATAACTACGGCCACCGACATTTCCAGAGACCAGTTCTGGGTGAGCTTCCTGTGGGTGCGGACGCTCGTGATGATGGGAGTGATGATGACCACAATCACGACCACCAACTTTTACAAAGACCAGTGCTTGGTGAACTTCCCTTATGTGTGGACCCTCATGATGGAGACGGGGGCGACGACAGTACTCAACACAGCTCCAATCAAGAAAACCATACGCCTGGGCCTCCCGACCCTCCTCAGCCTCCTCGCCGCTCTCCCTCTCCTGAACCTATCCACTGGCGTTGTCACCCTTGCCCTGTATTTGAGGGTCAGTATCATCACGTGTGTGTTTGTACCGGTGTTGTGAGCCCCAGGCCGACTCCGGATTTTCCGATCCATGAAGATGAGAACGCGGTTGAGAGACCGAACCTAGATTCGAGTCCTCGCTCGACCAGTCGACAGAGGGGAAATTCTGCAGGAGATCATGGGGGTCGACAAACTGGAAGTCGAGCTGGCAGTCAGGCTGGCAGTCAAGCTAGCCATCAAGCTGAGGACCAAGCTGAGAATCAGGCGCCTCGCCGACGACCACGAAGAGAAGATGCACGAGATGACGATGGTCTTTATGTGCATGAAGTATTTGCACGCGATCCGGGCTACACTAACGCGCTGAGAGATCTTGGGAGCGATGGAGCCCTCTATCAGGTTGTGACTGACATATTCTCCCCGCAGCCAAACTGGATCACCAACCCCAGGTTACGGGAAAAGCTGTGTACAACACTCGACGCTCTGGTAACCGAAATCATGACGCTAAGGGACCAATATCTTGCGTTGCTGGAAGCGCCGGAGCCTTTTATGGAAGCGGTCACAACAGGTGACGTTCGGGCGCCAAACCCAGATGTTCCTGCCACCTTTATGATCTGTCAAAGAGCGACGAACGAAGTGAAGCAGCATTATGATCGACTATTTCAATTCTTTGACGGAAACCAATCGCGACCACACCTCGGGTTCCGTCGCCAGTTTAATCGGCTTATTGTCGCCGTGAGAGAGTTACGGCTTCTGTTTCTGGAGCACTGCCAGGCAGCAGTCGACGATGGAAATGTGGCAGGCAGTCAACAGCAGCCTGGTCGAGGAAGTAGACGGCCGAGTCAAGAGGACAATCAAGAAGAGAGCAGCGACGATACGCACACGGACTCCGAGGCGACTCTTTCCTCGGCCGAAACAGCACGGGTCGCCAGCGGCCGACCTCCAGCAAGACGCATCAACGTTGTGCCGACTCGTGCACAGTACGAGCTGATGTTTCTGGACGAACTGGAGCGCGAAATGAGACATCGCGGATTCGCTAACGTGGCACAGACCCTGGGGAAGAACAGGTACAAGAAGGTCGATGTGATCGATAAACTTATGGAGTTCGACAGAGAAGGCACCCATCTTGGGTCCGGCGCCGACAATGGGTATCGCCATCTCAGCGGATTGTTAACAGCCCGAACTCGACCGAAAGGATTCAATTTGGAAGACATGATCAGGCAGGGCGATATCACGCGGGTGAGGTTGAGACTCACGCTTAAGGCCGCGAGGAAGAGACAACGGCAAGAAGCGAGGAATACCCGAGGGATGCATTCACCAGCGTCAGTGAGGCCGAGGGTGTCGCCGAATCGACAGGCTCTTCCCGCTGGTGCTGCCCGCAGACCTAGGGCTGGCGTTCCCTCAATCTCGAGCCAGAGTTCCGAGGAGTCAGACACGCCGAGTCCGGACTACCGAAAGGTGCGCTAGGACGGACAGCAGTTGGAAGAAGGCAACGGGGGTGCGCGAGAGCAGATAGATATCGTCGGAATCTGTTGAGCGAGCACTTGTATAGATCGTGTTGGGATTTTTGCCTGGATCCAAGTACGGAATTTGGTATGTTAGCGTTCGCCGCAATAAATTTAATCACAACATCTGACCTCCATGTTCCCAACCCATGTACCAGTATTAGTGCGTTGCAGTGCTTCAAGAACAAGCCATGGCTATGAGAAGACCACAGCCACCATAGCCACCATCGCCACTAACGCCACTAACGCCACTACAGCCTCGTCGCCAGGGTAGAGGAACTCCATCCTTCGGGGATTTTCAATGCTTTGAAACAGGCTTGCGGCGGTGCCAAGGACACATCACCCCGGGTCCTATGTAGATCTCCCATCAGAGACCTCCCGAGCTCCCACTCCATACCGAGTACGGAGTACATCACGTCCAATATTTACGCGAGGAGCGACTTTGTCAAACGGGCCATGGAGGTGAAACTCCTTGCACGTCGATTCACATCACATATTAATTCATACACGAGTTCACTCACAGAAACGGTTGTTATTTGGTTCCTCTTACCGATCTATTCGGCACTCCACATGCTTCCCCTTCCCCCACACAGATCGTCCGGAGAAATTGGACAGGCAGCCCCGACGCAGTATAGACCCCTGTGCATCAAACATGCACTGCCACGCAGCGTTGCCGGCTGAGATGAGTGCCGGGTATAGCCTGCCTAGTGAGCTGCCTCCCCCTCCAGCCCCCTTTTCTCACAGGCGGAGACAATGATCGGCCCCTCTTGTAATTGTGAACGAGGCTTTTCAGCCAACGAAGTCGGGGAGAAGACGTGGAGAGGAGGGGAAGAGAGTAAAGAAAAAGGGTTGTAGTAGGACCGATGACGAGGAGGAGAGGGGGCTTTGGGAGATCCTACACAGTCTTTCAAGGGGGGCCAAGAGAAGAGGTATTAAGTAGTATGTCGAGTCCGTTCTTTGCCTTTGTTCCTCCGTCTCCCTCTTCGTACACACAACAGAGGCCATAAACCACATATCATATCTTTTCACCAGTTAGATACTTGACCCTTATTCATTCATTCATCCATTCGTCCATCCATCTGTCTATCTATACACCAAGACCTCTGGTAGGAAGTGATAGAGCATCCAATCACACAACACCGCACCACATCAGACGTCCACCATTTCTCTCACACAACAAGACGCGAACCCCCCAAAAAGCACAAGGAAGACAAAATGCGTCTCACCAACATCCTTACCACGCTGGCTCTCGCGGCCGGCCCCTTCGTCTGCGCCCAGGACCTTGACTCGCTGCTAGCAGACGCGACATCTCTCGTCTCGAGCGTGGCGTCCGTCATCGGCACCGACACGGCCACCGAGCCACTCATCACGAGCGTCGAGTCCGCCATCCAGAGCGCCACCAGCGCCCTGTCCGTCACCGGGTCGGCGGGCAGTCTGCTCTCCTCGTACGTCTCCGAGGCGAGCACTGCGCTGGCGTCAGCCACGGCCACGGCCACGGACTCCGCGCAGGCCACGGTCCCAACTAACTCGGCGTCGGCTTCGGCGGCGGCGACAACAGGGGAAGGAAGCACAGGTGGTGCGGTGGATACGGCGGCACTGTCGGCCATGGGTGTCTTTGTGCCGGCTGTGCTGGCGGGCGTCGTTGCCCTGCTGTAGCAGCACCCGGCATTTGATGGGACAGCCTCGTCTAAAGGCGGGACGGCCTTTCGCAACAAAGGTAGAGAACATGGCCCTACCAAAAAGGGTTGAGGAAAACCCCCGTTTTTCAGTTTAGGGTTCTGAAATAAAGCAACACTCCCAAGGAATATCCATCACCCACACAACGCCATGCTCAAAGACGTCCACAAAATACAATAAAACAGAAAATGGAAAGGCCAGCATCCGCGATGCACTCTTCTAGCCACGGTTTCTGGACTGGGACAACGGAGAGCGGTACCGTGGGTCCGATCGAATGCAGGAAAAATGACCGTTTTTCCAGGGCAACAAGGGAGGAACGGTTTTGCAAAGTATTTGCTGCCATCTGAGAGCATCCTCTGACGGCGAAACGTAAGGCCAGACCTGGGAGGAACGGGGTGGAAGGAATGGAACGAAAGGAGACGAGATTGTTGAGCTCTGTATGCAGCTCGTTGTATCTCCGTGAGAAATTGCCAGGTCGTAGCCCAGCATTCCATATGTTGGATGGTTGTATCATGTATGTTTGTCGATCAGTCACGCCATTTACCCAGTCTTCGAACCAGTGCCCCTTCTTGAGGTATGGCCAATGCCCCAACCATTTCGCTCGAACTTCAGTCGCCCGAGGGACCAGCTGAAATCAATCTTGGCAATAGTGATCCCTGCTTCAGTGGTGGCTGGCCATCAGGACCGTGGTGCGTGAAATCACCCGTCTCATTCCAAGCTCAGACGACAAGCCAGAGCCCAGACGGCGCCGAGAAACTCCAGATCAGAGGTCAGGTCTGATGGCTTGAGCTTTGAGGGTTGATCCGTCTTGTCATTTGTCGAGAGACCAGGAATGCGACGTTTGCGAACCTCGAAATGACAACCACCCTTGATCCAAATCCATTCCTCACTGGAATGCACCATCTTCATTTCAACGGCAACAACAAACATTGGCATGGCCGGCCACCTTCATTTACGTGGCTTCGTCGCTCGTGTCCTGGCATTTCTTTTGTCTTCCCTTTTTTCTTCAGTCACTCCTTTGACCTTTGTCACTCGTTTACCGTTCCCTTTCCACCTCGCGCAACAGGTCATCTCGCATCTTGACCACCGAAAAGGACTTCATTCGTCCGGACGCCTCTCCAAAACTTACATATTCTCGAGCAACTATGCGTTCTTTCTTGCTTACCGCCGTCGGCGCCTTCGGCTTCAAGGCAATGGCTCAGACAGCCTCCTTCGCTTCGGGCATGACGTGGAGTGCCGTCACCGTCGGGCAAGTTTGGGCCATCAGCTGGACTATTGGTGATGGGACACCTGTCTCCTTGTTCTTGGGAAACGCGACCTGGAATACCCCAGTCTTCGGTAAATCGAGCGTACAAAACGGTGTGAGATGGCGACTGGCTGACTGACACCGCACAGAAAACAAAGCTGCCACGGATGGAGAGTACGACTGGACCGTGACAGTTCCGGATGGTTTCGTTGCTGGCAACTACGCCCTGGCTTTGGCCCAGAGTGGTTCCATCGAATACTCCCCGCTGTTGACCGTCAATTTCCCGGCCGGCGGATCGAGTGGTTCGACATCGTTGGGTACCTCGACGACCTCCTCAATGCCCAATGCGACCGTCACAGGCAACCCCATCTCTGCCACCGATGCTACAACCACAACAGCTGCAACCGTGACCGTTACATACTTCGATGACGAGTGCGGCTGCACAAAGACATCCGAAGTGCCCGCGACCGCCGCTGCCACCGGCTCAGGGTTGGCTGGCACACAATATACCTGGTACGACGTGGTCTGCGGATGCACCAAGACGGCCATAGCCCCAGCGCCTACCACCACTCAATGCCCTGGAAGTGGATGCAGTAGCTACACCGCTCCCCCCGGTGGAAACGTGCCGCCTTCCCCAACTTCGCCAGCACAGCCTTCGGCTTCGACATTCAAGGGTGACGCGAACCGATTGGGTGGCTCGGTGGGAGCTGTTGTGGGATTGATTGCGGCGGCCATGTTCGCATGATTTCGTTTCGTTATTGGGTTTTGGAATTTCATCTCGTCTTGTTTATTTTCTAGATGGAGGCATCTTTCTAAGAGAAGAGCGCTTTGCACCAGCGCTTGCTGAAGGCAGCAAAAGAGCAAGGGGTTTGCAGCTACGCGGTAGCCGGAAGTTCAGTTGAATGTTTCGGGCCATTGTCGGATATACAGGGTCGTGGCTTTCATGATCTGAGGCTGGAATTCCAACGCTATGCAAAACTTCAAATAGGTTTCTAGTATCGTTCATGAATCGTCTCATGCTGTGAGCTCTGGCATCATCCTCTTTCGTCATCGTTCGCCCTTGATCTTCGCGAACGCCCCGACTTCTGCGCTCGATATCGAGAATGGGCTCTTAGGGCCATCCGGTGATCGTGGACTCAGGGCGACCGCAAACAAATCATCGTCTGCAGGTTCTTCATCTGGCTTGGCTATCTGGCTGATGGCGCTGAGAGAAGCAGTGACGGGTGATTGTCCCTGCTGTTTTCTGATATAGTCTGGTGGTGCTTGAGCGACGACCTTCTTGCCGACGCTGACCGCTGAAGTGGGTGGTGGGCCATTCCGGAAGCTACTGAATGACGAATATGCCATGTCTGAAGCCTCAGGCGAGAGCGGATGGGATTCGCGAGTTGGAGTGTTGAGGCCTCTGGCGTTGAGTTCCCTGTCACTGGTGCCAATGCTCAAGCCTTTGAGCTTCTCGCTCAGCCGTCTTCCACCGGGAGACTTGGGACTTTGGATCCCCGGACTCGTCGGGCCTAGAGATTTGGAGATATTGCTCAGATCAAGGCTGGGGGGTTTCGGAGCCAGGCCGAAGTTATTCTCGATCCACGACTTCTCCGACCTGGCCATCTCCAACGCAATGCCTTCGAGGTTGTGTTCTTCCTCGTGCTTGATCTCCTTCTCCAAGACTTGAAGCCTCTTCTTCGCCCATATAGTGTGTAGCACGCCTTTTCTCCCACTGGTCTTGGCCGTGGCTCCTAGCTCAGGCGTGAATATAGCAGGTAGCGGGTTCACCGTCATTCCTAGAGGGGCTGGCTCTGTCGTTGAGGTCTCGGTCGGTGAGGCGGCTCGGGGGGGAGGATGGTATGCCAGGGTGATGTGAGGTGGCACAATGGCACCCGGAGGCAGAAGGAAATACACACGACGGATATTGTCCGAAGGATTGTCGTCTGCTGGGAAGACGGTGCGTTTGCCCGGCCACGAGACCTGCCATCTGCCTGATTTATCTCTTGCCTGATCATCGTCTTGCCATTCAACCATCATCACCTTGGTGCCATCGTTGCCTTTGCCAGGTTCGAACTCAAAACGAGCGAGTGCAGTGACAGAGTGAAGAGTGTCAGGGCCAGTCGGCGACCTGGGAGATTCGGCTTGTGCCATGGTTGTTTGACCTGGCAGGAAAGAGACAACTGGGTCTGGTGACGGTGAGCTCGGACAACGAGAGACTGGGCGGATCCGGGGAGGGCAAACGAAAGGGACACAGAGACACAAAGATAGCAAGAGACTTGGAGAGACAATCGGAGAAATTCAAGGTGGAAGCGAAGATTGGTACCGACTTTTAGGATCGACTAAGCTCAAGATGGAGTTGTTGGAACATGGTTGCAGCCGTGTGTTCCCTGCAGACAGAAGATAAAGATAGTGAGAAGGAGGGCTCCGTGCAGCACCCCTGTTGTCACCAATTGACTGTGTGCTGATTCTGGTTCTGGCGTCTCCAGAGAGTAAATGACTATTAGCAAGTCGATCAACTACATGTCTGGGTCACCGTGGTCGTCGAGACAAGTCGCCAATAGCCTGCGCCGGGTGCAGCCTCAACGGCTGGGAGTGTTTTCGTCCAGCGGCATCGACACCAATCACAATGCCCCTCAGCACTATATCCCTTGCATATACTTTGCAAGCAGTCTTCGTCATAAGGGGGGCCAAAAACCCAATTGCCGCTGCTCCTGTCTCGCTGCGGTGTTGTCACACCCGAACGGTCACAATTTAGCTGGGCTCGTCGCCTACATAAGGCCTCAATCTACGAATCACCGAACGGGCCAGAGAAAGCATCCTTGTCAAAATCAATTCAATTGATCAAGCCACCCAAAGCCTCCCAGGGCTGCTGCTGAATCCAAGAATACCAAATATGCCCAAAATATGCTCCTACGAGGTTGTCCCACAATCCAATACACCAAAAATGCAGACTGTTTTGTCAATCTCGTACACAAAAGCTTTTCCAGATAGAATCAAATCTCGTAAACCCCTTCCTGGCATCTCGACTCGGTCTGTTTCTCCAAAGGCCATGCAGTGTTCATGCCTATCATCTCGTCATGATTCCAAAAGGTACATCCCCGAGATCGACTCCGACGTTGGCTCTCAGCGGCACCTCCTGCCACGATGCTCCAGCTTTCCCACTCGTTGACCTCGTCCCAGCCGAACCTCCGAATCCGTTTCCACGTTCATAGCCATACTTCAGCCCTCCCGAATACCGCCCGAATGCTGGTGGCGGATGTTGCCTCTCAAGCTCGGCTGGATGCAAATCCTCGGCCAAAGACGAAGCAAAGCTGCGAACGCTATTGGCACACGACTGAGGGCGAGAGGCATAGGCGCCACCCGGAGATGTCCCTCGCGAATGTACTACACGGCCGCGATGTTGGCGGTGATCATGCGTTCTGGAGCTCCGACGAGATTGCCTCACATAGGCGGATTCTGACCCGTGATAAGACGGTGTCCATGACGGATAACGCTGCTGCTGAAATCGAGAGGACTCGTTGTATCCGCCATAATAGCCATGAGAAGAGGAGGAGTATTCCTCAGGCGAGAGGCATTGCTTCCATTCCTGTTCCTGCGCCGCATGCTGTGGAGGTATAACAGGGTAGTGCAACTCCTCAGGGACGTCTTCGTACTCCTGGTGACCATGATGCGCTTCCCCAGACTGTCGCCGTAGCGCCTCGCCCGCACTCTGTCTTCGAGCCTTCCATACCGCAACCTGCGTTGCCCACGGATCTGGAGTTATATCCACCGGTCGAGGGGAATGAGATGGCGGAGGAGGAGCTACGAGGTTGGAATCATCCCTTTCATAATCAATGTATTCCGGGCGCGGTGAGTGTGGAGGAGGCGGTGGGCCGACCGAAGGCTGCCGTTGCATCGAGGAGGTGCGGTGCGCCTTCTCTATCATGTCCTGCGTAATTGGTGGCGCATCACTGGCGTAACTAGCAGGCCTCAGATTTCTCCCCGGTATGCCTCCTCTGTCATTGAACGAAGACCTCCGATCCGACATGAAGCTTTCTCGTTCCCGAATGGACCGACTTCGAGACCGCGACAACTCGACGGCGGTCTCGTCATCCATCATTGGCCGCGGTTGTCGAACGCCAGGCATCGTCATCGAATGGTGGAGACCTGTGGACACACTGCTTGCATCAGTGAAGTCATAATGGCTTTTCCCCAGCGAAGTATTGACAGTGCCAAGATCGTTGATGATGGCCAACGCTTCAGCCTGACTGATCCCAGAAGGTTCTCTCGAGTTGGCCTTGTCTTCCTTAGGTCGGCCAAACCACGACCTCGGCCGACTGCGAGCCCGAGGTCGCTTAACCTGGAGCACTTTTTCGGGGGCAGGTGACGGGAACCTGATCTCGTCAAGGGGGAGAAAAAGGGTGGAGCTACTACCCGCTCTGTTGCCCAGCGGCGAGTAGGTTTGTTCCAGTTCCGGTACGGCGTGTGAGCGTATGCGAAGATTTTCTTGCGCCTCAGGAGAGACGTGTGGAATGTTATCCAGCTCAAACGACCGAACTCGAACAACTGCTACCTGGCCAGGAGGTTGGCTGGATGGGCGCCTCTTCTTCAGCAGCTTCTTCCGGGCCTTTGGAGCCTTGGAAGAATGAATTTCGGTTTCGGGGACAGTCGTTGCTGGAACATGGGGCAGCGGGTGTGACGACATGGCACTGCGTTGAAGATTGGAAAAAGTTGGTACATAAGACTCACTATGCCGGGCCTTCAAAATGGACGTTCTTTGTCCAGAGAAGGATGGCACACGACCAGAGTCTAGTACATCGGCACTCGTTTGATCATCTGGCATCTCTGGTAAAGCCCTAAACTTTGTAGGTGAGGGGGTGGGCCTGGCCATTTGGAATGATCGAAGCGAGTTGCTTGAGCTGTAACCGCTATCTGATTTTTCCGGTGCGCGAGGAGGCGGAAGTGCCAGACTAGGCACGGACAACTGAGCCTGAAATTCAACGGCCGACTGGAAGCCTTCGTCCATCGAGTGCTTTGGCTCAATGGGGGAATACCAGCTCACCGGACTGTCGCAGGGTCGAGATTCGTCGCCTCCCTCGTCATTCTGCTGGATTTGTCGACCCCGGCTTTCTTCGGACCTAATGCTCGATTTTCGGATCACCGACCAAGTTGGAGAAGGCGACCTCTCCAGCGGACTGGCTGGGGAGTCATCCCCCGGCGCACTGTTGAGTGGAGGGGATTTCTGGATTGACGAGCAGGAGCCAGCCCTCCAGAGCGACCCTTCAGACCGGGTTCTTCTGATAGTACCAACCGGCGAGCTGGAGTTCTGCTGCTCAAATGGTCCTACCCCGAGCTCCGCGATGTATTCCTTGGCCATCAGTGAAGTCTGGTCATCGGCTGAAACAGGATTGGCTTCTTCTTGTGCGGCCACGACACTTTGCAGCGGATGGAATCGTGGCCCAGCCTTATCATCGTTATGTTCCCAACTGAAATATCGACTTTCGAGGGTCGCAGTCGGAGGGCTCGGCACCAAACTGGATAAATTTCCGGATGTCGAGACCAGTAGATCAAAGTCTTCCTCAGCATCACCATAATCGCTGGACACGTCTCTACGTGGGGCTGGCGGAGATAGAAGCTGTTTCGACGCCTTTGACATTTCGCTGAAGGTGGGTGACGCTCGTCCATTGACGATTTGCAGAGAGCCGTGCCTCAGCCCGCCGAGATGTGAATAACTTATATCTGAAGGTGTGCCAGCCCGCCCAATGGTCCTGGGAGGCGGAGGCTGCCACTCAAAGTCATGCTCGTCAAAGGGGCTCTCGATCTCTTGACTCCTGTTGCTCTCCTCGATTTCTTGCTTTGCGGCGATCTGAGATGGCTTTCTAGTCGCTGTCCCAGGGGCAAAGGAGGAACGACGCATGGGAGGAATTGCCGGCGCATCGAAGATTCTGTCCATCGACGATTCTGGTGACGGAACGACCACCGAATCGGAATCCAAGGGGTTTATCCGTTCGCTGCTGGGCGTACGACTTATGCTAGAAGACCTTTGCAGAGATAGACGCCGTAGCAGGAGAGACTTCCTCTTTGGTGGCTTGATCGGCGACAGAGGGGATGCTACCGGTTGCTGCATTGTTCGTGATGGACTTGCCCCGGCTCCAGCAGCCCTGCCCTCAAGTTGACTGACCATGTAGGCGACTCGAAAGCCGGAATCGTTTTTGTGCACACGGAGAGGCGACCCTGAGTCTGAGGCAATTGTACCATTGCGATGCTGTTGGCGTGGAGCTCCATTTGGTGAGGCGGAGGACATTGGACTCGACAGCTCTGTGCTGCTTGCATTCTTGCTCTGAGAAAGCGGCCCCTGGGATTTGAGACTCGACGTCGAAATCCCGGCGGTGGGAATTTTGGCGGTATAGCTTGTTGGAGGCTTGGACAAGCGATTTCTTCGACGAGGCTCGGGTTCCATCTGTACAGACTCGGCCGTGAGACTCGACCTCCTCCTTGCAAACCACATGTTGAGCAGTCAGATATATGTTGGAATTTATGCAAGTTCCGTCAACAAGCGTTCCCCTCCCTGCCACGGCAAGCTTCCCGGGCCTTGTTCTCCACGCCCAAGGCTATAATACTGCCACCATCGTTCAACGATCAACCGTATGGTGATTGCTAGGACATAACGGCGTGATGGGCTGGGTCTTAAGAGATTGTTGAGTCTCGACGAGGTGGTGAGCAGAGTTGTATGTGTCTGTCCAGCAGGGCAGATGAGGTCAGTGCTCCAGTTGTGACAGTGGCCCGTTCGTCGCGTGGGGGCGTATGAGAACAAGGAAGGTGAAGGTTCCCGAAACGAACGACAGAAGGTAAACACAAGTCGGTGAGCACCCAAAAGAACGGCTTAGTGAGACCAGTTAAGAGGTGATGTGCAAAACAAATCCAACTACAGCAACACAAGGCCCAGTTAATCGAGTATTTTTGTCGCAGGACAGACGAAGGAAGCAGGTGAGGAGTTGACGGAGGAGGAAGAGAGAGGCTTGTGGTGGCGGTGGAGGTGTATAGGAAGGAAGGTGGTCAGTGCAGCAGCAGCAGCAGCATTAGCAGCGCAGTGACGCCTATTGTCCCGTTGAATAAATCATGGGGAAATGGGCGACGAAGAAAGCAAGGTCAAGCTGCAGCAGAAAGGCTTTCCCAATGATGCAGGGCCCGATCCTCTCGCGGGCGAGGATGGGCAGGGGAGGGGCCTTGATTGGCTGAAACTCCCCCATGTAAACAATTTCAGGTCGCCCGGAGACGCAAACACACCACCACAACACCAGACAGACCCGAAGCCTCCAGGGCCCCCTGCTGGGCCCGCGCCAACAACCGGATTTCTGCATGCTCGATTCCAGCTTCAGCCACCGCTAAACCTTTCTGCTGCCCACCCTCGGACCGGCGTCATCCGGGGCGCCACAGTGGCCATTCCCCTTTCAGACGATTGCCCCTCCCCTCCCTCCCCCAAGATAATAAAGTCCAGGGTCTAGGGCCCAGGCACTGGAGAGCGTCGTGGGCGTGTGTACAGGGGGGAACGCCTGACGCAATCGATCCAGTCAACTAATGGCAAAGGCCCAAATCTTGAGATCCGCTGTGTGTCACTCCGGCTACCTCTCCCCACGATGCTCGATCCTTACACCATCGAGTTGACGATTCTTATCTCCAAAGGTCACGGTCCAGAACTTCCCGCTAAGCAACCCTGACGAAGAAAACCCCTCTCATCTTTGCCACAACTGGGCGGAAGTGCTGGCCAGGCTGATGGCTATTTGTCCGGCGTGGGAACTCAACTGAGCTGAGAATATGCAACCAATGCCCACCGGTGTCGAGGAACTGTTCCTAGGACACCTGAATGCACGAAAGGGAGTCCAGTGGTCGGAAACAGAATGGGTAAACCGAACCACATTTGAACCTTCCGATTCGCATCATGCAGATCGGATGCACGCTGCACTGCCATGCCGACAAAAGAAATGTTCTGGGCACCTCTGTCGTAGATAAGCAGCGAATACGAGCGTCCCAACACCCATCAACATTTGAGACACACTTACGTGTATCGGTTCTGACTACTGTAGAGCTACATACAAGCTACAGATGGAAAAAATAATACTCCGTCCATCTCCCAGCCTCCTCCCTTCTTGTCAACGAGCGGGGGACGCTACAGGTGTGTCCGGGTCCCATCAAATGGCGCAATTTGGCTTCGGAAATATGGGTGCCTCGTAACCCGCTAAGAGAGGGGGAATAAGCCGGCAAGAACATGTGCAAATAAAGTAAGTAGTCGGACTTTTTGAGTTCTCATTTTTACCTTTGGATCGAGAGTTGCACCAACATCCAAAGAAGAGAAACACGGGAAATTAAAAAGGGAGGGATCTGGAAATCAACAGTTTGAAAGTGTAAAAGCATCATGTGAATTATATTTCCCAAGGGAGCCGAGATCCTCTCTATTATTTCACTAGTACATCCCAGTCACTCCCTCGGCATGTCCCGTAAGTAAACTAACGCATGACCCTGAGCCCGTCCTGTTTGGAACGCCACGCTATGCAACCTCTATACTGGTGTCGTACAGTTTAGATAAGTCATGTCTGCCTGCAGGTGTGTTTCCCAACCTCTCCTGATTTGCCCTACTCGACAGTGATGCGACGGCTTTCAGGTGCAGCCTTGGGAACCACGATGCTGAGGAGCCCGTTCTTCAACGAAGCCTTGACCGCCTCTTGGTTCACCCGGTGCGGGAACCAGAAGCTGCGAGAGAACTCTCCCACGCTGCGTTCGGTGATCCAGTACTGTTGTTGAGGTGCAGATTGTTGTTGTTCCTCGGCCTTGGTGGGCTGTCGCTCAGCAGGAGCAGCGACCTCTGTCTTGCTGCTGTCTTCAGCAGCGGCTGCCGATGAGTTGGCGGGCTCCTCATCTTCGACGGTGGGCTGATGGGACTTGACGCTGCTGGTTTCAGACATAGGAGCTTCCTCGATGGCAGCCTTCTTCTCAGCTTCGACAGCTTGAGGACGAGTACCGGATTCTGTCGTGCGCTCGGTACGACCCTTGATGGTCAGGGTGTGTTCATCGACGAATTCGATGCTCAGATCCTTCTGCTCGACACCGGGGAGTTCACCCTCCAGAGTGTAAGCTTCGTTTGATTCCTTGACGTCGAAGCGAGGGTTGAATTGCTTCCGAGCCGATCGATTGGCTTTTTGGACTTCATTGAACGAGTCGTCGAAGAGCGAGAGGAGGGGAGCAAAATCCCGGCGGGTAGGGCCGCAGTGTGCGGGTGCAAAGGCGATTCTTGGGAAGAGGAACGACATGTTTCTGGTTTTGGGGAGCGTTGGCTTGACGATTCTTGAGGCTTGAGGGATGATTCTCGTTGTTCGAGTCGAGTGCATAAGACTTTGTGTTGCTGATCTTGCTTGATGTCGAACTGCAAGAAAGCCTGCGTCGACCATGATTTTATAGCCGTTCATCTTGTCTGATAGAAGGTGCTGGGTCAGTCGAGACGGATGAGAAAGCAGATTATGTCGACTGTGCCACGCTGATGCTGGAGGCTTCTGTGAGACGCAAGCATCCTCTGCCTGTTGCTGGATTTTGCCACAAGGCGCCAGATGCTTCGACATAGAGCCAGAAGCTTCCGCATCACGTGACCTCACATGACATCGCCATGAGGACTGAAAACTGAGGATGAGCAGTACAACCACAGGAATCTCATAGAGCTCAATGGATGTCTCTAACACCCGGCGAGGAGTACAGCTCGAGTTTGCGAGCCCCCATCCTGATCAGTGATTCGACGGCGCCAAAGTCCTTTTTGTCGATGGCCAGGTTCCTGCGGAATTCGCGTCTAGAGAGCGATTTCATCAGCTCCATGTGTCCCCCGTGATATCGGCCTGGACTAAGTAAGCCGTTCTAGAGTCCAGACTCACCTGGCTGCGTTCCGGAAGTTCTCTCTCGTCGCCTGTTGAAGCAAAGGAAGACACGTAAGATGAACTGTGCTACCTGACGAATGTGGCGACGAGGGACGGGAGGGAACCAACCTCTGGCTTCTTGCCTGCAGCTCGCAAACAAGCTCGGTAGAGCTTGAGGACCTCACGCTGAAGCCCTGTATGCCGCATTCTCGTCCTCCGGAGCAATGTGCGCTATGTACCTCGTACGACTGGATCACCTGGACGAAGTAAGTCAAGAAAAACGAACGGCGACACTGGAAAAACGGCAACGGATTTGGGCCACTCGCTATGCCATATCCGGACATGATATCACGCTGCCCTAGCAGATTTGTTTACAAGTCGATGCTCCTTGATTCAACTTTTCATGGTGTATGATATCAATTCATCAACAGGTATTTAGACAGGTAGGCATTCATATATCATACCGGCCCAATCTCCCTCGGTGCCCCTGGAACGGCCACCAACATCAATATACCAAACCGCCACCCACTCATTTCGCCTCCAAAAACTTCAACAGCTCGTTGTTCACTTCCTCGGCGTGGATGTTTGGCAACGCGTGAGGCCCTCCCTTGATGACCACCAGCTTGCCGTTCTTCAGGAGCTTGATCGCCTCGTGGGCGCTCGCGTCGATGGGGACGACCTGGTCATCGTCGCCGTGCAGCACCAGCACGGGGATGTCGATCTTCTTCAGGTCCTCGGTCATGTCGGTCTCGGAAAAGACCTTGACGCACTCGTACGAGTTGACGAAGCCGCACATCATGCCCTGTTGCCACCAGGACTGGATCAAGCCTTGCGAGACGTGGGCGCCGGGCCGGTTGAAGCCGAAGAAGGGGCCCGAGGGCACGTCGATGAAGAACTGCGCGCGGTCCTTGATCATGGCGGCGCGGAACGAGTCGAACACCTCGAGCGGCGTGCCCTTGGGGTTGGCCTCGGTCTTGAGCATGAGCGGCGTCACCGCACTAACCAGCACTGCCTTCGAGACCCGGCTGGCGCCGTGACGGCCGAGGAACCGCGCGACCTCACCACCGCCAGTCGAGTGGCCGACCATCATGACGCCCTTCAGGTCGAGGTGCTCGAACAGCTGTAGCAGGTCGTCGGCGTACGTGTCCATGTCGTTGCCCGTCCAGGGCTGGCTGGACCGGCCGTGGCCGCGGCGGTCGTGCGCCACCACCCGGTACCCCTTGCTGGCCAGGAAGAACATCTGGCTCTCCCAGTTGTCTCCGTTCAGCGGCCAGCCGTGCGAAAACACCACCGTGGCCGAGGCATCCTTATTGCCCCAGTCCTTGTAGTAGATCTCGGTTCCGTCGTTGGTGGTGAGGTAGGGCATCTTGAGGACGTCACACACGTGCAGTTACTGACGGGGTGGAGTTTAGTTGAAATTGGCGAGGAAACTGAGCTTTCAGAATGATTACTATTGTTGATGTTGTTGTCGTAAGTAGTAGGGTGAGGAATGTTCGATATAATACCCTTTCACAACCGGATGTTAAAGTGCATATATATATATATACCTTCTCAAGTTATCCACTACCAGCTACGATGCAACGGTGTGCAGTTCCAAATCCTTGCGTGCACAGGCTGGCCCGGCAGACACAAATCACACTCACTCACACTTACGGTCAGTCATGCCGCGCACTATTAGTCCTCCCTGGGAATGGGGAGCGCATCTATCCGGATTACGGCGCAACGAAGATCCAGTTGCTTACTTGGCATTTCATCACGCCAGCCAGCTGGCGATTGGTGTGAACGAGGTCGCTCGTATTCGAACTTTTCGTCTAGGCTGAATCTCAGACTGGCCCGTCCCTCTCCCATTGGGTCACCGGATTACGAGATTTGTCAATCGGGGTTATGTAAAGGCGTTTTTGAGGACCACTGGTCGCGACACGATGTGCCGAACAGGACTGGGGTCGTTCATGCCCGAAGCGTCGTTGGCCTCCCCGAGCTATTATGCCAGTCTGCATGGAGTAAGTATCCGATACCCAAAGGTATCACCCAGGATGGTTCACCCCTCTGCACAACTTCCTATTCCAGAACTCGATCGTGTCTGGGACGAACCACACACCCACTTTCCTTACTCAGCAGGCATAAGGACCACGGTCTCGCAGCCTGCTATTCGTACGTTCTCGTCACGAGGTGCGTCTTCCGCATCCTGCAAGTAGCTAAAAAGTACACAAGCCAACAGCAACTGGGGTTGCATTCATCGGACGGAAAACGTACCAACTTAGAAAGCCGAGAGGTCAACGGATTTCTGTGAAGCATATATTCCTCTCCCAATCAACCATCGAACTACATGAGAAGGAGAGTATCCGGGCGGGAGAGGGGGGGCTTTTGGTCATCCACACATAATCTCCTATATCATCAGAGTATAACCCCTTCTATCATCCAAGGATAACCTCCTTCCACTCATCATCCGACATCCTGAATGCTGCCTTGAAAACCTTCCCCAGTGCTACACGGCGATAAAAGCCTTCCTTGGGAAAGTACTCAACCGGGAGCACAAAAACAGCTCCCACTCCGATTCGACCCTCTCCTTGGGGATGTAGCACGTCCAGTCTGGAAACTCATCCTTAGTAAAAGCCTTGGTCTCGGAAATGGCAATGAACTCGGATTTCGTCTGGTTAGGCCCTTCTTCTAAGGCATTTTGCACGCCGTTCTCGACGTTCTCGCTCTTCTGATGCCTTTCGAGCCACTTTTCGTCGACGACGACGGACCAGCACTCCGAGGTCGCCGTTATCAACGTGATTCCTAGAGTTAGTCGTGACGGGAACGACGTGGAACGACGCGCGCCAAGTGAAGAACTGTAGGAAAGCTTGGTCGGGGAACTCACGATGAGAGACCGTCATGTATCTCTCGGAGGCCTTGCAGACGTGGTAAGGATCTTCCGGCAGAGTCAAGGTGAAATCCTCCTTCGGTCTGCCCTGGCTGGCAGAGATCCCCCTGGCGCCAGGTAGGCGGCCATAATGATCGCATTCTGGCTGTTCGTCCGAGACCAAGGGGTCGCTTCTAGATGGGCTTTCCAGCGTTTGTGGCCATGGTGAGTCTCTTTTGCTGTACCTTGTCTGCAGAGTGATTGAAGCTGGAATAGTATTGGCTGACTCTCTCGCCACTGTGGTGATTATCTGCCGATGTCTGACGATGCCTGACGTTCTCGGAGGGTGGCATAACCTGCGACGTGTCGCAAGAATCGTCCGTCAACGCCTTGCTGTCGGTAACCCTGTAACCCCTCCACGTTATGTTCGTACTTTCGTCTCCTTCAGCCAGATCTTTGTCCCAGACAAGCCGAAGGGCTCCATGGCCACTCCTTATGTGCCAGCCGATCCACGTGTGGTCCAGGAGCCAGACACCGACATCAGGAAGACAACCATCGACCAGGTCAGGAAAGTAGCCAATCCGGTGGTTCTCCCAGCTGCGCCATGACCAGCTGGCAAGTTTCATATCCTTGTAATTTGGATCACCCGAGCGCCTGGGCTTACTGAATCTCGATCAACGATCAATCGGCTGTCAAAGGTGAGCGAAGTCGAAGTGAGACGTAGGAAGACCGAAGATGAACGGCGAGTGCGTGGTGTACTCCATGAGCTTGCACATGCCACTGAACGCCGAGAGGATGTCGATTGGCCCAAAAAGCTCTTGCTTTGTGTATAGAGAGACACACTGGCTGTAGAACCACAAAGCTTTCATTTTGAGCCGGGACCACATCTGAAGTAGAGAGCGTACCAATACCAAATACCAGCGTGTCCCACCGCGGTCGGTGAAGACATCTTCTGACATGACTGTCGAGCCACACTGAAAATAGATACGACCGCCTGTGAATATCAGGCAACGTTTGGAAAGGTGGTGCTCCTGGAACGTCCAAGCTCGTTTGTTCCATCGAGAGGCCTCAATGCACGCCTCGGGTGGTTGGCGAAGCAACAAATGAAGACCGAACGATGGCATAACACGCGTATGGTTGGCTTTGAGATCTCGAAGCAGCAAGCAAGATATTTCCTAGTCTTTCCTCAGCTTCGGTGGCTCTGCTCGTGACCGACGAATAGCAGTGAGAAGCACTAAAATGCCAGCCGTAAGTTTTAGAAGGGCTGATGTGAACGAGACCACTGAACCTCTCTTAGAGATAACAGCGGAACGATCATTGGTGTGATTGGTAATGTTGAGGGTGAGCTCTGTAGCGCATTGAGAGGGGGAGCAAAGTGTGTTCATATCCATCACCACAAGGCGACGATTGGATAGTGCCTGCCTAGCACGGGAGACAAATGGACTTGGGATGTGGGAAAAAGTATGAGCCAGGGGAAGAGAGGCCAGGAAGGTTTTGAACACTATCTTGACAACAACAGCAGCAGCAGCACATCATCATCATCATCAGTACTGTCTGGCTGTTGCTGTACTGTCCCGCCTACAGCTTCTTCTCGGCCGCCAGCTTGGCGAACCGGGCCTTGGTCCTCTCGGCCACGGCCTTCTCGTTCCAAATGTACGTCACGCTCGGCTCCTGCACCACCTTGGACGCCCACGCCGTGAACTTGGGGGCCTTCTCGGCCAGCAGGGCGTCGAGTTTCGGGCTCAGTATGCCGTACTCGGGCTTAACGAAGGCGAGAAGTCGTAGAAGGAACGGGGCCGTTTGGACCTGATAATGCCGCGGACGGTGCACGCATGGAGATTAGTGTCGAATTTCCCTCACATACTCTCTTCCTTCGCTTGATCAAAGGTCCCCCCATAAGGGGAGAATCATGCAGATGCAAAATGTGAATTCAAAGACCAGACTTAGAGGGAAAAACTCACCTCAGCGAGGGTCAGCTTATCACTGCCTCCGAAATAGGGACCGCTCCCTTGACCACTCCAGGTGAAAAGAGGCTCGAGTTCCTTGACAAGGGCGGCGACCAGGTCCTGCGCTGCGGCGTCCTTCTCGGTCTCGGACTGGGCACGCTGACCGGCAAAGATGTGTGGCAGGGCCTTGGAGATGAAGGCGTCGACGAAGAAGGCCACGCGGGCGCGGTAGAGGGCGGCGTCAACGGCACCGGTGGCGGGCGGCAGCAGGGGCGACGGGTGGGCATCGGCCAGGAACTGCGTGACCACGGCCGACTCGGTGATGATGTTGCCGTTGTAGTTGATGCTGGGGACGAGGCCACGCTGTGTTCGGGAGAGGTGGACGAGTCAATATGATAGATATACCGGACAGATAGAAATGAAACTCATTCTCCATCATCGCCCCCAAGAAGGAAAGATATCTTTGAGAGTGAGTCCAAACATACCGGATTCACCTTCAGATACCAGGGATCACGGGGTCTGTCCAGGTCAATGATCTCCTCCTTGTAGGGGAGTCCGAGCTCCTTCAGGGCGACATGAGCCCGATGCGCCCAGGGGCAACCGTGGTTGGTGTAGAGAATGATGTCGGGCGCGGCGCTGCTGTGGCCGTTGGTGGCAGTAGAAGAGTGTCCGTTGGTGGTAGCCATGGTTTCCTTGACAGGTTTCACTGACGAAAGTAAAGGACGTTACGTGTTATAAGAACTGACAGAGAGGGGATGGCGGGGAGAGAGAGAGAGTGCGTGTGGGTGTTAAAGACACAGATCCAATTGATAGATATAGGGATGGATCAGCCGATGAATCAACCGATGAAGTAAATACTCAATTGCAAGGAAGCAAAGATAACGAACAATAGATAAATAAAGAAATAAATACCCGGCTTGCTATCAGCACGCAACAACGTGCCCGCACGGCATCATCACATTCCACCCTCATCAAAGCAAGCACGGCAAGCAAAGCAAGCCATATTCTCCAACTATGGCGATTTGTCATCGGCACCCAATCATCATGCGAGAGAAGTGAGAGGGGAGGGGGAGCACGGGAGAGAGAGGACGAGGGAGGAGGGAGGGGAGGGAGTACTCGGTGTCCTGTACGAGTTAATAGAATCGAATGGTTCCTCTAATCAGGATTCGGAGGAGCAAAAGAAAACAGGCACCTCATTGCGCCGGGACCGGAACCGGGGCGGGAAGTGTCCGACCAAGTGAGTATTATACACACCTGCCCGAATAGGCAGTATACATACCAGATACACACACTCCTATTGCCCACCCCATTCCGTTATAAACTATGTATACAAGCGCCACGGTCCAGAGCATAGTTCAGAAAAACAAAACGTCAATTCGCTCAAATATATCACTGGTGGCTGGCTTCAGACCCAGATCACGATAGCTTGCCCATTCATCACTCCATCGTCCATCTTCTCGTTACCGCAGTATCACAATCGCTAAAGTCGTGGCTCAATTACGCTCCCATCTACATACCACAGCTTAACGCCCATACTCCAGGCTCGGCACCACAACAGGCCCATACTTGACCACACTGCCATATGCGCCTTCTCCCTGCACCAAAAAGTCGGCCGCCAGGCTCAACTTCCCCGACCCTCGGTGCATGTCCGTCTGGCCAAATGTGCCATTGACGACTTCTGGGTCGTATACCACAATCGCCACGTAGTTTCTCCGAGCCATCAGTTTGCGGTTGTTGATGGGCTGTCCTGTCACATCGTGAGTGAAAATCTCCATCATGTCTTCTTTCGTGTCGGTCGGTTGCGATGGGGTGGACCGCTGCCCATTCGCTGGGATGTACAGTGGTTTGTTGTTGTTGAGCAGCTTCATGACATAGCCATGCGGCGGAGTGTTGACTACCGGCGACGAAATGATCTGGTACATGGTTTTGTGGTCGGAGGGGTGGGATGGATCGTGCACGAGGCCCGCTCCACAAGTGTGGACCGCTCCCGATACAAAGGTCATGCGGATGGATCGCTGATGGGAGATTCCTTGCAGGGTACGGATGAAGTATGTCCGCTCCAGGTCCTAATCACATCAGCCTTTCGTCCTGCACAGTCCAGGGCAGGAAAACTCACCTTTGAGTCATGGGTCCACTGGTCCTTCAGCTCGTCGAGAACGTCAATGTCGCCGAAGGGGCTCAAAATACCTCCCATCAGTCCGGACTTGCCCACAGCACGTTTCACCGAGTCAAATCCCGATCCGACAGCCCCTTTAGCTCCGACCACGCCTGCTACCGAGCTGGTCACTTTGCCCAGTACGTTGTAGGCGCCCGTCACGGCTTTCTTCCCAGTAGCCACCGTCTGTGCTATCGATTCCGCAGCATCGAGCCTGGGATAGATCAAGGGTACCGGGATCATCAGGAGACAGTGCTGGATGGTCGGAGGGAGCAGTGCAATCTTGGGAAATAGCCCTTGGTAGGTTGGTCCGGCCATGACTTGATGGAGTGTCCGTTCGCTACGAGTATCGGGACCGACAACAGCGACTGCCGGTCCGAGGTATTTGACAAAGTGCCATCCCGTCCCAGTAATGGTAAACAGGTCTCGGTCGTCGGACACGTTACGAAGAAGTTCGAGTGTGGTGTGATGCTGGAACAGAAGGTACATCTCAATGCCGATCCGTCCAATGTTCTTGAACATGTTGCTGAATTGCATGTATTCGGGGTAAGATCCAAAACCGTCAAATCTGTTCTCTCGTCAGCTTCGTGGTCCCTCAGCACAACCACCAAGAATCAACTCACATGTCATGATCGTCAATCGTCAAGATATGGGGTATCTGGGCAAAAGCCTCCCGCAAATATGGCTGATCAAAATGGCTCGTGTAGTAATGAAAATATGCATGCGTTACGTCTTCCTCGTGTGCTGCTGTCCAGACAGCATTCTTTCGGTTTTCTTTCCCGCTTGTCGACAGCCACTGTTTGAGCGTTGGTATCTCCTTCCACAACCGATCCGCATTGATCTGGCTGCCTAAACCGAGCTGGCAATGGAACCCGCCGCATTCGGCGTGTTTCTGCATGATGTCTTTCCACATGAAGCCGACCCCGCCCAGCCTGGCGCGCTCGTTGGCGCTCACACTGAGGGAAAAGTCATTCGCAGAAGTGCAAACGAAGCGCCAATTGGTCTCGTGTTTGCCAGCCACTAGAAACTCATATCGCGTGCAACCCAGGTGGGAGGTGATGGCATAGGTCCACTTTGCAGCTCCCGAATCCTCCATGCGCAGGTCAACCTCGTACTTGTAAAACGTCCACCTCTGATGCGTGGAGATGCAGTTGGCCTTCAACTGGCGCGGGTTTGGAGACAGGTCGACGCTTTGATGGATGTGTATCGTGGGTGGCTGAGGGGCATCCGTCACCAGCATTATGGACCCGTACCAAATCCCTCGCTCTATATCCATATTCACATAGCGAAGATAAGGGCCAAAGTAAACGCCATTCGTCGCCACCACCTTGTAAAGGTCCACACCAGCGCTAGGAGGCGGTCCGGTGAATGCTGCTGGGCCAGGCAAGCCCATCACACTTTGTTGATCGTACCCGGGAGTCATGGGTATTCCCGGCGATGCCAGCGGTTTGGAAGTGAACGACAAGCCAGGGGAGGCCAGTGGGTTCTGGTATATACTGGCCACCGGCGATAGCGGGGTTTCGTTCAGGTTGAGAGGCGTTGGCCCCTTGGGGAACTCCCATTGAGTGGACTGTGTAGGTAAATGAATGTAGTAGTATTGTCCTGAGTTAGGATCCAAATGCGCTATCCAGCCTTCTGGGAGCGGTGGTGGGGACGCAGGAGGAATTTGGGACGGTGTCTGGGGCATGACGGGCTGCGCCTGGGGCATCTGTCCGTTCATGGTCGGATGGGCCGTCTGCGGACTCTGGACCGCTTGCCTAGGGTCGTTGGCAAACGCCGGATGGTCCATTTGATTGGGAACCTGTGCGCCTGGCATGAAGTTGGCCGGTTGTGGAACTGCTGTGGGAGCGGCTCCTGGGGTTACCGCTGGTGCCGTGGCGACGGCGGCAGCGGCGACCATGCTTCTTCTTTGTTTCTCGTTCCCAGCGACTGCCCTACTGCCAGGGACTTGGGAGTATGCCGGAGGAGGCTCTTCATGGGGCTGCAACCTGGATATCTCAGTCTCGACGGGGTGCTGGGCCCGGGTTGGAGACTGAACACCTGCTGTGCGAGCCACGGGCACGGCGGCAGCGGTGGGAGGGGAGGGGCGAGCTTCTTCCATGCCTTGATACACCGTGGGAGCAGGGTGATGGGAGCTACCTGGGGCTTCGGTCGGCGTCCAAGGCCGCCTCGGGGGAGCGTTGCTCTGTGTCTGGGCGGGCTGAGGTTGCACATTATATTGAGAGGCTCTCTGTTGGGCCGCTAGACTTTGAGCTTGCAAGCTGGTCAGGGTTGCGGTGCCCGCAATGCCAGATGCTGCGTACCGGGCCTCGATATCAGTCTGCGGGCGCGCGCCCGGAGCAACGATAGGCGTTTCCGGCGGAGGAGGCGACCCACGCTGAGCTCGGGTGGTCGACGTCGAAGCCGTGGAACTTATTCGATTGATCGAGGAATGGTCCCTGATCTTCAGCCTGCTCAACGCGTCCGCAGCGGCAGACGAGGGGTCGGAGGGCGGCGGCCAATACTGCTGACGAGCATCATTCTGGCTTGGGAGGGGAGCCGTGTTCGGAGGGTTCATACGCTGAGGGGCGCGTTGGAAGAGCCCTTCTTTGTCTGGCGCATCGGGGCCGGGGGACTCTGGTAAAGGCTTGGGAGCCGTCCCACGGCGTTCTGCCAGTGTCTGCGCACTGCGCCCATCTCCTGAAGTCGTCCTCTTTGCCTGTTGCCTGACGCCGCTGCCTGCGCTCCCACTCTGTTCGGGAGACGTCACTCTTCTCACGTCCGGATATGGATATGGCGCAGGAGAGCCATTGGATCGGGAGGCTTGTGCTTGCTGGCGAGCCTGCTCGTCCGGGTATGGGAGGGAGGGCATCGGGTAAACGGTGGTCGACTGAGGAGGCTGCTGGGGAGCAGGACTTTGCTTGCCAGCAATGGAGGGGACCCCAGAAGAGGCGCTTGAGGTTCTTTTGTTGATGCGCAACGGCTCGACGATAGTGGGGGAGTCTTGGTCATTGGGCCGATTGAGGAACATCTCGCCGTCCGGCCTTCCATACTGGCCGGAGGCACTCATGGCTTCGAAAGGACTTGTAGGGGCTCGCAAGGAGAACGTAGGCTATACGCTGGTAGAGGACTCGCAACCTGAGAGAAGGGGCCTGCCCTGTGAGGAGGAAGAGGAGAGGAGGGTGGTGGTGGTGATGATGATGATGTTAGGTCGGGCCCAGGCCACGGATTTAGAAACGACGGAAGAAGGGAATACTGATGCCGAGCAAAGACCTGAAAGATGACCAGAGCAAAAGACGAAACAAGCGCTGCAAAACAAGGAGAGATGACAGGGAGGATGCTGAGGAAGAGGATGAGTGAGGGAGGAATGTGCGCGTGAGAGCAGCCGGTACAAGTACTGAGGGGGGAACTTGTTGGCGCCTTGACTCGACGCCCAACTTGAACCTCTTTTCAGTTGTCTACTGGTCTCCCTCTCTCACTCACTCTCTCTCTCTTTTCCTTTCTCTTTCTGAGCGACGCGACAAGCAATTGTACATAAAAGGGACGGGGCGTTTCTATGCTTCCTCTCCCGTGATAGTCCAACGGGACTAGAAGCCCTGGTCCCTCGGTTGCTATTTCGTTGCGACTCCTTCACTGGAGAGTCCAAGGCGTGTAACCGCCCAACCAAGCGCTCTCCACGGTGTCTATCGCAGACTTGCCCCACGTCCTTGGGCGTCAACTGTTGCTTTGTGCGTCTGATTGGTTCTACGGGCCACGTACTCCCCGTCATGCACGGAGCAATAAGTTTGGCACTTCAAACGCTCTCCACTGAAGATGCACTTGACCGCGAATGGATCGTCGAAACAGCAATGCGAGTGATGGCGTTATGGATACGCTCAAGATTGCGTGTTGTAGTCGACCGTTTGTCGATATCGTGGTTGTGATCAGTAACGGCTGCAGCACACAGGTGAGGAAAAGTTTGACATTATTTACGGAGTATACTGTGAGCCTCCTCCTCCTCCTCCTCCTCCTAGTCAACAAGTCACCACTGCCAAAACGGCAGAAAAGTGGAAGAGGCTGGTTGTAGAAACCTCCTGTGTGCCCTCCGTCCGCCAATGCGAAAAGCTTGGATGGTTTAATGAGTTCGGCCTCTTGGGTGCTAAAAGGGTGCCAACGAAGTGACTAACCGAAGGCGGAGGCGATTTCCTTTATGACTCTGCTGTAATATCGACCAGACGAACGTGGGGAGTGTCTGGGGAATTGTCTTCTGATACCGATCTGGTAAGTCCTGCTTTTGAAATGCCCATTTGCTGGTGTGGTACTAGAAACCTTCTGGCAGGCAATACGGACACGGCAGGGCAATTCGAAAGCCCAGGTCTATCGCTTGCAGCACGATTATCGACAACATATTTGGCTCCTTGCCAATAGCTTGCTGAGTTGTCATTTCTGGTATAGTAACCTTCTGCAACTGCGAGGATACTAGGGATATCGGCTTGGTTGCACTTCTCAGCAGGAGGTTCATGTTGTTTCACTCTTCTAGTCTTAGAGCGTGCCTCGACGCTCCTCACGGCGCAAGAGAACCCCATGGCTGCACCAACCTGTCGATTCTGGACCGGATTCTGAGCGGTTGCAGAACGTATCGATGGCTGGACCAAGTTTAGTCGGATGTCGGTCCGGGCATTTCCTTCGATCACGACAGCTGGATATCACCCAGATCCAATGTGCGCGGTGTATTTCTGGAGAGCCGCAATGCTCGATGATTGGCCCGCTGAAGATCGTCTTCTGTAGCTCGCGGGGTGAGGTTGTTCCATCAACGCCCGTTGTTGCTGTCTGGCAATGCCCCGAGCCCAGCACTGCTCCCATTCCACCTGGAACCGCTCGAACCACCAGAATTTGCGACATATGGCCGACACTTTCTTCCAGGAACGGGTCGCGTGGAAGGAATCCAGAACGTAGTCCAGGAGAGCGTCAGCCTTGGGCACAGGCTTCGGGGATTGTGTGCGCCAGCTGATGACCAGGGAAAGCCAGATGATGACTTCAGAGTCCGATACTGACGGATTGTCGATGTCTTTGACGCTCTTGGTCAACGCAGCGAGCGAGGCAGTGTCGAAGATGTTGGTACGGTTCTCGCCGCTGACGTGCCGGACAGCGATGGCCAAGCCTAGGCAGATGACATGTTCCAAGCCCACAGGTAATCCGGCTCTTTTGAGATCAAGCAGGATCATGATGGCGCTGCGGGAACATTCTCTGGGTTCGCAGAAGAGCCTGCAATATCTGTCTTTTGAGTCTCGTTCTCGTGTTTCATCTGGCGAAGACGGATCGGGGCCATCCACCAAGGATGCCCATGACGCCACTGAAGCAAGGAGCTTGATACACTGAACGCTCAGATGCCCGGAAAGGGCAGCCTCAGCAAGACCGACGGGGAGGGTGGCGACGTCACGGCAGATGTCGGGGGGGAATGGATGTCGGACGTATTCGATCTGGTGGACAGGAATGGCGGTCGGATCATCAGGACTGATCTGAAGATATTGGCCCAAGGCAATATAAAACTCCACTCTGGGGCCGGGTGTCAGTAGGGGTCCGACGTGCACAAGTGTCCTACTCCAAGACTTACGTCGTCAAAAGGGCTCGGATTGCCAGGTGAGCTGGCGAGGTTCCAAGTCCCCCGCGCATCGAGATGATTTGCCTGGCCCCTTTGAGATGGGATTTCAACGACACCAAGTCCCGGCGACACGACTGGAGACAGATTAGCTGAATGGCGAAAACTTCATTCGTTTCGGTCGGACGTACATCGGCTATCATAAGATGAGTAATCGAGATCAAGACACCATCGTCGAGATAGGCAGATGGTGCGGAAAGTCGGGTGCGCAGGGCAAGAATGGCTTCATTCTGCAACTTGATCATGGGACGCGAGCGGTTGACGTGAAAGGGATCACGACGCCAGTCATGCAGACTTTGAGCACCCACGAGGAGACATTTGAACAACCCGGGGTCCTGTATAGACATGGGAAAAACGACCGAGATCGCTGGATGGTCGACATCGGGAGTGACTTTCAGACACAGTTCTTCTTTGCGGAGAATCGCAATATCTGCCACTGTCAATCCGAATTCTTCTCGCGAGCTGGTGGTGGTCTTACATTCGTCAACACTTTCCGTGGAGAGAGGGCCTGCTCCGGACGGATACGACGCAAAGGCTTCACGTCGATGGGAATCCAGAGGGGTGATGATGAGCTTGGCCTTGCTCATGATCCTGCGAGCCGTGCTGGTTGCTGCCGGTGTCTGACCTTTCTCCTCTGCTTCCCGAGAGCCATCTCGACTGCGGTTCTGAACGTCATGGCCAATGAACTCGCGAGCTCCCATCAGGCTGAGTAGGGGGCTGATTCGTTAGTGCATCGGCGTCCACAGTTTGGTAATGATGGAATGCGATTCAGGAAAGGACCATGTTGGTGCAATGGTTGTGGGAATAAAATTAGCCGCTGATGTGGGATTCCCGTCTGTCGTAAGACCGAAAGAATCTTTTTGGGTTATGGATGGCGCTGGTCAACAAGAATGAGACTGCGGTATATTCTCTCAGAGAAATAGGGGGGAGGGGAAATTAGACAAGTCGGAGAATTTTCCTCGGCTATCCTTGATACAGTAGCAGATAGAAAAGGCAGAACGGGGTGGACTGAATGAACATAAAAGAGATCTGGGATGACTCGTCGGCCTTGACCTTCGTTGGCGCCGGTCAAGAAACTGTGCGACTCGGAGTATTTGCGCGTGCGAAGAGGCAAGCTTTTCACCGAGCCCTTCTGGAAGATCGCTTGTGCTCTGTTTCTCTTGCTTGTCTCGTCTCGCCCCTTTGACCCAATGAAATTAGTGCTGACGGTTCAGCTCTTTGGGATTAGTCTGCTGGCGGGTAGTGCCACTTTCGGTACCGCGAGGTCGCGATCTTCACAGTATTAGTCAGGTTGCCTTGGGGTGAAAGGACCGAGGACAGGCATTGATCGACTTGTTCATCCTGTGTGATGCAGAGCGAGAATATTATATATATGTGTAGAGCATTCATGAGTATCAGAAAGAGCTGACCGGAATGACCGAGTGATAGGCAGCCGACGACAATACTTTGCTCGCTCGCTTACCCAAACCAAGTGGCTTCCCGTCCCGCGTGCCAGACCTCGCTTCTCGCTTGGTTCGATCTGTTTCAGACGAGGCCCCCAAAGGAGAGGAACCAACCGCGCTTTCTCCGCGCATGCAACGGGCATTTGACCACATCAGGTTGATCTGCCGGGACGACGGGAGGGTTTGAATCTCGAGAAAGAGACCATCTCGTCGCGAACCCCGATGGGGCCAGCAGTCACTCACTCACTCGCTCTGGGGGCGGGGACAATAATGCTCTCTGACTCCCACCCTCTCTCTCCCGGCAGCCAGCCGCAACCGTAGTTTGACGATCGGGGCACCATTGCGGTTTCGAGATGTGCATCCGGGCGTACAGTTGAAACAGCCGGACTAATACTGCAGCCTCGTCGGACTTGGACACCCAATCGAGGTGATATGTCCGGATGCTTCGTGCGGATGTGCATTCCGGCCGCGGACTTCCACAAATTGCGGCACTTGCTTATCGTTGCTTCGTTTTTGATAATATTCTAACTGGCAAGATCATTTGTTGATGGTGGACTGGGGTGATGCAGTTGACTTGCAGGCTTTCGGGTCATTGGCAGCTCAGCCCTACCCTGAGTTCAGGACTGATACGGGGATGGATTCCATTCTGGGGTCGTCTCCACGCCGCAGATCCCGTACTTGCCATAGAGACACGGAACAGTATCGCCGGCCACCTGAAATAAGAAAGACAAACAGGTCTGGTGTCGCTCAGTCTGGCATTGAACCCCGGTTTAAAGTTCGAATGAGCGAGCCTGCACCACTCAAGTCACTCCCGCTTCTCAATGTTTCACTACCGAATTCGACCTACTGACAGCACCAGAATATCCGAAAATCTCGATCTCTTCGTTCCCTGTTTCCCTGTCGTCCACCATTACACAACATATATACAATCTAGCTCCAGTGCCACCAATCACGCAACTATTCTACGATGAGGAGAGAGAATTGAGCTGTTCTTCATCAAATATTTATGGTGCTTGGTGCACGGGAATACGCCATTTGAGTGTCATCACCGTCTCTCGCTTTGGCTATGTACTCTGAACGTACACGTATCTCCACGGAACGTACTCGAAGCCTGCTGTACCCATTGTTTGGTACCTTGAGCAGGTTCTGTTGCTCTTGGCTGAGTTGTGGCGGATGATGACGCAGTGGCTGCGACGCCGCAGGGCGAACAAGCGGCTAAACCGGTTTTGAGGGAGCTTGGCGGAGGCGTGGTCTGCTGTCACCAGCCAATGACAACAGTCCACCCAATGTCTGTCTTACGCAAGCCCCTGCCGGTAAAGCGAATTCCCTCGCCGCCCATTGGCTCCCGTCTCCGAGGTGGTGGCCACATCTGGAACCTCCCGCGTCTCCGGTGCAGGCAAATCCGGCCTGACTGGGTCTTCTGCAAGGCTGCGGCACTTTCCCTTGGCTGAGGCCGCGAGGCTTGGTGCCCACTCTGTCCACATTCAGACTGTCACCAAACTGCAAGTAGACGTGATGATGGAGGCTCATTGCCTCATCTGTGGGACATGAACATCTCATTACTCCACCGACCGCTGCCCCTTTCAGAACGTCATCCCAGGCAGGGACGTCACCTCAACACGTAAATGCCACCACCGCCCCTCGACTATATATCACTGACGTCTTAAATAATTGCTCTCACCCAGCTTCTGATTCTCTTCCCATCCCCAGACCATCAAATCAACTTGTCTGTCCTCCTCACCTACGTCCAATACCATTCCAGTCCAAGACCATTCAGCCCTCCTCTCTCTACTCCAGACCTCTTATCTCAACATGCATTTCTCCAAGCCTCTGATCCTGGCCTTCGCCGCCAGCGTTGCTGCTCAAGACCCTAGCTCGCTTGTCAGCTCCGCCGTCTCAATTGCCACCTCCATCGCGAGCGACATCACCTCGGCGGCGGGCAGTGCCACCTCCGAGGCCGGCTCCGCCATCACTTCAGTCACATCCCTTGCGTCGTCCCTCGCGAGCAGCGTCCCCTCTGGCGCCGAGTCGCTCGTCTCGTCTGTCGAATCCAAGGCTTCTTCGATCGACGCTTCCGCGTCCTCCAAGATCGCCAGTCTCTCATCCGTGGCAGCTACCGCCAGCCCCTCGGCTCAGAGCAGCATCTCGAGCGAAATTAGCAGTGTCCTAGCCAGCGCAAGCTCTGCAGAGAGCAGTCTCGTGAGCAGCGCCACGTCGGCAGCCTCCTCCTTCGCATCCTCGGCTTCCAGAACTGCCAGCAGCTTTGCGTCCTCTGCTTCGTCGGCCGCGTCTTCGGCAACTTCTTCGGCGGCGAGCAGTGCTTCCTCGGCTGCCACCAGTGCAACCAGTGCAGCTGGCAACGGTGCTGCCGATGGCTATAACGTGCCTGCTGTTGGAATGTTGGGCAGTCTTCTCTTGGGTGTGGCTGCGCTCTTGTAAATAAAACTCCTCACAGGAAAGGTCACTGTGGTCTCTTCGATGTTTCCATGGACGTAATCAGGATGGCATGGGGTATCACTTGTACATAAAAATTTGACCGATTTAATGTTAAAAGCATTGCGGGTATTGAAACCTACCTTTTGCCATACCTAACTCTCCCGAAATTGCAATCATGTCGAGCTCGCCTTGGTTGCTAATAGTTAGTCACGTAGAATGCGTGCTGTTAGGCTGAGAATATACTGTATCAGCTCTGCCAATCAGATAAATGTTCTAGCCGTACCAGAGAAATTCAAACTGAACATGGAGCTTGTGGGCCTGAATCTGTCACATACGCAACGGTTATGTTCCCTTCCCTTTTCCTCTTGCACTATTGTTCCTCTATCATAGCCGGGCTAGCCATACAAAGATATCTGGTTCTGCGATCAATGGGTGGCCAGTGACAACAAATAGATGTTTTGGAAAAGGAGCAAGTCGAAGTCCGTCCTGGGTGCGGAGTGTAGCTGGGCGGTAAGTGCAATGATTGCGAGACATGCCCTTGGGACAAGCTCATGTGATCAATGTAACCTGCAGTGACGACAGCGCCCATGACAGCGCCCATTACATCGGCAGCCGCCCGTCACCACCTGCAGATGGGTGACGCCCTCGCACAGGAGGGGCTGGGGGCAACCTGACCAGCATCCCGTCCTAAACCCGCCTCATCTTGCTTCAGACCTTAGCCATGTGCAAGAGTCGGCAGGTCGTCAGCTTCGAAGGCCAGCGAGAAAGGACCATGACCTCATGCCGCAGCAGTGCTGAGGTGCGTAGAAGCCGTGTCTAATGACCCCTAACTTCACGACGTCCGAGCACACATGCTTTCCTCAAGGGCGTTGCACTTCGCTTGTCGAATGATTACACCGGTTAGTTGGTTCCCTAGGCAGGCGAAGATCGCCCATCCCATACTGGTCGGGCACCTCTCCTCTGCTCTGTGGCCACTGATAAGACTGCCAGAGTCGAGGCACATAACCACCACCGGATGCGCCGGCAGTTGTCGCGCCGAGCACCTCTTCCCCAGGGACACCTAATCTTGAGGCTCCGGGCAACATCTGAGGAAGTGGATAAACAACCTCGCTGCGGTAATATCTGAGCCAAAGCCAGGTGGTATTGGGCAGCCATAGAACGTCCCATCGGTACTCCGCAAGCGTGAGAGACCGTGACGGGGCGAGGACCCGGCAGGAGCCATACGCATTCCGAGATTGCCACCAAGAATCCTGCTCTATCGAGAGTGGAGCGTGAGTGCAGCGGCCAGATGCATGCACTATGACGGCACAAAGGGTCTTGAAAGCGACGGTCGAGAACAGGCGGTCGCATGACACTGTCGATAGTCCAAGGGAAATGAACTGGCCAGAGCCGTCAACAATAGGCTGACCAGCTGATGGTGGCCCTCGGCGATGGTGACATACACCTGCGGTCTCTACCCGAGCCCTTGAAGGGGAAGTGATAGCCTGAATGTCGATCCATGGTACTATAACTCCGGTCATGGACTGCAAGCCGAGGTCGATCTCCGCCCCGGTCGGGCACGAATTGACTTCATTGCTGCCCCGTCTCCATTGTAGTCCGAGCGGAAAGTACAAGGCAACATAGGATAGCTCTTGTCGCCATATTGATCCAAACGCGTGGAGTTCGTCAAGATTGGACGCGTTGCCCCAGCACATCCGTGAAGGTTGCGGCCGGCTGCTTTTTTTTCCACGGCGTGATTCCGCTCCGAGCACCCAATTGGAATTGGTCTTGGAAGGCCGCCTCACCTGACGAAGAGCAGCGCGAACTTCGCCGTCGAACGCTCTTTAGCTGGGCGGAGCTTTCCTCAAGATTTGGCTCAACAAACGACGATCTTGAAGCAACAGTTGGGCGGGTCGGCATCCACGGTTGGGCTGCGATAAACGGCGCCAACGTTAGAGGGTATTAAACGGGGGAGGGGGGAAGGAAAGTGCTGACAACGGGAATGTGTGAAGAGCCCACCAGGCAGAGGGCAGCCATGTTCGGGCAGATGATTGTTAATTCATTTGCCCCTTTCTCGGGGCAAGGCTGGTATGGTAACAGTGCATCTGAGATAAGATGGTGGCCCGAAGTATAGAAGCTGGGGAGACCTTCTTTGCGCGAGTAGAAAAGGATTGTGGCGCAGGATAAGGACAAAATGAGGCGCTCCGTTGTTTATCAGTCAGTGGCAGTGAGGCCTGATTGGGGGGGCGGGTTCTGAAGGCTGCGGTTCCCAGAAAACGTGGCTGACTCTCCTTTCTCCTGTCAAGCGCAGTTCGCAGATCGGCAGTATCACTTTTTTGCAGCCCGACGATGGGACAGACCATCTTGACTTGTGCATGTTCGGGTTGCATCCTCGACAGGCTTGTTTCTGGCTCGTTTGGAAGGTTTCGGGGGATGGAGGATCTCGTCACAGAGAACTGGTACCGCGGTTGACGCTGAGGCGCATGGGTTTCAGAATCAGGCGCCAATGCTGAGACGAGTTGTCGTGATCATCAGAGCAATTGCCCCTGAGAGCGCTTCGCAGACTGTGGGCAATCAAATCAGGAGGGTCGCTGGTCATGTTCGTATTTCATCGCAGCTGGCAATGCTACGGTGGCAAAAATCAAACCAAAGGGTCCATGCACGATAGGGTGTGAAAAGTACGAGACACAAATTCCCTTGCTGCAGGAACAGGTGGACCACGATAGTTTTGGCTCGGTTGGGAGCAGGATGATGGCACACCTGCAGGTTGTTTGTGGCGGGTGGGCTTCTGACAGGCAGAGAACGCCCGGAGTTTAACTAAACATGCATTAACAAGTAGGTACCAACAGGCTACCAGGCCCTCCCCAGAGCGTAACGAAGCACCTGCAGCTTGCATTCCCCAGCCCTGCAGCGGCGGCGGTTCTCTCTCTCTCTCTCTCTCTTGCGGGGCAACGTCATTCCCCCTAACCAAAGGGCACGCCTCTCCCAATAGTACCTAGTGAAGAAATATGCCGCACCAACAAGTGTCGTCCACACACACACACACACACACATACGAGGCACTCGTACGCAGTGCCCCAGCGGACTGTCTCAATTTCCAGCCAAAGTCAATTGGGTTGGCTGCCCAATCAACCCACATTCCCAAGGGATTCCCACCACCAACCCTTTTCCTGGCTGGCAATCTTTGAGAGCACGAATCCGAGCCCGGCACGGCAGTGTGCCACCCTGATGCTCGTCCATTGAGCGTTCGCTCATGTTGGCTTCGTTTGAGATTCACAAAGTCCCCCTTTCCACCCTGCCAACCCACAGCCCTGCCAACCGTTTCCATAGCCTTCTTGGTTTCCATCCCACCCCCTTTGGCATCCAACACCCTTTGCCCCGTTGCGGATACTGCCGTTTGTTTCTTTTCTTTTTGGTTGCCCGGATCCCTGGCCCTCGTCATCTGAGTCACTGGCAACACGCCAGCAAGGCTTATGATTTTCAGTTGCCTGATGCTAGCTCCCGATTTGGCATTCTGCCTGATGCCGACCCATCCTCACCAGGCTTCAGCATCCCAATAAGCTGATTCCAGCAATTGTGACTCTTCAGCATTGCTGTACACCTGCTATAAAGTCGCTTTCAATTCCTCCTCTGTGTGCCCTCTTCTTCTTGCCATACAAGTTCATCAGTCAGCACTCTCAAGCCACATAACAGACAATCCCATCACACAACACCAGCATCCTCCAAACTTCCCCTTGGTGACATTCTTGGAACTCGCCCCCACCTCCACCACTGTCACCACTTTTAGCACATCCTTTGCCACAAGGTTTCCCAGTTCCCAGAGGGCCATCCTTCGAGACCTTGCTGGATCCAAAACACTTTGCGGTCCGTGAACCTTGACGCCCACGGTATAAATCTCAAAGCATCTCCTCGCTGAGAGTTCTGCATCCTATACCCTGCCCATCTAGGCATCACCCGCGCCAGTCAGCACACAAGCCTGTGGCAGAACACAGACACAGTTCTACACTCGGCCGCCTATTGTCAAGATGTCTCCTCAATACCACAGCTCATCTGGCTCCAGCAGCGCTGGTGAGAGAATCTACCACGATTCACGAAAAGAACCACGCGAGCGCAAAGAGCCTCGCAAACCCGTCAAGCGCGAGGTGGTCGTCATTCACCACAACACCGTCACCCGCGACGAGACCAGATCCTCAGGCATGAGCCACAACAGATGGAGGTGAAGGTCAAAGACAGGCCACTGGCCATCCAGAAAACGCACGCAATGCCTGTACGAACGAATCATACTGAACAATGGGAATTTGATACCAAGCGCAAGGAGTCAGGGAAAAGGGAAGCTGCCATTGAGCACAATTGGAGTTTTATGGGTTCTTTTGGGACGATGATGCATGATCATTACTCTTGAGGAGTATTCAATTCAGCAAGACTGTCACACAAGCATTTTCCTTTGTTGATGGGCCACGGGTTGCCATTCGACGCATCTTTGGTACTACTTTCGAGGTCCTGGCTACTTTCCCAGGGTCTCCCCCTTGTCTCTGACGGTGGATCAGATGGGCAAATGTCACAAATATTTTCAGATAGAAATCCAAAGACGCGAGTCTTGTATGCACGCCGGTGACATGGAAGAAGCATTTTCCATAAAAAGGCATTTCAACTTCACAGGGTCTTGTTTATCATTATCGATTGCCATATCATATCGTCAGCCTATCGATAACAAGGATGATTGTCAAGCTCGTTTCCACTCCAGCTGACAGCGCCCGGCTGGCTCCAGACAAAGGGTTTTTCCCTTTCCCGCCTCATCGTGTGTCCGCCTCATCGTGTGTCCATTGTCTCCTTTCAATGCCGATCCCACAGCCCAAAAAGCATTCAGTTCGGGAAGCTTCAGATCGTCATGCAGAGCGACCAATCGTGCCAACACTGCGTCGGTCTCCCAATCAAGAGGGACGGGTGAGGCGGCGGCTTAGCTGCTTTGGTTTCTAGCTGCGGTCGGGCGCAGTGGACACGGCCTAGAGGAGCACAGGAGGTGACTAGAGGATCCATCCTGTCATCCATCCTTCGAGTCAGCCAGAGGTCGAAGCGGGCGGATGGGAGCCGAACTTGGAGCCCACGGATGGTTCCCCATTTGATGGGTTACACCCACCACGGCGGGCAGAGCTTGCCCCTGCAATTTTGGCATTCCGGGCCCGGTGGCATTGGTCCACTGAAGCCTGGGACCTCCCGGGCTTTGAAGGCGATGAGGGCAGGCATAGTTCGCAGGGTGAGAATTGCATGATGACCCGAACCAAATGGCAGTTCTGGTGGCTCTTTGTGGAGGCTGGCTTTCTCCGTCCGAACTTGTCTGCTCCGACCCGCGCACCGTCCGGGCCAAAAGGTTCTCGTCTTTCAGCTTGGCGGAACTTTTGTATCGGCTTCGCTCTGCTCGGCTTTCCGTATCTCAAGTATCGGATCTGCTGCGAACACATCAGCACAGACTTCCAGAATGGAACGGCAGCATTGCATCCAACCGTGTCTGTCTGATGCTCACAATCGACGTACCTCGTATCTGCCTCTCCTAAGCCGCGTTCTGGCGCAGCAGTCCAAAGGGCCATGCATATGGTCCCTGCTTCCAATCGATCAACAAGCTCGCCCAATCCGTCCCGTCCAGCTGGCACCCAGCTCCTCCTGCATGCCACGACCATGACCTGCCGCAGCTCTTTGCTGCCAACTACGAATGAAACCGGTCGCAGATCACCTGCAGCGATTGCTGAGCTGTTCTCGACGAAGTACCATGCGTCCCAACCGTTCCAAGCTCTCCGACTCGTGGATTGCCAATGGTCCCGTATCCTCTTCGCTCTCGTCGATTCGTTGCCCCTTGCAGCGCTTGTTGATACTATTCACTTAACGGGCATGGAGATCAACAACTCCCATGTCGGCTACTCACGGATAGTACCAGATCCACGGACCAGATTCCTCTGCATGGCATCGTGGAGAATCGTGGCACGGCCAACCCCGAAATCCTGACCCACGTGTCAAGATCCTGCGATGTACTTTCTTCACATGCTACGGAGCCTCTTTTACTGCCCAGGGTACATTCCCACCGAGTCGTTGTCACTTGGGGTGTAACATGTCTACGCCTGGACATCTACGTTGGCATGAATAGTTCGAATGGCTTTCCTGTCGTTGTGATCTCGACATTTTGCATAGCAACGAGAGTTGCGGCTGCTGTCCCCTACGTCTTGAGGTGCACGGTGGTGCTGGAAGGTCTGCCACGTCTTTGAATACGGGCTTGTGTGACACTGCCCTGTGTGTGATATTTCAGTGGTTTCTGCCAGTACTATGTCGTTCGATCGACCGGTCTTCCCCTGCTTCGCCTCGTTCCACAACGCAGGTTAGTAAGCATACAGATAACTAACCACATAGCCTTCCTTCGTGTCTATCACCTACTTGCGCGATCAATATCGTCAAACAGTAGGTCCCTCGAACCGAGCAGGCCGACACTGCCATAGCCTCACGACGAATTCTCAATACCGTCCAGGAGAAAAATCTTCCGAGTCTCATGCAGGCGGAATGCGCTGACCACGTCAAGAGATGGGATTTGATTGTCGAATTAGCAACGGCGAGGCCTTTGCATGGCATTCAAAGCCTGCTGAGAAAAGCTGCCGTGCAGTTGCAGGAACACGCCTTCAGTTGTGCCATCGACAGTTTGATCAGACCACTCAAACTGGGAGCGTTCTTCCCATTCACCGCAGAGTGCGATAATGAAGGCATCTTTGCAAAAAGCTCGGTGTTTGCCATGATCTTCTCTACCACGCTTGTGCATTGATCACCAGCTAAGTGTGTTGTTGAAGCTCAGGAGTTGCACTTCGCTATGACATTGTTGTTGAGGCGACACTATGATCCATATTGGCATTACTGCGGCATGAGAAGAATGCCCGCTACGTTGATTGCTTGCTTCGCTACCCGTGACGTGGTCCTCTTGGAACTGTGCGCCATTTGGTCTGAGGTCGGACGGTTCGGAAAAACATCCTTCCGGATCAGATGTTGACCGTCTCGCTACCTCTCACACCATATTCGCATGATGCCCAGCAAAGTTGATTTGGCCAGCATGATGTCGCAGAGCGCCTCGTGGCAGGAAGAGGTCATTTGTGATTGTTATACTAACATAAACAGAGACTCAAGACATAGGCTCAGAGTTTTTAACGTGGACGTCCTCACAAACCAGGAAGAAGCTCTTGTTTCCACGCTGCCATCAAGTACTTGATCAAAAGCCTCTTTATCCTTGTTTCCAGCAAGATTTCTTTTTGGGAACACGTCGATTTTTGACAACAGGATGAAGCTTCTCTATCTCTTGCCTCTATTGCTCGTGGTCATCAGTGCTGACGATCATCCGCCTACTGATGATGATCCAGACCATACTTCGACTGTTGAAATGAGTACTTCAACGCATCATTTAGAGACCGAGCATGTTTCCACCGTTCAGATCAGTACCTCGACGCACCATTCAGAGACGGAGGAGCATACATTGACAGTGTCCGCCATTACTTCCACACATCACCCCGACACCGAGCACACATCGACCGTACCTTCGTCGACAAACCTGTCTGGATCCAACCACACTCCCTTCCCCAGCTCCACTTTCAGCAATGGCATCATGACAACAACGACAAGACCACCTTCAAGCGGTGTCGTGTGCCGACCACTGCCTGGTTCCACATTGTCTCCCTCTCCCAGCCTGACGGCCTTCTGCCTCATCCTCTCTGCCCATCCAATGCACACGGGCATGATGGGCGGTGGCGGCATGATGGGATCCGAATATCAATGCCCGGACTACAATGGGAGCGGCTTTCACTATACCATGAACATGATGGGCTCAATTCCCATGTGCTGCACCGCTTCCGCGACACTGACTCGCGTCGAATTCTCCGTGGGCTGTTGCCCGTGCGGCTCGATATGCACGGGTTCTATCCCGCGCGCTCAGAACTGGTACACTGCGGCTGGTACGGTGACCCCTTTTCTGTATCACCTCCCTCTTTCTGACTTATCTTCCCTTCTCGCAACCTATTTTTTGATTTTGGAGAACGTGAGCAGACGGATGTCGCCAGGAATCGTAGAGCTGACGCCAGCGAACAAACTCTAGGTCAAGTCGTGCTCACCACGGGCGCTGTGCCTGGCACCGCTACTGCTACCGCTACCGCCACGCCCACCGTCGTAGAAGGCGGAGCAAGTGATTCTTCATTCCACAGAGGTACCCGTCTGAGTCTGTTTCTGCTCGTTAGCAACTTGATCCTAGCTGTCTTGATGGGCAGCGAACTTTTTTCGTAAAAAAACGGAGATCGGCCTACTCGCTTCCAGACGCCGTCTAATGTGAATAACATGTGTTTAACTTATGTATATTGTAATGGAAATCAAGGACTGTGAGTCTGAGGATCACTCGCTGAAGCAAATAGCTTTATACATTACAGTAGGGATATACTCCGAGGACTGCCACAATCCCGTGTACGTCCCTTTTTTTTCATACTGGCCGTTTCTGGTCCTCGATCAATGGCACTGTCCAAGAATGCCTAGCTCTCTACGCATTCATTTATGTAGTCAGTGACAAGACAACGGACACCCGCGCACTCATCCCCAACATTATATGTCGATTATTTCGCAGCTGCGAGTCAGTTTGCGTACAAGGGCAGAAATCGGGGCCCGTTATCGACGTTGTCGTCATCGTCACGGATTGGAGTGTGTTCGTCATGGCTTGCCCTTCTGCGGCTCTGCAAGTTTTCGATCTCCTCCAACATGGCCTCGAGCTGTTCAGTATGTAGACAACACAAAATTGCTCGGTCCGGGCTGGTCACCCAAGACCACAGAGCCCTGAGGACGGCGTCCCGACGGCCTGTGCTCGTCATCATGGTCAATTCCACGAATCGAAAGACTTCTTCCGCCGAGGTTGCTCCACCTGTTGCATTTCCTTGAGCGTAATATGTCTCGGCCACATGGTGAGAAATTGCGAGAAGCATTGGTAGGGACGGCAGCTTCGCCCCGACACATTGCAGCGTGAAATCTTCGTACGGCCCCGCGTCTGCTGAGTGCATTAACATGTGGAGGTAGGCATTGCTGGCGTGCCTGTTGTCCTTGAATGCGAAGAAATCGTTGTTGATGGTAAAAAGCAGTGCCAAATAAACTCGTTGCTGTGTCTCGCTGAGTCCTGCCCCGGGAGGTTTGAGGTGGTCCAGGAGCGAGGAATTGGGTAAGATGCGATTATGTCCTTCCATCCGTGCTGTATTCGCCAATCGTTGATCTGCGGATGAAGCCGGTGCTGGAACCATATTAGAACCCGTCCCTCCTTACGGCGGCGGTCTACTAGCATACCAAGCTCTCTGAGATCCGTATTCCACCTTTGCAATTGTCTCAGCTTCACTCCTAAGCCTGCAGCCGCCTCTGGAAAGCGTACCTCTTGTTGTTAGAGCTCTGGAAGCCCAAGTTCGATGAGGACATTGACAATCATTGAGCTTTGTGGGAAAGGCATCTCCGAGATGGTCTTGATTCCGCCACGGATCAAGAACAAATTGCACAGTCCTCCACGGTGGTATTCCGAGGATACTGTGTTGCCTAATTTTCTCTCCACACTAGCTGCGAGGGCCACTGCGTAGATGAACTGATTGGAAGGAATGGTCTGACTCCTGAGGCGCGTGCGCATCAGGCTGTAAATATAGTTTCGCCGTACTAAGATCAACAGTTGGCTCTCTGGAAGACATTGTTGAAACTTGATGCTCTCATTGGCCACCAGATACCACATAAGTAAGATCTCGTCACTGGCGATGATGTCCACAGTGGCCTGCAGGAGAACATTGGACACTTCGGCCAAGGTCATCCTGAATATATCGGGCGGTGCTTTGCTCGAGTCTACATAAATTAGCCTCGGATTCTGTGGACTCGAGATCTGGAATGTTCTATACACGGAGATGAAAGATTGAGTTCGGTTGCGGTGCGATCGGTCACCGTAGAACATACGGGACCAAGACCCCGTTCCAAGGATGATCCCACTGCTTGGACATGCCCCTGTCGCTTCGTACCGGCCGAGGGAATTGTCTCACAAGGCGCAAATGGGGAATTCCCGTTATAGAAGGGGAGGCGGAATTTAGAGTAGATTGGCGAGATCGTTCTCTTGTAGCCTTTGTCAGTTTCTGGATCATCGTCGTCAGTGTGCAGGCCATCCAGACGGCTGTGAAGATCACCACTTTCATCACCAAATTTCACGAAGTCGCGGTCGTGGCGAGGAAGGTGGAAGGAGGGTTTATTTGCGAGATAGTCAAGAAGTTATCTACCTTTCGAAGCCACTTTCCGAGACCGCCTCGCATCGTGGTGCGACGAGATCTTCTTTCTCCCACAGGCATCAACCTGAAGGGATGCTGGTGTTGTGTTGTATACATATGGCAATCTTGAACGAGATACCGTGGCGGCGTGCGATCGAGCTTCGGATTCGGTAAGTTCAACCGTCTTCCGGTCAGCAGATGCGACCACCGAATTCACAAAGACATATTTGCTTTGCCCTTGCATTGTATCTTCTCAATGAAAATGGTGGGGCTGAATGTGGCTTCGCTCCAATGGATGCTGTGTGCGGTTCAAGAGCCCGGTTAAGGGCTATGATGTGCGCTGGTGAGATGATAAGACTCTGTCCCTGATATCCATATACCCCTAGCGGGCAAATGGCAGGCGATGCTCGATGGCTTCGAGACTGCATGGTCGCAGGGGACAATTGATGCTTATGAAGGCAGATGCTAAGGGCAAGATATCGTTAGAAATCGTGCAGGAATCGTGCTGGAAAGGAGGCCGAGACTTGCGGTTGGTGCGCACATCCTTGCCACTCTCGATTCGTACTGATATCAATGCTGTTCACACACCCAGCCCTTGCGTCTGGGTATTTTCTGGCATGTCGGGGTGTCATCGACTCGCAAACTGCTTCATCGACCCACGAGCATCGACAATGTCGCAGGGATCGACGCGGAACGCTTAGCTCTGGGTCTGAAGCAATGGTCTGGTAGGATTGTTGATTGCGTTTGTATTGCTTGTGCTTTTCCAGCCGGTTGGACTCTCCCAAACAGGATGCTGGTGACTGTCGTGTCTTCAAAGATGAGCAAGTGGACGACGGCGATTATATAATTTGTCCCATTTCAGTCCGCGGCGGCAGCCAACCAGAAGGGCGAGTAACGCACAGACTGGAGAGCCCCAAGAACACCAAGAACACCAAGAACACCAAGACTCAGCGAGTTGGCAAGCACCTGGTGGTAACTGTCGCTCCGTAGACTAGTTCGTGGCTAATGCAGGCCTAGTGCAAGGTCTCCCGCATTGACTTTCCCGAGAAACTTGAAGCACATCTACCCAAGAAATGTGTGTCGTGGAAGCAAGTGAGTAATCATAAGAAATGCCAAATATGAACAAGCTTGAGATATCGAGCCAGTATATCTGGAGGGATCTGCTTCCTGTTACGACACACAACCTTTTATTCTGCGTCTCGAGCCGCAGACCCCATCGATCCGCGGAAGCAACGAGATGGCCGAGTTCGTCTCTCCCGGAGAAGGAAATAGAAGCTTTTTGATCCTCCTGCAGGGAGACAGAAGCGTTCTTTTGCGTCTTGTACAGAGCTTGGCAGGGGTGGGTGAGGAAGAGGGAGGCCTTGTCTGACTTACACATTGCTAAGGCGTCGGAGTGCTGATCCCACCGCCGTCCATCCTCCGAAGGACCTGCATTCAACACTCTCAAAGCCTTGAGAGGCTCGTTCCCGTCTCCATTCTTTTGAGGCTTGCCTGCCAAGGCTGAATCCCCCCCTGTGCTCACCGCATTTACAGTCGAGTTCAGAATATAGTCTGGACGTCTTCGTTCCATCCCATTGGAACTCTTTCTTGTGCTGGTACTTGTAAATCACCCAAGACACTCAGGTTGGTCTTCGACACAAAAGCCTGGAAACTATGGTATGCCATTGACACAAAGGCGTTCCGCCTTTTCAGCGGCTCTATATGGCTAATCGGAGATCCAAGGAGAACGAGAACACAAGCAAGACACTTCCCGTTGCTGCCGTGCTTTGTGGGAAACAGCCGCAGTTGACCGAGTTCATGATCAAGAATCTTATGCCCAAGATCGAAGGTGAGTCTTCGTCCGAGATAGACCCCCTTTAGCGGAGGGACATCGTCAACCGGAGTTTGGTTCTCTTGAAGCGGCTCGTTAACTGGCTCGTGGTGTAAGTGGTCCATGTCTGCACCAACGTCGACGCTGCAGTCGAGGAGATCCCGGCCCTTATGAAAGGCAACACTACCCGACCCTCGTCAGGGATGGGGACGAATGCATCCGGACGCGAGAGATCTGATATTTCACTCATCATCATCGGCGGAGGCTTCTCACCACAAGACATCCAAGCTATTAAATCAGCTGCTGATAGCGTGAAGCCTGTGGCAATTTTCTGTGCGGATACCAGCAAGACGCCGGCGGGTGCAGGACCTCCGCCTCCGGATATGATCAAGAAGAGAATGATGGGCGGCATCGAGAAGGAGGAGAAGGGCGAGGGACAGTGGGCTCCTGGCATCTACATGTACTGACAAGCCGGCAATGAGGTCTCCGAACGACTGAAGGACCTCAGCAATAGAGGGGAAGGAGACCGATTGCCGATGAGATGATCGGGACTCGGGCTGTCGTTTGGTACAGGGGGTACTCGGTACTTGAGTTGCTAAACATATGTAGGCACTTGTAGGCACTTGTAGGCACTTCTTACGAAGATCATGCATGGGCTTGTCTCTTGCTCACCGCTTTCATGCTTCTACCAAACCTTATGCATCAGCTTGTCGTCTGAGAATCTCCCACGTGCAGATTGCCTTTCGCCTAAGCCGGGCTTGCAATCGCCTTCTTTTCAGGGTGAAGCTGTTGATTGCAAGCCAAGCACTGATTTAGACCAAGCAACACAGAGAGGCCTGTGAGGAAATTGGACGACGAGGTCGCTCGATGCGGCAAACCATGCTTGATCTGTTGGAGGGTAGCAATACACCCAAGAGTTGCCTCATAGCTGGGCTGCCATGAGAAGCTGGGAAATGAGGGAAGGGAATATATGTTCGATTCGAGCTTAAACAAATGGTCAAATAGATGTGGAACCGTCGATGTAGTGTTCGTGGCTTCGTCAATGACAAGGTGAACTTGAGATGGATGCGGCGAGTTGCCCGGCGGGTTATGAGCAGGCACATTTCTTGGCAGCCAAAAATACCACTTGGTCATGTTCCATGGATGACCTCGAGTTCAAAGCTTGGCCAGGTCTCGATCCCACAAAAATCTACCGAGATCACGTATTACATACTTAGTCCATCTCGAAAACAAAAACAAAAACAAAAACAAAAAAAACAAAAAGAAAATGAGTAAGTCCCCTCGGCCGGATTCGAGCCGACGACCTTTCGGTTATATGTGAGTCCATTACAGCCGAACGTGATTCCAACTACACCACAAGGGGATGAGACAACTCATTTTGTTTCAAATTTCACTAATGAAATACATAAACCGAAATTCTTTCTACATTAACACTAGTCTATTTTGGGGTACTTCTGCCAAGCCTGCCATACCTTTCACATCGCGAATGCGGTAGTTGAGAACACCTTCTTATGCTTTGAGTCTCTGTATGGGGGCTATCCGCAGAGCAATATCTAATAATAGCGTTATCGCTTGCCTATTCCCAGGCTTTTCCTACAGTATTAACACGCGGGTTTATCTCACCCGTGTGGAGACTGCTACATCGCGAGTCGGCTCACTAATGAACTTTCGATTGACGTGCACGCGAGTTGGCTCACATCTTGACTTGCCATATGAAAGGAACATATTAGATCAATTCAGGAGACAAAACGAGGCTGTCCTGTTAGGAGAGTCAGCCTTCTGGCTTGGCCAGCCAAATGACTGCGTGTCTGACAAGATGAACCACAACAACATCGACAATGTCTTTCCACCTTGATTGCTTGTCTTGCACCATGAGGAAGACAATGCACGTGTCCTCAGATACCAGGACTCGTGTATATGTTGCTGGGGATGCATTCAGATGTAAGTTGATGGCAAAGATGATGAATATGAGGCAGGAGGATGGTTTTGAGCATATCGGTGACGGCACCCCAACGCATCGAAAACTCACATTACAGCTCCAAGAACTCAATTGAAGGGGTGCATGGCGGTCTGTCTTCTGTGTGTGCTGCTTGGCGGCAACATGGAGCGCACAACAAAGGCCTCCAAGTGAGGAGGTTCTTAATTTGACCTGACCTGAAGAGGACATTGCAAGACCTGGAGCAGAGGTCTTTGCACGAGGATGCCTGCAAGTCGGCTGCTCTTCGGCTTTTTCAGACGGATTTGAGTGAGAGATGGGTAGAACAGGATGAAAATTGAAACGAGGAGAAGCACTGTCATGCTGCTGGTGCTGCTGCTGCTGGTGGACTGGACTTGTCTTTGAAAATTCCTCACCCTGCCTCGTCGTCTTCCTTCCCCCATCGACCTTTGTTCCATCAACACTATCCTTACTGGTACTCTTTCTTTGATCGATGCACTTGACAACAACATTTGTCAAGGTCCAGCATTCACCCGTCGACGCAGCAGTGACAGATTGTTGTTGTTGTTCGACAGAGAACTTACTTCTTCAGTGGTAAGAGAAGTCGGTTGTGCGTGTGCGCAGTTTGAGAGGTTGACAACACCTGACTGACCGACGGTGAGGTAAACAGATATATATCACGCCGTCGTACTTTGCCCTCCACCGATCCGCCAGAGTGTGCCAAACCCTCATCGCAGAGGAGCGTTCAGCCCTTCAACCGCGCAATCATGTCGGTGAATTACCCAACTCGACGTTCTCGTCGCTCTCGATCTCACCTCTCCTTTTCGCACTCATCCTCTCACTCTCAGCGCCGCTCGGATCCATCTCCTCCCCCCAGCTTCAGTCATCTCTCGAGCCGCCCTCCTAGCTTCCATACTCATTTTGACCACGTTGAATCTGACAACATCATGCCCGGTACCACCACCACCATCATGGCTGGCGGCTGGACAGACGCGAGGCCCGCCACGCCCCCCGAAGGCGTCATCGTGGTCGAAACCAGCTTCACCGTCGAGGAAGTCTTCGAGGACCCCGAGCCCGCGAATCACTCTACCAACACCATCTTCGGCGACTCGAGCAGCTACTACCAAGCCACAGTCTGGTCCGCCGCGTCGCAGTTCGCTCGAAACATCCTTGAGCCGGAAGTGAATAACGGACGAGCTGGAAACATCAACAACAACGTCGACAAAACCACCACGGGCAAATGGGTTGCAACCGCCTTGCTCTTGGCCTTGGTCAATTTCATGACCATGGTCATGGAAAGCATGATGCCCGTCATGATTCCCACCATCATCTACGACCTCGACGTCCAAGGATTCCAGTGGCTCATTGCCGGTCCCGCCATCGGAGCGGCAGCCACGGCTCTCATCGCCGGTCACCTCTATGTCATCGTCCCCTTCAAGCAGATCTACATGTTCTTCGCCTTCATCGTCCTGATCGCCACCGTCTCCCCGGGCTTTGCCCCGAACATGGCCTTTCTCTTCTACGCGCGAATCCTCCTCGGCGTGGGTCTGGCGGGTCAACACTTGGGCATGCTGGTCTTTTTGGAACACAAGTGCAGCTTCGCTGACAAGGTGCGCCGCGACTTCTTCCTCACCCTCAGCTCCACGCTCGGCCTGATCGTCGGTCCCATCTTCGGCTCCATCTGCGCCCATCGCAACAAGGACTGGACCTGGGGTTTCTACACGGCATTCATCCTCCTCGCCTTCGTCTTGGTCATCCTCTTCTACCTGCTTCCGAAGGAGGTGGAGCTTGCGGCGAACGCGCCTTGGGCCTGCGGACCGGTCTTCAACTGGAACCATCGCCTCAACTGCATAGACACCCTGGGTGGACTGCTCAGCTTCTTCGGCATCATCACGCTCTTGATCACATTCAACTTCGCCGGCACCTTGATCCCCTGGACCGACGGATACCTGTACATCTCCCTGGCCATCGGCGTCGTCTTGATCGTGCTGCTTGTCCTTCAGCAGGCCTACAAGATCCTCAACTCCCCGTCCACGCGCCTGTTCCCCGTCGAGTACCTGCGACACTTCAAGACCGTGGCCCTGTTCGTCCTCGTGTTCCTCACCGCCGGCATCTTCCACACCGCGTTCTCTTACACCGCGCTCTACCAGCTGTTCACCCGTCCCGAGCCCTCGGCAGTCACGACGGCGTTCTACCTCTTATTCACCGTGACGGGTCCATACTTGATCCCGGTCTTGCTGATCCCGATCTACCTCGGTGGCGGCTTGATGATGAGCTACCCGATGTTCCCCAGCTACAGCTTCTGGAGCGCCGTCTCCTCAGTCTTCCTTCTCGTCGGCACCGCCCTGCTCTTCACCAACATGCCCTCTGTGTTGCCCGGCTCCTCCAACGGCGGCCTGCCGACCATCGGGAGAGAGTTCGCCCTCGCGTGCATCGGCGCCTGGTCCACCATCACCCTGTCCATGGCCCACCAGCTCATGGACCTGCTCCAGTCGCCATTCACCCGGGGCAGCCAGGACGCCCGCCAGAAACACCCGCTGCACAACCGTGCCTTCGTCCTGTTCGCCATGTACCTCGGCGCAGCTGTCTCCCTGACCATCGGCGGGAGCGTCTTCATGCATGTCGCGCCCCGGGCCGAGCTGGCCTTGCTGCGAGAGGCAAACGATGCGGGCTACCCGGCCACCGTCGAGAACGCTCTGGTGCTCCTCCTCGGCTACACCTTCATCGACGGTGAGGTGACGCCGGCGCTCTTCGCGGCGTCCATCGCGGCGCTGGAGGACGCCTTCGGCTGGCTGTTCGTTGTCGCCCTCGCAGCCGCCGTCGCAGCCGGCGTGGTCAGCGTCTGTCTCTTGGTCGCGAAGGCGGCCAACGGTGCGCTGACCCGCAGCGTCAGGGCCCGCCGCGCCCAGATCCCCGAGGACTGGCGCGCTGGCATGGGCGGCCGTCCCGGCCAGCAGCGGGACATCGAGCTGGTGGCCCGCGCCAGCGGCACCACGCTCTGATGTGAGCGGTGGCGGTGGTTGTGTTTGGGGGTGGTGGTTGGTTGTTTTCGTTGGTGGTTGGTGGGCGGTCGACCTGGGCGAGGCGGTCGTCGGTGTCACGAGAGAGAGAGAGAGAGAGAGAAGAGAGATCGGGCGCCCAAGCGCAAGGCTGGGGAAAAAGGGCAAACAAGTGAGCATAACGGGGCGCGTCAGGCGCAAATGATGAATGAAAAAGAAAAAACAATTGGAAATGCATGATCGATCCTTGTTTTCTTTGTGTAGATCTAGTAGAACATCGTGACTGGATGGACGCTTTCTCCTCCCAACGTGCTGCCGTGAAGAGCCCAATGCAACGACGAAAACAAGATGAGTGTAGAATGAGATGAGTGAGACGAGACGACGTGCTCTCTTCTATGGCTGGGTATCATTATCTGTCCCCCATCGCACCAGGCGCCAATCAACGTGTGTATCCTCAGTTCAATCAATGTCATCCTCATCAGAAGGTATGTCCTCACGCTCTCTATCGTGATCGTGTCCTTCATCCCCTTCGACTCTATCTTGATTGTCAGATCCATACTCTCTCGCCGCCTGCCGCAACTCCTCACCAAACAGCAACGTAAACACTACCACCCCATAGACTTCCCCACTCCTTTTATTCTTCAGGGTGTACCGCAGCTCGTGCGTCTTAGAGTCGACGTACTGGATCACGTTCAGCGTGAAGCCGGGTAGCTTGAGCGAGAAGTCGTTGAAGTCCAAGTACGGGTTGCCGAAGTCGGACTGGTAGAGGCGGCCACGCTCGAAGATGAAGGAGGAGAGGTTGGAACGGTTGAGGAAGTGCTTCTGGCGGCCGGGCGGGTCGGCGGGGATGTTGGCCTCGGAGCGAAGCGTGAGACCGGTACCTTCGCCGCCTTCTTCGACGATGGCATCGTGGAAGTTCCGGGCATGCTCCTCAGGAATCTTCCACGCGTGTTTCTCGTCTTCCTCGAACTTCTGCTCGTCTTCCTCGAACTTCTGCTCGTCTTCCTCGAACTTCTGCTCGTCTTCCTCGAACTTCTGCTCGTCTTCCTCGAACTTCTGCTCGTCTTCCTCGAACTTCTGCTCGTCTTCCTCGTTGTTTTCATCGTCCGATAAGGGGGCCGGAGGTGGCAGCTGGTCCTTCGGAATGACCTCGTCACATATCCTGAGGATATTCCAGCTACTCAGGGCTGGGCCGTACAAGTATGGTCTATCGGCGTAAACATCCCCGTCGAGTCCCGGGTCAATCCACCATTTCACAATCCGAAACGCCTGATTGAATCCTGGCGGCAACCTATCTCGTATAGGCCTGTCAAAATCATTCCCAAACACCAGCTCTTCGCCAGGAATGTCTTGCTTGGGGACGAAACTGAAGGATATGCTGTATTGGTCGGATTTATGGAGGTCCGAGGAGAAGTATTTCTCGGCGGTGATGGGTGACGAGGGAGGGAATCCTGTAAAATGCCGGATGCGGACACATACAGAGAGTATGATGGACGGAGTTTCGAATGTGAGGGTCTCGGAGCTGTTGACAGGCACGGTTTTGTGGGTGGCGGAATCGTAGGAGGGTCCGGCGGTGACACGTAGGCGATAGTGAGAGTGATGAGAGCCCTGCGGCTGATCGGGGGAGGAGGAGTCTCCCATGGCACGCAGAAGGCGAGAATTGCTAGAGAACGCTGGGTGCTGGTTGCTGGTTGCTGGTCACTGGGCAATTGAGTTGTTGGTTGTTTACTGCTGAAAAATAAATTTGTTCCGCCAACTGGTTGACTGCGCTTTCCGGAAGGTGTCGGTGACGTCAATGGCAGCACACGGCCAAATCAATCCGTCGACAACATGGTTCCTTTTCTTCTGTCACCATCAACGAATACATTTCTGATCCTATTAGAAAGCGAGGGTTAGATCCTGACTATGAGGAGAGACATGAGATTCCTTGTTATCTCTGTGCTTCGATCACGGACCCAGGCCAATTAACTTGTCAGGGAGACAGCAGAAGCCACTCACTGATTCTACATGCCTCCATAGTCCCGTTCTGGATTAAGTACTATTAATATATTCATCTAATCAAAGACGTGAGCAACATGCAGTCAAAGACAAGGTGCAAACCTCCAGACCAACAGCCTATGACACGTGAGATGTTTCCCTTCTCAGATGTGATGCTCTTAACCACAAGACCACGTCCAGTCTCGGGAGAATGACTCTGCAATTTGGCAAAATACAGACCCCTCTTTGTTGCCAGGAGGAACAATGATTGAGATCTGGTCATGTGCATTAATCATGAGCCTGGAGGAAGGAGGCTGACACAGTGGTGGCTTCGAGCCCTACTGTAGGATGATGGTACAGAGACATACACCAGGATGTCCAGGCAAGATGAGTCGACTGTCTCCAAAAGGCTCAAAGACAGTCTCCATGCGCCAGTCACGGCACAGAACATCTCAGGACACCCAGGACCAATGATGCCGACCCCATTCAGCACATGTTGAAACACGCTTTACGCGTCGGGCTTAGACAGCCTCGTCTAGCCTTGTCTTGGCGTGAAAACGCCGCGCCGTTACAGAACTAAGCTTCTTTAGGAAATATGTTGGTCCACTGCCTCATTCGGTTGCCATTTGTTTATATGCAACCGCTTTTCCGACCACTTGCTGTTTTCTCTTGCTCTCGACACGCTGTGATTCTCTTTGTCAACAGCTTTGGCTGCTTGCTACCGGTTGCATCAGAATTGCCACATTATCCTTATCTGCACACCGTCATGGCTACCGACGACAACAACTCCACGGAGACAGCACCAGTCCGCCGATCCAAGAGATCAAGTGCCGCCATCTCTCCCATCAAACCAACACAAGCAACAACTCCATCCAGGAAGAGACCTCAGAAGAGAGCTCGTTTCTCTGAACCACTGCTGCCCCAAGGATCAACTGGTCTCACACCTGCCGTGGGCAAAGCTTCCCTGAAGACCCCCAAGCTCAGAAGAGCGTCCACTCCAGCCATTACCCGATATCGGGACCACGACGAAATCCAATTCACCCCATTCCGCGAAGTGCTGGACGCCAGGACCACCCGACGGATTCGACGACATGGCTTGAGCGACGAGATGAACCGGTTCGATGCAGAGAAGAAGTCCAAGCTCGAGCTGCAACGCCAACTGGAGCAGAAGAACAAGGAACTGCAGACCCTCAAGGATGAATTGGATGCTTCTAAGCTTCGTGAAGCTTCTCTTCAGCAATGCGATCCTGTCGGGAGTCAGCAGCGAATCGACGAATTGGAAGCTGAAGTGGCAGAGTTGACCGAGAGAACCACCAACGACGACGGCGACGATGATTCCGGGCTTGGCAGCAGTTCACCACACTTCTGTGATGGCGGCGACGGCTTTCAAATCTATGAGGATGACTCTGCTGGCTTCGAGAACCAACCGACCGACCCCGATGATGATGCCACGGTGGACCTGGAGCTCGAGTCAGCACGACAAGAAAAGCACGCTCTCTTCCGATCCAGCCAAAGCTCTTCGACAAATATCATCCAGTTTGCCGACTCACCTGCTCGTTCTTTTGGTGCATCACAGAAAAACCCTCATGCTCCTGAAGCTCCTGCTCACGACCTTTCGAAAGAACTGCATGCCGCCATCAATCGAGCCGAGGAAGCCGAAGTGGCACTCCAAGCCATGACCACCGAAATCAAGTCCCTCGGCTTTGCCTGCAACAACGACGACGACGCCAGTGAATGTATTGCTTCCATCAAAACACACTTCCGCAACATGCGATTCGAGCTCGAACGAACCGTGCCGGGAGAAACAGTCATGTCGTTGGATTATGCCCGACTGATGCCCGAGATGCTCGCGAAGCTCAAGGCGGTCGCTACTCGGGTCCGTGACCGTGAAGCTGAGTTGAAGTCCATGCGGGAACAGCAGCGCACACTGCGGGGCAACTTCGACCACGCTCTGATCGCCACAGAGAAAGCGAACAACCGAATCAAAGAGCTCGAGGACGCTATCGACAAGAATGCCGAGGAAATGCTTGAGCAGCGCATGCGAGCCCAGGCCCTCGAGCGCGAGGCCCGTGAGCACGAAGCCAACCAACAATGCCTCATCGCCGCCATAGAGAAGTACCGCCAAGAAGTCAAACGCCTAGAAGACCTGGTGGAGTTGGTCGAAGCAGAACAGGCAGCCCGCCTGCAGGATGTGAGAGCCGCTACAAGCGCCGAGTTCACGCAGCAACTCTCGGACCTGGACGCCAAAGTGGCTGCCGAGACGCGCGGGCGGAGAGCGGCCGAGGAGTCCGCGGTCGAGCGGCTGAAGAAGATCAATGCACTCGAGTCCAACCTGTCAGCCGCACGCCAGTACTCGGAAGATATCAAGGAGGAGCTGGAGAACCTCAAGAGCCAGCGCCGCGCGTCGGAACGCGAGCACCACGCCGAAGTCGAAGCCTTGAACGGCCGGCTGCAGAAACTGAAGAAACTCAACGCCAAGCTCGAAGCGAACTGGAAGGACGAGAGCGCCTTCTGCGAGGAGATCATGCGCACCAACCAACACGGTCAGCTCCGCGCCAGCGTGCAATTCGAGAGGGACCTCAAGAAGTACATCCGCGGCGCCAAGGTGCGGCAGGCGAACTGGGAGCTCGAGAGCGACGACATGCGCAGCGACGAGATTGTCGGCGGAGGTGCAGAAGGACCCTTGACGCCGGCCAGCGTGGTCCGGTTCTCCGAGTTTTCGGAGATCGAGGACAACAACACGGATCGCGAGGACGATGACCATGTCCAGGGCCGGGTGGAACTATCTCGAGGCAAGGCTCACCACCACCGTCGCCGCCGCTCCGATTCGCTGACTCTGCCGCCGTCGACCGTGGCGCTCCCCGGCGCGGGCATCCTGAAGAAGCGCGGCCGGAGACGGTACGACAGCGGAATCGGGATGGATTCTCTGAGCGAGGCTGGTGACGAAGCGGCAGATGAGATCCAGCCGGGTGTCATAACGCCGGAGTTGAGTTCCGAGGGCGACGAGATTGATCTCGACAGTGATCTGGCTATGGCTATGGGGGTGTAAAGGACCCTTTTTCTTTGGGCTTTTTATTGAGATTCATGCCTGTGTATGTATCTTGTGGTGTTGGCTTGTCGACTATCGAGCGACAAGTTCAAGCCAAAAAAGCGTCACACAAAACAGTATCAAGTTGCCATGTTATGACATTCAACTTGTCGACTGACTGACTGACTGACGACTAATGCCGACCGACCGACCGACCTGCCTCGGACGAGGTTTGTTCTTGCTTTCCCCTTTTTTTCTCCCACCACCCAGCTGGAAGCAGGGGTACGATTGAACTGCATGGCATGGCAGGGATAGATATGTCGAAAAGCAGCATCCATCTTTCTCTGAGGCATTCCACCACACTATTTCACAGCCACACCAAAGCCGATTGACTATGCTTGAGCTATTACTATTTGGCGGAAGGGAAGCGAGGAGCATCAATCAGCCTCTTGCGGGACAGGACAGGACGGGACTTTGCGTAAAGAAATTTGGATTGGGTTGGGTTGCATTTCCTTTGGCACCGACTGGTTCTACCGTGAACGATGTTCTTCCCAAATGAGTTACAGTTCTCCCCTAGACGGAGCTCCTTGACCCCTTGGTTCTTTGGATTAGCCGGCTCTTCCTGGGACCACCGGGACGCTGGAGAGAAGTGATCGACTTATTGAGTTGAGAAAGCAGGTGCTGCCTATCTACTTAGTCTGCGGAATGAAACGATATCATATCTAGCCCTCGGGCCCTAGAGTTTGCAGGAAACCCGTCCACGGTCGTCCTGGCCTTCCTTCCTTTATATGCGAGACCACGGTGCTCCGATATAGTGTTCTCCAAAGAAGAGGAGACAATAGGTTCCTGCTGTAGCCGGAGCGGGTTTGCGATTTGGAGGCAATGGTACTCGTTGGCCAGAAGGCTACATGAGACTGGTGAGGCTTAGAAACTTGACAGCATTTGCTCCACACACAGTCATCGCTACCATGTGTCCAGACTGTCCATACTGCCGCTTTGCCATCATGACAAGAAAACTCGCGTCCTTTCATATTTGTTCACCTCCCTCGTCCTTGGTGCCTTTTTGGGGGTAGAGAAACATCCGCTATTGACACGGCCCTCAAATGATAAAGTGATCCTCCTCGTCGCCACGACGTAGTGACCGAATTCATCCAGCGTGCTGTTGCTGTAGCTGATCCACAGATATCTTCGTGCTCATTACATTGAACTGACCATCCCAGACAAATTTCCAGGATACGCTCTCAAAGTCCCAATCCCATCATACGACACGTGGCGGTAATCGTTATTATAGTTTCGATTAGGAGAAATCGTCCATGGCCCTATCAACCAACTGAACACCATGCGCCTGACCAGCCGCTGCAGGATGGCTCGAGGCTGGGTCTTCATTTAGGCCACCAGTGTTGGCGAGTCGTCTGCTCAAGCTCCCTGAAACGCCGGACCTTGACATACCAACCGGCTTGCGGTCACCCGTGACGGCGACTCTCTTGAGTGATCCTGGCCGGGAGCCGGCGTTTGAGGCGGTCGATGCAGCAACAGGAGAAGTGTCGGATTCTTGGTCATGATCGTCATCGTCGAGGGGTGGAGGAATGTGCGGGCCTGGTCCTCCTCCGCTGAATGTACCAGGTAGATTCAGGCTGGCACTTGTGATCGAATCTGGTGAAGAGAGCACATTATCCTGACCCTGGTTCTGGCCGTTCGTGGTGACTGAGCTCGAGTTCAAGGCCTCCAGGTTTCTGGACGTAGGTGGCGTAGCTGCATTCCTCTCTACGGCAGTCTGATTCCGCGACTGAATGGGCGAAGATTCGTTGCTTCCAGGAACTTCAAGACTTCCTCTTTTAGTGGCAGACGGCAGGCCCACACTACTCACACTGCGTCCGTGACCCCCGTCGGGTCTGGGACTCGCGACGACCGGAAACCGACCCATACTCCCGTCTGTGCTCTTATCTCGCCTGTGTCGATTCGTGGGTGCGGGCGACTTATCTCGCTGCCTTTGTTCTCTCTGTTCCGTGATAGCCCGCGCGCGAGCCTCCATATTCGCTCGTCGAGAGCTCTCATCCGTGGTGCTGACGGCACGCTGACGGTGGGAGAGACTGTTGGATCCTGAAAGGGTGGACGATTGTCGCTTGAGTTCGCCGAAGATGGCTTCTTTATGGTCGAATAGGTCACGGATCAAACGATAGGCATGACGCTCTTCCAGGGTCAAGGAATTCTCGGTGCGCGGGCGCAAGATACAAGGGGCTAGGACATTTGCGAGTGCGGAAACATATGCTTCATCTGCTGATGTCAGGTCGATTAGGCGGGTGAAATGCGTGGCGAGCGCATCAAGGGTGGCGATATTGTTTAGGCGAAGCTGCCCTAGGGTAGATTGCAAGACTTTGATCCTGGGCAGGGCGTCGACTGAGTCGGTTGAAATGGGGTTTGGGATTGCATCGGAGGTTGTTGCATAGATGGTCTTGATGATTTCGTAGACTTGAGAAGAGACAAGTGAATCTGCCAAAAGTCAGTTCTGCATTCTTTTCCAGGCACAAATGAAATGAGCTCACCTGGTAACTCAAGGAGATACAACTTCAGCACACTGGCGATGATAGGCATTTCGTATTTCTCCAGGACCTCTCGGGATACTGGGGCACCGTTATTGATCTGGTTCCGTAGATGATGGGTTGCTGCCAGAGGAACATCCACCAGCCAGATATTCCGTCTGGCTTCATCTCCTTCGAGATCAGGGTAATGATTATCGAGGAATGTTAGTATGGAAGTGACAACGATAGGCACTCTTTTCCGATCCGCTCGCGCTCTCGCTTCCAAGTCAACACCAAAAGTCTGGTCGTCCACGCTTCCGTAGTAGTTTTCGTAGGGTGTGACTTTGGGCACGAATGCGCCTGTTCTGTAATTCTCAAGCAGATACCGCAGATCGCCTAATGGCTGGATCGTTTCCTGGTAGAGCATCATATGATCCACCTGGCTCTGGAAAGATGGGATGCTGTTGCTGATAGCGCCCGAAAAGTCCAGGATCACAGACTTGATGGCCTTGAGACGGTCGGTTTCACATCGCTCGAGGAATCTCAGGTGATCCATCATCGATTCTTCGAGGTTGCATCTCAGCAGATCGAGTCTTCGGACGGCTGCTTTGTACTTCTCGTCCGCTTCTCGAGCCTCACGCTTCAGCCGGTCCGCCTGCGTCTCATTGGGAAATGGATTGTTCAAGGGATTCCAGCTCTGTAAGGTCTCGGTGATATTTCCAACCGTTGGCGACTCCAAAACTCCATCTGCCGACGCTCCGGTAGTTGTTCTGCTCAGTGGCTTCCTCTTCTCAGGCACGCCCGTTATTTGGAAAGTTCGCGGCTTCCACTGATACTTCATTCTTGAACTGTTGGCGAATGTGTTGCCCATATTTCCGATCAGACGCAAGAACCCACGATCAATCAAATCTTGTCCAATTTTCTCTGCATACCCGACGCTCGACGCTTTCATGTGTTTCTGGATGTATTCGGTGATGTCCGTACCAGTGGACACATTCTGATAGACGCCCAGGATGGGGACCTTGTGTTCACCCAGGGGGATTTTCTCGAGCATATCGGTAAGCAGCAACCTCAGCTTTTCGGGCGGGTATGTTTCGTCACCGATTTCGACGGGTAACTCTTCGATTTCGTCTTCTGGAAGGACAATCTTGGGCGGCGGGGGACTTTGTGGCTTCGGGCTCTCCTTCGCTGGCCCGGCGAATGCCATCTTGTTTTCCTCTTCGAGATCCTCGACCAGCCTACACTTGTTGAAGTATTGGCTTCTCAGCTTCTTGACCACTTCTGCTTGCTTATCGTGGGCCTTGATCTTCGCCTGGAGGTCGTCCTGCGAACTTTGTATCCGTGCCGCATGTGAATCGCACCATTTCGAGAAGGGGTTAACCACGAGCTCGCGGATGTTGTCTGCGATTTTGCGGTGGTTCTTGGATGCTTCGACCATCTCGCCTCGGACGCCCTCGTATGCCTTCAAGAGGAGAAACTGTCAGCAAAGACGTTGAATGGAAGGCCTGGAGTAAGTTCCTACCTTTCTTGTACTCGCGCCATCGTCTCTTGCAAAGCCGCCCGTCATCCGATCGATGGTTGGGGCAATATCTCCAAGGCGGTCGCTGTACATCTCTTCGGCATCAGCTCTCATGCTCGCAATCGTGAGCACCTGCTGATTCTCCACCACACCCTGTTGAAGCTTCTGGAAGAGCACTCCCAGCCCCCCAGCATAGTCGGCGGACCAGAAGGAATCGGTGAAGCCGGGCATCTTGGGCCTCCCTGCGGGAGGATTCTCGGTCCCCATCTCTGAAGATGGGCGCAAAAGCAAAGCCCAATCAATCGCTTGCTCGGGAGGAAGACGTTGCTTCACGCTGGCTGAATCTCACAGAAACTGACGAGAGGCAGAGTTCGCTGAGCGGTATCGTAGGCGCAGAGAGTTTGTGAATGAGGTGGTTACGCGGTACAACGTGAGCGCGAGCGCGCCTAAGACCCGAGTATGCTATCACCGTCGTAAGGGAGAAACAAAAGGGGGAATAAATGGAGTAAATGGATCTAAGAACAGCTAAGTAACACGGTCAGCATGTTGTCGAGCGACAGGAAATAATAATTCACTGCCGTCGGGCTGAATCTGAAACGGAACTTGAAGATGCAAGTTGGGGCCACGAATAGCACCTGCCATGCCTCTGAAACATCATTGAGCGGGGACGAGCGCCACAGGCTGTGCCAGGTGCACCGGCCAGCTGATCCTTCCAGGCGTTTGGCCTAGTGAGCCACAACGCTCTCCCCCCAAAAGGCCCAAAAGGGGGCCCGGCCACATGTCGGGCGCTCCTGAATGCTTAAAGTACACCAAGCTTTTCGCCTCATGGGAACCTATTGCTTGCGTCCCTTGTGCCCCCTAATCTTACCGGTTCTCGCTGCAGTCCAGGCACCCAGCAACATTATTATGACCCTCGGAGCCTCTTTCATCAACGCACATCGGTTGGGCCATGTACACGTAGGGGAATAGTCATATTTCATTTCCGTAACGAATAAGCGAACCGGCAGTCCATAAAAGATAGTAAGCACCTCGTACCCATCTTCATTTTCCCTTTCGACCTCGATGCACACACGGAATCCTGCCAGGCCTTTTGACATCAAATGACTGGTGGACAATAAACCCTGTTGTCTTCCTTCCTCTCTTCTATTGTCCGGTCAGCAACCCCAGTTTGCCTCGTCGTTTCAATTCACGCTCAAAATCGCCTCATACCCCTCGTCGGAGACTGCGGCGGGGTGAAGGACGACATGACTGGCATCTGCCCCGCAGGTGCGGTGAAGAAGTCATCAACGGTTAGTCAGTCCTGGAGACCCAAGTCTTCCTCCGCAGGTACGACACGAATGGTATTGGTGTGTCCTTGACCACCTCTCCAGCCCTGAACGCAGACCACGCTATCGCCTTTGGCCAGAACACCAAGCTTGATCGCCTGCGCAATGCCCCATTTCAATCGCTTGTCCACATCCTGTTGCCAATCGACACCACGGAAGTCGGGCTTCGGTTCCGGGAATAGGAATGGATACACCCCACGGTACAGGTGAGCATAGCGTGAAGCAGTGGCGTTGCGTGTCACCATGATGACGGGGCACACTGGACGGTATTTGGAGAGAAGGCGCGCCGAATGACCACTAATCCGACAGGTCAGTCAAACAAGCGCCGAAACTGTAGAGGTAGACTTACCTGGTCGTCAACACAAGAATGGCGCCAGCATTCAGCTCCATGCTTGCTCCCACAGCAGAGATGGCAATGGATTCCACAGTCTCAATAGGACGAGGGCAGCTGGTCCTCAACTCGTCAAATACGTTGGCGTAGGGGATGGCAACCTCGGCCAACAAGCACGTTTCGTGCATCATGGTGACGGCTTCCTTGGGATAATCACCTTTGGCAGTTTCGCCCGACAACATCACACAATCGGCTCCATCGAGAACAGCATTGGCAACATCCGAAACTTCAGCTCGGGTAGGCCGTGGGTTCTTGGTCATGGACTCTAGCATCTGGGTCGCGCAAATGACGGGTTTGCCCTTCATGTTACACTTGGCGATCATCATCTTTTGGGCAATGAACACCTTCGCAGCCGGGATTTCAATGCCCAAATCACCACGTGCAACCATGACGCCGTCGGTTTCGGCAAGAATCTCGTCAAAGTTGTTCATGCCCTGCTGGTTCTCGATCTTTGCAATGATCTGGATCTCCTTGCCTTTCTCGCCCAGAACCTTGCGAATATGCTTGATGTCATCTCCTCGTCGGATGAAGGAGGCAAAGACCATGTCGACTCCATTCTTGACACCAAACTCCAAGTCTGCGATATCCTTCTTAGACAAGGCGGGGAGGTCGACGTCTGTGCCCGGAAGGTTGACGCCTTTCCTGGAAGAGATTTGTCCATCGTTGAGCGCTCGCACACGAAGAGTCTTGTCATCGATGATCTTGGTGACTTCAAAGGATTGAATGCCATCGTCAACGTAGATCAGCTTGCCGACATCGATCACTTTGGTAATGTTCTTGTAGTCGACATATCTGACACACATTAGCCTTGCTGGTGTGGCTCTCCAAGCTTCCAACCTACAAGTTCTTGTCGTCGCTGGCGGTCATATATTTGTCGTCGGTAGTAAGGTTCAGCTCAAGGCCAGCCTTGATGGGAATGTCCGCATCGCCGGGCGTGTTTCCTGTCCGGATCTCTGGTCCTTTCTGGGAGACATCAGCCATGATTTTTCAGACAAAGCCCGTAACTCCACTCACGGTGTCGAGGGCGATTGCCACGGGCCGACCTGGGTAGTCTTTGGCGGACTTTCTGGTGTTGTCAATGACAGATTGATGGTACTGCCCAGCATTAGCTACTCATACTTCTCCCGTCAGGATCGGTGTATACCTCGTAAGAGCCGTGAGAGAAGTTCATGCGGACGACATTGAGGCCAGCTGTGACTTGTTCAGTATTCCTGCCCCTGCTTTTGAAATGGTGTCCTTTTTACATACCCTTCCTCAGCATAGTAATCTTCTCAGCAGAATTGGTCTTGGGGCCTGTCGAACAAGATCACAATCAGCTCCTGTTTTCCTCGTGGTTGCTTTTTCCTGGGGGAAATCATACCAATGGTGCAAATGATACTTGTCCGTCGGTGATTCTTCTTGGGCAAGTAGTCGATGTTGAGGTTGCACTGCCATTCTAGCTTGGTGCGGTTTTGGAGATGGTCCAAAGCGTCACCCATTGTGCTCGATTGATTTGGTATACAGGTTGAAGCGGTGAAGGCTGGGCGGAAGAAGGCAATACTGCTGGTGTGTCTGTCAAAAGAGCGGTGGTCGGCCGCCGAAGGACTAAAAAGTCGGGGAGAGAGATGCTTGGTCAGTCACAAACGTTGCAAACGCTGGACAGAGCCACCAAGACAGTCACAAGAGGCAAGACACTCACTGTTGACACTCGAGGAGGGATATAGGAGGAAGAGATGCAGGACGTAATGAACGAACAGCGGTTGAAGGTATCACCGCTCAGCAAAAAAAATATGGCATCCGCTCGCGACGGGCAACGGTTGAACTCAACCCAGCCTAGCTACGAGCTTGGGGCCACAAGGTTGAATAAGAATGGAGCTCTCACGTCACGCTTATCAGGGTTTGAGAACGGGGGTGACAGTACTCCCACGCTGTAAATATCAGGCGAACAATAGGCTAAAGCAATTCAGCAAACTGCGAATGGGGGAGGCTGTTGAGAATGGTTGGCGCCGGACATTGAATAGGTGGGGAGGACCTGCTGGGTCGCATTGAAACCTTGCGGGAGCTGAAGAGAGGGGCCGCCAGCTTCCAAGTCGCAGCAAGTGAGGGGCTGAGTCACAGCCAAGGGAGTGATAAGATACGCGATACACGGAGCCGCAATAACATTAATCCGCGGGAATGCTCTTCGGCTAGCCTCCGACTCCGCCTGCACCTCGTACTCCGGACCTAGAGTTTCAACATCACATGTGAACCACAGGCAGGCGTACTTCCGACTTGTTCCACGCCTGCAACTCATCTTCAACCCAAACATCACAGCAAGATATTCTCAACATTCGTCGCTATGGTGGTAAGTCTCCATCAGTCGCATCAGGCTCTGGAGTCTGTGGGCCAACAACATGCATAGCTCGGACGCCTAACCCACTACGCCTTTGACGCGGTCCTCATTTCCGCCTTTCTCGCGGGCATCAAGAGAAGCACTGGTCTCACGTATGTACACCCACAGGCACTCAGGCCTTACTCGTGTTGTCTCTTCCTTTTCCTTCGGCCGGACAGAGGGAGGAGCCCACGTGGTGGCTGAAATAGGGTGACCACAAACGTTATACCCGAACACGAATGCCACCGAATGGCCCCTTGGAAAACCCGCATTCCCATTGTCCAGTCCTATTCCTCATCCTTAGATATCAAACTCACTGATTCTGATCTCTGACACAACAGACCTACCAGTGTCAAAGCCTCTTCCCTCGGCGAAAACAAGGAGCTGCAAACATGGGTCGACCGTTATCTTGGTGTGGGCGAATGGGTGATGGACCAGAGTGTGGCCTTTATGGGCAGTAGCAGTTGGTTCGAACGGAGGCGATGAATGCAACAACAACAGAAAAAGCACCTCCCCTGTGCGATGGGGCATACAACAGCCGTGTACAAGGAGGAATACCCCTGTATAGGCGAAAAGCGGAAGGTGGAATGATTTTCCAAGAAGATAGAGGAGGCTTCAAGAAACGGAGAGAGCATGCGTATCCGGCGTCATGGGTGCGGGATGGGGACTTCTCCAGGCCTGGGAGGAGCATGGGACACGCGGTGTGGGAGTGCATACCTTTCTGGTTAGGTGGATTCCGGCTTGGAATTCCTTGTTGCGATATACTCAACCTTGGGTTATGAAATAGCATTTGCTAGGTCAAGTTCACGAGACGTCGTGCTGTGTTGCTGTGCTACCTGAGCATCGCTGAGAAATCTCGTCACAGCAAAGCCAGAACATTGTTCAAGCAAAACATACATATTCTAAAAGCACATAAGAGTGCCCCTTGGGTAACCTCTGAAGTCGTTCCAGCTCTCTTGCAAAGAGAAGCGACTACAACCATTCTGGCTCCAACCGTCCATTTGCGACATAACTGTTCAACGCCAGTCGTTTCGTGAAATGGTCATACTTATCATTCAATGTCATATAAACCGTAGCCATTCCCCATCTACCCATCCCATGTGTAGATACCCGCCTTTTATTATCGCTATTTCTTGTGTTTTTGGTTGTTTCCCATGCCACTATTGATGCCCTGCACGAAATGTGTCATTGATCAGCTGGTCGATATCAATTCTCTGGTAGAAGGAGATATGACCGTAGGCCACCCAATACTGTGCCAACTTGTTAGGCGAAACCATGATGAGGTGGGAGTGAATGAATTCGTCTGCACCATGTTAGCATGTAAGGAAAAAGATGTGAAAGGTTCCCATAAGGCAATGAGATCATGTGATGGACCGTTCGTCCGTGAAGCAAACGAGGATGGCAGACTTTTCTCAGACTCACCATTCTGGAACCCCCTCGAGGCGACGTGTCCCTGACTCTTCACCACCCTCGCGCCCCTGAATGGTTGTTCCTCTGCAATCCTGATTAATCCACCGTAGCCAATATCGGGCGCCACAAAGGTGTACTCTCCCCTCGGGACGTGCGGATCTCCCGTTAGTTTGATCGCCTGAATGGAGCCCTTGTATATCCCTTCTTCTTCGTAGGCTGCCATCATTTCGCGTTGGTATTCTGATTGAGATTGAGCTAGTTCTTCCGCTGTCTGATCAGCAAGCATCGGTTCTAGTAGTCCGTCGTTCGGACCCTCGCCCTCGTGGTCCAGTCCCAGGAGCTCTCTCGTACGGGCGTCCGTGGACCGACGTTGGGGAATCTCGGGACATTTCTCCGTCTGTATGACCAGCAAGAATTCGCATCCGTGGCCCGCATAATCACCCACAAAGATGCCTTGGTATGGCTTTTCCTTTGTCGGGGTGTAAAGCGCCGGGTCGATCGTACTCCAGGTAGAGACCTCTTCACCGATTCGAATCCCAAAGTGTGCCATGCCCGTCGAAAACTGACTCCAATGTCTCAATCGAAAGGTCGTTTGCGAGATCTGATCGTACTTTTGCGGTTTATGCCCTGACCCCCGGAATTTGTCAACGCTGGCAGCCCGTACGCGAGGCATATCGGGGATTGTCCGGGGTGGCCAGAGAGCCATGGACCTTTTCTGCAGCTGTGGGGGTATGTCTCTGCTCAAGAAGAACGATGCCGACGTGTTATTTCCCAATCGCCCGACCGTCATCTTAATCTCGGCTTCCCACCAACCCTGGCGAGTATTGAAGGGGACAATGTCGTGTGGTAGTTTGAGGATCGGGTCGTCCAGCCAAAGATGCACTCGTGGTTTGAAGGTGTGGACCACCACACCCGGTACATAGGGCCAGAGAACACCAAATGTCGGAGTCCTCTCGGCCAGCAGGCGGTATCCTTCGATGCAGCCTCGCCGTGGGTCGAAATGACAGATCATCACGCGACCGATGTGCGGTTCATCCGAGATCCAGATCTTGTTTCGAGGCACGAACCAGTATGGATGATGCGTAATGTACAAATCACGGAACGACGACGAAGGGTACGGGTCCGCTGGAAAGTCTTCAGGTGGAATATTCTCACGAAGAAGGTTGGCCCAGAGGGTATCGTTGGAGGCCAACTGTCGTAGCCGGCGACAACATCGCGAGAGTGAGACGAGTGACTGACATGGCAGCTCGCGAAGAATTTGATCTAGGACCTCCGTAGGGAGTCGGGCCAGGGCTCCTTTCTGGTCATCGACCGAGTTGGTTGCCACGGAGGGGGCATCGTCAGCCTCTGTTTCCTCCATGTCGTGTGCTTTTTGTGGTTTGAAGAGGCCCGGTTTCCAAGGCCGAGTGGCTCAGAATGCGAATGCGGTAATCATTCCCAGCATGAGGTTGTCAATGCTGGTGAAGGAGGTGAAAGTAGAGACGAGAGGCAGGGAGAGGAGGATGGAAAATGGACCATTAATGCGGCCACTATTATCCTCGTTCTCGGGGAAGGAACCCACAGTCCAACAGGCTGAAGCTTGATTTCCTCCATCACACCCCGCCTTTTTTTTCAACCAGTTTGCAGCTTCCTGCTGCAGTCCTAGCTCGCCAGCTGACCAGCACGCGATTCAGAAGCGCAGAGTCTGGATTGGAAGAAGCGGCTGATGGGAACCTCAAGGCCTCGACTGATCAGGAAGGTGAGAATCAAGCGGGCCATCCAGCGAATGCCACCCGCGTGGGACGCCCCGCCATGGCTGAGGTGCCGGGATTGTTTGGAAGAAAATACGGATGTGAAGGGTATGTATCCAAGGGATATTATACAAGCTGTACGAGCACAGATTTCAGCTCTCTGGCTCGCCTGTTGTACAAACTATTCAAACGACATATTCTTGACAAGGCCGATGCCTCCATGTTTCCTTTTTCGCCTATCAAGTCGGCCCTGGATGGATCCTGCTCTGGCCCTGCCGCGGCGCCATAACTCGACCCAGCCATGCTTCTATCTCCACCTGGTTTGGTTGAGAGATTTGCTCGTATCATGATCTCAACACGGGCATGCACGGGGTGCTCTCTGGTCCGGCACGGGGACTGTTCACCTCCATTGTTTTGAAATCGGTGAAGTCTGAAATGAGAGATGACAAGGCTGGCACAGCGTTTTGCATGCATGACCAAATAAACCTCCGGCTTCACGGTGTGTTGGTCCTGTAGCAAAGAGATCCCGACTTGAATTCCACTGCAAGACCTCGTCGACATGAAGTTCAATTCCCTTTCTCATCGAAGGTCCTTGAAAATTGCTTCTGCGGTTGAAATAGTGACCTTCAACCTCGGTTTCTTGACCCAGTTGGTTTCTGATTTTGCGCTTGCGGTGATGGCGACAATGAATCATCTTCTCGCCAAATATCCCGCTCCAGCTGTTCTATACTGTAAGGCTTGATGTTCGGATCCTTGGGGGGATCAGGAATCAGGAATTTCCCAATAACTTCACCAAATACTCTCGTAAGAAAGACTTGTCGATTTTTCCGGTCCTCGTTCATTGTGACGCTGTACTTGAAAAGATCTTCGGCATACAAGTCTGTCAGCTTTGCTTCTTGCAAGGCTGCCCTTGCCGCTAGCTCTCGCTCGTGAGGCGGATATTCGTGCAACGGCTTTTTCATCTTATCCTCCATCGCTTTAGGTAGAGCCATTTGCTCCAGTGTTGGAGCAGGTCGATTGGGGTTGAATAGCGACGAGAGAGGCGGAATGGGCTGATTGTTGCGTTTGGCCTCATCAACCTCGGCCTCATAGTCCATCATCCTGTGATACAGCTTGTCAGCGTGCATCTGGATCTTTTCCTCGTCCTCCACAGAACTGGTCGCGCTCGTCATGTATCCCAAAGCTTGCAGGAATTTGGCTTGCAATGTATAGCAGCGGTTGAAGGCCTTTGTCTCCTCATGGCACATAGTCATCCTACCACGTAATCGGTCTGCCACATTGCCGCCCTTGAAGCAGATTTGTTGCATCTCCTCTTCGAACGCGCAGTTCTCCAGCGCAGCTTTGTGTATAGACTGATTTCGGTCTTTTCGTGCCGAAAGCACTCTTTCCACAGGCGTCGACGTAGCTGCAATGATCTCATCCTGAGGAATGTAGGTCTTCCAGATATGTTTGTATCGGCCATCTTGAAAAAGCGATTCTTTTGGCAAAGGATTGTCCTTGGGAGGCTGCGCTGCATCTGGAAGGGTCCGTTCGGGCGGCTTGATGGCAGGATTGGGCTTTTCTGCAGGCTCTGATGGTTCCAAAGGAGCTTCGGCGGGCACGTATGGACGGGGCTGTTGTGCTTTCAAGAATTGCTTCAAGTCGTCGTCGAGGGCTTTTGCGGGATCATCTTGGTTGCTCCTCCCTCCCCAGAACCAGCCCATTTCTCTAGAGAACTAACTGCCTGAGATGTTCAGATCAAGTGTGACAGAAGAAGATCCATAATCCACCTCCCGGCCATTGTAGCTTGTCCTGCCTTGGTCGTGATCCCAAACTGTTATTGAGTCTCGGGGATCCAGAAATCATTTCTCCGCAGCTCAGCGCCAAGATAGGCTCACGACTCGACCAAATTGGGTCAAAAGTGTGGCTGCCCTGTGCGCCACCCCGGCACTCCAGCTACTCAATCACTCATGTCCTTCGAGTCTGGGTGATGAAAATGATGCTCGAGGCACAAAAATACGGCATTTCTTCCTTATCGGCTGCTCTTACTGGAGTTTATACAACACAGCCGCTGTTGTGAAGGAGGTTACTAAGGGAGCTGCTCAATCAAGCTGTGGAATTCTGTTAAAGCAGCATTTCTGAGTCAACTCTCTGGGTCTAGCATCCTTCCTGTCCAAAAGCGAGTACTCTGTCCCAACCCTATTAACTACTCCGTATACGTCTTGCGTTACGTCTCCCTAGTCCCGCCGATACACAAGCTCCGAGTATTCGTTGCAGACATACCAATCCAAAGAGCCATAATCGACTGCAAGGAGCTCTCTTGAGCAGCCCCTCCTGTGGTGGAAGTCGAATGACCTTGCTGCTTGGGCTCGCATGAAAGGTGGATAGGCCAGCTCTATGTCTCTCTTGTGGTATAACTCTCGTCACCCCATGCAACACACACCCTTCAACATATCTCACGCTCTTGATACCTGAGGAATGAGCGCAGCCAGATCAGTGGACAGATTGGCCTCCAGGTCGATTTGCACGTCCTTCCCATCAACCAGACCAAAATAGTAGGATAGATCCCTGCTACCAAACGCTCGAACTTCAAAACCGTCACCGAGGAACTCAAACTGTTCAGTTTGTTCCAATATTCAACATTGTAGTCCTCGAACCTCGGTCTCTCAAGCAGCTTCAGGTATGTGAGACGACTACCCGGAAACATCGGCAGCGGGCCGTCCACACGTCCTTGTTTAAACCAACTGCTACACCCAGACACCCATGACGTTCGCTGCAGGTAGAGGTCCGCATGTTCCTTAATTGGGAAATGACTTCGGGTTCTGGAGTTAGCGATTTGATGCGGCCGACTTGCATCTTGTCGATGATCTGGAGGATGTATCGCGCCAGTGACTCCAAGATAGGTAGGAAGGACCCATGGCAAGTGGCCCGCAAGGCCCATCCATCATATAGTAGTTAGGGACTGATCTGAGCGTTAGCATACTGAGGTCAGTCCAGAAGGAGTAGAGCCATACTGCTTGGAGGAGCCACCGAAATGTACGAAGTGGCTTCATCACGCCACCATTTGCCTCGAGGGGCAAGCATGGGATCCATGTGGTGTCGAATATTTGTGTCCAGCACATCAGCACATTAGTAAACAAATCAAACACCTTCAGAATGATGGCATACCCAGTTGTACATATAATAACAACGACTTGATGCTCTTGGCCGCTGTGGTCGATGAACCCTGCAGGAGTGATGGCCTCCATAAACTGAGTGAAGACAGTCACATTTTCCTGATTCAAAGCTTCCAGAAACCCATTTCCGGGCGGTAAGTCACCAATTAACAAAAATGAGTCGGGGCCTCCAAGGTATACAGGCACCTACAGTTGGTCTCCGGCATCCCACATCAAAATATTTTGAGATAGTCACCTCAAACAACGCCTCGTCATGTGCCAGTCATTTCAGAAATTGCGTACTGAATGCTTCATTAATAAGAAGCTGAACAGCGATGACACAAACCACTCACCTCCTGGGCTGCTTTTGATTCCGGGGTATTCTTCAAAATGAACTTGAATCGTTGGTTTAGCTCGGGCTCAATCATTCTTGAACGCTCCAGGTAGAGTTTTGGATTGTCCTTGAAAAGCTGCTGTTCGGGTGTGTCTAGTAAGTCAGCTTTAAGCCAATCTCATATGGGGCGGTCTCGTACATTCGAAGTTCCCACCACCCTCGAAGGCGAATCTCTGCGCGAAGCCAGCTGTAATCCGAGTGGGCGATCTAGTCCAAGTAAAGAGGTGTTCCACTTCAGCAATCTTTGCGACAATCTGGATTCCGTTGCTGCCAGTTCCAATGGCCGCGACTTTCTTGCCCTTAAGGGTTGAGCCCTTCGTTGAAGTGTGCACTGTGTTGGAGGGCTCCTTGAAATGAATGAAGACCAGGAATATCTGGCCACTTCCGGTTACTAATCGACCATTAACATACGCCGTAGAAGACTTTGATGGGACCTATCTCAAGATGCCGCCGCTGTTGATCAATACATGGCACGTATCGGTTGATTCAGCTCCATGCTCTTCGTCTTGGACTCAAACATGCAAAAGACCGTCTTCCTGATCCCATTTTGCTGCAACCATTTTATGCTGAAGTTTACACAACTCCGCTCTTATTGTCCTTCTCTTGGGACAACGAGGACTTCTATCTCGTGTCAAAGGGTTTGTTCTTAACTACGGTAACTTTGACCTTTCAGCTTTACCCTCTCTGCGACAGTTAGATCTCCCAGAGACTCCAATCTTGAACTACGAGGATACCGAGAAAGTCCTCAATGCATACTTGCCTAGTCGCACACCTGATCAGAGAAAGGCCGCCACCATCTCGACCGCGTACAACAAGCTCAACGACTTATTTCCGGCGTTGTTCTTGGTTGGAACTGCAGATTGCTCGTTAGATGATAGCATCTTGATTGCGTCGCGGTGGCATCTGACGGGAAATGAGGCAATTGTGAAATTCGTCCTAGGCGCCTGCCATGGCTTCGTGACATTCAATGGCCATGTTGTTGAGGTAATACATCAGGGCTGGGACATCATGCTTCAGTTTCTTCAGATGAAATTTGCGGCATCGTGAGACTCAATTTCTATATTCAGGGACATTAGTCGCGTTAGAAACTTCTCATTATACGACATACTTCGCAATTGCGCCCACGGTTGGACATAGAGAAATTTGGTGAGACTCAACCGTATCAAGATATATAGAGAGGACTCAACTACACCTAACCAAGAGAGAACATTCCTCTTCGTAGATGTTCAACATAAGATGTCATTGGCAAGGCTGCATCAGAATCCGTCAACAACACTGATCTCGCCCGGTGACTCTATCCGCCAATTCGCCAAATAAGCCAAGTTCACACGTGGCTGTGGCAACACCAGAAAATCATCATGGAAAGTATCTGTTTGATCGTAAATTTCGTCGATGGCACATAGAGTCTTCGAAGTACGTAGAGCTTCCGAGAACAAAGCAGCAAAAGACCGGAACCTTCTGGGACTAGTACAGCCCATCTTCGGTTAGCTCATCAAAATAGAAGTGGGACCAACCCGCTTTTGGACTATCCGAGGCAAGGCTCGACCACCCTCTCCAAATCCTTCCTTCGAGCAAGCCGAGGAGGGGAGAGAGTTTGTGTGGTGAGCGCTCAAACAGCTTTTGTTGCTGGGCTGCCAGACCACGCTGGTAGCTGATAAGACGGTGATCACGGTCATCCTCGCCTTGATGCAAGTTGAGAGACGGGAATATAGGCCGGGATCCTGGGACCACGCAGAGGCCGACATGGCCGCGTCGCAAGAACTCGTTGCCCTTGTGACAGGGGCGAACGGTGTCACCGGCGACTATTTGGTCCAAAAGCTCGCCTCGGAGTCTCACTGGACCGAGATCATCGCAACTTCACGTCGACGGCCGTTCCGGCTCCCAGAGGATCCCCGTGTGGTATTTGGCCAGGCCGACCTCGACGCCGATGTCGCCTCGATCACACAGGCGCTTCGGGACATGGGCGCGACCAAAGTGACGCACTTCTTCCACATGGCGTACGTCCACCACGACGCGTTCGAGAAGCAATACGAATACAACGTGAAGTTTTTCATTAACATCCTGACCGCAGTGGATGACCTCAACAAAAACACTCTCCAACGCGTCGTGCTCCAGAACGGGGCCAAGTACTACGGCTTTCACTTCAAAGCTCCGCCCAAGGAACCCATTACCGAAGACCTTGGCCGGCTCGGGCTCGGAGGCCCGCCCAACTTCTACTATCCCCAAGAAGACTTTATGTTTGACCTCCAGAAAGGAAGAAAGTGGACCTGGTCGGCGACGCGGCCGTTTTTGATCAGTGGATTTAGCTTTGGTTGGCCTTTTCTTTTCACATGATCATGGATCTCATTGCAGGAATTGCCATAAAACCATTGGGCTTTCAAAGACTGACTTTCCAGCAGGGAGCGGACAGTCATTTACGTGCACGGCCGCCTTGTATTTCACCATGCAAAAGTATCTCGGCGAGCCGGCAGTATTTTCAATGCCAGTCGAGGGCGAAGGGTGCTACGAGAAGCGACAGGACTTCTCCTCGGCGGCGAACATCGCAGCTTTCACCACCCACCTTGCCCTCCACCCAAATGCCCAAAACCAATCATACAACATTGTCGACGCGGACCCGAAGGGAATCACGTTCAGGGAGATTTGGGAGAGCATGTGTCAGTACTTCGGGGTTCCAGTAACAACCAGAGCTGGGTTTGATGTCGAAGCCGATATCGAGTCGAAATTGAAGCGCGGCGTCTGGGGGGAGCTGGTGGCGAAGCACGGCGGCGACAAGGACGCTTGCGACAAGTTTGCGACGTGGTCCTTTTTCGGATGGGTCATGAAATATGCCACCTGGGGCGCTTCGGTCAGTATGGAAAAAGCCGCACGGGAGCTTGGTTGGACAACCCGTTTCGATACAAGAAAAAACCTGGCTAAAATATTCGACACGATGAAACAGGAGGGGGAGCTTCTCCAGCTCTAGCGATGCATAAAATTACATAGACTACACTATTATCATTACCGACTGCTTTGAATGCTCTGGAACCGATTCCGACTGAAGGAAATTTGTAGGTGTCATCGAGATCCCCATGTCAAAGAAACACCATCCGAGTCAAAACGTACCCGGTCAGCCCTCGTGCCTCATCTGCGCCTCCGAATTAGGGGCCTGGATCCATGGCTGATCCAGGTTCATGGGGAACCATTCTGCAAGCCAATGAGTGTCCACGAGGGAGAAGTACCGAATGGGGATTTCACCGAAATTCAACTCCGTCATATAACGCTGTTCTTCTATCACGCCGGTAGGGGGCGGCGAGAACGAAAGCGGCCGCAGGTGCGTGGGCCCAGCCTCGGCCGAATGCCATCGGACGGCCTGGGCAGGTTCTGCAGAAATTCGAGGGCTCGGTCGACGCAGAACTTGAAAAGAGGGTATAACCAGCGGGCGGCGTTCCAGTATTTACAATGCTCTCCGAGTATCAACAGGCCAAGTTGAATTTTGTTGATAGCGATGCACGCCCGGCTAGAGTCTCGTGGATCATCCTTTACTTCCTCGAGATAGGTGATGAGCGCGCTGACGAGGGAGGTGTTTCTATGTCAATATCAATATCCCGTCAATCATCATTGCTATCTCTTGCACGAACTCATATTGTCACTTACCAAAAAAGTGGCTGTACTTCAATACGTCCGATGAGAGAAGTTCCTCAAATAACGGCCACGCCATACAGAATTAGCCACGGAAAGTCCATCGATGGCACAGCCTCGCTGGCAAGGCTGCACCACGACCCCATGACCAGATCATTGTAAAGAAACTAACTCCCAATAGTGTGTCACAGAGAGCTGATAGTGGTTTCCCCATCTACCGGCCGCGGAATAGCACAATGTCCGAGGTTGGCCGTCTGTATCCATAACCATGTATGTATACAGTCATTGCTGAGAGTCCAGCAAAACCTGGGGTGTTTTATGTCCACTTGCACCGTGTCTTCATTTAATTTGGCCAGGTACGTTCACCTACCTATCTCTGACGACCACGTAGTGATTTCCTGAACCACGATCAATAAATGGCGGACTTTGACAATATCCCTGACCTCGACTCCTTGCCGGAAGTCGAGGGCAACCCCCAAGGCTGTGCCTGGGGTCTCTTCGACAAGGACGGGACAAAGGACCACCTTGGCTGCTTCAATCTGCTCACACTCGTTGTGAAGGAGGAGGTCTAAGAGGATGCCCGCGAGGGCATCTCAATTTCCCTCAATTGGGCGCTGAATGTGATTGGCAAGCCCGGCCACGGGCGACAGCCAACCGAGCATATATCGTTATCGACGCCAAACTTACCTTAAACATCCATAGTTTCGACGACGAGGTGGTTTGTAACACGCAGGCCTCAAGCCAGTGGGACAGCTTCGTTCATTACTGTCATCAGCCTTTAGAGCTGTGCTATAATGGCTCAAGACCGATAACGGAGAACCTCACAAGGATTTAGGGACTCTAATAAGAGTCTTCCCACGCTGAACGATTGGCACGAAGGGTTGCTTGGTCGGGCGGGGGTTTGATTTACGGATCCAGTACAGCTGCTTCGACAATGTCCCTATTTCTGTCCGGGATCTAGAAGCGGTGGCGGCCCATTAAAGCACCAAGTTCAAGGACGGCGACATCCTTTTGGTCAGGACGGGGTTCATCGGGGACCTGTGTGCCGCCGACATTGATGAACGAACAAAGCTCCTCGGCACCCATAATACAGTTGGAGTCAAGGTGAGTCTGGAAACCGCTCGGTGGCTCTGGAATCGCCACTTTAGTGCCGTGGTGGGCGATGCCATTGCGTTCGAGTCGCTGCCATTACAGATTGAAGAAGCAAGGGAAAGGCCAGGAGGTTATAATCGACTAGGTATGAGGATGCTGAAGCGAGATCATCGCCGACGCTGACCTGCTTGACAGTATTTACATGAATAACTCTGGCCTTTTCGGGTATGCCCATTGCTGAGTTATGGGACATGAAGACGTTGGGCGAGTATTGTGCGAAGGCAAAACCATACGAGTTCTCCTTACTTCGGCGCCGTTGAATTATGCAGGGTCCGTCGGCTCTCCTCCGAATGCGATCGCGAAGCTTTAAGACAGTAAGGCTTCATTCACAGGCAGGCAGGTGGACGGTGCTGTATGTGTTGAGGTTGATGCCCACATTCTCTGTGGTTAGATAAACCTCTAACCTGCGTCTATTCAGGCTGAATAACATAGAGCTAGTGTTGCGAACGTCAACGAGAAGATTAAAAAGGGGATCTTTTGCGAAGCACAGTATATGCAGATACCATACGAAAACCTATCGTCAAACTAACGCCAGACCATACCTGTCCAACGAGGTATTCTCGAGACCCATTTCTTTTACATGTTTTTGTCTACTCTCTCGTACATCGCCCATTCGGCGAGCGTGAGTAACCGTTACCAAAATGAATGGTCCGTACATTTCCGCCTAGCGTGAGGCTATTTAAAAGATGATGAACAATGGAGGCCGTAAAGAGAGGTATCTGAAAAGATGAAATTTTGTACTAAATGCCCCTAAATTTCCTGCACCGAGGGCATGTCTATTTTGTAGGTAGAGCGACCGGAACGCGCCGGATTCAGGTCGAGAGGGCAGAAATTGAACAGATTCGAGACCCGAAGATCTGGGATCTGCTCGGGCGGCTCGGGTATGTGTCGATATGCGTCAGTTGTCGATTAGCCCCCTTTCTGCTGGGGAAGTTACAAGAACAATGCGGCAGCAACCGCGGCAATTGCCAGGCCTGCCATTGAGCCCTCGATCCGCGAAGCAGCCCCCGGGAAGGAAGTCGCCGCGGAAATACCAGATCCACTTTGGGTGGCAGTTTCGGTTGCCGTTGCAGAAGCAGACCCAGAGGGTGCCTCGTTCGCACCAGTTGCAGAAGCCCCGGAAGTACCGCTGGGGCTGCCGGCTCCTGTCGTGGCTGTGGCGCTGCCGCCGCTTGGAGTGGTCGATGATCCGGATCCGCTGTGCATAGTCGAGGTGCTGTTGCTGCCCTTGGAGGTGGTGGACACAGTCGAAGAGTTGGAGGACGAGGAGCCCGTGTAACCCGCGGTCGAGTTGCAGGCGAGGTTGTAGAGGGGTTGACCATTCTCGCTGACACCAAACGATGGAGAAGCTCCGTCATCGTTCAGGATATACCACCAGAAATCGATGCCGCGGTTTTCGAGCGCACAAGCAACCTGTTGCCAGTACTCTTCAGCTGCATCAACACCCGGAACAGCGAGATTGGAGACGGGTCCAGAGACAGGGTAGCCAGTCTCGGTGATCCAGATTGGCTTCCCTTGGGCAACGGCGGCAACTCTGTCATAGGCTTGGAAGAACAGGAACGCGTTGTTGTCGATGTCGTTGGAATCGGTGGTCTGGAAGTAGGGATATTCATCGAGACCGAGAAAATCACAGTTTGAGATAACTTCGGCATTGGAGCCGTTGACATAAACATTCCAGGTGTCAACGTGACCGACTGGCTTGGAAGCAAGGGACGTGCCCTTGATGGCGTCCCTGACCTGACCAATATAAGTGACCAGGACATCGGGGGATTGGCCAATGCCGCTGTTGGCAGCAATGCCAGTGGGCGAGATCCGGTAGAGGTCCTCACTGCCAACGGAAATGCCCACAACCAGGTCGGCAAAAGCCGAGCCGTACTGGGAGATGGCAGACTGGAGGGCACTGATCTCGTTGTTGAAGGTCGCTTGATCTTCTGACGCCCAGAGGCCCAACAGCAGTGTCGTGTTGGTGTCAAGAGCAGCCTGGAAGGCAGAACTTGGGGAGTTGGTCGTCCCCTCCTGAATCATTGTGTACAATCTTGCACTGGTAAAGTCACTGGTGCCGGCCAGAGACGCTGCAGTCTTGAATTGGCTGACGAACGAGTCGTAGGTTTGACCTTGAGAGGCGTAGTTGAACCCCTTGACAGCGGCAAGGGCGGTGGACGCGCCACCGAGGACGGCAAGGAGGGAGCCCTTCATGTTGATGGAGAAGCGAGGGGTTTTGTTCAAACAAATATCAAGGAAGGAATAGGGAAGAAGACGGTGTAAAATGAATGACTGAAGCAAGACAATCAAAGGGCAAGAAGGGTGAACAAAAGACTGAAAAAAAGACGCAGTTGAGGAAAAATCAAGCAAGGGAGAAAGAGTTGCGCGTACCTCATGGCTATTTACACATTCCCCATTATTATACTCAGCCTAACAGTCCACATGTGGGGGATGTTCAGGGGGGCTGACTTAGTCTGAGACATTCAAGTGGTTCGGTTGATCGGTACCTGCATCATGTGGCGCCGGTGGCGTGCCTATCAAGCGACGCCACCTACTGGCCCCGTGCTTCGAGACTCCGGGTAAGCTGTGAGTGGTTAGTCCTCGCCGGGACGTTTGGGTAATGTTTTGATCAAAGGATGGGGGCCGTATAGTAGTTTGTAGTTTGCTATAAAGGCGGACGTCAGACAGCCATCAACACCTCTTCCATATCTGGTAGAAATGCCAAGAAGCCATGGACCCACACTGCCGGGGTATATACGAAGTACGCGCATATAAAGCCAGGGATGCCCTTTGCGGTTGTACTTGGCTTTTCGTAGGTATTGATATCGTGTTGAGAGTATCTTTTGTCGTGAGTAGGATACGTTGTGTAGAAGTGCATATTGCGATACTTACAAGCTCAGATTCGACTGGACACCTATGGGACCTTCCAGTGACATCACGGGCGGAGCATACCTGATTCGCTGAATATGCACTGTCAGAAGCAGAGAAGGCCCGAGTCGATCAGACGATAGGGCAAAGATAGTACCAAGATGTTGCCTAATGATATCATATATTATAGCCCCTAGCCAACGTTCAATAGGGGTATTGGGAGGAAATACAAGGCATAAGGGGTGGTATGATTTGTAACGGAACGGTATTGGTGTATTGTAATTACAGTGTCAGGCTTTAGAACGTAAACGCTCACGTGGTGACGTTTTGTTGACGCGTGTCGGCGCCCAGAGAAGATGGTCCCACTGACTCGTACTGACCGCGACGAGATCCTCAAGGCCCGCCACAGTCACCATCTGCGAACATTATCTTCGCAAACAATCACAGCCGCCAGATCCGCCTCGCACATACACTGTCTCATCGAATCCTCAAGACCTCAATGGTCTCCACAAATTGCCATGGCTTCTTCCAGTCGGCAAGATCGGGCGCTGATGCGCCAGCGTGGTGCTGGGTTTGTTTACCTTGTTCGAACAGCATATACTGAAGGCGACACTGACAATGTTAGATCGCGCGCCGTCGCACCTACCGACTTCGGGCTCAGCTTTGGTCTAGGAGATAACAGGTTGGAGCGTCAACAGATGCGACAAAGGGGCGCTGGGTATGCTAGCTTGGTGCCTCATTCGACTCTCGCTGACATCCCTCGGCCAGGACTCGGAAGATTGACAATGTCGACTTCGGATTTTCCTTTCCCACTCCAACAGAGCGGTCGCGCACAAAGACGCCCCAATCTCGAAGGTCTAATTCCCGCCAGCCGTCGAACGCACCAGCTAGACGAAGCCGAGAACCGACCTCCGCAAGATCTACCAGAGGAAATTCGAGCAGACAGAATTCGGCTCAGCCTATAGCGCCTGTACCGGAGCAGGAAGCAATACAACCGGACGACGGGCAGAGAGCACCAAGTACTCGATCTAGCAAAAGGAGGAAAATATCCCCCGCTGTTGTTACGCCTACCCCACAACCTCCGACAGATGTCTCCAGGCCAGTAGCCTCAAATCACGCTTCAGTGAGGCGCACTTCCTCGCGGACCTTCACCATTGCGGAAGACGACGATGCAGGAGCGCCTCCCTCCGGAACGCAGGTCGTAGAACACCCTCAGACATCTCCCCTGTCCGTACCGCACGACGAGCACGAGAAGGAGAATGAGACGCCCAATACCTTGAAATTGAAGACAGACGCCTCGGATTCAGATTTACAAACTACAAAAAGCGGGCGGATGCTGCTTCCACCGCTTGTCTTGGATGAAGACATGGCCGAATCTGCTTCGGAAGCGTCAGGAGCGGACGGTGAAGAGACGGGCCAAGGATTGACGAAGGACGACATATTACCCGATACGGACGTGCCCGCTGCATCTGGACGGCAAAAGCGACGAAAACGAAAATCCGTTACGTTCGAGCGCCGGAGACGTCGTTCATCTACTCAGAGTCGATCTGTTAACGCATCAAAAGGCCTCACGCCTGCGGCTGTTTCTTCCCGGGCTCCATCGGAAGAAGCTCCATTACTTGGGGCCGAGCCTCTCGCAGACCGGATCACCATGTATAGCAAACTTGCGATGACGAGGGATAGAAGAGCAGTGACTCCGGTCTCCGACCGGGAACGAACCCCCAGCCAAGGACAGGAGGAAGATGACTCGTACGTGGAGCAGAGCTCTTCTGAAGCAGAGACGCCTGCTGCAAGTATGAAGAGCAAGAGAAAGGCTCGGCGACCAAACTCCAGAGACGGATCCGCCGAAGTTTCTAAGGGCAACAAAGGCAGACCGACTTTCCCGATTCTCACTCACCGACTGGCTAATGTGTCGACCTTGCCGACTATCTACGAGGATGGTGAAGACCCAATGGGGAATACTCTCCCTGATGTTGCAAATCATCGGGCTCAACCAAACGTGGTGGACGTGCTAGCCCAGATCTGTCGCGAGACAATCTCAAACGCGATCGACCGCCTAGGCGAAACGACGCAGCCCAATAAACGGACTTCACTGAATAACAAAAGGAGCGCCCTCGAAGCATTCGGTAAGGACCTCGATGACGAATTGTTCGCCATGTCTGAGGCTGTAGAAAACCGCATCAACCTGGAAGCTCGCGTTCGGAAGACTAGACGGGAGAAAGGAGCACTGCAAACGGAATATATCGAACTGAGAAAAGAACGAGAACAGGTTGCGTTGAAGTGTGATGCGCTCAGGCGACGGCACTGGCAGTGCGAAGAGTCTACCAGAAAGAAGTGGACGGTCAGCGAGGCGGTTCGACGTGTGGAGCAAGAGATGGACCGCAATCCAGACGCCGACGAAGGTATCGAGTTCCTGATACGAAGCGTGACGGCGGGGGTCAGCAGTGCCTCCGGACACGGTATCTTGGATCAAGTCAAGTCGTTCAATGCTCAGCTGGAAAACATGGCACTGATTTTGGAAGGCGGCAACGTTGTTTGATGTTGCTTATTGATGATGTATCACGAGGTAAACAATCTGAGACGAATGGCCATGGATGGACTATGCTTCTACCAAACCCTATACTTTGATATACGGCTTGTCACTGCAGTTCTCACTGCAGTTCTCGCTTATCAGAGCAGGACACTGGGTATATAGAGACGACACGTTGAGAGAATGACAGTCAAGTCTACCATTGACGCTTTGTTTACCACGAAGGTATCTAATACATTAAGGTATCCTCGACGAGGGCTAGTGAGGCTGAAGTTGTTCCGATAGCGGAGACTTCGCAAAGCTTCTCCAACGGGAAATGTTTTCTACTCCGCTTCGCGCACCAGCAATAGAGTCTTCTGTCTTTAAAGAAGTCTCGTAGACTCGCTGCAGATATGGCAGGCCGAACGTTGCGGATAGGTATGCGCTCCCACCCCCAGGATATATCGATCCTCACACTGACATGCACACCTCCAAACAGGTCTCATCCCCGGCGACGGGATTGGACGCGAAGTCATTCCGGTACGAATCGCACGAGCCCATTGACTGCTCCATTCGAGCTATGTTCATGTCTGACACACAAGCTTCCAGGCAGGGAAACGCATCCTCGAGTCACTCCCCGCGTCGCTGGGTTTGAAGTTCTCCTTCGTCGACCTCGATGCCGGCTTCGAGTGCTTCCAGCGCACTGGCACCGCTCTGCCAGACAAGACGGTCGAGACGCTGCAGAAAGAATGTGACGGCGCCTTGTTCGGGGCTGTGAGGTGAGCAATGTACCAATCATCTGGGCGAAAGAGCCATGCATTGCATCTCTATGTTGCTGTTGTTGGAAGAATGACACTCCATCCCCTTCTGGTTGCTCGTGCACTCTCAATGCTCACTTCGAAATCCAACCGACTGACCATTCTGCCTCCGCTTCCTCTGTCCGAACAGCTCCCCTACCACCAAAGTCCAGGGCTACACGTCCCCGATCGTGGCTCTGCGCAAGAAACTGTCCCTGTACGCCAATGTCCGCCCTTGCAAAACTACCCTGTCCCCAGCCTTCCAGTCGCCCGTCCCGCACCCCATCGACATGGTCATCGTGCGCGAAAACACCGAGGATCTGTACGTGAAGGAAGAGAAGACCTACAGCGACGGTGAGGGCGGCGAGATCGCCGAGGCCATCAAGCGGATATCGAGCAAAGCGAGCTGGCGCATCGCCAACATTGCGGGCGAGATCGCACTGCGACGACAGCGGATGCGGGAGCAGCAGCAGCAGGAGGGGCCCTCGGCGGAGAAAAAGCAGGGCATGGTGACCATCACGCACAAATCCAACGTGCTCTCCCAGACGGACGGCCTCTTCCGATCCACCGCGCGAGAGTGCCTCTCGCAACCACAGTTCTCGTCTCTGAAGATCGAGGAGCAGATCGTCGACAGCATGGTGTACAAGCTGTTCCTGCAGCCGCAGTACTACGACGTGATCGTTGCGCCCAACCTGTACGGCGACCTGCTGAGCGACGGCGCCGCCGCTCTGGTCGGGTCGCTGGGCCTGGTGCCCAGCGCCAACGTCGGCGAGGGCATCATCATCGGCGAGCCTTGCCACGGCTCCGCCCCGGACATCGAGGGCAAGGGTATCGCCAACCCCATCGCAACCATCCGCAGCGTCGGCGTCATGCTGGAGTTCTTGGACCTGCCCGACGCCGCCCAGGCCGTGTACAACGCCGTGGACGCCTCCTTGGGAGAGGGCAAGTTTGTTTCGCCTGATCTGGGCGGCAAGGCAACCACGCAAGAGGTGGTCGATGACATTGTCAAGAGACTCTAGAGCTCGTGGAGAGGAACAAGATGCTGCAGAAGTGGGCCTGAAAAGTATGAATCAAGACTAGAGAAGCTGCGAGAGGTCCAGGGCTTGCACGCCCTCCTTTCGCTTATTAGAAGACGAACAGGAAAGAAAGGGGCTCCAAAATTCGAAAAGTTTCAAAGGTACACACAAACAACTACATTACGCCGGGGAGAATTGTGACTCGTAGAGGTGTTAACTAGCAGAGAGACGCTCCCGATGCGGACAGCGTCAAGCAACGAAAAGGTTAGTTAGCCTCCCACATACAGCCTGACTGCTTTGCTCAAGTTCAAAGCCAATGCTTAACAAGCCTCCGCCATCATATCTTGTGTTGGCGAGCATTTGGAAGATAGCGGCATTGAGAGAGCTGGCAGAGCCTATACTCGGAGTAAACATGAAGGGCCGCAGCTCGTATCGAACTGTTTCTGCGGATGGTATATCATAAACATGTATGACATTAATAGCTATACATTCCCACTGGGTCATGATCCCCCAGTCAACCCATTCCCAGGGCTTCAAATTTTGAAACTGCACATCGTCGGAACCGCCATGCGATCTAGTCGGCGCCGCTTTCCTGGTGACCAAGACAAACATGTGTTGCAGAAACTAGGAGGTCCAGGACGAACGCTCTGTTCATATATGCCATCGTCCAAAACCAACGATTCGATCCCTCATTATTGCTTCTTTGTCGCGAGCTGCCCTTGCTCCTTGTCGAATGCCGCGTACGTGACTTGCAAACTGGCCACACCGGAGATGGCAACATATAAGATGAGTAAGAGCAGGAAGCCGACGAGGTAGCCCATGAAGATTCCTGCGCGAACACGTTAGCAGATGGCGGAATCAAGTTTGAGCGACAGACACAGCTAAATAGAAGGGAACAACGAGAGAACGCACCGGGAGTGAAAAATTGATACTTATCAAACAGTGGCCCGTCGATCATGGTCTGGTTATTGCCGGTCTTGTTGGCCGCAGCATGCAACCCGAGATCTCGTTTCAGATCGAGATGCATGTTTTCTTGTATTTCGGAGTTCATGTCATATTCCGCGGCTTCTTTTTCGCCCGCTCCTTGAGCCACCAGCATTTCATCTTGCGAGCGGCTTGTAGTGTACAACACCGTGTAGTTCTGCGTGGGCAGCAGATCTATCACAGAGGCCAAGAATGCGTCATTCGACGAGAGGTCGTTAGCTCTGTTCGAGCCAGCCGATGGCGCCGGGAGGACAAGCTCGAGCAGGCGCGGTGCTGGGGTTAACTCTTTCGTGGGAATACCTTCTTTCGAGGCGTCGATGGAGGCGGTCGAGACACCGCATTTCGTTTTCAATACATCTACCCACGTAGAGCTGTCGAGGCGACCGAAGACGTCTGGGACCGTCAAGCTGCTCCGGATAGCCGACCCTTTCGACTGGGACGGCGACAACGCTCTCGTAAGTAATGGCGTGGATCTCTGAGAATTGGAGTAGTCTTTAGCAGACACTCCAGGTTGCGACACCAGGATGTAGTAGTCTGACGGGCACGAGGAGAGGGTCAATGCGATATCGGAGGTCAGGAGAGGTGCGGACTGGACGTGGGAGGTCGTTGCTAGAAGTCTGCTTTCACGGCGGACAATGATCAGTTGAGATATGCCTGAACGTGAGGGTGGATGTTAACGTACTCTGAGGTTGAGAACATGAAGAAGGGCGCGGTGTCAAGATAGCCATGGGCGCATTCAGCGGCCAGCGCCAAAGCGCACAGTCGAAAGAGACGCATAGCGCTGAGGTTGGCTGAGGATTGTCGTCGTCTAGCAGTCGACGGAGGTAGGCTGGTCTTGAAGCTTTGATATGATGCATGAGAGCGCAACCTGCACCTGGAGTTCTACCGCTTCATCGTATACCCAGGGCGCAGCTAGTCGGCCAATCGGAGAAGCAGATATCTAGGCACTTTTTTCATGTTTGCACTCTCCGATAAGCCTGGACGTCGATAAATTTTCCCACTGAGCTCGACCTCAATCTAATGTTGCGTTCTTCTTTACATCTTCATTGCTGATTCCTGCAACCTGCAGGCTTCCCATCACGAGTACATAACGACAGGGGTGCAAACCCCTCTTTCTGGATATTTGTTCACTGATGATAGCGACACCAGAGTGGTTGTTGTCGCCTCTGTCCTTGGATGTCGTTTATTTCTACCCGTTTCAAGGTATCTATGATCCGTCTCTTATGCTTCTGTGTTTCCTCTTCACACGAAATGCACTCACGCAAAAGCATTGCATATGATGATACAAATTCTAGCTGATTCACTTATTTTGGTCGAGACCATTTATTAATGAGTCAATGCGAATAACCGTTTCTTTCCCCTTCTGAGATTCATTCTGTCCTGATCCATTTCGAGTTCTGCTGTCTCCCTTTCGACCCTGCTGACTCTTTTCGAAGGCTAGGGAATGTACAAATGCAGTTGGTCCCAATGCCAACATGGTTTTGAATTTCCGATCAGTGGCTTAAAGGATTGTCCTTGCGTGTCTTTCTAGAGCAAGGAGGCCACCTTGAATATCACCTATCCAGCCCCACTTCTTTTTCCGTATGGCTTCTTGCCCTGCCGCTGCTTCGGCGTCAACTTTTTCTATCAGTTTCGATGCTGCGAGTTGACTGTCATTTCCGCGTTGGCACACGAAATACACTGGCGGAAACTGGAGGTTTTCGCCAGTATCGTCGTCTGTCTCTCGTGCTGGGCTCGGAGGTATCTCATCGGACTGGCCTATTGGCTTCCCGGGGTAACTGTCATGCCTTCTGGTCACAGGTATGTGTGACTCTTGATTAATGAACCCTGCATCGTCTGCTAGCTCTCTTGCCGGGCTCGGTGGTATCTCATCGGACTGGCCTATTGGCTTCCCGGGGTAACTGTCATGCCGTCTGGCCACAGGGACATGTGACTCTTGATCGATCATGCCTCCGTCTGGTCCCACTACATTAGAGGGACTAAGCTCTGGTCCAGCTTCGAGAACAGCAAAGGCATCGCTTCCCTGCCTTAGAATCTTCGAAAGGGGTATATTTAAACTGTCCCGAACCTTCGGGCCGAGTTCGTACTCGTGTTCCTCGCGCACGTCGACCACAATAGGCCTGCTGTTTCTTTTACCTCTTTGGTCCTGCTGTGCTCCGACCTTGGCGTGCTCGCGTAGGAAGTCTCTTGCGTGGACTCTATATTTCATGTCGAGAAGTTTGTGGCCTTCAAAAACGCCACAAAATGCTTGGTAGTCCAGTCTCCCGGCCGAGATCACTTCTGCTGTGATCTTGCTCAGACCTTTAGTGGCCAGAGCCTCGTCATCGCCGCATGCGACACAATCTTTCCGCCGGCCTCGGAGGCGGAGCGTGCGGAACATATTTCGTGGATCGGCGGTGTAGGTGTCGTACAGAAGCATGGTGTGTATTTTCTTTTGTCCAGACGTTTCCACCGAAGATCCCGTGTTATCCAGACGCTCTCCTGCTGTGTCTTGACGACAGAGATGGCCGCCGCTTGTGATTATCTTGATAGCCTCGCCGGCCATCAAAGTCCCTACCATGCCGACGACAGGACCCAAAATCCCAACCTCACTGCACCCTCGCACCGTTTCCGGGGCTGGGGGACGAGGGAATACACAGCGATAGCAAGGTCCCTTCTCGTCTCCTTCGGAGGAAGTAGGGGGGGAGTTGAGGACAATGAGCGTACCCTCACCCCTTTGTGCCGCACCGCTAACAAGCACTTTCCTCAGCACCACGCACGCGTCAGAGATTAAATAGCGCGTTGCGGGGTTGTCTGTGCAGTCGAGCACAAGATCGTACTGTGCCGCGATGTCCAGAACATTGCTCGCACTGGCCGATTCCTCGTGGCAGACGTAGGTAATATCCGTGTTCAGCTCTCGACATCTTGCGGCCGCAGACTGGACTTTGCTCTGACCCAGTCGTGCAGCAGATTCGGTGTGGACAATCTGACGATGAAGATTGCTGATTTCCACGTTATCGCCATCCATAAGACCCAATGTACCGATTCCTGCACCGGCTAAGTACAGTGCAGCGGGTGAGCCGAGCCCTCCCAGTCCGACTATAAGGACTTTGGAGGCTAACAGAAATTCTTGGCCGCGAAGTCGGATTTGAGGCACGAGCATTTGGCGGTTGTATCTGCCAGAAGCGAGAGATGGAGCAGGGAGAAGAGGAGATGAAGATGGCTGGATTTCTGGCCTTGAGGGTAGAGAGGTGGATTGTTCTTCACGATACATTCTTGAACCTGGCTGTGGGCGGATTTGGGGATCCGACATGTCCATGGCTTTTGTTTTTGATTTTTCGACAGATTGGGCGTGCATCGGAGGCAATGGGTTGGCCTCGGGCGAAGGCATAGACCTATCTACACCTCAGTCAACGATCCGCTGAGTTGAAAGAATAGAAGAAACAAATGGTGTACAATAAAACAAGAGCATTCATTTATGACGTTTCCGGTCTGGTTCCCAGCAGCGTGTAATCATGTGGTCACCTGAAACGCGGGCGACTGTCCTCCTGGAGGAGACCGTTTGTCTGCCCCTGAGGTGGCTATATCCATACATAGACCAATAGACCATACCCCTCAGCCCATTCTGTCTCGTTGGTGGGTATCATGTCATATTTGTAGGTCAACACCAAGATTCTCCGGCATTTCCGGACAAGGTTCGGCCAGTTTCGGCAAAACAAATTTCCCGGCGTCGCAGAGAAAGGCATGTGCAGAAATAATGGCGTCGGACTTACTCGTCTTCTGGTTCGATCAGGTCGGGAAGATGATCTGCCTTCTCCTTGCCTTCCAGGACGTTGTATACGGCAGTAAGTAGAGGGAAGTCCCTCTCCATTCCCTTGTACTTGAGAAATTTGTTCACTTCGTGGGCCGTTAACGCTCCTTGCAGCTTCTGACCATTCAGTTCTCTTTCTTGAATCTCCTCGATTGATTTGCCTTCTTGGATGCTCATTTTGGCGCACCGAAAGTTGCGGCCACCAGAACACGAGGTAATCAAGTCTGCAACGCCCGCTGACTCGACGGTGAAAGTGTCAGATTGAATTGTATGAGGGAAGAATCTGTTTCCAAACTCTCTCATCTCCAGGAGGCCAATTCGCATGACTGCTGCTTTGGCATTGTCACCCCAGCCCAAGCCGTCGACCCAACCGGCAGCCACAGCAACGACGTTCTTCAAAGCACCACCCAGAGAGACGCCGGCCACATCAGAGACTACTCGCACGTGGAAGTATCGACGGTGGAACAGCTTTTTCAACGTGTCATGGTCGATGGAGTGATATTCGGCGGGCAGGGGCGTGAGCTGGACTTTTGATGGCTTGCCGGAGACATCCTTGTGTACCAATTTGGTCAAATCAACGTGGCTGGAAGCCGGGCTGGGTCCTTGAGACGTGGCGGGTGTAGGTGATTGTGAGTCCATCAGCGGCGGGTCGTACGCAACAGTCGTTTCACTGAATTTCTCCTGGGCCACTTCACTGGCGATGTTTGCTCCAGACAAAGCACCACAATATATGCCTAATTCCTGTCCAATGGTCTCGGAGAACAAGCTGATGGAGGATTCGTGGACATTGACACCTTTGATGCACGAGATGCCTCGGGCGAAGGGTAGGATATGGCCGCGGAGCTGTTTGCATAGGTTGATAATAAATTGGTGAGGGAGATTGAATATCAGGATGGTAGAATTCTTGACCGAGTCGACCAGGCTAGGATTGGCAACGACGTTATGGGGTAGCGCGATTCCAGGAAGGTATTTAACATTCTCGTGGAAAGCGTTTATGAGAGTTGAGAGCTTTTGCTTTCCTTTGCTGAACTCGGAGGACTCGTCGTAGTGCTTTGAACCCTTGTCCAGTTCGACCTGCTCTTCATAAACCCACATCTGCACCTCCCGTTCGAAAAGCTCGGGGTGTTCCAGTGTGTTCTCTCCCACGAGTTTGGCAATCGTCGATCCCCTGTCTACGTCAGTGAGGATCTTGTAGAGGAGGCATAGGCATTACCAGTTTCCGGAACCGATCACTGTGACCTTGTGTTTCTTCGCAAAAGGTGTTAGAGCAGACATCTTCACCCGAAGCCCGTCCATGGTGACGGGGCTGCTGTGTCTTGGGACGGCCGAGAGCAAATGCGAGGGGACAAAAAGTTTAGAGAAGCGAAGAAATAAAGGCGGGCGAGACGGCAACAGCATCCAGTGCTGGATAGCTGCGAGCAAGGAAATTGGACAGCAATTCTCACTGCGAAATTTGGTGAGTGGTGGGCTGGACGCAAAAGGATCTGGGCAAAATGTTGGTCAACTCAACATCTCGCGTGACGCAGGAACATTTCTTAACAGGAAAGGTTTATTGAGGTTAACGAGTCCAGCTGATCTTTTACTGCCCGCTAGTAGTGGGGAAGAACACAGCTCCACCAGGCCAACGAATTCTGTTTCCAGGGCTAAAGGTGCCTAGATTGCCAGGGAGTTAGGCTTCCAGGGCTCCCGAATGGGCACCGAGGAACCCCCCGCGCTTGCTTATCGATAAGGAGGAAAGCCTGGTGGTCCCGATATGACGCATTGCCTTTCGCCCGCGAGAACGATAGATGGGCTACCGCAAGTGACTGCACTAATGGCCGAGTACAAATTGCTTCAGGCCAGCGCAAGCCGTAAATACAATATGACTGATGGCGCAGAGGAGTCACTAACCTCTGGGCATAACTATGTCTCAATGTTTAGAGGTTGCCCCGTTGTAGACTCAAAAGTCGCTCGTACGTCCCTCTGCTGGACAGTCCAGCCATCAAGACAAATCAGAGGAGGAGTGTGGAAGATCTGCTCATTCGACCGCCTATTCCCGTGTCTTGGTCCGTAGTTTCTCCACACATATAGGATCATCGTCGTTCGATTTCCCTCGCCTATCCGCACGTGCAACCGGTGATCAGACTCGCAAAAGAAACACTTGAACACTTCTGATTCTCCCAGACTATAACCATACTTCTCAAACCGCGTGCGAATGGCGAATGTCTGCCATATGTCGTTGTCGATTCCAATTGTAGGATTTAGATGTAGGCACACGTTCCGGACCAAGAGGTGCGCCATAGCCTTCACTGATTGTGCCGATTTCGCCATTATCTCCATTCGACTTGCCAGTATCAGTTCGCCGCCTACTATACTACCCGTGCCTCGTTCATTCGAGAAATACCGTAGCGGTCAACGCCACCGGTATTTAGGGAAGATACGGGCAAGCCGTAGTCGGGGCCAAACTCATCGGCTCGTAAGATCAAATCAACCACTCCACGGCTTACTCGTATCTTTTTATACTGTATCGCGTTGATAGAATGGCAGTATGATAATACCGTATCCGTCAACGTGTGGAGACGCTGACGTGGACACTTATAATCGGCGTATTTCCTCTTCCGCCAGAGATACAGAAGGACGCAGGTGCGGCATGTTAGATATCCCGGGTGATCGAGTTCCAGCAGTTGTAGAAAGCGTATCTTGTTGGCTTTATCATTATTAAGCATCAAGTCGAGGTGGGAATTAAGAAGACCACGAAGTCGTCGACGCGAGAGGCTCAGTAAGACCTGGGATTGCTGGGGCGGAAAGCTCGCAACATGGAGAATGAGCTCGTTAGGAAGTTTGAGGATTGGAATATGCTCGGCTTTGTCGACGGGACCCTTCTGTGGCTCCTTTCATTAGCTTCGCAGTCCTTTCCGGAATTCTCGGCGCCGTCGATGAGACTTACGGTTTGAGGGCTCTTCTTCTGCACGGAGGTAAGACATCGACGCAGCCAGAACCACCATTTCCTACCCCCAGGTTGCTCTGTCATCTGTTGCGAATCTCAGGGAGCAGGGAAGTGGCATCGCAAAAGGAAGCGATTTGCAGGGCTGTGGGCGTTCAGGGCTGTTGGAAGGGTGGTCCTGCAAGTTCACAGTTCCTGAGAACGCCCAGGTACTGCGGTGTAGGGTAGGATTGTAAGTCAGGTATGAGAGTCGGCGTGACAGATTGGTGGCAGCGTGAAGAGGATAGTGTGCTCGATGCCGGGTTCCACTAGTCTACTTATGGTTACTGTGTTAGCGCCACCGCAGCCTAGTGGTCACCACCGACTCGCGTACCCGGACATACGCCAATCGACTCGTTCACCAAAGAGCCATCAGTGATGCAAGAGTTTGTTTTCAGCCACTCAGGACTGGTGGGAGATCCTCTGTGGGGGAGCAGTGTCAAGCGCCAATAATTGGCCGGTTGTATACCAATTCACCATACCCTTAGTTTGTGTTTCCTTTTGTGCTAAAAATTTGGACATATTACTGCTTCTTCAATTTGTGTGCTTCACAAGCTCCAAATCGACCAACCAGGGCCTATGCATGAAGTCCTCGTGTCCCATAATGGAGGCGTTGACGAACAGTGTTTCCTTGCCCGCGTCCAGCTGATAATCATCTTGGCTGCAGTGACTTGTTACAGCACATTTATTGAGCTTCAGCTTTTCCAGTCTCGCACGCTTTCCCTGGGCGGTCTCGTCCGAGTCGGATGTTGTGATTCGGAGCGCAGCCAGTCTCTCAACAACTGGCGAGTTTTCGTTGTTAATGGCGGTGAAGTGGGATGGCTGATCAATCCCGCTGTCTTTCCAGGTCACGACCCTTGCACCCCAACCCTCGTGGATATGGCCAAAGCAGTGGACACGGGGTCGGGCACGGGCTATGGCGATGAAAAGATCGGGGCAGCCTGCGCGTTCACGGCCGTGTGTCATGTCCATGATGCCTTTGGGAGGGCCGTGCGTCATGACGATGTCGGTGTCTTCCTCGATATCGAAACGGCGCCCGTTGTTTGGGTGATATTGAAAGCCCCAAGGCCCGAAGGCTGGAGTGTACGGGCTGGCATAAACTTTTAGCAGCGCTCCATGCTCAAGTGTAAAATAGTGGGTTCCCTCGTCCAAAAAGACGATGCCCTCACTCCTTGCGTCCTCGAATAATTGTCTTGCTTGCCCCAGGCTTCCGTATTCTCGAGCCACAATCTCGGGTTCTAGGGGTTGTGATGCCTCTGCAAGTTTGGCTTCGAAGGCAGCAATATCCATGGTAAAATCATGGTTCCCAGCGATGACTAATTTGAGCGGAGCGTCAAGCTTCTTGAGCATCTCGATTGAATTTCGAAATTCATCTAGCTTTGAGCCGTCCGTGAGGTCACCACAGTGTAGGGCCACATCCACTCGCTGTGGAGGTCGATCTTCAGAGCCGAAATCTTTGCCGTGTGTGTCGGACAGGACGAGGAGCCTCGTCCGAATTTTCTCTGGCATTGTAGAGTAATCGAAAAGTGTGGAGGAGAGAGTTTGATGTCGAGGGATCAAACTTCTAATGGTGAGAGACTGGTTTCAGTGTTGAAAGGCTGATTGCTCAGCTTGAGAGATCAGGTTAGGTCCTCAAGGTGTGCAATAAAGCGTGAAATCCAGGACTTTCGTAAAGAAGCAGGACGCAGTCGCTCGATGCGAAACCTCCTGACCTTAAGGTGGGAATAGGAGGGTTAATTTATTGTCAATTAGACATTTCTGGGATGAACGGAACCGCTGTCTGTGGAAGCATATTAACACGGTCAACCAGTCACGGAGCGTATACACACATAAGTGGATGGAAGTCTCTCACTACGAAGAGTTTGGTAGAGAGGTGAATGTGTGGTTGATTTCGCATATTTCCACGGTATGAGCCCGAGAGACATGTATTCAGCCACCTGCGCCCTGTGGATCACTTTAGGTGGTTGCTGCAAAAGCGGGATATGCCTTCCTCAACACTCTCCTATTCGCTTACTGAAGTTTTCTTCTGCCCGAGAGCTTCACTGTATGGCCACGCCTGGTTGATAGTTGGGATGCGTATGTTCCATGCTAGCCTCCCCACCCTAGATTTCTGGAGTGTTATCGGACCGGCGGTTGTGCACGGTATGGTGCATGAGGACGAGTTCGACAAAACACGTTTGAAGGAAATAGTATTGACCCGATCCAATGAGCAAGTCTTCGCAAATTCACCGTCTTCGACTACACATGATGTAGTATTCTCCGTCTCGACCTTTTCGGCGCTACTGCAGCTTTCAATCTACCAGGCACGCAGCGACAGGGGGGTGTCTCAAGCCTGTCGGCGGGGATTCCCTACAAAGCACAATGCCTGGAGAGGAGCCCAGTCCGATCACATTAAGCAGTTGTGAAGGGCCGAATTTTCATCATCTACTAGTATTGCGAAGGGTCTGATTTCACCTGCCACTGTTGGCCGATCCATGACGCCATCGTCGGGGATCGACATATATTATGTCAGTGCAAGCTCCAACGCTCGCCTCGAAGTCGATTCCATTCGCAGAGTCTCTTTGGCGATTCGTCTGCTAGCAGAACACTCAGCAGGTGTTTGTCTCGGTTGAAACACCAACAAGGCTAAAGCGGATACGTCGAAAAAGGGGTTGCCAAGGCTTGGGACATCGCTTGTCATGGACCACCACATATTGCGAACTGCCTACCAAGAACATATTGCTGACGCGTGAGAGGTTGATGGAGAAAAACCAAGTATTGACATACTTTGTGAAGAGACTTGCTAGCTTAGACCGGGTGCTTGAACCCTCCTGACAACAGGGTCGTAGTCGAAGCCTGTACACGAGAACTCTTTGACCAGCATCTGCTCGTGCCTTGGTCGACCTTGATTTCGGCCAACGATATCTTTCTGTGATGAAGCAAACAGCTTCTGTCCGATCTCTTTGTCAACAAACATTATCACAACCTCCTGGATTCGCCATCCCGCAGAAAAATCTCTCCTCTTTATGTCCGGAATGTCTTTCACATTGGCTTGGCCCTTCACTCATCGTCGTCGTCCGTGGAAGGGGCAGGAGGGGTAGGAAGGGGAAACGTCCAAGCCTCCATCTGCGTAGGGATGTCCCAGATTCTCATCTCTCCACTCAGTCGGATGTAGGAACTGTGAGCGATGGGGCATTCATCGTTGAAGCAGAATGACGGTGTGGTGGTGTTGGGTTTGAAACACATGACTGGGTCGCCGTGCGTGAGATTCACCTTGAACCAACAGCCTCCGGCCACCAAGACGATTTGTCGGCGCGAGAGGCATGGATACTCGCCCTGCCACAAGACGTTTCTGGCTGGTCTTCCGGTAGCGTCCTCGGTGCCACCATCTTCACGAAGCATACGGATGTCCGCACTAAAATTCCAGCGATTAGTATGGCTTGTAAGTGAGCGACACTACGAAAAACTTACAATGTCGTGTCTGCATGTGTGAAGATGAGGATGCTCTCGTCGTCGTCTTCAATAAGCTCAGTCGGACTAGGGGCTAAGTCAGCTGAGGAACGCCGTGATATGAGGAAAGGACAAACATGACAAGGTTGACCGGAGTCTGGTCATCGTCGACTTTCAAACTGACTCCACACCTGCAATATGTGTCAGTGTTGCTCAGACGACAGTCAAGCCGACAGGCCGGTGAGACTTACAGAGGACGATGGTCATGGAACCAGGATCGTTTCAGCTCCATGACCGAGACAACCCATGGGCGTGTGGGCCGACCAGGCAGAGAAAGCACAGTGTTGGACATGCAGGGTCTCTTGGGACTGATGGGGGCATCATCTTCAGAGCCTACGCCATCAGCAAGTTGCTCATCCTGAACAAAGAGAAAGATGTGATTGAAGTTATGTTTATATATTGACTTACTTTCAATCTTCAAGAAGGAGCGTTTGTTCGATGCTTTATCAGAGACACCTGGGTCGCTGTGGTCTTCCGCCTGTTTCCGTGTGAGCCGAGCAGTGACTTCAAGGGGCAAGGGAGAGGCAGACAGTCACCTTGATATCTGAAGTCGGGTGACACATGGTTACGGTTTTCAGTTTGATGGCGCGGCTTGTTTCTGATAGTCGTGCGGGTGGAAGTTATCAGGTTGATAGAAAGTGGCGCGGTGGTAGAGATGAAAGAAGAGAGACGTCGCGTTCAGAAAAATATTTAAGGCAAAAACAAAAACAGGAGAAAGAGGCAGTGAAGAGAATTATTTCACTGCCGGACCTGTGAATCAGCGACGCATCTTCACTGCTAGTGACAATGTCACATCTCAGCCTCAAGCGCAGTTTTCCCGCAAACATTCATTCCCCCGGCTCAAGTCATTTTCACCTTCTGCGCATCTCCCCCATCAAGGCAGTACGAGCTGGCAATCCAAATCACAGCATCGCTTTCGGCATATACTTCATGGCCTGCCTCACACCAAGATCCCCCAGAATCTCCTCCGTGCCTCCCAGAATGGCGTCGAACTTGTACGTGCGATGGAACATCTCCACAGTCCTGCCCATGCCGGTGGTCGTGATGCCGCGCCCGCCGAAGATATTGACGGCGTCGTCGGCAATCTCGTGCGCCGCACGCGTGGCAAACATCTTGAAGAGCCCGATGGGGCCGGCCAGGTGTCGATTCTGCTCCTCCTGGGTCATGTTGCACATTTGGTAGGTGATGTTCTCGAGGTAGTTTTGGATGGCTTCGGCGTAGGCGATCATTTTAGCGAGTCTAGGACAACCGTCAGCAAAGAATGAAAAGCAAAGCGAAGAGGGGGAGCCGGATTTCATACTTTTGTCGGATCACGGGCTCCTCTATCAGCCTCTTTCCAAACACCCGCCGCTGGTTCGCCCACTTGAGACATTCCTCGACGGCCATCCGGCTCGATCGAATGCTGAACGTCGTGATCATCCACCGTTCATGGTTGAAGTTCGTCATGATCACCCGGAATCCTTGGTCTTCGACGCCGAGGAGGTTCTCGACGGGTACTTTGACGTTGTCGAACTTGATGAATGCCGTCCCAGCGGTTGTGGAATAGCTCGTCTTGATCTGGGTGGTCTCGACTCCCTCCTCCCTCTCGATGAGCAGCACAGAGAAACCCTTTTCGGTTTTGACGCCGGTGACGAAATAGTCACAGAAGACTCCGTTGGTGATCCATTTCTTGGTGCCTGGGGTAGACTGGTTGTTAGAGAGGTAGTACGTGAACGGTGGTGTATACCAGCTTACCATTGACTATGTAGTGCGTGCCGTCGGCACTCTTGACGGCCGTGGTCTTCATGCCAGCCACGTCCGAGCCAGCAAACGCCTCTGAGATTGCCAGGCAGATCTTCTTCTTGCCCGAGAAGCACTCTTCCGCGACTCGTTTTCGGATCTGGGGCTTTGCATGGTACAGGACAGCCGGCAAGCTGATGATCATACCACCCAGGTTACCATCGTTGAAGGACCGAGCCCCCGTTCGACAGAGCTCCTGAGTGATGACCATCTCGTGGAAGTAATCGAATTCTTCCGGTGTCACTGCGCCGTTCATCAGGGTAAGCCCTTTCAGATGAGGCCCGGGTCCCATGCGCATGGCATTCAGTCCAAGGCGTCTGCACAACAACACTGTTAGATGATGCCGAAATCGGGCAACAAACAATACATATCCGACAGACTCACCCCATTTCCTGGATGATTTCGTCGGAAATCCTCTTTCCGCTATTCTCCTTTTCCTGGGCTTCGGGAGTCAGGACGGTGTCGACCCATGTTCGCACAGCTCGCTGCAGCCGCCGATGGCTCTCTTTGTAGTAAGGACTCTTGAACTGTGGCGTCAACCAGGTCGGTTCCCCGTATGGCACCAGACTGAGGTCGCCGGGCTTGGGGTATATCACTTGGGGCTTCTCGCCCTGGACGGTGCCAATGCACAACAACTTTTCATATTTCTGGAGGACCTCTAACCGGTGGAGGTTGAAGAAGTCATTCGTCGCGTCCAGCCCTCCGACCTGTTGCAGCACCGTCGAACCCCCGGGATGGGCATCCGCAAAGTCGGTCAGGTCGTAAACCTTGGCGTCGATGATACACCACAGGCTGTCGGCGGTGTTGTTGTGCGATACTTCGTCCCTGGAGATTTCTCGGCTCATGGTGGGCGGCGACGACGACGGAGAGCAGCAACCTCTCGACGATCCAGGCTGGTGAACCCTCGGAGACGCGAATGCATCATTTGTGGGAAATATGGCGGTCGTGCTTATGCGTGCACCGGAGGATCCGCCTCGGCTGACGCTGGGATTTGAATTTATATATTAGTGATACGCTTCTCGCACGGAAGAGGCTTAGGGATCGCACAAAGGCAATCTGACCTCTTCCTCGCTTTCCAGCCGGTGATCTCGGCGAGGATACAGTCCTCGACCAGCAATTCTGGTTGAGATTGTCGATGGGGTCTTTTTTTGATGTCCTTACGTACGGACTCGTGCTGCCCATGTCACACCTTTTGACGGTCAACGCCACGGATGCGATGGTCTCAGGTGAGTATCATGTACCTCGGACGAGGTCCGATGTGAGCTTACTACCCACCTGCTTGCCGTCTGATTACTACGCTTAATTCGTAACAAGTGATTCTGGATATGAAGGCCCGATAAGGGTCGAGTGAGTTCCTCCGGTCTCTCTGCACGGCGTCTGGTCCCACGAAACACCTCCAGGTCTTCCTCCGTGTCTCTCTCCAATTTTTTTTGGTTGGCCTCTAGACTAAAACAAAGATCGTCATGGCTTTCGACACGCCCCTGACGCGGAAGTTGGGGATCAGGGTCCCCGTCGTCCAGGGTGGTCTGCAATGGGTGGCATACGCCGAGCTTGCCGCCGCCGTCAGTAACGCTGGCGGTCTGGGGATCATCAACGCCTTGACGCAGCCGGACCCGGAGCACCTTCGACAGGAGATCCGAAAGACGCGGTCGTTGACGTCGAAGCCCTTTGGCGTCAACCTCACCCTGCTGCCCGCCCTCAACCCGCCCGACTATCCCGCGTTCACCCAGACGATTATCGACGAGGGTGTGACGATTGTCGAAACCGCAGGCAACAGTCCCGGCCCTGTCATCAAGAAGTTGAAGGAGGCTGGCATCACAGTCATCCACAAGGCCACGACCATCCGACATGCGAAAGCGGCCATCCGACTCGGCGTGGATATCTTGTCGATAGACGGGTTCGAATGCGCCGGCCACGTTGGAGAGTCCGACATTGCGTCTCTGATCTTGAACAGTCGTGCGCGTCAGGAACTGGGCAACACGCCCTTCATCGCGTCTGGCGGGTTTGCCGATGGGTACGGGTTGATGGCCGCCCTCAGTCTGGGGGCCGCGGGGATCAACATGGGCACGCGGTTCATGTGCACGGTCGAGGCGCCCATCCACCTGAATGTCAAGGAGGCCATCGTGAAGGGAGACGAGCACCAGACCACCCTCATCCTGAGGAGGTGGAAGAACACCAGCCGCATGTACACCAACCAGATGACGGCCAAGACGATTGAAATCGAATCCACGAGCACGACGGGGGAGTTTGCGGAGGTTGCGCCGGTGGTGAGCGGTGCTCGAGGCCGGGAGGTTCTTACGGGCGGCGATATTCAACACGGGGTGAGTCTTCGTTATGCGTTGTGGCCCTGACAGAGGTTTCTTTGTTGGCTAACTCATTGTCACAGGTCTGGTACGCTGGGCAAGTGATGGGCCTTATCTACGACATCCCAACGTGTGCAGAGCTCATTGCACGCATTGAACGGGAGGCTGGGGAGGTCTTGTCTAATCTCTCGAAATCGGTTGCGAGTCAGCGACAGCCTGCTCAGAGCAAGTTATAGTCTATCATGTCAAAGAGCTGCGAGTGATAGAGAGTGTGTAATAGAACGGGCCCTATGTAGGGGGGGTAAGAATCATCTGTATTCTCTAGATCTCAAGTATCAAGCGTGCCAATCTACTATATTTGTATTATGTATTCTGCACCACTCCGCTCGATCAGGCCTTGTCGGTACTAACACAATTGAATGCCTCTGTATTCCTCACTCGAGCATAGACTGCCATAGCTCGGTGCTTTGTGACAGATCCTCATGCCAGTCCCTACATACTTACAAAGCCTCCCTACGTACGGAAGACTGCTACAATGCGTGCAATATCTGATATTCGCTGCTTACTATTCCATCCATGGTATACGGATTTACTTACTGTATGGGACCCACGGATTGATATGTATACCGAGGCTCCCGCCACTATCGCCAGGCGCCTCGATTACTTATTCTTTATTACTATTATTCTCCTTCTCCAGCACACCAGCCCCCTAAACCCTCTTCTTTTGATCTCTTTCTAACAAACATGCTTCATATAATTTATTTGGACTGATTTAGCTTCCATCTGATCCCATGCCCCCGGCCATTTCTCGGGTTTCTTCACATCGAGGACACACGGTCTTTTAATTAAACCAGCCCTCTAGTGGTGCGAACCGGCGGAACACAAAACCAACATCAGCGAAACCACCTACATACGCATCCCATCATTCCAACCCAAAAAGAAACAACGAAAACAAACTCTCCCCTCAACGCCATGTCTCTGAACCCGCAAAAGAAGCCCGTCATCGCCGTGGTGGGCGCCGGCCCGGGGATCGGTGAGGCCGTGGCTCGCCGCTTCGTCGCCGGGGGATTCTGCGTGGCACTGCTGGCCCGCACCGAGGACAAGCTGCAGAAAATGGCCCAGGGCATCGACGCCGACCACGGCAAGGGCTCAGCCCAGTACTACATCACCGACCTGCGGCAGGAGAGCTCCGTGCTGGCGAGCTTCCAGCGCATCCGCGCCGAGCTGGGCCCCGTGGCCGTGCTGGTGTACAACGCGGGCGCGCGGCGGGTCAACGGGCGGGCCATCCTCGACACGTCGTCGGAGGAATTCGAGAACTTCACCAAGATCAACCTGTTCGGCGCCTTCTGGGCCACCAAGTGCGTGCTCCCGGACATGCTGGCGGCGGGCAAAGGCACAATCCTGTTCACGGGCGCCACGGGCGCGCTGCGCGGGAATCCCGGCCTGGCCAGCTTCTCCCCGGGCAAGTTCGGGCTGCGGTCGCTGTGCCAGATCATCACGCGCGAGTACCAGGCGTCGGGCATCCACGCCGCCCACATCATCGTCGACAGCCCCGTCGACGGCAAGCTGATCGGCGAGTGGTCACGGCGCCAGTGGCAGCGCACGGGCCAGGGCGACAAGCTCGACGACGTCGATGCCCACCTCGTCTCGCCCGCCGACCTGGCCCAGACCTACTGGTTCCTGTACATCCAGCCGCGCAGCGCCTGGACCCACGAGCTGGACGTCCGCCCGCAGAAGGAGAGCATGTTTTCGAAATTGTAATGAGAGAAGGGTGACGGTGGAGAAGGAGGAGGAGGAGGAGGAGGAGGAGGAGGAGGAGGAGGAGGAAGGCAAGGGAGGAGGAGGAAAGAAGGCCTGGCGAGAGAAGGGGGAGGAGGTGGGCGTGGCAGAGAGTCTGGCAGGAGATATCGATTTAATTGGCCCAAAGGACCACAATGGCCGTGTATTACAGTGCATTAATGGTTCGGGATCAATGCATCAATAAAAGAAAAGAAAAAAAAACATCTATTCTTTGTGGAATCATTCAATCCCTCAAATCAATCACATATGCCCTGGCACGTCCGTCCACATGTCATGCTTCCACAAACAGCAAGACTCGGCTGGCTCGATGGACCGTGCCCCCAACGTATCATCCACTTGCTCCGTGCTCCGTCCATGGCGAGTCTCTCATCAAATCACAACCTTGCCGTCTCCTTCTTGGCCTGCTCAGCCAGGACCCGGCGGAGCACCTTGCCGGCGCTGCTCTTGGGGATTGCATCGACAAATCGGATCCCGCCTCTCAGTCGCTTGTGTGGCGCCACCTTTTGGTGCAGCCACTCACAGATCTCCTTCTCCAGCTCTGGTCCACTTTTGTAGCCCTTGGCCGGCACGACATAAGCTCGGGGCAGTTCGGTCGCTCTGTCCGGGCTGTAGACCCCGATGACGGCGACGTCGTTGACGGCCGGATGCGCCAACAACAACCCCTCCAGCTGGGCGGGCGCAACCTGGTACCCGTTGTATTTGATGAGCTCCTTGACGCGGTCGGTGATGTAGATGTTGTGGTCCTTGTCGACGTATCCCACATCACCCGTGCGGTACCAGCCGTCGGGGGTGATGGACTCTGCCGTCGCCTTGGGGTTGTTGTAGTACCCTTTGAAGATGTTGGGACCCTTGATCCAGATCTCCCCGGTCTCCCCCAGAGGCACTTCCTTGCCGTCGTTCATGCATTTGAGGGAGATCGATGGCAGAAGATTTCCGGCCGAGCCCACTGTCGTGTTCCACTGTTCCCAGGACTATCGGTAATAAGTTAGCACGTTGTCCATTCGAATGGATATTGCCCACTCCACATACCTGCGTGGCCACACCCGGGGACGCCTCTGACAAGCCATATCCTTGTTTGATGGGCACTTTCAGCCGCTTGTGAACCATCTCCACCAGATCATTTGTGAGAGGTGCCGCCGACGAGTGCATCATCCGTAACGAACTCAGGTTATATTTGCCAACGAGCGGGTGCTTGGCGAGGAGCAGGACGACCGGTGGAACGACGTAGCTTATTGTGATTTTCTCCTCTTGGACGATGCGACAGAAGGGCTCCAACTCGAATCTTTGCATGATGTAGACCCTCACCCCTCGATCAACAGGACTGAGCAGAAGCACTGCGAGACCTACAGGAGAGCGTTTAGCATGGTCCCGATCAGCCGTCGCATGTGTACTGACCGTAGATGTGGTATAGGGGAAGGAAGCCAATGACTCTATCCCGACTCCAATTTGTCCGGCCCTTGTCCATCACAATGGCCTGCAGGAGATTCGTCACGATGTTCTCATGTGTCAGCATGACGCCCTTGGGCAGTCCTGTTGTTCCCGAAGAGTACACCAAGAAAGCCAGATCCTCCTTTGGATCGATCGAGACTTTCTCTGCGTCGGCCGAAGAGGCTTGGATGTCCGAAAAGTGCTGAAATCGACCTTTGGGATCTCGCGGGCCGACCAAGATAACCCGGTCCAGGGGTAAGCCGACGATCAATGCCGCCTCGCGAGCGACCTCGGCGCATGCGACATGCGTTGTCAAGGCCTTGGCCTGGGACGACTTCAACTGTGACACAAGTTCGCCGACGGTGTAGAGATTGTTGAACGGACACGCGATACCACCGGCCCAGAGAGTACCAAAAGTCACGGGCGCAATCTCTGCGCTATTGGGGGTGAAGACGGCCATCACGTCGCCTTTTCGCCAATTCCATTGTCTTTGGATGCCTTGGCCAAAGCGGAGGGCAGCGTTCCGAACATCCCGCAGTGTATGTTGCTTCTGTGCCGAGACATCGACATAGACGACTATCCAGGTTGTGAGCATGATGGGACAGGCAGGGAGGTGGTAGGGTCTGTGCCGTCACTCACCATGATCCTCGGGGAATTCGCGGTCTGTGCGATCAAAGAGATATGTCCAGACATCAACTGGAGGGATAGAGACGGGGGGATGAGCGGATTCGATAGGCATTGCGACGGAATGCAGGTTGATGGCACACTTTCAGGTGTCGCCTGTTGCTTCGGCGGCCGTACCTGGATGGGATATGTAGTGCTTGAGAGCCCCAGCGGCCCATAGGGGCACAGCTGCCGGGAACAGCAAGGTCGTCACGGGATGGGGGAGCAAGGACCGCCATTGCTGTCAGATGCCGTGTCTTTGAAAAGATTAGAAAAGGCCTTCGTGCGTAGGAGGCAAGCCTCGCCAGCCAGAGGGAGACACGGTGAATTGGGGGTGGTGGGAAGAGAAAGGGAAATTGTATAACTATTCCATATTTCATGATTAGTCGTCGTGATCCCCGCGGAGCCTCGGCAATCGCGGTGCCGCCGTGTACCAGACAAATTTGTTGCTGCTTTCTGCCCGTCCTTTGCGTGCATCGTCCCCCCATTTATTCTGCTTGGTGGCATGGACTGATCATAAATAATCATCACGACACAGGAGGGACAAGAGGACAACCTTGCAGCGGCGCCATCGACGAGATCTACTACTGCCAACGAACCAATCACCCCAACACCAAGCCCAACCACCAGTCCCACAGCTTCGTGCAAACCCTAGATTGACGTCTCCCCACCCACAGAACTCCAGTGGCAGCTTGGAAAGATGCGTCCAGAGGGAGGAAAGCTGACCATCTATGTGGATTGCGGTATGCGTAACACAGGGCCAGGCGAGATCTGTTCGAGGCTCACTGTGTGTCCCCAGTATCCCCTTATTCCTGGTTTGGCTTCACCAACACCATCCGCTACCGGCCACTCCTCAATGCATACGGTGTATCTGTGGAAATAATACCGTTCTTCTTGGGTGCCGCCCGTGATGGCGTGGGCAACCCTTTTACGCCAACTCCCAAAGCCAAGGAGGCCTTTGCAAAGCAAGACACCGAAATGACCGGGGAGATGCTCGGGCTGAAGGTCGTCCGGCCAAAGGAATTCCCCATCCTGTCTCTTTTCGTGAGTCCCACCGTCCCTGGGATCCCATCATGATTAACCGGCATGTGTAGGCAGTTCGTGTGGCCACATGGATCAAAGACCACTATCCGGCGGAGAAGTTTGAAGCGACCTTTCCGGCTTTCAGCACGGCATACTGGAGTAAAGGCATCAACATCGCGAAGCCAGAGGGTATCGTGAAAGCCCTGCAAGGCATTTTTCCCGACGAGGAGATCAAGGAAATCATGAAGAAGGCCGTCTCACCAGAGAACAAGCAAAGAGTGATTGACCTGACCATGGGATCAGGTGCCTTTGGCGCGCCGTGGATCGTCGCCGTCAACTCGGAAGGGCAAAAGAAAGAGTGGTTTGGGAACGATCGGTGGGATCAGGTGTTCTACCATTTGGGAGTCCCGTTCACGCCGGTGAGGATCATTCCACCCGGGGAAGCAAAGGCCAAGCTGTGAAAGGCGGTCGGTGCAATCATTTAGGCAGGTTTAAAGAGCAGCAGACATACAAGACGGGTCGAGGAGAGTGTTTGAACACTTAGAGTATATTACGAGCAGTACCAAATACATTCTGTGCTGTAAGGATTATCTTTCCAGGACAAACACATCGAATACGTCCAGTCTCATTCGCATCAGAACCTGTACCGAGTCTCTGGACGGGACAAGCCTTGGCAGGGGCGCACCATGCAGGTACCGACAAGTCGCTGCGAAAATTACCTCTACAGTAGAGATTTCACCCAAAGGTGCCGGTGCATAATTTGTGCGGCACTCATGAATGATTCGAGGTTTCAAAGGTCCTCTCTCACATATACTGCCATTGGGGAAGCAGTTTCCGAGGTATAGAATTTCCCAGGTAATGTCGAAATCCCAGTCAAGAAAGCAAAACACACAAAATGGCATCTCCCACTTCCTTCGAGGTGCTGCAGGGTCAACAAGGGCCCTAAATCGGTTCGTCAAATCGCAGGGAAGATGTACTTCTTTACTCTAAGGTTTCAAGATGAGCCTATACGCGGTCCTTGTCCACCATCAAGACATCTGCAGCGGGTCTGGGATGAGGCTCTTTATGAGCTCAACCAACCTGCAGTATAGTCCTATCAAAGAGTTCAATCCCTGCCCGTCGGGTCATGTTCGCCCTTTCTACGGAGCATTCACGATGGGACTCTCTTTGGATTCTGCGTCGCCCATGTCGACTGGGTCTAGAATAGTATCACGCGGCCAAGATGTCCATATTCCCCTTCCAGCTCAGACACCAGGCAGGGGAAAGGTCCACGGCTCTGCCACGAACCGCCCACGAGCCCCAGGCCACCTTCTTCTACACGAATCGCTTTAAGACCCAGCACACAATCACCGGGCCTACCTACCTTAGCACAAGACCAAGACGCACCATCTCGAGGACGCCGTCGACCAATCCCACCCGGCACGTGATGGGCCTCCCACTCATCCATCACTCATCACTCATGCTGACTCACATTCGCTATATTACTACCATGTTTCCATTTTCCAAATCCGCCAGAACCATGTGTTTATCTTTTGCAATATCGCATATTTCTCCATCAATCCAGAGGCCCTCGAACGAGGTCCGCACCATCATACCGTCTCTGGTAGTTCAGTGGTAGAATACCGGCTTGTCACGCCGGTGGCCGAGGTTGTGAGTTGTTGTCCAGTCTTCACACGGAGGAATGAGAACTGATTATCGCTACAGCAATTCCTCGCCAGAGAGACTATTTTCCTTTTTTTTTCCTGTGTCAAGTTACGGGGTTCGAATGGCCATGGCCCCCCTACATGACTTTTTGTGCGCCTTTTTTGGGTCCTGGGTTTTCCCCTACATGGGGTCTTTGTGAGCGGCTCAGTTTCAGCTGTGCGTACATCATGGTCCTGATCTCATAAGCGTGACATTTCTCTCATTTTCTATTCTTGTCAGCCTGAAAACCCCCAACGAGTGAGCGGAGCAAGGCTACCACCCGCTCACTTCGTCCTCGCCCTCCAGAGTCTGCCGCTGCAATTTGGTTGCAACGGCCTCCGCGGTCTTCCATACTCGAATCAGGTTTCCACCTGCAACCTTCGCGGCATCTGCGTCACTGACACCCAGCCTCAACAGCTCTGCGATCAGATCGGGATACTTATCCACCCCGTCTAACCCTCGGGGAGTCAGCTCGCCCATCCCATCAAAGTCACTGCCCAAACCAACGTAATCATATCCAATCTTCTCGCCCACATACATAACATGTCGCGCCACTTGGTGCAAGGTATTGTTCTTCTCGTAGAACTCCGGCAACACGCTCTCATTCGCAGGAGGTAAGCATGAGATGAACCCGGGGCTGAAATTAATCATCACCAGGGATTTCGTTTCCTTGACTAGATCTAGAATATCGTCATGGACGTTTCTCGGGTGTGGACACAATGCGAATGCCGATGAATGAGAGTATATGACGGGCGCCGCCGAGGTGCCGTTGCTCAACACCGCTTTCTGCGTCCAGTACGACGTATGCGAGATGTCAACGAGCATTCCCAGGCGGTTCATCTCGCGGATCACATCACGCCCGGCTGAAGTCAGTCCACCGCGTTGGTAAGGAGCAATGCTTGTGCCATTCCCTGTTGAAATCAACGCTGCATCGGCAAATGCATTGTGACAGTTCCAGGTCAGCGTCGCCGCCCGCACGCCCAGGGCGTAGTACAACCGTAGCGTGGACAACGGTGCAGACTGCGGAACCTGGTGTAGTCCTTCAATACTGATCGGCGAGATCAGGCGCCTCGTGCTGTGGAAATTCGACAGTGCCACTTCAAGCGGCGACGTCGCCGAAGTAAAGTTCCCGGTGTACTCCCCCTGCAAGCGACGGACCAAGTCGATCTGGGACAACGTGTGCGCCACGGCCGTGGCATACTGCTCGTCTGAAAAGTCCTCGCTGGCCTTCTCCGGACACACGACGAAGGCACTCCAAAACGCCCCGCCCACGAGCCCTTTGCGCAGCCGGGGCAGGTCGACATTCAGCTCCATGTTCCCGTTTTCAAACTTGTCCCGGAACTCCTTGGTGTGTAGTTTGTTCTTGTACGCGCCGCGGATGAATATCGCCAGGTCATTGTGACCGTCGATCAGGGGAGTGTGGGTGAGGATGGCCAGCGCCCGTTCCTCGATCGTCTGGCGAGGGTTGGGGACGGGCACGATGGGTCTCGGTGTAGGTATGGGATCTGGGCCACTTGTATCGGGGCTCAGGAAAGTGGCCACGAGGCCAAACACGACCACGATGAAGAATATCGAGGCGATCTTATTCAGTGCGCCTTTGGTGGACTCGAACGACAGGGACCGGTGGTCATCATCATCCCCATCTTCTTCTGCTCCGGCATCTCCATACCCCGGCCGGGACTGGATCTCTTCGTTCCATCGCCTCAAAGACTCCTTGTGTTCTTCTGCCGGTTGTATGCCTTCGTAGCCCCTGTACTTGGAAAAGCCGTAGCCTTGGATCTCTGGCGCCGGGTCGTTCTGGGGGAGCAGAGGGTCAAGCTCGGATTTCGGAGACATCGGACGCTGTGGAGGGGAAAGACGTGAACTATGGAAGGCTTGCGGGGAAAGGGAGGGTAAGGATAGGTGAAATGGTACTCAGGTATGTCGCTTTTCTCTACATTTCTATTTTCAACTAATAATAAACTGGACATCCTATGATAGAAAGAGTCATCTGCGATGGCTTCTGCTCGATACGGAGGACGGCGTGACAGTCGTCTCCGCAAAGTGAAACGGCGATAACTGATATCGGCAACGCAACAAAATTGATCCGTCGTCGATCCGAAGGACCCGGACACCACCTGTCGACACCGATATATTGTACCTCTCAGGAGATAGAACAGCCGAGCATCATACAAGGTCTCATGCACCCTATTTCTGTCTCAGAGCAGCCATATCCAACAACCGGTAGTCGTAGACTGGTGTTTGCCAGTCGTCCTGCAGCAGACCATACGTCTCAGTAGCATCACTCTCCGGCTTGCGCGGGTTGATTGCCCAGTAGGCGAAATCGGCATCGCACTCTCTCAGATACCGCATGAGATTCCTCCAGTAGTGGTAATCTCGTCTTGACGGGAAGTTTGGAGCTCCTATCTCACCAACCCAAACAGGAGCGGTGTCGGTCTGGCGGAGGTACTCCCAGTTCTTGTCCATGTCATCGGCGAAAGACTTGTACGTTCGATACCAGTACGGCACCAGGGATCCCCATCCTGACCATCCATATACGTGAGACGAATAAACCAATTTGTTCTCCTGTGTTAGGCGAACAGGCCGATACTGGGCGCCCCTGATATCATTGGCGGACTGAACACCCTCCACGATCATCAACCATCCGGGCTGGAGTTGATGCAGTCGTTCTGCTGCATGTTCGGCAGCCGTTGCCCAGGAGTCCCACATGAATCTGCCCGTAAAACCACGGACCTCATTCCGCAGGTCCACACCAACAACCAGCGGATCGTGGATATGAGGTTTCATCACTGTTGTGAGATCTTGAATCCAATCTTCCTCAGTCTGACGGACAGGACATAAAGGGCCGAGGTCACTGTTGGACCATCCCATGTCGCAGGGATAGCCATCACAGCACCATCTCGCTTGGGTGATGTGGTTGTTGATGATGACGGCGAGGCCTGTTTCGGTCAGGGTGCGGACGACTGCAGCATAGACATCCAATGATCGAAACCCAACGAGGTCTTTGTTGGCTGCCAGAAGTTCGGGATCGATGACAGGATTCTTGCGAACAATCTCGTCGGCATATGGTAGTCGGACGCTATTGAATCCGAGCTCACGAATGATGCGGGCAATCTTGGTTCGATGTCGGATATCCAGGCCTCCAGGGATCATATATATGTCACTGGCACCATACCAGTTGACCGAGACGAGCTTGACACGCCTGCCATCCTTGTCGACAATGTTGCGGCCCTGAGTGCTGAGTGGAGGGCTGAAAAGGCGATCGTGCGGATCATAAGAGACAGTAACATTGCCTCTGATCGACTCCGCGTCAGGATACAGCGACAAATTGGCCGGGATACTTCCTCTTCGCCAGAGTATCCGCACCATGAGCCAGAGGCCGGCCAGGGTGACAAGGATCAGAATCAGTGGCGTTCTGCAAAGTTTCCACAGACTGCGCCTGCGTCTACCCCCGCTGGCTAGCAGGGAGTAGTTGGACGCATGATGCATCGGCCAGACCATTTCCAACACCGTCCAATTTGTATCTCATGCCCCCAGGGATCAGGATCGAACAATTGCGCTTGGTTGCTGGCTGGTCGCACATTTGCCGTGGCGCATTTGTTAAAGCCAGGCACAACGAGCCGCGTTGTTCCGGCCATCTCGGTACAATCATTGGCTATCCGCTGACTGTTGCATTGTCGTTGTCAGAAGCAATCAGAATTGGTGGTATGCCTATATTTGAATGCTTTGTACCTTTGGGTGATTTTTCCACCTCTTCTCCCCTCCTCGCAATCCAGGTCGACACTGGAACCACAACATGCTGCCAAAATCCTGAAATTCTCGAATTTGCGTTCGCTTCATCTGGAAGATTGCCTGAGCCTGGAGGGAACGGCCAACGAGGCACGTGGAGGACGATTGGCAATCGACAATCCGTTGATTGGTGGAACCAAAGCCGTACACTTGTGAAAGGTTCAGGTGACTGGTTAGGTAAGTTTGACGGTAAGCCCACGAGCATCGTTGTTTGGTATACACGCCATCAACACCTCTTTGTCGTCCTCGCTGCCCTCCCAAATGCGGATCACCTGGACTCGCCATTGCTAGCGCTAACACGATAACAAGACCCAAACGGGTACATGGAGGAAATGTTGGCTGTGAGTGCGCGTTGGCGAAGTCTTGCCTTTGCGTCCAGTGGTGGTGGATTTCGTGATGGTCATGCTGCCACCAGCCAGGGTGTCATTTGCAGGGGAGAGGGGGAGAAAGAAGCGTGTGATAAGACGGTGAGAAGGAGGCATGAATGCCGCAGCAGGGGGGAGGTGAAGAGACAAGAAGAAGAGATTCACACCCACCGGATTGGGGGCTTGGGTTGTGCCAGGACTTCTCCTAGCTCTAACACTCTATCCAGGAACTTGTCTTCAGCTTAATTCTTAAGATTGGCATCACTCATTACCTCGCTGCTACCTGCTACAAACTCTTCCACCTCCCACTGTCACCCTCCCGTTTCTCTGCAGCCTGCTCGGGACGACTGCTGCGAAACGCTCCAACAAGAACCACGACCATGGGCTTTCTCAGGTGGTCGCTCCGTTGTATTCCTGGCTTGTCAGTCTTTGGCCTATTGATCCTGCTCGAGGCCGCCCTGAAGATTGTTGAGACAGAATGGCTCACCTTCTTCTACCCTCCATTTCTCAGACATATTGCCAGTCCTGTCATCGCCCAGACTATTTTTATCTCCTACTCGGTCTTCCTGCACATCCTCGCCCTCCTGTTCCCTCTACGGCTATGCGCGTCCGCATATGCTGCAACACGGGAAATCCAAGCCGCTCATCGACGGTCAAGGGTCACACATGACGACGTGTTTCGATGCGATGGATTTGGAGACGAGCACCAGGGCCTTGAGCCTGAGCAAGAGACAGTGAAGGGACCAGGCCCTGTAATGATGGCAGTGGTCGTGCCCAGCTACAAGGAAGACATTGAGATACTCGAGACCTCACTGAGAGTTCTTGCCAGCCACAACCTGGCCAGATCGTCGTATGATGTTGGGCAAACCCTCACAATCGTTCGGCGGCTCAACAGCTGACAGAGATACAGATCTTCTTAGCCATGGAGGAACGAGATCCAAACGGTGTCACCGTGGCTCGGAATTTGATCCAGCTCTTCGCCGGCAAGTTTCGAGAGATGCAATACACTGTCCACCCTGCAGGTCTGCCTGGCGAAGCCCCCGGAAAAAGCAGCAATGTAAGTTGGGCCGCAAGGCAGATAGAGCAAAAATACCTGAATGACCCTGGCTGGTCAAGCGTGCTCGTAACGGTAATGGACAGTCAGTGATCCAAACAACAGGACCAAATATCGAAGGGAAACATACTGACATGGGTTTAGGTGACACCCACCTCCTGAGTCAATATTTCGAGACCATCCTCGCCCATCACCTCGACAAGCGCAAAGAGCAAGGCGTGACCGATATGACCCTCTACATGCCGCCCATTGTTTTCGACCGCAACGCGCATTTGGTGCCCCAGATGGTGCGCATCGCCGATCTGATGTGGTGCGGAGCCGGGCTCTCCTGTTTCACCAGCAAACCCACTCGATCGACTGTCGCAATCCCTACAGCAGTATATACTCTGCCACTTCCTCTTATTTGCATTGCTGGTGGTTGGGACACTGGGTCAGAGGCCATCGGCGAAGACATGCACATGATGTTGAAGTGTTACTTTGCCACGAACGGCCGTATGCTGATAAGACCAATTCCGAGTCCGGCAAGCCAGTGCAATGTCACGACGGGGAAGCCTGGAATCCGCGGCTGGCTGGCGAACCATTCTGCCCGATACGCGCAAGGTCTTCGACATATGTGGGGATGTCTCGACACTGGATATGCCGTCCGCCAGTGGTGCAAGATTGGGCCTGATTTTCTCCCTCATGATCTACCTACTCCATCGAGTGAAGGGAGCTCATCCGATTCTGACCGACCATATCGACCTCGTCACGTCGAGATATGCCTGAAACTCAGCCAGCATGCCCTTCACGGCCCCAATCTTCGAAGATTTACTTGGAGGAACCTGATCTTGTTCAGTCGCCTTTTTGAAGCGCACTTCTTACCGATCCATCTATTCCTTGTTCTGCTTGCGTCGGCCATCTATACGGCGTTTCCATATCCGATCACCTCTTGCCAACTCTTGACTGCTGCAATGGATCTCACCTCAGTTTTGCGGGGCGTCAGTTTCGCATTGATGACAATATATTTTGTTGTCTTCTATGAAGCATACCATCGGGCTTGTATTGAAGCCCGGGAACGGGAGATGAAGAGAGTCGGTCTGTATGAGGAACTGGCTGAAGAGTTCTCGTACCGCAAAAGATTCTCTCTCATCACCATGGTCGACTACGTGCTCTTCCCCATTGCGGGCACGATGTTTGGAAGCGTACCCCTGCTCCAGGCCATAGTGTCCCATTTCTGGACAGAAAAGCTTGTGTATCTGGTGAGTGCAAAGCCAGTCAAGACGATTACAAAGAATCTTGTCAGTGTCACGGTCACTGAGCAAGCTTCGGAGGTCATCGATGTCTGAATATAAGTGCCAGGGGGAATCTGTTTATTTCCTGAACATAGAGCAATAGGAGGCATGGAGGTCTTCGGAATAGATCTGAACGGGTACCTCGTACTGGGATGCCACATAGCTCCCTAGATAGTGAAGAATAATATTAATGACAGTCACAGCCCAGTGATGATTGACAAGACAACAAAGACGCGAGCAAGACACGAAAGGCAGTGTCCGTCACGTGTGGATGTGCAGCTTGCACCAAAGGGGGGAAACTCGCCGCACGTCTGCGCCCTTTTTTAACTGCCTCCCTCGACATCACATTTCCCACCCGAGTTGGCAGAACCGATTGGACACTTGGTGAACCCCGTGTGTGAGTAGTTCTCCCTGTTGCTGTTCCTTCACCGGCCAAGCATCAGCATTCCGGAAACACCGCGTTGCTTGTGAGGCGAAACGCGTCTCGGGTGACGGTCTAGCATTGAGAAGAGAACCGAGCCCAAACAGCCCCTGTTCAAAAAACCCCGGATCCACCTGCGTCCTGCTCACCACCGTTATTTGCTCCATGCAACCGCCTGACATTTTGGTCCGATTTTGGATATTTCCTTTGTCGGTTGTGTCGCTCTTCCCTTCCTCCGACCTGAGGTCTCCTGCCGTTAGACTCATATGCTAATCTTGCCGTGGAAACTACAGCCATGTCGACCAACTCTGGAAACAGCGGAGTCAAGAACCTTCGGGCAATGTTCGAGAACAAAGCCAGTGATCAATCCACATCTCCCCCCAGTCGAGGCCGATCTCCAAACCCCTCCGAAATATCCAACAACAGCAGACCCGTCAGCAAGGTCCGTGCAAGCTTCGTTGCCGTTGAAAGACCCAGTGAGAACGGAGGAGCACCCCTGCTAGGCCTCAGAAGAGCCAGTGAAGTGAGCAGTATGGGGGAGATAAAAGAGAATGCTATCGAAGACACAGAGGATGCAAAGTCAACAGCGCCAGCCGTCACTACGACGGAGGACGACACAACGTCAGGTTCACAAACGGCACCGTCTGCAAATGTCGAGACGGATGACGGCGGACTCGGTACCATTTTGAAGGGATCTGCTTTTGTCGAGCATACACCTTCCAAGCTCGCCCCAGAAGCGAAGAATCTCACTGAAGCAATTTCATCCGGTCGAATACAAGAGAAAATCCCTCGGTCGCCATCAAAGCCAGAGGATAAGTCGAATGCGGCAGAAATGGTTGAGAAGATGCAAGCAAAGGATGGAACCTTGGGCGGGCCACCCCCAACCACTACTCTCCAAACTACCAAGGATGCACAGCCAGTCAAGCCGCCACCTACGAGACAGCAGATTAATATCAAGCCCATCCCTAAATCGCCCACAGTGACGAGACCCTCCCCTCTAACCCCAACTTCGCCAAAGGTCAATATCAGAGGAGGACCTGCAAAAATCAAGGGTGTGGTGGAATCGGCGAAAGAAGCACAAAGAGCAAGAGAAGCAGCGAGATTGAGTGCCGAGAAGACAGGAAAGACCCCAGTCACGGCACCGAAGATTGACACAAGTGCAAAATCGACATCTGCCTCCGAAAGCCACAAAAAAGAGCAGACACCTGTAACTCCTAAAGCCGTCAGATCGCCCACCACCGTCAAACCCAAACCCCCCACAGTACCTGGGAAACTTCCCGCTGCGGCTACCGCCACGACCGCTTCAACGGCTGCCAAGCATGATGCACCGCATTCACCACCCGAAGCTGATCGCAAACCTGTGGCGAAGAAACCGACCACCACTTCGTCGACACGACCACCCCGAGCTAGTAGCTCAGCCAGCACGTTTCCGTTAGCAAAGAAGGCATCTCGTACATCACTGACCAACGGACACGACAGACCGAAGTCTCGAGTCAGCACAGCCAGACCAGACGAAGGTTTCCTGGCTAGAATGATGAGACCCACGGCCAGCAGTGCGCAAAAGGTCCACGAAAAGGTGCATGTCAGCAGTCATGTCAGCAGCCCACCTAAACACAAAACGGTGGCTGCAAATAAAGTCAGGCAGCCTGTCAAGGAGAAGACACAGCCGCAAGCACATGTTGAAACACCTATGACGGCCGAAGAGAACAAAGAGAATTATTCCGACCTTGATTTGAGCACTCTACCCGATGTAGCACACCCTTCCCCACTGGAAGTTGTCAAGGAGGACCCAACGAACGACCATGTGGAAAAGGAGCCGTCTGCTCCTGAGCCAACCGAGCCGACACAGCAGGTCAATAGCGACGCTAGCGAGCTGGATTGAAAGGGAGCCCATTTTGGTTGAATTCATTTCCAATACCCCAGTTTCATTTGTGATACTTCACCCATCAGCGATTTAGCGATTTCTGGTCTTGACAGCAATTCTTTATGCTGACCACTCCAATGTTATTGATATTGTGTCTCATGTTCCACCTTGAAGCCTTTCTGTTTTTGCGGATTAATATTTCAGATTGACAAGCCACCACACTACTGACCATCGCTCTAGAGAAGGACATACAGGGGATCAGGGGAGGGTTTTCTTGGTTTCCCGGCTTCTGCCAATGGAGTCTATCTCCAACCGAGAGAAGTCGAGTGGAGCTGGAAGCACGGGTGTATAAGCGGCAGTCGCCGATTGACCTGCGCCATTAGCCACTCATGGTACTATGTGCCACGACAAATCTTCAAGCTAATGGTGAGCAGGATAGATGCACAGCGTGCGGGCTGACCGTCTTTCAGCCTTGTATTGTCCGAAAAGGGTAAAGCGCCATTGTCCTTATTGATATACATATCCGGCCTCACAATGGCCCAATCCGTCCTATTCAAGTCGACTTCGGGTCTAGCCCGCCTATCTGCTCTCTATTCAAGTCGATATCAAGCCTAGCTTCCATTTGGCGTCTCGGGTCTCTTTGCTCTGTGCCTTTGATGAACCTGCACTTTTGTGGTTCTTATTCACCTCTCTTTGCGGACGACCCTTGCTGCATTTCCTTTCTCCTGCACGACGCACCTCCTGCAGGCGCCCTACTCCAGCGTGTTCAATGTCTGCTCTTCTTTATTTCGGATGCCTCAAAGAAGTGTCTGCATATTTGGAGGCAATTTATAAGGTACATGCATTGGTTTTCGGTTGGTTCTAAGTCGCCATGCAAACCAAAAACCCCAAGAACCCGCAACACATTCCATCACCATACCAATCTATATTGACATGAAATTGACATCAGCTACAGCGGCAACAATACTTGCCTTCACCTTGGCCCAGGTTGGCGCCCTCCCTTCTCTCCAAGCCAGCGACGGATCCGTCGTCGGGGCCCAACCCCCTCGTACTGATATTCCCATTTACTATGTCGAGGAAGCGGAGTTAGAGAAGCGCGACTCAGAAGGTCAACATCACGGGCAACACGGTGGTGGAGGCCATGGCGAACACAAGTGGAAAGGCATGGGCCAAGGAAAAGGCAAGTCCCAACACGGACCAATGCCAGACGACGAGTCTATCGACCTGACCCCTTTATTCGGACATCCCGACCCAGAAGTCCAGCAAATCGCTCGCCGTGCCGTCCAGGCCACCAAATTCCACTGGTGGCAACAACAAGGTAACACCGGCAAGTTCATGAATATCGTAGTGGGAAACCCTGACGTTCGCCCGCTCGCCAATGTCAAGGAGCAGGATCTGGAACCTAAGGAGTTCAAGAAGCGCGACCCTGACATGCCTACCGATGCTGACGGCGGCTCTGACTCTCAGCATGCAAAAGGCAAGTGGATGGGCAACGAACACGACGGTGGGCAGGACAAGCATCCTCAAGGTAGTGGAGCAGATGGCGAATGGAGGCAATGGGGACAGAATCGTGGCCATGGACCCATGTCGGATGATGAGGCATAGAGACGTCCGATGCTTAGCGACGGAGGAGTGTATGTTGCTGGCGATTGAATCGACACGCGCAACTCCCCTCACACTGCTAGACAGGAGGTCTACGGTCCGGTCAACTACCTAAGACAAGCGAACGCTGGCAGTCTCTCGCAGGCCGGTAGACATCCACGCGTCCCTTCACTCGCACTTCAAGCCTCTAAGACTGACGAGAAAAATGATTCCTCGTTTTCATCGACGGCACATTTCGGTTCACTTCCCAACAATATTTTCCGGTACAAATACCAAACAAAACATTCATTCTGACAGACGGCTTCTTCATACCACAGGCTTTATTTTCGAAACACTGATATCCAATGTTCATGCCGGGCTTTCACTCCCATCCCAACATGGACCTTGCAGTCCTTTCACTTCTTCCCGGCATGGCCCCCCACTGTCTATGGTCTCGTCACAAGACGATGGAACATTCACTCATTTGTCGAGCCGCGATACTGCGATCGTCTTCCTGTACGCTCCCACCAGCGTCAGAAGTAGACAACGCTTCTTCGACCACTTGCGCGTCTTCATGGCCGTTCTAGCTCATTTCGAGGTCCCCCCTTTTGGGATGGAGGAACTTGAAAGAGACGGACTGCGCAATGGCACGCGCGCGCGAGAGCTCTCTCTACTGGGCTGTTCCTTTGTCTTGAGCGACGGGAACTGACTATCCCAAGACTCTCAGCGTTTATATCTACCCAACGACATCTCCCACCTTTACTACACGTTTGTTAACACCAGCCACTACCTTTCCCCTTCCTCCCCCGAACCAATCTGGATATTCCAGTACGAATAGAATGATCACCATTTCTTTCTCTTCTACACCATATATGCAGAGTGGGCGAGCAGGTTGCTCGGAGACATCGAGCCCCTTCGCCATCCACCCGTTTGGACCACGAAAGAGCAGCTGTTCGGATAGACTCTTCTCTTCGTTCCCCCATTGCGTTCTTGGGTCTGGGTGTCGAGTGGTGCGGGCATGGGACCAAGCCTATGTACTTAGACATCCCACTCGGGTAGTATTATAATGAGACGATTCGGATCGATTTGACTCCTAGGCGCTTTCTGCTTTTTCCCGCTTCTCTCTCAGAAGATCTGTCTCCCATTTCCCAAATGTGCTATATGCCTGTATGAGACGAAGTAACTAAAATAAAGAGAAAAACAATATTAAGACTTTTGTCTCTCCCCCTCACCTCTCTTTCGCTCCAGGTCGTTTCCTGCATAAGATATCTACCAAGCAAGCGGTTAAGGCCACCGGGGGTATCTATCTATCCATCCATCAATCAATCCAGTGCGTATCAAATCCGTCCCGTAAGTGTCGTTCGCGTAGGTATTCAAGTTCATAGTCCCGTACGTTGCTGTTCTTCATGATCGCCTCTCCTGTCTTTCGCTCGTCCCAAATGTCGTTGCAAGCCGCATTCGTGTAACCATATCCTGCAATAAAAAAGGTTCGCGCAAGCTCAAGAGGGGCCCCAGCTGGAGGCTGCGTACCCTCGTGGTTCCTGTTCCTGTTCGTCCGCCGGTGTCGGCAACTTCCCAGCAACTTTGGATCACACGAATGCAGGATCTTGGTTTTTTGCACGGGCTGGATCCACGGGGATTCTCTTCTTTCAAGCATGTCCGTTCTGGCCATTTGATTCCGCCGCGTTCGCGGTCCCATTGGCCGCCGCCTCCTTCTTCCCCAGCAGCTCTCGTCGTTTCTTGACAGCGTTCGCGAGGGTTTCCAGTACGGTCTCGGTGTCTTCCCATCCTATGCAGGCATCCGTGATGGAGACGCCGTATTTCAACCCGGCCTTGCCTTCCGGTGGGACTTTTTGGTTTCCTAGACGAGAAGGGAATATAGGTTAGCATTGAGCGGTAAAACTTCATGGCGGGAATCTACAAGCCAGGTTCGCTTTCCTGCCTTGAGACAAGGATTACACTTACCTTCATTGATGTGGCTCTCGATCATGACGCCCATAATGCCCTCCTCTCCCACGGCAATCTGGTCTGCCAGAGCCTGTGCGACTTTGGGCTGGTTCTTGTGCTGCTTCTCGCTGTTTCCGTGACTGCAGTCCACCATGACTCGCTCGCTAAGTCCCTTCTTCCGCAGCATCTCTTTGGCGTGCTTTATTGACTCGGCATCGTAGTTCGTCCCAGTGGTGCCGCCTCTCAGAATGACAAAGCAGTCCTCGTTTCCCACGGTGCCGACAATCGCCACCACACCAGGCTTGGTCACCGACAGGAAATGATGGGGGTGTTTCACCGCACCAATCGCATCGATAGCCACACCGAGCGTCCCGTCCGTGCCGTTTTTGAAGCCCACGGGGAAACTCAGGCCGGACGCTAGTTCCCTGTGCAGCTGACTCTCCGTCGTCCGAGCGCCGACGGCACCGATAGACAGAAGATCGGCCAGGAACTGAGGAGAAATCGTATCCAGCATCTCACTGGCAATGGGCATTCCTTTCGACGTCAAATCGACGAACAACTGCCTCGATAGTCTCAACCCTTTGTTGATCAGGAAACTGCCGTCGATCTCGGGGTCGTTGATCAGCCCCTTCCACCCCACCGTCGTTCGCGGTTTTTCCAGGTAGGACCTCATGACGATGACTAGTTCGTCCTTGTATTTCTCTTTCATCTTCAGCAAGCGATCGCAGTATTCCAGTGCAGAGACCGGGTCGTGGATGCTGCATGGGCCGACTATCACCAGGAGGCGGCGCAGGGGATCCGTGTCCTGGACCACGGCGACACAGTCGGAGCGGCCTGCAAGGACCGTGGATTTGCTTGCGGCGGTCTGAGGGATTTCATGTTGTAGCAGATCGGGCGGTGTGAGGGGGTTGTAGCCTCGAACTGCAGTGCCTCGCAACCATGGTCAGTCGTCTAAAGCTCCGCACCGTGCTCAGTCTTCGATGACCGAAAAGTGGACTGAAGGGAGGGTGGGTAGCTACTCACTTCGCCAGTCTTCGGTCGACTCCTTATTCCCAACATTGGGGTTGGTGATGTAGTAGGACTGAAGAAACAATCATATGAGTCAGTTTCCTTCGAGCGAAGATTCCCCATTTCTGGGGTCTGTAGAAGGTGAATGAACTCACAGGCATGGCTGTGTAAGTATCCAAGTGAGCGTAAAGCGTTGGAACAAGGGTTGGAGAGATTGATAGGATACTGTCGACCAGAGGATTAGAGAAAGTAAACTGCGGAGGCGGTCTAAAGAAAAGTTCTCGTGGAGAGATCGAGGGGTCGAAAGACCGAGTCTCGAACTTTTTCTGTCTGTCCCTTGCATGACGCATTGTCAAGTCACCGATTGGACCAAGTCACGCCACCAATGCTGTAGACTTGTAGTGTAATATCTATTAATTTTGGCCTATACAAAAGTCATTCATAAGTAATGCTCCTTTTCTACCTTCCTCTCGCGCATCTCTGTCTTCTAACCAAATATTCCGTGTGCCATTCGCGCTCTAGGTTTCTTGCATTACGCATTCTCGTGGTCGTGGTGTAGCCTTTTTCCTCCCGTCTATCCATATCTTTCCCTTTGTCATGGGCCCTCTTCATCAAAATCCATTAGTTGCTGGTTCCAAGGACGATGCATCGTGGAACAGATCAATTAGGCATCCTGCTGACCATGCTTGTGTGGGTGACTGTCATCCAGAATATTAGCGTATTGCTCTCACTAAATCGCTTGTGCTCCGTCGAACTTACCGAATCAGCACAGAATGACCCGTTCTTGTTGGTTAATTCTGTCAAGCCCTTCCAGGGGCTATCCTTGATCGCTTGCTTGCATCCTGCCAGCCGTCTCGTGACTTGCTGGAAGGACTCCATTCTCCCTGCAGCATCTGACCGCCGCTTCAGGTCAAAGTAGAGTAATGCGCGCAAGAAAAAGCCGGTTGGCCATAGCCATTCAGGACCTTGATGATAGTTTCTCCCTTTAGACGTTGCGAAATCCGTCGAGTCTTCAGAGTTGTTGTAGTACGGCCGGTAGTTCAAGTCAGACGGATCCAGAGTCGCCATGCCGGTGGGACCACGAAGCACATCATCTGCCACTTTCAACGCGTGTAGTGCTCGTTCTGGCGTAAAAAGATCCGGGGCGACTACCATCGCGATCGGGAAGTTCGGTCGCAGCTGATAATCCTCGTACTCTTTTCCAGACTTGTAGAGATCTTTGTAGATTCCCCGACGATTGATAATCTTGGGATCCACATCGTCGTCAATGTCATCCTTGGGATCCACGGGAATCCAATAACATTTTTCGAAATTGGCTTTGATCCGACCAGCCCACTCCTCGAACGAGATCTTCTCGCCCGAGCCAGTTTCAACACCTGACCATTGATAGTTCCCTGCCTGGTGGAGCTGGGCAACCCATCTCAACGCACTGTATAGAAGCCCTGTGATCTCAACGGCAGCGCCGTCCCGAGGTGTACCAGGAATTCCTTTGCTGCCGGCTCGTTCACTCTCACCCATCTTGTCCATCCACGTACCGCAGTTGAATTGGCTACCTCCAAAAATGATGCCAGTTTTCCAGTCGACATGGACGTCGATCTGAAATCCTTCCGGTCTCATTTGCATGTCTAGTTGAGGTCCGGCATTGTGCTCTCGGAAAGACAAGCCAGACGCATGCCGCTGGAGGATTTCTTGGATTATTTCTTCCACAGTAGATTGTTTTGAATAGGCTCGCGGATCGTCCCAGGGGAACCATGTGTCATCGTACGGCATGAATCGACGAGGAACCTTCTCTTGCAGAATAGACAAGCCATCGGGGACAATCTTGGTATAATCTTGGATGTTCTGCAAAAAGAACCACGGCGAGTCTCGAGAGTTGTACCTCGGGGCGGCCCCGCTGCTCAACAGGTTGGGTATCATGCCATGTTTCAAGACGCTTCCAAACGCTTTGATGTGCTCCTTGGCTTCTGTGAACCGACCAGTACACAGGAATAGACCTCGCAAAGAGATAAAAACGTCTCGTCCCCAGCAACGAGCCCATGATACTGAAAAGTGAGGCAATCCAGCTGCAAGTGAGGGCACAGTCTTGTCTGGCCACAATGATGCAGATTTGACATACCCCGTTTGTTGAATGCTCACCACGGCTAGGCTCTGCAGGAAGTTTTGACCGTGTTGAATGTTTGGGCTCATAAGCTCAATGGCTCTCTTGAATGCGGCGTCATACGCGGTCTGGAGGATGAGGGCAAAATACCGCGGCAGAAGAAAGCTCGGAACAATTCGTACTGCGTCAAATCGTTCTTTCAGCCATTTCGCAGGCTTCTGTAGTCGAGCATAGTCTTGTTTCTTGGCTATTCTCTCCATTCGTCCAACTAAGAAATCCAGAGCCCACTGTCCTTGCCGAAGATGGTTGCACAGTGGGTGACCCAGGTCGTTGCGACGAACAATGGGCTCCATCACGCTCCACCAGCCTTGAAGACCTGCATAGACCAAGGGGCCATAATTGGGAATATTGTAGACCCCGTCTTGGCCATCGCTGGTGTCCCGTTCTTCAGCATCGCATCGGTAGAGAACAAAATTGAGATCGATGAGATCCAGCTCGCCGAACGCTTCGTCTGTGCCGCTGGAAATGAAGGCGCCAAGGCCGAGAGAGTGCTCGGCAGAAGGAACCCAGGTCTCAAAGAGTGCGATCGAGCCGGGCGGGAAAAAGTCAGCAATGGTGATCGTGGTGTCACCATTTTCAGTATGAATAGTGCTGCCCTTGATATTTCTGACACGAGATGGTAGACCAACGAGATATTCCTTGTCGCCCAATGCCTCTTTTTTCGCCTGCTCGCTTTGATCAACTTCGAGCACCCATGCACCGAGTGGGCGCACCTTGGTTCCAGCAAGATGTACGGGGCTTAACCCGCCATTTCCGTTACCAAAGCCAGGGAAAGCAGTATGAGCGATGAGGAAATACCCTTTTCGCGAATCCGGATGCACTCTGTGAAGGGTGATGAGCTCACCTTCATGGTGAAGAAAGGTCTCATCGTAGCCATCCTTACCCATCATGGTGTGGATATGGTTCATGAGCTTCTTGACGCCAGCTATCCCACCCTCGCCAGCACCGGTATGAACTTCACCTTCGGAGCTGATTGATGCGTATTTGCGATCCTCGTGGACTAGGTCGACAAGTTTCGGGTAGATCTCATCGAAACCCATGACACTGCCTGTTGCACAGCCGCACATATTCACAAGCGCAGCCGTGGGTAACGTGTCCCGGGCATCTCTCTTCTGGGCGGGCATTTCATTGTCGTGAGTACAATCCATAAACAGAGCGTGAACCGGCGATTCTCTGATATGCTTGACTACCTCTCGGGTTTGAGGGCCATCGCCATTGGTAACCTCGTTCTCAGGCTTATTTCCTAGCCTTGATGGTACATTGAGTTCGAAACTGCCAATTGGTCTGCCGCAGTGCCGATGCACGACCCTGCTCAGTTCTTGTGTGCTCCAAGCTTGCATAGCTTCGCGAATCAAAGCACTCAGCCCAAGGCGCTTGACAAACACGTAATCCATTTCTTCGTTGCCAGTAAACAGCTCAGCGAACACCGCCAAATTCGGTTGAACTTTTCGTGCCTCGTCCAGAAGGTATTCGGCGACATGGATTGGAGTAGAGTGGCAATTATCGATTCGAAAAGCGGTAAAGTATTTGGCCATCAACCGGACATACTTTGTCATATGTTCCCATAGATATGGGTTGTCTTCAGGGCCTTTGCCGTATCTCAGCTTGACACAGTCACTCCATGGAATCAGTTCTCTTCTTAGATATGGTCTCCAATCAGGGCCTGCGTTATCTTTCATGGCATCAGCAGCCCAAATCCACCCATTGACTGCCAGTGAGAGCGCCTTTGGGTCATGTTTGGCCGTCGTCTCGTTTTGAGGTAGCCGAGCGAAATATGTCTCTATTAGGGGATTTTCCTTGGTGATGGGGCCCAGTCTTGGGCCATGCGAGTCCATTCTTGTATACTGCAGCCTTCCTCTAGTCTGCTCTAAGATTGCGGCGCAGTCGGCGTCAAACTCTTTGTAGAAGGGGAGATTGAGCTCGTTTATGATTGCCTTGATCTCTTCCTCTGCTGGCTCGGTGTCCGTTCCATCTTTGTACCGTCCGAACAAAGTCGTAAGAATGGCAGCTCCAACTCCAGGGTCAACCTTGCGCGAAAATCGCCCATCGATCCGAAGACGCGAATACTGGCCATCAGTGCGTAGACTGTTCAACATGCCTTTGTCAAGGATGAACGCCGCTTTCTGCGCCAGAGACCACGATTTGAAAGTGTCAAGTCCCCCGCCAATGGCGTTCTCAAATCCTTCAGGAGGTGATTTGACGGCGCCTGTTTTCCACGCGTCGACCACGGCCTGGGTGTCTGACTTGATATCGCAAACGAAGTATTCCCACAGCCGGATCTTGTGGATAACATGCTCCCTTATGGCCGCGACGACCACGTCCAGGTCGCCGGCACTGTTGAAGACAGTTGGGAGGCCAAGAGACTTGAGCTTGTCGCTATACTCGAGTAAAGCATTATCTAGGTCGAGTGCAGATTCCAACCAAGGAGCGGTATCCACGCTGTAACCGGCCTCAGGGTGTTCCTCGAGCCATTTGCTGTTGTTGGCGGTGTGATTGAAGACAACATCAGTCAGACCCAATAGTTCATGTTCCTCTTCCATGGATTTGACCATTCGTGCGAGGTCCTTTTCACCGCCGGGAAAAAGTTCCGCGTCAAACGCCAGCTGATCGTACAGGCTATACGGCGAGTTTGATTCTCCTCTTTGCTGCAACGGTGTAAAGTGGACCATGTTATAGCCTCTTGCACTAATCCCTCTCAAATGCTTCTTCCAGTCCGCAGGGTAATTGCCCATGAATTTGGAAACGACCGAGAAGATGCCCAGAGCATCGAGAGGGAGGCAGCTGCCACCGAGGCGCAGTTTCGGCTCGATGTCAACATAGTAGGTAGGAGTACGGGTGGGCTTGGGAGGTTTGACATCGCCGGTAGAAAACTCCGGCAAAGGGCTGTAGGTGGTATAAAATGAGAATGCGCCGGCGGAAGTGATGGGGATGTCGATCTCGAGAGTCCGATTGAAATCTGGGTGCAGCTTGAATTCGTGGTACCGCTTGCGGTCGAACGGTTGACCTTCTAAGGGAAAGTTGACCCAGAGACTCCCATGACGACATATCGAGCTGGTCCCTTCAATAGCAAATCTCAGGTAGTACGCAGGCTCGGTCGGCGCAGGCAAGTAAATGTACTCGTTGGGCACGTCCGGAGCTCCAGCGTCGGTCAGTGGCAGGAGATACACCTGGCGGGTGCTCTGGCGAGTTTTCGGAGGCATGTTGCCGGGTCAATAACGGTCTGAAGCGTACTTCAGGATGGAGAGGCTCTGCGTGTTTTTCTACACCATTGTCTGGCGACCACTGCTCGGCGCGCGAAGCTGAACGCTGCAGGAAATGGAGGTGCAGCTTTGTAAAAGTCCTGGTGAAAAGATAGGTGCTGAAGAGACCAGCTTGTTATATCAATACGAGGTCGTAGGAGGAGGAGCAGTGAAGAGAATTGATCGCTCACCGAAGGACGGGTAAGGGGAGAGAAATATGGCGACAGTGGTGTGTTAACCTCATTATTACTCCATGATGAGGACAGTACTAAGCAAAAAGCGGGAGCAAGTGCAGCAGCCACTCGACTCGACCGCCACGGAAGCCACGTTTGTCGACCGAGTATCCCAATGGGCTCTGCTGAGTGGTGGGCAAAGTGGTGAGTAATGGGTGATCTGAGATGGAAAAGTCCAATTCTCAGGCCCGTTCCTGCATCCCACTCCCAGGTTCAACGGAGAAAATGCCAGCCTATACCAGGCGAATGGTGGGGAAGTAAAGCAGGATTTCTGGGTGGGACCACCAGGGACTACACCTAGATGATGCCTAGCAGCGGGTGCTTATCTTCAAGCGGGAGGTCCGTCTGTCTGTATCAATGCTCATTCCAGTGGCGTCAGTGGCTGGTTCCGAGTGCCAAAGCCGTGGAACGCAGGACGAGAGGTTGGAATTTTCATTAATCACAGATCTGATCTCTCACACCCTCAGTCCAGGACCAGGTACCGGAGTCTAAGTCGATCAGCCGAGCGGAGTCGGTTGACCCGACTCTTGACCGCCTCGACGAGATGGGGGTTCCTCCTTAATCATTAATGTTTCGCCTCTCGGGCAAGGCAAGGCAGACGCCCACGACAAAGGGTATAGAATCAAGTTGCACATCCACAGGGCGAGTCAATAGAAACCCCCTGCTCGTTGTCGGATGCCTGTCCCATGGCAATAGCATCGACCCAGTTTGCGACCATTGACGCATGCCTCTTGCTGGAACTGGAACTGGCGGTAAAGATTTGCTAGTCCAGAAAATTTCAACATTTTGCCCCTTGATGGTCATGTGTGCGACATCCTGCACTGTGGACCCAGCCAGTGCTCTGGGGTCGAAGCAATTTCCTCTGGGGAACTTCTTTTCTCGCTTGGCTAGATAGTTGGTGGACGTCACGATCGAGGCAAGAGGGATATTGGCCCTTGAGGGAGACCTTGCCTTTTCTTTCTCTAGCTTGCGAGGGAGGGCGCGGAGAGAGGAGCGGGAATCGACATCATCACTTGCAGATCGACGCAAATCTGGGGAAAACATGGTAGTGACAAGCCTGTCGCCATTGACTGAATCTCCCGCCGCCCTAGGAGTATCATAATTGGAAACTTGAGTCCCCAAACCGTTCGTGTGCGCGTGACGTAAGGGTTTTCTGAGCTGGTATTATTGAGCAAAGAGTCAGCCTGGAATGAGCCGAAAGCCGACGACTTGGAAGTCCCTCAAGTAGTAGGACAAGAGCAATGAATCAATGCCCAGCCTTCTTAGCCCCCAGCTTCCATTCGATGAGACTGTTTCTATTACGTCTAGTTTTGGTTCTCCTCCTCCTTCGCACACGTTTAACCGTCCTGTTTAACAAGCTTCTTTTTTTTCTCACTGCACGTGTCGCCAGAAGACTCTTGGTCAAATTCAGGGCCGTGATGATGCAAGCCTCGGGTCTCCCGCGGATGCTATTTATTTCCACGTGCAGTATACAAGAGCCGCGAAAGAGGAGTCCCTGTTTGTAGTTTTCTTCATTTTCTCAACCTCCTCCGTCTCAATTTCCATCGACCTAAATCGTTACCCCAGAAAAAGTCCCTTCGCAGACTCATTTTCGCGACCAAACTCTGTGTTTTTCCTTTTAGACAAAGGTTCCTCCACCCTCTTGACTGGGCTTTGTAGCAGTTCCACAGTCCCTAATTTGGCTTCGAAACCCCGATCCGCTCCAGGGAGAAGACTGCCCCTCTTCCAGAGGGCCGAATCCTAGGATTTCATTCCTGTTATAAGAGCAAAGTTCAGCATGACCAACCAAGCTGTTACGTATGGCCGTGGTGGCGCCGGTCAGTACATGCTCCAGCACCTAGATGTTTGCCTTTGCGAGCCACTCTTCTCTGACGTGTCTAACAGGCAACGTCACCACCAGAAGTAGCCAGTCGCCTTCATTCGAGCCTCAGACCACTCCGTCGTTGAAATCCAAGACGTATACCACGGGCCGAGGCGGAACTGGCAACATGGCCAAGAATGACCCTGACCACCCAGAGGAAGCTCGCCGTGCCCAGGATGTCGATGTCCCCGTAATTACAATTCCGGAGGGTGTCCACCACACCGGTAGAGGTATGCATGGCGAAATATTGAGCAGGATAGTGGCAAACTAACATTCGATCCGCAGGTGGTGCTGCCAATCTATACAAACCCACTGATGATGAACTGCGCGAGGCTCGGGCACACAATGAAAAGGTTCGATCCGAATCGTTCAACAAAGAACGAAGCACTATCCGGTCACTAGCAGACAAGACAAAGGAGACCTTGACGGGCAAGCATACCGGCGACAAGTGAGCAAAGAGGAAAGGAGAATGTCTGAAATCCTGGCCCAGTTGGGATAATAATCCTTAGTCTATTTCTACAGCATCCGCACGGAGTCGCTGTGTTTTTGCCTGGCGGGCAGAGACAGTTCAATCGGAACCGCTTTGCTGGCTGTGATGAGCATTTGGACGTTTGCATAATTGGTCTCCCGCGTCCAGGCCGCCTGTTCGCAGATAGACGAAGCCAGGGCTACTCCCACGAGACGAGAAATTGGACGCCGCATGCATATTGATTGGTTCAAACCTCGGTAACGGTGCTGTAAGGGCATATGCAGAGGCGAATGAATTCTGGAACGCATCGTTATTTGAAGGCACGCCTCAAGTAAAAGTGAAGCCGCCCTTGACGCCTGACTTTCATTTAGCTGTAAAGAGAGGTGAATCGGGTTGGGCGGTTGGTGGCCGCAAGTCGCAAGCGGAGTGCCAATGGACAACATACCGGCGGCAAGCTGCACATGCTGACGAACACAAAGGAATCGCGCACGAATTCCATTGTTACACAGCGCCACATCTTGGAGCAGCCATGTCAATCTCGTGGCCATCTTTCCTGCACGGCACTTTGACGCTTCGTGCAGGTCGCAGAAGAGACAACCCTCCCTCGAGAGTGACGTGTCACACAGGTCATCAGCCACTGACCTCATACCAAGCATGAAATTCGGGCCGGATTGAACAAATAGCAACCGTATGAACAGCATCTAGAAGAGGTGTGGAAGCGTGTTGACAACAGTTCGCATTGGATATTTGCAGCTGGTGTTGGTGGAGCAAGGGATTAATTTTTTTTTGGTGGTTTCCTATCCATTTCCCCATCCTTTCAATTCTCCCTGTGGACTTTTGACAAAATTTAACAATACGGGCTGCAATGACTTTTGGGAGAGGGGACGTTTAGTTGGGACTAAATTGCGGGAGATGCGCAGGATCGACGACTGGATGCCTGTGCCGCTTGCCCCGAAGATCAAAGCAACTGAAGAAGGGGGAGAGAGGGGGCAGCTGGTGCTACACGTCGGATGAGAACACTGAATTATACGAAGTCGAGGCTCGAGGGCAAGCTTCCTGTCACCCACCTGTGGTTTGAATAATACTCGGTAGCGCAGGTGCATCCTGTCCTTCCCCGTAGGCACGGAGCTCGATACCCAAAACCGAGAGGAGGGCGCCACAAGCACCCTGCACCGGGGGTTCAGAGTGCTCGTAGCGGGTGGGTGATCATGCCAGGGGCGGTGGATAGCCTAGCGTCGAGGATCGAGAGCAGCTACTGTAGCTAACTGCTAGATTAAGCCTGTCGGAAGTGCATCCGTCTGCTTTGTTGGGAGGCTTCAGGCTATTCGCTGTGTGCCGTCCAAACGTTGAATCAAGTTCTTTCTCATGCTTCAAGCGATAGGTCGATCTCACACTGATCCAGCTGCTTGGGCCAGGAGTCTTGGACGAGCAGTTGGGACGGCCTATCTAGTGTGTGTGGTGTGTTGTTTCTTTTCCACCCCGGCGCCTCCTCGTGTTCTGGTTTCCATGGGGTCGGTGGCCAAAAAGACTCGCCTGTTAAAAGAAACTCTGTGTTGACTTGCAACTAAGGCCGACCGATCCTCGCCTGAATGTCGCCTTTTCCTCTTCCCCCCGCCCCCCTACGGCTCCCAGCTCGTCCGAAAGACCGAATGCTTGACCCTTTCTTACTAAAACCCATACCCACCCTTGGCTTTTCCCTCCAGTTAGTTAGCACCTTAGCCGAAGGAAAGGGACCTGGGGGGATTGTGTCGAGTGAGGGTTGCGTTCGTGATCTGATCCTTCTGCCTCTTTGCGTGCGGGACTTTTCTTTTGGTATAACGACCGAGCCCGTCCTTTGTGCAGAGCAATTTCTCGGTCTGGGCTCTCTTTCTGGAGATATCCATGATTAGATAAATGTCTGGTGCTCATCTTGTTTCTGTGACCAGAATGTATCCTTGTCTCAAACTCTCATCTTGATCCCCTCAACTCTGGCTGGCCTTTGACCCCCAACATCTGACCTCTGTATCGACCAGCTGGCCTTGAGTTCCGGTCTGTCTCTGACTCGGCAGTCTCCAATCCACCCTGAGTCTGAATCCTGGTTCAGATCTCTTGACTTCGACGCCCTACCAGATGTACCATAGGTCACCACTGTGCACCACCCGGGTATATCATCGGTATCCAAACCCTACCACAATTGCGCCATGGCTTGAACCTTTGGCTAGACATTTTATTCAATAGACCTGAGGGAAAGCCTGCCGTGCCACTGGATCACAGAGTCTATCGTCTTTCCCTTGGTACAACTCGCTTGATCTCTCGACGATCGAAAATTCTCTTATCGTGGTTTGGAGAAGCAAAATCATACACGCAGACGTTCCGAGTCGAGGACCACCACCACGGTAACGGCACTGCCACTATAACTACCTACAGCCCATTTACCAACCCGCAATCTATTCTTTGGCTCTTCAAACGTCTTCGCTGTATCAGGCACTTTCACTGGTCACCGAATATCTCTCATCTGGCCGCCTTACACCTCGGTTGCAGTTGGACTGCGAGGCCAGCACGAGCAGTCTCAACACTCTCTGGAACGGACTCTCGAGTCCGTGTGCCAATATTCTCGGGCATCGAGTCTTCGACACTGGTTCTCGATCACCAAAACCGCAAATACAACAGTTCGAGGCCTTGGATTGGCCCCGCTCCGCCCCGCGTCTCTCGAGGGTCGATATCTGTGGTGTGCACCTGAAGCCACCTCGTCTCCGACCGCTCTGTGTCACCTCAACGCTTTTGCCTGACTCGCCGCGCTTCGGTCGATTCGTGCCACCTGGGTTAGACGTCCTGTTTGGGTTTTCAGTCCTTCAGGTACCTGAATGAGGGTTGAGTGCTCGGGGAATGAATAGGGTATTAGACCTGTTCGAAATTCAAGACAGTTTTCTTGTATTGAGGACCTGGAGAGCTTGACATGACGATTGCCGCTGCCTGCTAGAGCTCGAGTACGTTTGGACTTTCCTCGCTCCTGTCTTTACTGGAATATCGCTGTTGCTTTGGAAGGTCTACTTTGGACAGAACCACCCTGCCACACCAGGACCTCTCTTCCACCACCTTGGGTTTGCATCAATATATATGTGTCTCTGATTTCACCTCACCCAGCATCCTGCAACAGTTATATTGGGGCTATGTATCCCTCAGATCAGCATAAATTTGCTCCACCAAGAGCTCATGCTCATCCCCTCCAGCATCCGACTCCAGCGCCTCTACAGATTCCCCCAATATCAACACCCTATTCTCCGTATCACTCGGCAAATCAAATGGCGGCAGGTAATAAGCTCCCTCTGACAAATAACAGCAACGGCAATGGTGGCGGCAGCAACATGCCACCCGCAAGTCCCAGCCATAGTAGCACGGCGGATGACGAATCTCTCTATGGCCTGCCGGAAATTCCACCGATTTCGAGGATTTGGGGGAAATACGGGTTCGCAGTCGAGGTCATTCAACAACCTAAACGTGCTCGCATGTGTGGGTTTGGTGACAAGGTAACGATCAAGTTCCTGGCAGTGTGTTGAAATTAGTGGAAGCTGAGCTCTTTGCCCTTTGTTCACAGGATCGACGTCCTATCACACCGCCTCTTATTGTCAAACTCCATATCTTTGATCCAGAGACCCATCAAGAGATCGATTATGGGTAAGGGGCTCCGACTGCGCCTTCTGTATATGCTTGCTGATCAAAAGACAGGAAAGTCGTAGACCTGTCAAAGTTTATCCTCGGCGTTGATTTGTGGGATGTGCATGGTAAACACGAAGACAACTGTGTCAGAAACAACACAACATCTCCCTCTATATCGTCGACCGTCACGACTCCCTATCCTCCAGCAACCACCGGTGGTTTGCGCTCGACGCAGCAACTTCGCCCATACGACGTTACCAATCTTCCCAGTTGGCGTGGAGCCAGAGATTCCGTCTCCTCATCCACACAATCGAGCGTGCCAACGTCGGCCTCTTCTACCTACAACAATGATTCCTATGAACAACGCAATCCTTCATATCCGTACAGCAACGAGGTGCATTACAATGGTCACCATCAGAATGGCTACGACAATTCCTTGCACCGAACATCCCCTCATGAGCCAATCCCTTCGCCAGCTCCGCCGCTGCGGTCCGCTCGATCCTCGCAAGATCTGGGACCCCTAAATCCAGTCAGAGGTGAACCATCCAAGAACCTCATTGGTCAATGCCATACGAGTGTCCAAAGGCTGGACGACGAGAAAAAGGCGGTAGGACTTTACTTCATCTTCCAGGACCTGAGTGTGCGGACCGAGGGCTGGTTTCGACTGAAGTGTACCTTGTTCTGCTTGGCAAAGCTCGTCATGGACGATGATGACGAAAGCGACGCTGCTTCGAACGAGCTTTATCGGGAAGCGCCCTGTCTGGCCTCGACATTCACACTACCGTTCAAAGTCTTCAGCGCGAAAAAGTTCCCCGGCGTGGTCGAAACCACACATCTAAGTCGAATATTTGCGGACCAGGGGATCAAGATACCCATTCGCAGAGATGGGCAGAAAGGAAAGAAAAGGAGTGAAGACGATGGCGACGGCGCTAACGGGGATGTCGAATATGAAGGAGAAGATGGTTCGGAAGAGCTGGTCTAGGCCAGCAGTACTCTTCAATACAGTGACGGTCAGCCCGATCGGCCTGACAATTGATTGCGGTACAATATAGATCGCAGTGGGGAGGAATCAGAGATATAACGAGAGGGAAAGAATTTGGGAGGAAAAGGGTACCCTCGTTATCGTGCAAACGGCCAATTTTGTTGGGCAACTTCAGGGGAGGCACCTTCTCGTTCTCGTTCAACAAAAATGGTGCATAGCGTTCATATGGCCGGTTCATTGCACAATAGATTTCATCGTATGCACTGCGGTATTAGATTGCTTTCTCCCATAATGTCCACATATAGCTGTGTGGATGGATGTCGCCTGTGCGAAATACCTCGTCCGTACGTTGTGGGAGGGGTGATGTTCACGAATCGGCGTAACTTGTATACCACGCCATTATTATTATTGGCCCCTCGAACCTCCGCAGCCACCACTTCATGCATTCATTCTCCCAGGCATCCAGGGCGTCCTCGCCTTGAACAATGACACCCGTCCGTTGCAATCCGGCTACGTCCTGACTAGTACTTCGTCGCTTACCGTTTTCTCGACGCATTCATCGCTTCAAAAGAGATGGGTCTCCAAGAGAGATGAAGTACTAGGGCAAGAGGAGCTGGAACCTCCCCTCTCCACTTCGGATCTCAAACAATTTTCATGATGTCGAAGCCCAAGAAACCACCGGCGCTGAACAAGGTGCCACGGAGAGATCCGCTGGCTTCCTTGAAGATGGCTGATATGTTGATATCCAAGCCAGTACTTCCTGCAGGTGCAGTCTTCCCCCTCTCTCAGATCGCTATCGGTTCGGGCTAAACCATTCTAGAGGTCCTGGCCACTGTGATCGACAACCTGACGGTACCTGATCTGCTTCGATTCGCTCGAGTATCGCGCCGGATGCATGAGATGATATATGACGATTCACGATGGGTGAAACGACTAAGGATGATGGGATGTTGGAATGACGCTGAAGCGAGGAGAAGAGCAGAGCCTCCAAAAACACCCACCACCCCAGCTCAAAGACGGAGTACAATAGATCGCAACTTGGTGAACGGGAAGGGTAGGCCAGAAGTCTTGTTTGACATGGATGCATCCCCAGTTAACCAATCTCGCCAAATGAACCTCTTTTCACCCTTTCGGGCTCGATCAGCGGCAGCGGATGGGTTTGACGTGGCTGAGATTTCGAGCCCGCGGACTCCGGCCTCTACAGGACTCCCTATTGACCACGATGCGGCATTGTCAGCTTTCTCGAGGGTTAAATCCATCAGAGGACGGGCCAGACAAGAGTATGGCAAGATCTACAAACTCCTAGCCCCATACTATACCGATCTGCTCTCTGCCTCCGACCCAATGCATAGCCGGATATTCAAGGATTTCTCTCTCCCAGATCAGCAAGCTCAACTTTTGGCGAATGTTCAGATCTTCTCTGCCAGTGACTTCTCGCCTGGCTCGGGCGAGAGGGACCGACAGATCTCGGAAGTCGTTGGCATCTTCGACACGACATCTCTCCTGGAGTTTCGGAAGGGCTACGAGTTCAAGGATATACATGGACGGATGCGTCAGTACGCACAGGTCATGTATATCCTCAACGGTGGGAAGAGTGGTGTTGACCTTTTCTTGCATGACAACAAGATGATCAATCAACGAGCCGAATTCGGCTCCGTGGAAGATTGCATCGACTACTCCCTAGGCTATGGCGAGCTGTCCCTGGAAAGGGTCCAAGCATACTTTGAACGACTTGGGAATGCCTTCATGCAGGAAAATGGCATTGTTCAAGCTGTGTTCCCCAATGCCAAGGAGGTAGCTCTTCTTCTGCTGGAAGAGATAGCCAAGGAGATCCTCTCACCTTTTCTATCGGCATTGTTCGAGGATGCCCGGACTCGAGGATCGTCTATATATCTCCGAATCATATCAGGAACATTCCAGGCAACCAGACAATTCATCGAAAATGTTGCTCTCCTCGAGGATGTTGATGAAACAATTATAGCACGATGCAATGCCATTGGAACCAAAATATTTGCACCTCATCTCGAAACCTACCTTGCTGAAGAACTAGCTTTCTTTCGCCACAAAGCAGATTCCGAAGTCGAACAATGGGATCGAGCTTTGTCCGAACAGGCTGCCTCGACGGAGAGCTTTCTCATGTCTAATGTGAACCGGCAAGCCGATAAGAAAGACTTCATGTCATCGTTCAAGCAAGTGCTCATGATGCCAGTCAATATTCTGCCTGTCTTTTCCGGCTCCTCCGCTCACAAAGTCGTTCCCAAGCACCTCGACAGCGATGTCGCTTCCTTGTCAAGATCTGCCACTCCTAACCAATCGGGCTCCCGAACCATGACTCCGGCTCTCCCCCAAGAGGCCCCGACCAATGAACTTGCCGCCAAAGCTGCCCTGATGAATTCCAAGCTTGAGAATATCCGATCCCTGTTCTCAATTGAAGTCGCTCTCAACCTCGTCCATGCCGCCAAGTCTTCGCTGGACCGTGCCGCACAGTTCATTGCGTTAGGAGGTGAAGCCGGCGAATCGGCTCGCACACAATGTTCTGCAATTTTCATCTTGCTGGTACAGACTGTGGGGATACGCCACGTCAAGACCGGTTTCGACAAGGCCATTGATCACTTGTCGCATTACTCGGCTCGCGAGACGAACACCAACAACGATGGTGATCCGGCCACAACAGTCCAAGTGGCGCCCCTCGCGACGTTTCTCGAGCTCGTCAACGTAGGCGACCTCATTCAGCAAATGCTCGACGTTTTCTACGAGTCCGAGTTAGTGCGCTTACGCATTTCCAACCGGGATGATTTCCTGGACGTTAATGTGAAAGAGAAGCGCAGGTTCGAGGCTATGCTTGATGAGAGCGTGGCTGCTGGTTTAGGTAAAGGTATCGATGTGCTGATGGATGAAGTCGAGTACATCTGCGCCACTACTCAGTTGCCTACCGATTTCTATCCCGAACTGGCCATGCAAGAAGGCCACGCCACACATCACGCAAGCACTGTGACATCTATACTAAATGGTGGCACGAGCAGACCAGCCAGTATAGCGAGTACAATGCCTGTGATGGACTTTTCCGGAAAGCCCACAGCGACTGCATCGCGTGTGATCCAGCTCGTTGCCCACCACACGGGCATGTTGACCGGGGCGACTGAAAAGTCTCTGCTCGACGTCTTCACAGCAGAAGTTGGGCTACGGCTCTTTACCACGCTCACAAAACACATCAAACGCCAACGGATCTCTTGCGCGGGCTCCCTCAACTTGCTCAGCGACCTTTCCGCATACTCACAGTTCATCGCGACGTTCAAGAATTCGGACTTGAACAGTTATTTCACAGCCCTCAGGTCCTTGGCGCAGATATACCTCATCCAAGGCACCAGTGATAGGGACGTGAGAGAAATGAGCACGATTATCGCGGACCAAGAGAGGTATAAGGGCGTGTTTACCGTTGAGGAGGTCGTCGAGTTTGCAGAGAGGAGGAGCGACTGGTTATTGTTGAGAGCGAGAGTAGAGGGCAAGGTGAAAGGCGATGGCTGCATAGCGATGTGAGCCGAACTTTGGTTCCTGCAGCGACTCTGTATCAAATCGCGGCTTCGATCTTTCGTTTGCCTATCAGGCGTGTCTCATGGATTTCCATGTAGGGATCTGTCGTTGTCGCTGCGTGTGGCACCCTCGCTATCAAAACAGCTCCCACCTTTGCTGTATTGTAATCCGCCAGGCCCATCACCCTGCCACGGACACTCAAGCAAAACCGTATCTCAGGTTTGCCACTTACAGCTCGAACTCTTCGTCATCCTCAGTTTCCTCGACAAATCCGCTTCCCTGATTGTCGATCAATCCGTCGCCCACAAATCGCCCACCGATGTCCGCACCCAGCATCTCGCTGACGACCTCGTCCCACTCGATCCACGGCGGCACTTCCTCCAACAATCGCGCGATCCAGTCCCGGCCCTGTATCATCTTGGTCTGCAGGAACAGTCTGCGTCGGTTGTGCCCGGCCAACATCGCGTAGATCTTCTCCAATTCAGCCAGGATACCACACGGAGTCTTCTCTTGGAGCGTGGGCGGATTGGTGGCGTGTTGTCGCTCGACTTCTTGGTGCAGACACCAGAAACTCTGCCAGAGCGGATCGGCCGCCACGTACTCGGCCTCGAGGAGGTCCAGCCAATTGATCTGCTTGAGGACGTTGCTGATGGTCTCGTCGAGTGACACAGCCCAGGCTATCCATGCGTGTTGGTTGTCGATGGTGTCCTTCGGCATGGCTGCGAAGGGGAGGATGCCTTGTGCAAGCAGGTTGCCTCGTTCGAGCAGCTCCGGCAGGACGCAGTTCTTGAGGCAGCTAAGGTACAGGACCTGTGCCACGACGCTGCTTCGGTGAAAGCGAGAATTCTCTCTCGCGGCCGTCGACAGGGTTCTCCATGCTTCCTCGTCGGGAAATAAAGCGAGAATGGATTCCTTGGGGATTTTGTCCGCGTCGGGATTGTTGAACTCGTTCGAGGTCGCCGACAGGTCCTTCTCTTGGACGGGTTCGGGGGCCACAAGAGGAGCCATCGTGGTCTTGTCTTTATCTTTGAGTGTCTTCTTCAAGGTAGGTTGCACGGGCCCTGGATCCTCTGCCTTCGCCTGATGTTCTCTGTCCCCATGTTGCGGTCTGTCCTGCTTGATAGGCTCTGGGCCCGGAGTTTCACCTTGCGCCATCCGAGCTGCAACTGCGGATCGATTATCAGCATATTGTCTCAACCATTTCGCCATTTTCTCAAACGTACAGGAGCTGGCCGATTTATCCTCATCCGGAGCCATTTACTCTGACTGTCGACCGATGACCGCGGGGGCTTTACGGAGGGACCATTCCACCACCCACGATAAGAAGGGGAATCTGGGCACGGGGCCGTCGATGTAGGAGCAAGTTGACAGCAAGAAGACAAGGTGAGAGAGGACCTGTTCGAACACGTCGATGACGATGGACGGTGTCTGGAATTGGGTAATCCAGGATAATGCCAACACAGCCGTCCAGGACAGCTGAGTGCGAGAAGGACATGAAACAAATATGTTCTCTGTGCGAGTGAAGAAAAAAATTTCGAAAATAAACAAAGACGTGTCAGTTTGCTATAACTGTCGGACCCGGGAGCTTGCAGGGCGATGGCGATATCGACCTGGCGGGCGTCCTCCCAGAGGACAGTCTCCTTCGTCTTGTCATTGTTCTTCGAACCTGGAGCCTGACTTGCTATGATTTATGCTGCTACAACCCGTTGGTAGCTGGTACCTCTTGACGTGATGAGCTGATACTCTTGAGGTGTTCTCGCAACACATTCTACAGTACAGGAGTCACTGTGGCAGAAGGGCGGCACCCACCGCTGTCAATTTGTCACGGCTGTCATCCGAAAGAATGTATGTACGATTTCTACGGGCTACCGAGTGCAGAAATGGAAGTTTCAGATCCCAATCTATTAATATTGAGGCTCCGGGCATCGGCCGCCTGGAGCTCCGCTTAGTGGCAGCAGTCTAGCCTCCACATGGGCGACTAGAGCTTCCCAGGCACAAATCTCGGTGGCAGGGCAGGCACCAAGCAGGCCTCTGGGGGTCTCTTGGACCCTTGGAACTGCTAAACGCGCCTATCGGCTCGCTGGGAGGCTGGTTAAGCATTGGGATGACTGATGACGTCGCCCGCTGACCACCGATCGATAATGCAGGGCCATTCACAACCACATCTTCCATCACCACCAGCTGCTCCCCAAACAGCGACTCCGCCTCGTCCATTACATATACCTATACCCTTGCCGGGCCTTACGCTTTCTCAAACATGGTGTGTGCTGTTGTCTTCTTGGGCTCTTGACCATCTTCTGTCTATACTTGTTTGTGCATCTGTCTGCTTCAACCTCTCTCGTTTCGTCGATCGTTCAGCCTGCGAGTATATTACCAAGTTACAACAAATCTGAGGACCATATCACCAAGCGCCTGAGCATCCTGAACATATTTTGCACCGCCATAGAATGTTTCTAGAGAAAGGGTTCACTTGTATCGCGTAACAAAGTGCCGGCAAGAGAAGAATACAACCCAAGCTGAAAAATAAAACCACCTGCAGACTTCCGATCATGGTGGTGCTGCCCACTCTTCCGATGATCGCCATCTTCCTCGTCCTTCTCCCTCTCCAAGCACTGTGTCAGGACCCCTCTACTGTCATAGTTATCGGAACCACCGTCACGCAGACGTTTACTGCAGCCGCCTCCACGACGCCCCTCTCCCCCCAATACACAGACTCTCTCACCTTCCGAGAGTCCATCCTCAACTCAACGAATTTCTACCGCTACGAGCACTCTGCCGGGTACATATACTGGAACGAGACTCTTGCGTCGTATGCGCAGAGCTACTCTGAAAACTGCGTGTGGGCACACTCGCACGGGCCGTATGGGGAGAATCTGGCAAGAGGATATCCCGACGTGGTTTCGGCCGTGGACGCCTGGGGGAATGAACGGGCGCTGTACAATTTCTCCAACACCGACCCGACCGGGTTTACGGAGGAGACGGGCCATTTCACCCAGCTCGTATGGCAGAGCACGCAGGCGACAGGGTGTGGTTGGACGAATTGCAACGGCAAGAACGGCTTGGACGGTATATACTTGGTCTGTGAGTACTGGCCGGCGGGGAACGTCGTCGGCGACGACAATTTCTTCTTCATCACCAACGTCGACGCCGAACGGAGCAGTGGGGATAGCGGTTTCGACGAGCTGAGCGCCACAATGGGTGCAACGGGCGGGACGCCGACCGCGACCTCAACTTCCAATCCACCCGTGGCCACGGCGAGCGTGACGGGGCAGTCCATCGGGGCTCCGACCGTGGACATGGACAGACGAAGCCTGCTCGTGACTGTGTGTGTGACGCTGGCCGCCGTGTTGTTCGGACTGGGGATGTCCTGACGAGGCTTGATTCCACGAGTGGGGGAATGAATAACGACGGCACTGGAGAACGGATCTCCAGAGGACTCTGAAGTACACGGCTAGAGCATTGCATGTCATGTTGAAGTGATGATGATTGAACGACAAGGTAAAATTGGGATGTGGATCCCCGCGTGTCATATATGAGAAATAATACAATGTCAAGCACCATGAGTGCAATACGATTAATCCGCCATACTCTTGAAATCAAACTGATTGTTTTCATATTTTTTGGTATGACCTTCCATTGCCCTTCGTTTTGTGTGGTCCTCTATTTTCCCCAGCCCTCTCCCCTGGCCAACATCCTCAACCTCTTGTTGCCTAGAGTTCGTCCTTCCCCTTCCCTGTCTACACCGGGCCCGACCTCAAATGGCCCCTGCTGCTCTCCCACGGCCATCTCCACCAGCACTCGGCCCAATTCGTCGGTCGGACTGTGCGTGGCCTCGCCAAACACTCCCCATCGAATCGGCGCCACGAGGGTCTTCAGGAGAAAGCGCTGGAAGGCGGTGCGCTTCTCCCGCAGGATGTGGTCCCAGATCCAGGGCTGGTTGTAGCCGTCCACGCCGGCGGGGCGGATCGAATACACCGAAAGCAGGGTGGAGTAGGGCGGTGTCTTGGAGAGCTGGAGCAGCGATTGCTCTGTCTCGCCCTTGACGCGCCCGAAGAGGGGCGTCCACATCCGTGGATGCAGCGTGGCGCCCTCGCCCGAGACGTAGATGAATTTGAACTTGTGTGTCTCGGGTTTGTCGTCCGGCGACGCGGCCGCGGGCCAGGACTCTCGGAGCGACGAGAACGCCTTGGCTGCCTCCAGCGTGTAGTCCTTGGTGATCTTCACATACTGCTCCTTGGAGACGTCGTTCTGGCTCACGCCCAGGGCCCAGATGCAGGCGTCAGCGCCTTTCAGCTTCTCCAGCAGCTCCGGCGGGTACGAGGTAAAGTCCTTGTGCTCGATGACCTCGATCTTGGTGTGCTTGTTCACGCTGGGCGTGCCGAGCGGAGGGGTTGCGGATAGCCAGGGGATGTTGCTGGAGCGTCCGATGATGGACAGCTTGTGGATGGTTGGCGTACTGGTTGCTGGGAGGGAGAGGATGTGCGAGAGGACAGAAGATCCAACCAGGCCTGTGGCCCCGGTCAGGATCAAATGGACCATTTCTAGGTCAACTGGACAGTGCGAGGAAGCTGCCGATCTGGTGGTCACCGGAGATGGGATTCTCAATCGAGATTCCGTGTTGGTCACAGGACAGTTGCTGAAAGGGTCAGACAACGACAACGACAACGACAAACACGGGGCTCCCAATAAATATCAATCCGCAAACGGGCTCCTGGTGCCTTGCCCACCCATCCTCCCATTCATCAGTCAAAGTTATGCAATGTGGTAACAAAGGTCAGCAAGTTCGGAGATAATGAGGTGCACATGTGGTGGAGTAAACTGCAGGCTGCTGACCCAGTCGTCGCAACTGGCCATCGAGGCACCTCCTTAATTATTCTACGGGGCCAGCCGAGACACGAGTTGTGAGGCCATCATCGTGAGGAATGCTGCGTCTATGTATGAGGGTTTTGAAGGAGGAGGGCGGGTGCACGAGGCGTCAAAGGACGAGAATAACACGACTGGCTGTGCCAACTTCCCCGTTACCAAGATCTCATAACCAACACTTTTTCACTTCTCCCTCCCCTGTGAAGTCAAACAGACACAACTCAACACTCTAAATTCACCGAGAGAGCTTCGAAATGACACGAACCCGCAGCCTCTCACCATCTGCCCGGATGTCTTTGACGGCTCGTCCGTCCTCATACTTCCTCTCCTATCGTCAACGAGACACCCACCCACCAGCCCCAGGGTAAACAGCCCAGGCCACTGCAGAATCACAAACCCGGCCTAGCCTGGTGTACGTCCCCCTTGGCAGGCTGGTCAGAAACCGCGGGTGGTTAAGAATTATCCGAGCCACGGGCACAATCCCAAGTTGCAATTTCTCAGGTGACATGGCGACAGGAGGGAAGAAAAAGACACCGGAGACGAGAAGGGGGTAGGTGCTTTGCGTTCCCATCTGATGGATGTGTGTGTGTGTGTGTGTGTGTGTGTGTGAGCACATAGACTGAGTGAAAAGCGAATTGGAAGCAGAACAACTCCTACCCTTCCCGTTGCGCCTATAACACACACATACAATGCATGCACATACCGCTGACCTCGGGCTAGGCTCCCCTAGGCACCCCTTACCCCTCAGCCTTGAGAGCCCCCTTACCTGCCCGACTGCTCATCCATACGGAGAAGACCAAATAGTAATACGAACATCAACTACTCCCCATCTGGACACCCACGGCATTCTTCTCGGTGCTGGATGCGGGGAACGACGGAGCTTTCTGGCTCTGCACTACATCAACGCCTCGGTCTTGGAGTTTGCCAATTCGTTATTATTACAAGCGACGACAACCCACCCACGCTTCCCCCCCCCCCAACCACCCCCAAGCCCGGGATTTTCACCGTCGCTCCATATCCTACCTAGCCTTCAGTAGGCTTGATAAAACCACGTCCATCTTCCTGCCTGTTTGCACACCCTCTCATCATTCTCGAGTCGGGGAGAAGAGCATTGAAGCCACCAGGAAAGAGATTACTGCGTCTTGCTGCTCTTGCCACCAAACAATGCCCAAGTTACTCAACGGCAACGAAGTCGCCCAGCACGCTTCCCGCGATTCGTGCTGGGTCATTGTCTCGGGCAAAGTCTACGATGTCACCGACTATCTGGAGCGACACCCCGGTGGCTCACAGATATTACTGCAGTATGGCGGCAAGGACGCAACCCTCATGTACGAACCCATCCACCCGGCCGGTACCATTGAACGCAACCTCCCCAAGGACAAACATCTGGGTTCGGTCGATCCGGCCACTGTGTCAAGTCCTTCTTCCCCCCAGGTGACACGCGATCTCGATAAGACGGCCCGGATCCCCCTCGCCCACTGTATGAACCTAGACGACGTCGAAAAGGCTGCCACGCGCCTCATTCCTCGCAGCGCCTACGTCTACTTTAGCTCCGCCGCCGACAGCCTAGGATCTCTCACCAACAACCGGCAAGATTGGAAGAAGGTCACCCTACGTCCGCGGGTGATGCGCAATGTCAAGCGGGTGGACATGTCTCGGGTCATGCTGGGGACCAAATTCCGTCTTCCTTTCTTCATCGCCCCCGCGGCGCGGGCGAGGCTGGTGCACGACGACGGTGAACTGTGTTTTGCGAGGGCCTCGGCGAGGAAGGGCATCCCCTACTGTCCGAGCACGTACTCGACTGTGCCGCACGACGAACTGATGCGGTGCCTGACCGCGGAGAAGAAGAAGGTGAGGTTCCGCAACTTCTCGCCCGAAGACGGCGGCACGCTCTGGTTCCAGCTGTACGTGGCGCTCGAGAAGGAGCGCACCCTCGAGTTGATTGCCATGGCAAGGAACCTGGGGTACAAGGCACTGGTCATCACGGTGGACACGCCGGTCGTGGGCAAGCGTGAAGAGGACGAACGCTTCCGTGCCGAGCTGGCCACCGCGAGCGGTGATAATTCCGTCTTGACGGAATGGTACAAGCCCGCCAACGAAGACGATGAGAACAGCCCGCCGCTCCGGGGCCACCACTCGTCCACGCTGAACTGGGACGACTTGCCCTGGATCCGCGAGGCGTGGTGCAGGGGCAGGGACGACGCCGGCCCGATCGCGATCAAGGGCATCCAGACCGCGGAAGACGCCGCGCTCGCGGTCTACGAATACGGCATCGACGCCATCTATCTCAGCAACCACGGCGGCCGACAGTGCGACGATGCGCCGTCGTCCATCCGCACCCTGCTCGAGATCCGGAAATTCTACCCTGAGCTGTTGAAGAAGACGGAGATCTACCTGGACGGAGGGGTGCGGAGGGGCGCGGATGTGATCAAGGCCTTGTGTCTCGGGGCCAAGGGCGTGGCTTTGGGCCGGCCGTTCATGTACTCTGTCGCCATGGGGGATGAGGGCGTGGCCAAGGTGATTCAACGTAAGTTTGTGCTCTCCCATTCCCTTCTCACGAGAAAAAGGATGGTCTCCCCCTTCCTTCACCACCCTTATCCATCACCTCTCTCCACTCCTCACCCGGTTATGTGTATGACCTTCGTCCACCACACGTACATGCATGGCCCAGAAAGACGGACTCGAAATGAGAGAATGAGTTCGATGCTGACCCGATCCTCTTGGTCTCCACACACAGTCCTTTCCGAAGAAATCGAGACCACCATGCGCTGCATGGGCGTAACGTCCCTCGACCAACTGAACCCGTCGTACGTCAACACCAAGATCCTGGAGCTGGAGGTTCCCGATCGTCTCGTCACCGGGGCGGACGACGCGGCGGAATACAGCGAGGCGTGGGTCAAGGGGTTGAAAGCGAGGCTCTAGATCAAATCTGATCAGAAATGAATGCGTGTGTGCACGCACAGCCTCGGTGCCCACGGAAGCTGGACGAATAATCCCGAGTACACTCCCTCCTTACTGAAGCCATACAGACACACAGACACACACATGTATACACATATAAGGAAGACTGGCTGCACAGGGCGTGACTAACTAAGTACGGAGGAAGTGGGTCGGTGTAAGGTGTCTATCTCTTTTTCTGACTTTCTTCTGCTTTCTGGCAAGCGAATATCTGAAAGGGTAGCAGCACTCGGGAGTATTGCTGAATAGAGAGCTCAACGTGCACTTGGGCCACACATAAGAAAAACGATAGATTGCATTCATGACTCTGACGGCCTGTTCACCTCTCCGGCATTGCTGGGCATAGGCCTGTGACGGGGTTGAGACATGTTTTCTTCTCCTGGTGAGCTGTTACACAAGCGGAACGGAAACAGTGGAATTAGCGTTTCGTGACAAGGGTTTGGTGTTGACAAATCTCTACTTCCATGGTTACGATCATCGATCATCGCATTTTGGAACGCCCAAGACGAATGAATCGGCAGGGCATGAATAATATCTTTTGCATTATAACTTTGCGCAGTCATAGAAGGGGGCGTCCCATCTTCTCAGCCGCACTCAATCATTAGAGCGGACAGCAAAAGCAGTGTCAATCCAAAGATACCAATGTGTCCAAAATAATTCTTCCATCCTCTGGAGAAAATTGTCGTGGTCAGGCCGTCGTTGATTAAAAAGTAATACCATAGAATCAAAGCGCCTCCCCGCTGTCAAAGATCCTTATGAATGTTCGTCTGTACAAACGTTGTGTACACTGTCGTCACTAGTATTTATTTGCCGGTGTAGTCAAGCGTCCCCGCAAGCCGCACTTCTTCCACAAACTTGTCTTCATCTCCGACCGACTGGAGGTCCCAATGCCCGGAGTGAGGGAGACGCTTGAAAGGACCCCATCCCAACATCTCCTGAATGTTGCGTCTTTTCAGATCAGCGTCACCCTGGACATCGAAGAGCTGTTGTTGAAGGCTGCCCAGGACGGCCACCGCCGCGCTGGCCAATGTCCGGTCACCCTCAAAGATCCATATGTCCCAGATCCGACATAGGCGGTCGACATCCAGCCCATTGGAAAAGATTGTCCGGAGCATTGGCTCAAAAACTTCTTCACCGCGAAAACCAAGGCCCCCTTGTTCGACGGAACCAAAGAGATATTCATACAAACGGGGGAATTTGATGCCCAAAGTCGACACGGCGTGATTATAAGTGCGATTCGTAATAGCCGTGTCATCGGTCTGAAATGCCAACGGCACCACCCGGTTGAGACAGTTGGCCAGCAGGATAAAGGCGTCTTTAGGGGTCGACAGCTGCAGCAACAGTAATGCTGCGATAAGTTGGATCCCATAGATGTATCCCACGTCACTTCGGTAGCATGCATATGCTTCGCAAACGTCTATGAGATCCTGCCAGAGTGGTCCGTTCCTTTGGAAAAGGTTGAGCTCAGGAAAAGCCGTCTCGGCGTCTCGTTCGATATCGACAAACCATCGTTCCATGCTCCTTTCGTCTCGGTCAAGCTGGCCGCCCCCTCGCTTTTTAATTTCCTTTGCTCGTTGCAAAGCTTTCTCGTAGCTCTGGACAGTAAGACCCAGAGGATTGCCCACAGCTCTTTGCCAAACCTTTCCGCGAAGATTGGGACTGACTCCGCGCCAGCAAAGGTCATTGACTCGTTTGTCGATGGTTGTGATGTCCGTAGTCTCCTCCACATAATAATGCCAAATCCGATTCAAGGACTCCCGGGTGTCATCCTTTTCGCATTGCTGAACCTGCAGCTTCGTACGACGCTTCTTCTCGGCCTCAATTGATGCCGCCATCATTCGTTGGTATTCTCTCAAATGCCGTCTCTCCTCCTTCGGGTCTTTTGGTGGTAACCAGGATGGTCTCGTCCGCGACAAGATAGCCTCCTTTTCCTTGGAAATCGGCATGAAATCCAGTGCACTCTTTTGGATCGGAGGAAGCTGAATGGACGAGGATCTCGAACCACGATCCATTGAAGTTTCAGAGCTGCCCCGTGACGAACCCCCTCGGACTCTCTCGAGCCGTTCCTGTTCCTTCGCCTCGGCATGATATTCCAACGCTTCAGAGATGATTCTTGCTTCCTCACTCAAATCGGCCATGGCAATGTTCCACGATTTTGTCCTGCCATTGAGAGCGTGGCCAGCTTTGCGTGGGGACGACGGATTCGAGGTTGTAGGTGTGAGTGAGACCGACCTTGGGACGGCGCCTCTGTTCTTTGGTAGGCTTTGGGGGTGACGTCCAGGCCGCGGAGGTGCTTCCGGAGCTGTTCTGGCATGTTCAAGAGGTATAGGGCGCGGACTCGGAGCTGGCTGATCTCTTTCCGGGCTTCCACGAAAGCTGGAACGGTGTGACCTTTGTCCTGCAGCATGAGGGGAGAGGGGGACGTTCCACAGACTCGCATCCTCAGGGAGCTCATCGTCGGAATCATGGTATTCTGCCTCTAATTCTTTGACCGTTTTTCTTTGGGGCTGCCACGAGGCACGCCGAGCTTGCAGTCCTAGAGAGTTTGCCGGTGATTGGGGAATTGGTTGAAGACCACCAGCACTGAGCGAGGGAGTCGAGAAGGACGCGTGGTTCCTTCGCTCTGGAGGAGATGACGATCTGGTCCTCATGCTGGAATAAAATGTCTCCGGGCTCGTGAACCCGCGCTTAAAAGTTGCCAGTCTCGAGCCAGCTCCTCGTGGTGGTGCTGAGTCGTGCCTCGATCCTGACATCGAGATTTGGGTCTGTAGTTGTGGGAGCGTGGGCCTCTTCTCGTCCACGCCAGGGTCTTTCGTCTTCATGAGTTCGTGCTGCGAGCCAACGGACTGCGTCGAGACATCGCGCGAATGACAAAATCTCGGCGTTGCATGTTTGTCGTCTTCCAAGCCAATCTCCTCAAAGTTGATTATGTCTGTGTCCAAGCCATCAGGACTCGAAAAGGTGGAGGAATAAGACGACGATTTTGAGGAACGAGACGCGGACAGGTCAGGAGGTGAGCCTGGCACGCTGGTAACGGTCGTGGACATGGTGCTAAGGATATTATGGACGTTCGACAATGCAGTAAGCGAGCGGATTTCAAGGTCTGAGCCTTGCACTGACTTCAAAGAGAAATCATTGAGGTGGTAGCAATTGTGGGCTTTTCGTGTATAGGTCTCGAGAAGTTCTGCAGTTAGCGGGGCGAAGCCAATTTCCGAGCAACGAGAGGTGTTGATGACGAAGTGATCTGGTTCACACAATGTTGTTATATCTGCATGTCGACGGTGTGCTCGCTCTGAAGAAACGAGTGTCGATGTATGCCTGACGTTGTCCTCCCAGTCGACCTCGACAATTATTCCAAGGTCCGCCAACTTCAACGCCGAAGCTTGATCGCGAACAACTGGGATACTTCCCAATGGTGCCGTCCGCCCAGCCCCTGGTAAGGGTGTTGGGGCGATTGGTGGGATTGCGCAAGGTGCTGACATTGTGGAGGACGGGCATGACGGTGGCAGGGCTCCAGCCAGGAGACTATGCCAAACATGGGGAAGGACTGGCCGAGTTAGGGGCTCCTCCATCTGAAGTGACTGGCTGTCAGGAGTTAGACCAGGGGTGGCCTGGCCGGAGAACTGTAGCACCGATGCTGCGACCGCCACAAAGAGTTGGAAAGTTGGTGAATTCCAAGGGTGGCTGGCAGGATTTCTGCTGTGGGTTGGCGGACATCGATTGGGGAGGTTTCAAGGATTAGCAAGTGTCCGTCATGGCCCACCGATGGTTGGAGGGTCCGTCGCACTTGTGGTGCTCGGCAGGAAATCCCTGATGCAATCGAGACGAGCTCGTGCCGTCCACGTCCGGGGATGTCAAAGGAGTATATATCTTGTCCCCCAATGTCAGTCGTCAAGATGAGGTTTTCGGGTGCGTTTCATGCCCAAGGAGATGCGTCGTAGGTGGGACAGGCGTCACGCCGAGACTCGTGGCTTCTGGCCAGAGTTTCGCAGAAAGATGCGGCCGCTGACAGGATTGGGCAGATCGCAAGGGGTAGGATCGGATGCTGAGGCAGTGTGGCTGTTTCACGACCATCAAATGCGGGTGTGTCTGAGATCTGAATTCGGTCTGCCAGGCGTGGCCGTGTCTTCGGTTATCCTATTGTAGGCATGCACTTGTAGCGTCGCTAAGTGTAAATGAGCGAGAGAACAGTTGGTGAGGCGCGCCTGGAAGACGGTACGGGGTTACGAAGTAAAGGAGTAAGAAGTACGGAGTACGGAGATCAGTTGAAAGCAGCACGTAGAAAGATGGGAGAAGTGGTGTTGTTGAAGGCGGCAGGTGGGTGTTTTACCTGTGCATCTGAGGTGGCTGGTGTGACGGGCAAGAGCAGATCGAGATGCCATCCATCAGTCCAGACTAGTCGTAGCATTCCAGTGTTATCGCCATGGCAAAGCTGGCTGGCCAGTCATTGCATTACTGTCTATCAATATACATAGCTGCGAAATGCTTTCTCGTTTTGTTGCAGAAGCCGTGCGATGGCTGCTTCTTCCATGTTCATACTGGGCTGTGTGCTTTCTCGCAGCGATCTCAACCAGATCAGCAACTCCTTATACTGGCTCTGTTTGCGCTCGAGAATACTCTCAAAGGCCACTGCGGCGATCCAGCACATTTGTCGCCGGCTGACATGCCTGACTTGCGCATTGTTGCCATTCTTCTCGCAACAAATCTTGTTTCCCACCGAGATGAGGTCTTCCATCACGCTTCGAAGGAGCTTCTGCGACGGTTGTCTCCTGGCTGCCAATCCCGTAACATACTGGTGCATCTTCATCGCTGACTCCATGAAATTCCCAAGCAGTGTCGAGACTACTTGGCTCCGGCTGTTGAGTGACATGTCCAGCAACATGGCATGCATCTGCAGTTTGAGAGAGGACAGAATTTTCCTTTTCAAAGTCATGCCGGGTTTCGAACCACTTTCCACTGTCAGTGCATTGCTGATAAACGCGTCTTTTTTCTCTCTGTCTTTCCTCAACTCCAAGGTCTTCATGTGGATTTCCATCCCACAGTACGGGAAAAAGGTGCTCCCGTGAATTCGTGGCACTTTCTTCCCGTTGATAGTCACGTCAAAATTGACCAGAGACTTTTCGGCATTGACCTGGATCCCGTAGTGCTGGTCACCACTTGCCATAACCTGGAGAAACCGTCGAGCAAGCTTGTTGTCCGTCGTGATCAACAAGAAATCGTCAATGAGTCGCAATAGCAGGCACGATTCCCGCATTAAAAATCCCAATTCGTTCCGCTCGAATGCACCGTAAAAGTAGCTGCAGAGAAGGCTGCTGAGAATTGAACCTTGGGGAATGCCATCAATCTGCTTCATGTACTTTTTGCCAATCTTGATCATGCTGTCTCCCACATGACTTTCGAGGAGCTCCAGTAAGGAATCTCGATTCCAGATTCTGTTGTTTCCTGTGTCCGCGATGACCACATGGCGTTTCCCGGAGGCTATGTTGGACACTGATGCCTCCGAGAGCACCGCAAAAGTATCAGCTGGGCGGGCCATGCCCGCGAAGCGTCGCCTCACACCTTCATGGACTGTGCACCGTCCAAAATTCCTCGCCTTGACTTCAAGGTGTTTCGTTGTCCGGTATGATGCTTCAATAAGTAAAGAGCTGGCCAGTCGCAGCAGAGGTTCTTGGGGAATGGTGTCGAAGCAAGATTTGATATCAACCTTGACGAAAAACAGAGGAGATTCCGACCCGATTACCTTCTTGAATCCCGCCACCTTTCCGTGAATGTCACCAACTGATAACAAGGCAGAGCCTAACGGCGCAGGATTGCGTCCTCGTTCAAAGTTGAGCACTTGAAAGACAGGGGCCAGTTGGGCGTTGATGCTGTCTCCGAGAAGTCTTTTCCCACCCTTCAGCTTCGGTTGACGTCGCCTCAAGTTTGTAATGGGTCTTGCACCTTGGTCCTTCGGCAGCAGACGAAGATGGCTATATCCCAATGTTTGAGATTGTAACTTTTGCCGAGCTTGGCCTGGTCCGATTGGAGTATACATGTTCAGCCTCAGTGCTGCAAGCGTGGGCTCGGAGAGTTTGCGCCATACGTCCTGCCGGAAATAGAACAACCGATAGCGGTGGGTGGAACTTTCGGTAACATAAAAGTGCGCTCGAATGATCGGTATGAGTAAAGAGTCAAAGATGTAGTAGACAAATTCGTGAAAAATCTCGAGCCGCTTTTTGAAATCGGACCTGGACAGTCTCCCATCTAAACATTTTGGTCCTACTAGCCACGCAATCGACCTTACATGCATTCCTTGGACAACCTCGTGCAAGCTCATGGTCTCAAATCGGCGCATTCGAACAAATTCGTCGATCCTGTTCATCATCATTTCATAATTCTGCTGACCGCCCGGGCCGGTTCCAAAGGCGTTGCGCGGGAGCAGATGAGAGATGACCGAGCGGCAGAATGCCGAGACCCTCGCCAGAGGAGTTGAATGTGGTAAAAACGAAGACTCTCCGTTGTTACTGCTCCAAGTCAAGTTCGAGTTTGTTCGTGACATCCCAGATGGTTCGATCTGTGTGGTGAAGAGTCCAGAGGCTCCTGTGGACGATAGTCTTCCGTTCCTCTGGATGAGAGGCTCTTCATAGCCCATAGACGGTAGAGGGCAATAATGTCTCAAGAGCTGGCTGTAGGAACATGATTTGTGGTTTTGATGGATTTTCTGGACGAGGCGCATCGGATCACCACGAAGGCGACGTGGCGACCAAGTCAACGACTTTTTTTTCAGTCCAGTGATTTCCTGTTCGCGGACCGTGTAGTCTTTGAACCGATGCGCCGTCTCGCTCGGTTGAACTAGTGATGTGAAAGCATTGTGCAGATCGAACTGGCGCGGAAAGACGTACTTCAAAAGGTGGACTGCCTGGTGCTGTTGCGCAGCATCCGGCAATCTTTGTAGAATATGAGTATGGTGAAGCCCTACTTTGACCTTGCCAACAGCGTTAGAGAAGGGTCTAGCATAAAACATGCGATTTCTGACGAAGCGAATGTCCCCAAGTGGCCGCTCTTGACAATCACGTCTCTTCGGCAAGATGCCCTTTGCTGGAGGTTTACGTGGAATCTGAGGCAATTGCGAGAGTGGAATACCGCTCAACTGAAAATAGTTGCCTCTTCCACTTGCTATCCGAGTGAAGACACCACAATCCAGGAGCAGGCTTGAAAAGATAACTTCACCGTCAACTCCCAGCAAGGAGAGGATATCAGGCCACGGAGATGATTTCAGAGTCATCAGATTGTCATTGGGATGTTTTCGGAGAATACCAGGCAGAAAAGGTGCCGGCTCCCCATGCTGACATCCCTGATCCTGAACAATTCTGCCTCGTTGGAGTCCATGGCAGAGAATGTGCTGAGGTCGAACCCCATTGACAAAATTGCTTTTGAAAAGCAACCAAATGACGAAGTCGACAACCTGGAACAATGAATCAGGAACTCATATGACTGGCAATCATCGACCTGGCATGTGTCCTACCTCGTCTATACAACATGTTTGCGTTCGGTCTGTATTGGCATCTGTGGCACGGGACTGGCTTTGAGTGAATGTAGCAAAGTCGGTTTTCCGAGACTCTTTGACAGAGACAGAGGCGTTTTTGAGCACACCCACCAGGCAGGTGTCCAGTAGGCTATCGGCATCGTTCTTCCCAAACGTCGCAAGCCTCTGCCTTCGAGCACGAGACGTGGGAGGTAAGGCTGCCAGTAGATAACTCCTTAGCGTGCAGACCTTCGGATAGTAGGATGATAGCACAGCATGTTGTACGGAGGCGAAAAGAGGCTGCGGGTCGGCGGAATGGTGATTGGCTGATTTCTGTTGCTTGGTAGGGCGATTGGACGCAGCGTGTGCGCATTTCCGTTTTCTGCCCATGAGCGCGATTATTTACATGTGTGAGTGAGACGCGACTGTCGCAGAAGCTTGGAAGGATGGACGCGTTTCCCCAGGACGAAGGATATGGAAACTCTCTCCGCAAGGGAGATCAATATACTTTCCCTTCGACAGGAATTACCCCAGTCGCGATAAGAATCAACATTCATCCTCGAGGAAATTAAGATGCGTTTCTCAGTTGGAGGGGCCGGAGGCCCCGTGTGTTTCTGGTTCGGGCGTAGACGCGACAAGGGCCAGGGATATATACGTATGATATGTTGCAGTAGGAGCGTTCAACGCGTTCCAGCTGTCATGTATCGGTCAGCAAGGTCAAAGAGCCTAACCCAATTCCAATCAACGCGTACCGTGATCGCAAGATCCCCCTGTAAGTTGAAGAGGGTTTCAGACAAACATAGTGTTGCTGAAATACGAGTAGGTGGCAGAAGACGATTGGAGAGGGTGCCACTGTGCCTAGTGAGCCGCAGATTGTGCTTTCTGGGGTGAGTGGTTTGGCTCCGACCCGACAATAAACCCTGGTAACTGAAGATAGGCGTTGAGGGCGTATCCAAGCCGTTAACGGTGATGATGATGGTGGGCACTTCGTCGTCTACGCTGTACTGCTGAATGGGGATAGTGAGTGGAATGCTCCCGGAAAATTGGGGACTTGGCGAACGGTGAGCGGAGAGAACTGAAGTTTACCTAGCGATGATCCCGCCTAAAAAGGATGAATCCCCAGAGGTCTCACTTGACGGAGGGACGATACAATGCCATTGTGGTGGCATGGGCTAGACCTATAGATGAAAATTCATCGATAAATGAGACCCTTTTTGTTGTCTTGCTCTGGCTTTCCATGTCCGGCAGTTTGCAAACAATGGAAATAGTTTAGCAGGAGGTGCGGGATGTGCAAGAGGCGCTGGTGACGCCCACTCTTCAGGTAGTCCGTAGTCTGTTATCGCTAAACCTTCGCCTATGGCTATGGCCAATGCTTGAATATTGCACCCTGGATCTTGAGGTCCCCGTACCCGTCGAGCCCGCCTAGTCCCTCTGGACCGCCCGCGACTAGTAAGTAAAGGAACATTAGTGTGCTGCCCGCGCCGCTATTCACTCTATGCCGCGCTTGCTGGTCCGATATTAGTTGGCATATTCACAAACCACATCTACCTGTACCATCATATCTCTTGCATGACCGTGCTCCGCAGCCTGACCATGCCATCTCTATTCTCTCCGGCATAAAGATTCCTCCTGCATTGATTTCCACTACATCTTTGGTCGATCGAGGGGCGTTTTCACGTCTCTCAGGCCTGGTCGGAGCAGCAATACAGACGTCAAGTGTCCCTGCGCACCCCGTTTCCCGCCTTCAACTGAAGACAGATACAACTACAAACAATTCCCCACGATCTCTCGCCAGCACCTCGACGACAAGTCCATTAACGTGCTCTTCGCATCGAACGAACGAGACCGTAAACGTCTTTGGCCTGAAAGCTTAACAAACACGGGGCTATTCTCCTGCGTCCACCGCCCTGGACTCTGGGGTGACGGGTTGTTGAGCGACTGGTGCCCATTTATGAGGTTTTGCACAAGAGAAGGACACACTCAATCACATCTTGACGGCAGAGAGAAGGACAAAAGAGAAGTTTCACGGAAACCAACCATGTCTAGCCTGGGTCATGCATTTGCACCGTAGTATTCACCATCACCGTCCAAGAAGGAAGGTGTCTCCCTGACTTGGGCCGTCTCAACATGCCTTCGGCGGTGTCGAACCAGAGCAACTACTACACCGCCCACCATCGTCGTCAATCTTCTCAGTCGCAAACCAACCTGCCAGATCAGATCAGAAACCCCGGCCCACAACTCCAGTCGCCTAATCGATCATTGGTATTCCTCCCCTCTACAGCCTACTCTGCATCACAGCCTGCGACTCAACGTTCTAGGACGTCATCACTCTCTAACACGTCAAGGTCAACCTCGAGGCTGGATTCTGTCACCAATGAGGATGTCCAGAATGACCCACGCGATTTCTATCGCCAGTATCAGGATCCTTTGGGGAATTCATCCCTGGTGGCCCTGCACCAAGAAGCCATACGAACGGACCCGATTCAACGGGTAGAAGACCCGCCCGTCACGGCTCGAAAATCCAGCTTCACCGCCGACGACAGAATGGCAAGGGGAATCAAAAACTCGGGGGGTCCTAGGAAGCTATCGCTGAATACCCAGACTTTGCCTAACGGGAGTTACGAAGGAGAACATGCGAAATCTTCTGGGCCTATGCCTAATTCTTTGAAGTCCAGGAAGGCTTCATTTAAAGATCTGGTCGCCCGTTTTGATGCTTCGCCTGACGACGTCCCACCTTTGCCCACACAACAAGTCTCCCGACCCGCCTCGAGAACCGCAAGCCCGATGCCATATGCTTCAGTGGAGATTTCCCACTCTTATCACCCGTCAATTAAGCGATCGCAATCAAGAATGGCAGATGCTTCGAGGAGAACAGGGAGCGCATTGGGATTCAGAGCCGCATCGAATGACAAGTCTGGTCACTCCAGAGATCCGTCCTCTGTTGGCGGGTTGAGTCAAGTAGCCAGCAACCCCGAAGTCCCGGCTGCTGGCCGACAATTACTGTTTGGTGAGGTACCTTCCTCTGCAGCCAATCTCCCAGCTGCTCCGGGCTACGGCATCTACAATGCTCGCCGGCGACGAGGCTCAGAAGGATCCCCCATGCATAGTCCCAATCCAATGTTTCCAGCGAAACGTGGCCATATTCAAGCGCCAGGTCTCCCAGTCTCACCTTCGGCGATGCAATCCCATATGTCTGAGTACGCTTTTAACGGCGATGCCCATTTCCGACGTCCACACCGGCGAGCAAGTAGTGATGTGTCTGGACCGCCTTCGAGGGCCTTCTTGCAAGATCGAACGCCGTCCCCCAGTGCCCGAGGCGGCAGTCATAAACATGCGGCCGAATCATCAACGAAAATAAACGCACAATCTCGAATCCCAGTGAGTACAAGACACCAACGTATCGCATCAGACTCTGCAACGATATCTCCGACTGGTCGTCCAGCTATTGTCCCTCACCAACAGCTCCCTTTCCGGGCTCTAGAATCGGGATTGAAGACATCAAGTCCTTCTCCATCAGGAGAGCGAAAGCAGCACAGTCCTAAGCGGCAGCCACGATCTCCTGTGCAAATAAAAAGTCCAAATAACCGTGGGCGCCCCTCTACCACAGCGAATGGTGAAAAGAGTCCTTCTCTTCGAGCAAATATCATTGCCCCTCCGCCGAAGGTTTCCCCGCCCCTCCGAAGCTCCAGGCCCAGACTCCCCGTGTCCTCTGCCACCACAGCTGCGTCTCGAGCGAAGATGGCTGAAAAGTTCCAGACCATGGCCAAGCAACAAAGTGACAGAAAAGCTTTCAGGCGACAGAGACCTCCAGAGCTTAGTGATATCGATCTGAAGGCTCGCCGGCTAAAAATCACTCAAGCTCTGAGCCGATCCCGAGAAGGACAGGACCTGAAAGGTGGCAACCCAGAGAATCGCGGCAACCCGGCCAGTCGGCCAAATAGTCTGACGCCTTCCTTCGAAGATTCCGACGGTTCCGACCAGCGACAGGAAACGCTCGAAATTCCTGCTGTCGTTGTGAATGAAGCCCCAATCGACACATCCGAGGAGCGTGCGTTCTACACCGGCATCGGAGAGGGCTCACAGGATCAACGGGCGTTCACCCAAACAGCTTTAAAAATCGTAGAAGGAAATGCACAACATCCGGCTGGTGAGGTGGACTCGCCTACGCTTGGTCATACTGAGCCTGGCTTCAATGGAATTCCGTTCAGCCTGAATACACATCTACAACCTACACATGACGACCAAGAGCCTCAATCCGCTGTCACAGAGGGTACTGTGGCGACTGAGGCCACCATGATCGATGCCGAGCCGCAAACGGATACATCGCGGCTTCAGACTGCTGGGCTGTCACTCCGCAGCCAAATTAATGTGCTTCGAAGCCAGGACTCTGCTTCACCCCTGTCGTCCGCTTCCCAGGCGTCCGGCGAGCTTTCTGATCACGCTGATCAGGTTTCTGTTCATCTGATGCTTCGCGACACAACATATCTCGACGACGATGAAGCTGTCGAGAAAGGTTATAGGCCCTTGGTATCTCTGTCTCAGCCGGAGCACACACGCCAGCAAAGCGAAGGAAGGAGTTCGTGGACGTCTTCAATAGAAGATACACCCGAATCCGAGACAGGCGACGAGCCTCACTCCGTTGTCCAACCACCTCCACCGGTCCAGAACGAAGCAGAGGCTGCTCACGTAGAGTCTGATTCACACTCAGCGTCAGATCACTTGAGCGTGGGGGATGGCTCGAATGGTGAGCACCATGCAAGTGACGCCTACACGATAGTGAATAAAGTTCTCCAGCAGCAAACGTCTTCAGGGGTCGTCGACCAACAGCTCGTAGATGATATTTATCATCGCATCATTCAGGCTTCGCCGGATTTGGCCGACGTGGAGAACGTAGATGAGGAGAGAGTGCAGCGGTTGTGTCTGGAGGAGCTAGAAGAGTATACTCGTCAATGGGATCAGCTCGAATCTTCACGTCCGCAATCACCGGAGTCTTTTCAGGCCGAAGCAGAACCATTGTCCAGTCATAACACGGGCGAAAACAATTATGACAATAACACCAGATCCCCAGAGATTCACGCTTCAAGTCAAGTCACCCAACCGCCGCCGCCATTGCCACCATCAAGCTTCCGAGCGCATCATCGATACAAATCTAGCTTGGACAGTGCAGAAGACTGGGCTGAGACTTCTCCATCAGTTGGCGATTGGATGCAGTTTGCTCTGAAATCACCGACTGAAGAAAGGCAACCATCTGCCTTGGCCCACGAGATCTTCTCAGAGGCTGGATCAAGAACCTCGACAACCGAAGCCTATCAGGACGTCAAGCATGAAGAACTCGAACAGCGGACGGACGATTCTCTACCAGGGGGTGCTGAAAGCAACATTCCACGCCCACCATCTCATTCTCCACCACCGCCTCCGCTCGTGAAAATGCCCACCATTGATCAGACTTCTTGGTCTGCCCCAACAGGCATAAGACCAGCCATGCCCCAAACTGCTCCACCAGCTAGGCCGCTCACAGCATTTTCTCAGATATCTGCCAGATCAAGCATGGATCAGCAGACGATACAATCCAGCTCGCATAATACTCGGCCCTCAATCGATGACCAAAGTCCCGAGCGACGGCGGCTGAAACAAAGAAGACACGTCCTTAAAGAGTTGGTGGACACTGAGTATACCTACGAAAGAGACATGAGAGTCTTGTGCGATATCTACAAGCAAACTGCTATTGCCGCCATAAATGACGAGGATATCAAGATTATATTCGGCAATGTGGATCTCGTACAACAGTTTTCCAAAGACTTTCTGGCTTATTTGAAGCAGGTCGTCAGGCCAGCTTATATAATGGAAAGATCTGATCGACGAAAGGACGGCAATCGAACCTCTACAGTCCAGAGCTCTGCAGCTTCTTTTGATGGCAGTGGCGAATTGAACGACTTTGAGCGCGACGAACTTACACGGGTGGGCACCGCGTTTGAAGCGTCACTGGTTGACATGGAGAAAGTCTATACCGACTATATTCGAACGCGGCATGCTGCAAACAAGAGGTTGGAGGCGCTGCAGTCGTCAGCCGCTGTACGAGAGTGGCTTAAAGAATGCAGCGAGAACTCGAGCGACATTACCAATGCTTGGAGTTTGGATGCACTTCTTGTCAAACCAATACAGCGCATCACCAAGTATCCTCTCCTACTCAATCAGCTTCTGGAGGCGACGCCGAATACTCATCCTGACGTCGAATTTATCCGCAGAGCTGCTCTTGAGGTGACTGAGGTCAATGTCCGGATCAACGAAGTCAAGAAGCATACTGAGCTTGTCGACCAGGTACTCAACCGCAAGCGGAAAGAGTCCGATGTTCGAAATGGCTTGACCAAAGCGTTTGGTCGGCGTGCAGAAAAACTAAGGCAACATGTGGGCATCAATGAAATATATGAGGATCCAGAGTATACCAAGCTCAAGATCAGCTATGATAACAACATTGCGCACCTTTTCTTGGTTACGAAGGACTGTCAGGGCTATATCGAAGAGATCACCAAATGGGTTAATCGCCTGTGTGAGTTAGCAGCCGCAGCCGAGGCCTGGGTTGATGTTGGACACACGAACCACACGCAAGCCGAGAGTAAACTTCGACAGTTTGCTATTGTTGTTCGAGGCGTCAATTCGATTGCACTTCCCGACCACAATGAGCAGGTCATACGACGCGTTGTCCAGCCTATGGAAAAGACGGCCGCGATGCTGGAGAGGTTTAGATCAGATTCCAAAGGACTGATTCAGAAGCGGGACAAGCGGCTTCTAGACTACAATCAATTCAAAAACAAGAAAGACAGAGGCGAAAAAATTGACAAGAAGATGACCGAGCGTATGGAACAATGGGAAGCTCTGAACCTCGAAGCCAAAGAGAGAATGAAGCGACTTCTCCGATCAACGGCTGATCTTGTTCACGCTTGTCAGGCCAACCTTGTGCAACTGCACCTCAATTGGTTGGCCATGTGCCGGCAAAAATTCTCGGCCGCAATGGAGATTCCCTTAGACAAGTTGGAAAAGGCCGATCTAATCAAAGACTGGCAAGAAGACTTTGATTTCCAGGAAGCAACTGCACTGTCCCTGAGCATCTGCAACGGGTCATTGCTTGCAGAGGCGGTTAACATGGTTTCGTTCTTGACTCCCGGGTCGACACTGATGGGTGATGAGTCCCCCCGTCAACCGTCATGGAACAGCGCTCCAAAGCGATCTGTATCAACGTCGGAAGATATGCCCCCGTTGCCATTGAAGGACCACTATCACCGGAACAGTGGAGGCCCCATGAGTTCTCAAAGTGACGACCACACCGAATGGAGTTCTTCCACATTTGCCAATGGGCGCATCCGGACCGGCTCAGCTGCATCTGGACGGATCCCCAAAACTCCTGAGACAGGAAGTCGAGGTGTCTCTGCATCTCTTCATACTGTCAACAGCACGAATGTATCTCGACCAGGGACTAGTCCAGGACTCTCGGCAGACAGCATCCAGCCAGCTCCTCGACTGAGCTTCGAGGCGCCCTCCCCATCACTCGGTGAATTATTAACCGAATCTCCCATGGCCGTGCGTCATGTATCCTCATCTACATTCTATTCGGCGTCTCCGGGACCAAATCAGTCACAACTCCATCTGCCGACCACAAGTGGAGCCAGTATATTCTCTTCCGCCATGCCCATGGAAGAGAATGTGGAGGTGGAGACACCACCGACGAATCCAGAGCCACGAAGAGAGCCCGGGGTTCTGTTCACTGCAGCTAGCGTCTACGAGTTTAATATCGACCGCTCCCGGCAGCAAGGCGGGTTCCGTTATCTCACATACGTGATTGGGGAGATCTTCGACATTATTGCTGAACATGGAGAATTGTGGTTGGCGATCAACCAAGACGATCCGACAAGAGAAATTGGCTGGATCTGGAACAAGCACTTCGCTAAATTGGCGGAATGAGCTGGTCACAGAGGCTCACAATAGCGTATCTCATGACAAAGTCTTGGATAAACTGGTCTGGAAAATACATGAGTCACCGATACGCGCAGGATCATATTGCTCTCCGTATAAGGAATCATTGACGATCTTTACAGGGGAATGCACGTGCCTTTCGACCACGATGGCGTGCTGGCTTGACGAGTACAGTGCTTACCAGGTTTCAACGATGGATTTTTCTTTTAGTTTCTTTGTCGTTCTAGCGTTCTAGCGGATTCAGGGGACGGCCGGCGTTGACATGTACCACAAAGCAAAAAAGGAGGGGAGCAAATGTACAGTATTATCAGAACGGCCATGACTTGATGGAAGATGGCCTGAGACGCTTAGTTGGACACGCTCTACCCAGAAGAGAGAAAATGAAAAGCAAACTTAAGATATGCACAAGTCACCACCTCCACGTCAACACAATCTTCGTAGACATAGTAGTAGTTATTTTGATATTTGGAGGCGCTGATAACTACCCAGTGGTTGAGCGTGGAGGCTGCGGCTGAAGTGGGCGAAGTGAAGTGACGTACGCAGGGAGTCCACCACGCAGAAGACGGTGGAACAGATCGAGAAACTCATCCCGCTCAACCAACATTTGAAGGCGAGAGGCGCTCGACGTGGACAGCCCATTTTGGTGTCTCTGTATAGACATTGTCCTTTGCTCCTGCCATGAATTCAGCATGAAACCTCGTCGACCCGTCAGTGAGTGGTGAGCCGTGAAGCTATCACCGATCCCGCAATCCGCAGCCTCACCCTTCAGACGTCGACAACAGCTGTCCCCCTTTCCTCAGATTCCCAGCACTGAGCAGAAAACCAACTGGCAAGTAGATCAAGATGCCTGATCTGCATCCTTTTGGAGGGCGAATGAGTCGAGCGTTTGGTAGATCGGTAGGTGCAGAGATGAAGATGGACTTCTTTCAACCCCTCCCACCATGGCCACATATCGCTGCCGCACCTCATACACGTGATACAAAATAGTTGTATCTTCTGGCTAACTGAAACGTCATGGACATGAAGCTTGCCCCAGAAGATGCATACTTAAGCTGTGAGTGCCTTTGATCCCACACCTGTGTTTCGTTCTGACCAAGGTCATACAGATTACGATGTTCGATGTCAGTATTCCTGCGTCCCATGCCTGCACCTGATGGCTTCCTACAACCAAGATCATATACTGAGACAAAGTGAGGATATAGTGACAAGAGAAGACGTATCAGTGCTGAAGAATGACTGGTTAACGGATAATGTATGGTTGTGTCCATTGCCACGATGACAAGGCTCCTGAGGCTGACGGTTCTGCTACCTGTACAGGTCATCTCATTCTGGGAAGAGTAGGCACGTCCTAAAACCTACCAACGAGAGATATCAGACCTAACGAGCATTTGCTGCCAGGTATCTGGAACGAGAATACCTCACCAACTACAAACACTCACACATTGTCCTTCTCCGCCCCACCATGTCCTTCATGCTCATGCAGACCCCAGATCCTCGGACTATAAAGGTATTTCTGCCACCAGAATGCGGCCCTGTTGCGATCGATCCCTTTCCTCACCTTGATTTACCTTACAGGACGCTCTTCCCGACTTTACCAACGTCACACATATTTTCCTCCCCATCAACGACAACCACTCGGCATCGATCGCCGAGGGCGGCACACACTGGTCACTGCTCTTGGTATCCATCGTCGACGGCGTCGCATTCCACTATGATAGCATGCCACCCGGAAACCAGAATGAGGCCCACTACGTCACCCAAAAATTCTCCAGGCTCATCAACCGACCTCTCAGGTTCATTCCATTGACAGACTCCCCGTTGCAGGACAACTCGAGTGATTGCGGGGTATTTGTCTGTCTTAACATGCGGCATTTACTGCTGAAAAGACTCTTGATGGTCCGAACGGACGCCAAGGTCAGCATGAGTCTGGGTGGGAGGAGGGTGGACGCTTCTGCTGGGAGGAAGGAGATGCTCCGCATCATTGAGGAGTTTCGCAGAGAGGGCGAGAGAAGACGATCGTAAGTAACCAGACTTGTTCTATCTTGTGTCGTATCAGGGTTGTCCTCCACCTCTCAGTCACGATTCAGGTGGAAAGGTCGGAGCGCTGATGGCCAACAACCCCTGTTGCAGGATAAGCAATTCCCCCCATCCGGGCCGGAAGTCAAAATCACCACCACGGATCGACTCGCCGAACACGAGAGCAAAGAGCAATGAACCAATGAGCCAATGAATTGATGCAGATACGGTTTGACACGACACGAAGAGACGACTTCTTCAACGTTTTGTAATGACTGTTTGATGAAGAACAGAAAGGGCAGACCCGAGACCCGAGACCCGGGACCCGGGAAAGTTGTGTGTGTTATACCGTTCGTGGTTAAGGGAAGGGACACGTTATGGTCCATGTGCCCCAGAGAGATACAGAGAGAGTTTGTGCACGAGGCTTCACGTGGGTGGATGGTATGTCATGGTATCAGCTGAGACTTTCTGAGCAGGATAGTTAGTCCGATTCCTGCAAAATGGACACGATATGAGATTTTGTACCCAAAGCAACATCAGCGGGCATGTTAGCGAGGTTCGATCATGTGTCTCTTTCTAAGGACTCGCTCAGGCGAATGAAAGGTCCAGGTTCCTCAAATATCAACGTGCAGCTGAAGGATTCTGCAAGCTGACGTGCATTCCAAACCCCTGCCGGCAGAGCTTTCCAATGCAGCGCAGCATTGGGGGAAACGAGGAGAACCTGCCATCCAGAAAGAATGCTGGGGACGCCTGGTCTTTGTCCCTCCATTCTCTGCCATCTGATAGGTCTGTAAGTGTTTATTCGAGGTTGCTCTACAGACGAAAACTACCACCGCCATCGCTGCTGGCACAGACCATCCCGTTTTCGTCTTGGGAACCTGGAATTGCATCTCGGCTGGAAACGCCGCGTTGCCCCCAGCCCGTTTTGCCCCTTGATCATCGACGCACTTGAATTCATCCTCTATTGCTGCTCCTAGCGAAGGCTGTCAACCCTCCATTCTCCACCCCCGAAATACCATTGGATACACTAGATAGTGTAGATGAAATCGGGCCTCATATCGCCCAACTTCTCAATCTCCTCCTCAGTCTTACCTTCCACCCAGACATCCCTTTCACCCGCCCTACGCTTGGCATTCTCTCTCCTCAATAGGACATGCTGCAGGATACTGCCACCCAGAAGGAAGAGAGCTTCGTAGCCGAGGACCACGGCGTGGCCGGGTCGGAATCGAGGCTTGTCTTGCGCACGATAAACGTTGCTGGACATGATTCCTATGCCACGCTGTCAGCATTGTCGTATATGCTTTCAGGGTACTCTCGTTGCTCCAGAAACTCCAGTGGTTCGGGAATACACCCAGGAGGCATGAAATCCGTATATATGAGTGCGGAACCCAATGCAGAGAAGAGAGCAGTGATTCCAGGGATTCCACATACCATTCAGGTTACCCCATCCAATCACGAATCCTAGGGCAATACCTCGCTTGTAGACACCTTCAACGTTGTTCGCCGTCCAGGTGATTGTGTTCGGAATGCACGGATATATTCCCATAGCGCCCAAAAACGTACCTGCGTATTGGACATGCGGTTCTCCTGAGCCCAGAAGCATGGCGAAGCCGATTATGCCGAAAAAGGCCATCACCATATTGCAGTAGCCTAACCCGTGATGTTAGCACCGGAGGTCACGTGAAGGGCGAAGGAGTTAATGTCAAAAGGGAAGGTGAGCCGAACCTCTCATTCTGCTCCTGTCCGCAATAAACCCGACAAATATCGTTGTCGCCGCCGCCACCGCATAAGGTGGCACACTGAGTAGCTGTGCATGAATGCTTTTATAGCCCATTTGCTGAATAATTGTAGGCAAGAACAAACTGAAAGCATAAAGCGCGCCATCACAGCCTTGATAAATGAGGGCGCTGGTCCAAGTTTTCCAGTCCTTGACAGCTGCCCAGAAATATTGCATTTTGAATGCTTCGTGCTCGGCGCTAGATTGCTTGTCAAGTTTCAGACGCCGGATCACGCGACGCCGGTCATCTTCACTAAGAAACTTGGCCTCATCCGGGAAATCGTGGACCTATACTATGTCAGCTTGCGTAGGTCCCATCTAGACTGACGCTATCAGACTTGCCATGAAATATGACAACCCGGCAATGATGATCGTCGCAAGACCCTCCAGGATAAAGATCCATGCCCAGCCTGGCTTCCCTCCCACACCATCCATCTGGACGATGGCCGCGGCTAGCAAGCCACCAAATGAACCGGCAAGAGCCGCTGCCGAGAAGAAGATGGCTGCTCGGATGCCAAATTCAGAGCGCCTGTACCAACAGGACAGGTAGTAATTGACGCCTGTGATGAGGTCAGGATGAATCTCAAGGACGTGGAATATCTGACGAACCCGGAAACAGGCCAGCTTCAGTCAAGCCAAGGAACCATCGCGCCGCCATGAGACCGGAGAAGTTGTGGACAAGGCCCATTGTGGTCATGCAGATGCCTGGGGAAATAGGACTCTGATCAGTGGACTGGCACGCAAATGAAAAAAACCAGAACCAAATGGAGGGAATAGCCATTTTGGTGGACATTTGGCTGGATTAAGCCTGCTCACCCCATAGAACCATGATCGTAGGAAGGAATCTGGACGGCCTGAACCGCTTCAACAAAATCTGCGTCAAAGGCTCAAACAACGAATACGAAATGAAGAAAATGGTCAAGGTGTCATTGTATTCGTTATTAGTTAGGTTCAAGTCTTCTTGAAGACCGTCGATTTTGGCATTTCCAATATTGGTTCGGTCCAAGAAGGAGATCAGGTAGAGCAGGCAAAGCCATGGGATCAGCTGGATGTCGAGTTTCCACAGCAGTTTGCGATCCTAAAGGTATCAGTTTTCCGATCTCACGGAAGCTCGTACGAAGTGTCGCTTACGATACGCTTCCGCTCCTCTTCACTGAGGCCTTCGTCTGGGTCTGGGACCGCGGCAACAGCAACAGGAACACCGCCTTCGATGTGTTTCTCATTCTCCGATGGGTAACGAGCATCGTCGGAGTCGGAGATCTTGGGACTAGCTTTTTCCATGACCGTAAGCTACAACAATTGGGTGCTTGGGCCTGAGTACAACAATGAGGACAGGGATGAAGTATATATGGGAACGAGATTGCCACAGGAAAAGAATGGGTGGTCGTACAGACTCTCCCCAGGATATTTTTAATCAGGATTCTGGAGCAACGGAGGACGACCGCTTACCGGTGGATGGTCCGCAAAATGCCTTCCGGGGTAGATATTCTGATTCAGAAGGACGAAAGGACGTCAGGCTATCCTTGCATTGTCATGTTGTCCTTCCTCATGGGGTCCTAGTTCTGTGGGTGACGGTGAATTGTGATGGGAAGAACGTGGATGATGGGCATGGGTCGATCGTCGTGTGGAACCATCAACGAATGGTGACCAGCCATTGACGTCGATCCCAAGAGATGTTGTGTCGGAGTCATTCTAAGCTTCCCGCACCCAAGACACGCTAGAAGATAGTGGACAAAGCTCCCACTGGCTTCTAGAGCTTCAACGCTCCTAGGTGGCCCCGACAACGGATGGATGTTGGTCAGCCCAGGCAAGGCGGGGGGGGATCAAGGCGCAACGGTCATTTGCCGATGAGGTAGTGTCAGCCCACCATGTTGCCACAGCCATTGCAGAAAACGAGGTCGCTGCCACTGATGCTGGAAGCCTCCCACTCTGCTTAAGGATTTAGGCGGAGGAGGGTGAGTTGCTGCACTGATGATTCGCTCCAGCAGCTGCCTTAATGTCCTTCAGCGACTTCGGTTGAAGGGGAGGAGATTCCAATGTCACGTCGCCTGATGTCTTCATGCATGACCTGTGTGACGATCGGCATTTGTGGGCACGGGCCATCGGCGCTCTTGACCGGAAGCTTCAGGGGCCCGCTGGGATCTGAGCGTCGGCCTTCTGGAGAAACATTCCGACCTTTTCTCAACCATGTACAGTTCTTTATTTTTTTATTTTCTTGAGACTGTCACGTTGTGGGAGCTTATTCTTGAGCTGCTCAGCGAGCACCTTCCCTGGAACACTCTTCGAAGCTCTGACACCGCTGCTGAGGGTGCGACTATCGCAAGGAAAAGACTAATGGCCACGAACAAGGAAGGACTTTCAATCTCCCTGGCAATTTCGCAGTGATTAGCGATTGGAACAGTTAAGGGCTCAATGCACTTGACAAAGTTGGAAGCAATAAGGTCATTGTTGTGTTGAAGTACTGTGCAAAATGCCTTTATGTGAAGGTAACCGAACAGGAGCATCGGATGGATGTGAAAGCCATGGCTCTGGTCGGCGACGACATCGGGAGGAAGGTGAGTCTGGGCCGAATGCTGGGTGCTGAGATTATTCAACAGAGGGATATCTCTGGATCAATTGTTCAAGGGCGGAAACATTCAGGGAGGGAGGTGCTGGGAAGTGAGGACTCGCTGTCAACAAGGAGCTTTGTCGGCGCAGTTGCAGTTGTGAAGCTGTGTGAACAAGGCTGGTCTTTCCTCTGATCCCACACAAGAACAATTACACGTGCCCAACCACTTCCAGTCCTCAAACCTCACCGGCCTGTGTCTGGTCACTGTCTCTAGCCCAGTTCCCATCTTCATCGGCTCGTGCATCATTCTTTGGTCCTCTGCATTTCTCCTTATGTGCATCGTCCTCGCTCTCTGATCAGCGACTTGTCATGGCGATGAACAGAGCATCTGAGCGGCTGTTCAAGTACCCTCCGATGGAGCGTCAGGACCTCAACCAATCCCAGCTGGGCAGCTTCAAGTTCACTCCGGTTGATCCTGTCAGCAATATCCAAAGCCTCACCCAGTCAGCAAAGCTCTACCTTGATGAGCAGCTCCGCCAGAGGCTCCCTCGAGCAGCAGCTTCCCTGACGACCGGCTCTTCACAGAGCAACCCAACGATCTTCGCCGATGTCTCACCTGAAAACCCTCTACCATACTCAAACTCTTCTTCAGTCGATGCAAACTTCTTCAACAAACACATCAGGCCTGATCTTGGTGACTCTCGTCTGCGCCTCGGCCCTGCCGCTCTCCGTTCCGCGGTTGAGGGTGCTGCAAGCCCGACAAAGAACTTCTCCATGATTCAGGTACACCAAGAACCCAATGTCGTCTTGAGACAGCACCGACAAAGTAACTCTTTCAATGTAGGTTTGCATGCAGAGTTCTATTCGTCGCCTGCTTGTCATTCTCTCCGTCTCGCTGATAACTTGTCCAGGCTCCGGAATTGGTGTCATCCCAGATTCAGGTTCCAACCATGGATCCCGCCTCTGCCACGTTCATGCCAGATAAGGATTCCTTCGGCCAAGGTCTATCTGACTCGACTTCTTTCAGCGAAACATTATGTGTAGCCCTTGCGAATGAGCAGCGAGCGCACGCTGCGACCAAGGCAGCTCTGGCCCTCCAGATTCGGCAACGTGCTGAGGTCGAAGATCAGCTCAAGAAAAGCCAACAACAGATTGCGAGCATGACAGCCACAATCAAAAATCTAGGTGCCATCATCAAACACAACGTCACCAAGGACTGTGACACTTCTGTTGCACGGAGAGGGACGGACGTGTCGGAAGCTGCTGAACAGGCGGCTTTAAGGGAGTTTTACCGTGACTATCAAAAAGTCAAAGATGCTGCCAAGGAGAAAGAGCAATGTAAAGCAAAGGTACAATATACGGGAGAAGAACGTTCCGGAACTAGCTTCGTGGCCAAGAGGGACACGGCAGACGTGATTATCGTGTCTTCCAGCCGTGTCGTGGACGATACGCAGCTCTACAATCTTGACCTGCTGAAGAAGCCCACGTTTGACAATTCTGCCGATTCGATCTTACGGCGAACTCTTCGCAAGCACTTCTCCATCGACGAGACCGCTGACGATAGCAAACCCCCAACAACTCCTACCAGACATCGTCCAAGTATCAACAGGCTTATCGACATCTCCCCAGAGTCACTTGAAGAATCAAAGGAGAAGGACAAAACTGAAGGCGGAAGTGACATGGAACCCCCAAAGGAAGAGATCCCGGTCAAAAATCCTGCAAATGGTAATCGACGACGGGAAGGTTCAAGCATGAGTCAACGTCAAGTCCGCCTTCTGGTAAGCGAGAGACATTCCTCCTTGGTGAGTGCTGGCTGACCAGGGTAGACTGCGCAAAATCCTGTCCTCGAGCTGGTAACTGTCATTTCGTTTCTCTTCATCTGAAGAAATACACTAACTCTCACTTAGCCAGCGGCATTCCTTGCTAAGTACGGGCAAAAACGTTACGATACAGAACGGCAAGTCTCGGACGAGAAAGTTTGTTCGAATCTTGCTAGGGTCAAAGTCAAGATATACTGACACGCTCAAATAGTCAAACAAAGTAGACCTGCATCTGTCAAAAGCTGAGAGACTCCTCCCGAAGGATACACCATGCAAGCCATCAACCGGCGAGCACGATAGCAGGCCCAGCCCACCTCCTTCGCTCGGCAACGATGAAAATAACCAACCTACAAGCCATTCTGTGCCTCCTGTCGCGACCCAGCCAAAATCTCGCATGACTGTTCAGGTTGGCGATAACCTTCACGGAGAGCCGAAATGGATGATCAATAAAGACAATCCAGTTTTTAGAAGTGAGCAAGAAAAGTGGCAAGCCGTTGAAGAGAATGGGCTTGCCTGGCGCCAAAATAGCCCATTCATTGACCATCCGGTGCGCTATCTTCCCGAGGATGCAGCTGGCACGGTTGACGCCTATCGCACCGTCATGATTGACGCCATTCCTGTTAACTGTACTTTGCCGGATGTGTTGAGCATCGTCAAAGGTGGTTCTCTAGAGTCTATTCAGCTGTTTCCACCTATCGGCAAAGTGACAACTTTCATGACTGCTCGACTCGTGTTCAATTATGAAGAATCTGCGCACAAGATGATCAAGCATCAAGAATCCAATCCTGGGAAAGACAACGATTCCAACCGATTCAAGATCAAGGGTGTTGCTGTTCGTTGCTGGATGCCCACAGATCCCACATATCCCCGAAACGAGGAGCTTGAGTGCAAGGTTTTGGGCAAGGCTGGTGCTTCCCGGATCATCCTCATCAGCAACGTAGATGAATACACCTACAACATGATCCCATTCAAGATCAAGCACCCACATGCTCAACATGTCATCGAGTACAGCTACACACCTGATGGCTGCGCATCGATCGAATTCACCAATGTGAAAACTGCCATCCGAGTGATGGAGTTGCTGGAGAAAGACGGAGAGTTCTGGAACGGCAATCTTCAGTACGATACTGACTACACCTGCAGGCCGTACGTTAAGGGAGAGACAATGGGCATTTGAAATGTCGTTGGTAAGGCAGAGAACAGAGAAGTTGGCATAGATACACCTCCAATCAACTATCGAATCGGGCGGGAGCTACACATTGAACTTGCAATTGGCCATGGGCTACCAGAGATAGCAGAATAGCATCGAGTATGGAGCTGAGTAAATAAATGCGACACCTTGAATTCGTTCCCGTATGACATGCGGTTGATGCTTCTTCTATCTCTAACACGGAATATACATGTAGTCCAATGTGCCAACAGCGGATATTTGGCAACCGACAACCGTTGTTTTGGTTCGCTTCCTCTGGATATTGAACTGGTGCCCCGGGCCTCAGAGCATGCCTGAAGCGTTTTATATCACATCTGAAAGCCAGCAGCTCTTGCTGAATGAGCTCTATACATTCTCCTCATTGAGCGGCAGTCCAACATCACCAACGGCTCAGTCTCGGCCGAATATAATGTTTCAGCTTCTAGGGTTTGGAGGATCAACAGCGCGGTGCTGAATTGCCGTTCAAATCTGACAGCAATTCGAGAGAGACAGACAAGGTAGTCAGCTGGTCGATTATTCAAGGATCTCTTATTTACATATCGCCAGTTCAATTTCTCGCATCTGCCTCACTGGCATTCTCCAGAGCAACAGCTGGCACAAGGTCATCTTGTCCCTGCACAAATCAAACAGCCCATCCAGGGTTGGCCGTCGACTTCGTGTAATGCCGATTAGTTTTTGTCAGGAACTTTGCTACGCCACATTAATCGCGAATAGTCGATCCTACCCAAAATGAAACAACGTCTCTCCCTTCTTTCCCTTCTTTGCCTTTCTTCTCGGAGCCGCTTCTCCATCGTCGGTGTTATCACCACTTCCTCCCAGGCGACCTGCACCGGCGGACCCAGTCGCCTGTGCCTGTGCTGGTGTGGGCGCCAACCCTCCGTTTCCCCATGCATTCACCGGCGTAGTGGTCCCTGAGCCGGAAGGTGAGCTGAGCCATCTCACCGAGCCCCGCGTATTGAAGCCAGTCATCATAATGTTCGGCTTCGGCGCAGCAGGCAACGAGGGGAAGGCGTCCTCCGTTGGGCGCGGCGGAGCACCGGCACGGGCGTTGGTTTTCTGGCGTATTGTGGACGCAGTCGTAGGTGCCATTGGACGTGCAGCGCTGTGAGTGGCCTTGGGAACTATGGGCGCAGATGTATTGCCCCAAGCAGGAGTTGCTGTAGGTGCGCTTGCGCTCGGAGCGCTGTTTGACAAGGCAGGATACGGATCTTGGCTTGTTCCCCGAGCTATGGCATTACCCCATGAACCCTGTCTTGACACCGCTGAGCGGGATGATTGGGCTGTGCTCTTCTTCAATGTTAACACCCGTCGGCCAGAACTTGCAGGGCCATTCGAAAGGCCTGGTAGAGTGCCACTGGGGCCCGGGAGGCTGGGATAATCCTCATTAATACTGCGCCAGTTGTTCCATGCCTGCAACAGAGCCTGGCGCTTCGTCTCATCTTCATACAGATCTGCCAGTTCTCGGATGAGCTTACCCAGCTCCGAACTTGGACAATCGAAAAGAGAAAAGAATGAGTCAATCAGGTTATTTGCGGTGCTAGTGCCGCTGCGGTAAGCGGAGACGTGGGTTCGAAATTGGGATAGTTTAGCCTTGTCGTTCTTGAGGAGAGATGTGGCACGTTCAGTTACTGCCTGGTGGCGCAGTGCTCGCGCCTGTTCCTGAGGCGTCATTGCCGCAGCTGATATGTCTCCGTCTTCAACGGTGAGTCTTTCGACTGCGGGTAATGCTGAAGGTGGTTGCGGAGACGCTGGCTGTCGGCGGGCGACAGGAGTGGTTTGTGTCAATTGGCCGCCAAAGCTCCTGCTCGACACTGATTGAGAGCTTTGTATGGCAAGTTGACGTTGATAAGCCAGTTCTGCGCGGCCAAGTGGCTGAGCACTTGATATAGGCAGTGGTTCAGCATTTGGATCACGACCCCTACCAGCACCACGATTTCCTCGATCTCCTCTTCGAGGAGGTTGGTAGGGTTCTCGGAGAGCAAAACCGGACAAATCGACAAGTCGAGCATCCCTCCGAGCGTCTTTAGAAAGTCCATTTGGGTGTTCGGAAAGTTGATGCGCTTTGAGATCCATCTCCGATTCGAAGACATTTGTCTTGTTGGCTTGACATTCGGCGTCCAAGCAGACAAAGTGGTCCGTTGCAAAATGTTTCTCCAGTTCTTGATAATTGAGATAGTATTGTGGGTTTCTTCCACCGTTCCGTCTATCACAAATGTGACATCTCTCATGTTTCTCCCGACAGTGAGCATAAAGCTCGTCATCTCCATAAAATCTCTGTTTGCAAAACCCGCATTCCGGATGTCCCTTGAAGCCAGACTGGTCAATAGCCCCTGGGTTATCGTCGCCAAATTTCTCGTGTTTTCGCAACTCGCCGAACGTGAACAGGTCGTGCTCATGCGTGAAGACTTTCTTGTTTCTCGTGCATAGATCGCACATGACCTTTCCGTGCTTGGTTTTGACGTGACGATGTAGATCCGGCCAACCCAGGCAAGCAACGTCACAATCTTTGTCTGGACAATTGTATCGGAGGAGGAGAATGGTATCTTCTAAGATGATGTCCTTTTCGTATTTAATTCCCAGGTTGTCGTCAATCTTGACGAACTCGTTGTCCTTGAAATCCTCGTACCGTTTCTCTGCATTGTCGGTGAAGATCACGAAAGCTGCTTCTGTCTGTACTCTGGTTAGTCTGCAGCTCGGAGACAATACACCAAGGAATACTTACTCTGCAGTGTGCACAAGCTCGTGTCTTGTAAAGTGCCCTCAGCCTCAAAGAGCAAATGTGGCAAGTCTGATGGTTGCAAGGTGCAATCGAGACGTGCTCGATAGGACTGGCGCAGATGAAGCACAATTCCGCTTCTTCTGCGGGTTCAGACTCTTTTTCGTTCCCTTGAGGATATGGTACACTTGAATCGCCTTCTAATTTTGAGGCAGCTTCGGTCAGGCGGGCACCGAAGCCGCCTCCAGGTGGTCTTCCAGAGGTGGTTTCTGTTGTGTATTGCGGAGACAGTGGTGTTGAGGATGTGGCGTCTCTCCCATGTCCTCTAGTTTTCCCCCTGCCTCCTCTTGAACCTCTTATTCCTCGATTTCCAGCTCCTCTGCCTCGATTGTCAGACGAGTCTCGATCGTAGGATTCAGTGCGGCTATGCTGATTTGAGCGATTGCCTCTCCCTCTACGTGCTCCTCGTGGTGAAGAGATTGCCTCGATGGCGGTCGCAGAGTCCGACATGATCGTGTGCGTGGCAATCGAGCAGCCTGCAAAGCCTCAGTGTATTGAGTTCCCGCAAGACTCGGTGATCTGTTTGCGATGAATGGTGTCTTCAGTGAGCAACTCCGAGTTCTTTGCCCGCCCAAATAATTGGACGGTATACGCAGTAATAGTGGGGTAATTATAAGGGTACTATTAAGGCGGCTTCCAGGGACGCAACGAATAAAGCCACGGCCCTTGGTCGCTTTATTTGTACAGTCAGTTCTCCACAGTGCCTTTTCCAAGAGCCCTTGTGGGAATCCGCTTGGGAACTGAGTGCCAATCTCGCACATTCTAGCTTTGGGTCGACTCAGAGTGAGTCACAAAGTCACGAAACAAATGTCCCTCGGTCTGGGTAAAAGCAGCAAGGGGGCCTCTGGAGTGCTTTAGTCAGCGAGGCTGAGCACTCCTGGCTGTCAGCTCGTGAATTGAGAGAGCCAGAAAAACGGATGCGCACCCAGCTTTGGAGTACAAGTAGATCATTCTATCTGATATTTTCCATTTCCGCTTAGATCGCATTGACGTTGTGACTCAAAGCCGTGTCTGAGCGAATGCGACAAAATCCAACCTCGTCAGGGAATTTTGACCAATCCTAAGCTCAATTGTCCCTTTATGGACCAAACGCCCAACTTCGCTCCTAGTCGTATGCCGCTCAAACTGGCTCATTAATTCACCGGGGAAGAACGCAAAAGGGGAATCTCGATGTCCTCAGCCCAGCCCAAACATGGTTTCCAAAGCGTGCCATCACGTCTTCATTCGTCTGGATTATACATTTGCTGCGAGATCAATTTTGTCATGGTAAACATATGGACCTTGTCCTGCTTGAAGACCTCTCGCATCCTGTCGTCGCAGATGATATAGCGCTTGTCGCTGGGATCTTGAAGGTCATTTGCTTTAATGTAAGCCCATATGCGCTTGGTGGTCTCTGGGCGGGATAGCTATTTCAAGTTTTAGTACTAGTATCCTGGAGGGAAGTGCATGCTCACCTGTGTTGCCCCGTCGAACAGATTTGATAGTGCCTGCGAAAGATTGAGTGGCTTCTGCGTTTCGTCAGTGCTAGCATATACCTTAGATCACTGCAACGTACGTGGAAGCCGGTTTCTCGCTTAGGTTTCTGCTTGCGCTCCTCTCCCTCGAGCTCCGAGTCATCGGATCCAGTCACGCGCTCCTTCTTTGTTCTCTTCTTCTTTTTGACAGGAGCCGTCTTCCGGGTCGCTCCGCCACGGGTGGGCCGAGCCAATTTGTCTTCTTCAGCCTGTAAACGGGCAGCGTATGCAGCATCTGCGTCGATGACCGATTTCTGTTTTTTCTTTGGAGGTTGTGCATCTATGGCATCAGAAACATCTTCACTCTCCGCCTCACGTTTGGCTGGTGAGCTCGAGGATTGTGCAGAAGAATGATGGACGCCATTAGTGTGAGGGGCAGGTTCGACCGTTTCGGCTGTTTCGACTGAGGGAACCACTGTAGTCTCGCCATTTCTCCTCGCGTTCATGAGATCGAACCTCTCGCCAATCAAGTCCCTGATAGCATTCTACGCCGTGTCAGTCCGTGATTGTCCCCGCGTAACGCAGTTGCACGCACCTTCTGCGGCGTGATGTCATATTCGACTTGATCTTGTATGCCTTGCCGAATCTTCTTAGTCGTGATAGTCGTGAGATCAGCACTCTCGAGGATTGAATCAATGATAGCGATATACCGCGCGCGGACCTCTGGCGGCACTGGGAAGTGTCAGCAAGATCAGGTCAAGGAGTGCGGATTTAGACCAACTTACATGACATAACGAACCGGAATAAGAAAGAAACGAGGTCGAGATCAGGTCAACCAGGTAAATTTCAAGGTAGCGAATGTAGAGGTTGGACACGGTCAGGCCACAGTCAGAGTAAAGTCATGCGCCATCCGCTCCCTCCACTTCGACCCAAGTGCATCAATGCAGCCAGAGTTGCGCTGAGCAACCACCAACTGATGGAAAGTGCGGAAGCTATGGCTCTGGGCAGATTACTAGATGAGTCGCATCAATCAATAACGACACCAAAAGATCAAATACGGTGGTGCGCCAAACGAAACATGGAACATCTGTTCACTTGTGAGTAGTGCTGGTGGCTTGTAGAGGTGCAGAATGAGGATGCGGGATTGCCTGCGCGAAATGGCATATGACTAAGCCACTACACGTGACAGTGAAATCTTGGCGATATCCACAATTCGAGATCTCCCACTTGAAGTTTCGTGCCGGTCGTGCGTCTGCGCCCTGAGGAATCATTGCTCTGCGTCGACGACATATTCATTTTGAGCCATTCAGTTGGGCAGCTGGAAAGCAATACCGCAACCATGGCTCCCGGATTCGATCAGCTCTCCGACCACGACTTCGAAGATGAAGCAGACAACATCGACTTCAGTGACCTCAAAGAACGATATGATGTGCGCATGGAGGAAGGCCTCGATACTTTTGTTGTATGTATTGCTGCAAAGGAGGCTTCGAATTCCCTGCTAACTCACTAGGTTATTGATGGCCTCCCAATCGTCAACCAAGAACAAAGATCAAAACTCATCAAGTTCTTGCTCAAGAGGCTAAACTCTGTTGGGCGCATAAAAGATGGCGAGGAGTCAGTCTTCATGCCCATGAATGAGCAGGGAATGTCCGAAGGGTATGCGTCCTATTTATCTGCTGTAGTATACCCTGCTAATGGCTTCACAGCTTTGCCTTTGTCGAGTATCAAACACCAGAACAGGCCATTGCAGCCACCAAACAACTGCACGGAACAGCCCTGGATAAACGACATACTCTGGCGGTTAATAAGCTTACGGACATCGAAAAATATGGCAGAGAAGGACGGATAGATGAGGAATATGTCCCTCCTGAGATCGAACCGTTTGCAGAGCGTGAACATCTCAGGTCATGGCTCTTTGATCCCCAGGCTCGAGATCAATTCGTCATGTTTCGAGGAGACAACGTGGGTGTCTTTTGGAACAATAAGAAAGAACCCCCCGAGCCCATCGTTGACCGCAAACACTGGACACAGCTGTTCGTTTCATGGTCACCACAGGGAACATATCTTGCTTCTATTCACCAGCAAGGTGTTCAGCTGTGGGGTGGCCAATCTTTCAAGAGAATCAGACAATTTCCGCATCCCTTCGTCAGCCTCATTGAGTTTTCACCAGGAGAATCATATTTGACCACTTGGTCTAATCAACCCATCACCGTAGAAGAAGGCAAAGGACCTCTTACTATCGACGAAGAAGGCAAGCACATCGTTGTTTGGGACATTACCACGGGAAAACCGCTTCGATCTTTCGTCGCCCACGATCTTACGCCTCCTCCGGGCGCAGATGCGACAGCCATCCCGCCGAAAGCAAAAGTTCAATGGCCAGCGTTCAAATGGTCCGCCGATGAAAAGTACGTCGCAAGGATGAAGCCTCACGAGAGTATCTCCATCTACGAACTTCCCAGAATGAACCTCCTGGACAAGACATCTGTCAAAGCTGAAGGAATCATGGATTTTGAATGGGCGCCTTCCACGACCCAACGCGAAGGAATCAAGACCTACGAATCACTCCTCTGCTTCTGGACCCCTGAGATCGGTTCCAACCCGGCGAAGGTTGCATTGATGTCCGTCCCTTCCAAGGAAATTGTGAGAACTCGGAATCTTTTCAACGTCACCGACGCAAAACTCCACTGGCAGTCTGAAGGAAAGTTCATCTGTGTGAAAGTGGACCGCCACTCAAAGTCCAAGAAATCCAATGCCACGAACCTTGAAATCTTCCGCATCCGAGAAAAGGGCGTTCCTGTCGAAGTCGTCGACTCCCTCAAAGACACCGTCATCAATTTCGCGTGGGAACCAAAAGGTGATAGATTCGTGCTGATCACCGCAGGGGAAGCAGTTGCCGGTAGCAACGTCCTTCCCAAGACCTCTGTCTCATTCTTTGCTCCGGAGAAGATCAAGGGTCCCGGTACGGGAGCGTTCAAGCTTGTGCGCACATTCGACAAGAAAAATTCCAACGGAATTTACTGGTCTCCGAAAGGTCGATTCGTAGTTGTTGCCACAGTCAGCGTGCAACAACATTCAGACATTGACTTTTATGACCTCGACTACGAGGGCGAAAAATCCGAGCAAGATGTTGCAGCCAACCTAAATGCCAACCTCATGTTGATGAATTCTGAGGATCACTATGGTATGACGGATGTGGATTGGGATCCTACGGGAAGATATGTCACGACGAGTGCTAGTGTATGGACTCATCAGGTAAGAGATCTATGGCATGCCCCCGCTTTGGGGCAAGTAGAAACAGCAGGTTTTCAATGCTCACATGATGTTATATAGATGGAAAATGGCTGGCGGCTCTGGACGTTCTACGGCGCCCTCCTCTCCGAGCACCCTACTGAGAAATTCAAGCAACTGATTTGGCGACCTCGGCCGCCTACCCTTCTCAGCAAAGAAGAACAGCGCACCATCCGCCGCAACCTACGCGAATACTCCAAAGAATTCGACGAGTTGGACAAGGAGATGGAAGAAGGCGCGAACCAGGCGGTCATCGATGCGAGAAGGAGGTTGTACCTGGAGTGGTATAGCTGGGTGGCGAGGGAGAAGGAGTTGTTAAAACAAGAGAGAGAAGAGCTTGGGTTGAAGGATCCTGACGAGGAGTTGGCGCTCCAGAGGACCAGGAGTGTTGAAGAAGAAGGCGAGAAGGTTGTGGAAGAAGTCGTTGAGGAGGTTATTGAAGAAACAGAGGAGGTCGTGCAGTGAAAGAATGCTTATGCAGTTATCGAGACGATGGTGGTGCCTCTCGAGGAACTGACTCCATCAATATCGAAAGCAAAGGACAAGATGATCTGCATTGAATGACTTCTTGTCATCGATCATTGAAACGGACTAGCAATGCATGAATGATAGATACTTATGTGGAAAATGTCCAGCTGGGAAACATGGATACCTATCCTGCAGACCATGGCAATGGCAAAAGAGTTCCTGAAACATGTCTCCGGGTATAGAAAACATTTGTAACAGCAAAACGAAGTTCTCTATCTGAAGTCTCTCAGCTCGATCTCCGTGCCTCCGGACGATGCATCGAATGAACCATCTGGCCGTCGAGGCTCGCTTTTCCAAAATGAAGATCTAGGCAGTCTAGGCTTTTCCAGTGCTTGCAAGCAACCCACAGAACCACAGAGCAAATCGTTAACATATTCGCAGAGCAAAGCCTTGAAACATGCCTTTCTCGTCATCAGTCCCTTGGGCATTACATCCGCAACTCCAGTTCGTAGCCTGTCAATCTCCAGAGCCAGAATTTTACATCCCACTCTCTTGCTCCTTCATTCCCTCTTCCACATCTCTCAGCTGATCGAGATTGATGCGACACTCTTCCATCTTCTTGGACCAGTAAAACAAATCCTCACTAGCAGCGGCATGTTTCTTGCTGCTCAAGGGCGCCTCAATGGCATCGTACTTCTCCCACGCCTGGGCATGCTTGCTCTTCGCCTCTTCGAATTGGTTCATCAAAAGTTTCTTGACATTAGCAAGGGCATGCCAGGGATTGATTTTGGGGCGTAAAGTGGGTTCCTCTAGCATCACGTCTTTCATGAGCTGGGTAATCTGTGCTGTGAAATCTGTCCTTTCACCAACGGGCGCAAAGGCAGAGCATGTAGCGTGGGTAACTTGCCTGGGTTTTCTTGCTGTGAGACGTTGACAGACAGTGCAGTTGCCAAGGTGTTCCGGATCGCCATGACGATGCAGAACACTTTGAGCCTCCTGAGAAACCTGAATTCTTGCTGGTTTCACGGGCTGACTCATTGTGATGTCGGGCAATATGTATGCCGAGGTCATGTTTTCGTCAAGGGACGGATGGCGCCGTCGGCGCGAGGTATTTGACGCGGCCGTCTGGTCTCCAATGACGCTGTTTTCGGTATCATGTACAGTGGGTCGTTGATAAGATTGGGGCTTGCTCTTAGCAGTAACATCTGACTTGGTAGTCGGCCGCTTTTCTGACACGGGCGACATCGGTCTGTTGATAACAGCAGATAGAACTCGGGCATCATTGGAGTTGGTGGTCTTAGGAGCATCTTTGATATCCGCAGACGTGTCTTTCATGGAATTCCTTCGAACAGGAGATCTTGGGGGAGACGACATGGACCTGCTGATATCAAATAGTTCTTCCTCGACACGTGACGCCGCTTTGCTCTTCTTTGCCGGGGTAATTTGTTTCTTGGACGCAGCACGGAGCAATCTAAGCTCAAGTCGGGCATCATCGCGTTCGCGGGTTAGGGAATTGATGGTTTGCATTGCTTCGTTGAGATCGCGTTGCAGAGTGCGCAATGACGCGACAATTTGTTTCTCATCGGCTGGGACAGTGTAGTGAACCTGAACATTTGGCAGAGAACCGTGGTCTGGCACAATCTGAGAAGTATTGGGAATATTGGTGGGCAGCATGAAGGACTGGCTGGGATTCTGGGATTTGGACGAAGCAGCCCTGCTGAATCGAGTCGTCTTTTTGACACGATCGAGCGGTGGGGAGGTAGAACCAGGAGTGTACATGACCTGAAGACAGTTTAGTTGTGCTCCGAGGAGATACATGGCTTACCTACCTGGTAGTCCCCAATGAAAGCCTCATGGGAGTGAATGCTGCTGTAGTTGGTGTTCATTGTGCCGTGATCGAACCTGGAAGGAGCCATGTCTCGTCGTGTAGAATGTTGAGAGTAAGATATCGGAGCAACCGAGGATAGTTTTAGAGAACGAAGTGTGTCAGAGCGGAAAACCATGTGCTTTGAAACTTGTGTTTGTTATGGGGTTTCTGAAAAGGGAAAGACGGGATTGGCCGAAAGAAGCAACATATCCGGTCCTCATTGAGCCAACCAGTTAGAGCGCTTGGCAGCTTCAGCCTTGCTCTTCCCTCACTGTTGGCCCTTAGCGGCACTCATCGTAATTGTTCTTTGTCGACCACACATCATATTTATTAAGATCCCTGAGCAGGAAAATATCAAATGCGGGGAAGTGGCTTCGAGTGAGGCTATGGTCCACAAGAGCTGACTCAAAAGTTCTACAAGGACGGGGACTTGAATGAAGTGAGACTCGAGACGACAACAGACTCTCGGATTCTCATGGACGAACACAGGAAATAAACAAGGTTGGCTGAACGACGAAGGTAAGTGGTTTTATCGAGCTTGCTGCTCGTATACAGTAGATTTCTGTTGACTTCGTGACGTGCCAACCCAGTTGGACGTGGGATTAGACGGAACACAAAAAGCGAGTGCGCCAGGGCGGATCCTGGCTGTGTGTTTCAGCATCTTTTAGCCCTCACAGGCTTGGGGCGGCATAGCCTACCGCCCATCCGACCTACCATGGCCCACTACAACCAATCCCCCCCCGCTGTGCCCTGGTTGAAAGAGCACAAGCCTGCCACTCGCCTCTGCCGCTGGAGGCTGACGGCATACGCTACTTCGCTGCACCTGCTTCTGCCAACTTCAAAGGGTCCTCGAGGCCGCCCACTGCCACAGCTGAGCAACTCCAACGAATCTTACCACACTTTTGCATTTGCATACGTATGCTTAAGCACATTGTCTCTGTTGCAAAGTTCCTGTAAATGCATTGTTACCTTGCTTGTATCACCACTAAGCAACCTGTCTCTGAGAGAATTGTCCGTTTGACAGCTTATACGAACCTGCTGCCACTCCTTCGAACCCGCGGTATTACGAGTACTTTCGTGTCCAACCATTACAAATTTGATCAAATGACCCGATAGCAAAGCCGCAACACTCCCCTACACAAGGTCCGACTTGCTCTCACCACCGATCACCTCCATGGCAGGCAGTTTACCAATAAAGACGCTAGACAAGCGCAACATTCATTTAAATCGCCTATCGTCGAGGCAGGGCCCTCCCAAAGATGGCGGCGGAAGTGGAAGTGGAAGTGGAAGTGGAAGCGGAGGCGGAGGCGGGGGAATGGGTGGAAATGCCATAATAGTTGGCGTGAGTATCCTAGATATTTGCTGCGAGGACACTGTCTGACGAGCTTCAGATTGTTGCTGGAGTCGTATTCTTCCTGACTGCTGGCGTTGTTTTTTACACAATGCTGCGGAGATGGAGAGTACAAGGAAGGAAACCCAAATATATTCCCACGAAATTTTTGAAGAGAAAATGGCAAACATGGCAACCGGGCGGAAAATACAAGGCCGTTCGCAATCGAGATCTCTCCTCCACGAATACGGCGTACAATGGCAATGAGATCGGTGGAGAAACAGAAACTGGGGCAGGAGTCGACCGCAACACCAGCGTGCGCAGTGTCATCACACTTCCGGCATACTCGAGGACGCCAAAGGACACTGAACAAGTACTTGGGAGAGAAGGCGAAAGAGCTGGCATGGACACCGTGGTGGAATTCCCGGAGACCGCCGACGAAGAAGAAACCCGCCGTGAAGACCAGATGGAGTCATTGTACCAAATTCGATTGGCACGCCGCCGCGAAATTGCGGAACGAGAAGAACGGCGGCGGGAACGAAGAGAAGCTCGCGAGAGAGGAGATACAGCTCGACTAGAGCAGCTGAGGCGAGAATCCCGCCAGCGTGCAAACGAGAGCTCTACATCCCTTAATGGCGGTGTCAGTGTCTCTGCAGCCACCCTGATTGCAGAGCATCAGTCTCGCGGACGAGAACGAAGGGTATCAAGCGTTGCATATGCTTCGTTGGGAGAGGTACGACATGACGGTACCCGGATTCGAGCAAATAGTAATGACTCCGAGCGAGGTGGACTGTTAAGTGGAGCAGCTCCTATGGGCGAAATTGACGGACGGCCTCGTCTCCTATCGGACGCTACATCGATACACAGCCGCGGACGTTCAACCAGCGCTGTGAGTGTATCAACGATGGGTTCCGACGTGGAACCTCAGCCGACACCAGGCTCAACTATTCCCGACGACATCAACCGGCGCCAAAGTGACGAGCCTCAAAGCGGTGGTACGTCTAACTCTTCTCCTACAGCCAACAGGTTCACGCCAGATGAAAGCACCGGATCAGACGACATTGGAGATGCGCGCATCCCACTACCTTCCGACGTTCATGACGCAAATCAGCCACCCGACTACGAATTCCTGGACTGGGGTGACGCTCCTTCATACGAGGCGGCGGTTGCTCGCCGTGCCGCAAGCAACGCCAGCCGTGCTGCGGGTATTCCGACAAGGGCTCCCACGAATGCAAGCGTTGCACCTCAACTGCCACAGCTCAACCTTCCTAGGATTAGTGTGTCTGGGGCCACAGAGCCAAATACGCCTGTGTCGCCGGACGTGCAATCGGCTCCTCCATCCAACACTGGAATCACCCAAGTCTCGCCTGTAGCAACGACGAACATCCATGCAGTGGTCGAGCACTCTAGAACGGAAATCAGCTCTAATCCTACATGAGCTCATCAGGATTGAGAATTCTATGTGAGATGGTGCATGATAAACTTGACTTGGGGCGGAGCAGGTCTTAATCGCAAAATTTGGGCAACAAAGGTCTCTTATGGAAAATGTCTGCATGAACTTATGATGGGTATATTCGGAACATGTACCGCAAGCATGAAAGCACGGCGCAGGGGTATTTCTAACTATTCGACTTGGGTCATCTAAGGGCAGCAATCAATGCCGCGGTTCTCTTCTATTTGGATATCGGTGGTCTTGTATTGAAGCAGTGCTACATCTCGTGGATCGACTTAGTTCCAAATCTTCATTCCTCTTTGTCCAAGGCTTAACTCATTAAGCTCCTCTCTCTTTGCTTGTATATTAGAATGCATGTACTATTCCGGGATTCTTATATACCGCACTAGGTCGATGTGGACAACGAGCTTGTAACAAGGAATCAGCACTGTCCCCATAGAAGATTATCTTAGCTGCGATAAGCGTGGTTCAAGGTAGACAGAGAGGTTTAGGAAGCCGTTGAATTCAACAAAAGACGAGAGAAGCCAAAAGAAATTGGTTGATAGACTTCTCTTCCCATTTTAGCAAGGCTATGGAGGAAAATCCCACGAAGGCCCCTTGGGAAAGGTGTCCGGGGTTCTGTCTTTGATGCTGCCCTGATCTGGACGGATCTACTGATTCAACATCAGAGTGAGGGTCGGTTTGCTCAAGCTGAAGGATGTTGACAGCCGCACCGACTGCCTGTTCTGTGATTCGACCGCCGACGAGGCCTAGCCACTTTCGCCTCATTGATGAAAGGATATCTTTGCCCGGATTGGGTTTTTTTTATCTCTCCGTCGGCGCCCATCCCGAGTTCCTCCAGCCATCATCTATCGCACAATACCTTCAAATCTCGTCTTGAACCATTTGATCGAATCATCTTTAGAGACTTGGTGGCTGCGTCCAACCTTACTCTTGCAACGTCTCCTCCTGGCAACTCTCGCACCGGGTCTACCCATGCAGCAGTAGAAATCCATCCCGTAAATCCCGATCGCCGGGTCATACTTGATTCCCAAATCGATGTGCTCGGAGATACCAAAGCCGAAGTTTCCGGTCTCGCTGAAGTTCTTCTTCCTCAATTCGTATTCCTTGACTTTCAAACCGCGTTCGAGGATTTCTTCGGCCTTGGGCCCACGGACGGTGACATGGACGGCGATCTTTTCGTTACGACGGATGCCGAAAGAGCGGACGGTGTAACGGGCTTTGCCTGTACAAGTCTGGTTAGAATGAATGGGGGAGGTTCGATGAGAGTGCAAAGCGTACTGTAGACAGGAGTTTGGCCCGACAGTTGTTCCAACACCTTCGCAGCACGGGTAAGACGATCACCAGACTCGCCGACGGAGATGTTCAGCACCAGCTTGTCGATGCGCAGATCGCGCATGGGATTTGAGCTCTTGTCGTTGCCTTCCGCCATTTTGTCTGAAAATGGGGGTGTTAACGATTGCGACAGAGTACAAGTTTCGACGGGTTTTGTGGTGCTGGCAATGAGAAAAAGCAAGGACGCAATTGAGCGAGTGTTTGAAATTCTGTGGTGCGTCGAAGTGGGGTGCGGCTTGGCATTGCCAAGAAGCAGAAATTCTAACTAGACTGCATTCGGAGCTGCGACAACCAATTTTCGTAACGAGTATACTGAGGTCTCGCGACCAAGCGAATTCTACAGAACCACATCAAGCATACTACCATTTCGGGCCTGCTTCGCTTCATCTTTTACAGAAGTGCTGCAGCCATCGTCTGGCAGGCGCAGTTGAGCTGCGGCTCTGAACTTCGCGCGAATCTACTCTTTTTGGAACCCAAGCAAAACAACTTCTACATCGGCGTTGTGGAAGTTCAAGTCGCATTCGTGCGCAACGTGAGGCAAGATGGCCAACAAGCAGGGGAAGATGGTAAGTACTGATTGTACTCTCTCTCCTCCCAGGAGGAACGCTAACTCGCGTCTAGCAAAACCTGGTATGCTGGGCTATTCCCACCACGACTTACATGAACCGCATCAACTGACTGTGTGAACAAGATCAACTACCGTATGCGTGTAACAATGAACGACGGGCGTCAAATGACTGGCCAAATGCTTGCATTCGACAAAGTGGGTGCTGCACCAAACCCCCCAATCAAGCCCATCCTTAACCTACCTACCATGATACATCCAGTTGCTAACCTCCCATGTCGTGGTGACAGCACATGAACCTCGTCCTTGCCGACACTGAAGAGTTCCGCAAAGTCAAACGCAAACAGGCGAAACCCTCCGCACCTGCGGCACCAGGCTCTGCAGCTGCCACCGTCGAGAGCGAAGAGAAACGAACCTTGGGCCTTGTGATCCTGAGAGGAACAAATATCGTGAGCTGTTCGGTTGAAGGACCTCCTCCATCTGATCCTAGCGCCAGGCTGGGACAATCTGCTCCCGGGGGGGCACCGACAACTCTTCAGGCTGGGACAGGTATATCCAGACCGGCTGGCAGAGGTCTTCCGGTTGGATTGGGTGGTCCCGTGGCAGGGGTGGGGATGGGTGGTCCGCCACCTCCGGGAGCAGTGCCACCTGGAGGCTTTGGTTTTCCGCCCCAAGCACCAGCGGGATTTCCAGGCGGAGCGCCACCACCTGGGTTCGCTGGAGCTGGAAGAGGTGGACTACCTGGGCCACCCGGAGGACCACCCCATGGGTTTGGGGGCCCTCCTCCTGGGTTCGGAGGTCCACCAGGAGGTCCGCCAGCAGGCATGCCTCCCGGATTTCAAGGTGGCCCCCCAGGCTCAGGAAGAGGATTTCCACCTCCAGGATTTGGAGGGAGGTAACTGCGGGTATGTAACTCACAGCAGGAAACAGTCAATGACAGACCTACGCCGATACATGGTCGAAAACCCAAAGGAAAAGTTGGACCGCTGTGTCGTTTCAAAGAACATCGGCGGGACATATGAACGGCGGTTATCACTGCACCTACATGGAAACAGACCACGATAAAGCCAACAGATTCAGGATACCCTGTAACTTTGTGGCTTCACCAACTACGTGTGTCGCGGTTGGCAATTCCAAGTCAGCAACCCGTTGAAGACCGAATATCGGACACATCACCTGGCAGACAATGTTTGGAGACAACAGGCAAGATACAAACTCAGAACTGGCAATTGCGAACAAGACCGGCGACCAGAAAAAGGAGGCAAATCCTCGAGCAAACTACTCCGTCCACGATCGTGCCCACGTCTTGACCCTTGCACCTGCCAGCAAGTAGCATGCTGAAGGGATGGGATGTTATTTAGTAGCTCCCAGGAGAAAGTATTCACATGCTTTAAAAAAGCAAGCATTGAAATGACGAAAACACAGCGAAATCATATTCCGTCCTGGTTGTAGGAATTCTATGTACTGCAAGTCTCAGTGCAGGGAGAAGCGTTCATTTCTCGTTAGACATGTTTATCGCAGCCCGGACCATTCTTCAATGCCAGAGCTTGTTGGTTGTTACAGGATTTTCCTCGAATGCGAAGCCTCATTGCCAGGTGAACCCCTCCAAAATTGAACTATGAGGCGTCGAGCTGGAATTCTTGCATGGCAAAACGAGATCTGGTTATACCCAGCCAGGTTTGATTGGCGCGGCCCTGGTACCAAGCCAAGATTTGCCCGTCCTCGCTTTCTTATCTTCGATGTTGCTTCATGTATTAAGTGAACTAGTTGTGATGGGTCCAGAGGATTCGCAGTTGGGTGGATTTACCTTTCTTGGAATGTTTGACCAGTTTGCGAACAATTTCCTCCTTCAAGCGAGGCTGTGATTTTGTGCATACAGTTTCAAGAGGCGTCCCATAACGCACATAGAAAATGCCTCCGCCAACGAAGCGTCGACGGACAGAGCCCACTGCCGTTGAGGAAATCGCATTCGACACGACCGCGCGCCATGAATTTTTAACCGGATTTCATAAGCGCAAGGTAGCAAGGGCGAAGCAGGCGCAGGAAGCCGCTGAGCGGAGAGCAAGGGCGGAAAGAATCGAGGAGCGAAAGAGGGTGAGGGCTCCCCCAAGTCGCTTGGTATGTCTGCTATACTGACTACGTATCAGCTACGGGAACAGCGGAAAGCCGATCTGGAACGCCATGTGCAGGCAGTCAACGCTTTGCTGAGACCCTTTGTTGACCTGGACGAGGGTGAGAATGAGGAGGTTGAAGAGAATTCAGAAGAAGAATGGAGCGGCATATCAGATCCTGAGCCCCATTCGCTCCATCATGAGACAGAATATATCGACGAAGATAAATACACCACAGTGACAGTCGAAGCGATGGATGTTTCAAGAGAAGGATTGTCCAAACGGGAGCAGGATCAAGACGAAAATACCGAGCAACACAGTAGAGAGTCCTCAGAAGGACCCAATAATGGCGAGGCCGAGAAGCAGAAAAGTCTGTGGACCAGAGAACGGCCAAAGGACATTAAGAAGCGAAAGAAGCGGAATTTTAGATACGAGAGCAAAGCGGAAAGGAAAGAGGCACGTTCTAAAGAGAAGGCCAGAAATCGCAAACAGGCTCGAGAACGAAGGGGTGATCGACGATAATGCTAACTTGGATTCTCATTCAAGACTTTCAACGCTCGCCTTCGGGTGTGCCCTTTATGAAATGCCCATGGTATCGTAGGTATGGGCGTGGTCTATGCATTTTGCTCCATGCACTCACAAACACAGTCGCCAACACCAGGTATGTCGCCGACATTAGATGTTGCCCATGCTTTGCTCCAACTCCTGCAGCTCCTTCTGCAGATCCGCATACTTCTTGGCCATTTCCTCGTACTTGTTCTCCCACTCGTCGCGTGCTTGTTCCAATGCTTGGACCTTGCGTTCGAAGTGGCCAGCTTTGACATCGGTTTGTCGGAGTCTGGGAAGAGTATATTAGCAGGGAATAATGTCTTGACTGAGGCCACACATACTTCTCGTTGGTTTCCCTCAGGGTCTTGTCAGCCTGCTCGGCCTCCTCCTCAAGGACTTGGAGTTTTCGCTGAAGGGACTCGGCTTGGGTGCTTTGGTTTGCCGACTCGCCAGCTGCTGCCTTTGCTTCCTTAAGACTCGTCTCGAGTTTTTCAACTTCGGCCTCGAGGAGTTGGTTGCGGTGATTGAGGGAAGTGATCTCTTGTTCCTTTTGGAGGTTGTCTTGTTCGAGAGCCTTGACTTTTTGCTTGAGTTCTTCTGCTTTGGCCGCGTTGTCATCCGCCTCAATGCGGAGAGAGTTCATTTTCTGTTGGAAATTAGCGAATACGGTCGCCATGATGGACGAGTCGAAGATTTGCGATGGACGACTGAGGAGGATGCGGGTTTCTTTAGGACTTGGGGGAACGAGGAATGAAGAATGAATCGGGCTGTTCTAAACACGACTGCAGCGGCCAAGTAGATATGACTGATTAACTGCGTTGTGGCAGAAGGCAGCCCCGAGTGAATTGTGTGGTGCCTGGCAGGAGCACGAGGGGGAAGGGTTGCAGGTGCAGCAGAGGTGATAGGGACGTACCTCCTTGATGCGATCCATGGTGAATGTTCCCGGAGGCTAAGGGATTTCGGGGTCTGGCAGAAAAATAGATACGAGTGAGCAATTGTGCGTCGCTTTGATGTTAGGTAGGTAGATAAATGATATTTGTTCGTAAGGGAAGGCTCAACTGGCGGTCACTGATGCATTCGCTAGGAGTCAGCTGCGGCATAGAGGGGGAAGTCATCGATGATCAGGCCAATGACACCCGGCTTCTAAGGGTGAGGCTACGTGGGCTGGAGGCACCGCCGTTTGCGCTCTAGGCCGGTTTCAGGCTCTAACGGTTCGACTGAACACCGCCAGGGGCCACCTGCAGCACGTTGCCGGGGGCAACCGCGTCAACATCTCGCCCCATCGGTCGCGTTTCTAGCACTTGAATCAATCTACAGCAGTACTGTCTGTACCTGATATTGACCGCAGACGGTAATCACAGCTCCTTTCCGGACTAAACGACAAGCTACCAGCCATGGCAGGCATTCTAGCCACACGAGATCAGGAGAACCTCCTCCACGCGCAGCAGACCACGGCTGCCACGAAGCCGCTGAACCAAGGGGCCCGGACCCTGCATCCAAAGACACCAGGAAATCTGAAGACTCCTTTTCGACCGTCGAAGAATGACGAGAACCTGCTTGTTCATTTCAATGGACAGAAAGCTTTGGATAAAGATGGAGCGAGCAAGTTAGACAAGAGTACATTTGTTACACCTTTGATTCCACGCACTCGAGCACCGCTTGGGGTCAAGACGACCAACGCCAAAACTCAAGCATTCCACACGCCTGCTCCCGCTCCTTTGGCGACAAAGCGGCCTGGAACTGGCCAGAAGCCCTCTGCGTCTCGTCGCTCAGGAAAGTCCAAGATCGCAGTCGCTCCCTCTGAACCAGTCGACAACGACGTCTTGGTGAAAAGACAGACACAGGAACAAGAACCAGATTTTGGATACGCACCACCACCTCCAATCGAGCTACCGGATCCTCCGATAGAGTTTGGAGAAGATGTGCTACTTACTGAGGAGCTACGAGCCGGCTATGGAGTGGTCTACCCATACAATTCCCCCAAAAATGAGAGTGGCACGTCGATACGTCTTAGAAAGGAAGAAGCGGAATGGCAGCAATTCGATGCCGCCCGTATGAACCAAAGCTTCGATGGTATCGCCGAGCCTGTCTTTCCTGGACCCAGTAAACTAGACGCACAAGTCGACGACATGATTGCAGCCGGACCCAAGAAGAAACGACCGGAACTTTCAAGAGTTGATACCATGCAAGCGAAATCTGCTGCTGCTGCACTCTCTAGCTCACGATTACACCTGCCTGCTGCAACCAGGAAAACTACTCAGGCGTCAGAGCAGAAGAAGAAACTAATTCTTCCCGTCACGAGAGCCACGCAATCGACTTTAGCGCAGCGTTTGTCCTCATCTCGCACCGTTCATCCTGCCGTGTCTAAAAATACTATCGGGTTTCCCAAAGCAAAGAAGCCCCAATCCATCATTCCCAGAAGTGCCGAATTTGGAAGAAGCGGAACTACCTCAGTCTCGAAACCCATCAAGATCTCGCAAGCATCGATCCATCCCCGCGATTTCCGCGATTTATACGGCTCACCACCCGAAGAAAGTGACATGTGGTTCCGGCTCAAGCAGTACGAGTTGCTGGAGCGAGACATGGCTCAGGACGAGGGTGATGATCTCGCTGATGAGCTGTTTGAAACCGACTTCTTCCCTTTCGGAAACGCAAAGCTGGACGACGAGGACTTCCAACTGCCTATACCCCAGTGAACACTACCCTCTACCAGTCCTTGTCGCGGGCACAGGGCATGCTACTGTGCCCTGATCTTTACGACAGTCGACGATTCATGATATTGATACCCCCTTGATAGATAGCTATCATCAGGACTTTGAATAGTCAGCGTACGAACATCTAATTGTAGACGGCGCCGGTCGTGCAGGAAGGAATAGCTGGTTTGGGTACGATGGACGGTGGCAGGTTTGTACAGAGAGTGCTTTTGGAACTATTTATTTGTTTTTGGAGACGGCTTTTGATGCTTGGGCAAACGCAATTCTACTGCACCTCGCCCCCAATCTGACCGGGTCTCAAATCCCCCATTCATTTTGTCCTCGGTATCCAGCACAGACGCATTCCTCATCTCGGGCCTTTACGGCAACTCATCCACGCCGCCGTGGACGCCGCCATTCGTCGCGGCTTGAAGGAACTCCTTGGGTGGCTCCGTGACTTTCATATTCCAACCGAACTGATCCTTGACCTTTCCCATTTGGATACCCTTTAACGTGCTCAAGAGCTGTGCACAAACTGGACCAGGATCTAGCTTCTCGTTGACCGGATATTCGAACTTGTCGCCTCTGGATTTCATCGTGATGCTCTTGATGGGTACCAGACTCGCTGCGGTGCCGGCGGCCATGATTTCGGTGAATTGAGGAAGCTCGCTATAGTCAATACGGCGCCTCTCCACGCTGTAGCCGAACATGTCTTTGGCGATTTGGCAGGCAGATTCCGAGGTCACGGACTTGATCACATTTTTCGAGTCGGGCACCACAATCGTCGTCTTGTCGCCGTCTTTCCGCACACCCAGAAATCCCGAGGTGGAAAACTCATCAATCTCGCTCCGTGTCTTGCTGTCCAAGTGCAGAGTGATACCGAACCCTTGAGCACGTGCCTTTTCGCTGTGCCGGAGCACGGGCGCATAGTTGCCTCCCACCTTTGCACTGCCCGTGCCCTCCGGCGCCGCCCGGTCGAAATCTTCCAAGATTAGGGCGTCAACGGCATGCACACCATGGTACACGCCAGTGGGCATGACAAACACCACGAAGGTATACTCATCTGGAGGATTCAGTCCCAGCTGCGCACTCGAGCCGAACAACAACGGGCGAATATACATCGCCGCGCCGGTTTCGTGCGGGGGGACAAATTCGGCGTTCATAGCCACGGCCAGATTCACGCACTCCACGAAATGCTCCTCAGGGACAGGGGGAACAGAAATGAATTCGGCGGAACGTTGCATGCGCAGAGCATTCTGATCGGGACGGAAGATAGAGATCGACCCATCTGGCTGTCGGAAGGCTTTCATGCCTTCATAGCACTGGACACCGTAATTGAGACCGGGGGCCATGCCATGGATTGATAGATGGGGAGAGGTCACGAAACGTGGTTTGCTCCATTCTGGTGTGGGTGACGAATAGCGGAAGGTGGACTCAATATGACCGTTGACTTCGCGGACTTTGAAGCCCACGTTGCTCCAGTCTGGAAGACATCGTTAGCCTGGATTTCTGCAACTCTTTGTGCAGACCTGTGGTTTTTTGCGCAGTGTGCTTTCAGGCAGTGATGGGGTGGAAGAGGCGTACCAATCGTGCTCACTGGTGGCGGGGGAAAAGGAGCCATTTAGTGATGAAAGATGGCCCAGGAGACTATGAGTGTCCTTCGGTTGCTTTGCGTGTTTTCGTGGATTCGTCGATGGCAAGGTGAGTCAAATGGGGCTCACTCTCTTCGTCCTTGAATTTGCAAATTATAAATATAAGGAGAACGGACAGCCTGGAGGGCCTGTAAAGGCACAAAGATGAGTCGGCACCGAGGCTCTTGGCTTGATGTAAAAAAAAACTTCTTTCCACCCGGTACGATCCCGAGCTCAACTTCTCAGAACCAGGCCAGTAAGCAGATCTCCGCAAACCTCTGTGTCTCGTGGTGTGGTATGGTATTGTGTGGCGTATCGTTCTGGGCCAGGTCAATCAGGAGGGGCACCGGTGAGACGAGTCTTTCTCTTTATTAGGTACTGCTGGGTGAGCGAGATCGGAGCACGTCTTGTATCGAGACCTCCCCGCCGCTTTTAGACTGTGGAGACGAAAGTGGCTAGTGGCTGAACCCCGGATTTTTGTGAGCTTCTCGAACATGTTTTATGCGTTATGCGAATGCGGGTTTCGTCTGCGACTGAATCATCTGAGACATCATCTGATGACCCGGGTGCCTCCTTCAAACAACTAACCTACGACCATTTAAGCTCCAATTTCCGTTCGATATTGTGCCTCTGTCTTCGTCCCATTCTTTCGTCAGTGCTCTGTTTTTCCCATCCCTTGTATGCTTGATCGTCGGAGCTTGAGCAAAGTCCTATCTGACATTTCCCCTCGTCTTCCTCCGCCATGCCTCGAGGCCCGCCCCCTGCGATGGTGTTGCTGTCCGCCATTGCCCTCTTTGTATGGTACATCATCTGGACTCGGGGCCACGAGCGACCCATGACCGCGCTGTCCCACGCCGACCGCTTCCAACACACGCTCCAACAAACACAAAACGTGGCCGAAATCCCCACGATCACGGCCACCGCCGAGACGTTGCACGGCGACCATGTTATGGGCAAGCTCGCCAATGAAACCCTCAAAGCAGAACTTGGCCGCGCAGCCTGGAAGGTTCTGCACACTACCATGGCACGATTCCCAGACAAGCCAACCCAAGACGAGAGCGATGCGCTCAAGAGCTACGTTTACCTGTTCGCCCGCCTGTACCCGTGCGGCGAATGTGCCGAGCATTTCCAGCAGATCCTCAAGAAATATCCTCCACAGACGTCTTCACGGTCCAGTGCGGCGGCCTGGGCATGCTTCGTGCATAACGTGGTGAATGAAAGCAAAGGCAAACCTATCTTTGACTGTGCCAACATTGGAGATTTCTATGACTGCGGCTGTGCAGATGACGAGAAGGAAGAAATTGCCAAAGCTGGCGCGAAGAGTGAGGCCATTGCTACACAAGGAAATAGTGCGAAGCAGGAACCCGTTGAGATTGAGGTCGAGGGAGAAACCAGAGGCGGTTGAAAACAGTATTATGTACATCAGCCACTACAAGATCCATGTGGGAACCCTGTCCTCGCAACCTGCATCCGGCCCACCCATTTCAAAGCGTCGACTCGCAGAGACTGTCCCTAATGACTCCGTCAACGCGGTGATCACGTCCTTCAATCCTCGTGGCTTCATATCTGCCGTACTGGGCCTCCTGCGCACAACAAGGGCTCAATTTCCTCATGGTCAATCGACGAAGGAGCCTCCTACAAATATTCGGGTCGATGGTCTTCATCTTGGTTGGGATGAGTGATGGCGTTAAGGGACCCTCGTCGATCGACTGCCTGCTAGACGGTGAAGTTGGTGTTGGAGGCTCTGAGGTCTCATCTTTGCTGAAAGGGTCCAGTGTGCGAAATCCGGCGTCGATGAAGCATCTGGTGGGAATGTACCAAACATCAACAGCGTCAGATGTTTGTTCTCCGCAGAGGTCTGGGTGAAGTGAGGCCATGCCATGGTCGCTGCATTTTTTGCACGGATATGGGAGAATGATGTTGTAGTCTCGGACTTGACAGCCACGGACGCTGGGTGAGTTGCACATGGCGTTGCGAAAGCGATGTGTGGCGGGATGAGAGCAGAAGAAGAGGTACTTTTTCGTGGTGCACATTGTTGCTCCGTTAGAAAGTCTTGGGAACACCAGTACCGTTGGATTTTCGTGGACCGTAGTTGTTCAGCCTCCCGCACGCCTGACTTGGGCTTCCAAGCACGATTGATGGGATCTTTGGGTTTCGAGAGAAGCACTGCCGTGACCGACTTTCTCGGCAGAAGCTCCTTGAAGCTTTGGTATATGGGAGATTTGTCTATGGTTTGGACTAGGTTCGATCTTGAAGTGACACAGAAAGAAGTGACGGTGTAGATTCAAATTAGCAGCGATATTTACAATGCCTTTGTTTGTTCATTGTTTGATGCATCGCTATACGGTACATATTCTGCAGACAGTATGGCTCCCTGACTCAACCAAACATCAAACTGGAGTAACAAAGAAAAGCAAGACGAACAAAGGCTGCTACCGCAGGTTTGAGGCCAGATGATATCTCATGTTTGTCGCAATGAATTGTGCTTGGAGCCCACCCTAGAAGCTCTTGTTGGATTGAAGAAGTGATCAACAGTTATTAATTATCCCAATACGTGGTTGCTGCATATGTATTTATAGCGTGCAGGAACCCATGAATTCATCACATTACACTCGATACCATAATCCAATCTACCCCAAACCCCAGCATAGAGTCCTCCTGATGTAGCCTTAAAAGCCAGGCGAGCTCTAGCGAAGTCTCTCGAAATGTCAGCGACGAGGACGCTTTATCAAAACTAGGCTCGATGGCACCCCAGCTTGACGTGTCCAGGTTCGTACGACTCTTGCCGCTCCTCGAACGGCACGAATTATCATTTCGTCTGTGCCTGGGCCTCGAACCCTCATCAGGACGCCGTTTCAGCTCAGTAACAGCGTCAGAGTAGGATTGGGGTGAAGAAGAAACCATTATTGTTGGTGATTGCTTTCTCAGCCGCATACGACCGAATTGAGAAAGAGCTCGACCTGTGCGACTTGGAGAGCGAGGCTGTCTTCGACAACCAAGGGGGACCGGCACCACTCCGCTCAGCTCAGATGTATTACCTATTGGAGCTGACGAAGCGGTGGCCCAACCAGGTGTCAAGAAGCTGTTCTTACGTTGGGTCTAAAGTTGCGAAGAAGCTGTTCAGCTGGGAAGGAGGCTTCCGAGCAGGGAAAAGGGAAAACATTAGAACGCCTGTTGCTCTCGACAGAAACTTGTCTGTGCCCTCTTTCTGTTGACGAATGTCCAAGATGGCATCACCGTCACTCGTCGACACTGCGACTGAGATCTTGGAAGCCGCCAAAATCCTCCAGCAAGGTATGGATGCAAAATCTCTCCCTCAGCCCTCATTTGAAGCCACGGGTCGCAGAGACTATCACGATGCCTCAGAATATCCCGAGATCGTCAAGGCTCGAGCTCGACTTATCGATGCAAGCCAGTCAATGACCGCCCTTGCTCGCGGGCCGACCGAGACGCTCCGAGCACTAGTCAGCACTGACCGAACGAATCTCGTGGTGCTGGGGGCAATTGATCAACTGAAACTTGCTGAAGCAGTACCCATTGATGCACCCATCGCCGTGGAGGCGTTGGCATCGAATCTTCGGCTTCATAGTGCGCCTTTGCAACGGATCCTGTGGTATGCCTACAGCATCCATATGTTCTGCGAACCGAAGCGTGGTTACGTTGCCCACACAGCGCTATCTGCTGCCATTCCGTCTTTCTCACCATACACCCAACTCATGCTTTCTCGCCCTGTGGCACTGGGTAGTATGAAAGTGGGGGACAGCCTTCGTGTTGGTTCAGGCGGAGGCAAAGCCAACGAGCCCGTGGCCCCTGTTCTTTTGGCTTTCCCACAGCACAAGAACTATTGGCACATACTTCAAGAGGAACTAGACGGAATGGCAAAGTTCGGCGCCTCGATGAGGGCTGTTGGGCAGGCTATTGTAGGCCCCAAATACACACTATATACGCAGGGCTTTGACTGGGGAGCTCTCGGCAAAGCGGTCGTCGTCGACCTTGGCGGGGGCAACGGCCACATCACGATCTCCATTGCCCAGGCGCATCCAAATCTCCAGGTCATTGTTCAGGATCTGGACACCAATGCAAAGCAAGCCAAAGCGGCCATACCCAACGAGCTTCAAAACCGGGTGACATTCCAAGCTCAGGATTTCTTCAAGCCTCAGCCTGCCAGTTTGGTCGAGTCGCCGCCAAAAGCGTACTTTATTAGCAGAGTCCTGCACGACTGGTCGGATGGCGACTGTGCGAGGATCGTCAAGAACTTGGTCCCAGTCATGGACAAGGGCAGGACGAAACTTTTTGTCGTCGACCGCGTCCTGCCAGATAAACCCGGCGAGATCCCGTTGCACCTGGAGGCACTGATGCGGAGCATGGATCTTCTCATGTACAATGTCCTAGGCGGCAAGGAACGAAGCTTGGAGCAATGGAAGGCGATGTTCAAGCAGGCAGACGAGAGATTGAAGATTGCGAGAATCGAGATTCCGCATAACTCGGACTTGGCTATGTTGGAGGTGGAGCTGGAGTAAAAGACGCGTTATAAAGGAGACATTAGCTGGGAAGAGCTTGAAGGAAAGAAATGCGGTGGCACTGGAGAGACATGTTCAGGGGTCAATACCGGGAAGGTGAGGGTGTAATACTGTATGTCTTCCTTGTTCATCACCCACTCCCTCAAACTGTCCGATCGGCCCAAATGAACATCACATCCAGCGTCAGAAATGACTGCTTATGAGACCTAGCCCTTGGGCGGCGGGGGAAGCCTAACCAGCACAGTCCATGCTGGAACATGACTGCCCTCGATCGGATGAGGGATCAAGGAGAGCGCGAGATTCTGCAAGAATGAGGGCAAAGGATGTACAGATTCTTCTAGGACTCTAATTCTCCCTTCATGAAAACTTGCCCGGAAGAGGCAGGATGGAGGCCGGAAGCACCATTCCGGTCCCAGTCCCTTTCTTTTCCATATTCGTCTTTGCCTATCTCTATCGCTTCTAACCCGGTACTTCTGCTTCCACTTGCATAACCATCGTCCAAAACCTCCCTCTATCGCCTTATCTAACACCCCGCAGGTTTCTCCGGCGTCGTCCACGCCAACGGCGCACTGGACGACAGGCTCCATGTCGTCTTTCCGGTCGCCCTCGGAGACTCTCCCACAAACGTCGACGGGAAGCCGGGGTTGAATTCCGACTGGCTTTCCAGAAACTGGATCTGCTCGTCCGTCAACTTGATCGAGAGGGATTTGATATTGGCCTGCAGGTGCTCGACTTTGCGGCCGCCGACGATCGGGAATACGTTAATTGTCTTCTGCATCACGTAGGCGAGGGCGATGACGCTGAGCGATTCGACCCCGTGTTCCTGCGCGACTTTCTCCAGCGCGGCTGAAATCTTTTCCTGCTGGGGCGTCTGCTCACCCATGCCAAACATGCTGCGGAGTCCCTCGCCCTGTTTCTTGCGCTCCTCGATCTGCTTCTTGGTCTGGAATTTGCCTCCACCGAGCACGTCCCACGGTGCCAACGCCATGCCGAAGTGGCGGGCCATGGGGATGATATCGCGCTCAAAATCACGCTGCAACACGTTCCACTGGCCTTGGTACACGCAGAAGGGGGTCTTTCCCTGGGCGCGGGCGTAGGTGTTTGCAGCCGCGACGATCCACGCTGGTGTATCGGAAATTCCCAGGTAGAGAACTTTCCCGGATTGCACGAGAAGATGGAGACTGTCCATCACTTCTTCAATAGAGGTTGTCCAGTCCTGTTCATTTCAGCGTCGGTGCTCGGATCAAAAGAGGCCCGAACGGGAGCCTCGTGAAGAATGTCGTGACAAGACTTACCCACCAATGAACATACAGCAGGTCAATGTAGTCCGTCTGAAGCTTCGCAAGCGAATCTCTGATTGAGAGGTGCAGACTCTTCTTAGAGTTCCCGGAGTAGTTGACCGTCTTACCCTTACCGAGCTCCCAGCTTCGGTAGGGTGTGGTATATCTTGATGATATGGAGTCAGCAGCTGGCGCTTGTGAGACGCGCGTGGGTAAAGTGGCATACTTGGTAGCAATGACCAGGAGATCTCGATTCTTCCTCTCCGCCATCCATTCACCAATCCACTTCTCCGATTGTTCGTTTTGATAGTTGTTCTAACATCCAGTCAATCGAATTGAGTTACAGGCCTCCAGACACAAATTGGGCATCTCAGTCTCATTGAAGGGGAGCTGGAGTGACGTACAGCGGTGTCGATGAAATTCCCACCGGCCTCGAAATAGGCGTCCAGGAGTTTGAAGGATTGTTCTTTATTCATCCTGCCCAGGTCCTGAAGATAATGAGATAGCTCGTGAGCCATGACCAGAGCCAAAAACATGGCGCCACGGTTGAGAACTCACCTTGCTCCAGGCATCTCCAAGAGACATAGCACCCAAACATAAGGGCGACACTCGGACGCCCGCGGTGGGAGATAGAACTCGATACCGACCCAACTCAGTGGGCGGTTCTGGAGCGGCAGCGAAAAGGTCACTCATGACTGCCGGTGCTAGTTGTCTTTGGCAACGTTCGCAGGCGAAGACCTTCTGGGCTTGGGGTTGATTGAAGATGGAAGAATTTGAGGGAGGGATGTCGATAAGCAAAGTCTCGGAAAGAGGGCAAACCCTGGCTTCTTATACAAACCGATCAGCGTTCTCAGCATGACAAAATGAAAAACATGCTACATCCAATAGTAGTGCTGCCCATGCGAGTTTCTGTAGTCCATGCTCCATTCCTCGTTTAGTATATGCTCCCTCGGGATGGAGGCGGAACCTGCCCTGGGCCATCTGCGAACACATCTCCAGGAATGGACCGAGCGAGCATCAATGGTGCATTTAGCGAAATGGCTAGAGTTACCAACCTAATTCCCGCAAGCTTAGACTTCTGAGATCCCCCTCCCACAGGGAACTCGACTTACGAGCGGCACCTGTGTCAATCTAAGTGTATGCTCTGCCGTGTCTCTGGAGGTGGGTGCGACGAGTGCGTGCGGTACGAAAATCCCCATGCCGAGCTCCGCTTTGTGGGTGTCAAGGGAGCCTCGATCTGGGTTGGTCCATGGTCGACCGAACGCGGCCAAGTTGAGTCTAACAATCGCGAGGTACTGGAGTGCTAGCCAGGGACAAGTGGACACATATTCCAGTACTCGCTGACATGGAGATAAGAAAGACGGCGCCGAAACAATCGCATTATAGTAGGCGCTCGGACTTGGGCCTTTAAATGGCCTAACAAGTCTACGGATGGTGTGGTGAATAATATATCTTGCTCTTGAGCAAACGAAATAACCATGGGCCATGGATGGATGCATTGAACGCTTGGTTGAATTTTGGCTAACAAAGTGCAATAGTGACCTGGCGAGCCTGATCTAACAACAGCCAGCGAAGACCTTTTTCCTCCGAGTCTCGTATGAAGGAAGCTCCGTCGTCATCAAAGCACAAGCTCTCGCGTGTGGATCAAGTCCTGGGCAGAAAAAACTCCGGGAAGATGCACAGATGGTCTTTCGCAGTATTATTCTTCTCCCCCATTTGCCGTGGCAGAATATCCCCATCCATTTATTTCCGGTTGATTCCCAGGCTTTTCCTGTTGGCCTCCCATAAAAAGCTCGTGATTGATTTTTGGTCGTGTCCATGTCGATAAAGTCTATTGAATTCATGTCCCACAGAATGTCGAAAGAGAGAGAAACCCGCAAATAACTTTTGGTTCTTTTGGTGAAAAACGAATCTCGTCAAAGGCTGGAATGGTCAATCCTTCCAACCCCGCGGCCCTCATTCATGTCAGAGCCCTTTGATGAGAGTCTCATCATCCCATTGTTTCAAGCTTCGAGTTTGCGCCGTCACACTCTCTTTCGTCTCAAACCGACGCCGTGGTGTGAGTCTGGTGTTCGTCTGCACGTATCGTCCGTTCCCTCTGTTCACATGAGGCAGTTCGACATGCTGAAGGGTATCTGGAAATCGATCCGGAAAAAAAAGCCAACGCTATCTATCAGTGTATCATGCTGTGCCCGATAATAAACAAGTCGTCTCGAAAGGAAAAAAGCCGTGGCCGTCGTCGTCGTCACCAATGAAGCAAGCCTGTGCCGAAGGAGCCCGCCCATTCGCTTTGAGGGCAACAACCGGTCACTGTTCGAGAGTGCAAATGTTGAAGTAAAAAGAAAACCCCCGTGCCGAGCAGAGATGGAAAGGTCGATCCACCAGAAAACGCCGGTATCCGTTTACCACCACGACGAAGGGCCGGTGGCACCTCCTGGGTTACCATAACCTCCTCCACTGCCACCACTGTATCCGCTGCCACCACCGCCACCACTGCCGCCATAAGCCCCACCACCATATGGAGCCCCACCAGAATAACCTGATTGTGTCAGTTTATGATTTAGGGAAATGGAATGTTGTCCAGACTTACCACCACTACCGCCGTAGTTGCTACCGCCATAGCCGCCGCTGTAGGAGGGAGGGCCACCGCCCATGCCGCCTCCAACACGACGCATATCACGAGTAGCAGAAGCACCACGGCCAGCACCTCCACGACCACGTCCCCCACGGCCACCGCCGAAACCAGAACTTTCACGAGCAATGTTCTCCAAGAAGCTGGGGACCTCTTGGTTTGCTTCTTTGAGAAGCTCCATGAGATCACGAACAATGCCACGGTTGCCGCGGTTGAAGAAAGCAGTTGATAGACCGGTGTTGCCAGCACGACCGGTACGTCCAATTCGGTGGACGTAGTCATCAATATCAGTCGGCAGGTCGTAGTTGATGACGTGCATAACATGTGGGATATCAAGTCCACCTAAGAGGATGAAAGGGAATGGTTAGTGAATGTTCATAATAAACAGTTCGACAGCGTCGAAATCCATGAAATGCATGGTCCTCAGGATTGGGCTAGATGATCCGCCCTGGAACCAAAGAAGGGAAGGAGGGAAAAAGAGGAAAGAGGGGATTACTCACGGGCAGCAACGGCTGTAGCAACCATGATTGGACATCTGCCATTTCGGAAGAACTCCAATGCTCTCTCACGCTCGCGTTGCGTGCGATCACCGTGGATTGCAGTAGCAGGGAAGCCTTGGTTGATCAAAAAATCGGACAAGGTGTCGGCCATGCGTTTGGTTTCCACAAAGATCAGGGTCAGACCATTGCGGTGTGTGTGGAGGATGTCAAGCAGAACGGAGCGCTTGTCGTGGTCCTCAACATATTCAACCTTCTGAGTGATGTTCTCGGAGGTGGAGCCCACTCGACCGACCGATAAGAAGACGTAGTCTTTGAGGAAATCTCTCGCCAGCATTTGAATGTCGCGCGGGAAAGTGGCGGAAAACATGAGGGTTTGGCGGTTCTGGACTGAAGGCATGTCCTCGCCCTCGACAATACGACGAATCTGAGGCTCGAAACCCATGTCAAGCATACGATCGGCCTCGTCGAGAACCAAGTACTTGATGTTCGCCAGGGAGATACGGCCTCGCTCTATGAGGTCGACGAGACGGCCTGGAGTAGCAACAAGCAAGTCACAACCTCGTTCAATGGAACGGAGTTGGGTACCAATGTCGGCGCCACCGTAAACCACGCATGGTCTGACCCAGGAACGGTAGGAGAATTTTCGTGCTTCGTCATAGATCTGAGACACCAATTCACGCGTGGGAGCAAGAATCAAAGATGTCGGGAAAGCCTTGCGCTGGCGGAAACCACCTCCACTCGCGGGTGTGGCAGAGGGTCCATTCTGAAAAGCCTGTGAGAGGATGGGGAACAAGAAACCACCAGTCTTACCAGAACCAGTCTGGGCACAAGCCATGAGGTCTCGTCCACCCATGACGATGGGGATTGAGTACTTCTGCACAGGCGTTGGGGTAGTGTAGCGTGCGAGCTTGATGTTGGTAAGAAGGTGGTCATCGAGAGGTGGGTTTGTGAATGCATTGACTGGTTCCGGGACATCGTGGCCACTAGCCTCTACAGGGATGTCGTCGTAGTTGGCAAAGTTAATTCCAGTGTGAGCCTTTGTCGGGTCATTTGGGGTGCCAAACAGTTCACGTTCGATCTTTGGGTTTGGAGGGCCGGCAATATGTTGACCATCTCTCCATTGGCCATCTCCCGATCCACGGGCAGTATTGCCACCGTAGTTTCCACCGTAGCCGCTGCCATGTCCACCACCATGCCCACCGCTATGGCCACCACCAGGAGCACCATAGGCGTTCGGGTTGAAGGGACGAGCAGCATGACTGGCACCCCAGCCGTTGGCTTGGGGAGCGGGGCCAGGGGCGGGAGCGGAAGCTGGACCTGCTGGAGCTGGAGCTGGAGCTGGAGCGCCAGGAGTAGGCTTGAAATCAGGAGCCGCTGCCCAGCTGCCGTTGCTTTGACTGAAACTTGTAAGTATAACTCTGTGGTTTTGCGGATTTTGTTTCACATACGTGTTTGTAGCCCAGGCACTTCCGTTCAATCCCTGGTTTCCCGCGTTCGGTGCAGGTGCGGGTGCAGGTGCGGCACCAGCTCCGTCCATACCCATCACTGGAGGACCACGAGCACTCTGACCGCGAAGGTGAGGAGGGATATACGCACGAGCAGGCATCGTGTTGCCAGGTGCGTGCTTGGATTCATTCAGAGAGAGACCGTTCATGTTCAGGGAATCAGCCATTTTGGAAGTTGAGTAAAATCTGAGATTTGCTGGATAGGATCGTCAGTTAAGGTTCAGAGGACTGCATTAATATAGCAGATGAAATGTTCTCCCAGAAAATTCCAGAACAAATGCCGTAAGGCAATGGAACAGTCGGAGAGTGGGTGAAAAGACTTTGACGTTGATGTCAACGGGTACAAGGGTGAAACTCACGGATTGAACTGGATCAAACAGGTAGTCGGTGTCTGAAATAGTTTTGACCGAGTGAAGAGAAGAGGCTGTTGTGATAATCGCTGCTCAAAAGGTGAAGTGAGGTTGTTGTCTGGGGCGTCTAATGTTTCAATCGCTGAGGATTGCTTGGTCTTTCGTGTCCGGCAGATAGAATGAGAGACACAAAACGCCTCTCCAAGTCTATCCGAAAGTGAAAACGAAAGACAGAAACAAGAAGGACAGTAGAATTGTTGGTTGGAGTGTTGTGTGGATGAGAGGAGGTTGATGGAAATGAGTTTGAAGGATGAAAAAGTCTTGAGAGCGCAGCCTAAAATTTTTAGGGAGCGGCGAGCAGGTGATCATGACATGGGCCGATCGGCCAGGCTAGAAGCTACTGGACAATGGAATAAAAACGCAGTTTGCCAAGAGCGAGCCTATGCCGTATTTGCGTACTGCGATTGCCACCAAGGGGCAGGAGATTTCTATGTCACCATCGGAGAAACGGTAATGTCCTTCGGTGCTCCTGGATTGTTGACACAACGAACATATTCTCAACCAGTTGTCTACTCATGTGAAAAGGCACACCAATGCCTCTCTGTAGATGAAACTCACATGGAAATAAAAGTCCGAGTTATATTCTATACAGCGTCCAGTTACGCCATGCTTTTGTCGTCCAATTTTTGGGATGGGGATCTGCGTCTCTTCACAATGACCACAACAACCACTATGATCAGTAGGAACAACAGTGCCTTCTGCATATAAACTTGCGTAACTAGACCTTCCACGGGACTAGATGATTCCCCAGTTACAGGCGTTTCCTTGGGTAATGCTTCAGTATGATCCTCTGCTGCTGACAATTCTGTCCCAGGCTGGTCTTTCGCATCGTCGTTATCCAGATACTCGGGATGCACATTCGAATAGATAGGTTGTTCTGTCATATGTGTCTTAGCCCTTCTTCAGACATTGATAGCAATCCGAGAGCAGTACCTGCCCTCAAATCCTAAAGTTCGTTGTGAATACCTTCGGGCGGCACAGGCAGCTCTCCGCTCTTGACGATCTTGACCGGCTTGGCCGGACGGTCACCTGCGCCCTTGGGTACGTTCTCAATCTGCTCGACAACATCGTAGCCCTCTAGCACTTCCCCGAAAACGACATGACGGCCATCAAGCCAGCTACACACTGTCAACCAAGGAGACCTGGCATAGAACACGTAGTGTAGGGGCAAGCGTACCTTGTGACAACGGTGGTAATAAAGAACTGTGACCCATTTGTGTCCTTGCCTGCATTGGCCATGCTCAACAGGCCCTTCTTGGTGTGCTTCAGCTTGAAGTTCTCATCTTCAAACCTGTCGCCGTAGATCGACTTGCCACCAGTGCCGTCTCCTTTTGTAAAGTCTCCGCCCTGGATCATAAATTGCTTGATAACGCGATGGAAAGTCGATCCTTCGTAGCCGAAGCCCTTTTCGCCAGTGGCCAATGCTCGGAAGTTCTCTGCAGTCTGCGTATAGGGAATAAACTGTTAGCCATGCACTCGAAACAATTAAGTGCGTCAAAGGTTGTATTACCTTGGGTACTGTCTTGCCGTAGAGACCCATGACAATCCGGCCTAGCGGTTGACCATCGTGCTCAATATCGAAGTAGACCTTGTGGGTGATCTTGGGGCCCTTTGCCGCCTGTGCTGTCTGTCCCATGAACAGGAACGTGGCGGTCAAGATGACCATCAGCGAAATAACGATCCGCTGGATATTAGCCATTTCGAGCCACATTGAACTATGAGAGTAGAATGATAGTGAGCTCGACTGAGGAGGTAGAAGAGGCAATGGGCTAGGAGGATTCAGTCTGACTGATGGCAAGGTTGGATGTCTCAGCCAGCCCTTCCAAAGGGGGGCGAGGGAGGGGGGCTTAACAGAGTCGGCCTGCGGTACACAGAATACCCCAAGTTAAAAGCGGCGGCAAGGCTGGATGGAACTTGCCCAAACTTTGGGAGATGAATCTCAATTCATCAAGAGATTCCAAGGTCAACCCCAGTCACCAAGAACAGCACAAGCAGACGGCGGGAGCGGAGGAACAGAGATGGTATATCCCTCTGAACAGTTCTTTGCTAGCCGACAATATTGATGATAGGTCTTTTCAGGTCTTTATTCTTGGGGTCAACTTCCCCGAACACCGTTTTGTATGGGTATGTTGCTGCACCTCTCTGTTGAAAGCTTTGCGTCCGCAATCCAGTCCATCTGATTGTCTCTCAGAGGTCGCTCGAAACATTTTTTGGCATCGGTCCTGCCACCCGCGCCCGCATCATGTCGCGTTTTCACTTACACAATACCGTTAAAGTCGGCGAGCTCACGCAGAATCAAGTGCTCGACTTGACTGCTCACTTGGATTCCATGAAGATTGAGAACCACTTGAGACGGCAAGTGCAGCAGGACATCGCAAGGCTGAGAGACACTGGGACATACCGGGGACGCAGACACGCGATGAATCTGCCTGTCAGGGGACAGAACACAAGGAGCCAGATCAAAACGGCGCGGAAACTTAACAGAGCGGAGCGGTATTAGACGGATTCTTATTGTTGGGTACAAGATCATCTTTGCGCAACAATACATGCATGGGAAACGTGCTCGCATAGCACATCGCCCGGCAGCCTCTGACTTCGAAACAACTGGGGGACATGGTTCCGAACGCTTCGAGAACTGCCCAATTTTTACGCTTGAACATATATCCCCACGAATACTCAAGGATGGGTGACTGCCCCTTTTTCTCAACATCAATTGAGCGATTCAGGAAATTATGTAAATATAGAGAGACTCGCATTGTGTGAAACATTGAGACTCGTTCAGGCAATCAGAGATGAGCACGGAAAATTTTTCAAGGAATACCTGAAAAGCAAACATGTATTATCTACTGTTGTCTCCAGAGAAAGCTAGGGAGTCTCTAAAGGTCGTTTTCGGGCCCCCACGTAAATACACCGGTGACCCTCTCATAAATTCGTAGTAACAGTCATGCTGTTGCTATGCACCAGCAACGTTGGCGGGAGTCCACCAGCCAACACTTCCAAATCGCTGATATATCCCAGGCTATCCGTCTCGCTGCGATATGTTCCTTCCACCGGTGCCGGCAATGTGGTGAAGATGACGGCTGTGTCATCGCTATTCTGTGATATCAGTTCATTCAAGATCAGATGTTGTGCTCGACTTGGTAAGTCGTTGAAGGACAACGGAATCGAGGCTGCCGTTGGAAAGCCAGAAGCAGCCGGTTGGGGAGCAATGCTGTTCTCTCGCGTCCGTTCGTAAATCGACCGTCCTGCCGCTGGGATGGGATCTTCGAGCCTTTGTCGCCGCGGGTGCGGATGGTCGGCGAACATGATTGAGGGTCCAGCGCCTTCGTCGCTAGCCACTCTGGTCATAGGGACAGGGTCAGATGTGAAATTTGGTGAAGCCGTTCGAGATCTTTGCGACGAGACCATAATCTCAACACTTGAATTGGGCGACAGTGCGCCAGGATCCGATGCGGCGGGATCACGGCCTCGACTGACTTCCTCGTCACCTGAAGGGGGAGTCTCCTCGTCGAATTGCAGATCTGGCTCGGCGGAAATAGAGCGTTCCACCCTCAAATCCTCCTCCCTTTTCCTTTTGCGACTCGACTTTTTGGAGCTCGCTCGGCTGCTCTTCTTGGATGACGAGGATTTGGTTTTGAGAGCAAACCTCAGACTTCCGGACGAGTCGTGCATCTGAACTCCACCGTCTTCTGATAGACTTGCGTCGGAATCTTCTCCATCAGACGTCTCCTCTTCCCCGCCATCCTCTTTGTCGTCGTCCTCGGAGTCCGAGCGTTCAGAGTCACTTGGATGAGATGCGTGTCGGCTGAGCATGTCGTCGTCTATGCGTGAAGTTCTCATAGAAAGACTCACCCCAAGACTGGACAAATTCCCAAATGACGATCTCTTCCTAGGATGCGTCAATATCCTGCGCAGACCATCCAATCGAATGAAAGCACTATCTCTTCTGCTTGGTAAAGACGAGCTTGGCCATACAAAATCATCGGCCATCGAAAGGGCATCCGTGGCAGTCACATCGCCAGATCTGGACTTTCCTCGGAGTTTGAGAAGTTCTTGCCACCACGCCTCATCTTCCAGCACTTTGTTGACTTGATCTTGTGTCTCTTCATCGACATCCTGCCCATTGACGATACAGTTATAAGTTTTGATGGTGCCGCAAGCCAGCCAGAACACAAGGACCTCGGCCTTGATTCGTAAATTTGCCAAGAGGGACGTCACTCGAGCTCTTTCCTCTTCCACGTCAGCCTCGTACTCAACAAAGACTGCGACTCGAAGGCTGTAGGATCGCTTCCATGATGGCACAGTGTTGAGAATGCATCCAAGTTGCAGGATGAGGGTATACGTGTCGAAGTTGGTGGTTGTAACATTCTGCGGGTGACCATCGTTTTCAGATGTGAGTTCTGCGGACATTTGGATGGGCCACAGGTCTATGTATTTCTTTGTGACATTTGTTTTCGCTTTAGGAAGTTCCAGATCACCAAAACCTATTGCTATCGCAACGTTGGTCCGCAGCTTTAGGATCATATCTTCCAAAACCATAACATAGCTCTGGATATCTGTTCTCTTTTCCACGTAGCACACATCGGTGGGTAATTCGCCTTGCACTTGGCTCCTGCTGGTACGACGGCGTCTAATCGAGCCGTCTTTTCTTTCTGGGGGTGGGCTCGGCACGTCAACCAGGGGTTGCTCGGATCTGAACTGTTGTAAATTGTAGAAGCCGAGGACCACAATATTAGGGCGCATGCCCCCTAATCCGGCAGAGAGAAAGACGTTCCGAGCCCCCCATTCAATAGAAGGCGAAATTGCCACGTTCACAAAGGCTTTGATTTTGGAGATGTCGATAAACTTGTTCCAAGCTGCTTGCTGACGGCGTGCTTCGGGCACAGAGGCGCCGAAGTTTTGCGTAACAATGACATGCCCGATGATGAACAAGGCGCCCTTTTTGAGCGAGTTACAGAAGTGAATGAGTTTGTAACTCCTTCTAGGGTCATTGACGAGTAGGAGGATTTGCGGGCGCCAAAATTTGACATGCTCAGTTTTGAGTCTCAAAAGGTATTTTCGAACTTGGTGATAGATGAGGACTTCCGAAATGGAGCCCCAGGGTTTTGGCGGAGTTGTGTAGTGGATAATTATGATGAGAATGAGGAGAAGACAGACCGACCCAGATGCTGAAACACCATCGACAAAAAACATGCTGCCGACGCTGAGAAGGGCCCCAGAAGCCGCCGTCCACCAGTTGAAGTAGGAGAATGAAGGCCGAAAATTCGGAGCAGAACCAATCTTCAGAAGGAACGTGGCTACATTGAGTGCAAAAAAGGTCCTATCAAAACCATCAGTACCACCCTGGAACCAGTCTGCGGTAACACTCACATTAGATACGTCATTGTAATCAGCGACGCAATTTGATTGATGTCGAGAAGAAGCACCAGTTGAGTGACGGCGAAAGTGCAAAGGATGGCGTAAATTGGTTCGTCCTTCTTCTTCGTCCCCTGTCCAAATATGGAGAGACCTGGAATGACCTTGTCTCTGGCAATGGCCTGTAGTTGCTTGGCTGGTCCGATAATCCCCATTAAAACGGAGAAGAATGTCGATGCCAACTCTCCTGCCAGAATCAATATCCCAGATATGCTAGCGTCCTGCACGACGTTGACGTTTTTGTAGAAGGATTCCCTTGTGATGCTTGCAGCCATGGCAACCACCACCAAAGTATATGCGACGAAGGTCAAAGCCAATCCACCAAGTGTGCCCCTGGGAATGGACACACTAGGGTTCTTCAGATCGCCTGACATGCTCGCTCCCGCCAGAATGCCCCCAGTTGCAGGGAACAAAATGCCAAACAGATCTTGATAGTTCTCTTTGCCTTTGAGCTCGCTGCCAGCAGCCCCTTTTGTGAAGTGAGGTAGCAAGTTCTCCTTCAAAGTGTCAAGACGAAGGCCTGTAAATTGCAGAAACTGTTTCTGGGTCTGGAAAGGTGATCGAATGATGGCTGAAAATGGAACGCTAAATGTTGCCAGAAGTAAAATCAGAAGCAGCCCATTGCTTGCACGCGCAAAAATCGCACTTCCGGCCATACAGATAGCGACACATAATACCACGACCGAAGTGCTCCAGAGGTACTCCCACCATAGACCTTCAGGGAGAGTGTTGGCCCAGTTTCCAGACTTGGCACCAAAATTGTAGTCCAGACAGTCAACCAGAGCAACTGCATTCATTCCCGTGTTGAAAACGAAGCCGAGATATGACACTAGCCCAATCGCTCCACCAAATTCAGGACCCAGAGATCTAGAGATCAAGTAATAGGCCCCGCCTCCTCTGACCGTGCCGTTGGAAGCCACCGCCGAAAGGGACATGGTTGTGATCAGATTGATGGCATAGGCCGCGACCAACATGGCTAACATGCCTATAACACCGCTCTGGCCAAGAATAAAACCGAAACGGATGAACATGAGAATGCTTAGGACGTTCAAACTCGTAGGAACAAAAACTCCTGAGAAGGTGCCCAATTTTTCCGAGCCACCAACTGGACGTGGCCCCATGCCATCATTGTGTAGAACTGATTTTTCAATTTTGCCAGGTATCCCACGAAAATACGCTGCCACTGAATGTCTTGCTGAATTCTGAGTTGCAGCTGTCGGCTCTGGCGTTTGAGCATCATCCCGTGATTCATGGGGGCCATCGAATGTCCCGTAAACTTTTGAGGAAGTTGTTGTGTCGACCGGGGCAAGCGGTGGAATAGACACAGAAGACTGGGCAGTTGCTGGTCTTGACAAAGTCTGTACTGAATCATCGGGGGCAGATGCAGGACGGTGCTCCTCTGGAGTGCCTGGGAACGATGATCTTCGTAGTAATTGAGCAGCTTCATCAGTAGCTGTGCGCGTCAAGAAGGTGGGACCGCGTCGAGTTACAGAACCTCGCCCCATTCCGGAATCTGGCCAGCCCTTTTTCCCTCCTATGCTGGCCATAATTATTCAAGGTCACCCCTCGATACTGATCCATAATCAATGCATCTTTCCGCTCGAGCGAGTGAACATAGACGGTCCCTGCAGTAATCTTGAAAGAGGCTGAACTGAGGTTGATAGATATCCGTCGAGACCTCTGTTACTTTCACCGATCCTGGGCTATCGGGTAAAAAACCCCGTTGAATGATATCTTCGGTGGTCGTCCTTCGCACCTACGTAGGATGAAATTGGCCTGCCAGATCAACCAGGGTTGACGAGAGAAAAGAAAAGTAAATGCGGGGGACAAAGTTATTACGCAAAGGCAAGCTGGGCGGTTGTACCTGGTTCCTGTGGATGGATGTTGAAAGGTTCTCGAAAGGGGAATTTTGCACCTCAAGCTTTGCTAGCGAGGGCGGCGTGGGGGGCTCACCCTGAAAGAACCGGAATTGGGGGTACCGTAACAGAGATGGCCCCTGCGAATCGGGCGGCATAGTTAAAGCCTCAGAGACACTTATTGGTCCACCGCCTATTCTCGGCCTTAACCGCAGAAGCAACCCTCGCCGAGGCAATCTTTTGTGCAAGTCAGCAGGGGGTTCGCCGCTTCCATCATGCTGGCCAGTTACGTCGCATGCAAAAAAGCACCGCCCATTATTTCTTTGCCACGAGCGCACCACACAAGCAAATTGTCCTTGATCATTCGTACCAATCACATGCTATATCAGTGAGATCTTGACTTTTGGGCAGACTGTCTCATTCTACATATGTCGTCGTATCTGCCACCCCTAACGCTACTTTGAACTCAGCAAACTCTCAATGTCGTCACCAACGTCTCGAAGCAGTCCCTTGGACATACGCTCCAGTAGTCCCGCAGGAGGCAGTCTGCATTCTCGAAATGCGTCAATAGCACGACTATGCTCCCCCGTGCCCTCCCAGCGCCCTATTACGCCTCCTGTGCAGCAGGTTCCAACGCCTCAGCAGATCGCAGCTGACCACGATGACTCTACCCTGCCTAAACTCGATCAATCTGGATCATTGCCAGGCCCAGGTCGATCCGCCCTGTCCACAGCTCTAGCCGATACAGGCCATCGAACTCCTCCTGGAACCCGTACACCACCTGTTCCTGCAAACGATCCCACGTCGAGACAGCCGCTATTGAGCGCCAGCGGCGTTGTCGGTTTGGGGAGTCACGATAGATTACCGAGGAGCAATTATGGCTCTTTCAATCCTCGCGAAATGGCAGGAAGTCCAGGCCCCACAGAGGATCCCGAGGTGGTAAAAAGACACTTGGTACAGCCGGATCAAGGCTCGTCGAGAGGAAGGCCACTTCGAATAGATCTGAACGAACAAAGCTCCGGGTTGGATTCACCCGAGTTTTCCAGTCTCCGGTTGCAAGGTGGGGACATGACCCGCGCCGTCTATCGATGGGCGGAAGAGCAAGAAGGAAACCAAACTGGCAAGGCTCAGAGGAGCAAAAGTTTCACTATGCCGAGACCAGAGCCTGAAAGTGACACCCTTGACATACAAAACATCCGGGTGCCTGGTGGATTTCGCAGAAACTTTTTGCGTAGAGCCGCTGAGAGTCCTACACCTTCGGGTCGAGCCTGGAAAACCTCTTCTGCAGCAGACGGGCAGGATCTTTCGACGAGAGATATTCGACCTAGACTTTTTACGAACAACTTTCTGGAGTTCCTCACGCTCTATGGACACTTTGCGGGCGAAGACCTGGAGGAGGACGACGAGGTTCTTGAGCCAGACGAATATTTCTCATCGGATGCCTACGACGAGGGTAGCGATCGAGAGCCTTTGGAAGACAGTGCCCTCCTTACCCCAGGTGGACTTCGCCGGAGACGACATAAGGAGCGTCCGCCCACTGGAACGGGGAGCAGTTTTAATGCAGCCCTATTGCTCCTGAAATCCTTTGTCGGCACGGGGGTCCTCTTCCTGCCTCGGGCTTTTTTGAACGGCGGCATGCTCTTCTCTTCCCTTGTTTTGCTTGCTGTAGCTGCTCTCAGCTACCACTGCTTTATCTTACTGATCAGCACACGCAACAAGGTCGAGGCTTCATTTGGCGACATCGGCGGCATTCTCTACGGGAAGTGGATGAGAGTGATGATTCTATTCTCCATCGTTCTCAGCCAGGTTGGTTTTGTATCTGCATACACCGTCTTCACGTCGGAGAATCTGCAGGCCTTCGTCCTAGCGGTGTCTAAGTGCAGAACATTCATCGACATCAAGTTCATGGTCCTGATGCAACTTGTCATATTCTTGCCACTGAGTCTGATCAGAGATATTGGGAAACTCGGTTTCACGGCTCTCATTGCTGACGCCTTCATTCTCGTGGGCCTCATCTACCTGTATTATTACGATATTGCCACCATCGTTGACAACAAAGGACCTTCGGATATCACCTTGTTCAATCCTTCAACCTGGACCCTCTTCATCGGCACGGCCATCTTCACTTTTGAGGGTGTAGGACTGATCATTCCAATCCAAGAATCAATGAAGAGACCTCGAGATTTCCCTGGTGTCCTGGCTACGGTCATGGTCATCATCACCATTCTGTTCACCTCCATTGGCGCGCTGTCATATGCTGCGTATGGCTCGAAAACAAAGACAGTCGTCATCCTCAATCTGCCACAAGATAGCAAGATGGTCAACGCTGTACAGTTTCTCTACTCCCTGGCCATTCTCCTGAGCACACCACTCCAACTGTTCCCGGCCATCCGTATCATGGAGAACGAGCTATTCAGTCGCTCGGGCAAGTACAACCCTTATATCAAGTGGCAGAAGAATATATTTCGCTTCTTCCTTGTTTGCATGTGTGCGCTCATTGCGTGGGGGGGAGCCGGCGACTTGGACAAGTTTGTCGCGCTGGTTGGCAGTTTCGCATGCATACCACTGGTATATTGCTACCCTCCTTTATTGCATCTCAAGGCTGTAGCAAAGACCAACTTGCAAAGATGGTTGGATTATCTGATGTTTGCGTTTGGACTGACAAGTTGTGTGTATACGACTGTCTTAACAATCCAGCAGTGGGCAGGGAGCAGCGGCAGCAAATCCCCTGGGTATTGTGACTCGTGAAGCATCGACAGGAATGGAAGCCGCCATGTTCAGGGGGTGTGGGTGAGGAGGACGTGTGGACAAATTGATGGAACTGCTCTCAATGACAGAGAACCTAGGTGTAGCAACACCCTAAAGTCCAACGCGTTTTGGCTTCCAACAACATGTATGCCTGACTTACAAATATCTGAGCGGGCCTCCACCTGCCTGTCTCTTTACAGCCGTTCGGTCCTTTGTTTCAACGACCATGTAAATTCCATCCTCGATCTCCCACTGTCAAGGTGGTGAGGACTCAACCACGGGAGTGTTCAGGTTTGCAGGCCACTAATTGAAACAAACATCGAGGAGCATACTGCCTCGTGTCTGTAATTAGTTAATTAGATAGACCAGTCAGTGCATCCGATGTCCCCAACTCACTATGTAGGCTTATACCCATCGATCTTCATTGATTTCTCGTTCATGTCGCGACACGAGGAATCCCATCCTTACGGTTGAAAGGTCAGCAAGGTGGATTAGAAATCCAAACAGTTTAAAGGTGGCACCCAGGTGGTATTGCGTAAAGTTCTCAAAGAACATGGGTATCCTGGACGTATAAATACAACATTGGTGCAACTCGCCAAATCCTTTTCGGAGGGTTGACCGTGATAATGCCGATACAACCATCATTGTATTTAGAGAACTCGCCCTCCTGTCTATTCGAACTCCGGGCGAAGCGATAAATCTGACCCGGATGGCCATGTTTGTTTAGAACTTCATAAAGCTTTCCAAATCACCAAGAGTAGCTGTCTATTATATCCACTCGTGACGAGGTTGGTTATCTGGGATGCCACGCTAATATAAGCCCTCCGTTGGAGAAGGCAGGGATGGTAAGTTTCCAAGAGATAATGAAGAAGACGAGAGATGGTTTAGGATTCTATGCTCAAGTTGGATGACGGATAGACCTGACCCTGTGCTCCAATTTGTAGCTTCCCATGCCGTTCTCAATGGGATGATAATAGTAGAGGAAAGACAACGGCAGCAGGCGCCCCTGCATTCGCTTCCAGCGCTGGAGGACCATAGGTGATATCTGCACCAAAACGAGCTTCATCAAATGCTCGTTTTGATTCACCGACTTCCATCAAATCGAGGGCTGCTTTCATTTTTTCAGGCATAAACGGCTGGAGCAAAATGGCCATTATTCGAATGGATTCTGCGCTCGTGAAAAGGACGTAATTCGCTATTTTTCTTGTTTCGGGATCTGCACTCTTAATAATCTTCCAGATTGCGGTATTATGGAAGAATTTGTTTGTCTGCAAATTTGTCAGGTCTACGACGTCACTAGAATGTTCAGTATTCCATACCTCTCCGATCAGCTCACAAATTGACTGGACAGCCTTCCGGGGATCTGGTTCCTTCATGTGGTTGTCTGCAATTTCCCTAACAGAGCATAATTTGGCATGATGATTTCTAAGACTGGCATGAACAGCCTGCATTTCCGGGTTACTGGCGGTCCATTGTTCTCGAGCGATGAACTCCGAGAAACCTTCGTCTTCACTGACCAGTCTGACCGCTTCGCGGACATCGAAGTGCTTGCTCTTAAAGACGCGATGGATCAGATTGCCGAGACCACCCCTCAACAAGTGATTGTATGTATCTTCAATGAATGAGTTGTCGTATGTGGCATCGTCGACGATACCCCCGTTGTGTGCCATGAAGAACCGAATGCAATCCACTCCGAATCGGTCCATGGCGTAGAACGGATTCACTCCGTTGCCGGCCGATTTGGACATTTTCTCATTGTTCATCGTCCAATGGGCATGGGTCAGAAATCTTTCAGTCACAGGAAGTCCCAGAGCCATTAGAAAAGCAGGCCAGTATATAGTGTGAAAACGAATGATATCTTTACCAATGACCTGACAATTGGGTGGCCACACCATGTTCGGGTCATTTTTGTTAACGAAAGGATATCCTGTCATCGTTAAGTAATTGAACAAGGCATCGAGCCAGACGTAAATGGTCTGGCTCTCGTCGCCTGGAACCTGAATTCCCCATGTCAAACGTGACGACGGTCTCGAAATAGAGAGATCTTTGAGTCCACTTCGAATCTCGTCCGTGATGAAAGCCATGCGTTGCTTCGGGACAATAGCGCCTGCGTGTTCCTCGTAGTACTTGAGCAGAGGGGTTTGAAAAGCGGACAACCTAAAATGGTAATTCATTTCTGAAGTCCATTCCACATCTTTTCCTGTCTCGATGGAGGCGATCTTTGTCAGACCTGATGAGGGATCGAGGACTTTGTGAACCTGGGTTGAGGGATAGAAAGTCTCGTCGCTGACCGAGTACCATCCCTCATGCTTGGCTTCGTAGATAAATCCACCGCGATTCAGCTCTTCCCAGACATATCGGACAACATCCTTATGGTCCTCATCAGTGGTACGGATGAAGCGATCGTAGTCGATATTGGCTGCGTCACATAACGCCTTGAACTGTTCGGCGTGATGATCGCAGAACAATTTGACGTCGGTATTCGCCTTTTGAGCAGCCTTTTGCACCTTCATGCCATGTTCGTCGGTTCCCGTCAGTAGGGTCGCGCTCTCGTCGCCGCGAAGCTTTGCCCATCGTTTGAGGACATCTGCGAGGACTAACGTGTAGAGATGGCCGACATGGGGGGCTGCAGCATCCATGATTAGCCAGTCGCTATTAGAATGAGGAATGAGCACACGTGCCTGAGTTAACATAGAAGATGGGAGTCGTCACGTAGTAAGGTTTGCTCGCAGCCGCCGTGGATTGCCTTTCTGGTTCAATGGCTGCTGCCAGGCCGCGTCGCTGGGGATTGCCGCGAAACAGAACTGGTTGCGGCGGTAGACATCGTGCAGAAGCTCTGCATTTGAGGAAGAAAGAACGAGCGCGATGCTCGAGAGCGAGCATGCTGGAATGAAGAGCTCTCAAGGATTGGATGGACGCACAAGAGTAGAGTCAATGTGGTTCAGTTATTTTTTAAAAGCTACAACCAAATTTCTCCGCATCCTATAATTGGAGTCTCCGATTGGCGATGGTGGCTAGATTCCCTCTACTAAATACTGCATGCGTTCCCTTGCACATGATGCTCGCGTAGAATGATTCAGAATACTCGCAGAATTTCAGCAACTGCACATCTCCAGAAGATACTCTTACGTCCACGTCGCATCAACTCCCTCAACCCTAAACCATAATCGTTGTAAGGTGTTCGCCCGTCACTGGGTGGTAGTCGCCTATAGAGCCCGTATCAAGATTCAAGAAGTCGTTTGGGGTCTCATATTCGCCTTGACGCGTTCCAGAAGTTCCGCTCTGGCCATTTTGGTGTCAGGTGTTAAATCCCTCTTTAATCGGGTCATCAGCTTGCGTGTCTTGATTTCTGCAATGGATCAAAGGGGAAATATTTGAACGCAGCCGCAGACTTACCAGCTTCAGCCACCGCTTTAACTCTGTTTCCGTCCAGTATTCTGGATCTGTATCGATTAGGTCAATCCCATATTGCGGCAATCGAAGCGCATCAAGAAAGTTGTTGAACATCAGGGGCAAGATCATACCGCCAGTGGGGTCACCCTCAGTAGGGAACATATCTCCTCCCCACATATTCCATAGTGATGCGAGAGTCACCAAACCCGCAAAACCTAAGAAGAGGTAGAAAAAATCAGCGGCCATTCCCAACTTGGGTCTCAAGCGAGAGTTGTTTTCGCTTAAGGAGACTCGGAAAGATCACCAAAGTTGCTGACGGTGCTGTTGGCGATATAACCGAGAATACAAGGCCCGCCAGGATCGTTAGAGATCCAAGTCCAGGATGTTGGTGTAAGGTGGACAAACCGAAGAATAAATTCTAATGACTGCATTAGTTTGAGCAATGTAATATCACCAGGTGTCAGACGTGATTTTGAGATAGTGACGAAATGAAGCGTCGAGACATTATACGGTGCATATAGTAGGGACCAGGAGACAGCACGTACTCGAGATTGCATTGCTCTATCCAAAGGAGTAGGCATTTTCGGCCCCTGTCCTTTGGTCTTGCAGCAGGTATCAAAACTGGTCGATGGTTCGCTAAGTGTAGAGGCCTCGAGGATTTACAGAAAGTAAAGGGGCCTGTCACGTCTTCTCTGGAAGCTCAGGTATATTGCAGAGAAAATATCAGGCAGCAAGAGAATCACCAGACCGCAAAAGGAACTGATCGATGTCATTATGGATGGCGCCTTAAGAGGCGGAGGGTTGGAGAGGGGCAGAAAGCCTTATGATTGGCCAACACAGCAAAGGGACACCATTCCCAACTCCAGCCTTCTCGCCTGAATTTGATAGAGGAGCTGCAAACGGAGCTGCAGTGCTCTGAGGAGGACGCATGGAGACTCTGAAGCCTTGGTTCTGATGTGGCTTCGCCTAGGCCGACATTATTGACGACACTATATTGAAACTAAGATAGTTGAGATCCCTGTGGCGGAAGTAGAAAAAGGTAGTAGCTCATATGTCGTGGCTTCACAAGGCTGAAGTCAGCTTCCGCCGGCTGGTGAATCGGCTCGGATATGAAAGCCTCGAATCCCAATTCTGCAATTGCCATGAGTGGGTATCACATTGTTTCTGGCCATCTCGTCATGTGTATCGTGACATGTAAAGTATCTTTTGAGTATATACAAGGCCGTGGAAGGAACCAAACAACCTCTACCCAAAGGAGATCTGACCTTCTCCTGTTTGAAGTACTCCTGTATCAACCCGGAGCAGTAATAACGCCATCGCTTCGGACGCAGAATTCAACAATCAATTTCTGCAAGTCTGCCAGTTTGTATGGCTTCGTCATGAATCCCTCCATCCCGGTCTTGGTAGCCCGGTCAATGGCCTCGTCAGTGACATCAGCGCTGACAGCTAAGACAATGGGAGGGGACATGCGGCCACGGTCGGATCCATCCTCGCCTTGAGGTTGTTGGAACATTTCCAATATATGCTCGGTCGCCTGGTAACCATCCATTTCGGGCATCCAGAGATCCATTAAGACGACGTCAACCTTTTTGGCGGACCGTTTCCCGTTCGATTTGCCGCAAGTCCTTCCCCTGCTGTGTATTTCCCGCATGATTCGGACGGCTTCCTTCCCGTCAAAGGCTTCGTGTACATCTGTATATCCCAATTTCCCGAGCATGTTCACGAGTAATCTTCGGTTGATTTTGTTGTCCTCCGCAACCAAGAATGTAAGAGGATGCTTCTGTGCGAGATACCGATCATATGTGTCCTTCTTTAGCGGACTGGTCTGCGCCGGTGTTCGTGGTCCCCGGGATCGATACCCTTCAGTAGACGGCATAGATATCTTTGTAGGTCTCGGATGTTTGTGGCCTTTGGGTGATAAATCTGGAGGCGCCAACGTAGCAGGTGTCTGGGAGGCGACTTTCGATCCCTCCGGAGTCCTGCTACTAGGGGTACCAGAACGACTTGTCGAACCCTCGTTAGGTTCAAAAGGCACCTTGATCTCAAATTCAGAACCCTTGTTAGGGCCAGAGACGTCTGAAGCCACGAGGACAATGTCTCCGCCAAGCCGACGCGCCAATCCTTTAGCAACCAGAAGACCAAGGCCAAGGCCTTCTTTTGACCGGGTCAACGAATCGTCCTCCCGAGAGAATGGTTTGAAAAGCTCGGGTTGGAAATCCTCCGGGATCCCATCGCCAGTGTCCTTGCACTTAATGACCAGAAATCGGTGCGTTTTTGAGAGTCGGGCATGCAAACTAATGCTGCCCTGTTCTGTGAACTTGATAGCGTTTAGCAGCACGGCTGATACCAATTTGGTTAAGTCTCGTTCGTCTGCGAAAAGAGTCTCAGGTACATCTTCAGCCACTGCCCATTCGATGGTTTTCTGGGAGATGTGACCATTTGAGGAGCGCGACCTAACCACAATTCTTTCGCCCAAGTCGGTGGGCTCCCCTATAGCCGAATCAGGTCTGCCTCCAACGCGCAAAGATTCGTAGATCACCATGGGTATCAGCTCTCGGATCCGGCAGTGTTTCAACCCTGGTGTTGGAAACGCGTCACTTTCTGCTAAAGAAACCTTGGTGGAGGGAGTATGAAGATCCCCAGGTGTAAAACAATCTTGTGCGGGAGCGACAATTGTGGGAATGCCTTCGTCAGAAGGTAATGTTTGTGGAGTTGGTTGAAACTTGCCCACATTGCTTTTGGGAGATACGTCGATACGAGCTGATGGGCCAACTTGTCGCATTTTGGTTGCATTGCCGAAGTGCCAGGACGTCGGACTACTTCTTCGGCGTTTATATGAATTGAAATGGATATCACTCCCTTCAATCAGTCTCGCGGGTTTGTAATCGAAATAGCCGGTGGATATTGTTGCTGGTGATTCGTTCTCATTCGACGGGGTGTCGGGTATCTGCATATTCATGTCGTACGCATGGACGACGTTATCAGCAGCTTCAACGGCTCGTTTAGCGCTGTCTTGGATGATCTCGATGTTCTCTCTGAGGGCCCTAAAAACCTGGCGCAGAGAGGGATCCGAGGCGCCCTCGATCTGCTCCTGCACCGTCGCATGCATGACATCTAGCATTCCTACCACGCCCTGCATTGGTGTCCTCAGTTCATGCGACAAACTTTTGGCATACGGCTTGAGAGACTGAGTTCCAGGAGTGACAGCTTCGCGCGGAATAACGTGAGACGGTCTGGTTGTATTGGGATTTCGACTCCGAGGCTTCACAAATCCCTGACCGCTCAAAAGACGTTCAACAATCATGTCTTCCAACGAATGCAGTAAAAGTTCGGTGTAACTCCAAGTAGTTTCTCGCCGGTCGAGACCTTCCTGTGTCCACATCATACCAAAATGGGCAAAACACTTGCCATCTGCAAACAAGGGAATTCCAATGTAACCTTCTGCCGGAAACGGAAGAGCGTTAGGGTTGTGAGTGATGAACGAACTCATGTGCTCCGGGATCAGGAAGACTTTGTCGTGCTTCATATAGGCGCATGGCGAACCCCAAGCAAGATACTTATAGTCGCGGTGCATAGCCTTCTGCTTGTCACCGTCGTTATAATAGAAAGCGACGCCCAGAAGACAAGAACCTGACTCGCCAAACGGAGGCATTTCGACTGCCGAATGGTGGTCGTCGGACAGTATCCTTTTTGCAACGAATCCGTATTGCGCATGGCAAATCTCCGTCATGCCCTCCATCAGCTTTTGCCAAAAGGATTCAGTATCGGCCGACTTCAATTCCCGCTTCAGCTGCACCAACTTTTCGAGAGCATTGTTCTCATGGGATGGGAAGTGTTTTGCAAGGTTCTGAAGGAAACCATCTTCCCCGTAGTGGGCGGGCACGCCGGGCTCGATGCTTGGGAGACATAATGACTGTCTTTCGATGAGCGGCAGGGACGGCCGAGGATCAGGTGGTTCGGCCATCACTGCCATTTATTGTTACCTCCCTCTCTCATCAAACACCAGGCTCTGACGTGTTAGGGGAACTTTTATTCTCATAGACATTCGTAGAGTCCGCAGGTCATGAACATTCGATTGCGAATCCAAGTCGAGACCGCCAAGGGCTTCATGTGTCGCGGGTCGAAGGGCGAAGTCTACCCCGACGTGCGGATTTGTCAGGAGGATCTACCGTCGCAACGTGAGGTCCAGAATTCGGTGGTGTGGATGTAAGTGGCTAGGATGCAGGGGACGAGGCGTGGAGAATAGAGAGTCGCGGGAGACGATTGCTTGTTGTCTGGGTGGGCGAGCAGCAATTGATGGTACCGGAAGGAATACGGTGAAAATGATAGAGGAACCGAATAGTGCTGGTGGTGAGTAGTCCTGTAGGTCAAGGACGGAAGACTGGGGGCCAGGAAAAGGGCTCCGGAGGGGGGGAAGTCCCAGGTCGGTAGGTACGTGCACGCGCAGGGTGAGACGGTGCGGTGGGATGATTGATTCAGACAGAGTCGTATTTGGCTCTGGAGAAGCTAACAGGGAGCATAGTAGCTGGAGTACGTAGCCTACCAGTTCTTGACAGAGTTTGCGAAGAATTTCTACGGCTAGCTACTACGATGTGCCACTGGTGCCGCCAAACCCTTCGTCTCAGAGAATCGTACATATTCTTTTTGACTTTTCCCCTTTCAACCCTCCTAACCTAGGTTTTGTACACAAAGCACACCGGGCTGAGTTCCACCATTGCACGTTCGACTGGCCGAGGCAGGCTCCAGTAACCGCCCCCAACTACGCCCCAAGCTCAGCTTTCAGCTCACCTGCAGCTTCAATATACATTCCTGCTGAAGAGAATGGACGCACAAAGAGCTCTCTCGAACCAGAGTTCCCCCCTGTCAGGAGCCAGCCGGCGCAGTTGTGCGAAATGTGGAAGTCGTTTTAATAATACAGGCCAAAGGCTAATTACTGCAGACTGCATGTGGCATGACGCCAGTGGCATCGATCCTTCGGAAAAGAACCTTTTACGAGCGTCAGCGAAGACCCTGGTGACCCTGAGTGAGCGTTTTGTCAGGGTGTGAGCAGAGCGAAAAGATGGGAGATGGAGATATGTCGTTGGACAAAGCCAGTAGTGGCCGTGGTCTAGGCCTCGATGGACTCCCCTCCGGCTATCCACCGTCCTGCAGATGGGCCGTCAATTCTATTTCATTGGGTCTTGCCGCAGTCGGAACTGGTTACGTACAGAGACCGTGTGCTCCAAACTGTCCATGCGGTACATGCACGCGCCAGGAATTCTTTCCAGCGAGGAGCAGAAACTACCAGCTCCAATGCCAGGGGTGCCGGCAGATTCATTCTCTCCACCGGCTCTGATTTGAATGAGTAGAATGAGATCGCCGACCTATCGAAGCCCCTTGTGCAAATCAGATCTGGAAAGTCCGAAGGGGTTGGGTGAAGAAGTGAGATGCTTAAAGATGCCACCTTTTATGAATGCGGTAAATCTCATGTCCATCAAAAGTTCTAGGCTGTCCACCGACCTTCTATCGCACCGCCATTGACATCATCAAGCCTTTGCGCTCCGGTTAAGTCGGCAAGCATCGTACTGGTTCGCTTCGCAGCAGACCCATGCCAGGTCACCACCAATCACCGAGCTACGGCGACATCCAGAAATTCTCCGGCAGATCAGGGAATTTCCAGACCCTTGACAAGCCCCTTTTTCCGTGCCCCATTAATACTGACATTCTGAGCAAATTCACAGTTGCTGCTTCGAGCTTAAGACTCAAGGAGCTGGGTCATTTACCTATTAAACAAGGTGCAGAATCAAAAGCTTGACAGATCGACCGAGCAAGGACTAATGAGGGGCTGCCTCACGATTTTCGTGGTTACACCTCCTGTCAACGAAGAATAACTTGACAGATCATATCTAGTTTCCGTTGAGATCAGATCGTCAGCTCGTAGCAGGGGTAGGGATTCGAGTCTGGCATGCAGTTCACATGCACAGCGGAAAACCCCCATTTCTGAATATGCTGGAATTGTCGATCGACACTCTTCTGTGCCTCCCAGAAATGAAAGCCATGGTTTTGATTGAGTGGTAACAGCTCTCAAGCCACGCACGACGCACGCTGCAACGCTCGGAGAATCGCCGGACGGCGTGCGATGGAAGGGAGATATGAGATATGCAGGGACAAAAGCAGCTGGGGCCTCCGTACGATTCAGAACCACGTGCCGGCCACCTGCTTCAACCCTTGACGCGCCCTGCCTTCTCTCCCAGTGCCCAGTGACTCTGTCGTGCGAGCCAAGATATTACAGGTGAACAACAAAACGACTCATCGATCTTCGGCCTTTCAATCTCCGGTGCTGACTCGATGCAAGTACTTTCTGTGCATGCAAATGTTTGGGCCAAGACTACGTCCGAACACCCGTATCCCGAACAGCCGCGCAGCCAGCTGGCGCAAGAACCGAGGTGTGTTTGAGGGGCTCTGATTTCTGCGGGGCCCCGGCTTTGATGTTCCTTGCGCCAGTGGATAAGCAACCACGGAGTTGTATAGTCTTTCCGAGGTATCGAACGCGGAACTCCCGTCACGTCTTTTGTGAATGTTAGTTCGAGCATTCGAACCATCTTCGTGGTTTTGGTAGCAAGCCCTGCGTACCCATCACCCATCACGTTGGCGATACGGAATTTCTCCTAGGGGTCGGAAAGTAGACCACAAAACCCTTGGGAAAATGAAGACCTACAGATCTAGAGATCCGGACACTGCCATTCCGAAGGATCTTAACCTCACAGAACTCCTCCATGACAGCGCTCGCTCTCCACCCCTACAACCTGATCATGTCATTGCTCAGGACGATGTAGAAGATCGCACCCTAACCATAGATCAGCTACGCTCGAATGCGGGAAAACTTGCTACAGGCTTGAAACGGCAGTACAGCCCGAAGGATCAAAGTCGATGGGCCATCATCCTCCCCAACAGTGTTGCCTACATCGAAGCTGTGCACGCAGTTCTATGGCTGGGTGGCGTATTTTGTCCTATCAACCATCAGCTGAAGGCAGGCGAGATCGCGCATGCCCTGACTGTGTCGAAGCCGACATTCGTGATAGTATACTCGATAGTTGTGGAAACAGTGAAGGAGGCGATCGAACTCGCGAAGCAGCAATGTCCGGACATGGGGCATCTGGAAATATTAACTGCCATCGGCTCACCTGCAAAAGGGCTCCGACATCTACACGCGGATCTAATGGCCTCCGAGGTACTATCTGTACCTCATTATCCGGACACCAGGAAGAGGCTGGCCTCGATACACCTCTCATCAGGAACCACGGGTAATCCCAAAGGGGTTGGGCTCTCGCAGTACAATTACCTCGCCAATGTTTTACAAATGTGGGCACACGATCCGGACCATTGGTCCCCAGAGGAGAAGATTGTCTCCTATACTCCCTTTGTGCATATCGCAAATAGTGAGTTGGCAATTTGGAGGACAAATCCCTCCTTTTCATGCGCTGGCACGATCCCACCTTATACTGACAGTACTTTCCTAGCAACGATACCCTTGTTCCTGGGACCGTGGACCGGTATGCTACACATAATCATGGGATCCTTCGACACCGAGACGTACGCGAAAACTATACAACGCACAAGAGCGACAGCGGCACAAGTCTCGCCAATGACCGCGTTGGCCATAGCAACCACAGATCTGGCGTCGAAATATGACTTTTCAAGCATCAGGCACATGACTTGTGGCCCATTGCCCCTCAAGCAAGACGTTTACGAAGAGTTTCTGCGGCGCGGCCCGTGGAAGACAATAACTCTTTACGGGATGACAGAAGCCGCTCCATATGTGACGTGGCAGAAAATCAGAGACACTTTGCCACTGGGTAAGAGCGGGACACTACTGCCGAATATTCTGGGATCGTTGCGTCTCGAAAACGGCGCAGATGCTCCAGAAGGCGGACCCGGTGAACTGTGGTTGAAAGGGCCCAACATGACGGCAGGTTACGTGGACAACCCTACTGCGAACGAGACCGCTTTTGACCGAGACGGATGGTATAATACGTACGTTCAATTCCACCTGAGTCTAATACTTTATATTTGTGCAAAGTCATTTTATATGAGGCTGACAGCATTAAGGGGCGATGTGTGCACCATTTCTTCCGAAGGCCATCTACAGGTCGTGGGCAGAACAAAGGAGTTGATCAAGTACAATGGTTTTCAGGTGTCTCCGACAGAGCTGGAAGCATATATCATCGCCCACCCTGCCGTCCTGGATGCTGCAGTTGGAGGAGTGTGGGATGCTGCCAAGATGACCGAACTGCCCACGGCTTACGTTGTGCTCAAGGACCATGTCCAGGAGCGAGAAGATAAGATTCAAGCGCTCAAGGACATTCAGCGAACGGTCGACAGACAAGTGGCGGGATACAAAAAACTGCGAGGACATGTCTGGGAGGTGAAATCCCTACCACGGAACGCGACCTTCAAGCTCCTAAGGAAGCAGCTGGGAATACACAAGACAGGAGTATGCTCTGCCGAAGGCGAAGCGAGGACCTCCAAGTTGTAACGTGGGAGAAGCAGAGAACCTGTCTATGTTGCCCAGGAGCTCTGCATTATCAGCACCAATATGATCTCTAGTAACAGCTCCCCCTGCATTATCGACATTTGAGTGGGAAGACTCCTTTGCCAATAGAGACTGGGCACAAATAAAGGGCTCACATAGCGTTTTTGTCGTATGCCTACTGGTGCGCGTGGCACTGCGCTGCTTGATAAGGCGGATAAATCCGCCGGGAATCGGGATCGGCGGTCGGTTCATCTTGGAACTATGTGGATATCATTGAGTCGTTTATCTCTTGTAAGAAATGGTCGTGGGCAGGCAATTCTGTACTGTCTGTTGTGGATGGTCGGTGGGCGTTGGCCGATAAAATATCTCCTACTTGAATACAGACTGTTTTTGACGGGGGCTCTTTAGTTCATTCCTTCTTCCATCCTCATATACACATCCTTGCTTGCTCCTGCATGGCTGGTGGTCTTCGCAGCATTAGTCAAGTTTCCTTCTAATTTGTCAAGCTGTCCGTCGATCCTCGAGCTGTCATGCGCTGTAACGGTAGCCGAAGCTGTTGACTGGAGGATTGAAAGACTCCTTGCGTCATTCAAGCCACTACCACCTGGTGCCGCTGGTCTTGTGAGGGCTCGCGTGCCTCAATCGCCCTCCAGACACGGACAGAAGCCGCAGTTCGAGTTACATTTTCCTGTTCCTGGATCAACGTGTGAAGCTGCCTAGTTGGGCTTCAAACTACAGCGGGACTCGCACCCCAGAAAAGATGGCATCTTCACTCTTTACCGGCGCTTTTTTTCCTTTGCACTCTCCACGCTCATTCAAGGCTTCAGGCTTCGTGTTCATCATGTTGTCGTTATTGCAGCTGGCGTGTGCTTTGGTTGTCCCGCCGTTGGTGCAACAGGCTGGCGCCAATCCCTACCCTCATATTCGGCAACAGTATGCACCAGATTCGATGGGCGCTGTAGCAAGCGAGAGCAGTGTTTGCACTGAGATTGGTATTGCTCTGCTCCAGGAGGGTGGGAATGCTGCAGATGCGGTGAGTCAACTTCGCAAGAACTGATATTCAAAGAACCCAAAGTGACAGTTTTCAAGCTCGTCGGGACTGTGTTTTGCACTGGAGTTATTGGGATGTACCACAGCGGTATCGGTGGTGGGGGTTTCATGATCGTCCGCAGTTCAAATGGGAGCTACGAAGTGATAGATTTTCGAGAGACAGCCCCAGCCGCTGCTTTTCAGGACATGTATAACAATAACGCCAATGCGAGCATTTTCGGAGGTTTGGCGAGGTACGTGCTTGAGGCTCAAGAAATGCTCAGCCGCTTATGCTCGACAGTGGAGTTCCAGGAGAAGTCCGAGGCCTGGCTCATTTGCACCAGAATTACGGGAAACTCCCTTGGAAGCAGGTAATGCAAGGAGCCATCAAGATCGCCAGATATGGCTGGACAGTAAGCGAGGATTTGGTGCGTTATATGCAATCTGGCATGGCTTCCGCCGCGGTGCCAAATTTCCTCGTGGACGATCCAAACTGGGCAATCGATTTCGCACCCAACGGAACTTTACTTGGGGCCGGAGACACGATAACACGGAAGAGATATGCCGACACGCTCGAAGCCATTGCCGAGCAAGGTCCTGATGCGTTTTACAATGGGCCGATTGCAGAGGCTACGATTGCGGCGGTGCAAGCAGCGAACGGAACCATGACACTCGAAGATCTGCATAATTACACCGTCGCCGTTCGACCAACAGCTAATATCACGTATCGGGGATATCGTCTGTTCAGTTGTAGTGCCCCGAGCTCTGGCGAGGTCGCCCTCTCCGTCTTGAAGACCCTAGAATTATATCCCGATTTCTATCACGCCGGCACGGTAAATCTGAGCACCCATCGACTCGACGAAGCGATTAGATTTGGATATGGGGAGAGAACCAGTCTTGGTGATCCTTCGTTTGTGCACAACCTGTCAGCATTCCAAGATGAAATGCTCTCTGAGGCATCGGCACGGTATATTCGGAGCAAAATTTCAGACCGCCGGACGTTGAATGTCTCAGCGTACGATCCGGCAGGTATCGAATCGCTGGAGACCCCAGGCACTTCTCACATTGTTACGGCCGATGCCTCGGGCATGGCTGTCTCCCTGACTACGACGATCAACTTGTTGTTTGGGTCGCAGGTTCTGGTCCCTGAAACAGGTGTAATCATGAACAACGAAATGAACGACTTCTCCATTCCTGGATCATCGAATGCCTTTGGTTATGTTCCGAGTCCGTCAAACTATGTGCGCCCGGGGAAGAGACCACTGTCATCCATCTCGCCCACGATAGTTGAATTCGGGAATGGAACACTTTACTATGTGACTGGAGCTGCAGGAGGGTCGCGGATCATTACGGCCACGATTCAGAGTCTTGTCCATGTGCTTGACCAGAACATGACAGCTCCGCAGGCTCTAGCCCAGCCACGCCTTCATGATCAGCTCATTCCGAATCAGGTGTCGTTTGAGTATGCTTACAACAATGAGACTGTCGCCTTCATGAAGTCGAGGGGCCATAACGTTACCTTCGTGAGTTGCCCTCTTGGCTGATAAAGCATTCCTTCTCCTTCGATTTAGGAGTTCGTCATGATGCAAGCTAACAGCAATTCTGCTTGCAGGTTGCGCCTGGCCAGAGCTCAGCCCAAGTGAGTTTCCTATTCCCAAATGAAATGATTATGTGTCCAAGTTCTATCACAGGACAATCCAATTCCCTGTTACACTTTTCCATGCTAACAATATCTAAGAGCATTCGACGGTTACCTAATGGCACATTTGAAGCCGCAGGTGGTAAGTGTTCCCAGCATCTTGAGTCGGTAATTGATTGAGCCGTCTCTCGTCCAACCTAGCATTTTTGATACTAACGACAGACAGAGCCTCGGCAGAAAAACAGTGCAGGTTTGGCAATATAAACAAGGGTGCAGAGCAAGTCCTTCGGACGTGGTATGGAGTGGGCGTGTGACCCGTATATTTATGAAGTCTTTCGGGCGAGAATTGCAGCATAGCTATAAGTATGTACTGTATATGGAGCTATGTCGTGGACTCTCATGAACGGCCTGTCCGTTTTTGGCTTCGTGTCCTCTATTCGTATTTCTGCTGGTCAGTGTCCAACCATCCTCCGTCCACGCACGTTTAATGGATAACCGCGAGCTCTCCGTGGAAGCTCCAGCGGTGGCGTTTTAGGTAATTTGGGGAAGTGGAGGCACCGAAAAGGCATGTCCAGGGGCCGCAATTTGCCGCAGGCGGTGTTTGGGCACTCGTGCGCACCCTGCAGCCGGCATAACTTTTTTGTGTCGTGTGCACAAAGAGCCTGGCGCGGGAGGGTCTGCCAGTACGAAGTATACGCCCACCAAGCCTCCTAGCTTCTCACCCTTCACACGGCTGAATTGCAGAGCTCTGTCAATGCCAATTAGGACAATGTAGAACACTACCCCATTATACTTCATTTTCCTCTTTGAGCACGGATTGGGCAACATTATAGTAAGGGTATTGCTGCTTATATCTGTGCCGGAGTTAAGAACAAACACCTCCACTATGACCGCCCCATCCACACGGATACATTGTTGCCGAAAGGTGGAGAGGGGGTTCAGAAGAAACCACTGGGCTTGATACGGGCCCGTTGAAGGGCAACAATAATGGAGATGGAGACCAGCAGCAGAGAGTTTGTGAACGAATAAATACATAGTTACTGAGCATCTCTGCCGAGATCGCAGAAGCGACTCCCCGCTGTTGAATCGATCCGTCTTCCTCTCGTTGATATCCCTCTCGTCTTCCTGTGTACCGAGTACAAGTATTTCCATCCATTATATTCTTTAAGCTTCATCCTTTCCTTCTGACGAGTAACGATCGATCCTTGCGCGTGGCACGGAACGCCCATTTACGCGAGCTTACTTGCTGACTCTGGGGTTTGCCCCACAAAAGTACCAATTGGATTCACAGCGACAAAACGGTATGTTTGCCAACGACTGCCTTGACTCTCAAAAACCTTGAGGTGCTCGCCTTTTAGGATGTGTATATGTACTGGCGAGGGACAATGGGTTTCCAGATCGCATGGCGGCTGAGTCGGCTCAACCCATTGTATTCGACGGCAAGGATCTCGGACGCGACGAAGCGAATACCTCCAGCCATTCCGCCTCCCTCTCTGAGAAAGAACAAAACGAAGGTAGCCAGAGACCACTCGATCCCGACATAGAACATGGCATTCCCATTATCGACACGATCGAGGACGCGGACGAGAAGGCACCACCCGTCACAACCATTGACCACGACCCAAATATCGTCGATTGGGATGGGTCAAATGATCCCGAGAAAGCCATTAACTGGACCAACAAGAAGAAATGGTCAAACGTGGCCATTATTTCGTCTGTCACCTTTCTGACACCGCTGGCTTCATCTATGGTTGCACCAGCCACACCATTGATCATGAGAGAATTCCATTCATCCAACGAGACGATCGCAAGTTTCATCGTCTCCATTTACATCCTAGGCTATGCCCTGGGCCCTCTGTTCCTTGCACCTTGCAGCGAAATATGGGGTAGACTCCCCATCTACCATGCTTGCAACTTTTTGTTCGTTATTTGGACGATGGCTTGTGCTCTGGCGCCTGGGCTAGGGTCCTTGTTGGTGTTCCGCCTGCTAGCAGGGATTGCAGGAAGTTGCCCGCTCACCATTGGTGGTGGCTCAATCGCAGATCTCATTGTCCAGGAGAAGAGAGGTGGTGCGATGGCTTTGTTTGCATTGGGACCGCTGATGGGCCCCGTCATCGGCCCGGTGGCAGGTGGATATCTTGGTGAAGCCGAAGGCTGGCGTTGGATTTTCTGGGTCATCACGATCGCGGGCGGTGTCGCATTATGTTTCTCAGTGATCTTCATGCGGGAGACATTCGAGCCAGTTCTCCTGGAGCGGCGGGCAAAACGACTTCGGAAGGAGACTGGTAATCCCAACCTACGTTCCAAGCTCGATCAGGGTATTCCCACGCGCGACTTCTTCATCCGTGCGCTTGTTCGACCCACCAAAATGCTCATCTTCTCCCCGATCGTCCTCTTGCTATCCATCTACATGGCAGTGGTCTACGGCTACCTCTACCTTCTCTTCACCACGCTCACCATTGTCTTCGAAGGGCAATATCATTTCAGCCAAGGCACAGTCGGGCTGAGTTTCCTCGGTATTGGTATTGGTTCCATGACTGGACTGGTCATTTTTGGAGCACTGTCGGACAAAGTCGTCAAGAAGATGTCGGCCAAGGGTGAAATGAAACCTGAATACCGGCTGCCGCCGCTCATTCCTGGGAGTCTGGTCATCCCAATTGGCTTGTTTTGGTACGGATGGTCTGCAGACAAAGCCATCCATTGGATTATGCCCATCATTGGCACTCTTTTCGTTGGGCTGGGCTTGCTCGCAACTTTCATGCCGGTGCAGACCTATCTCGTCGATGCATACCACATTCATGCTGCCTCAGCGATCGCCGCCAACACTGTTTTGAGGAGTTTAATGGGTGCTTTCCTCCCGCTGGCGGGGCCCGATATGTACGCGGCTCTCGGCCTAGGCTGGGGCAATTCTCTGCTTGCATTCATTGCGCTCGCTTTGGCGCCGACGAGTTGGATCTTCTTCCGGTACGGCGAGAGAATTCGGAAGAGATACCCCGTCAAATTGTGACCGGGCTTCTCAGAAAATGCAAAGGGACATTAGGCGTTTGATCTAGAAATATGTATAGACTGGGCGTTGGCCGGCCTCGTGACATTGATCTGGCGAGGCAGAGAAAGCTAGCAGCATTGGGGCAAAAATTCTATCACCCAATTTCTTAGAAACGAATGCCCAACAAAGTGAGGCAAACCAACCTAGGCTGCAGGTCCACCATCCGTCCGCGCCATAGGCATTTTGCTACGTCGGCCAGGATGCATACCGCACTCAATGGCGGGGGGGTTTTGAAGCAAGCAGCTACACGACAGAAACACATGTTACCGGACACCGCAGATGCCAGACCCTCTCTAGAGGCTGGCCCATCGTAGTACATAAACAAGCACATGGCTCAGCCTTGTGACTGTGTCAGGTGAACGGGCAGCAGAGACGGGGGATTGCGGTAGGCCCCAGCACGAGCAGTCCGATTATAAACGGCGCTACAGATGGAGGGGCGTCGGCCAAACATAAAAAAACCAAGACTCGACCAAACACCCCCTCTCATCTCACATCACCTTCCTCTCCTGCTTGCCAGCAACATTCCCAACACTGCTCGAAAACTGACCTCGGTTCGCGTACTTTGCACATTGCCCATCCAGACCGGAGACCATTACCTCTTGTCCCAGTCGTCTTCTTCATTCGATCGAACACCCACCCTCACTTCCCTGACTGCTGCACCATGTCCCACTCAGGTTGTCCCAAGTGTGGAGCGACTATTTCTTCGGGGAGCAAGACTTGCGGATCTTGTGGAGCGGTACGCCTTCTTTCTGCTGTTCTTTGTCCATTCCTTACTTTGGTTTCTGAGGAACATGAGGCGGTCGCGTGGCGTGGGAGCAGCAGAATTTTGTGCCACGGCACTATCGCGAGATTCTAGGCATGACTGTCGATTGCATCAGTTAAATCAAACAGAACAATTCATCGCTCTCGAGCCAACAGAGCATAGTCCTTGGAAGGATAACGCAAGGAGAAGGAATATGCTGACGAAGCTGCTTGAATTTCGCAGACTTGCCCACGATGATATAGCAGCATATTGCGAGGAAGTGTCAAAGATGCTTGGATCGAAACAGGGGGAGGTGATGAGATACGCCCAGATGACATGGGCCGAGCACGTTCTATGGGGTTGGACAGTGCTGGATCCTTCAGCTTCTAGGAGTTGCTCTTTTGTGGCTATGCCATCCCACAGGTTAATAACCATGATGGAATTTTTGATGACCTTTTATGTCGACTGAACCAGCTGAATGGCGGCCCACGGCGCCTTTCATTCGGGAATCACCTTTTCAAAGAATGCCAGCATGTCTCTCAACTCGGCCGAATTCGTAGAATGGCCCATGCCCTGGTACAAATGCTCCTCGACGTTGTCCCTGTCCACCCACTTTGCCAGCTCTTCCTTGCCTTGTACGAAGAGTTTTGTAGGGACCAACATGTCCATTGTGCCATGAACGTAGAACCATTTCTTGGGGTCTTTGTCGTCGGCTTTGATTCCCCTCTCATTTCTCAGCTCCGCTATTCGGTCCCGCAGAGGCAGGTACCCAGACAAGCAGAGCACTCCCGCGACTTTGTTATTGAGTCTTCCCGTCAGGCCCCAGGTCAGACTCACCGCACAACCTTGACTGAATCCGCCAACGACAATCCTCTCAGGGGGTGTCCCACTCTTGATCTCCTGCTCGACAAGTTGATCTACCATATCCACACTCTGCATGATCCCAGCCTCGTCATCGGGAGAATCCTCCTCATCTTCATGGCCAGGCACCCGTGGCTTCATGGCGTTGGGCAAGGCCTTGGGGATATACCATGCTCGAGTCATAGCCTCGTGATTGTGCGGTGCATTCGGCAGGACCCATTTCAGATATTGCATCTTGTTGTAGAATTGGAACTGTTGTGCCAATCCCAAGGGGAGACCTTCAGCGTCGTCTCCATAGCCATGAAGGAAGATAAACGTAGCAGGGCGGGCGGTGGAAGATGAGTCGGCTGTAGGGGGGACGACGTACGGTGGCTTCTCGGACATACTGCTGTTTTTTCTGCCCACTATTGATTCATGGTCTGTTGTGGACAAATGGGTGCCTAGCCATGGGGATCGAGACAAAGAAGGACAAGAAGACGATGGAGGGAGGATACCAACACCCTCGCGGTGAGATTTTCAGCTACAGTGGTCTCCAGTGAGGGAACTGAGTGGATCGTATTCCATCGTGAGACTGGCCTCACGATGGCCGAGCATGCGGCCCAGAACCTCCAAGAAATTAAACAAGCGAACGAGATCCGTATCGGACAAACGAAAGTGCCATTTGGAATCAGCTCCGAAGTACAGCAGCACTGCGCGGGGAGCCGGCGGGATGGATTTGCTTTCTTTCGTTCTCCCAGACTCTGCATAAGTAGCCCGTTTGAGTCACCGTACCCTGATGATCCTGCGGAGCGGTTGTATCCATAGCGCAGTCTTTATGTGGGGAAACTTCGACAATTTCCAGCGACCCTCCAGTGTCTGGTGCGTACACTCATTCTTCACGCTTCCTCTGTACCGTTTTAGGGGGTCGAGGCTGGCAAAATGAAAAGCCTCAAACGAGGCCTTACCGCCGACCCAAATGCCCGTAATATCTCCAGCAAGGTCTTTATTCGGTCCACCAAAAGCGGCCGAGTCCAGAAAGTCGTGAAAGAACAGTACCTGAGGAAAGATATACCCTGTTCGTCGCAACTGTGCACGGCTTGTGCTTCCACTGTTGCGCCAGATGCAAATGGAGTTGGTATGTGCCTGCTCCTCTCTCTGCCTCACTTTCGTACACTGATAACATTACCAGTCCCCAAATTCGTTCTGTCAAAACTGCCAACCCGCACCAAAACATTTCCCAACGGCCACTATCTCATCCCCGACACCAATGTCTTGCTTAGTGCAATGGATCTCTTCGAAGAGCCTGCCCACTTCCGCGATGTTATCATATTGCAGACAGTTCTTGAAGAGTTGAAGAATCGGAGCCTCCCTCTCTACAACAGATTGATGGCAATAACCCAAAGCGACGACAAGCGTTTCTATCTCTTCTCCAACGAGTTCCGCCTTGAGACCGCAGTACGACGAGCAGGCGGTGAGTCAATTAACGACAGAAACGATCGCTCAGTCAGAACAGCAGCGCAATGGTACACCGATCATCTATCGCAAGCGACAAAGAAACCTCCTACAATCGTGGTGTTGACCAATGATATGGATAATAGGAAAAAGGCACAAAGAGAAAACGTGCGAGCTTTGTCACTATGGGGATATGTGGAGGGGTTGGATGATGCCGATAGATTACTCGACATGGTGAGCCACGGTGCTGAGGCTCAAGAAGTCCGCGCCGCGCAAGGGCAGCTCTTCTATCCAGAATATTACTCCATGTCAAGGATGATGACAGGGATCAAGGCGGGAATACTGCATCAAGGTGTTTTCAATGTTTCCCCCTACAACTACTTGGAGGGGACAGTCAAGGTCTCTGCGTTTGACAAGCCACTCCTAGTCCTTGGAAGAGAGAGCAGCAATCGATCTATATCTGGAGATGTCGTTGTTGTGGAGATTCTGCCCAAAGACCAGTGGAAAGTTCCTTCGACGCAGATCCTCGACGAGGAAACCATCAACAAGAACGACAACCCGGAAGACGAGGAACAAGAGGAGACCGTGGTCACAGAGAATGAGAGACGGGCACTCCAGGAGGAGGTTCGACGTGCACACATTGCCGGTGCTGAGTCAAAGGCCCAGCCAACCTGCAAAGTAGTCGGAGTCATGAAGCGAAACTGGAGACAACTTGTTGGAACAATTGACGCCACCTCCTGGAGCACGTCTGGAAACAGACAGGCCACAGTCTTCTTGGTTCCAATGGACAAGCGCATCCCAAAGATTCGAGTTCGAACACGTCAGGTCGATGAGTTGATAGGCAAGCGGATACTTGCGACGATTGACTCATGGGAGCGAAATACCAGATATCCAGTTGGCCACTATATTCGCTCGCTCGGGGAATTAGAGACTAAGGATGCTGAGACTGAAGCGTTGCTCCTCGAATATGACGTCCAGTACCGACCATTTCCAAAGACAGTGTTGGACTGTTTACCTTCGGAGGGTCACTCCTGGAAAGTCCCAGCTGCTTTATCAGATCCCGGTTGGAAAGGCAGGCAGGATCTCCGACATCTATTTGTTTGCTCGATTGATCCCCCCGGATGTCAAGATATCGACGATGCCCTGCATGCAAGAAAACTTTCAAATGGAAACTTTGAAGTGGGTGTTCATATTGCCGATGTCTCTCACTTCGTCAAACCCAATAATGCCATGGACGACGAAGCATCCGCTCGGGGTACTACCGTCTACTTGGTCGACAAGAGAATTGACATGTTGCCCATGTTGCTCGGGACCGACCTTTGCTCCCTCAAACCGCAAGTTGAAAGATATGCTTTCTCCACTATATGGGAGATTACACCAGATGCGGAGATAGTATCATCTTCGTTCACTAAATCTGTTATTTTGTCCAAGGAAGCTTTCTCATATGAGCAAGCCCAAAAGCGCATTGACGACCCGAGTGCAACGGATGCGCTCACCCAAGGCATGCGGACATTGTTGTCACTCTCTCAAAGGCTACGTCAAAAGCGGATGGATGCTGGAGCGCTAAATTTGTCCAGCCCAGAGGTCAGAATTGAAGCAGACAGTGAGTCTTCGGATTCGCTTGCCGACGTGAAGACGAAAGCAAATTTAGCCACCAACTCACTCGTGGAGGAATTCATGCTTCTTGCCAATATCACTGTGGCCAGGAAGATCCAGTCCGTCTTCCCGCAAACTGCTTTGCTGAGACGACATGCGACACCGCCGGCCTCGAACTTTTCAGACCTTAGTGAGCAGTTGAAGAGAATGCGCGGTTTCGAACTGGACGTGTCAAGCTCGAAAGCACTTGCAGAATCGTTGGATCTTTGTGTAGACCCTCAACATCCATTCTTCAACACCTTGATTCGAATCATGGCAACAAGGTGTATGACATCGGCCGAATACTTCTGCAGCGGATCGCACGCAGAACCAGAGTATCGCCATTATGGTCTTGCTAGTGAGATCTACACCCATTTTACAAGTCCCATTCGCCGATATGCGGATCTGCTCGTCCACCGCCAACTGGCTTGCGCGATCGGATATGAAGGCCAGGGGAGCGAGGTCGTTGACTATGACCTTCGAAACAAGGGCAAGTTAGAGCGGGTCTGTCAGAATCTCAACTTCCGGCACCGAAATGCCCAACTAGCAGGCCGCGCCAGTATCGAGTATTATGTCGGGCAAGCGCTCAAAGCACGGGCCGAGAAATCTGCAGATGCTGCTATTGATGTTGATGGGTACGTGATGCGAGTATTCGAAAACGGTATGGTGGTCTTCGTACCGCAGTTTGGCATTGAAGGACTGGTTCGCCTTGAGGATTTCCAGTTGAAATCCGGCGAGGCTCTCAAAAGAGAAAGCAAGTTTGATGCAGAGGCTTACCGGCTCACAGTCTTTGAGAAAGGCCATGAACAAGACGAGGTCACACTTGAGCTGTTCCAGCAACTGAAAGTTAGAGTAAGCTCGGAGGAGAAGAGTGGTGCCAGAGATAAGGGAAAGAGAAGAGTACGAATCGTGGTCTTGTCTGCCTGAGGGGAAGTAGACGGGAGCTCTGCACATACCTAGCTAGAACTAGATACCTCCAAACAACAGCAGGACTAAAGCTACAGTCACGTTCCTCTTCATACCTCCACTGCTTGGTGGACGGCCTAAACAATATTCCCACCCAGCGCTGGAAACTGTTCCATGGAATCTCTCTCTTCCTCTTCTAGATCTATCAAACGGACTGACCCTGAGCCCGTCTGCTAGTAACCGCGAACTCGACAAGGAGCAAGTGAAAGATGACGCTACATTGTGCTATCCAGTAGTGCTTGAGACTCAAGTTGGTTCTGTGCATGGATAGTTCCGTAGACAATGATGCCAAGACCAAACATGGCGGCTCGAGTTCCGATTTCAAAGTCCTCGTACAACGTAGACTTTTGGGCTCCTTGCGGAATTTTCGTCCTACATTTTTTTTGATGACCAGGAAGGCTTCAGGCCGGAACAAGGAACATGACGGGACCGCCGAATAAGCGGCAGAAACGAGAGGACTACAAAAAAACCCAAGAGAGCTTTAAAGCTGGAAGTGATGGCGCTGGCGGCGGCAAGATCGAGCTGCCCAAGAAAAAGTTCTATCGACAACGCGCCCACGCAAATCCTTTCTCCGACCATGCTTTGGCATAGTAAGTTCCAGGGTCTCACGCTCTAGTTCACATGGACGCCCTGACTGATCTCTGCAGCCCCGCCAGCCCTGCCGACATGGACTGGACTTGCCATTACCCTGCTTTCGCAGATGGCGAAGCTGCGAATCACAAACACCACGCTATGAGCAGGGAAGTCGAGATCGCAGACATTGGCTGTGGATTCGGTGGGCTTCTGGTAGCTTTGGCGCCTTTGTTCCCTCAGACGTTGATGCTTGGTTTGCCCACGGGCTTCCTTTTTTGTGATTATCTTGCTAATGAAAGGATAGGCATGGAATTGCGGAATCAAGTCACCGAATATGTAGTTGACCGAATAGCCGCTCTCCGCGCTCAAAATCAACCTCTGTCCGGCACAAAGAGAGGCACACCTGGACTCTACCAAAACATCTCGGCGCTCCGCACTAATACGATGAAGTTTCTCCCAAACTACTTCCGCCGCGCTCAGCTTTCCAAGATATTCCTCTGCTTCCCCGATCCGCATTTCAAGCAGCGGAAGCACAAGGCCCGAATCGTTTCTGCTCAGCTAAACGCTGAATACGCATTTGTGACGAAGCCCGGTGGTGTGGTATATACCATCACAGATGTTGAAGAGCTGCACCAGTGGATGGTCAAGCACTTTGACGGCGAGGAAGCGGGCGACGCGAAGGAATTGTGGACGAGGGTGACGCAGGAAGATCTGGACTCAGATCCTTGCGTCAAGGCCATGAGCGAGGAAACCGAAGAGTCCAAGAAAGTCATCAGAAATGGCGGAAAGAAGTTTATTGCTGTATTCCGAAGAAAAGAGGATCCTGAGTGGCCTGAATGATATTCGATATCAGAGGCACTCTCAAGCCACACTACACCGACCATGAAAACACGAGACCGAGTGCGATGCGCGACGGATCCGCCTTACGACACTACCTTCTTCTCTTGACCACCGTACAGCGTATCGTCGCTCTCTGTAGCTTGGTTATTCTCCTCTGGAGCCATACCCACGATCTCCCCAGCTTTCAAAGCGTCGAGGTCAATCTGGGGACCAGTATAATTCTTTCGGCCGTCAATGAACCACTGAATCGTGGAAACAATTAAGACAATCGCAAATGCTGCAACGCAGTAATTCATATTACTACCGGTCACGGGCAGAACCGGCGGGAACATGAAAAGGACGGTTGTGAGTATCACGTAGGCAATTCCAACCTGTCACATGTTAGGAATTATACTCAGGGGCTTTCTTGGTAGACTTACCAGATTACATGTCCAACCGAGCCAGCTAGGCAGAATAAACGGACGAGACGCTGGCAACATTTTCCGACCCCGGAGGATGTTGATTGCAGGGGGGATAGCATAAGTCACTCCCAACGCCACGACTGACGCAGACACAATGGCATTGAAAGCGCTGCTGGACCCAAGAAATATGCAACCGAAGATAATGACCAGAATGAGGGTCAACCAAAGCGCATTTAGGGGGACTTGAAGTCTCCCATGCACTCTAGCAAAGAGACGCGAGGCTGGCAATCCCCCATCTCTCGCAAAAGCGTACACCATCCGGCTGCTAGTGGTCATGATGCTCACGGCGGCAAACTTGAGAATCGTCAGCCATTTCTCTGCTCGCAGGGTCGGGTTGATGAACTTACCAGCAAGCAAACGAGGGGAAACATCAAGAGGCACACGGAGCCGGCCTTGTTCGAAGTCGCATCAAAGAAAATCTGCAACATTGGCCCTGCAGAGGAACTAATAACGTCTTGCACGTTGTTGGAGACAAACAAAAGAACGCTCAGATAGATGAAGCCGGTCACGACACCAATCAAGACACAGCCGATCATGATCCTGGGGCCCAGAACAGTAGGATCTCCGACCTCTTCTATGCAATGAGCGACGGCGTCAAATCCCGTCAAGCCTAGACCACCTTGCAAGAGGCCCAACAGCCAAGCAAGCCCGTTCGGCCAGCCCGTCTCATTGATAAATGTGCGGTACACGAAATCTCCGCTTTGGTAATCTGGAGAGGAGCAAGCAAGGACGGTGATGGAGATCACAACCCAGCCCGTGATTGACCAGATCAAGGCAGCCTTGTTGACGAGGGGGAGCAGTCGAGTGATGAACGCATTGACCATGAATGCGAAAACATTGTATCCAATGTAGATCAAGAATTGGTGCCAACGGTGCGGCTCGTAAGACGGTGTTGTGAGTGAAATGATACCGATGATGAGCTGGCTTCCCAACAACCCGGCAGTCGCAGTCAAAGCGACCCAGCCTGCCGTGTTGATCCAACCGGTGATCCATGAGAGAAGTGGCACCCAACGCTTCCAGCTGATGACAGCGACCCAGTGGTACTGACCTCCCGCTGTCGGGTAGGCCGACAGAAACTCTGCCAGAGAAGCCGCCAGGCACAGATTGCAAATGCCAGCGACAACAAGACCCCAGATGACCGAGTCGGGGCCTCCACTGGGCAAGGCCAACGACATACTCGCACCCAAGGCGGTCCAGGAGTTGAGAATGGCAAAGGCCAATCCCAGCATGGACAGGAAGGAGAAGTTGCGTTGCAGTTCCTGCTTCACCCCCATCCCCGCCAGCATGGCAGCATCCTCTTGGATACTGGTCCTCCGCCGGGGAGTCCTTGACTGTCGACGTGCTTCATCCATGTTGATGTTGGTGCAGAGTTTTCACGGTGGAGGTTTGGGGTTGCTGAAGAACCCTTTAGAGTAGAGGGAGAGGAGCGAGGAGATTTTGCCCACGAAGGAAGAAGAAGCGGGAAGGGCGTTCGTGATTTCAATCAGCTCATAAGCAGGTACGTCAGCGGCAGCGATCGAAACAACCCATGCAAGTTCTCGACACACTAGAAAACTGTTCAGGGTCTCGCCCATCCACCACGACGACAGGCTAAAAAAATAGGAAACGGACATGATCGACGTTTGACTGGAAAGAGAAACTCGAAGCATTGAGTGGAGGATGGATGACCCGCACAAGCCAGGAGACAGTGGATCGCAAGAGTAACATCATCAAGACGAGCAGCAGCTGGTTGCAGGCTAGTAGCATAGATGAAGTAAGAGTAATTGATGAGGCAAAAAGCTTGACTCTAGCAAGCCTTCTTCCGTACAAGGCAAGGCGCCCAGAAGACAACGCCAAGTCCAACCCCAGATTCGCCTCCAAGCGCCACCGATGTCACGTCACGATGTCCTGCCTGTGCCGAAACATTAACCCGATGCCGGCCTGCATAACCACCACCCGCCTGTCAGTTAAATAGGCATTGGCTGTTGGCACAACATGCGGGAAGGAAGGCAAACTTTTCTTCCGAATGAATTTCCATCGACGCACCCCCAGGGACCCGGCCGGGTAGATAGGCAACCTCGGCGGCCGAAAGCCGTGAAAGCCCAACTGACGGATCGACGCCTGGGACGACTCGCTCAGCCTTACCACCGGTCAGTCAACGCCAGCCTGACCGTAGGCCGTGTCTCACACCATGTCCGTCCACCGTTCGCAGGGACATGGTAGGTCCAGCCTGACAGTCCCGTGTGCACGCCTCCTTTCGTGGTTGTTTGACTATACTCTTTCACAAAGAGCCTGAACAAAGACACAGTGGTTACTTTCCTTGAAGCAAGGAGCCATACTAAATATGGCCCTGCCAATAAAGAGACTCAAAATGCATATCCTTTGTCTGAGATCAAGAAACCTTTTTTAGGGACTCCTGAAGTACAAGATCTCATGACAGGTAGAGAGGGCGGTTGTGAGATCCCCGTCAAGACTTTCTTCTGGGTCGCTTCTAAGACATTTTCTCTCTCGATCGCTGACACTACAGCAGCATGTGTGAAATATACACTATATACCACCTTTGCGGACATGTCAAAATCAAGACTATCGTTCAGTGTGCGGACATGGTGGACAAAATATTAGCCTCCAATTTGGCAAATGCTAAAACCCATCCAGTCTGTGGAGATAGTGTCAGCGACAACCTGCACGTATTTCCCGCTATTTGTGAGGGCTGTAAGAAAATCGGTGTGATTGGAGATTTCATGGAGCTACCAGGTGCCAAGCTCGAACTTGTGAAGGCATGGGCTCATGGCAAGCGGAAGCCTTCGAGGCCCGAACAAGACACTGGATCAGCCGATGGCAACGACGAGGGTATTGGGAAGGAGGATGGACCCAGTGAGACCATCAAGTTACCGCCTGATAAGGGTATCCTACTCGAAGGCAAAAGCAGAACTTCAACCACGTGTGCCTCAACTATACCCGAGACGTCGAACACGAATCGAGATACAAGTTTAACCGCGAATGGACCTGCCCCAGATCTGGCTCAAATCAAATTGCGGGTTACAGCCTTGAAGACTAGAACAGAACGGTCACTCGCCAAGATGCGAGGTCAGAGACCTCCAACATCGGGCTGATTATTTGACTCCTTGATTCGCGCTCTTGGAGACCTGAGAGTCTGAAATGTCTTGAAGTAATGCGAAATATTTTCTACTGACATGTCGCGGAAATTGGTGGGTAGGGAAGCCGTATTGGTGAAGTTCGGGAAACTATCAAAAGAGACGCATTCAAGGAGGTAGAGCCCTTCAGGGAGATGAGGCTTTTGCTCTATATAAGGGGAGTCACCATATCTCACAATATTAATTGGCAACATGCATCGCAGATGCTCTCAATCCCTTGAGAAACTCGTAATCTTGGCCGTGGAAGCGTCCTCCGCGGTATAACTGGGGGTGTGGCGTTCACGAAAACACATCAAAGATTGGGAGATCTCTGCATTGTGGTTGGCAACATGTGGCTTTACATATATCAATTACAATGAGTTGTATGCATTGATTATTCCCACAACTCCGCGGCGGAATTGCCGATCCATGGCATGGGCCATGAGAGGATCAGAAGGCACGCAGCTTCGGAAGCCTCAACGGGCCCTTACAAACATCAAGATCTTCCATTAGCAATAGGCTGCCCGGGATCCGCTGCCGGGGCGGAATCTTAGACTAGCTCAACAGCTAAATGTTTGGCTGTCGACCAAGCTTTCCTGGCTTTGGAGGGCGAGACAGGGAATCGTTTGGCTCGATGTCGTCATTGGAGCAGGGGCGCTTTCGATGAGATCTGCTTCTTATATCAACAATGGAATCTAGCCATTTCCTTCATCCAGGTTCTATCCCTGTCTTCTATTAGTTCAAGGACTTAAATCTAACGCTCATTCATTTACCTGACTTCTCTCGGGTCTCACCCCAGTGACGGTGCGATGGTCGGCAAACGAACTCTGAACACGGGGAAGAACCAGGGAGATGATCACTGGAGGGAGGCAGATGTGGAATCCGGGAACGGTCCTAGACGGTTTCCTCGCTTCAAGGATGCTGTCGAGTATGTTTTGGATCGCCGAACCACAGCTGCATTAAAGGAGCAGCTGCGGGAAGGTGTACAAAGAGGAGCATTTGAGAACGCCAGAAAAAGCGACAAGGAGGTAAAGGCATTACCCCATGGAAGTTTTCGTCTCGCTGACCTGTGGCATCTAGCTGAAGCAGATAAAAAACAAAAAGATCCGCAAATTCTACGAGAAACAGAACGCCACCTTGAATGATTGGGCCGAGGTGGACACGATAGTGCTGGCCATGGCCGACGAGGTTATGGAGAGCATGAACACCGACGCTAATCATGATGGCATCCGAGAGAGAGAAGGGAGACTGCAGCATGTGGAAGAGCACATTGACTTTCTCTTGCCGGACGAGGTGCAGAAAAGAAGACAAAAGGCAGACCGAAACGCTCGCTGGGCAATCAACATTAATGTCATTGCCAATATTATTCTCCTCGTAGCCAAGGGAATAGCGGCGCTCAAGTCCTCATCTCTGTCATTGATTGCCTCTCTGGTTGACTCGGCGCTGGACCTCCTGTGCACGGCCATCGTATGGACGACGAACAAACTTGTATCTTGGAGGTTGTCAGCACTCTCGAGGAAGTTCCCAGTCGGCCGCCGGAGGCTGGAACCCATTGGAATCCTTGTGTTTTCCATCATCATGGTCGTATCGTTTCTTCAAATACTGCAGGAGTCCGTTGAGAAACTGCTCCCGAGTGGCAACCACGACATTGCTACATTGCCCCCACTGGCTATTGTTTCCATGGCAGGGACCATCGGAATCAAAGGTCTGATCGGCCTAGGATGCATAAGAATCAAGACGACACAAGTGCAAGCGCTCGCTCAGGATTGCAAGACAGATGTCTATTTCAATACACTCTCATTGCTCTTCCCTCTGATCGGTAAACAGGCGGGCATTTGGTGGTTGGATCCACTGGGCGCAGCACTGCTTTCCTTATACATTATCTACGACTGGGCCGACACCTGTATCGACAATGTCAGCAGGCTTTGCGGCCTGGCGGTGGACGAAACGCTCCAGAATAAATTGATATATCTGGCTTACCGATTCAGCAACTTGGTGTCCGGTTTCAAGTCGGTTATTGCGTACCACGCCGGAGATGGCGTGTGGGCAGAGTTCGACATATTGTTAGACGAGAAGACACCATTAAGGCGCACGCACGACATTGCCGAGACATTGCAATACTGTTGTGAGGCGTTGACCGAGGTTGATAGAGCGTTTGTGACCACTGACTGTGAGTGTCCCACCGCCGGAGAGTTGCACATGGCTAACAGTCACAGATTCCGTGCAAAACCCTGGTGGGCATTCTCAAGACTTGGTATAAATCGGGTTGACGAAAGATGGCGTTGGTGCCGTACGCGAATGTCTGACTTTTTACCGAGACCTTGTCGCTATCAAGGTGTATGAGGCTCATAGCGGCCTGCAATTGGCTTTTAACGAGGCCCGTTGTGCGCTCGTGAAAAGAAAGATTGGCGTTGGAGACATATAGCTTTGGGACTGTCGCAGACAAGCCACCAACCATGACTGCTGGGTTTGTTGATGCAAGGAGCTCGAAGGAGCATCCGGCTAGCGACTTACCTGTTGCATAATTGGCAATGAAAATGACACGTGTGAGTTCTCGCCGGTGTCTACTTCGCTTGTTCATGACCGTAGCATTATTGTTGGGGGCCGAGTGGTGATGGAGTCAGGACAATTCTTACGGTTGATTCAAGAGCTTTCCAACCCTGGGGGCTAGTTTTCTGAGGGATATATGTAGAAAATAACAGATATCAAAGGCGCGGCACTGGAATGAAGCAAGAATGAAGAGTCTTGGTTGACGTGGGGCAAGCAAAACCATGCATTGTGCCAGTGTCCGCCTCAGCGCTAGGCGTTTCAGGGCTTCCGAATATCAACCGCAAGCTGCGTGGCAACCGTTCTCCAATTGTTGTCCCTGCCATCCAAGATCATCGCAAACACCTCGTAACCAAGTCTGGGAGTCCGCTGCGGACCAGCAATCTCAGTGCTCCAGATGCCTCCCACGAAGATCTCCCGCGTTTCCCGTGGCGGAGGAATCATGAAAACTACTCTGTCCAAATCTAGGCCTTCTATACACGGAAAATCGCCCCTTCCCAACCCAGCCCAGAAGAATGAATCACTGGGTACACAGGATTTTGAGAACGAGTCGGAGAGGTCGCACCGCAGTGCCAAAAAGAGCAGCACCTCCTCCACACCCGGGAAAAAGAAAGGAGGAGATGCCGAGGAGACGCGAAGGCGCCATCACAGAAGCAAGCCTCCGGCCTCTTTCCTCGTGAAGCTCGAGCGATCCCAAACTCAACGCATGATTGTGCTCGGTCGCAAACGTAGTCTGAGAGCAGGGGCACCGTCGGAAGACATCGACATTGTTGGGTCGACAGGAAATGTCTACACTGTCACCATCAGCCACTTGCCAACCTGCACCTGTCCCGACTCGCTGAGAGGCAACGAATGTAAACACAAGGTTTACGTTCTTCACACAGTTCTCAAGGCTCCTCAACATCTCCAATTCCAGCTTGCTCTGCTTACTTCGGAGCTGGAGGAAATATTCGCTCATGCGCCTCCAATTCCTACCGATCTGTCTGAAACCCCGAAGGGCATCCGCAAGGCCACTGATGGAGAATGTCCAATCTGCTACATGGAGCTTGACGAGGAGCACAACGAGCTGGTCTGGTGTAAAGTGCAATGTGGACACAACATACACAAGTCATGCTTTAGTGAGTGGGCTAGGAGCCAAGCGGGAAAGGGCTTGCGTTGTGTCTACTGTCGGACACCTTGGGAGATGGATGTCTTGGACATTGAAGCGATCAAGAGGACTGGCAACCATTCCGAAGACGGCTATGTTAATGTTGCCACCCACTTTGGCATGTCTCGCGAAAGAGATCACTCGAGTTATTATCAGCCTTGGGCGCGACACCGGTTTGGACAACGGCGGTGGTAATTAACCCTCCTTGCGATGTACTTCCAACCAGCCTACCATATCTCTTCCCCGCTACGGTCGTCTAAATGGAAAATTCTGTTACACTCAAACATGATCCCTATAGGACATCACGAGCTAAATTCTCTCAGAGACTTACGTTAGACCCCGTTGCGAACTCGGCAGATACATATTCCTTGTAGGCACTTCTGTATTGCCCTCAACTGGAAAGGGTACGAGACAATCGTCCGTAGAGGCTGCTGGGATCTGAAGCCTAGGCCATGTCTGTGAATAGGAGCTGGTATACACCCCGTACGACTGGCACAATCCTCCATCACCGCCGATCGGGTGTCCATGAAGAGTGCATTAACAGATCTATATACCTGGACGATACACCCAAGTGATATACATGTCCCTGGAGAACATTTTCGTTATGGAAGGCATTGCCAATGGACGCTGCATGTTTGAGAAACCCTCATTTGTGTGTTTGTGACGGTATATGGACAATTAGGGTAGACTTATCAAGACACTGGTGGTAGTTTGTCTCTTGCCTGTCCTGCCTACGCGAAATCTTAAACCAACACAACCAGATCTCTAAAGCTCGGTCCAACAACCTTTTCCCACCCATGAGCCTAGCCACCAGCAGAAGTATCCAGTATTGTGTAGACAAAATCGAGCCCAGCTTGATGCATAATACGTACATTTTGTGTCTGAGCCTCCCTATTATAGACCTGGGTTCTGGAAAGAACGACGTAGATGATATGATACACCCACATTAAGTGCAAAGATCCCTGGACTGGGGGCGCCGTCAACGAGCCAAACACCTGAAAACGCCGGATCCAAGTAGCTCACAGGAAATCAGCAATACCAGTCCCATAATCCAACGCCTTGCGAGGGGATCCAAGATTGCACGCTAGCAGCAAATATAGCAAAACCAAGAAGAAAGACAGACAGCCGTGGGGTATCATAAGCTCATAACGATCCTGGGAAGAATGGACACACAAAATCATAACAACGTCACGTCTGAAGCCCGGGTTTTGTGCCGGGTTTTGAGGTTTCTGGTCAACTAGACACTGAGACAGACTTTTCCTTCGGGACCAGGTGTGCCCATGTAAAGAAGTCGAACCTTTCCCTGTCTTTGCCAGTCCCTGTCTCGGGATTTGGACTTCTGCTGGGCTCTCTAGGCTCTAAGATCAGTGAGCGTCGATAGTGAAGCTGGAAACTTCCATCTCCTGCAGATCTGACTCGGATAAGTTGGTCTTGCATCCAGGTCTGGAGCTCGGAGACTTCGGCGAAGCGGTAAGGGATCTGGAACTTTTGCAACTCGGATATGATCTTCGCCGTCTTCATATGTTTGTCCAAGTTGATGACTGAAGCTTCCCCGCGATCTGTCGAAAGCGGCCTTGTAGATGGGTTGGCTGAATCGACCATCGTGAGGTCTGTCAAGTATACACCGATAAAAGGCAAACACGGCGGAAGTTGGGATTGAATACGTTGACGCAGTACAGCATAGTTTCGAGCCACATCAACAATCTTGCACATCTCGTCAAAAACTGTCTTGGTCTTATGCGGTACGCATTCCCATGTCCTCTTCATTCTCTTAATGTTGGTTGAATCCAGGGCGCAGACAATCGCCATGACTGTGTCAAAGTTGCGTAAGTCCAAACATTTGTTGGCAATCTTGACCCACTGTTTGACGATGGCGGCTCGCTTCTTTGGTTCTTCGAGTTGAAGAACGGAATCGGAGACGAGGTTCGAGATGTCCGTGGACAGAGTCGACATGGCGCGCACATTGACGGCAAGGGAACTGCTTCGTTTGGTCCATTCCGTTCCTAAAAGCTCCTCGGGGAGGATGGAGCAGAAGATCTTGGAAGTCTTCAACGTAATCTGACGGGCCAGTTCCAAAGGGTCGAAGTCGAGGATGGAAACTGACGGGCCACCCATTTTCCAAGCTCGCAGCGCAGTGAGCTGGCTCTTCGAAATAACAGGATGTGGTAATGGGGTGCTCGGGTCAACATAAGCTGCGGTGGATGTGCTGGTCTTCCCGATCGCGGACAATACCCTTGGGACGATGGGGGCATGACTTGTGGCAACCTTCTCCGCCAACTCAAGGATTCTCTTGCCGGCCATTGGCAATACATTAATAAGTGATTCTCTCGCGAAGCCGACAATTACTGGAAGTGCGGTGTCATCACAATCATGCCGCCAGTGAGATTCCATCCAGCCTTTGAGGACATTGTAAACGCGGAGTCTCACAGGGCCTGCGATGCTCAGGTTGTCGCCTACGTATTCGAAGCGATAGATCAGAGCGCGAGCAAAGGTCACCGGAGTCGCAAATAAGCGAAAAGTGAGGTAGATTGTGGTAAAAAAAGATACGTCGGGTGCCGAATCAGGGGCGGTGAGCCTTTCCACTAAGGCATTGAGTGTCCCGCCGACGATTATACCCTCTCGATTAAAAACAAGCTCTTGGGAATAGGTGTGAACAAGGATTTCAGCTTCAGCATCCTCGTCATCGTCAAGGGGCTCACGTGCACCGCCGTCATGCGATGGTCTCGAGACAGGCGGCTTTAGTGAGTGGCTAAGGTCTTCTTGAACCGATGTGACCCGCGTTGACGCCGAAGAGAGGTTGCTGGGATTTGACCTTCGCTCAAGGCGTTCGAAGCTACTGTCACTGCTTGTGCTTCCTCCCACTGCGTGGGCGCCGGACTTGCGATGATGTCTGACTTCTGTAGACTGGCTGGAGACTGGAGAGCTTGATGAGATCTTCTGATGAGCCAGAGACGCGGAAGGTAATGGCGACGAGCGAATGATCTCCACCACCACATCGTCTTTTGGGGTAGGAGGAACACTTCCGGAGGCTGTGGAAGGAGACTCGGCAGTGGTATGAGAAAGAGGAGGAGTCAGGAGACCTTGATTTATAATGATGCGAGGGCGCTCTTCCAATCTATCTGTGCTCTTAGCTTTGGCCGACGTCACCGCGGATGAAGTTGTGAGACGTTCCGAAGGCGGGCGTTCGAAGTTCGCTGGTTCCGGGGTGCTGGAACCACCCGAGTTTCGTCCCAAAAGGTAACTCAAATTTTCGATCTCAAAATCTCCTATTTCTTCCAGCGTCGCTTTGGTTCTGCTGACGCATCGACCTGCAGCACTGACACATGCTGTGGCAGCCTGTACCAAGCTGTGCGCCTCGTCGGGAGAATATATCAAGTCGTCATCCATGGAGCGAATAGGTTTGAAAACCTGACGAGCAGCGTGGACCAGTTCAGTGATCGCGTCGTACATAGAATCTTTGGCTTGGACCAACGGTCGAGAAGTGCTGTAGTCTCGGTCAATAACCGTTTCGACCACGGCAAAGAGCTGTCGACAAGCCCGAACAGCGTTTTGTGTGGTCAGCAACAACTCGGACGATGATCTGGATTGCATGTGAGATCCCAGGAACGATGCCAGCACGGTCAGAAACTCGTCGTAAGAGCGATTGAGGAACTCGGAGATCAGGTTTGAATTCTTCTGGCTCGTACTACGACTGTACGACATGCGGTGCGTGATGGATGAGTGTCGCCGCACGTGGGTTGGATTACCTGTAGAACTGTGACTGCCGTGTTTTGACAAGACGGTGGTGCCTGCAGCTTTTGTCGTGACGGATGTTGAGGCTTGACGTCGGACAGTAGCTTGTGATTTAATCGAGTGTTGAGATTGCATAATCGCGACGGACTCCGAGGAAGAGTCGGGTGGTCTTGTGACAGCTCCTGGCGACGCATCGGCTTGCTCGGTCCAGACGTCGTAAAACAAGACGGCGCGGGTGACGATCCGGAATGCCTTCAAGAGCATGTCATCCAGCCGAATGTCGAGGGTGTCCTTGCTGGCAGAATGGCCCATGACCACTTGTTGCAGTTCTTTCGCCGCACGAACAAGAAGAGCGAGATCAGAGAGAAGGTTTTTACGTGTCCTGCGTATGGCATCGTGCTTCTTGACCAGGGAACAATCACGGGTCAGACAGTTGGAGCGTTCCAGCAAGGCGCGGACGCCCGCGACCAGCCCTCTCATGTAGTCCTGATTGCGGAAAAGGCCGAGGTTTGAATCGCTCGCGCAGCGGACGAGGTCCCAGAATTCGGTCAATGCCTTGAGGATAGGTCGCATAGCAGCATAGTCATAGCCCTCGCAGTAGTTGGTCGGCAGCCATCCGCGTGCTCCTGTCTCCAACAGTGTGCCATCCGCCCAGCCATTGATATGCACAGAGTGTACAAGAATGATATCGCCCGCATTGAGAGGTAGTGTAACTGTGGTGGAGGAATGAGGAGAGGAGGGCTGAAAGGGATAAAGGGCGCGTAGATAGTTGTGGAACCTTGCGCGGGAGGAGGCCATGTCGTCGAGGGATTCTATAGATGCCGGTCGTGGATTCGTGTTGGGCAACACCGAATCTTTCGTTTTGACGGATGGCCCGTGGTTTTCATCGTCGCCGCCGTCGTCATCACTATTCTTGCGGATTCGTAGAGGTGCAACATAAATACCGGAAGGTTGAGGCTCGCGCATTTTGCTGCAAGAACCAAAAAAGGTCGCGAATCACATTGTTCAGTTTAGAAGCCCTGCGCCTTCCACAAGGCCATTCTCCTCACAACCAACAGTAGGTGAATCGAAGACTCAAGGTATGATGAAACCGCCTGAGGTGAAAGGATAACAACTTCAAAATATGTGTCCAAGGGGAAACAAAGGGGCTCGAGAGCAGGACGTTGAGACGAGGCGAGGGGGAGTTCAATCCGTCTGCAAGGGCCAGGAGGTGGCAGCTATGCGTCACAACAACACGGCCGAGCTAGGGGTCGATCGACGAGGCAAAGGCTAGGCTATTGGACGTTTGCGATGGCGATGGGTAACGAGAGAAGAAAATTGGTCAAAGAATGAACTGTACAAATTGGTGGACTCTGTAAAGACTGACCGACAATGAAAGGGTTTGTTGATGCAGGAAGGAAGTCACCGGTGCAGTGGCACCAAAGTGGATGAACTAGGTATTTGCACCTGATAGGCAATTCTCTACCGAGTACTCCTCCTTCGCTCGAGGCCCTGGACCTCCACCCACCCAACGGTCCGGCAAAAGACGCAAAGACCCAACCTAATACTCGAAAGCCACTACACTCGTTCTGGTGCCCGCCTTTTTAGCCTTTGCATCACTGGGACCGGGTGAGTTCTGGGCCTCTTCGAGTGCTTCAAGCCGACGCAACTGTTGTCAAGCCTCAGTGAGTCTGTCGCTATGAGGGCAATTCATTGGCATACAAGCCCTACCAATATTATGGACTCCTAAGTAGAGAAGATTCATGTCTTCCAGGTAACTCACCAATGCAGTAGGTGCAATATTTGGATATTTCGCCCCACGCAATCTTGCCTCTGCGCTTCGATAACCAATCTCAGAAACCAATCTAGGTGACTTGGACCCCTCCTCGAACCCCAGCGACAAACAGCGCCTATCAAGCAGATCATTTGACCGGGCGCACCTTGGCTAAGGGGCCGGAGGTCGTCCCTCAGCCAAACGTTCGACGAGCACGGAAGATGCAGCTGGAGGTGCCCACTCCGCAGTACACCTGGGACAGCTGCTCAAAGGACGCTTGTACAACCAAGAATAAACATTAAAATCGTTGGGCTGCCGACCCTGACTTATATTCTATCTGAATTACTAGCGGCATTTGGATAAAAAGACTGAAATCTGAGGTGCCCGTCGAACCACGGTTGCTCTGCAGCTCGTAGGAAGCGCCCATTTCTTCGCGAAGAACGATCGCGGTAAAATGACTTCGTGGGAATGATGCTCGGGCTGCATGGTGGATAATTTCTAGCTCGGGTAATGCTAAAAGTGGAATTCTGTAATGCTCAATATGGTGTTTATCTCCTAGAAATCAGAGTAGGTCGAACGTGTACTGTATTCTCGTAAAGGTGATCATTGTAGCGCGCATCATCAGGCCCGCTCACCCACTAAGAATTCTCGTTGTTTACCGGTCCGCCAAGCGGGAGCCTTAGAAATCGGATGCCTCAACCGGACTTCTGGGAAAGGAGGCTGCTGGCAGTAGTATTAGAGTTTGATTGGTTAAGAAATAGTACTTGACCATGTTCCGTACGTAGCTTGTAGACGCATGACACACATTATTCGTTCAATAAAGCCAAATCTTGCTGGCCAATTCTCTTGTGCCACCTGAGATGGTGAGTGATTCTTTTAAGCCACCTATTTTGACCCGCCGCGACTTCAAATGGGAGTGAAAGCTCCCCCAGAAAGTTGGTTGATCTTATACTGGCCCCAAAAAACCAGTTGGCTTTAATGTCCTTTTTTGTGCAGTTCGCCTGGATACTTCGATCCCAGTCTGCAGAATGACAACAACTGCTAAAAGCTGCCGGGAAATACAGCCCAAAGTCGATATCTGTGCCTTGCATATGTTGCGCAAAGCCTGCTAATCCCCTGCACTGAGTCCTGAGCCCAGAGTCCATATAACCACTACCAAAGCCCGAGCTAGAGACATCAAATCGCAGTGTGAAAGGAGAAGCCCACCAATTTCACAACAGTTGTTCGCTACCAAATCATCATCTAGGAAGGGGATCCATGATTTGAGACGGCGGCGCTTTTAGTATCTGATTCAGCCCCAATGACTCACGCACCACTACACCCGGTTCAACGGTGGCACCTTCATCAATCTTGACGCCTGGGTAGATGATGGCCTTTGCGCCGATGATGACGCCGGAAGCAATAAGCACAGTGTTCGCAATCCAGAGGCCCTTGGTGCCCTTGCGATTGACAAGATCCTTATTGTGGTCACTCGTCAAGATGGTGACGCCGGGCCCGATGATCGTGCGAGGCCCAATCTCGATACACCCAGCATCATCAAAGTAACAGTCCTTACCAATGAAGGTATCGTCGTGAATCTTGAGGTTATAACCGTAGGTGCAACTGAACGGCGGTTCGACCCTTACTCCGATACCAAGATAGCCTTTGCTATGGTTCTGCGAAGGAAATCTGTGCGTCGTGTCTAGACTCGGATCTATCACCTTCATCAAGAGGTTGCGGATATCGTGCTCGCCGAGGCCGCTGTCTAGCTGACAAGCTGTTTTGTAGCGTTCGAGGGCTCGATCGCACCGTTGGCGCTCATAGAACAATGTTGGATCCATGTGGCTGTAGTTAACCAATCTCAACATCTTGGACTTTTCCACGTCTTCTTGACCGGAGATCTTGAAATTTGAGCTAGTAGATGGCATTCTGGAATGAGTAGGCATGGTAGGATGACTGGGCGGGGGAGCGCCAGGTGGAGGAGGGCCATATGCATGTCCATATGACGGCTGTTGAGGTGCCTGTGTATGGTGCCACTGAAGTTGCTGCTGAGGAGGCCCCGGTGTTGATTGATGAGATAAGCTGGGGCCTAGAGACTGAGGCACTCCATGTTGCGGAGGATATTGCTGTTGTGGATGTGGGCCTAGCGGAGGTTGATTGGGTTGAGGAGGCGGCGGGTTAGGTGGAGGGTATGCGGTACCTTGGGGCGGCACACGCGACATTTCTCGGGGATTTGCACCTGGATGCTGTCCTGGGTGTGCGCCTTGATGTGCGCCTGGATGCGGTCCGGAATGCGATCCTGGATATTGTTCTGATCTGTTCAGATCTGACAATGGAGGGAGATGCTCTGAGGTATAAGAACCGGGACCCTGTCCTGGCGGCCAAGGTGTGTGCTGGCTAGGACGAAGTGGTCGGCCTTGTGGTTCACTGTGTTGTGGGCTCATCTCATACGGTGGGGGTCGCTGTCCTTCGCTACCGCCAACGGGAATTGGTCGCGATTGAAGACTGTCCTGGCGTCTGAGAGGGTTGTTTGGACCGGGGGTTTCCATGTGAGGTCCCTGATAAGGTGAGGCCTCAGACACGTCACCAAGACCGTCTCTAGACTGCAACGGAACCGGGCCCCTGGGTGTGGGCTTGGACGGAATTGCACGCCTGTTCACATTGTAGCCTTTGCAGCTGAACCCCCCTCGAACACAATTGTTACCTAGAAAAGATTGTCAGTACGTGGAGATAACTACATGAAGATTTCAATAACAGATCAAGCTTACACCATGGCTGCGCTTCGTCGCACTTCTTCTTTCGTTGGCGACATGTCAAACAACCTGTCTTCGTCCGGTTGGAGAAATTGCGCTTTCTTTTTGGCGCGACCGTTGGCGTGCCCGTTGCTGTCTCGGGTTGACCATGCTGGTCGTGATTGAGCTGGCCGTTCGATCCCCATGTCGGTGGCTGGGCCTCTGATGCATTTTCCTCTTCATGCATTATTTCTCCTTCCTGCGATTCAGAGGAGCTATGCCGGTGACTATTGACGGCAGTGGCTGGCTGTGCAGGCTTCTCAGCGTGCCACGTATGGCCGTTTTGGTTGGTGTCATTATGATAGTACGCAGCGGTGGTGATGTGATCGGCATTTCCAAGGACGCGCAGTGCTCGGTTGGCCATATGTTGTGGTTCGGGATCCTCCTGAGGGCTGTAGTCATAGCGCCGCCGCTCGAGGTGACTGTCGTCGCCGCCAGAGTCCGAACGCTTTCGCCTATGACCCGCACGTTCTTGTGTATGCGGGGCCAGATACGTGCTGGTTGAATTTCTAGGCACAGGGTCATCCCGCATAGGGTGGTCCTGTGGAGACGAAGGTCGGCTGTCTAGTGAGGCATCGCTTTCTAGGTCATGGTCAATACGGACATATGCTAGAGGGGCATGATGACAGACCATTGCTGGCGTCGTGGTTGACCGCAACAAAGCCTCGTGAACCGGCCTCTGGGCTTGAAGTCACCTCAATTTCTGAAGCATGCTGACTCGCTGGAGGCGGCATTTTTAGGAGTCAGATGCTAGGCTTGATCTTGCAGCAAGATGAGTTGGCTGATTCCAGTGCAGCCACGCTCTATAAGACTCTGGTCGCCTTTCCAACCCCCTACTCCTGAATACAATACAGGCAAGGTCTGCAAGCAGGGATGTGAGAACCGAGGGAAAGCTGGCGCTTGCCCTGGAGCCCCTTCTGGCGGGATAGGGAGAAGGCTCTCTTGCGAGCGTGGATTCGCCAGTCAGAGGTTTTATACTCTCAAAATGATTGAGATAGCGAAACGCGCGGCGAGAAGCAGAAACCTGGACGGAGTGTGGGCGCTTATGATCCGTCACAACCTGAGCAGAGGTAAGCGCCCAGGACGCTCACGGGGCTGGAATCAGGGGAACCACGCGCTTAATAGTAGTGCTGAGGATTGGGAAGGCAGGAGTTCTGAACGAAGCGCAACAGGAGCTCCTTGGGAGCGAAAGGGAGGAGGACTTCGAGAGAACAACAAGGTCTTAACAAATACCCTGTAGAATGTGGCTATTGAAATGTTTGCGGGAGTTTGTCGATTTGCAGGTAAGCGGCAGCCGCGAGAAGCGCACGTGGAGCCGGTAACAGCGAAAAAAGAGGATTTGGCTGCTGGTTGCTGGCCGGTGCGGTGCGTAGTCAGCGGAGGGAGCCGCACTTTGTCGTAGTAGCAGTCTCGAGGTCCAGCGGCAGAGTGGAAGAAGATCAATCTCGCAAAGAGCTTCGAAAAGTGCCCTGAGGGTCCAACTTAAAGCTGTCTGCAAGGAGAGGCAAGGCAGAGTCAGAGGCAAAGAGGCCTAAGCACATCCTTCCCACTTTTTGCAACTGATGCTTGACAGCTGGGAGGGACACAAAGCAGAAGGGCGAGGGCAAGGGCGAAAGCAAAGGCGGGCGAAGGTGGGCGACGGAGGGGCGTGTTTGGTCGGGGAGACTTCCACAACGCCAGACAAGGGGCTTCTGAAGCCACGGGGCGCTTGGAAAAGGCGCTTGCCGGCTGCCACCCAGCTACCGCACTGTTCTTGCAGCTCCGTTCTACACGCTGATTGGCCACCCAAGTAATTGCTCCAGCCTTTAGCTTCCCTAGGGGGCCGCGGGCCACCGGAAAAGCAGGCGGCAGTTGTCTGAGAAGGATCTTCGTGTGGTGTTGTCGAGTGAGCACTCCGTCAGCAACTTGTGCCCAGCTTTCATCCCCTGATGAATCACCACCAGAATTCAGCCTCTGAAGCAGCATCACGGTCAGTTCTCTACAACGCGGTGTGAAGGGGTCACCTGGCTGGCCAAGTATGCAGCTGTGTGCCTTGGTTGCATGGCCGCCTCCTCTCTGCTTTGGCTTGCCAGTTGCCTCCACTCCCCGCTCTTCCTCGTATTGATCGCGGCGAGGTCCTCGTGATTGACAGTCCTTTGTGCCGTTCCAAGAATGGGGCTAGCACGACATTTTGCGTCCCTCGTCCGAGGGCTGTCCGCTCGTCACAGCTGCATGGTTCCAAAAGCGAGGCAAGGGCTGACCTTGAATCATCAAGGACCAAAAGGGGCCTGGAGCTTGAACTTCGAGGCATGTGATGGAGGTCCGCCGAGCCCAACGATTGGGCGCCCAATGTCAAATCCGAGCTCAAATGTCTCCCGCTAGCGAAGCCGCTCGTCAAAAAGCTGCCTAGACCATGTCTCTACCCGTACGCAGTCACCTTGGATCCCGCCTGTTCTGCTCTCTCATTGGATACGGAGCTGTGACGACGGATCATGCACGCGTCTTGCCCCCTCCCTGCATTTGCGTTTCTGACGAAAGTGTTTCCAAAGTCACTTCGCGCTTGCGTCTGGCCTAGCCGACCCAGCCGCTCGTCACCTTGGACCACCCGCTGCTACGAGGTGGGGAGACAGAGAACGAGAGGCATGAAAAGACGGTGGGTGGGTGAGACAAAGGCAGCAGGCCTCAAATTGCAAAGCGGAAAAGCTCATGTTCTGTACGTAATCGCTCTGTTACCCAATACGCCTACTTTGCCAACCTCTCCAGGCGTCACCGAATGCAAGCGCGGCGGCGCTGGGATCAGCATATGCACCCATGCCAGGGCCACCAAAATCCCCACCAGCAAGCTCTGCCAGCACTGTTAACGTGGGTCGTCCGTGAGCACATTGAAAAGGGAAGGTGCACTGAGATAGACTTTGGACAAGTTGGTGGCATTGTCTTGTATCGAGATGATCATTGAACATCACCGCGGTGCGGCACGATCGAGACTTCAGCATCTCGATTATACCTTTCGGGCAATCCGCCATGTCGGACCACCAGGAAGGCTCATCGGGTTGTGGAGGATGGGGTAGCGGAGTGCGACGCCGCAGCGCACCGCCTAACCATATTTCGCCTCTGATGATGTCAGCCAAAAGCTTCGGATCGGCGCGACAACGTTCGATAATGAGGGTCGGCAGCATAGTCACCCTGACTGTCCAGGTGTGATGGCTGCGCGAGGATTGAGCTGCTTGAATTTCTTCGACAATGCAGTAGCCGATACACCATTTCGAAAAATATTCCCTGTGCTCTTCCAAAAGTCTGGCCTCAATTTCGTCCACCTCGAAGATCATTGGTGTTGTAAGATTTGTTGAAGTGCGCTTGCAGATGTCGCTACACAACTTTTCGAATTTGACTCTTTCGTCAGCCGCATGTTGATCGATAAGACCAAGAAGTCTTCGCTCGTGTCTCTCTGCCGAGCATGGGTCGCGCGGATCTTGAAGAGCAAGAGTGGTAAGGATGAACTTTCGATCAACTTGCTGGATAACAGTGGCGCTCGATAGAGCACCTTTGGTGACGATTTGTGATTCCACCACAGCTTTGCCCTGCCCGTCAGCACCGTAGCATTTCCCAAATACGTCCGAAACGGGTTCGAATTTCCTACAGGCAATCGGTGCGTCAGCTTGGTGATGAGACTTCGTTCGCAGGTATTGCTGCAAGTTGAGCACAGGTTTTGTCGGAGGCTTTTGGCCCTCGCTGTTGTTTGAGGCGGGAAGCCTCTGACGTTGTGCTAGCGGAGAGCAACATCCGCGACTTCGATCTGAGCACGCAGGGTTTGGATTAGCCCGAGGTATGACGGCTCCTGTGCGAGGATGGAGGTAGACGACTTGGCCATTGTGTGAGTCGAACAAAGGAAGGCCAACGACAGTCTCATCGTTGTCGTTGCAAACAGTTTGAGTTTCACAGGCCGCATTTCCGTAGCCCGGTTCTCCGGAGCGCAGGGATCCAAGAAAGGGACGTCCTTCGGTTGCTCTTGTAGGTAGACAAGAGATGCCATCGGGGTTTCTCAGGTTTAGGCCGTAGCGAAAATCCTCTCGTGAAAGCCGGGCACTCTTGACGCGCTGCCAGTTATTTAAATACCGGGCTTCAGTTGCAGATTTCGATACTTTAGCGCTGGATTGCTCGATGGGTCGTCGGCGAGAAGGATCTTCACGTTTCCGTCGGTCCCGTACACTTTTAGATTCGTTGCGCCCGGAATCGGCCGAGTATCCATTCGCAAATAAGAAATTGGAGAATAATGTTTCGACCGCCTTTGTCAAATGATCAACGATCGGGAGCGCATCAGCCCCAGAATGTTCCGACCCGAGTATGCGCGATAGTTCACAGGATCTCGGCTCGATTTGGATGTGGAACATAGGCCACTTATCCACGGCCTTTTGCAGCCTGACGGGTTGAATAAAGTTGTGCTGAGGTTTGCGGTGTTTAGTTACGCCACACGGCGCACTCGGGGCAGAATCCGGAGACCTGAAGCTAGACACCTCGTAGAGCCGGTCAATAACATCATACAAACAACTGATTGATTGCCCTCTTCGGATTGGCGACTTCGCGATAGAAATGAACTGATTTGTCTTGTTTGGGGACAGTTCGACTGAGATAGCAGCGCGGATGCAGAACTGACTGGTGCGAACAGATGCTGCGCGCCAATTAGTGGTATCGAGAGAGGTCACCAGCTTAGCCTGGAACAGTGTTGATACGATTGACTCCAATGAGAATCGCCCTTGGCTCAAAAGAGGCGAGCGGCAATGGAGGTGGGGCTGCTTTTCGCCTTTCAAGGAGAATCTCACTTCCACCGCATGAGGTTGGGCAAGCAAATAACCAACAAACATTGCTTTTACCTGGTTGAACGCTCTCTCAGTCTCGGTTGAGGAAGAATGGAGGTGTGATAGGTGTTTAAAGCGGACCGGTATGTCGCCGAACAGATTGTGGACAGTAACGGTTGTACCTTTCCGCACGATGCCCACGTCTTCTTTATCGAGTCGTAACTGGCGACATACAATATTGCCACGGTGCAAGATCAAACGATTTGCAAACTCTTCCGATTGATGCTTGGAGGATATGGACAATAAAGATAGATGCGATAGGTTTGACAAGAACCTGCCATAGCGACCGTAGGTAGGATCCGAAGAAGATAGTTTCGAAGAACCTAGGAGACCGCAGTCAAATTTCTGACCAACATGCACATCAAGCTGTTTCGTACAATGAAGTCGGGCCAACTGGCCTTGCTCTGAGAATTCCACTTGCTTGATCCCATTTCCATTGTCGCAGATTGAAACGTAGCCTTTCGAAAATTCCACCTCGATGACAATTGACGAGGCATCTGCATCCAAAGCATTTCTGAGCAGACCCTCGATGACATGCTGTGGAGAGGTGATTTCACAAGATGATGCGACCTTTTTCCAAACATCATCAGGAAGAAGACTGATCCGTGGCTTACTCGCCGCCATCACCGCCAATTGAGGTTCAGGGACTTGGTACCGTCAATTGAGGTTCAGGGACTTGGTATGGTCGGCGGCCCGGTAGATGGAAAGTCGAGCTTCATGGAGGTTGCCACAGCGCCAGGTACGGTCGCAAAGACATTGCCATGGGGGCGCCTGCAGTTCTCACTGGAGGGAGTGATAGACAATGCAGAGTTAAAAGATTCGTTGGCAATGCTAGGAGCAAGACATTTATTAGGCAGGGCGTTGTTTGCAGTGTTTGTGATGTTTGCAGTGTTTGCAGTATTTACAACCGGTGATTCAGCTAATAGTGAACTCCCGCTGCACCCTCGAATAACTCAAACCACCACAAGCCAGTAACATTCATCTTAATTCTATCGTGTTTACTTTATTCCCAAGCATGGAGATGCAGAGTGTTTCGATCGGGTGAACTCTGGCTATGTACGACCTTCAGACTCTAATTGTCGAAAAGAACATTCCCCTTACACAACAAAAAGTGGTGAAAGAGCCCATCAAAATAACAGTGCAATCCTCTCGAATACAGGCTGCCACAAAATCATGACGGTCTCGAGCTGGCTCACCCTGGCTCGCCAATGTCTTCTTCGCCGAGTCTCTGTGCAACGCTTTGGCGACTTCTTGCGCAGCCATGACAGCGAAATCGACGGCAAGCGATTATTTGGAGCCCTTGTTGAATGCCGAGAATCCTTTTGCCAACCGGGGGATCCCCTTATCTCGCTTTATATCGATCATATTGTAGTCACTGGCATCATCGCTATTTCAGACGGTCTCATTATTCTGACAAGACGTTGGAACGACACGAAATTTCCAGCATCACAAAACACCCTTGCCTGCTACAATGACACCCTTCAAGATCTAACGATGATTATTGTCTCCCCAAAGTATAAGGCCGGTGCCTGTGAAGCACGTCTAGCTTTGCAAATCTCATCAAGATGGCTCTGTTCTTTGGCACGGCAGGCATCACGGGGCGATCCCGGACCATCAGAGCTGGAGCTCAATAACACCATCGAATTCCTCGCATTCCTCATGGCCTCAATGGCCGCAACCGACGCTGGATTCGAAGCTTTGTCACCACCCGAGAGCCAGGGGGTGAAGGTCAAGCATGGGTCTGTTTATGACTTGCGAACTTCGGTGAAGCAAGCATTTGAGCTCTGCCTCCCTTTATATTCCATGCTCTCCTCTCAGCTCATGGAGCGGATAAACACGGTCCTGAAACATATCAACCTTCTTGATGAAGGTGCCTCGCAAGCGGGCAATGCAACAGCCCCAACGTCCGAGATTCAAGCGCTCCAATTCCAAGTCTCCATCGCGGATAGCCAGTTGGTGGCTTCCAAAGCAGGCACGATACTTTATCTCGAAGGCCTCCTCTTCACAGGTTCAACGATTGATGACGGCGGAACAGTACATTGGCTTTCCTCACGTCACCAGAATGATTATCAGTCAATGTTCAGCGATGTTTTTACGTCCTCGTTCTCAATCCTGAAAACCCAAACAACCACCCCAGGGAGAACTCTGTGCATGCAACAGTGTCAAATATTCATTCAGAACAAACTCCCGGCGCTTCTGTCAATGATATCGGCTTCTTCATTCAATAGTTTTAGCACCGAACAAGCGATAAGCGATGCATGGCACCAGGTACTACAATTGCTTTCTTCACAAGACCTTCTTCTTATCGGCGCTCGGCTGCTTCACGTATGTACTCTACATCACTTGTTACCAGTGCAAACCGCTGCACAGCTCGTTGGAAACGAGGATCTGCTCAAAGGATTGAGTAAGGGTTTGTATGGTAAAGATGACCTCGTGGCTCAAGTCAACTCGAATCATATCAGAGGGCCCAAACTTGTGGAGGAACTGACTCGCAATGATGGAAGTGCGGGCTTTATTAGTCAGGCACTTGTTGAGGTCTGTGATTCATACGCCCCCAGAAAAGGCTACTCTGATAACCCCAGATCATGCATAATTATTGCCAGAACAAGGAGACACAATATCTCAAAGATCTTGCCAATGCTATCCTACGAAGACCTACCGCGATCAACTGTATTGCTCTATTCGTTCGCCCTGCGTTTTTCCTCGGTCCACTTTGTGGTCTTTTGGATGAATGGCTGTGGGATGAAATACACGGTGTGTAAGATATTACCTGAAACGTTCTCCGCTAATGGCAGGAAGGGGAGGCGCAACCAGTATACGACGATTTCGGAGCCATCTTCCTCCTGATTTTGGTTAGCAGGGGACGTTTGGGGCTCTCAAAGTCCAGCTTGGGTATACGGAAGAAAGATGGGTTTCTAGCTCAATATCTGGAGCATGAGAACAGTGAAGAAAGCCTGGAGAGTCTGTCCGATGAACAAAAATCGCATTTAGGGAACTGGATCAATGCGCTTTACCTGGCTGAAGGTCTCAGCGATGAACTGTTTACTAATTGCAGCCCGCACGACTTCTACCCATTGATTCCCACTCTCCTCCGGCAATCGATGACGGCTCATCAGCAAGGAAAGCTAACCCACGACTCTTTACAAGCCGGATTGGATTGTAAGTACCAAACCTTTCCGACGTGACATCAGCTCATAGCATCCAGATCTCCTTGAGCCTTTCTTGCTGCCTTCCTTGATCTCCGCGATGAATTGGGTCGCCGAGGTCATCCAGCATGAGCGCATGGTTGCTGGAAAAGTGTTAGAGACTCTAATGAAACCACGAGAATCGCTAGAGTCTCGAGACATTCATCACACTATCTTGACACTGTGTGCTCCCAGGTTGAAAATGCACCTCAAGGCTATAACATCGCAAGATACGAACGTCGACTCGATTCTCAGGATCTTGGATGAGTGTCCGGACTTTTCCTTCTTCTCGGAGCGGGAACGACAGAATCCTGGCCCAGGGATCCTAAACATTCTCCAGCATAGCCTAGTAACACTTATTACATCTACGGTCGCTTTGGACATTGGTGACACTGCGCCTTTCACAGACATTTCTGCGATCGTGAATCGCGCTGTTGAAGTTCGAGGTCCGCACACAACCCTGCGAGCCATAGTTGGGGTGCTGCTGCAGCTGAGCGACAACCACGCGTTCCTTTACGCTCTGGACACACTCACTACCGTAGTGTGTATGGCTGGAAATGGTCTTCGTGATGCTCTGCGCTTGCAATACCACGATCTTGGGAGTCTCTTGAAAAGTGGGGAAACCTTGACCGCTGAAGGCGTGGTCCGTTTACATCGGCAGGTCGAGACATACACGAATCTCCTTGCCGTACCGGAAATGGGCTTGGACTCGTTCAACTTCACTCAGCAACTTACGAACATAGACACCACGAACGCCAATCTCGATTCTGGTACCGCTGTATCAGGTGGGATGGACATACAGACAGAACAGGGACAAGCAGACGGAATCGACCAAGTGCTCGACGAAGTTGCTGCCATGGGAAACTTGGACTCCAACGATGCAGATATGAGCTTTGATGCTCTTTATGACCTCCAAGGGAACGACATGGATCTGAATGACTTGGATTTGGATATGTTCTGAGCGATCTTGTACTATCGACAAGTGGAGCGTGAGCTTTTTGTCGCTGGGATGCGGCTTTTACGAACGGATGTCCAAAGTCTTCAAAGTTCATTTGGAAATTTTGGATGTGTCATTACAGGCAAATGTTAGAATATATGTGTATTAATGCGTTTACACAGTGTGTTATCTTGAATTTCCACTTTTCGTCTTGAGGAATTAAGCCAGCAAATCCCATTTTATCTTACGCTAAACTCGGCTCGAATGCGCTGCAGAGCTAGAAACATAGCCTCTCGTTGTCCCGGCCCCAGGTATTTCAAAGTAATCATATAAGACAAGGGTGCTTGCACTTGCAACGTGCTGGGGATGTCGATGCTGCGCTGCGCAGCCGATGCCCCGTCGCCGACCACAGCAGTTGGGTTGTTACGCGGCTGGCCGTTTTGGTCTACGTCTCCCAGGGCGTAAGACAATGTTCCCAAAAAGTCTTTGACTGTCTTCTGAAGTTCCGCGGTATGTAATATGACTAATTCGTTAGTATCATCCGTCGAATTTCCGCCGCCATAATGTGGGGGATTGCCCCCAAGACTTGCAATGGCGTCGAGTAGCGCGGCGTGCAGACAGACCTTCGCGACAAAATACCGGTTCCAGTGGAAGAAGGCCTCCCAGGAGTTGAAGCAATGCAGCCTGAAAGTCGTTCCTGAAGTCCACTGTGTGCGAGGAAGATGTCGATGTGGTGTGTCGACCAACACCTTCCGGGGAAGCCAGTCGAGAATGTCGCACCATCCGCTGACTTTGTCATCCAGGCGAGCTGCAGCTCGCAGGTAAGAGTTCACAGTCTGAAATCTATCGACAGAGGCATTTTGTGGCATCAGAAGGAAGTTTCTGATCCGGGCTCGCATTTTAGAGACTCCGTGGAAAAAATTCCTCAGTCTTAAGGATGCTGTCGGAACGGTAGCGGTGGCTTTTGGTATTTGTGATTCGAGCATAAGATATTCTGGTGATGGCTCCTCGCTGGCGAACAGAGGCTTCCAGTGCTGAAACAAGTCAGCACTCAGCATCCCCAAGTTCTTGCCTGGTGCCCATACCATCGCCGAGAGAAGTGTGTGATATAGATGACGACCCTCGGGACGGGTGAACTGTTCTTCGCCGCGCAATCGTAGGAGCATAAGGGTCCCGTCGACGTGTGTCTGGTGTGCTGAGCCTCCGTGTGGTCCATTTACACTGGCCAGAAGCTCCTCAAAGTCAGCTTGATCCTTACGCAATGTGAGTCAAGCCACTGTACCTCTCGGATCCCAAGCAGCCAAACAGCAACCAGAGTCTCGTCCTTCAAACATTGTTCAGGATCCGCCAATGCAGCAGTAACCCTCGATACAGCTCGCGCATATTCGGATTCAATGATGGAGTGCATATCGACTGTAGGTGATCGGTTGGCCAAGTTGATTGCAGCCACCGATCGCATTGCCGCGTAGAGATAAGAGTCTCGCCCTGAGCTGGCGAGTATTTCGGGTAGGAAGTTGAATGCATTATTTCCATATAGCACGCGCGAATTGGAATCAAGTTGTGTAAGAGAATAGCAGACTGCCTGTTCCGTCAGATCTCCAGACGGACTGTTCACCAGGCGAAGCCTCTGGCTAGCACGTGAATACGAGTGAAGGATTGAGTCACTGTTGGCAGAGTCGCTGTCATCGCCCTCGGTCGACGTCGAGCCGGCACGGAAAAGTGTTGCTTGTAGAAGGTTCTCAGACGACGATGATCTTGGGTTCGGACTGTCTTCCTGTTTCGAAACAAAGATCGCCGTTCGAATGAAGCCGTAGCCTGGTTCTCGATATCCAGGACAAGGCTTCTTGAGCCTCGCGCAGTTGCGACATCCGGGACGACCTTCGTCGCACTAAAGCCATCATCAGTCAGCACAAGAGGATGTATCCAGAACCTTGGCGCGGCGTGGCCGACCTTAACTCTCCGTTTACGACATAGAAAGCACCCCGTGCTCGGACGACCGATGTTGCCCATCCGGAATTGGTGGAAAGCCCGTGGATTTGAGGAGGATGCTTTGGGTGTGTGGCTGCAGCGTAGGGTTTTACGATGCGAGATGCATGTCCCACCACAAAGTAATTGATTGCAATAATTGATCGAGAGAGCCACTGATTGTACCTTGGTCTTGATCTTGAGTGACTCCTGTTCAGCGGTCTCTCTTGGATATTTAACTTGACCGCCGTTCGGTGGATTGTTGACTCGAAGTCCCGTGAGCCCAGCAAGTCGTGACCGTGCCAAACTTGTTCTCAGTCAGGGGTACGGTCGTCTGAAATGTTGCGTCGCATCTCTTCCCGTGGGCCAGGCTGTGAGATGGGGGCGCAAGCAGGCGACTGCGTCAGGAATCTCGCAACCACAATACAGTCCCCAAGCCTTGGGCGCTTCGAAGCTCGAGATGGAGAATTTTCTCCAGGATTGGAGAGCCTCGTCGCATGCTGTTCAGATGTGATAACGGTAGTATGCACGTCGCATGGCTAGCCGGACCGGGACTAGCAAAAACTGGAGAGGGCTGAAGCCATGGCCAATACCCATCACGAGGTGCCTGAAAAGGGCTGGGCTGCCACGTGTGAGCGAGGATCTTTTCTGGCCCTGTTCGACGCGAGGGGATGGCAGTGGTTGCGTTGGTGAGAAACTCAGAAAAAGCTTACTACGCACAACGCACGAAAGACGTAGCAGCACTGGCAGAGCACCCTCCAACCACCAGAGACATGGCACGCAAGCTGACCAAAATGCCACGGCAAGGGGAGGGCCAAGCGAACCTGTCAGAGTCCCTGCTCGAATTCTTCGGTTCAACTGAATGCCCCGAAACGGCAGCAAGGTGGCCCGTGCGCTGCCCCTCCCGCCTCTGCCCAACTGCCTGTTTTTCTTCACTGCATGGACTATTGGTGCCGTTTTGGGAGCATAATTCGCTCGCCAAACCAATGCATCTCGAGTCAGTGTCTCTCGTCGCTGCCTCTTCTCCCGATCGCCCCGCAATTTAGCCCAGGTTCCAGGGACGCTTGGGCGTTCAGCACATATCCCTCTTCTAGTGGATCGCCACCTTATTGTTTCTGTTTTTGGCCTGCTGGTACCGCGTATCCTTACCCACTTGGTCATCTCGACGCCCATGGGTTTCGGCTCAGCTGGATCATAGCCGACTCCCAGAACCTTCTCTTCTTGGCCATGGTGGCATGATGCTTTTCTCTTCATCCTCACAGATCTGATGTTGCAATGTTTGTGACGTAGATGGGAAGAGAAAAAGTCTGTCTCAGCCCAGCTAAAGCGTCCACTGAATAATCTGACCTGTTGTCTCAACTTCGGGAAGGTGTCATTACCATGCGTCCGACACAGCCTCGATGCCGCAGACACACATGCACCAGAGTGACATCCTCTCTTGTCGACCCGGCCGTTAATCTGCCTATTATCGAGGAATGTAGCTTTAGCTGGCTATCTGGATTTTGCGAGACGCACAATCGTGCGATTTCAGGCAAGCCTTTCCTACTGGACAGATTGACCATTCAGCCAAACAGGCGGCAGATTCTGCGCCTCACTTCCTCAGCCTCAATGCGAAGAACTTTGGCAACGATTCTGTAGCTAGTGGAGCTTTTGTCCATCTTTCCGCCGACGACAGGATGAGATTTGCCGATCAAGAGAACGCAGCCGTCGCCGAGGAAGACGCGATGGGAATATACAAATCGACCAACAGGACTCTTGTTGGATTGTGCGCATAACAATTAGCTCTGCGTTCCTGAAACAATGCCACTGACCTAGGCCAACACAACTTGAAATGCTCTTTGACCCCAACTGTGTTTCTTAGATCAGCTACTCCTACAAGCGAAACACAAAGACGTTGGCGAGGACCAAACTATCTTTTGTGGAGAGCATTGCCACCTCTGAGTTGACCGGGTCTGTCAAGTTTCAACATTTCAGCGTTACAATTGCTGTGCTCAGCCTCCCGGCAATCCAGGAAAGTCAATTGATCTGTTGGCCAAGAATTTCCTGTTCGCTGGATGAGCTTTATTCTCAGCTCGAGAATTTCCCAAGGTCTGGTGGTCTAATGGTCAACTCCACTGAAAGTTGTGTATTATGTGGCGAGTTAATCCAAGTGTCGGAACTCCTACTTGCGCATGTTCTGGATAGCAGACCTAGGATGTTGACTACATGCTTGTTGTTAAAGGTGGTGAAATTGGCCTAATCCATTCACAATGCTATAGCATCGTCACGGAAGAAGCTCTACGGCACGCGATTTGACCTCTTCAAGAACTGGCTGCCAGATCGCTTCTGCCTCAAATCTTTTCAATCAACATCAGACTTGATGTTGCACCTTTGGTAGGACTTGTTCTCAGCAAACTCAGTGAACTCCATGTCTGCTGGCGCCAATGTCTTCTTCGTTCACAGCTCTCCTGAAGATCTCTTGCATTCGGGTACTGTCGCTAACAGTTATACAAGTCGCCTTAGGAACTGTAGAACGGCTGGAAGAGGGAGAAGTCATAACTCCGTGCTTGTTTCTGGTCCGGCATATTACGCCTCATTGCACTAGAGTGCTGCGGGTTAGTCTCGCAAGAGGTTATACGGTGAAATGGGAGAATGCAACAGGGAATCTCCAAAGAATCCGCAATATCAGCAGATGCTGAAGCAGCTGATATTTCCGGTTCTGTCCATCACGTGTTGGACCACGAGTAAGTTATATTCCTCTCGACCTACAAGGAAGAGCGGAACGGGATGCCTACGATGATATCCTCGTAGCCGAGAGGAATATCTGACGCAGGATCAGTATGATGACGCGGGCCCCTTCTCGGCCCTTGATGGAATCACCCGCCAGCAGTATGGAGGCACACCAATATCGAGAGAGTCATGCAAAATAACTTCCCTACGCGGTACGCTCAACTCTCAGGCTCGCTTAAAGGGTGCTCCATGACTTTCTTCTAACTCACTACATATGAGTTGACGGCGAACAGGGACGAAAGCAAAGTTGTTTTTCTGTGGAGATGTGCTCTATTCAGAACAACATTTGATATGACGGCTCTAAGGTGTGCAGTTGTCTACTGAAACAAGCCGAACGGCCAGCAACAGTAAGGACTGTCAGCTCTCTTTCCTTGACGCCAAGTTACGCTTCGCCCGCTGAAGCAACGTTCGTGCCTTTTCCGCCTGCTTGCTGTCGATGACTCGAGGATATGCTGGATTTTTGTCACCGGTCTGATTGAAGGTGAAGACAAAGATGGATATAGTCCAGTCAACCTTTAGGTCGTCATTTTTGCCTTCCGCGCGAATCGTCGTCTTCCTGGTTGTCTAGACTGTGACAAGACTGCCCCCTTCAAATATCTCTTTGGGAGTGACAGCTGAAATTTTTTTCTTGATAGACAAGAGGTGCGCTACGAAGTCTTCGTTTGACATATTCGTAGTCATGATCAATGTTGAAAGAGCGATAGTGTGGACACAATCATGCGTTCTCAGCAAGATTGGACTCCAGATCAAGATCCTTGTAAGTGTCCAGAAATGCAATTGCAACGCTGCGCTGAATAGAAGTCACATTGACTTGGATAATTGATACCAGCCGAATGAGAAGATCGAGAAGACCGCTTTCGAAACCAGTTCTACAACTTCGACAAGCCTTCCAGATGTATAGTCCTCGTAAACCGCTCTCGAGCTGACTCCGGTAAGCATACACCCCACCTATCAATCCAACACAGAGTACTACCTATAGGACAGTTGGATTTTTGGATAAGAATAAGGTGGGTGTGGAAAGTATATCGTGGTTTGGTCCTACGAAAATGAATCATTCTTTGGCTGTGACTGCAAGTTCTCCTGCCGCCCATAACGATGGTATTTGAGCCTGGTCGTGCTACTATAGCACGAACCGAGTACCAACTGTCGAGGGGGCTAGCCGTCCGGGCATTACCATTTCTATTTCGTACTTAGCCCTCCACCCAGAGCAATGTCCCGGCATCAGGACGCGAGGATTCAGGGCCTTCAATTCTTCAACTGTATCCTTGATGTATGCTTCATTTGGTCCGACAAGATGGTATCCGCCAACTACCCCAAATAACGGATGGGTTCCACCAGCTAACTGCAAAGCATTCTTAACAACATTCACCACTCCTGCGTGGCTACACCCGGTAAAGACAACAATACCCTTCCCTATGACGGCGTTAGCATCGGTCCTGAAAGAATAGTGGTACTGCTTACCTTTCACATTACACATTAGGAATCTTTCATCCAAAATTAACTCATCGCTTTCCCAGCTGCTGTTCTCTGGATTGAACCTTATGCCACGTTGAAACCCCCTTTCGTACGGCGTGACCCGAGGGATTTCTCCAGAGACAAGAAACATATCTTCGAGAATCGTGTGCGGTTGGTCATTCCTTTCTACCTTGGCCCCAGCAGACTCGATCTCTTCAAAAGTGGGATCCCTCTCCAATGAGATTGGACCAGCCGGGCCTAGGAAACCTCGGTATGTCGGTCGATTTGGATGGAGGTCGATTGGAATGCCTCTGCTCCCCTTCGCCTCATTTATCATAGAAATTGCTTTCAACATGCCTCCGGAATGGTCGCGGTGCCAATGGGATAGATGGATTCGTTCAATCGATCCGAGATTTGCCCTCAAGCGCTTTACATTCAGTTCCCAGATATGTTCTTCCGGAGCAGTGTCGAAGAGAACTGTATGCCGCTTGTCTCCTTTGACAGCCGTCTAAGTGATCGTCAGCTTCGAATTCTGAATAAGATTTTGCTTACGATCATCAGTGACAAGCCGTGAGCACCGCAGCAGACATTGTCGAGCCGAATCTCGAATTTTGAGCCACCCCTGGTTCCATCCTGTAGCGGAGCCCTTAAAGCAACATCCGCGAGTTGTCCAGAAACTTTAAGATCTGAGTGCTGGTAGGAGGATATAGGATCAACCTCGTTATCGACAATGACTAAAATCTCTAGCGAGTCTATTTCAATGAGTGAAGACATGATCACGCGATTGACAAGAGAACCACACGTATCTCAGAAAACTGGAAGAAAGGGACAGATAGACCGAAGATGTGATCGGTTCCGAGGCTTTATCACGAATTTGTCGAGTCTGCTTGGCAGGAGCCGATCAGGTCCGAGAGCCATTCCGCTAAGTTGTGACACGCTCGCGCATAATCGTAAGTAGCTAGTTCAGGCCGCTAGACGCAGTAGAGAAAGCTGGAGAGTTTCTACATACTTCATACAGCACCCTTTCAGGCGACTTGTCCCTTGCTGCTGATCATCACGGAAAAGACACGAGATACCGTGAGCAGGAATATAAGCTCCCTCTTTTGACAAGCGTTCTTTTTATAAACCTACATTTCTTGTCATTCACTAAAATGGCAGACAAGCAGCTTACAAGCCTTCTAGCCTTACAATCTTCCTTTGATATCTTGACGTCCCGCATGAGGAGGTCGTAGAGTGGTTAGTACAGCTTAGGCATACGGGCCGACGTATCGTCCGAATTTGACGGTAGAACGGGCCACTTACGAATTAGATCTAACTATACGACAAGCTTATCTTCTTTGATACTTTATAGCCTTTAAATACATTATAGCTTGATACTAGCCGCTCGCGTAAGGAGCTCTTAAGGAAAGTGGCTCCAGACTAGGTTATTTCTATAGTATACGTATATATCGCGGGTCAATATATATTCCTAAATTGTCTAGCTTCTCGTCTAGTATATTCGATTTACCAGATCTTCTATCGGCTCTACCGACTCGAAGTCGTTGATTTCGAAAGTTACAGTTGGTCCCGAAATGTTAAGAAATACGGTCCGATTTGACCACACGCTCAAAAGATGGATCGATAACTAGCTGACGCCTGTTCCTCAGAGTGAGGATCTACTTCTTGAACTCCAGGTTCGGTATTGCGCGATTCCGCAGCTTCTTATAGACAAGGACCCAGACGCGATTACATACATACCTTTCCAGATTCTCGACGACCCTTCCAACCTGCCGATACCACAGCCGTGAATAGGCTACTCGGATAGTGCACCACAATGCTAGAGCAGTGTGTAGGACTCTCACGCTTAGTAACGTGGCTAGATCCTGTAGAGACCTCGAAATTCCTAAAGTTAGTGGTCCGGACGTCTAACTTTCTCCTCTCCGCCTAGGTTCCTAAGATGGTGTTTCTTCTTAGTAAAGTATCAGTCGGCGGGGCTCAATCTCACTCCAGTCCACCGGGGCAATGTGGCATGATAGTGTATCACCACGCGACCAGTTAGAGACACTGGAATATATAATGGCGGGTTTGACATCTGTCGTTGGCAGAAGGCCGCCGAATTCCGTCGCGAAGTTTGGTAAGATAGATTGAAAAAGTGGCGGGCTAGCATCCCTTCAAAGTCCAGAGTGCAGAAGTTGGCGTCAATCTTCCCCTATGTGCTCCATTTCGCTAGTTCTGAAGCGCTGGGCTCTATGATGCCACTCTTAGTCGTCTCTAGGCGCGAGCTAGCGTTCCCTGCACCATCAGTGCTCCTCGATACCTCCTTCACCATATTCACCAATTTGTAAGCTCGATCGCGATGCCACTCTCCCACAGGGATCACATAGCTCTCTCCGTACTGCATAAAGCCCTTGCGCGCCCAGTACGCCGCGTAGAATTCCTCCACCACCTTGACCCACAGCCGAACCGGCCCCTCCGTGACCTGCGCGACTAGACGTGCCGATAGACCCTGTAAGCACCGCTCGATAAGCCCGCGGCCGCGATACTGAGGTAAGCTGCGCGACGCGACGGGGCCGATTTCCCAATCTCGCGTCCGAGCGTCAGGGGCAGTGGCGCTATTGTCGTTGTCGTCGTCGTTGTCGTCCTTCCGTCGCCCTTTCCACCGCTTCGCCACCGCCACGGCGACGGGGCGGTTCTCATGCCGGCTGTCTTGGATCACCGCGCATAGGCCGTCTACGTCGAGGTCGCGCGCAAACTCTTCCGCGCTGGGATACCGGTCTAGGAGACCCTCGGATTCGCGCTCCTTGTAGGATTCGTTGATCAGCGTGTAGGTTGGGACGAGGACGGTATCGCTCCACAGCTCTGACGCCGTGAGGACGCGGAGAGCGAGATACGATGAGGCCATTCACGTAGGACAAACGACTTTCACGGGTGATTTTGTGACGGCAGGGCACATGTGAGATGGAGAAGACTCCAAGGATGTGTATTCCTATATAACGAGAGACTAAACTGAGGGAAAGAAGAAAGGAAGGAAGGAAGGAAAGGGTACGGCGCCATACTTTTATATAACGACTACCCTTACTAAGGCCCTAGTATACTAAGCCGCTCTTCCTATATAACCAATCAGAGACATACGCTTATCCCGTATCTCGTCCGGGACAACGTCGGCCCGTTACGGTTCGTCCGTACTTAGCGTGGTGTTAATCGGTATAGGATATGTCGTCGAGTCAGGTCAGATCTGGCCAGATCTAGTCAGATCTAGTCTATCTATACTCACGGCCGTGATATTACCCCCCCCTCTAAGTAAGTCTATCCTTAGGCTTATCGTCGTCTTCGTGCTCCGTCGAAGTCTCGTTATTCTCCCAGTTCCTTATCTATTCCTTCAAGCGTCGAGGCGGATCTAGCTTATTCGGGTTCGCTATATAATAATCTCTCACTTTATAAGGCGCATTCTTGAAGTCGGACGCCGGGTACTATTCCGGATCGTCGTTCTAGTCTAGCTACTTTACTCTATATTATAGTTTTCCTCGTCTCTATCTTACTACTAATACCTTCTCTATCTCCTATTCTACTTCGCTATTAACTTCGATTACCGATAGAGGACTATTTACTTATTCGAGAAGAGAGTCTTTAGATACCTTTCTTAGCCGATCGGAGGATATTACTAGATATATCTTTATCGATATCGATAACTCTAGCCTATACGCGTTTCCTATCTTTTCTAAGATTTAGAACGGGTCTACTAATTAATAGAATAGCTTTCTACTCGGTCTATCCGTATT